GCAAAAGGGACGCTTCTCGAGGTGAGGCAGGGCACCCAAGGACCCTTTCCAGTAGCCACAGGGATTTTGGGATTCCTATCAGTATTCAAGACGAGTCAGGCATCGTCACCTTTTGAGGAAATGAACTCCGCGGGGCTCTCGAGGTATCAGCGGGATGTGAGGCATTCCGTCAAAATGAGGCAGGGACCTAGGGCTTTCTCTAAGGTCTCCACAGGGGATTCAGGCATCCCTTCATGTTGTGAGATGAAAGACTGGCCTGTATTCAAGCCACTGCAAGGAAATCCAGCCTCCTTTCAAGTTAGGGCTTCTCGCTGTATATTCCCCTTGAGGCAGAAAACTTGGGGTCCCTCCTACATACCTATTGCTGAGAGAAGACTCCTCCTGAGGTGCTTCTGGAAAGTTGGCATATGTCTTGAGCCTAAGCCAGGGAATCAGCTCTCATCTCGAGACGATTTGGGTTACACGGAGCATTCCTCGTGTTGCTGTGCTGAAGTTGGTGTTCCTCTAGACTTGGGACAGTGTTCTCGGGGCATCTCTGGAGGTGCCTGAAGGAAGTCGAGCCACCGGTCGTGTTGAATTGGGAACGGGGAATGGCTCTGGAGTCAATGCAGGGGAATCAGGCCTCATCTCGAGTTGATTTCGGGCACATGGAGCTGCTTTGCGTTGCTGGGGTGACCTCAGGGTCCGTCTAGACTGGTGACAGTGTTCTTGGGGACTGTCTCGAGATCCATTAAGCAAGTCGAAGTTCCTGACTTGTTTGAATGGGATCATGGAATAGCTCTGCATGAACTGCAGGGGAATGGGGCCTCATCTCGCCTCTAGGGGGAAGTCTCATGGTTTTTCTCGAGTTGCGGCGGGGACCTGGGGTATGTTCTCGACTTACGCCGGGAATGGCCCTTCAAAACACGAGTTTCTTCAGTGACGTCAGGACTCCTGTCTAGTAACGAGGGACACCTCAGGAATCTCTTCGAGGCTTGGCAGGGCAAAGGGACGCTTCTCGAGGTGAGGCAGGGCACCCAAGGACCCTTTCCAGTAGCCACAGGGATTTTGGGATTCCTATCAGTATTCAAGAGGAGTCAGGCATCGTCACCTTTTGAAGCAATGAACTCCGCGTGCCTCTCGAGGTGTCAGCGGGATGTGAGGCATTCCGTCAAAATGAGGTAGAGACCTAGGGCTTTCTCTAAGGTCTCCACAGGGGATTCAGACATCCCTTCATGTTGTGAGATGAAAGACGGGCCTGTATTGAAGCCACTGCAAGGAAATCCGGCCTCCTTTCAAGTTAGGGCTTCTCGCTGTATATTCCCCTTGAGGCAGCAAACTCGGGGTCCCTCCCACATACCTATTGCTGAGAGAAGCCTCCTCCTGAGGTGCTTCTGGAAAGTTGGCATACGTCTTGAGCCTAAGCCCGGGAATCAGCTCTCATCTCGAGACAATTTGGGGTACACGGAGCATTCCTCGAGTTGCTGTGCTGAAGGTGGAGTTCCTCTAGACTTGGGACAGTGTTCTCGGGGCATCTCTGGAGTTGCCTGAAGGAAGTCGAGCCACCAGTCTGTTGAATGGGGAACGGGGAATGGCTCTGGAGTCAATGCAGGGGAATCGGGCCTCATCTCGAGTTGATTTGGGGCACATGGAGCTGCTTTGCCTTGCTGGGGTGACCGCAGGGTCCGTCTAGACTGGTGACAGTGTTCTTGGGGACTGTCTCGAGATCCATTAAGCAAGTCGAAGCTCCTGACTTGTTTGAATGGGATCACGGAATAGCTCTGCATGCACTGCAGGGGAATGGGGCCTCATCTCGCCTCTAGGGGAAAGTCTCATGGTTTTTCTCGATTTCAGGCGGGGACCTGGGTATGTTCTCGACTTACGGCGGGGATGGCCATTCAAAACACGAGTTTCTTCAGTGACGTCAGGACTCCTGTCTAGTAACGAGGGATACCTCAGGAATCTCTTCGAGGCTTGGCAGGGCAAAAGGGACGCTTCTCGAGGTGAGGCAGGGCACCCAAGGACCCTTTCCAGTAGCCACAGTGATTTTGGGATTCCTATCAGTGTTCAAGAGGAGTCAGGCATCGTCACCTTTTGAACCATGAAATCCGCGTGCCTCTCGAGGTGTCAGCGGGATGTGAGGCATTCTGTCAAAATGAGGCAGGGACCTAGGGCTTTCTCTAAGGTCTCCACAGGGGATTCAGACATCCCTTCATGTTGTGAGATGAAAGACGAGCCTGTATTCAAGCCACTGCAAGGAAATCCGGCCTCCATTCAAGTTAGGGCTTCTCGCTGTATATTCCCCTTGTGGCAGCAAACTCGGGCTCCCTCCCACATACCTATTGCTGAGAGAAGCCTCCTCCTGAGGTGCTTCTGGAAAGTTGGCATACGTCTTGAGCCTAAGCCAGGGAATCAGCTCTCATCTCGAGACGATTTGGGGTACACGGAGCATTCCTCGAGATGCTGTGTTGAAGTTGCTGTTCCTCTAGACTTGGGACAGTGTTCTCGGGGCATCTCTGGAGTTGCCTGAAGGAAGTCGAGCCACCGGTCGTGTTGAATGGGGAACGGGGAATGGCTCTGGAGTCAATGCAGGGAAATCGGGCCTCATCTCGAGTTGATTTGGGGCACATGGAGCTGCTTTGCGTTGCTGGGGTGACCTCAGGGTCCGTCTAGACTGGTGACAGTGTTCTTGGGGACTGTCTCGAGGTCCATTAAGCAAGTCGAAACTCCTGACTTGTTTGAATGGGATCACGGAATAGCTCTGCATGCACTGCAGGGGAATGGGGCCTCATCTCGCTTCTAGGGGGAAGTCTCATGGTTTTTCTCGAGTTGCGGCGGGGACCTGGGGTATGTTCTCGACTTACGGCGGGGATGGCACTTCAAAACACGAGTTTCTTCAGTGACGTCAGGACTCCTGTCTAGTAACGAGGGACACCTCAGGAATCTCTCCGAGGCTTCGCAGGGCAAAAGGGACGCTTCTCGAGGTGAGGCAGGGCACCCAAGGACCCTTTCCAGTAGCCACAGGGATTTGGGGATTCCTATCAGTTTTCAAGAGGAGTCAGGCATCGTCACCTTTTGAACCATGAACTCCGCGTGCCTCTCGAGGTGTCAGCGGGATGTGAGGCATTCTGTCAAAATGAGGCAGGGACCTAGGGCTATCTCTAAGGTCTCCACAGGGGATTCAGACATCACTTCATGTTGTGAGATGAAAGACGTGCCTGTATTCAAGCCACTGCAAGGAAATCCGGCCTCTTTTCAAGTTAGGGCTTCTCGCTGTATATTCCCCTTGAGGCAGCAAACTCGGGGTCCCTCCCACATACCTATTGCTGAGAGAAGCCTCCTCCTGAGGTGCTTCTGGAAAGTTGGCATACGTCTTGAGCCTAAGCCAGGGAATCAGCTCTCATCTTGAGACGATTTGGGGTACACAGAGCATTCCTCGAGTTGCTGTGCTGAAGTTGGTGTTCCTCTAGACTTGGGACAGAGTTCTCGGGGCATCTCTGGAGTTGCCTGAAGGAAGTCGAGCCACCGGTCGTGTTGAATGGGGAACGGGGAATGGCTCTGGAGTCAATGCAGGGAAATCGGACCTCATCTCGAGTTGATTTGGGGCACATGGAGCTGCTTTGCGTTGCTGGGGTGACCTCAGGGTCCGTCTAGACTGGTGACAGTGTTCTTGGGGACTGTCTCGAGATCCATTAAGCAAGTCGAAGCTCCTGACTTGTTTGAATGGGATCACGGAAGAGCTCTGCATGCACTGCAGGGGAATGGGGCCTCGTCTAGCCTCTAGGGGGAAGTCTCATGGTTTTTCTCGAGTTGCGGCGAGGACCTGGGGTATGTTCTCGCCTTACGGCGGGGATGGACCTTCAAAACACGAGTTTCTTCAGTGACGTCAGGACTCCTGTCTAGTAACGAGGGATACCTCAGGAATCTCTTCGAGGGTTGGCAGGGCAAAAGGGACGCTTCTCGAGGTGAGGCAGGGCACCCAAGGACCCTTTCCAGTAGCCACAGGGATTTTGGGATTCCTATCAGTATTCAAGAGGAGTCAGGCATCGTCACCTTTTGAAGCAATGAACTCTGCGTGCCTCTCGAGGTGTCAGCGGGATGTGAGGCATTCCGTCAAAATGAGGCAGGGACCTAGGGCTTTCTCTAAGGTCACTACAGGGGATTGAGACATCCCTTCATGTTGTGAGATGAAAGACGTGCCTGTATTCAAGCCACTGCAAGGAAATCCGGCCTCCTTTCAAGTTAGGGCTTCTCGCTGTATATTCCCCTTGAGGCAGCAAACTCGGGGTCCCTCCCACATACCTATTGCTGAGAGAAGCCTCCTCCTGAGGTGCTTCTGGAAAGTTGGCATACGTCTTGAGCCTAAGCCAGGGAATCAGCTCTCATCTCGAGACGATTTGGGGTACTCGGAGCATTCCTCGAGTTGCTGTGCTGAAGGTGGTGTTCCTCTAGACTTGGGACAGTGTTCTCGGGGCATCTCTGGAGTTGCCTGAAGGAAGTGGAGCCACGGGTCGTGTTGAATGGGGAACGGGGAATGGCTCTGGAGTCAATGCAGGGAAATCGGGCCTCATCTCGAGTTGATTTGGGGCACATGGAGCTGCTTTGTGTTGCTGGGGTGACCTCAGGGTCTGTCTCGACTGGTGACAGTGTTCTTGAGGACTGTCTCGAGACCCATTAAGCAAGTCGAAGCTCCTGACTTGTTTGAATGGGATCACGGAATAGCTCTGCATGCACTGCAGGGGAATGGGGCCTCATCTCGCCTCTAGGGGGAAGTCTCATGGTTTTTCTCGAGTTGCGGCGGGGACCTGGGGTATGTTCTCGACTTACGGCGGGGATGGCACTTCAAAACACGAGTTTCTTCAGTGACGTCAGGACTCCTGTCTAGTAACGAGGGATACCTCAGGAATCTCTCCGAGGCTTCGCAGGGCAAAAGGGACGCTTCTCGAGGTGAGGCAGGGCACCCAAGGACCCTTTCCAGTAGCCACAGGGATTTTGGGATTCCTATCAGTATTCAAGAGGAGTCAGGCATCGTCACCTTTTGAACCATGAACTCCGCGCGCCTCTCGAGGTGTCAGCGGGATGTGAGGCATTCTGTCAAAATGAGGCAGGGACCTAGGGTTTTCTCTAAGGTTTCCACAGGGGATTCAGACATCCCTTCATATTGTGAGATGAAAGACGAGCCTGTATTCAAGCCACTGCATGGAAATCCGGCCTCCTTTCAAGTTAGGGCTTCTCGCTGTATATTCCCCTTGAGGCAGCAAACTCGGGGTCCCTCCCACATACCTATTGCTGAGAGAAGCCTCCTCCTGAGGTGCTTCTGGAAAGTTGGCATACGTCTTGAGCCTAAGCCAGGGAATCAGCTCTCATCTCGAGACTATTTGGGGTACTCGGAGCATTCCTCGATTTGCTGTGCTGAAGTTGGTGTTCCTCTAGACTTGGGACAGTGTTCTCGGGGCATCTCTGGAGTTGCCTGAAGGAAGTGGAGCCACGGGTCGTGTTGAATGGGGAACGGGGAATGGCTCTGGAATCAATGCAGGGGAATCAGGCCTCATCTCGAGTTGATTTGGGGCACATGGAGCTGCTTTGCGTTGCTGGGGTGACCTCAGGGTCCGTCTAGACTGGTGACAGTGTTCTTGGGGACTGTCTCGAGATCCATTAAGCAAGTCGAAGCTCCTGACTTGTTTGAATGGGATCACGGAATAGCTCTGCATGCACTGCAGGGGAATGGGGCCTCATCTCGCCTCTAGGGGGAATTCTCATTGTTTTTCTCGAGTTGCGGCAGGGACCTGGGGTATGTTCTCGCCTTACGGCGGGGATGGCCCTTCAAAACACGAGTTTCTTCAGTGACGTCAGGACTCCTGTCTAGTAACGAGGGATACCTCAGGAATCTCTTCGAGGTTTGGCAGGGCAAAAGGGACGCTACTCGAGGTGAGGCAGGGCACCCAAAGACCCTTTCCAGTAGCCACAGGGATTTTGGGATTCCTATCAGTATTCAAGAGGAGTCAGGCATCGTCACCTTTTGAACCATGAACTCCGCGCGCCTCTCGAGGTGTCAGCGGGATGTGAGGCATTCTGTCAAAATGAGGCAGGGACCTAGGGTTTTCTCTAAGGTTTCCACAGGGGATTCAGACATCCTTTCATATTGTGAGATGAAAGACGAGCCTGTATTCAAGCCACTGCAAGGAAATCCGGCCTCCTTTCAAGTTAGGGCTTCTCGCTGTATATTCCCTTTGAGGCAGCAAACTCGGGGTCCCTCCCACATACCTATTGCTGAGAGAAGCCTCCTCCTGAGGTGCTTCTGGAAAGTTGGCATACGTCTTGAGCCTAAGCCAGGGAATCAGCTCTCATCTCGAGACTATTTGGGGTACTCGGAGCATTCCTCGATTTGCTGTGCTGAAGTTGGTGTTCCTCTAGACTTGGGACAGTGTTCTCGGGGCATCTCTGGAGTTGCCTGAAGGAAGTGGAGCCACGGGTCGTGTTGAATGGGGAACGGGGAATGGCTCTGGAATCAATGCAGGGGAATCAGGCCTCATCTCGTGTTGATTTGGGGCACATGGAGCTGCTTTGCGTTGCTGGGGTGACCTCAGGGTCCGTCTAGACTGGTGACAGTGTTCTTGGGGACTGTCTCGAGATCCATTAAGCAAGTCGAAGCTCCTGACTTGTTTGAATGGGATCACGGAATAGCTCTGCATGCACTGCAGGGGAAAGGGGCCTCGTCTCGCCTCTAGGGGGAATTCTCATTGTTTTTCTCGAGTTGCGGCGGGGACCTGGGGTATGTTCTCGCCTTACGGCGGGGATGGCCCTTCAAAACACGAGTTTCTTCAGTGACGTCAGGACTCCTGTCTAGTAACGAGGGATACCTCAGGAATCTCTTCGAGGTTTGGCAGGGCAAAAGGGACGCTACTCGAGGTGAGGCAGGGCACCCAAGGACCCTTTCCAGTAGCCACAGGGATTTTGGGATTCCTATCAGTATTCAAGAGGAGTCAGGCATCGTCACCTTTTGAAGCAATGAACTCCGCGTGCCTCTCGAGGTGCCAGCGGGATGTGAGGCATTCCGTCAAAATGAGGCAGGGACCTAGGGCTTTCTCTAAGGTCTCTACAGGGGATTCAGACATCCCTTCATGTTGTGAGATGAAAGAGGAGCCTGTATTCAAGCCACTGCAAGGAAATCCGGCCTCCATTCAAGTTAGGGCTTCTCGCTGTATATTCCCCTTGAGGCAGCAAACTCGGGCTCCCTCCCACATACCTATTGCTGAGAGAAGCCTCCTCCTGAGGTGCTTCTGGAAAGTTGGCATACGTCTAGTCCCTAAGCCAGGGAATCAGCTCTCATCTCGAAACGATTTGGGGTAGTCTGAGCATTCCTCGATTTGCTGTGCTGAAGTTGGTGTTCCTCTAGACTTGGGACAGTGTTCTCGGGGATCTCTGGAGTTGCCTGAAGGAAGTGGAGCCACGGGTCGTGTTGAATGGGGAAAGGGGAATGGTTCTGGAGTCAATGCAGGGGAATCAGGCCTCATCTCGAGTTGATTTGGGGCACATGGAGCTGCTTTGCGTTGCTGGGTGACCTCAGGGTCCGTCTAGACTGGTGACAGTGTTCTTGGGGACTGTCTCGAGATCCGTTCAGCAAGTCGAAGCTCCTGACTTGTTTGAATGGGATCACGGAATAGCTCTGCATGCACTGCAGGGGAATGGGGCCTCATCTCGCTTCTAGGGGGAAGTCTCATGGTTTTTCTCGAGTTGCGGCGGGGACCTGGGGTATGTTCTCGACTTACGGCGGGGATGGCACTTCAAAACACGAGTTTCTTCAGTGACGTCAGGACTCCTGTCTAGTAACGAGGGACACCTCAGGAAACTCTCCGAGGCTTCGCAGGGCAAAAGGGACGCTTCCCGAGGTGAGGCAGGGCACCCAAGGACCCTTTCCAGTAGCCACAGGGATTTGGGGATTCCTATCAGTATTCAAGAGGAGTCAGGCATCGTCACCTTTTGAACCATGAACGCCGCGTGCCTCTCGAGGTGTCAGCGGGATGTGAGGCATTCTGTCAAAATGAGGCAGGGACCTAGGGCTTTCTCTAAGGTCTCCACAGGGGATTCAGACATCACTTCATGTTGTGAGATGAAAGACGTGCCTGTATTCAAGCCACTGCAAGGAAATCCGGCCTCCTTTCAAGTTAGGGCTTCTCGCTGTATATTCCCCTTGAGGCAGCAAACTCAGGGTCCCTCCCACATACCTATTGCTGAGAGAAGCCTCCTCCTGAGGTGCTTCTGGAAAGTTGGCATACGTCTTGAGCCTAAGCCAGGGAATCAGCTCTCATCTCGAGACGATTTGGGGTACTCGGAGCATTCCTCGAGTTGCTGTGCTGAAGGTGGTGTTCCTCTAGACTTGGGAAAGTGTTCTCGGGGCATCTCTGGAGTTGCCTGAAGGAAGTGGAGCCACGGGTCGTGTTGAATGGGGAACGGGGAATGGCTCTGGAGTCAATGCAGGGAAATCGGGCCTCATCTCGAGTTGATTTGGGGCACATGGAGCTGCTTTGCGTTGCTGGGGTGACCTCAGGGTCTGTCTCGACTGGTGACAGTGTTCTTGAGGACTGTCTCGAGACCCATTAAGCAAGTCGAAGCTCCTGACTTGTTTGAATGGGATCACGGAATAGCTCTGCATGCACTGCAGGGGAATGGGGCCTCATCTCGCCTCTAGGGGGAAGTCTCATGGTTTTTCTCGAGTTGCGGCGGGGACCTGGGGTATGTTCTCGACTTACGGCGGGGATGGCACTTCAAAACACGAGTTTCTTCAGTGACGTCAGGACTCCTGTCTAGTAACGAGGGATACCTCAGGAATCTCTCCGAGGCTTCGCAGGGCAAAAGGGACGCTTCTCGAGGTGAGGCAGGGCACCCAAGGACCCTTTCCAGTAGCCACAGGGATTTTGGGATTCCTATCAGTATTCAAGAGGAGTCAGGCATCGTCACCTTTTGAACCATGAACTCCGCGCGCCTCTCGAGGTGTCAGCGGGATGTGAGGCATTCTGTCAAAATGAGGCAGGGACCTAGGGTTTTCTCTAAGGTTTCCACAGGGGATTCAGACATCCCTTCATATTGTGAGATGAAAGACGAGCCTGTATTCAAGCCACTGCATGGAAATCCGGCCTCCTTTCAAGTTAGGGCTTCTCGCTGTATATTCCCCTTGAGGCAGCAAACTCGGGGTCCCTCCCACATACCTATTGCTGAGAGAAGCCTCCTCCTGAGGTGCTTCTGGAAAGTTGGCATACGTCTTGAGCCTAAGCCAGGGAATCAGCTCTCATCTCGAGACTATTTGGGGTACTCGGAGCATTCCTCGATTTGCTGTGCTGAAGTTGGTGTTCCTCTAGACTTGGGACAGTGTTCTCGGGGCATCTCTGGAGTTGCCTGAAGGAAGTGGAGCCACGGGTCGTGTTGAATGGGGAACGGGGAATGGCTCTGGACTCAATGCAGGGGAATCAGGCCTCATCTCGAGTTGATTTGGGGCACATGGAGCTGCTTTGCGTTGCTGGGGTGACCTCAGGGTCCGTCTAGACTGGTGACAGTGTTCTTGGGGACTGTCTCGAGATCCATTAAGCAAGTCGAAGCTCCTGACTTGTTTGAATGGGATCACGGAATAGCTCTGCATGCACTGCAGGGGAATGGGGCCTCGTCTCGCCTCTAGGGGGAATTCTCATTGTTTTTCTCGAGTTGCGGCGGGGACCTGGGGTATGTTCTCGCCTTACGGCGGGGATGGCTCTTCAAAACACGAGTTTCTTCAGTGACGTCAGGACTCCTGTCTAGTAACGAGGGATACCTCAGGAATCTCTTCGAGGTTTGGCAGGGCAAAAGGGACGCTACTCGAGGTGAGGCAGGGCACCCAAGGACCCTTTCCAGTAGCCACAGGGATTTTGGGATTCCTATCAGTATTCAAGAGGAGTCAGGCATCGTCACCTTTTGAAGCAATGAACTCCGCGTGCCTCTCGAGGTGCCAGCGGGATGTGAGGCATTCCGTCAAAATGAGGCAGGGACCTAGGGCTTTCTCTAAGGTCTCTACAGGGGATTCAGACATCCCTTCATGTTGTGAGATGAAAGACGAGCCTGTATTCAAGCCACTGCAAGGAAATCCGGCCTCCATTCAAGTTAGGGCTTCTCGCTGTATATTCCCCTTGAGGCAGCAAACTCGGGGTCCCTCCTACATACCTATTGCTGAGAGAAGCCTCCTCCTGAGGTGCTTCTGGAAAGTTGGCATACGTCTAGACCCTAAGCCAGGGAATCAGCTCTCATCTCGAAACGATTTGGGGTAGTCTGAGCATTCCTCGATTTGCTGTGCTGAAGTTGGTGTTCCTCTAGACTTGGGACAGTGTTCTCGGGGCATCTCTGGAGTTGCCTGAAGGAAGTGGAGCCACGGGTCGTGTTGAATGGGGAAAGCGGAATGGCTCTGGAGTCAATGCAGGGGAATCAGGCCTCATCTCGAGTTGATTTGGGGCACATGGAGCTGCTTTGCGTTGCTGGGGTGACCTCAGGGTCCGTCTAGACTGGTGACAGTGTTCTTGGGGACTGTCTCGAGATCCATTAAGCAAGTCGAAGCTCCTGACTTGTTTGAATGGGATCACGGAATAGCTCTGCATGCACTGCAGGGGAATGGGGCCTCATCTCGCCTCTAGGGGGAAGTCTCATGGTTTTTCTTGAGTTGCGGCGGGGACCTGGGGTATGTTCTCGACTTACGGCGGGGATGGCCCTTCAAAACACGAGTTTCTTCAGTGACGTCAGGACTCCTTTCTAATAACGAGGGACACCTTAGAAATCTCTCCGAGGCTTCGCAGGGCAAAAGGGACGCTTCTCGAGGTGAGGCAGGGCACCCAAGGACCCATTCCAGTAGCCACAGGGATGTGGGGATTCCTATCAGTATTCAAGAGGAGTCAGGCATCGTCACCTTTTGAACCATGAACTCTGCGTGCCTCTCGAGGTGTCAGCGGGATGTGAGGCATTCTGTCAAAATGAGGCAGGGACCTAGGGCTTTCTCTAAGGTTTCCACAGGGGATTCAGACATCCCTTCATGTTGTGAGATGAAAGACGAGCCTGTATTCAAGCCATTGCAAGGAAATCCGGCCTCCTTTCAAGTTAGGGCTTCTCGCTGTATATTCCACTTGAGGCAGCAAACTTGGGGTCCCTCCCACATACCTATTGCTGAGAGAAGCCTCCTCCTGAGGTGCTTCTGGAAAGTTGGCATACGTCTAGAGCCTAAGCCAGGGAATCAGCTCTCATCTCGAGACGATTTGGGGTACTCTGAACATTCCTCGATTTGCTGTGCTGAAGTTGGTGTTCCTCTAGACTTGGGACAGTGTTCTCGGGGCATCTCTGGAGTTGCCTGAAGGAAGTGGAGCCACGGGTCGTGTTGAATGGGGAAAGGGGAATGGCTCTGGAGTCAATGCAGGGGAATCAGGCCTCATCTCGAGTTGATTTGGGGCACATGGAGCTGCTTTGCGTTGCTGGGATGACCTCAGGGTCCGTCTAGACTGGTGACAGTATTCTTGGGGACTCTCTCGAGATCCATTAAGCACGTCGAAGCTCCTGACTTGTTTGAATGGGATCACGGAATAGCTCTGCATGCACTGCAGGGGAATGGGGCCTCATCTCGCTTCTAGGGGGAAGTCTCATGGTTTTTCTCGAGTTGCGGCGGGGACCTGGGGTATGTTCTCGACTTACGGCGGGGATGGCACTTCAAAACACGAGTTTCTTCAGTGATGTCAGGACTCCTGTCTAGTAACGAGGGACACCTCAGGAATCTCTTCGAGGCTTGGCAGGGCAAAAGGGACGCTTCTCGAGGTGAGGCAGGGCACCCAAGGACCCTTTCCAGTAGCCACAGGGATTTGGGGATTCCTATCAGTATTCAAGAGGAGTCAGGCATCGTCACCTTTTGAACCATGAACGCCGCGTGCCTCTCGAGGTGTCAGCGGGATGTGAGGCATTCTGTCAAAATGAGGCAGGGACCTAGGGCTTTCTCTAAGGTCTCCACAGGGGATTCAGACATCACTTCATGTTGTGAGATGAAAGACGTGCCTGTATTCAAGCCACTGCAAGGAAATCCGGCCTCCTTTCAAGTGAGGGCTTCTCGCTGTATATTCCCCTTGAGGCAGCAAACTCGGGCTCCCTCCCACATACCTATTGCTGAGAGAAGCCTCCTCCTGAGGTGCTTCTGGAAAGTTGGCATACGTCTTGAGCCTAAGCCAGGGAATCAGCTGTCATCTCGAGATGATTTGGGGTACACGGAGCATTCCTCGAGTTGCTGTGCTGAAGTTGGTGTTCCTCTAGACTTGGGACAGTGTTCTCGGGGCATCTCTGGAGTTGCCTGAAGGAGGTCGAGCCACCGGTCGTGTTGAATGGGGAAGGGTTATGGCTCTGGAGTCAATGCAGTGGAATCGGGCCTCATCTCGAGTTGATTTGGGGCACATGGAGCTGCTTTGCGTTGCTGGGGTGACCTCAGGGTCTGTCTCGACTGGTGACAGTGTTCTTGGGGACTGTCTCGAGACCCATTAAGCAAGTCGAAGCTCCTGACTTGTTTGAATGGGATCACGGAATAGCTCTGCATGCACTGCAGGGGAATGGGGCCTCATCTCGCCTCTAGGGGGAAGTCTCATGGTTTTTCTCGAGTTGCGGCGGGGACCTGGGGTATGTTCTCGCCTTACGGCGGGGATGACCCTTCAAAACACGAGTTTCTTCAGTGACGTCAGGACTCCTGTCTAGTAACGAGGGATACCTCAGGAATCTCTTCGAGGGTTGGCAGGGCAAAGGGGACGCTACTCGAGGTGAGGCAGGTCACCCAAGGACCCTTTCCAGTAGCCACAGGGATTTTGGGATTCCTATCAGTATTCAAGAGGAGTCAGGCATCGTCACCTTTTGAAGCAATGAACTCCGCGTGCCTCTCGAGGTGCCAGCGGGATGTGAGTCATTCCGTCAAAATGAGGCAGGGACCTAGGGCTTTCTCTAGGGTCTCTACAGGGGATTCAGACATCCCTTCATGTTGTGAGATGAAAGACGAGCCTGTATTCAAGCCACTGCAAGGAAATCCGGCCTCCTTTCAAGTTAGGGCTTCTCGATGTATATTCCCCTTGAGGCAGCAAACTCGGGCTCCCTCCCACATACCTATTGCTGAGAGAAGCCTCCTCCTGAGGTGCTTCTGGAAAGTTGGCATATGTCTTGAGCCTAAGCCAGGGAATCAGCTCTCATCTCGAGACGATTTGGGGTACACGGAGCATTCCTCGAGTTGATGTGCTGAAGTTGGTGTTCCTCTAGACTTGGGACAGTGTTCTCGGGGCATCTCTGTAGTTGCCTGAAGGAAGTCGAGCCACCGGTCGTGTTGAATGGGGAACGGGTTATGGCTCTGGAGTCAATGCAGGGGAATCAGGCCTCATCTCGAGTTGATTTGGGGCACATGGAGCTGCTTTGCGTTGCTGGGGTGACCTCAGGGTCCGTCTAGACTGGTGACAGTGTTCTTGGGGACTGTCTCGAGATCCATTAAGCAAGTCGAAGCTCCTGACTTGTTTGAATGGGATCAAGGAATAGCTCTGCATGCACTGCAGGGGTATGGGGCCTCATCTCGCCTCTAGGGGGAAGTCTCATGGTTTTTCTCGAGTCGCGGCGGGGACCTGGGGTATGTTCTCGACTTACGGCGGGGATGGCCCTTCAAAACACGAGTTTCTTCAGTGACATCAGGACTCCTGTCTAGTAACGAGGGATACCTGAGGAATCCCTTCGAGGGTTGGCAGGGCCAAAGTGACCCTTCTCGAGGTGAGGCAGGGCACCCAAGGACTCTTTCCAGTAGCCACAGGGATTTTGGGATTCCTATCAGTATTCAAGAGGAGTCAGGCATCGTCACCTTTTGAACCATGAACTCCGCGTGCCTCTCGAGGTGTCAGCGGGATGTGTGGCATTCCGTCAAAATGAGGCAGGGACCTAGGGCTTTCTCTAAGGTTTCCACAGGGGATTCAGACATCCCTTCATGTTGTGAGATGAAAGACGAGCCTGTATTCAAGCCACTGCAAGGAAATCCGGCCTCCTTTCAAGTTAGGGCTTCTCGCTGTATATTCCCCTTGAGGCAGCAAACTCGGGGTCCCTCCCACATACCTATTGCTGAGAGAAGCCTCCTCCTGAGGTGCTTCTGGAAAGTTGGCATACGTCTAGAGCCTAAGCCAGGGAATCAGCTCTCATCTCGAGACGATTTGGGGTACTCTGAGCATTCCTCGATTTGCTGTGCTGAAGTTGGTGTTCCTCTAGACTTGGGACAGTGTTCTCGGGGCATCTCTGGAGTTGCCTGAAGGAAGTGGATCCACGGTTCGTGTTGAATGGGGAAAGGGGAATGGCTCTGGAGTCAATGCAGGGGAATCAGGCCTCATCTCGAGTTGATTTGGGGCACATGGAGCTGCTTTGCGTTGCTGGGGTGACCTCAGGGTCCGTCTAGACTGGTGACAGTTTTCTTGGGGACTGTCTCGAGATCCATTAAGCAAGTCAAACTCCTGACTTGTTTGAATGGGATCACGGAATAGCTCTGCATGCACTGCAGGGGAATGGGGCCTCATCTCGCCTCTAGGGGGAAGTCTCATGGTTTTTCTCGAGTTGCGGCGGGGACCTGGGGTATGTTCTCGACTTACGGCGGGGATGGCCCTTCAAAACACGAGTTTCTTCAGTGACGTCAGGACTCCTGTCTAGTAACGAGGGACACCTCAGGAATCTCTTCGAGGCTTCGCAGGGCAAAAGGGACGCTTCTCGAGGTGAGGCAGGGCACCCAAGGACCGTTTCCAGTAGCCACAGGGATTTTGGGATTCCTATCAGTGTTCAAGAGGAGTCAGGCATCGTCACCTTTTGAAGCAATGAACTCCGCGTGCCTCTCGAGGTGCCAGCGGGATGTGAGGCATTCCGTCAAAATGAGGCAGGGACCTAGGGCTTTCTCTAAGGTCTCTACAGGGGATTCAGACATCCCTTCATGTTGTGAGATGAAAGACGAGCCTGTATTCAAGCCACTGCAAGGAAATCCGGCCTCCTTTCAAGTTAGGGCTTCTCGCTGTATATTCCCCTTGAGGCAGCAAACTCGGGCTCCCTCCCACATACCTATTGCTGAGAAAATCCTCCTCCTGAGGTGCTTCTGGAAAGTTGGCATACGTCTTGAGCCTAAGCCAGGGAATCAGCTCTCATCTCGAGACGATTTGGGGTAAACGGAGCATTCCTCGAGTTGCTGTGCTGAAGTTGGTGTTCCTCTAGACTTGGGACAGTGTTCTTGGGGCATCTCTGGAGTTGCCTGAAGGAGGTCGAGCCACCGGTCGTGTTGAATGGGGAACGGGTTATGGCTCTGGAGTCAATGCAGGGGAATCGGGCCTCATCTCGAGTTGATTTGGGGCACATGGAGCTGCTTTGCGTTGCTGGGGTGACCTCAGGGTCCGTCTAGACTGGTGACAGTTTTCTTGGGGACTGTCTCGAGATCCATTAAGCAAGTCGAAGCTCCTGACTTGTTTGAATGGGATCACGGAATAGCTGTGCATGCACTGCAGGGGAATGGGGCCTCATCTCGCCTCTAGGGGGAAGTCTCATGGTTTTTCTCGAGTTGCAGCGGGGACCTGGGGTATGTTCTCGACTTACGGCGGGGATGGCCCTTCAAAACACGAGTTTCTTCAGTGACGTCAGGACTCCTGTCTAGTAACGAGGGACACCTCAGGAATCTCTCCGAGGCTTCGCAGGGCAAAAGGGACGCTTCTCGAGGTGAGGCAGGGCACCCAAGGACCCTTTCCAGTAGCCACAGGGATTTTGGGATTCCTATCAGTATTCAAGAGGAGTCAGGCATCGTCACCTTTTGAACCATGAACTCCGCGTGCCTCTCGAGGTGTCAGCGGGATGTGAGGCATTCTGTCAAAATGAGGCAGGGAACTAGGGCTTTCTCTAAGGTCTCCACAGGGGATTCAGACATCACTTCATGTTGTGAGATGAAAGACGTGCCTGTATTCAAGCCACTGCAAGGAAATCCGGCCTCCTTTCAAGTTAGGGCTTCTCGCTGTATATTCCCCTTGAGGCAGCAAACTCGGGCTCCCTCCCACATACCTATTGCTGAGAGAAGCCTCCTCCTGAGGTGCTTCTGGAAAGTTGGCATACGTCTTGAGCCTAAGCCAGGGAATCAGCTCTCATCTTGAGACGATTTGGGGTACACGGAGCATTCCTCGAGTTGCTGTGCTGATGTTGGTGTTCCTCTAGACTTGGGACAGTGTTCTCGGGGCATCTCTGGAGTTGCCTGAAGGAAGTCGAGCCACCGGTCGTGTTGAATGGGGAACGGGGAATGGCTCTGGAGTCAATGCAGGGAAATCGGGCCTCATCTCGAGTTGATTTGGGGCACATGGAGCTGCTTTGCGTTGCTGGGGTGACCTCAGGGTCCGTCTAGACTGGTGACAGTGTTCTTGGGGACTGTCTCGAGATCCATTAAGCAAGTCGAAGCTCCTGACTTGTTTGAATGGGATCACGGAATAGCTCTGCATGCACTGCAGGGGAATGGGGCCTCGTCTCCCCTCTAGGGGAAGTCTCATGGTTTTTCTCGAGGTGCGGCGGGGACCTGGGGTATGTTCTCGCCTTACGGCGGGGATGGCCCTTCAAAACACGAGTTTCTTCAGTGACGTCAGGACTCCTGTCTAGTAACGAGGGATACCTCAGGAATCTCTTCGAGGGTTGGCAGGGCAAAAGGGATGCTTCTCGAGGTGAGGCAGGGCACCCAAGGACCCTTTCCAGTAGCCACAGGGTTTTTGGGATTCCTATCAGTATTCAAGAGGAGTCAGGCATCGTCACCTTTTGAAGCAATTAACTCTGCGTGCCTCTCGAGGTGTCAGCGGGATGTGAGGCATTCCGTCAAAATGAGGCAGGGACCTAGGGCTTTCTCTAAGGTCTCTACAGGGGATTCAGACATCCCTTCATGTTGTGAGATGAAAGACGAGCCTCTATTCAAGCCACTGCAAGGAAATCCGGCCTCCTTTCAAGTTAGGGCTTCTCGATGTATATTCCCCTTGAGGCAGCAAACTCGGGCTCCCTCCCACATACCTATTGCTGAGAGAAGCCTCCTCCTGAGGTGCTTCTGGAAAGTTGGCATACGTCTTGAGCCTAAGCCAGGGAATCAGCTCTCATCTCGAGACGATTTGGGGTAAACGGAGCATTCCTCGAGTTGCTGTGCTGAAGTTGGTGTTCCTCTAGACTTGGGACAGTGTTCTTGGGGCATCTCTGGAGTTGCCTGAAGGAGGTCGAGCCACCGGTCGTGTTGAATGGGGAACGGGTTATGGCTCTGGAGTCAATGCAGGGGAATCGGGCCTCATCTCGAGTTGATTTGGGGCACATGGAGCTGCTTTGCGTTGCTGGGGTGACCTCAGGGTCCGTCTAGACTGGTGACAGTTTTCTTGGGGACTGTCTCGAGATCCATTAAGCAAGTCGAAGCTCCTGACTTGTTTGAATGGGATCACGGAATAGCTGTGCATGCACTGCAGGGGAATGGGGCCTCATCTCGCCTCTAGGGGGAAGTCTCATGGTTTTTCTCGAGTTGCAGCGGGGACCTGGGGTATGTTCTCGACTTACGGCGGGGATGGCCCTTCAAAACACGAGTTTCTTCAGTGACGTCAGGACTCCTGTCTAGTAACGAGGGACACCTCAGGAATCTCTCCGAGGCTTCGCAGGGCAAAAGGGACGCTTCTCGAGGTGAGGCAGGGCACCCAAGGACCCTTTCCAGTAGCCACAGGGATTTTGGGATTCCTATCAGTATTCAAGAGGAGTCAGGCATCGTCACCTTTTGAACCATGAACTCCGCGTGCCTCTCGAGGTGTCAGCGGGATGTGAGGCATTCTGTCAAAATGAGGCAGGGAACTAGGGCTTTCTCTAAGGTCTCCACAGGGGATTCAGACATGACTTCATGTTGTGAGATGAAAGACGTGCCTGTATTCAAGCCACTGCAAGGAAATCCGGCCTCCTTTCAAGTTAGGGCTTCTCGCTGTATATTCCCCTTGAGGCAGCAAACTCGGGCTCCCTCCCACATACCTATTGCTGAGAGAAGCCTCCTCCTGAGGTGCTTCTGGAAAGTTGGCATACGTCTTGAGCCTAAGCCAGGGAATCAGCTCTCATCTTGAGACGATTTGGGGTACACGGAGCATTCCTCGAGTTGCTGTGCTGATGTTGGTGTTCCTCTAGACTTGGGACAGTGTTCTCGGGGCATCTCTGGAGTTGCCTGAAGGAAGTCGAGCCACCGGTCGTGTTGAATGGGGAACGGGGAATGGCTCTGGAGTCAATGCAGGGAAATCGGGCCTCATCTCGAGTTGATTTGGGGCACATGGAGCTGCTTTGCGTTGCTGGGGTGACCTCAGGGTCCGTCTAGACTGGTGACAGTGTTCTTGGGGACTGTCTCGAGATCCATTAAGCAAGTCGAAGCTCCTGACTTGTTTGAATGGGATCACGGAATAGCTCTGCATGCACTGCAGGGGAATGGGGCCTCGTCTCCCCTCTAGGGGAAGTCTCATGGTTTTTCTCGAGGTGCGGCGGGGACCTGGGGTATGTTCTCGCCTTACGGCGGGGATGGCCCTTCAAAACACGAGTTTCTTCAGTGACGTCAGGACTCCTGTCTAGTAACGAGGGATACCTCAGGAATCTCTTCGAGGGTTGGCAGGGCAAAAGGGATGCTTCTCGAGGTGAGGCAGGGCACCCAAGGACCCTTTCCAGTAGCCACAGGGTTTTTGGGATTCCTATCAGTATTCAAGAGGAGTCAGGCATCGTCACCTTTTGAAGCAATTAACTCTGCGTGCCTCTCGAGGTGTCAGCGGGATGTGAGGCATTCCGTCAAAATGAGGCAGGGACCTAGGGCTTTCTCTAAGGTCTCTACAGGGGATTCAGACATCCCTTCATGTTGTGAGATGAAAGACGAGCCTCTATTCAAGCCACTGCAAGGAAATCCGGCCTCCTTTCAAGTTAGGGCTTCTCGATGTATATTCCCCTTGAGGCAGCAAACTCGGGCTCCCTCCCACATACCTATTGCTGAGAGAAGCCTCCTCCTGAGGTGCTTCTGGAAAGTTGGCATACGTCTTGAGCCTAAGCCAGGGAATCAGCTCTCATCTCGAGACGATTTGGGGTAAACGGAGCATTCCTCGAGTTGCTGTGCTGAAGTTGGTGTTCCTCTAGACTTGGGACAGTGTTCTTGGGGCATCTCTGGAGTTGCCTGAAGGAGGTCGAGCCACCGGTCGTGTTGAATGGGGAACGGGTTATGGCTCTGGAGTCAATGCAGGGGAATCGGGCCTCATCTCGAGTTGATTTGGGGCACATGGAGCTGCTTTGCGTTGCTGGGGTGACCTCAGGGTCCGTCTAGACTGGTGACAGTTTTCTTGGGGACTGTCTCGAGATCCATTAAGCAAGTCGAAGCTCCTGACTTGTTTGAATGGGATCACGGAATAGCTGTGCATGCACTGCAGGGGAATGGGGCCTCATCTCGCCTCTAGGGGAAAGTCTCATGGTTTTTCTCGAGTTGCAGCGGGGACCTGGGGTATGTTCTCGACTTACGGCGGGGATGGCCCTTCAAAACACGAGTTTCTTCAGTGACGTCAGGACTCCTGTCTAGTAACGAGGGACACCTCAGGAATCTCTCCGAGGCTTCGCAGGGCAAAAGGGACGCTTCTCGAGGTGAGGCAGGGCACCCAAGGACCCTTTCCAGTAGCCACAGGGATTTTGGGATTCCTATCAGTATTCAAGAGGAGTCAGGCATCGTCACCTTTTGAACCATGAACTCCGCGTGCCTCTCGAGGTGTCAGCGGGATGTGAGGCATTCTGTCAAAATGAGGCAGGGAACTAGGGCTTTCTCTAAGGTCTCCACAGGGGATTCAGACATGACTTCATGTTGTGAGATGAAAGACGTGCCTGTATTCAAGCCACTGCAAGGAAATCCGGCCTCCTTTCAAGTTAGGGCTTCTCGCTGTATATTCCCCTTGAGGCAGCAAACTCGGGCTCCCTCCCACATACCTATTGCTGAGAGAAGCCTCCTCCTGAGGTGCTTCTGGAAAGTTGGCATACGTCTTGAGCCTAAGCCAGGGAATCAGCTCTCATCTTGAGACGATTTGGGGTACACGGAGCATTCCTCGAGTTGCTGTGCTGATGTTGGTGTTCCTCTAGACTTGGGACAGTGTTCTCGGGGCATCTCTGGAGTTGCCTGAAGGAAGTCGAGCCACCGGTCGTGTTGAATGGGGAACGGGGAATGGCTCTGGAGTCAATGCAGGGAAATCGGGCCTCATCTCGAGTTGATTTGGGGCACATGGAGCTGCTTTGCGTTGCTGGGGTGACCTCAGGGTCCGTCTAGACTGGTGACAGTGTTCTTGGGGACTGTCTCGAGATCCATTAAGCAAGTCGAAGCTCCTGACTTGTTTGAATGGGATCACGGAATAGCTCTGCATGCACTGCAGGGGAATGGGGCCTCGTCTCCCCTCTAGGGGAAGTCTCATGGTTTTTCTCGAGGTGCGGCGGGGACCTGGGGTATGTTCTCGCCTTACGGCGGGGATGGCCCTTCAAAACACGAGTTTCTTCAGTGACGTCAGGACTCCTGTCTAGTAACGAGGGATACCTCAGGAATCTCTTCGAGGGTTGGCAGGGCAAAAGGGATGCTTCTCGAGGTGAGGCAGGGCACCCAAGGACCCTTTCCAGTAGCCACAGGGTTTTTGGGATTCCTATCAGTATTCAAGAGGAGTCAGGCATCGTCACCTTTTGAAGCAATGAACTCTGCGTGCCTCTCGAGGTGTCAGCGGGATGTGAGGCATTCCGTCAAAATGAGGCAGGGACCTAGGGCTTTCTCTAAGGTCTCTACAGGGGATTCAGACATCCCTTCATGTTGTGAGATGAAAGACGAGCCTCTATTCAAGCCACTGCAAGGAAATCCGGCCTCCTTTCAAGTTAGGGCTTCTCGATGTATATTCCCCTTGAGGCAGCAAACTCGGGCTCCCTCCCACATACCTATTGCTGAGAGAAGCCTCCTCCTGAGGTGCTTCTGGAAAGTTGGCATACGTCTTGAGCCTAAGCCAGGGAATCAGCTCTCATCTCGAGACGATTTGGGGTACACGGAGCATTCCTCGAGTTGATGTGCTGAAGTTGGTGTTCCTCTAGACTTGGGACAGTGTTCTCGGGGCATCTCTGTAGTTGCCTGAAGGAAGTCGAGCCACCGGTCGTGTTGAATGGGGAACGGGTTATGGCTCTGGAGTCAATGCAGGGAAATTGGGCCTCATCTCGAGTTGATTTGGGGCACATGGAGCTGCTTTGTGTTGCTGGGGTGACCTCAGGGTCTGTCTCGACTGGTGACAGTGTTCTTGGGGACTGTCTCGAGATCCATTAAGCAAGTCGAAGCTCCTGACTTGTTTGAATGGGATCACGGAATAGCTCTGCATGCACTGCAGGGGAAAGGGGCCTCATCTCGCCTCTAGGGGGAAGTCTCATGGTTTTTCTCGAGTTGCGGCGGGGACCTGGGGTATGTTCTCGACTTACGGCGGGGATGGCACTTCAAAACACGAGTTTCTTCAGTGACGTCAGGACTCCTGTCTAGTAACGAGGGACACCTCAGGAATCTCTCCGAGGCTTCGCAGGGCAAAAGGGACGCTTCTCGAGGTGAGGCAGGGCACCCAAGGACCCTTTCCAGTAGCCACAGGGATTTTGGGATTCCTATCAGTATTCAAGAGGAGTCAGGCATCGTCACCTTTTGAACCATGAACTCCGCGTGCCTCTCGAGGTGTCAGCGGGATGTGAGGCATTCTGTCAAAATGAGGCAGGGACCTAGGGCTTTCTCTAAGGTTTCCACAGGGGATTCAGACATCCCTTCATGTTGTGAGATGAAAGACGAGCCTGTATTCAAGCCACTGCAAGGAAATCCGGCCTCCTTTCAAGTTAGGGCTTCTCGCTGTATATTCCCCTTGAGGCAGCAAACTCGGGGTCCCTCCCACATACCTATTGCTGAGAGAAGCCTCCTCCTGAGGTGCTTCTGGAAAGTTGGCATACGTCTTGAGCCTAAGCCAGGGAATCAGCTCTCATCTCGAGACGATTTGGGGTACACGGAGCATTCCTCGATTTGCTGTGCTGAAGTTGGTGTTCCTCTAGACTTGGGACAGTGTTCTTGGGGCATCTCTGGAGTTGCCTGAAGGAAGTGGAGCCACGGTTCTTGTTGAATGGGGAACGGGGAATGGCTCTGGAGTCAATGCAGGGGAATCAGGCCTCATCTCGAGTTGATTTGGGGCACATGGAGCTGCTTTGCGTTGCTGGGGTGACCTCGGGGTCCGTCTAGACTGGTGACAGTGTTCTTGGGGACTGTCTCGAGATCCATTAAGCAAGTCAAACTCCTGACTTGTTTGAATGGGATCACGGAATAGCTCTGCATGCACTGCAGGGGAATGGGGCCTCATCTCGCCTCTAGGGGGAAGTCTCATGGTTTTTCTCGAGTTGCGGCCGGGACCTGGGGTATGTTCTCGACTTACGGCGGGGATGGCCCTTCAAAACACGAGTTTCTTCAGTGACGTCAGGACTCCTGTCTAGTAACGAGGGACACCTCAGGAATCTCTTCGAGGCTTCGCAGGGCAAAAGGGACGCTTCTCGAGGTGAGGCAGGGCACCCAAGGACCCTTTCCAGTAGCCACAGGGATTTTGGGATTCCTATCAGTATTCAAGAGGAGTCAGGCATCGTCACCTTTTGAAGCAATGTACTCCGCGTGCCTCTCGAGGTGTCAGCGGGATGTGAGGCATTCCATCAAAATGAGGCAGGGACCTAGGGCTTTCTCTAAGGTCTCCACAGGGGATTCAGACATCCCTTCATGTTGTGAGATGAAAGACGGGCCTGTATTCAAGCCACTGCAAGGAAATCCGACCTCCTTTCAAGTTAGGGCTTCTCGCTGTATATTCCCCTTGAGGCAGCAAACTCGGGGTCCCTCCCACATACCTATTGCTGAGAGAAGCCTCCTCCTGAGGTGCTTCTGGAAAGTTGGCATATGTCTTGAGCCTAAGCCAGGGAATCAGCTCTCATCTCGAGACGATTTGGGGTACACGGAGCATTCCTCGAGTTGCTGTGCTGAAGGTGGTGTTCCTCTAGACTAGGGACAGTGTTCTCGGGGCATCTCTGGAGTTGCCTGAAGGAAGACGAGCCACCAGTCGTGTTGAATGGGGAACGGGGAATGGCTCTGGAGTCAATGCAGGGGAATCGGGCCTCATCTCGAGTTGATTTGGGGCACATGGAGCTGCTTTGCGTTGCTGAGGTGACCTCAGGGTCCGTCTAGACTGGTGACAGTGTTCTTGGGGACCGTCTCGAGATCCATTAAGCAAGTCGAAGCTCCTGACTTGTTTGAATGGGATCACGGAATAGCTCTGCATGCACTGCAGGGGAATGGGGCCTCATCTCTCCTCTAGGGGGAAGTCTCATTGTTTTTCTCGAGTTGCGGCGGGGACCTGGGGTATGTTCTCGACTTACGGCGGGAATGGCCCTTCAAAACACGAGTTTCTTCAGTGACGTCAGGACTCCTGTCTAGTAACGAGGGACACCTCAGGAATCTCTTCGAGGCTTGGCAGGGCAAAAGGGACGCTTCTCGAGGTGAGGCAGGGCACCCAAGGACCCTTTCCAGTAGCCACAGGGATTTTGGGATTCCTATCAGTATTCAAGAGGAGTCAGGCATCGTCACCTTTTGAAGCAATGAACTCCGCGTGCCTCTCGAGGTGTCAGCGGGATGTGAGGCATTCCGTCAAAATGAGGCAGGGACCGAGGGCTTTCTCTAAGGTCTCCACAGGGGATTCAGATATCCCTTCATGTTGTGAGATGAAAGACGAGCCTCTATTCAAGCCACTGCAAGGAAATCCGGCCTCCTTTCAAGTTAGGGCTTCTCGCTGTATATTCCCCTTGAGGCAGCAAACTCGGGGTCCCTCCCACATACCTATTGCTGAGAGAAGCCTCCTCCTGAGGTGCTTCTGGAAAGTTGGCATACGTCTTGAGCCTAAGCCAGGGAATCAGCTCTCATCTCGAGACGATTTGTGGTGCACGGAGCATTCCTCGAGTTGCTGTGCTGAAGTTGGTGTTCCTCTAGACTTGGGACAGTGATCTCTGGGCATCTCTGGAGTTGCCTGAAGGAAGTCGAGCCACCGGTCTTGTTGAATGGGGAACGCGGAATGGCTCTGGGATCAATGCAGGGGAATCGGGCCTCATCTCGAGTTGATTTGGGGCACATGGAGCTGCTTTGCGTTGCTGCGGTGACCTCAGGGTCCGTATAGACTAGTAACAGTGTTCTTGGGGACTGTCTCGAGATCCATTAAGCAAGTCGAAGCTCCTGACTTGTTTGAATGGGATCACGGAATAGCTCTGCATGCACTGCAGGGGAATGGGGCCTCATCACGCCTCTAGGGGGAAGTCTCATGGTTTTTCTCGAGTTGAGGCGGGGACCTGGGGTATGTTCTCGACTTACGGCGGGGATGGCCCTTGAAAACACGAGTTTCTTCAGTGACGTCAGGACTCCTGTCTAGTAACGAGGGACACCTCAGGAATCTCTTCGAGGCTTGGCAGGGCAAAAGGGACGCTTCTCGAGGTGGGGCAGGGCACCCAAGGACCCTTTCCAGTAGCCACAGTGATTTTGGGATTCCTATCAGTATTCAAGAGGAGTCAGGCATCGTCACCTTTTGAAGCAATGAACTCCGCGTGCCTCTCGAGGTGTCAGCGGGATGTGAGGCATTCCGTCAAAATGAGGCAGGGACCGAGGGCTTTCTCTAAGGTCTCCACAGGGGATTCACACATCCCTTCATGTTGTGAGATGAAAGACGAGCCTGTATTCAAGCCACAGCAAGGAAATCCGGCCTCCTTTCAAGTTAGGGCTTCTCGCTGTATATTCCCCTTGAGGCAGCAAACTCGGGGTCCCTCCCAAATACCTATTGCTGAGAGAAGCGTCCTCCTGAGGTGCTTCTGGAAAGTTGGCATACGTCTTGAGCCTAAGCCAGGGAATCAGCTCTAATCTCGAGACGATTTGGGGTGCACGGAGCATTCCTCGAGTTCCTGTGCTGAAATTGGTGTTCCTCTAGACTTGGGACAGTGTTCTCGGGGCATCTCTGGAGTTGCCTGAAGGAAGTCGAGCCACCGGTCGTGTTGAATCGGGAATGGGGAATGGCTCTGGAGTCAATGCAGGGGAATCGGGCCTCATCTCGAGTTGATTTGGGGCACATGGAGCTGCTTTGCGTTGCTGGGGTGACTTCACGGTCCGTCTAGACTGGTGACAGTGTTCTTGGGGACTGTCTCGAGATCCATTTAGCAAGTCGAAGCTCCTGACTTGTTTGAATGGGATCACGGAATAGCTCTGCATGCACTGCAGGGGAATGGGGCCTCATCTCGCCTCTAGGGGGAAGTCTCATGGTTTTTCTCGAGTTGCGGCGGGACCTGGGGTATGTTCTCGACTTATGGCGGGAATGGCCCTTCAAAACACGAGTTTCTTCAGTGACGTCAGGAGTCCTGTCTAGTAACGAGGGACACCTCAGGAATCTCTTCGAGGCTTGGCAGGGCAAAAGGGACGCTTCTCGAGGTGAGGCAGGGCACCCAAGGACCCTTTCCAGTAGGCACAGGGATTTTGGGATTCCTATCAGTATTCAAGAGGAGTCAGGCATCGTCACCTTTTGAAGCAATGAACTCCGCGTGCCTCTCGAGGTGTCAGCGGGATGTGAGGCATTCCGTCAAAATGAGGCAGGGACCTAGGGCTTTCTCTAAGGTCTCCACAGGGGATTCAGACATCCCTTCATGTTGTGAGATGAAAGACGGGCCTGTATTCAAGCCACTGCAAGGAAATCCGGCCTCCTTTCAAGTTAGGGCTTCTCGCTGTATATTCCCCTTGAGGCAGCAAACTCGGGGTCCCTCCCACATACCTATTGCTGAGAGAAGCCTCCTCCTGAGGTGCTTCTGGTAAGCTGGCATACGTCTTGAGCCTAAGCCAGGGAATCAGCTCTCATCTCGAGACGATTTGGGGTACACGGAGCATTCCTCGAGTTGCTGTGCTGAAGGTGGTGTTCCTCTAGACTTGGGACAGTGTTCTCGGGGCATCTCTGGAGTTGCCTGAAGGAAGTCGAGCCACCAGTCGTGTTGAATGGGGAATGGGGAATGGCTCTGGAGTCAATGCAGGGGAATCGGGCCTCATCTCGAGTTGATTTGGGGCACATGGAGCTGCTTTGCGTTGCTGGGGTGACCTCAGGGTCCGTCTAGACTGGTGACAGTGTTCTTGGGGACTGTCTCGAGATCCATTAAGCAAGTCGAAGCTCCTGACTTGTTTGAATGGGATCACGGAATAGCTCTGCATGCACTGCAGGGGAATGGGGCCTCATCTCGCCTCTAGGGGGAAGTCTCATGGTTTTTCTCGAGTTGCGGCGGGGACCTGGGGTATGTTCTCGACTTACGGCGGGAATGGCCCTTCAAAACACGAGTTGCTTCAGTGACATCAGGACTCCTGTCTAGTAACGAGGAACACCTCAGGAATCTCTTCGAGGCTTGGCAGGGCAAAAGGGACGCTTCTCGAGGTGAGGCAGGGCACCCAAGGACCCTTTCCAGTAGCCACAGGGATTTTGGGATTCCTATCAGTATTCAAGAGGAGTCAGGCATCGTCACCTTTTGAAGCAATGAAATCCGCGTGCCTCTCGAGGTGTCAGCGGGATGTGAGGCATTCCGTCAAAATGAGGCAGGGACCTAGGGCTTTCTCTAAGGTCTCCACAGGGGATTCAGACATCCCTTCATGTTGTGAGATGAAAGACGGGCCTGTATTCAAGCCACTGCAAGGAAATCCGGCCTCCTTTCAAGTTAGGGCTTCTCGCTGTATATTCCCCTTGAGGCAGCAAACTCGGGGTCCCTCCCACATACCTATTGCTGAGAGAAGCCTCCTCCTGAGGTGCTTCTGGAAAGTTGGCATACGTCTTGAGCCTAAGCCAGGGAATCAGCTCTCATCTCGAGACGATTTGGGGTACACGGAGCATTCCTCGATTTGCTGTGCTGAAGTTGGTGTTCCTCTAGATTTGGGACAGTGTTCTCGGGGCATCTCTGGAGTTGCCTGAAGGAAGTCGAGCCACCAGTCGTGTTGAATGGGGAACGGGGAATGGCTCTGGAGTCAATGCAGGGGAATCGGGCCTCATCTCGAGTTGATTTGGGGCACATGGAGCTGCTTTGCGTTGCTGGGGTGACCTCAGGGTCCGTCTAGACTGGTGACAGTGTTCTTGCTGACTGTCTCGAGATCCATTAAGCAACTCGAAGCTCCTGACTTGTTTGAATGGGATCACGGAATAGCTCTGCATGCACTGCAGGGGAATGGGGCCTCATCTCGCCTCTAGGGGAAAGTCTCATGGTTTTTCTCGAGTTGCGGCGGGGACCTGGGGTATGTTCTCGACTTACGGCGGGAATGGCCCTTCAAAACACGAGTTTCTTCAGTGACGTCAAGACTCCTGTCTAGTAACGAGGGACACCTCAGGAATCTCCGAGGCTTGGCAGGGCAAAAGGGACGCTTCTCGAGGTGAAGCATGGCTCCCAAGGACCCTTTCCTGTAGCCACAGGGATTTTGGGATTCCTATCAGTATTCAAGAGGAGTCAGGCATCGTCCCCTTTTGAAGCAATGAACTCCGCGTGCCTCTCGAGGTGTCAGCGGGATGTGAGGCATTCCGTCAAAATGAGGCAGGGCCCTAGGGCGTTCTCTCAGGTCTCCACAGCGGATTCAGACATCCCTTCATGTTGTGAGATGAAAGACGAGCCTGTATTCAAGCCACTGCAAGGAAATCCGGCCTCCTTTCAAGTTAGGGCTTCTCGCTGTGTATTCCCCTTGAGGCAGCAAAATCGGGGACCTTCCCACATACCTATTGCTGAGAGAAGCCTCCTCCAGAGTTGCTTCTGGAAAGTTGGCAACTGCCTTGAGCCTAAGCCAATGAATCAGCTCTCATCTCGAGACGATTTGGGGTGCACGGAGGATTTCTCGAGTTGCTGTTCTGAAGTTGGTGTTCCTCTAGACTTGGGACAGTGATCTCGGGGCATCTCTGGAGTTGCCTGAAGGAAGTCGAGCCACCGGTCGTGTTGAATGGGGAACGGGGAATGGCTCTGGAGTCAATGCAGGGAAATCGGGCCTCATCTCGAGTTGATTTGGGGCACATGGAGCTGCTTTGCGTTGCTGGGGTGACCTGAGGGTCCGTCTAGACTGGTGACAGTGTTCTTGGGGACTGTCTCGAGATCCATTAAGCAAGTCGAAGCTCCTGACTTGTTTGAATGGGATCACGGAATAGCTCTGCATGCACTGCAGGGGAATGGGGCCTCATCTCGCCTCAGGGGGAAGTCTCATGGTTTTTCTCGAGTTGCGGCGGGGACCTGGGGTATGTTCTCGACTTACGGCGGGGATGGCCCTTCAAAACACGAGTTTCTTCAGTGACATCAGGACTCCTGTCTAGTAACGAGGGATACCTCAGGAATCTCTTCGAGGGTTGGCAGGGCAAAAGGGATGCTACTCGAGGTGAGGCAGGGCACCCAAGGACCCTTTCCAGTAGCCACAGGGATTTTGGGATTCCTTTCAGTATTCAAGAGGAGTCAGGCATCGTCACCTTTTGAAGCAATGAACTCCGCGTGCCTCTCGAGGTGCCAGCGGGATGTGAGTCATTCCGTCAAAATGAGGCAGGGACCTAGGGCTTTCTCTAGGGTCTCTACAGGGGATTCAGACATCCCTTCATGTTGTGAGATGAAAGACGAGCCTGTATTCAAGCCACTGCAAGGAAATCCGGCCTCCTTTCAAGTTAGGGCTTCTCGATGTATATTCCCCTTGAGGCAGCAAACTCGGGCTCCCTCCCACATACCTATTGCTGAGAGAAGCCTCCTCCTGAGGTGCTTCTGGAAAGTTGGCATACGTCTTGAGCCTAAGCCAGGGAATCAGCTCTCATCTCGAGACGATTTGGGGTACACGGAGCATTCCTCGAGTTGATGTGCTGAAGTTGGTGTTCCTCTAGACTTGGGACAGTGTTCTCGGGGCATCTCTGTAGTTGCCTGAAGGAAGTCGAGCCACCGGTCGTGTTGAATGGGGAACGGGTTATGGCTCTGGAGTCAATGCAGGGGAATCAGGCCTCATCTCGAGTTGATTTGGGGCACATGGAGCTGCTTTGCGTTGCTGGGGTGACCTCAGGGTCCGTCTAGACTGGTGACAGTGTTCTTGGGGACTGTCTCGAGATCCATTAAGCAAGTCGAAGCTCCTGACTTGTTTGAATGGGATCAAGGAATAGCTCTGCATGCACTGCAGGGGTATGGGGCCTCATCTCGCCTCTAGGGGGAAGTCTCATGGTTTTTCTCGAGTCGCGGCGGGGACCTGGGGTATGTTCTCGACTTACGGCGGGGATGGCCCTTCAAAACACGAGTTTCTTCAGTGACATCAGGACTCCTGTCTAGTAACGAGGGATACCTGAGGAATCCCTTCGAGGGTTGGCAGGGCCAAAGTGACCCTTCTCGAGGTGAGGCAGGGCACCCAAGGACTCTTTCCAGTAGCCACAGGGATTTTGGGATTCCTATCAGTATTCAAGAGGAGTCAGGCATCGTCACCTTTTGAACCATGAACTCCGCGTGCCTCTCGAGGTGTCAGCGGGATGTGAGGCATTCCGTCAAAATGAGGCAGGGACCTAGGGCTTTCTCTAAGGTTTCCACAGGGGATTCAGACATCCCTTCATGTTGTGAGATGAAAGACGGGCCTGTATTCAAGCCACTGCAAGGAAATCCGACCTCCTTTCAAGTTAGGGCTTCTCGCTGTATATTCCCCTTGAGGCAGCAAACTCGGGGTCCCTCCCACATACCTATTGCTGAGAGAAGCCTCCTCCTGAGGTGCTTCTGGAAAGTTGGCATATGTCTTGAGCCTAAGCCAGGGAATCAGCTCTCATCTCGAGACGATTTGGGGTACACGGAGCATTCCTCGAGTTGCTGTGCTGAAGGTGGTGTTCCTCTAGACTAGGGACAGTGTTCTCGGGGCATCTCTGGAGTTGCCTGAAGGAAGTCGAGCCACCGGTCGTGTTGAATGGGGAACGGGGAATGGCTCTGGAGTCAATGCAGGGAAATCGGGCCTCATCTCGAGTTGATTTGGGGCACATGGAGCTGCTTTGCGTTGCTGGGGTGACCTCAGGGTCCGTCTAGACTGGTGACAGTGTTCTTGGGGACTGTCTCGAGATCCATTAAGCAAGTCGAAGCTCCTGACTTGTTTGAATGGGATCACGGAATAGCTCTGCATGCACTGCAGGGGAATGGGGCCTCGTCTCCCCTCTAGGGGAAGTCTCATGGTTTTTCTCGAGGTGCGGCGGGGACCTGGGGTATGTTCTCGCCTTACGGCGGGGATGGCCCTTCAAAACACGAGTTTCTTCAGTGACGTCAGGACTCCTGTCTAGTAACGAGGGATACCTCAGGAATCTCCTCGAGGGTTGGCAGGGCAAAAGGGATGCTTCTCGAGGTGAGGCAGGGCACCCAAGGACCCTTTCCAGTAGCCACAGGGTTTTTGGGATTCCTATCAGTATTCAAGAGGAGTCAGGCATCGTCACCTTTTGAAGCAATTAACTCTGCGTGCCTCTCGAGGTGTCAGCGGGATGTGAGGCATTCCGTCAAAATGAGGCAGGGACCTAGGGCTTTCTCTAAGGTCTCTACAGGGGATTCAGACATCCCTTCATGTTGTGAGATGAAAGACGAGCCTCTATTCAAGCCACTGCAAGGAAATCCGGCCTCCTTTCAAGTTAGGGCTTCTCGATGTATATTCCCCTTGAGGCAGCAAACTCGGGCTCCCTCCCACATACCTATTGCTGAGAGAAGCCTCCTCCTGAGGTGCTTCTGGAAAGTTGGCATACGTCTTGAGCCTAAGCCAGGGAATCAGCTCTCATCTCGAGACGATTTGGGGTAAACGGAGCATTCCTCGAGTTGCTGTGCTGAAGTTGGTGTTCCTCTAGACTTGGGACAGTGTTCTTGGGGCATCTCTGGAGTTGCCTGAAGGAGGTCGAGCCACCGGTCGTGTTGAATGGGGAACGGGTTATGGCTCTGGAGTCAATGCAGGGGAATCGGGCCTCATCTCGAGTTGATTTGGGGCACATGGAGCTGCTTTGCGTTGCTGGGGTGACCTCAGGGTCCGTCTAGACTGGTGACAGTTTTCTTGGGGACTGTCTCGAGATCCATTAAGCAAGTCGAAGCTCCTGACTTGTTTGAATGGGATCACGGAATAGCTGTGCATGCACTGCAGGGGAATGGGGCCTCATCTCGCCTCTAGGGGAAAGTCTCATGGTTTTTCTCGAGTTGCAGCGGGGACCTGGGGTATGTTCTCGACTTACGGCGGGGATGGCCCTTCAAAACACGAGTTTCTTCAGTGACGTCAGGACTCCTGTCTAGTAACGAGGGACACCTCAGGAATCTCTCCGAGGCTTCGCAGGGCAAAAGGGACGCTTCTCGAGGTGAGGCAGGGCACCCAAGGACCCTTTCCAGTAGCCACAGGGATTTTGGGATTCCTATCAGTATTCAAGAGGAGTCAGGCATCGTCACCTTTTGAACCATGAACTCCGCGTGCCTCTCGAGGTGTCAGCGGGATGTGAGGCATTCTGTCAAAATGAGGCAGGGAACTAGGGCTTTCTCTAAGGTCTCCACAGGGGATTCAGACATGACTTCATGTTGTGAGATGAAAGACGTGCCTGTATTCAAGCCACTGCAAGGAAATCCGGCCTCCTTTCAAGTTAGGGCTTCTCGCTGTATATTCCCCTTGAGGCAGCAAACTCGGGCTCCCTCCCACATACCTATTGCTGAGAGAAGCCTCCTCCTGAGGTGCTTCTGGAAAGTTGGCATACGTCTTGAGCCTAAGCCAGGGAATCAGCTCTCATCTTGAGACGATTTGGGGTACACGGAGCATTCCTCGAGTTGCTGTGCTGATGTTGGTGTTCCTCTAGACTTGGGACAGTGTTCTCGGGGCATCTCTGGAGTTGCCTGAAGGAAGTCGAGCCACCGGTCGTGTTGAATGGGGAACGGGGAATGGCTCTGGAGTCAATGCAGGGAAATCGGGCCTCATCTCGAGTTGATTTGGGGCACATGGAGCTGCTTTGCGTTGCTGGGGTGACCTCAGGGTCCGTCTAGACTGGTGACAGTGTTCTTGGGGACTGTCTCGAGATCCATTAAGCAAGTCGAAGCTCCTGACTTGTTTGAATGGGATCACGGAATAGCTCTGCATGCACTGCAGGGGAATGGGGCCTCGTCTCCCCTCTAGGGGAAGTCTCATGGTTTTTCTCGGGGTGCGGCGGGGACCTGGGGTATGTTCTCGCCTTACGGCGGGGATGGCCCTTCAAAACACGAGTTTCTTCAGTGACGTCAGGACTCCTGTCTAGTAACGAGGGATACCTCAGGAATCTCTTCGAGGGTTGGCAGGGCAAAAGGGATGCTTCTCGAGGTGAGGCAGGGCACCCAAGGACCCTTTCCAGTAGCCACAGGGTTTTTGGGATTCCTATCAGTATTCAAGAGGAGTCAGGCATCGTCACCTTTTGAAGCAATGAACTCTGCGTGCCTCTCGAGGTGTCAGCGGGATGTGAGGCATTCCGTCAAAATGAGGCAGGGACCTAGGGCTTTCTCTAAGGTCTCTACAGGGGATTCAGACATCCCTTCATGTTGTGAGATGAAAGACGAGCCTCTATTCAAGCCACTGCAAGGAAATCCGGCCTCCTTTCAAGTTAGGGCTTCTCGATGTATATTCCCCTTGAGGCAGCAAACTCGGGCTCCCTCCCACATACCTATTGCTGAGAGAAGCCTCCTCCTGAGGTGCTTCTGGAAAGTTGGCATACGTCTTGAGCCTAAGCCAGGGAATCAGCTCTCATCTCGAGACGATTTGGGGTACACGGAGCATTCCTCGAGTTGATGTGCTGAAGTTGGTGTTCCTCTAGACTTGGGACAGTGTTCTCGGGGCATCTCTGTAGTTGCCTGAAGGAAGTCGAGCCACCGGTCGTGTTGAATGGGGAACGGGTTATGGCTCTGGAGTCAATGCAGGGAAATTGGGCCTCATCTCGAGTTGATTTGGGGCACATGGAGCTGCTTTGTGTTGCTGGGGTGACCTCAGGGTCTGTCTCGACTGGTGACAGTGTTCTTGGGGACTGTCTCGAGATCCATTAAGCAAGTCGAAGCTCCTGACTTGTTTGAATGGGATCACGGAATAGCTCTGCATGCACTGCAGGGGAAAGGGGCCTCATCTCGCCTCTAGGGGGAAGTCTCATGGTTTTTCTCGAGTTGCGGCGGGGACCTGGGGTATGTTCTCGACTTACGGCGGGGATGGCACTTCAAAACACGAGTTTCTTCAGTGACGTCAGGACTCCTGTCTAGTAACGAGGGACACCTCAGGAATCTCTCCGAGGCTTCGCAGGGCAAAAGGGACGCTTCTCGAGGTGAGGCAGGGCACCCAAGGACCCTTTCCAGTAGCCACAGGGATTTTGGGATTCCTATCAGTATTCAAGAGGAGTCAGGCATCGTCACCTTTTGAACCATGAACTCCGCGTGCCTCTCGAGGTGTCAGCGGGATGTGAGGCATTCTGTCAAAATGAGGCAGGGACCTAGGGCTTTCTCTAAGGTTTCCACAGGGGATTCAGACATCCCTTCATGTTGTGAGATGAAAGACGAGCCTGTATTCAAGCCACTGCAAGGAAATCCGGCCTCCTTTCAAGTTAGGGCTTCTCGCTGTATATTCCCCTTGAGGCAGCAAACTCGGGGTCCCTCCCACATACCTATTGCTGAGAGAAGCCTCCTCCTGAGGTGCTTCTGGAAAGTTGGCATACGTCTTGAGCCTAAGCCAGGGAATCAGCTCTCATCTCGAGACGATTTGGGGTACACGGAGCATTCCTCGATTTGCTGTGCTGAAGTTGGTGTTCCTCTAGACTTGGGACAGTGTTCTTGGGGCATCTCTGGAGTTGCCTGAAGGAAGTGGAGCCACGGTTCTTGTTGAATGGGGAACGGGGAATGGCTCTGGAGTCAATGCAGGGGAATCAGGCCTCATCTCGAGTTGATTTGGGGCACATGGAGCTGCTTTGCGTTGCTGGGGTGACCTCGGGGTCCGTCTAGACTGGTGACAGTGTTCTTGGGGACTGTCTCGAGATCCATTAAGCAAGTCAAACTCCTGACTTGTTTGAATGGGATCACGGAATAGCTCTGCATGCACTGCAGGGGAATGGGGCCTCATCTCGCCTCTAGGGGGAAGTCTCATGGTTTTTCTCGAGTTGCGGCCGGGACCTGGGGTATGTTCTCGACTTACGGCGGGGATGGCCCTTCAAAACACGAGTTTCTTCAGTGACGTCAGGACTCCTGTCTAGTAACGAGGGACACCTCAGGAATCTCTTCGAGGCTTCGCAGGGCAAAAGGGACGCTTCTCGAGGTGAGGCAGGGCACCCAAGGACCCTTTCCAGTAGCCACAGGGATTTTGGGATTCCTATCAGTATTCAAGAGGAGTCAGGCATCGTCACCTTTTGAAGCAATGTACTCCGCGTGCCTCTCGAGGTGTCAGCGGGATGTGAGGCATTCCATCAAAATGAGGCAGGGACCTAGGGCTTTCTCTAAGGTCTCCACAGGGGATTCAGACATCCCTTCATGTTGTGAGATGAAAGACGGGCCTGTATTCAAGCCACTGCAAGGAAATCCGACCTCCTTTCAAGTTAGGGCTTCTCGCTGTATATTCCCCTTGAGGCAGCAAACTCGGGGTCCCTCCCACATACCTATTGCTGAGAGAAGCCTCCTCCTGAGGTGCTTCTGGAAAGTTGGCATATGTCTTGAGCCTAAGCCAGGGAATCAGCTCTCATCTCGAGACGATTTGGGGTACACGGAGCATTCCTCGAGTTGCTGTGCTGAAGGTGGTGTTCCTCTAGACTAGGGACAGTGTTCTCGGGGCATCTCTGGAGTTGCCTGAAGGAAGACGAGCCACCAGTCGTGTTGAATGGGGAACGGGGAATGGCTCTGGAGTCAATGCAGGGGAATCGGGCCTCATCTCGAGTTGATTTGGGGCACATGGAGCTGCTTTGCGTTGCTGGGGTGACCTCAGGGTCCGTCTAGACTGGTGACAGTGTTCTTGGGGACCGTCTCGAGATCCATTAAGCAAGTCGAAGCTCCTGACTTGTTTGAATGGGATCACGGAATAGCTCTGCATGCACTGCAGGGGAATGGGGCCTCATCTCTCCTCTAGGGGGAAGTCTCATTGTTTTTCTCGAGTTGCGGCGGGGACCTGGGGTATGTTCTCGACTTACGGCGGGAATGGCCCTTCAAAACACGAGTTTCTTCAGTGACGTCAGGACTCCTGTCTAGTAACGAGGGACACCTCAGGAATCTCTTCGAGGCTTGGCAGGGCAAAAGGGACGCTTCTCGAGGTGAGGCAGGGCACCCAAGGACCCTTTCCAGTAGCCACAGGGATTTTGGGATTCCTATCAGTATTCAAGAGGAGTCAGGCATCGTCACCTTTTGAAGCAATGAACTCCGCGTGCCTCTCGAGGTGTCAGCGGGATGTGAGGCATTCCGTCAAAATGAGGCAGGGACCGAGGGCTTTCTCTAAGGTCTCCACAGGGGATTCAGATATCCCTTCATGTTGTGAGATGAAAGACGAGCCTCTATTCAAGCCACTGCAAGGAAATCCGGCCTCCTTTCAAGTTAGGGCTTCTCGCTGTATATTCCCCTTGAGGCAGCAAACTCGGGGTCCCTCCCACATACCTATTGCTGAGAGAAGCCTCCTCCTGAGGTGCTTCTGGAAAGTTGGCATATGTCTTGAGCCTAAGCCAGGGAATCAGCTCTCATCTCGAGACGATTTGGGGTACACGGAGCATTCCTCGAGTTGCTGTGCTGAAGGTGGTGTTCCTCTAGACTAGGGACAGTGTTCTCGGGGCATCTCTGGAGTTGCCTGAAGGAAGTCGAGCCACCGGTCGTGTTGAATGGGGAACGGGGAATGGCTCTGGAGTCAATGCAGGGAAATCGGGCCTCATCTCGAGTTGATTTGGGGCACATGGAGCTGCTTTGCGTTGCTGGGGTGACCTCAGGGTCCGTCTAGACTGGTGACAGTGTTCTTGGGGACTGTCTCGAGATCCATTAAGCAAGTCGAAGCTCCTGACTTGTTTGAATGGGATCACGGAATAGCTCTGCATGCACTGCAGGGGAATGGGGCCTCGTCTCCCCTCTAGGGGAAGTCTCATGGTTTTTCTCGAGGTGCGGCGGGGACCTGGGGTATGTTCTCGCCTTACGACGGGGATGGCCCTTCAAAACACGAGTTTCTTCAGTGACGTCAGGACTCCTGTCTAGTAACGAGGGATACCTCAGGAATCTCTTCGAGGGTTGGCAGGGCAAAAGGGATGCTTCTCGAGGTGAGGCAGGGCACCCAAGGACCCTTTCCAGTAGCCACAGGGTTTTTGGGATTCCTATCAGTATTCAAGAGGAGTCAGGCATCGTCACCTTTTGAAGCAATTAACTCTGCGTGCCTCTCGAGGTGTCAGCGGGATGTGAGGCATTCCGTCAAAATGAGGCAGGGACCTAGGGCTTTCTCTAAGGTCTCTACAGGGGATTCAGACATCCCTTCATGTTGTGAGATGAAAGACGAGCCTCTATTCAAGCCACTGCAAGGAAATCCGGCCTCCTTTCAAGTTAGGGCTTCTCGATGTATATTCCCCTTGAGGCAGCAAACTCGGGCTCCCTCCCACATACCTATTGCTGAGAGAAGCCTCCTCCTGAGGTGCTTCTGGAAAGTTGGCATACGTCTTGAGCCTAAGCCAGGGAATCAGCTCTCATCTCGAGACGATTTGGGGTAAACGGAGCATTCCTCGAGTTGCTGTGCTGAAGTTGGTGTTCCTCTAGACTTGGGACAGTGTTCTTGGGGCATCTCTGGAGTTGCCTGAAGGAGGTCGAGCCACCGGTCGTGTTGAATGGGGAACGGGTTATGGCTCTGGAGTCAATGCAGGGGAATCGGGCCTCATCTCGAGTTGATTTGGGGCACATGGAGCTGCTTTGCGTTGTTGGGGTGACCTCAGGGTCCGTCTAGACTGGTGACAGTTTTCTTGGGGACTGTCTCGAGATCCATTAAGCAAGTCGAAGCTCCTGACTTGTTTGAATGGGATCACGGAATAGCTGTGCATGCACTGCAGGGGAATGGGGCCTCATCTCGCCTCTAGGGGAAAGTCTCATGGTTTTTCTCGAGTTGCAGCGGGGACCTGGGGTATGTTCTCGACTTACGGCGGGGATGGCCCTTCAAAACACGAGTTTCTTCAGTGACGTCAGGACTCCTGTCTAGTAACGAGGGACACCTCAGGAATCTCTCCGAGGCTTCGCAGGGCAAAAGGGACGCTTCTCGAGGTGAGGCAGGGCACCCAAGGACCCTTTCCAGTAGCCACAGGGATTTTGGGATTCCTATCAGTATTCAAGAGGAGTCAGGCATCGTCACCTTTTGAACCATGAACTCCGCGTGCCTCTCGAGGTGTCAGCGGGATGTGAGGCATTCTGTCAAAATGAGGCAGGGAACTAGGGCTTTCTCTAAGGTCTCCACAGGGGATTCAGACATGACTTCATGTTGTGAGATGAAAGACGTGCCTGTATTCAAGCCACTGCAAGGAAATCCGGCCTCCTTTCAAGTTAGGGCTTCTCGCTGTATATTCCCCTTGAGGCAGCAAACTCGGGCTCCCTCCCACATACCTATTGCTGAGAGAAGCCTCCTCCTGAGGTGCTTCTGGAAAGTTGGCATACGTCTTGAGCCTAAGCCAGGGAATCAGCTCTCATCTTGAGACGATTTGGGGTACACGGAGCATTCCTCGAGTTGCTGTGCTGATGTTGGTGTTCCTCTAGACTTGGGACAGTGTTCTCGGGGCATCTCTGGAGTTGCCTGAAGGAAGTCGAGCCACCGGTCGTGTTGAATGGGGAACGGGGAATGGCTCTGGAGTCAATGCAGGGAAATCGGGCCTCATCTCGAGTTGATTTGGGGCACATGGAGCTGCTTTGCGTTGCTGGGGTGACCTCAGGGTCCGTCTAGACTGGTGACAGTGTTCTTGGGGACTGTCTCGAGATCCATTAAGCAAGTCGAAGCTCCTGACTTGTTTGAATGGGATCACGGAATAGCTCTGCATGCACTGCAGGGGAATGGGGCCTCGTCTCCCCTCTAGGGGAAGTCTCATGGTTTTTCTCGGGGTGCGGCGGGGACCTGGGGTATGTTCTCGCCTTACGGCGGGGATGGCCCTTCAAAACACGAGTTTCTTCAGTGACGTCAGGACTCCTGTCTAGTAACGAGGGATACCTCAGGAATCTCTTCGAGGGTTGGCAGGGCAAAAGGGATGCTTCTCGAGGTGAGGCAGGGCACCCAAGGACCCTTTCCAGTAGCCACAGGGTTTTTGGGATTCCTATCAGTATTCAAGAGGAGTCAGGCATCGTCACCTTTTGAAGCAATGAACTCTGCGTGCCTCTCGAGGTGTCAGCGGGATGTGAGGCATTCCGTCAAAATGAGGCAGGGACCTAGGGCTTTCTCTAAGGTCTCTACAGGGGATTCAGACATCCCTTCATGTTGTGAGATGAAAGACGAGCCTCTATTCAAGCCACTGCAAGGAAATCCGGCCTCCTTTCAAGTTAGGGCTTCTCGATGTATATTCCCCTTGAGGCAGCAAACTCGGGCTCCCTCCCACATACCTATTGCTGAGAGAAGCCTCCTCCTGAGGTGCTTCTGGAAAGTTGGCATACGTCTTGAGCCTAAGCCAGGGAATCAGCTCTCATCTCGAGACGATTTGGGGTACACGGAGCATTCCTCGAGTTGATGTGCTGAAGTTGGTGTTCCTCTAGACTTGGGACAGTGTTCTCGGGGCATCTCTGTAGTTGCCTGAAGGAAGTCGAGCCACCGGTCGTGTTGAATGGGGAACGGGTTATGGCTCTGGAGTCAATGCAGGGAAATTGGGCCTCATCTCGAGTTGATTTGGGGCACATGGAGCTGCTTTGTGTTGCTGGGGTGACCTCAGGGTCTGTCTCGACTGGTGACAGTGTTCTTGGGGACTGTCTCGAGATCCATTAAGCAAGTCGAAGCTCCTGACTTGTTTGAATGGGATCACGGAATAGCTCTGCATGCACTGCAGGGGAAAGGGGCCTCATCTCGCCTCTAGGGGGAAGTCTCATGGTTTTTCTCGAGTTGCGGCGGGGACCTGGGGTATGTTCTCGACTTACGGCGGGGATGGCACTTCAAAACACGAGTTTCTTCAGTGACGTCAGGACTCCTGTCTAGTAACGAGGGACACCTCAGGAATCTCTCCGAGGCTTCGCAGGGCAAAAGGGACGCTTCTCGAGGTGAGGCAGGGCACCCAAGGACCCTTTCCAGTAGCCACAGGGATTTTGGGATTCCTATCAGTATTCAAGAGGAGTCAGGCATCGTCACCTTTTGAACCATGAACTCCGCGTGCCTCTCGAGGTGTCAGCGGGATGTGAGGCATTCTGTCAAAATGAGGCAGGGACCTAGGGCTTTCTCTAAGGTTTCCACAGGGGATTCAGACATCCCTTCATGTTGTGAGATGAAAGACGAGCCTGTATTCAAGCCACTGCAAGGAAATCCGGCCTCCTTTCAAGTTAGGGCTTCTCGCTGTATATTCCCCTTGAGGCAGCAAACTCGGGGTCCCTCCCACATACCTATTGCTGAGAGAAGCCTCCTCCTGAGGTGCTTCTGGAAAGTTGGCATACGTCTTGAGCCTAAGCCAGGGAATCAGCTCTCATCTCGAGACGATTTGGGGTACACGGAGCATTCCTCGATTTGCTGTGCTGAAGTTGGTGTTCCTCTAGACTTGGGACAGTGTTCTTGGGGCATCTCTGGAGTTGCCTGAAGGAAGTGGAGCCACGGTTCTTGTTGAATGGGGAACGGGGAATGGCTCTGGAGTCAATGCAGGGGAATCAGGCCTCATCTCGAGTTGATTTGGGGCACATGGAGCTGCTTTGCGTTGCTGGGGTGACCTCGGGGTCCGTCTAGACTGGTGACAGTGTTCTTGGGGACTGTCTCGAGATCCATTAAGCAAGTCAAACTCCTGACTTGTTTGAATGGGATCACGGAATAGCTCTGCATGCACTGCAGGGGAATGGGGCCTCATCTCGCCTCTAGGGGGAAGTCTCATGGTTTTTCTCGAGTTGCGGCCGGGACCTGGGGTATGTTCTCGACTTACGGCGGGGATGGCCCTTCAAAACACGAGTTTCTTCAGTGACGTCAGGACTCCTGTCTAGTAACGAGGGACACCTCAGGAATCTCTTCGAGGCTTCGCAGGGCAAAAGGGACGCTTCTCGAGGTGAGGCAGGGCACCCAAGGACCCTTTCCAGTAGCCACAGGGATTTTGGGATTCCTATCAGTATTCAAGAGGAGTCAGGCATCGTCACCTTTTGAAGCAATGTACTCCGCGTGCCTCTCGAGGTGTCAGCGGGATGTGAGGCATTCCATCAAAATGAGGCAGGGACCTAGGGCTTTCTCTAAGGTCTCCACAGGGGATTCAGACATCCCTTCATGTTGTGAGATGAAAGACGGGCCTGTATTCAAGCCACTGCAAGGAAATCCGACCTCCTTTCAAGTTAGGGCTTCTCGCTGTATATTCCCCTTGAGGCAGCAAACTCGGGGTCCCTCCCACATACCTATTGCTGAGAGAAGCCTCCTCCTGAGGTGCTTCTGGAAAGTTGGCATATGTCTTGAGCCTAAGCCAGGGAATCAGCTCTCATCTCGAGACGATTTGGGGTACACGGAGCATTCCTCGAGTTGCTGTGCTGAAGGTGGTGTTCCTCTAGACTAGGGACAGTGTTCTCGGGGCATCTCTGGAGTTGCCTGAAGGAAGACGAGCCACCAGTCGTGTTGAATGGGGAACGGGGAATGGCTCTGGAGTCAATGCAGGGGAATCGGGCCTCATCTCGAGTTGATTTGGGGCACATGGAGCTGCTTTGCGTTGCTGGGGTGACCTCAGGGTCCGTCTAGACTGGTGACAGTGTTCTTGGGGACCGTCTCGAGATCCATTAAGCAAGTCGAAGCTCCTGACTTGTTTGAATGGGATCACGGAATAGCTCTGCATGCACTGCAGGGGAATGGGGCCTCATCTCTCCTCTAGGGGGAAGTCTCATTGTTTTTCTCGAGTTGCGGCGGGGACCTGGGGTATGTTCTCGACTTACGGCGGGAATGGCCCTTCAAAACACGAGTTTCTTCAGTGACGTCAGGACTCCTGTCTAGTAACGAGGGACACCTCAGGAATCTCTTCGAGGCTTGGCAGGGCAAAAGGGACGCTTCTCGAGGTGAGGCAGGGCACCCAAGGACCCTTTCCAGTAGCCACAGGGATTTTGGGATTCCTATCAGTATTCAAGAGGAGTCAGGCATCGTCACCTTTTGAAGCAATGAACTCCGCGTGCCTCTCGAGGTGTCAGCGGGATGTGAGGCATTCCGTCAAAATGAGGCAGGGACCGAGGGCTTTCTCTAAGGTCTCCACAGGGGATTCAGATATCCCTTCATGTTGTGAGATGAAAGACGAGCCTCTATTCAAGCCACTGCAAGGAAATCCGGCCTCCTTTCAAGTTAGGGCTTCTCGCTGTATATTCCCCTTGAGGCAGCAAACTCGGGGTCCCTCCCACATACCTATTGCTGAGAGAAGCCTCCTCCTGAGGTGCTTCTGGAAAGTTGGCATACGTCTTGAGCCTAAGCCAGGGAATCAGCTCTCATCTCGAGACGATTTGTGGTGCACGGAGCATTCCTCGAGTTGCTGTGCTGAAGTTGGTGTTCCTCTAGACTTGGGACAGTGATCTCTGGGCATCTCTGGAGTTGCCTGAAGGAAGTCGAGCCACCGGTCTTGTTGAATGGGGAACGCGGAATGGCTCTGGGATCAATGCAGGGGAATCGGGCCTCATCTCGAGTTGATTTGGGGCACATGGAGCTGCTTTGCGTTGCTGGGGTGACCTCAGGGTCCGTATAGACTAGTAACAGTGTTCTTGGGGACTGTCTCGAGATCCATTAAGCAAGTCGAAGCTCCTGACTTGTTTGAATGGGATCACGGAATAGCTCTGCATGCACTGCAGGGGAATGGGGCCTCATCACGCCTCTAGGGGGAAGTCTCATGGTTTTTCTCGAGTTGAGGCGGGGACCTGGGGTATGTTCTCGACTTACGGCGGGGATGGCCCTTGAAAACACGAGTTTCTTCAGTGACGTCAGGACTCCTGTCTAGTAACGAGGGACACCTCAGGAATCTCTTCGAGGCTTGGCAGGGCAAAAGGGACGCTTCTCGAGGTGGGGCAGGGCACCCAAGGACCCTTTCCAGTAGCCACAGTGATTTTGGGATTCCTATCAGTATTCAAGAGGAGTCAGGCATCGTCACCTTTTGAAGCAATGAACTCCGCGTGCCTCTCGAGGTGTCAGCGGGATGTGAGGCATTCCGTCAAAATGAGGCAGGGACCGAGGGCTTTCTCTAAGGTCTCCACAGGGGATTCACACATCCCTTCATGTTGTGAGATGAAAGACGAGCCTGTATTCAAGCCACAGCAAGGAAATCCGGCCTCCTTTCAAGTTAGGGCTTCTCGCTGTATATTCCCCTTGAGGCAGCAAACTCGGGGTCCCTCCCAAATACCTATTGCTGAGAGAAGCGTCCTCCTGAGGTGCTTCTGGAAAGTTGGCATACGTCTTGAGCCTAAGCCAGGGAATCAGCTCTAATCTCGAGACGATTTGGGGTGCACGGAGCATTCCTCGAGTTCCTGTGCTGAAATTGGTGTTCCTCTAGACTTGGGACAGTGTTCTCGGGGCATCTCTGGAGTTGCCTGAAGGAAGTCGAGCCACCGGTCGTGTTGAATCGGGAATGGGGAATGGCTCTGGAGTCAATGCAGGGGAATCGGGCCTCATCTCGAGTTGATTTGGGGCACATGGAGCTGCTTTGCGTTGCTGGGGTGACTTCACGGTCCGTCTAGACTGGTGACAGTGTTCTTGGGGACTGTCTCGAGATCCATTTAGCAAGTCGAAGCTCCTGACTTGTTTGAATGGGATCACGGAATAGCTCTGCATGCACTGCAGGGGAATGGGGCCTCATCTCGCCTCTAGGGGGAAGTCTCATGGTTTTTCTCGAGTTGCGGCGGGACCTGGGGTATGTTCTCGACTTATGGCGGGAATGGCCCTTCAAAACACGAGTTTCTTCAGTGACGTCAGGAGTCCTGTCTAGTAACGAGGGACACCTCAGGAATCTCTTCGAGGCTTGGCAGGGCAAAAGGGACGCTTCTCGAGGTGAGGCAGGGCACCCAAGGACCCTTTCCAGTAGGCACAGGGATTTTGGGATTCCTATCAGTATTCAAGAGGAGTCAGGCATCGTCACCTTTTGAAGCAATGAACTCCGCGTGCCTCTCGAGGTGTCAGCGGGATGTGAGGCATTCCGTCAAAATGAGGCAGGGACCTAGGGCTTTCTCTAAGGTCTCCACAGGGGATTCAGACATCCCTTCATGTTGTGAGATGAAAGACGGGCCTGTATTCAAGCCACTGCAAGGAAATCCGGCCTCCTTTCAAGTTAGGGCTTCTCGCTGTATATTCCCCTTGAGGCAGCAAACTCGGGGTCCCTCCCACATACCTATTGCTGAGAGAAGCCTCCTCCTGAGGTGCTTCTGGTAAGCTGGCATACGTCTTGAGCCTAAGCCAGGGAATCAGCTCTCATCTCGAGACGATTTGGGGTACACGGAGCATTCCTCGAGTTGCTGTGCTGAAGGTGGTGTTCCTCTAGACTTGGGACAGTGTTCTCGGGGCATCTCTGGAGTTGCCTGAAGGAAGTCGAGCCACCAGTCGTGTTGAATGGGGAATGGGGAATGGCTCTGGAGTCAATGCAGGGGAATCGGGCCTCATCTCGAGTTGATTTGGGGCACATGGAGCTGCTTTGCGTTGCTGGGGTGACCTCAGGGTCCGTCTAGACTGGTGACAGTGTTCTTGGGGACTGTCTCGAGATCCATTAAGCAAGTCGAAGCTCCTGACTTGTTTGAATGGGATCACGGAATAGCTCTGCATGCACTGCAGGGGAATGGGGCCTCATCTCGCCTCTAGGGGGAAGTCTCATGGTTTTTCTCGAGTTGCGGCGGGGACCTGGGGTATGTTCTCGACTTACGGCGGGAATGGCCCTTCAAAACACGAGTTTCTTCAGTGACATCAGGACTCCTGTCTAGTAACGAGGAACACCTCAGGAATCTCTTCGAGGCTTGGCAGGGCAAAAGGGACGCTTCTCGAGGTGAGGCAGGGCACCCAAGGACCCTTTCCAGTAGCCACAGGGATTTTGGGATTCCTATCAGTATTCAAGAGGAGTCAGGCATCGTCACCTTTTGAAGCAATGAACTCCGCGTGCCTCTCGAGGTGTCAGCGGGATGTGAGGCATTCCGTCAAAATGAGGCAGGGACCTAGGGCTTTCTCTAAGGTCTCCACAGGGGATTCAGACATCCCTTCATGTTGTGAGATGAAAGACGGGCCTGTATTCAAGCCACTGCAAGGAAATCCGGCCTCCTTTCAAGTTAGGGCTTCTCGCTGTATATTCCCCTTGAGGCAGCAAACTCGGGGTCCCTCCCACATACCTATTGCTGAGAGAAGCCTCCTCCTGAGGTGCTTCTGGAAAGTTGGCATACGTCTTGAGCCTAAGCCAGGGAATCAGCTCTCATCTCGAGACGATTTGGGGTACACGGAGCATTCCTCGATTTGCTGTGCTGAAGTTGGTGTTCCTCTAGATTTGGGACAGTGTTCTCGGGGCATCTCTGGAGTTGCCTGAAGGAAGTCGAGCCACCAGTCGTGTTGAATGGGGAACGGGGAATGGCTCTGGAGTCAATGCAGGGGAATCGGGCCTCATCTCGAGTTGATTTGGGGCACATGGAGCTGCTTTGCGTTGCTGGGGTGACCTCAGGGTCCGTCTAGACTGGTGACAGTGTTCTTGCTGACTGTCTCGAGATCCATTAAGCAACTCGAAGCTCCTGACTTGTTTGAATGGGATCACGGAATAGCTCTGCATGCACTGCAGGGGAATGGGGCCTCATCTCGCCTCTAGGGGAAAGTCTCATGGTTTTTCTCGAGTTGCGGCGGGGACCTGGGGTATGTTCTCGACTTACGGCGGGAATGGCCCTTCAAAACACGAGTTTCTTCAGTGACGTCAAGACTCCTGTCTAGTAACGAGGGACACCTCAGGAATCTCCGAGGCTTGGCAGGGCAAAAGGGACGCTTCTCGAGGTGAAGCATGGCTCCCAAGGACCCTTTCCTGTAGCCACAGGGATTTTGGGATTCCTATCAGTATTCAAGAGGAGTCAGGCATCGTCCCCTTTTGAAGCAATGAACTCCGCGTGCCTCTCGAGGTGTCAGCGGGATGTGAGGCATTCCGTCAAAATGAGGCAGGGCCCTAGGGCGTTCTCTCAGGTCTCCACAGCGGATTCAGACATCCCTTCATGTTGTGAGATGAAAGACGAGCCTGTATTCAAGCCACTGCAAGGAAATCCGGCCTCCTTTCAAGTTAGGGCTTCTCGCTGTGTATTCCCCTTGAGGCAGCAAAATCGGGGACCTTCCCACATACCTATTGCTGAGAGAAGCCTCCTCCAGAGTTGCTTCTGGAAAGTTGGCAACTGCCTTGAGCCTAAGCCAATGAATCAGCTCTCATCTCGAGACGATTTGGGGTGCACGGAGGATTTCTCGAGTTGCTGTTCTGAAGTTGGTGTTCCTCTAGACTTGGGACAGTGATCTCGGGGCATCTCTGGAGTTGCCTGAAGGAAGTCGAGCCACCGGTCGTGTTGAATGGGGAACGGGGAATGGCTCTGGAGTCAATGCAGGGAAATCGGGCCTCATCTCGAGTTGATTTGGGGCACATGGAGCTGCTTTGCGTTGCTGGGGTGACCTGAGGGTCCGTCTAGACTGGTGACAGTGTTCTTGGGGACTGTCTCGAGATCCATTAAGCAAGTCGAAGCTCCTGACTTGTTTGAATGGGATCACGGAATAGCTCTGCATGCACTGCAGGGGAATGGGGCCTCATCTCGCCTCAGGGGGAAGTCTCATGGTTTTTCTCGAGTTGCGGCGGGGACCTGGGGTATGTTCTCGACTTACGGCGGGGATGGCCCTTCAAAACACGAGTTTCTTCAGTGACATCAGGACTCCTGTCTAGTAACGAGGGATACCTCAGGAATCTCTTCGAGGGTTGGCAGGGCAAAAGGGATGCTACTCGAGGTGAGGCAGGGCACCCAAGGACCCTTTCCAGTAGCCACAGGGATTTTGGGATTCCTTTCAGTATTCAAGAGGAGTCAGGCATCGTCACCTTTTGAAGCAATGAACTCCGCGTGCCTCTCGAGGTGCCAGCGGGATGTGAGTCATTCCGTCAAAATGAGGCAGGGACCTAGGGCTTTCTCTAGGGTCTCTACAGGGGATTCAGACATCCCTTCATGTTGTGAGATGAAAGACGAGCCTGTATTCAAGCCACTGCAAGGAAATCCGGCCTCCTTTCAAGTTAGGGCTTCTCGATGTATATTCCCCTTGAGGCAGCAAACTCGGGCTCCCTCCCACATACCTATTGCTGAGAGAAGCCTCCTCCTGAGGTGCTTCTGGAAAGTTGGCATACGTCTTGAGCCTAAGCCAGGGAATCAGCTCTCATCTCGAGACGATTTGGGGTACACGGAGCATTCCTCGAGTTGATGTGCTGAAGTTGGTGTTCCTCTAGACTTGGGACAGTGTTCTCGGGGCATCTCTGTAGTTGCCTGAAGGAAGTCGAGCCACCGGTCGTGTTGAATGGGGAACGGGTTATGGCTCTGGAGTCAATGCAGGGGAATCAGGCCTCATCTCGAGTTGATTTGGGGCACATGGAGCTGCTTTGCGTTGCTGGGGTGACCTCAGGGTCCGTCTAGACTGGTGACAGTGTTCTTGGGGACTGTCTCGAGATCCATTAAGCAAGTCGAAGCTCCTGACTTGTTTGAATGGGATCAAGGAATAGCTCTGCATGCACTGCAGGGGTATGGGGCCTCATCTCGCCTCTAGGGGGAAGTCTCATGGTTTTTCTCGAGTCGCGGCGGGGACCTGGGGTATGTTCTCGACTTACGGCGGGGATGGCCCTTCAAAACACGAGTTTCTTCAGTGACATCAGGACTCCTGTCTAGTAACGAGGGATACCTGAGGAATCCCTTCGAGGGTTGGCAGGGCCAAAGTGACCCTTCTCGAGGTGAGGCAGGGCACCCAAGGACTCTTTCCAGTAGCCACAGGGATTTTGGGATTCCTATCAGTATTCAAGAGGAGTCAGGCATCGTCACCTTTTGAACCATGAACTCCGCGTGCCTCTCGAGGTGTCAGCGGGATGTGAGGCATTCCGTCAAAATGAGGCAGGGACCTAGGGCTTTCTCTAAGGTTTCCACAGGGGATTCAGACATCCCTTCATGTTGTGAGATGAAAGACGAGCCTGTATTCAAGCCACTGCAAGGAAATCCGGCCTCCTTTCAAGTTAGGGCTTCTCGCTGTATATTCCCCTTGAGGCAGCAAACTCGGGCTCCCTCCCACATACCTATTGCTGAGAGAAGCCTCCTCCTGAGGTGCTTCTGGAAAGTTGGCATACGTCTAGAGCCTAAGCCAGGGAATCAGCTCTCATCTCGAGACGATTTGGGGTACTCTGAGCATTCCTCGATTTGCTGTGCTGAAGTTGGTGTTCCTCTAGACTTGGGACAGTGTTCTCGGGGCATCTCTGGAGTTGCCTGAAGGAAGTGGAGCCACGGGTCGTGTTGAATGGGGAAAGGGGAATGGCTCTGGAGTCAATGCAGGGGAATCAGGCCTCATCTCGAGTTGATTTGGGGCACATGGAGCTGCTTTGCGTTGCTGGGATGACCTCAGGGTCCGTCTAGACTGGTGAAAGTGTTCTTGGGGACTGTCTCGAGATCCATTAAGCAAGTCGAAGCTCCTGACTTGTTTGAATGGGATCACGGAATAGCTCTGCATGCACTGCAGGGGAATGGTGCCTCATCTCGCTTCTAGGGGGAAGTCTCATGGTTTTTCTCGAGTTGCGGCGGGGACCTGGGGTATGTTCTCGACTTACGGCGGGGATGGCACTTCAAAACACGAGTTTCTTCAGTGACGTCAGGACTCCTGTCTAGTAACGAGGGACACCTCAGGAATCTCTCCGAGGCTTCGCAGGGCAAAAGGGACGCTTCTCGAGGTGAGGCAGGGCACACAAGGACCCTTTCCAGTAGCCACAGGGATTTTGGGATTCCTATCAGTATTCAAGAGGAGTCAGGCATCGTCACCTTTTGAACCATGAACTCCGCGTGCCTCTCGAGGTGTCAGCGGGATGTGAGGCATTCTGTCAAAATGAGGCAGGGACCTAGGGCTTTCTCTAAGGTTTCCACAGGGGATTCAGACATCCCTTCATGTTGTGAGATGAAAGACGAGCCTGTATTCAAGCCACTGCAAGGAAATCCGGCCTCCTTTCAAGTTACGGCTTCTCGCTGTATATTCCCCTTGAGGCAGCAAACTCGGGGTCCCTCCCACATACCTATTGCTGAGAGAAGCCTCCTCCTGAGGTGCTTCTGGAAAGTTGGCATACGTCTTGAGCCTAAGCCAGGGAATCAGCTCTCATCTCGAGACGATTTGGGGTACACGGAGCATTCCTCGATTTGCTGTGCTGAAGTTGGTGTTCCTCTAGACTTGGGACAGTGTTCTCGGGGCATCTCTGGAGTTGCCTGAAGGAAGTGGATCCACGGTTCTTGTTGAATGGGGAACGGGGAATGGCTCTGGAGTCAATGCAGGGGAATCAGGCCTCATCTCGAGTTGATTTGGGGCACATGGAGCTGCTTTGCGTTGCTGGGGTGACCTCAGGGTCCGTCTAGACTGGTGACAGTTTTCTTGGGGACTGTCTCGAGATCCATTAAGCAAGTCAAACTCCTGACTTGTTTGAATGGGATCACGGAATAGCTCTGCATGCACTGCAGGGGAATGGGGCCTCATCTCGCCTCTAGGGGGAAGTCTCATGGTTTTTCTCGAGTTGCGGCGGGGACCTGGGGTATGTTCTCGACTTACGGCGGGGATGGCCCTTCAAAACACGAGTTTCTTCAGTGACGTCAGGACTCCTGTCTAGTAACGAGGGACACCTCAGGAATCTCTTCGAGGCTTCGCAGGGCAAAAGGGACGCTTCTCGAGGTGAGGCAGGGCACCCAAGGACCCTTTCCAGTAGCCACAGGGATTTTGGGATTCCTATCAGTGTTCAAGAGGAGTCAGGCATCGTCACCTTTTGAAGCAATGAACTCCGCGTGCCTCTCGAGGTGCCAGCGGGATGTGAGGCATTCCGTCAAAATGAGGCAGGGACCTAGGGCTTTCTCTAAGGTCTCTACAGGGGATTCAGACATCCCTTCATGTTGTGAGATGAAAGACGAGCCTGTATTCAAGCCACTGCAAGGAAATCCGGCCTCCTTTCAAGTTAGGGCTTCTCGCTGTATATTCCCCTTGAGGCAGCAAACTCGGGCTCCCTCCCACATACCTATTGCTGAGAAAATCCTCCTCCTGAGGTGCTTCTGGAAAGTTGGCATATGTCTTGAGCCTAAGCCAGGGAATCAGCTCTCATCTCGAGACGATTTGGGGTAAACGGAGCATTCCTCGAGTTGCTGTGCTGAAGTTGGTGTTCCTCTAGACTTGGGACAGTGTTCTTGGGGCATCTCTGGAGTTGCCTGAAGGAGGTCGAGCCACCGGTCGTGTTGAATGGGGAACGGGTTATGGCTCTGGAGTCAATGCAGGGGAATCGGGCCTCATCTCGAGTTGATTTGGGGCACATGGAGCTGCTTTGCGTTGCTGGGGTGACCTCAGGGTCCGTCTAGACTGGTGACAGTTTTCTTGGGGACTGTCTCGAGATCCATTAAGCAAGTCGAAGCTCCTGACTTGTTTGAATGGGATCACGGAATAGCTGTGCATGCACTGCAGGGGAATGGGGCCTCATCTCGCCTCTAGGGGGAAGTCTCATGGTTTTTCTCGAGTTGCAGTGGGGACCTGGGGTATGTTCTCGACTTACGGCGGGGATGGCCCTTCAAAACACGAGTTTCTTCAGTGACGTCAGGACTCCTGTCTAGTAACGAGGGACACCTCAGGAATCTCTCCGAGGCTTCGCAGGGCAAAAGGGACGCTTCTCGAGGTGAGGCAGGGCACCCAAGGACCCTTTCCAGTAGCCACAGGGATTTTGGAATTCCTATCAGTATTCAAGAGGAGTCAGGCATCGTCACCTTTTGAACCATGAACTCCGCGTGCCTCTCGAGGTGTCAGCGGGATGTGAGGCATTCTGTCAAAATGAGGCAGGGAACTAGGGCTTTCTCTAAGGTCTCCACAGGGGATTCAGACATCACTTCATGTTGTGAGATGAAAGACGTGCCTGTATTCAAGCCACTGCAAGGAAATCCGGCCTCCTTTCAAGTTAGGGCTTCTCGCTGTATATTCCCCTTGAGGCAGCAAACTCGGGCTCCCTCCCACATACCTATTGCTGAGAGAAGCCTCCTCCTGAGGTGCTTCTGGAAAGTTGGCATACGTCTTGAGCCTAAGCCAGGGAATCAGCTCTCATCTTGAGACGATTTGGGGTACACGGAGCATTCCTCGAGTTGCTGTGCTGATGTTGGTGTTCCTCTAGACTTGGGACAGTGTTCTCGGGGCATCTCTGGAGTTGCCTGAAGGAAGTCGAGCCACCGGTCGTGTTGAATGGGGAACGGGGAATGGCTCTGGAGTCAATGCAGGGAAATCGGGCCTCATCTCGAGTTGATTTGGGGCACATGGAGCTGCTTTGCGTTGCTGGGGTGACCTCAGGGTCCGTCTAGACTGGTGACAGTGTTCTTGGGGACTGTCTCGAGATCCATTAAGCAAGTCGAAGCTCCTGACTTGTTTGAATGGGATCACGGAATAGCTCTGCATGCACTGCAGGGGAATGGGGCCTCGTCTCCCCTCTAGGGGAAGTCTCATGGTTTTTCTCGAGGTGCGGCGGGGACCTGGGTTATGTTCTCGCCTTACGGCGGGGATGGCCCTTCAAAACACGAGTTTCTTCAGTGACGTCAGGACTCCTGTCTAGTAACGAGGGATACCTCAGGAATCTCTTCGAGGGTTGGCAGGGCAAAAGGGATGCTTCTCGAGGTGAGGCAGGGCACCCAAGGACCCTTTCCAGTAGCCACAGGGTTTTTGGGATTCCTATCAGTATTCAAGAGGAGTCAGGCATCGTCACCTTTTGAAGCAATTAACTCTGCGTGCCTCTCGAGGTGTCAGCGGGATGTGAGGCATTCCGTCAAAATGAGGCAGGGACCTAGGGCTTTCTCTAAGGTCTCTACAGGGGATTCAGACATCCCTTCATGTTGTGAGATGAAAGACGAGCCTCTATTCAAGCCACAGCAAGGAAATCCGGCCTCCTTTCAAGTTAGGGCTTCTCGCTGTATATTCCCCTTGAGGCAGCAAACTCGGGGTCCCTCCCAAATACCTATTGCTGAGAGAAGCGTCCTCCTGAGGTGCTTCTGGAAAGTTGGCATACGTCTTGAGCCTAAGCCAGGGAATCAGCTCTAATCTCGAGACGATTTGGGGTGCACGGAGCATTCCTCGAGTTCCTGTGCTGAAATTGGTGTTCCTCTAGACTTGGGACAGTGTTCTCGGGGCATCTCTGGAGTTGCCTGAAGGAAGTCGAGCCACCGGTCGTGTTGAATCGGGAATGGGGAATGGCTCTGGAGTCAATGCAGGGGAATCGGGCCTCATCTCGAGTTGATTTGGGGCACATGGAGCTGCTTTGCGTTGCTGGGGTGACCTCAGGGTCCGTCTAGACTGGTGACAGTGTTCTTGGGGACTGTCTCGAGATCCATTAAGCAAGTCGAAGCTCCTGACTTGTTTGAATGGGATCACGGAATAGCTCTGCATGCACTGCAGGGGAATGGGGCCTCATCTCGCCTCTAGGGGGAAGTCTCATGGTTTTTCTCGAGTTGCGGCGGGGACCTGGGGTATGTTCTCGACTTACGGCGGGAATGGCCCTTCAAAACACGAGTTTCTTCAGTGACATCAGGACTCCTGTCTAGTAACGAGGAACACCTCAGGAATCTCTTCGAGGCTTGGCAGGGCAAAAGGGACGCTTCTCGAGGTGAGGCAGGGCACCCAAGGACCCTTTCCAGTAGCCACAGGGATTTTGGGATTCCTATCAGTATTCAAGAGGAGTCAGGCATCGTCACCTTTTGAAGCAATGAACTCCGCGTGCCTCTCGAGGTGTCAGCGGGATGTGAGGCATTCCGTCAAAATGAGGCAGGGACCTAGGGCTTTCTCTAAGGTCTCCACAGGGGATTCAGACATCCCTTCATGTTGTGAGATGAAAGACGGGCCTGTATTCAAGCCACTGCAAGGAAATCCGGCCTCCTTTCAAGTTAGGGCTTCTCGCTGTATATTCCCCTTGAGGCAGCAAACTCGGGGTCCCTCCCACATACCTATTGCTGAGAGAAGCCTCCTCCTGAGGTGCTTCTGGAAAGTTGGCATACGTCTTGAGCCTAAGCCAGGGAATCAGCTCTCATCTCGAGACGATTTGGGGTACACGGAGCATTCCTCGATTTGCTGTGCTGAAGTTGGTGTTCCTCTAGATTTGGGACAGTGTTCTCGGGGCATCTCTGGAGTTGCCTGAAGGAAGTCGAGCCACCAGTCGTGTTGAATGGGGAACGGGGAATGGCTCTGGAGTCAATGCAGGGGAATCGGGCCTCATCTCGAGTTGATTTGGGGCACATGGAGCTGCTTTGCGTTGCTGGGGTGACCTCAGGGTCCGTCTAGACTGGTGACAGTGTTCTTGCTGACTGTCTCGAGATCCATTAAGCAAGTCGAAGCTCCTGACTTGTTTGAATGGGATCACGGAATAGCTCTGCATGCACTGCAGGGGAATGGGGCCTCATCTCGCCTCTAGGGGAAAGTCTCATGGTTTTTCTCGAGTTGCGGCGGGGACCTGGGGTATGTTCTCGACTTACGGCGGGAATGGCCCTTCAAAACACGAGTTTCTTCAGTGACGTCAAGACTCCTGTCTAGTAACGAGGGACACCTCAGGAATCTCCGAGGCTTGGCAGGGCAAAAGGGACGCTTCTCGAGGTGAAGCATGGCTCCCAAGGACCCTTTCCTGTAGCCACAGGGATTTTGGGATTCCTATCAGTATTCAAGAGGAGTCAGGCATCGTCCCCTTTTGAAGCAATGAACTCCGCGTGCCTCTCGAGGTGTCAGCGGGATGTGAGGCATTCCGTCAAAATGAGGCAGGGCACTAGGGCGTTCTCTCAGGTCTCCACAGCGGATTCAGACATCCCTTCATGTTGTGAGATGAAAGACGAGCCTGTATTCAAGCCACTGCAAGGAAATCCGGCCTCCTTTCAAGTTAGGGCTTCTCGCTGTGTATTCCCCTTGAGGCAGCAAAATCGGGGACCTTCCCACATACCTATTGCTGAGAGAAGCCTCCTCCAGAGTTGCTTCTGGAAAGTTGGCAACTGCCTTGAGCCTAAGCCAATGAATCAGCTCTCATCTCGAGACGATTTGGGGTGCACGGAGGATTTCTCGAGTTGCTGTGCTGAAGTTGGTGTTCCTCTAGACTTGGGACAGTGATCTCGGGGCATCTCTGGAGTTGCCTGAAGGAAGTCGAGCCACCGGTCGTGTTGAATGGGGAACGGGGAATGGCTCTGGAGTCAATGCAGGGAAATCGGGCCTCATCTCGAGTTGATTTGGGGCACATGGAGCTGCTTTGCGTTGCTGGGGTGACCTGAGGGTCCGTCTAGACTGGTGACAGTGTTCTTGGGGACTGTCTCGAGATCCATTAAGCAAGTCGAAGCTCCTGACTTGTTTGAATGGGATCACGGAATAGCTCTGCATGCACTGCAGGGGAATGGGGCCTCATCTCGCCTCAGGGGGAAGTCTCATGGTTTTTCTCGAGTTGCGGCGGGGACCTGGGGTATGTTCTCGACTTACGGCGGGGATGGCCCTTCAAAACACGAGTTTCTTCAGTGACATCAGGACTCCTGTCTAGTAACGAGGGATACCTCAGGAATCTCTTCGAGGGTTGGCAGGGCAAAAGGGATGCTACTCGAGGTGAGGCAGGGCACCCAAGGACCCTTTCCAGTAGCCACAGGGATTTTGGGATTCCTTTCAGTATTCAAGAGGAGTCAGGCATCGTCACCTTTTGAAGCAATGAACTCCGCGTGCCTCTCGAGGTGCCAGCGGGATGTGAGGCATTCCGTCAAAATGAGGCAGGGACCTAGGGCTTTCTCTAAGGTCTCTACAGGGGATTCGGACATCCCTTCATGTTGTGAGATGAAAGACGAGCCTGTATTCAAGCCACTGCAAGGAAATCCGGCCTCCTTTCAAGTTAGGGCTTCTCGCTGTATATTCCCCTTGAGGCAGCAAACTCAGGCTCCCTCCCACATACCTATTGCTGAGAGAAGCCTCCTCCTGAGGTGCTTCTGGAAAGTTGGCATACGTCTTGAGCCTAAGCCAGGGAATCAGCTCTCATCTCGGACGATTTGGGGTACACAGAGCATTCCTCGAGTTGCTGTGCTGAAGTTGGTGTTCCTCTAGACGTGGGACAGTGTTCTCGGGGCATCTCTGGAGTTGCCTGAAGGAGGTCGAGCCACCGGTCGTGTTGAATGGGGAACGGGTTATGGCTCTGGAGTCAATGCAGGGGAATCGGGCCTCATCTCGAGTTGATTTGGGGCACATGGAGCTGCTTTGCGTTGCTGGGGTGACCTCAGGGTCCGTATAGACTGGTGACAGTGTTCTTGGGGACTGTCTCGAGATCCGTTCAGCAAGTCGAAGCTCCTGACTTGTTTGAATGGGATCACGGAATAGCTCTGCATGCACTGCAGGGGAATGGGGCCTCATCTCGCCTCTAGGGGGAAGTTTCATGGTTTTTCTCGAGTTGCGGCTGGGACCTGGGGTATGTTCTCGACTTACGGCGGGGATGGCCCTTCAAAACACGAGTTTCTTCAGTGACGTCAGGACTCCTGTCTAGTAACGAGGGACACCTCAGGTATCTCTTCGAGGCTTGGCAGGGCAAAAGGGACGCTTCTCGAGGTGGGGCAGGGCACCCAAGGACCCTTTCCAGTAGCCACAGTGATTTTGGGATTCCTATCAGTATTCAAGAGGAGTCAGGCATCGTCATCTTTTGAAGCAATGAACTCCGCGTGCCTCTCGAGGTGTCAGCGGGATGTGAGGCATTCCGTCAAAATGAGGCATGGACCGAGGGCTTTCTCTAAGGTCTCCACAGGGGATTCAGACATCCCTTCATGTTGTGAGATGAAAGACGAGCCTGTATTCAAGCCACAGCAAGGAAATCCGGCCACCTTTCAAGTTAGGGGTTCTCGCTGTATATTCCCCTTGAGGCAGCAAACTCGGGGTCCCTCCCAAATACCTATTGCTGAGAGAAGCGTCCTCCTGAGGTGCTTCTGGAAAGTTGGCATACGTCTTGAGCCTAAGCCAGGGAATCAGCTCTCATCTCGAGACGATTTGGGGTGCACGGAGCATTCCTCGAGTTGCTGTGCTGAAATTGGTGTTCCTCTAGACATGGAACAGTGTTCTCGGGGCATCTCTGGAGTTGCCTGAAGGAAGTCGAGCCACCAGTCGTGTTGAATGGGGAACGGGGAATGGCTCTGGAGTCAATGCAGGGGAATCGGGCCTCATCTCGAGTTGATTTGGGGCACATGGAGCTGCTTTGCGTTGCTGGGGTGACCTCAGGGTCCGTCTAGACTGGTGACAGTGTTCTTGCTGACTGTCTCGAGATCCATTAAGCAACTCGAAGCTCCTGACTTGTTTGAATGGGATCACGGAATAGCTCTGCATGCACTGCAGGGGAATGGGGCCTCATCTCGCCTCTAGGGGAAAGTCTCATGGTTTTTCTCGAGTTGCGGCGGGGACCTGGGGTATGTTCTCGACTTACGGCGGGAATGGCCCTTCAAAACACGAGTTTCTTCAGTGACGTCAAGACTCCTGTCTAGTAACGAGGGACACCTCAGGAATCTCCGAGGCTTGGCAGGGCAAAAGGGACGCTTCTCGAGGTGAAGCATGGCTCCCAAGGACCCTTTCCTGTAGCCACAGGGATTTTGGGATTCCTATCAGTATTCAAGAGGAGTCAGGCATCGTCCCCTTTTGAAGCAATGAACTCCGCGTGCCTCTCGAGGTGTCAGCGGGATGTGAGGCATTCCGTCAAAATGAGGCAGGGCCCTAGGGCGTTCTCTCAGGTCTCCACAGCGGATTCAGACATCCCTTCATGTTGTGAGATGAAAGACGAGCCTGTATTCAAGCCACTGCAAGGAAATCCGGCCTCCTTTCAAGTTAGGGCTTCTCGCTGTGTATTCCCCTTGAGGCAGCAAAATCGGGGACCTTCCCACATACCTATTGCTGAGAGAAGCCTCCTCCAGAGTTGCTTCTGGAAAGTTGGCAACTGCCTTGAGCCTAAGCCAATGAATCAGCTCTCATCTCGAGAAGATTTGGGGTGCACGGAGGATTTCTCGAGTTGCTGTGCTGAAGTTGGTGTTCCTCTAGACTTGGGACAGTGATCTCGGGGCATCTCTGGAGTTGCCTGAAGGAAGTCGAGCCACCGGTCGTGTTGAATGGGGAACGGGGAATGGCTCTGGAGTCAATGCAGGGAAATCGGGCCTCATCTCGAGTTGATTTGGGGCACATGGAGCTGCTTTGCGTTGCTGGGGTGACCTGAGGGTCCGTCTAGACTGGTGACAGTGTTCTTGGTGACTGTCTCGAGATCCATTAAGCAAGTCGAAGCTCCTGACTTGTTTGAATGGGATCACGGAATAGCTCTGCATGCACTGCAGGGGAATGGGGCCTCATCTCGCCTCTAGGGGGAAGTCTCATGGTTTTTCTCGAGTTGCGGCGGGGACCTGGGGTATGTTCTCGACTTACGGCGGGGATGGCCCTTCAAAACACTAGTTTCTTCAGTGACATCAGGACTCCTGTCTAGTAACGAGGGATACCTCAGGAATCTCTTCGAGGGTTGGCAGGGCAAAAGGGACGCTACTCGAGGTGAGGCAGGGCACCCAAGGACCCTTTCCAGTAGCCACAGGGATTTTGGGATTCCTATCAGTATTCAAGAGGAGTCAGGCATCGTCACCTTTTGAAGCAATGAACTCCGCGTGCCTCTCGAGGTCCCAGCGGGATGTGAGGCATTCCGTCAAAATGAGGCAGGGACCTAGGGCTTTCTCTAAGGTCTCTACAGGGGATTCAGACATCCCTTCATGTTGTGAGATGAAAGACGAGCCTGTATTCAAGCCACTGCAAGGAAATCCGGCCTCCTTTCAAGTTAGGGCTTCTCGCTGTATATTCCCCTTGAGGCAGCAAACTCGGGCTCCCTCCCACATACCTATTGCTGAGAGAAGCCTCCTCCTGAGGTGCTTCTGGAAAGTTGGCATATGTCTTGAGCCTAAGCCAGGGAATCAGCTCTCATCTCGAGACGATTTGGGGTACACGGAGCATTCCTCGATTTGCTGTGCTGAAGTTGGTGTTCCTCTAGACTTGGGACAGTGTCCTCGGGGCATCTCTGGAGGTGCCTGAAGGAAGTCGAGCCACCGGTCGTGTTGAATTGGGAACGGGGAATGGCTCTGGAGTCAATGCAGGGGAATCAGTCCTCATCTCGAGTTGTTTTGGATCACATGGAGCTGCTTTGCGTTGCTGGGGTGACCTCAGGGTCCGTCTAGACTGGTGACAGTGTTCTTGGGGACTGTCTCGAGATCCGTACAGCAAGTCGAAGCTCCTGACTTGTTTGAATGGGATCACGGAATAGCTCTGCATGCACTGCAGGGGAATGGGGCCTCATCTCGCCTCAGGGGGAAGTCTCATGGTTTTTCTCGAGTTGCGCGGGGACCTGGGGTATGTTCTCGACTTACGGCGGGGATGGCCCTTCAAAACACGAGTTTCTTCAGTGACATCAGGACTCCTGTCTAGTAACGAGGGATACCTCAGGAATCTCTTCGAGGGTTGGCAGGGCAAAAGGGATGCTACTCGAGGTGAGGCAGGGCACCCAAGGACCCTTTCCAGTAGCCACAGGGATTTTGGGATTCCTTTCAGTATTCAAGAGGAGTCAGGCATCGTCACCTTTTGAAGCAATGAACTCCGCGTGCCTCTCGAGGTGCCAGCGGGATGTGAGGCATTCCGTCAAAATGAGGCAGGGACCTAGGGCTTTCTCTAAGGTCTCTACAGGGGATTCGGACATCCCTTCATGTTGTGAGATGAAAGACGAGCCTGTATTCAAGCCACTGCAAGGAAATCCGGCCTCCTTTCAAGTTAGGGCTTCTCGCTGTATATTCCCCTTGAGGCAGCAAACTCGGGCTCCCTCCCACATACCTATTGCTGAGAGAAGCCTCCTCCTGAGGTGCTTCTGGAAAGTTGGCATACGTCTTGAGCCTAAGCCAGGGAATCAGCTCTCATCTCGAGACGATTTGGGGTACACAGAGCATTCCTCGAGTTGCTGTGCTGAAGTTGGTGTTCCTCTAGACTTGGGACAGTGTTCTCGGGGCATCTCTGGAGTTGCCTGAAGGAGGTCGAGCCACTGGTCGTGTTGAATGGGGAACGGGTTATGGCTCTGGAGTCAATGCAGGGGAATCGGGCCTCATCTCGAGTTGATTTGGGGCACATGGAGCTGCTTTGCGTTGCTGGGGTGACCTCAGGGTCCGTATAGACTGGTGACAGTGTTCTTGGGGACTGTCTCGAGATCCGTTCAGCAAGTCGAAGCTCCTGACTTGTTTGAATGGGATCACGGAATAGCTCTGCATGCACTGCAGGGGAATGTCGCCTCATCTCGCCTCTAGGGGGAAGTTTCATGGTTTTTCTCGAGTTGCGGCTGGGACCTGGGGTATGTTCTCGACTTACGGCGGGGATGGCCCTTCAAAACACGAGTTTCTTCAGTGACGTCAGGACTCCTGTCTAGTAACGAGGGACACCTCAGGTATCTCTTCGAGGCTTGGCAGGGCAAAAGGGACGCTTCTCGAGGTGGGGCAGGGCACCCAAGGACCCTTTCCAGTAGCCACAGTGATTTTGGGATTCCTATCAGTATTCAAGAGGAGTCAGGCATCGTCATCTTTTGAAGCAATGAACTCCGCGTGCCTCTCGAGGTGTCAGCGGGATGTGAGGCATTCCGTCAAAATGAGGCAGGGACCGAGGGCTTTCTCTAAGGTCTCCACAGGGGATTCAGACATCCCTTCATGTTGTGAGATGAAAGACGAGCCTGTATTCAAGCCACAGCAAGGAAATCCGGCCACCTTTCAAGTTAGGGGTTCTCGCTGTATATTCCCCTTGAGGCAGCAAACTCGGGGTCCCTCCCAAATACCTATTGCTGAGAGAAGCGTCCTCCTGAGGTGCTTCTGGAAAGTTGGCATACGTCTTGAGCCTAAGCCAGGGAATCAGCTCTCATCTCGAGACGATTTGGGGTGCACGGAGCATTCCTCGAGTTGCTGTGCTGAAATTGGTGTTCCTCTAGACATGGAACAGTGTTCTCGGGGCATCTCTGTAGTTGCCTGAAGGAAGTCGAGCCACCGGTCGTGTTGAATGGGGAATGGGGAATGGCTCTGGAGTCAATGCAGGGGAATCGGGCATCATCTCGAGTTGATTTGGGGCACATGGAGCTGCTTTGCGTTGCTGGGGTGATTTCACGGTCCGTCTAGACTGGTGACAGTGTTCTTGGGGACTGTCTCAAGATCCATTTAGCAAGTCGAAGCTCCTGACTTGTTTGAATGGGATCACGGAATAGCTCTGCATGCACTGCAGGGAAATGGGGCCTCATCTCGCCTCTAGGGGGAAGTCTCATGGTTTTTCTCGAGTTGCGGCGGGACCTGGGGTATGTTCTCGACTTACGGCGGGAATGGCCCTTCAAAACACGAGTTTCTTCAATGACGTCAGGACTCCTGTCTAGTAACGAGGGACACCTCAGGAATCTCTTCGAGGCTTGGCAGGGCAAAAGGGACGCTTCTCGAGGTGAGGCAGGGCACCCAAGGACCCTTTCCAGTAGCCACAGGGATTTGGGGATTCCTATCAGTATTCAAGAGGAGTCAGGCATCGTCACCTTTTGAAGCAATGAACTCCGCGTGCCTCTCAAGGTGTCAGCGGGATGTGAGGCATTCCGTCAAAATGAGGCAGGGAACTAGGGCTTTCTCTAAGGTCTCCACAGGGGATTCAGACATCCCTTCATGTTGTGAGATGAAAGACGGTCCTGTATTCAAGCCACTGCAAGGAAATCCGGCCTCCTTTCAAGTTAGGGCTTCTCGCTGTATATTCCCCTTGAGGCAGCAAACTCGGGGTCCCTCCCACATACCTATTGCTGAGAGAAGCCTCCTCCTGAGGTGCTTCTGGAAAGTTGGCATACGTCTTGAGCCTAAGCCAGGGAATCAGCTCTCATCTCGAGACGATTTGGGGTACACGGAGCATTCCTCGAGTTGCTGTGCTGAAGGTGGTGTTCCTCTAGACTTGGGACAGTGTTCTCGGGGCATCTCTGGAGTTGCCTGAAGGAAGTGGAGCCACGGGTCGTGTTGAATGGGGAACGGGGAATGGCTCTGGAGTCAATGCAGGGGAATCGGGCCTCATCTCGAGTTGATTTGGGGCACATGGAGCTGCTTTGCGTTGCTGGGGTGACCTCAGGGTCCGTCTAGACTGGTGACAGTGTTCTTGCTGACTGTCTCGAGATACATTAAGCAACTCGAAGCTCCTGACTTGTTTGAATGGGATCACGGAATAGCTCTGCATGCACTGCAGGGGAATGGGGCCTCATCTCGCCTCTAGGGGGAAGTCTCATGGTTTTTCTCGAGTTGCGGCGGGGACCTGGGGTATGTTCTCGACTTACGGCGGGGATGGCCCTTCAAAACACGAGTTTCTTCAGTGACGTCAGGACTCCTGTCTAGTAACGAGGGACACCTCAGGAATCTCTTCGAGGCTTGGCAGGGCAAAAGGGACGCTTCTCGAGGTGAGGCAGGGCACCCAAGGACCCTTTCCAGTAGCCACAGAGATTTTGGGATTCCTATCAGTGTTCAAGAGGAGTCAGGCATCGTCACCTTTTGAACCATGAAATCCGCGTGCCACTCGAGGTGTCAGCGGGATGTGAGGCATTCCGTCAAAATGAGGCAGGGACCTAGGGCTTTCTCTAAGGTCACTGCAGGGGATTGAGACATCCCTTCATGTTGTGAGAAGAAAGACGAGCCTGTATTCAAGCCACTGCAAGGAAATCCGGCCTCCTTTCAAGTGAGGGCTTCTCGCTGTATATTCCCCTTGAGGCAGCAAACTCGGGGTCCCTCCCCCATACCTATTGCTGAGAGAAGCCTCCTCCTGAGGTGCTTCTGGAAAGTTGGCATACGTCTTGAGCCTAAGCCAGGGAATCAGCTCTCATCTCGAGAAGATTTGGGGTGCACGGAGGATTTCTCGAGTTGCTGTGCTGAAGTTGGTGTTCCTCTAGACTTGGGACAGTGATCTCGGGGCATCTCTGGAGTTGCCTGAAGGAAGTCGAGCCACCGGTCGTGTTGAATGGGGAACGGGGAATGGCTCTGGAGTCAATGCATGAAATCGGGCCTCATCTCGAGTTGATTTGGGGCACATGGAGCTGCTTTGCGTTGCTGGGGTGACCTGAGGGTCCGTCTAGACTGGTGACAGTGTTCTTGGGGACTGTCTCGAGATCCATTAAGCAAGTCGAAGCTCCTGACTTGTTTGAATGGGATCACGGAATAGCTCTGCATGCACTGCAGGGGAATGGGGCCTCATCTCGCCTCAGGGGGAAGTCTCATGGTTTTTCTCGAGTTGCGGCGGGGACCTGGGGTATGTTCTCGACTTACGGCTGGGATGGCCCTTCAAAACACGAGTTTCTTCAGTGACATCAGGACTCCTGTCTAGTAACGAGGGATACCTCAGGAATCTCTTCGAGGGTTGGCAGGGCAAAAGGGATGCTACTCGAGGTGAGGCAGGGCACCCAAGGACCCTTTCCAGTAGCCACAGGGATTTTGGGATTCCTTTCAGTATTCAAGAGGAGTCAGGCATCGTCACCTTTTGAAGCAATGAACTCCGCGTGCCTCTCGAGGTGCCAGCGGGATGTGAGGCATTCCGTCAAAATGAGGCAGGGACCTAGGGCTTTCTCTAAGGTCTCTACAGGGGATTCGGACATCCCTTCATGTTATGAGATGAAAGACGAGCCTGTATTCAAGCCACTGCAAGGAAATCCGTCCTCCTTTCAAGTTAGGGCTTCTCGCTGTATATTCCCCTTGAGGCAGCAAACTCGGGCTCCCTCCCACATACCTATTGCTGAGAGAAGCCTCCTCCTGAGGTGCTTCTGGGAAGTTGGCATACGTCTTGAGCCTAAGCCAGGGAATCAGCTCTCATCTCGAGACGATTTGGGGTACACAGAGCATTCGTCGAGTTGCTGTGCTGAAGTTGGTGTTCCTCTAGACTTGGGACAGTGTTCTCGGGGCATCTCTGGAGTTGCCTGAAGGAGGTCGAGCCACCGGTCGTGTTGAATGGGGAACGGGTTATGGCTCTGGAGTCAATGCAGGGGAATCAGGCCTCATCTCGAGTTGATTTGGGGCACATGGAGCTGCTTTGCGTTGCTGCGGTTACCTCAGGGTCCGTCTAGACTGGTGACAGTGTTCTTGGGGACTGTCTCGAGATCCGTTCAGCAAGTCGAAGCTCCTGACTTGTTTGAATGGGATCACGGAATAGCTCTGCATGCACTGCAGGGGAATGGGGCCTCATCTCGCCTCTAGGGGGAAGTCTCATGGTTTTTCTCGAGTTGCGGCGGGGACCTGGGGTATGTTCTCGACTTATGGCGGGGATGGCACTTCAAAACACGAGTTTCTTCAGTGACGTCAGGACTCCTGTCTAGTAACGAGGGACAACTCAGGAATCTCTTCGAGGCCTGGCAGGGCAAAAGGGACGCTTCTCGAGGTGAGGCAGGGCACCCAATGACCCTTTCCAGTAGCCACAGGGATTTTGGGATTCCTATCAGTATTCAAGAGGAGTCAGGCATCGTCACCTTTTGAAGCAATGAACTCCGCGTGCCTCTCGAGGTGTCAGCGGGATGTGAGGCATTCCGTCAAAATGAGGCAGGGACCGAGGGCTTTCTCTAAGGTCTCCACAGGGGATTCAGACATCCCTTCATGTTGTGAGATGAAAGACGAGCCTGTATTCAAGCCACTGCAAGGAAATCCGGCCTCCTTTCAAGTTAGGGCTTCTCGCTGTATATTCCCCTTGAGGCAGCAAACTCGGGGTCCCTCCCACATACCTATTGCTGAGAGAAGCCTCCTCCTGAGGTGCTTCTGGAAAGTTGGCATACGTCTTGAGCCTAAGCCAGGGAATCAGCTCTCATCTCGTGACGATTTGTGGTGCACGGAGCATTCCTCGAGTTGCTGTGCTGAAGTTGGTGTTCCTCTAGACTTGGGACAGTGATCTCTGGGCATCTCTGGAGTTGCTTGAAGGAAGTCGAGCCACCGGTCGTGTTGAATGGGGAACGCGGAATGGCTCTGGAATCAATGCAGGGGAATCGGGCCTCATCTCGAGTTGATTTGGGGCACATGGAGCTGCTTTGCGTTGCTGGGGTGACCTCAGGGTCCGTATAGACTAGTAACAGTGTTCTTGGGGACTGTCTCGAGATCCATTAAGCAAGTCGAAGCTCCTGACTTGTTTGAATGGGATCACGGAATAGCTCTGCATGCACTGCAGGGGAATGGGGCCTCATCTCGCCTCTAGGGGGAAGTTTCATGGTTTTTCTCGAGTTGCGGCTGGGACCTGGGGTATGTTCTCGACTTACGGCGGGGATGGCCCTTCAAAACACGAGTTTCTTCAGTGACGTCAGGACTCCTGTCTAGTAACGAGGGACACCTCAGGTATCTCTTTGAGGCTTGGCAGGGCAAAAGGGACGCTTCTCGAGGTGGGGCAGGGCACCCAAGACCCTTCCCAGTAGCCACAGTGATTTTGGGATTCCTATCAGTATTCAAGAGGAGTCAGGCATCGTCATCTTTTGAAGCAATGAACTCCGCGTGCCTCTCGAGGTGTCAGCGGGATGTGAGGCATTCCGTCAAAATGAGGCAGGGACCGAGGGCTTTCTCTAAGGTCTCCACAGGGGATTCAGACATCCCTTCATGTTGTGAGATGAAAGACGAGCCTGTATTCAAGCCACAGCAAGGAAATCCGGCCATCTTTCAAGTTAGGGGTTCTCGCTGTATATTCCCCTTGAGGCAGCAAACTCGGGGTCCCTCCCAAATACCTATTGCTGAGAGAAGCGTCCTCCTGAGGTGCTTCTGGAAAGTTGGCATACGTCTTGAGCCTAAGCCAGGGAATCAGCTCTCATCTCGAGACGATTTGGGGTGCACGGAGCATTCCTCGAGTTGCTGTGCTGAAATTGGTGTTCCTCTAGACATGGAACAGTGTTCTCGGGGCATCTCTGTAGTTGCCTGAAGGAAGTCGAGCCACCGGTCGTGTTGAATCGGGAATGGGGAATGGCTCTGGAGTCAATGCAGGGGAATCGGGCATCATCTCGAGTTGATTTGGGGCACATGGAGCTGCTTTGCGTTGCTGGGGTGCTTTCACGGTCCGTCTAGACTGGTGACAGTGTTCTTGGGGACTCTCTCAAGATCCATTTAGCAAGTCGAAGCTCCTGACTTGTTTGAATGGGATCACGGAATAGCTCTGCATGCACTGCAGGGAAATGGGGCCTCATCTCGCCTCTAGGGGGAAGTCTCATGGTTTTTCTCGAGTTGCGGCGGGACCTGGGGTATGTTCTCGACTTACGGCGGGAATGGCCCTTCAAAACACGAGTTTCTTCAGTGACGTCAGGACTCCTGTCTAGTAACGAGGGACACCTCAGGAATCTCTTCGAGGCTTGGCAGGGCAAAAGGGACGCTTCTCGAGGTGAGGCAGGGCACCCAAGGACCCTTTCCAGTAGCCACAGGGATTTGGGGATTCCTATCAGTATTCAAGAGGAGTCAGGCATCGTCACCTTTTGAAGCAATGAACTCCGCGTGCCTCTCAAGGTGTCAGCGGGATGTGAGGCATTCCGTCAAAATGAGGCAGGGAACTAGGGCTTTCTCTAAGGTCTCCACAGGGGATTCAGACATCCCTTCATGTTGTGAGATGAAAGACGGTCCTGTATTCAAGCCACTGCAAGGAAATCCGGCCTCCTTTCAAGTTAGGGCTTCTCGCTGTATATTCCCCTTGAGGCAGCAAACTCGGGGTCCCTCCCACATACCTATTGCTGAGAGAAGCCTCCTCCTGAGGTGCTTCTGGAAAGTTGGCATACGTCTTGAGCCTAAGCCAGGGAATCAGCTCTCATCTCGAGACGATTTGGGGTACACGGAGCATTCCTCGAGTTGCTGTGCTGAAGGTGGTGTTCCTCTAGACGTGGGACAGTGTTCTCGGGGCATCTCTGGAGTTGCCTGAAGGAAGTCGAGCCACCAGTCGTGTTGAATGGGGAACGGGGAATGGCTCTGGAATCAATGCAGGGGAATCGGGCCTCATCTCGAGTTGATTTGGGGCACATGGAGCTGCTTTGCGTTGCTGGGGTGACCTCAGGGTCCGTCTAGACTGGTGACAGTGTTCTTGCTGACTGTCTCGAGATCCATTAAGCAACTCGAAGCTCCTGACTTGTTTGAATGGGATCACGGAATAGCTCTGCATGCACTGCAGGGGAATGGGGCCTCATCTCGCCTCTAGGGGAAAGTCTCATGGTTTTTCTCGAGTTGCGGCGGGGACCTGGGGTATGTTCTCGACTTACGGCGGGAATGGCCCTTCAAAACACGAGTTTCTTCAGTGACGTCAGGACTCCTGTCTAGTAACGAGGGACACCTCAGGAATCTCCGAGGCTTGGCAGGGCAAAAGGGACGCTTCTCGAGGAGAAGCATGGCACCCAAGAACCCTTTCCTGTAGCCACAGGGATTTTGGGATTCCTATCAGTATTCAAGAGGAGTCAGGCATCGTCACCTTTTGAAACAATGAACTCTGCGTGCCTCTCGAGGTGTCAGCGGGATGTGAGGCATTCCGTCAAAATGAGGCAGGGCCCTAGGGCGTTCTCTCAGGTCTCCACAGCGGATTCAGACATCCCTTCATGTTGTGAGATGAAAGACGAGCCTGTATTCAAGCCACTGCAAGGAAATCCGGCCTCCTTTCAAGTTAGGGCTTCTCGCTGTGTATTCCCCTTGAGGCAACAAAATCGGGGACCCTCCCACATACCTATTGCTGAGAGAAGCCTCCTCCAGAGTTGCTTCTGGAAAGTTGGCAAATGCCTTGAGCCTAAGCCAATGAATCAGCTCTCATCTCGAGATGATTTGGGGTGCACGGAGGATTTCTCGAGTTGCTGTGCTGAAGTTGGTGTTCCTCTAGACTTGGGACAGTGATCTCGGGGCATCTCTGGAGTTGCCTGAAGGAAGTCGAGCCACCGGTCGTGTTGAATGGGGAACGGGGAATGGCTCTGGAGTCAATGCAGTGAAATCGGGCCTCATCTCGAGTTGATTTGGAGCACATGGAGCTGCTTTGCGTTGCTGGGGTGACCTCAGGGTCCGTCTAGACTGGTGACAGTGTTCTTGGGGACTGTCTCGAGATCCATTAAGCAAGTCGAAGCTCCTGACTTGTTTGAATGGGATCACGGAATAGCTCTGCATGCACTGCAGGGGAATGGGGCCTCATCTCGCCTCTAGGGGGAAGTCTCATGGTTTTTCTCGAGTTGCGGCGGGGACCTGGGGTATGTTCTCGACTTACGGCGGGGATGGCCCTTCAAAACACGAGTTTCTTCAGTGACATCAGGACTCCTGTCTAGTAACGAGGGATACCTCAGGAATCTCTTCGAGGGTTGGCAGGGCAAAAGGGACGCTACTCGAGGTGAGGCAGGGCACCCAAGGACCCTTTCCAGTAGCCAAAGGGATTTTGGGATTCCTATCAGTATTCAAGAGGAGTCAGGCATCGTCACCTTTTGAAGCAATGAACTCCGCGTGCCTCTCGAGGTGCCAGCGGGATGTGAGGCATTCCGTCAAAATGAGGCAGGGACCTAGGGCTTTCTCTAAGGTCTCTATAGGGGATTCAGACATCCCTTCATGTTGTGAGATGAAAGACGAGCCTGTATTCAAGCCACTGCAAGGAAATCCGGCCTCCTTTCAAGTTAGGGCTTCTCGCTGTATATTCCCCTTGAGGCAGCAAACTCGGGCTCCCTCCCACATACCTATTGCTGAGAGAAGCCTCCTCCTGAGGTGCTTCTGGAAAGTTGGCATATGTCTTGAGCCTAAGCCAGGGAATCAGCTCTCATCTCGAGACGATTTGGGGTACACGGAGCATTCCTCGAGTTGCTGTGCTGAAGTTGGTGTTCCTCTAGACTTGGGACAGTGTTCTTGGGGCATCTCGGGAGTTGCCTGAAGGAGGTCGAGCCACCGGTCGTGTTGAATGGGAAACGGGTTATGGCTCTGGTGTCAATGCAGGGGAATCGGGCCTCATCTCGAGTTGATTTGGGGCACATGGAGCTGCTTTGCGTTGCTGGGGTGACCTCAGGGTCTGTCTCGACTGGTGACAGTGTTCTTGCGGACTGTCTCGAGATCCATTAAGCAAGTCGAAGCTCCTGACTTGTTTTAATGGGATCACGGAATAGCTCTGCATGCACTGCAGGGGAATGGGGCCTCATCTCGCCTCTAGGGGGAAGTCTCATGGTTTTTCTCGAGTTGCGGCGGGGACCTGGGGTATGTTCTCGACTTACGGCGGGTATGGCCCTCCAAAACACGAGTTTCTTCAGTGACGTCAGGACTCCTGTCTAGTAACGAGGGACAACTCAGGAATCTCTCCGAGGCTTCGCAGGGCAAAAGGGACGCTTCTCGAGGTGAGGCAGGGCACCCAAGGACCCTTTCCAGTAGCCACAGGGATTTTGGGATTCCTATCAGTATTCAAGAGGAGTCAGGCATCGTCACCTTTTGAACCATAAACTCCGCGTGCCTCTCGAGGTGTCAGCGGGATGTGAGGCATTCTGTCAAAATGAGGCAGGGACCTAGGGCTTTCTCTAAGGTTTCCACAGGGGATTCAGACATCCCCTCATATTGTGAGATGAAAGACGAGCCTGTATTCAAGCCACTGCAAGGAAATCCGGCCTCCTTTCAAGTTAGGGCTTCTCACTGTATATTCCCCTTGAGGCAGCAAACTCGGGGTCCCTCCCACATACCTATTGCTGAGAGAAGCCTCCTCCTGAGGTGCTTCTGGAAAGTTGGCATTCGTCTTGAGCCTAAGCCAGGGAATCAGCTCTCATCTCGAGACGATTTGGGGTACACGGAGCATTCCTCGAGTTGCTGTGTTGAAGTTGCTCTTCCTCTAGACTTGGGACAGTGTTCTCGGTGCATCTCTGGAGTTGCCTGAAGGAAGTCGAGCCACCGGTCGTGTTGAATGGGGAACGGGGAATGGCTCTGGAGTCAATGCAGGGGAATCGAGCGTCATCTCGAGTTGATTTGGGGCACATGGAGCTGCTTTGCGTTGCTGGGTGATCTCAGGGTCCGTCTAGACTGGTGACAGTGTTCTTGGGGACTGTCTCGAGATCCATTAAGCAAGTCGAAGCTCCTGACTTGTTTGAATGGGATCACGGAATAGCTCTGCATGCACTGCAGGGGAATGGGCCTCATCTCGCCTCTAGGGGGAAGTCTCATGGTTTTTCTCGAGTTGCGGCGGGGACCTGGGGTATGTTCTCGACTTACGGCGGGCATGGCCCTTCAAAACACGAGTTTCTTCAGTGACGTCAGGACTCCTGTCTAGTAACGAGGGACACCTCAGGAATCTCTTCGATGCTTCACAGGGCAAAAGGGACGCTTCTCGAGGTGAGGCAGGGCACCCAAGGACCCTTTCCAGTAGCCACAGGGATTTTGGGATTCCTATCAGTGTTCAAGAGGAGTCAGGCATCGTCACCTTTTGAACCATGAACTCCGCGTGCCTCTCGAGGTGTCAGCGGGATGTGAGGCATTCTGTCCAAATGAGGCAGGGAACTAGGGCTTTCTCTAAGTTCTCCACAGGGGATTCAGACATCCCTTCATGTTGTGAGATGAAAGACGTGCCTGTATTCAAGCCACTGCAAGGAAATCCGGCCTCCTTTCAAGTTAGGGCTTCTCGCTGTATATTCCCCTTGAGGCAGCAAACTCGGGGTCCCTCCCACATACCTATTGCTGAGAGAAGCCTCCTCCTGAGGTGCTTCTGGAAAGTTGGCATACGTCTTGAGCCTAAGCCAGGGAATCAGCTCTCATCTCGAGACTATTTGGGGTACACGGAGCATTCCTCGAGTTGCTGTGCTGAAGTTGGTGTTCCTCTAGACTTGGGACAGTGTTCTCGGGGCATCTCTGGAGTTGCCTGAAGGAAGTGGAGCCACGGGTCGTGTTGAATGGGGAACGGGGAATGGCTCTGGAGTCAATGCAGGGGAATCAGGCCTCATCTCGAGTTGATTTGGGGCACATGGTGCTGCTTTGCGTTGCTGGGGTGACCTCAGGGTCCGTCTAGACTGGTGACAGTGTTCTTGGGGACTGTCGCGAGATCCATTAAGCAAGTCAAACCTCCTGACTTGTTTGAATGGGATCACGGAATAGCTCTGCATGCACTGCAGGGGAATGGGGCCTCATCTCACCTCTAGGGGGAAGTCTCATGGTTTTTCTCGAGTTGCGGCGGGGACCTGGGGTATGTTCTCGACTTACGGCGGGGATGGCACTTCAAAACACGAGTTTCTTCAGTGATGTCAGGACTCCTGTCTAGTAACGAGGGACACCTCAGGAATCTCTTCGAGGCTTCGCAGGGCAAAAGGGACGCTTCTCGAGGTGAGGCAGGGCACCCAAGGACCCTTTCCAGTAGCCACAGAGATTTTGGGATTCCTATCAGTGTTCAAGAGGAGTCAGGCATCGTCACCTTTTGAACCATGAAATCCGCGTGCCTCTCGAGGTGTCAGCGGGATGTGAGGCATTCCGCCAAAATGAGGCAGGGACCTAAGGCTTTCTCTAAGGTCTCTACAGGGGATTCAGACATCCCTTCATGTTGTGAGATGAAAGACGAGCCTGTATTCAAGCCACTGCAAGGAAATCCGGCCTCCTTTCAAGTTAGGGCTTCTCGCTGTATATTCCCCTTGAGGCAGCAAACTCGGGCTCCCTCCCCCATACCTATTGCTGAGAGAAGCCTCCTCCTGAGGTGCTTCTGGAAAGTTGGCATACGTCTTGAGCCTAAGCCAGGGAATCAGCTCTCATCTCGAGAAGATTTGGGGTGCACGGAGGATTTCTCGAGTTGCTGTGCTGAAGTTGGTGTTCCTCTAGACTTGGGACAGTGATCTCGGGGCATCTCTGGAGTTGCCTGAAGGAAGTCGAGCCACCGGTCGTGTTGAATGGGGAACGGGGAATGGCTCTGGAGTCAATGCATGAAATCGGGCCTCATCTCGAGTTGATTTGGGGCACATGGAGCTGCTTTGCGTTGCTGGGGTGACCTGAGGGTCCGTCTAGACTGGTGACAGTGTTCTTGGGGACTGTCTCGAGATCCATTAAGCAAGTCGAAGCTCCTGACTTGTTTGAATGGGATCACGGAATAGCTCTGCATGCACTGCAGGGGAATGGGGCCTCATCTCGCCTCAGGGGGAAGTCTCATGGTTTTTCTCGAGTTGCGGCGGGGACCTGGGGTATGTTCTCGACTTACGGCTGGGATGGCCCTTCAAAACACGAGTTTCTTCAGTGACATCAGGACTCCTGTCTAGTAACGAGGGATACCTCAGGAATCTCTTCGAGGGTTGGCAGGGCAAAAGGGATGCTACTCGAGGTGAGGCAGGGCACCCAAGGACCCTTTCCAGTAGCCACAGGGATTTTGGGATTCCTTTCAGTATTCAAGAGGAGTCAGGCATCGTCACCTTTTGAAGCAATGAACTCCGCGTGCCTCTCGAGGTGCCAGCGGGATGTGAGGCATTCCGTCAAAATGAGGCAGGGACCTAGGGCTTTCTCTAAGGTCTCTACAGGGGATTCGGACATCCCTTCATGTTATGAGATGAAAGACGAGCCTGTATTCAAGCCACTGCAAGGAAATCCGTCCTCCTTTCAAGTTAGGGCTTCTCGCTGTATATTCCCCTTGAGGCAGCAAACTCGGGCTCCCTCCCACATACCTATTGCTGAGAGAAGCCTCCTCCTGAGGTGCTTCTGGGAAGTTGGCATACGTCTTGAGCCTAAGCCAGGGAATCAGCTCTCATCTCGAGACGATTTGGGGTACACAGAGCATTCGTCGAGTTGCTGTGCTGAAGTTGGTGTTCCTCTAGACTTGGGACAGTGTTCTCGGGGCATCTCTGGAGTTGCCTGAAGGAGGTCGAGCCACCGGTCGTGTTGAATGGGGAACGGGTTATGGCTCTGGAGTCAATGCAGGGGAATCAGGCCTCATCTCGAGTTGATTTGGGGCACATGGAGCTGCTTTGCGTTGCTGCGGTTACCTCAGGGTCCGTCTAGACTGGTGACAGTGTTCTTGGGGACTGTCTCGAGATCCGTTCAGCAAGTCGAAGCTCCTGACTTGTTTGAATGGGATCACGGAATAGCTCTGCATGCACTGCAGGGGAATGGGGCCTCATCTCGCCTCTAGGGGGAAGTCTCATGGTTTTTCACGAGTTGCGGCGGGGACCTGGGGTATGTTCTCGACTTATGGCGGGGATGGCACTTCAAAACACGAGTTTCTTCAGTGACGTCAGGACTCCTGTCTAGTAACGAGGGACAACTCAGGAATCTCTTCGAGGCCTGGCAGGGCAAAAGGGACGCTTCTCGAGGTGAGGCAGGGCACCCAATGACCCTTTCCAGTAGCCACAGGGATTTTGGGATTCCTATCAGTATTCAAGAGGAGTCAGGCATCGTCACCTTTTGAAGCAATGAACTCCGCGTGCCTCTCGAGGTGTCAGCGGGATGTGAGGCATTCCGTCAAAATGAGGCAGGGACCGAGGGCTTTCTCTAAGGTCTCCACAGGGGATTCAGACATCCCTTCATGTTGTGAGATGAAAGACGAGCCTGTATTCAAGCCACTGCAAGGAAATCCGGCCTCCTTTCAAGTTAGGGCTTCTCGCTGTATATTCCCCTTGAGGCAGCAAACTCGGGGTCCCTCCCACATACCTATTGCTGAGAGAAGCCTCCTCCTGAGGTGCTTCTGGAAAGTTGGCATACGTCTTGAGCCTAAGCCAGGGAATCAGCTCTCATCTCGTGACGATTTGTGGTGCACGGAGCATTCCTCGAGTTGCTGTGCTGAAGTTGGTGTTCCTCTAGACTTGGGACAGTGATCTCTGGGCATCTCTGGAGTTGCTTGAAGGAAGTCGAGCCACCGGTCGTGTTGAATGGGGAACGCGGAATGGCTCTGGAATCAATGCAGGGGAATCGGGCCTCATCTCGAGTTGATTTGGGGCACATGGAGCTGCTTTGCGTTGCTGGGGTGACCTCAGGGTCCGTATAGACTAGTAACAGTGTTCTTGGGGACTGTCTCGAGATCCATTAAGCAAGTCGAAGCTCCTGACTTGTTTGAATGGGATCACGGAATAGCTCTGCATGCACTGCAGGGGAATGGGGCCTCATCTCGCCTCTAGGGGGAAGTTTCATGGTTTTTCTCGAGTTGCGGCTGGGACCTGGGGTATGTTCTCGACTTACGGCGGGGATGGCCCTTCAAAACACGAGTTTCTTCAGTGACGTCAGGACTCCTGTCTAGTAACGAGGGACACCTCAGGTATCTCTTCGAGGCTTGGCAGGGCAAAAGGGACGCTTCTCGAGGTGGGGCAGGGCACCCAAGACCCTTCCCAGTAGCCACAGTGATTTTGGGATTCCTATCAGTATTCAAGAGGAGTCAGGCATCGTCATCTTTTGAAGCAATGAACTCCGCGTGCCTCTCGAGGTGTCAGCGGGATGTGAGGCATTCCGTCAAAATGAGGCAGGGACCGAGGGCTTTCTCTAAGGTCTCCACAGGGGATTCAGACATCCCTTCATGTTGTGAGATGAAAGACGAGCCTGTATTCAAGCCACAGCAAGGAAATCCGGCCATCTTTCAAGTTAGGGGTTCTCGCTGTATATTCCCCTTGAGGCAGCAAACTCGGGGTCCCTCCCAAATACCTATTGCTGAGAGAAGCGTCCTCCTGAGGTGCTTCTGGAAAGTTGGCATACGTCTTGAGCCTAAGCCAGGGAATCAGCTCTCATCTCGAGACGATTTGGGGTGCACGGAGCATTCCTCGAGTTGCTGTGCTGAAATTGGTGTTCCTCTAGACATGGAACAGTGTTCTCGGGGCATCTCTGTAGTTGCCTGAAGGAAGTCGAGCCACCGGTCGTGTTGAATCGGGAATGGGGAATGGCTCTGGAGTCAATGCAGGGGAATCGGGCATCATCTCGAGTTGATTTGGGGCACATGGAGCTGCTTTGCGTTGCTGGGGTGCTTTCACGGTCCGTCTAGACTGGTGACAGTGTTCTTGGGGACTCTCTCAAGATCCATTTAGCAAGTCGAAGCTCCTGACTTGTTTGAATGGGATCACGGAATAGCTCTGCATGCACTGCAGGGAAATGGGGCCTCATCTCGCCTCTAGGGGGAAGTCTCATGGTTTTTCTCGAGTTGCGGCGGGACCTGGGGTATGTTCTCGACTTACGGCGGGAATGGCCCTTCAAAACACGAGTTTCTTCAGTGACGTCAGGACTCCTGTCTAGTAACGAGGGACACCTCAGGAATCTCTTCGAGGCTTGGCAGGGCAAAAGGGACGCTTCTCGAGGTGAGGCAGGGCACCCAAGGACCCTTTCCAGTAGCCACAGGGATTTGGGGATTCCTATCAGTATTCAAGAGGAGTCAGGCATCGTCACCTTTTGAAGCAATGAACTCCGCGTGCCTCTCAAGGTGTCAGCGGGATGTGAGGCATTCCGTCAAAATGAGGCAGGGAACTAGGGCTTTCTCTAAGGTCTCCACAGGGGATTCAGACATCCCTTCATGTTGTGAGATGAAAGACGGTCCTGTATTCAAGCCACTGCAAGGAAATCCGGCCTCCTTTCAAGTTAGGGCTTCTCGCTGTATATTCCCCTTGAGGCAGCAAACTCGGGGTCCCTCCCACATACCTATTGCTGAGAGAAGCCTCCTCCTGAGGTGCTTCTGGAAAGTTGGCATACGTCTTGAGCCTAAGCCAGGGAATCAGCTCTCATCTCGAGACGATTTGGGGTACACGGAGCATTCCTCGAGTTGCTGTGCTGAAGGTGGTGTTCCTCTAGACGTGGGACAGTGTTCTCGGGGCATCTCTGGAGTTGCCTGAAGGAAGTCGAGCCACCAGTCGTGTTGAATGGGGAACGGGGAATGGCTCTGGAATCAATGCAGGGGAATCGGGCCTCATCTCGAGTTGATTTGGGGCACATGGAGCTGCTTTGCGTTGCTGGGGTGACCTCAGGGTCCGTCTAGACTGGTGACAGTGTTCTTGCTGACTGTCTCGAGATCCATTAAGCAACTCGAAGCTCCTGACTTGTTTGAATGGGATCACGGAATAGCTCTGCATGCACTGCAGGGGAATGGGGCCTCATCTCGCCTCTAGGGGAAAGTCTCATGGTTTTTCTCGAGTTGCGGCGGGGACCTGGGGTATGTTCTCGACTTACGGCGGGAATGGCCCTTCAAAACACGAGTTTCTTCAGTGACGTCAGGACTCCTGTCTAGTAACGAGGGACACCTCAGGAATCTCCGAGGCTTGGCAGGGCAAAAGGGACGCTTCTCGAGGAGAAGCATGGCACCCAAGAACCCTTTCCTGTAGCCACAGGGATTTTGGGATTCCTATCAGTATTCAAGAGGAGTCAGGCATCGTCACCTTTTGAAACAATGAACTCTGCGTGCCTCTCGAGGTGTCAGCGGGATGTGAGGCATTCCGTCAAAATGAGGCAGGGCCCTAGGGCGTTCTCTCAGGTCTCCACAGCGGATTCAGACATCCCTTCATGTTGTGAGATGAAAGACGAGCCTGTATTCAAGCCACTGCAAGGAAATCCGGCCTCCTTTCAAGTTAGGGCTTCTCGCTGTGTATTCCCCTTGAGGCAACAAAATCGGGGACCCTCCCACATACCTATTGCTGAGAGAAGCCTCCTCCAGAGTTGCTTCTGGAAAGTTGGCAAATGCCTTGAGCCTAAGCCAATGAATCAGCTCTCATCTCGAGATGATTTGGGGTGCACGGAGGATTTCTCGAGTTGCTGTGCTGAAGTTGGTGTTCCTCTAGACTTGGGACAGTGATCTCGGGGCATCTCTGGAGTTGCCTGAAGGAAGTCGAGCCACCGGTCGTGTTGAATGGGGAACGGGGAATGGCTCTGGAGTCAATGCAGTGAAATCGGGCCTCATCTCGAGTTGATTTGGAGCACATGGAGCTGCTTTGCGTTGCTGGGGTGACCTCAGGGTCCGTCTAGACTGGTGACAGTGTTCTTGGGGACTGTCTCGAGATCCATTAAGCAAGTCGAAGCTCCTGACTTGTTTGAATGGGATCACGGAATAGCTCTGCATGCACTGCAGGGGAATGGGGCCTCATCTCGCCTCTAGGGGGAAGTCTCATGGTTTTTCTCGAGTTGCGGCGGGGACCTGGGGTATGTTCTCGACTTACGGCGGGGATGGCCCTTCAAAACACGAGTTTCTTCAGTGACATCAGGACTCCTGTCTAGTAACGAGGGATACCTCAGGAATCTCTTCGAGGGTTGGCAGGGCAAAAGGGACGCTACTCGAGGTGAGGCAGGGCACCCAAGGACCCTTTCCAGTAGCCAAAGGGATTTTGGGATTCCTATCAGTATTCAAGAGGAGTCAGGCATCGTCACCTTTTGAAGCAATGAACTCCGCGTGCCTCTCGAGGTGCCAGCGGGATGTGAGGCATTCCGTCAAAATGAGGCAGGGACCTAGGGCTTTCTCTAAGGTCTCTATAGGGGATTCAGACATCCCTTCATGTTGTGAGATGAAAGACGAGCCTGTATTCAAGCCACTGCAAGGAAATCCGGCCTCCTTTCAAGTTAGGGCTTCTCGCTGTATATTCCCCTTGAGGCAGCAAACTCGGGCTCCCTCCCACATACCTATTGCTGAGAGAAGCCTCCTCCTGAGGTGCTTCTGGAAAGTTGGCATATGTCTTGAGCCTAAGCCAGGGAATCAGCTCTCATCTCGAGACGATTTGGGGTACACGGAGCATTCCTCGAGTTGCTGTGCTGAAGTTGGTGTTCCTCTAGACTTGGGACAGTGTTCTTGGGGCATCTCGGGAGTTGCCTGAAGGAGGTCGAGCCACCGGTCGTGTTGAATGGGAAACGGGTTATGGCTCTGGTGTCAATGCAGGGGAATCGGGCCTCATCTCGAGTTGATTTGGGGCACATGGAGCTGCTTTGCGTTGCTGGGGTGACCTCAGGGTCTGTCTCGACTGGTGACAGTGTTCTTGGGGACTGTCTCGAGATCCATTAAGCAAGTCGAAGCTCCTGACTTGTTTTAATGGGATCACGGAATAGCTCTGCATGCACTGCAGGGGAATGGGGCCTCATCTCGCCTCTAGGGGGAAGTCTCATGGTTTTTCTCGAGTTGCGGCGGGGACCTGGGGTATGTTCTCGACTTACGGCGGGTATGGCCCTCCAAAACACGAGTTTCTTCAGTGACGTCAGGACTCCTGTCTAGTAACGAGGGACAACTCAGGAATCTCTCCGAGGCTTCGCAGGGCAAAAGGGACGCTTCTCGAGGTGAGGCAGGGCACCCAAGGACCCTTTCCAGTAGCCACAGGGATTTTGGGATTCCTATCAGTATTCAAGAGGAGTCAGGCATCGTCACCTTTTGAACCATAAACTCCGCGTGCCTCTCGAGGTGTCAGCGGGATGTGAGGCATTCTGTCAAAATGAGGCAGGGACCTAGGGCTTTCTCTAAGGTTTCCACAGGGGATTCAGACATCCCCTCATATTGTGAGATGAAAGACGAGCCTGTATTCAAGCCACTGCAAGGAAATCCGGCCTCCTTTCAAGTTAGGGCTTCTCACTGTATATTCCCCTTGAGGCAGCAAACTCGGGGTCCCTCCCACATACCTATTGCTGAGAGAAGCCTCCTCCTGAGGTGCTTCTGGAAAGTTGGCATTCGTCTTGAGCCTAAGCCAGGGAATCAGCTCTCATCTCGAGACGATTTGGGGTACACGGAGCATTCCTCGAGTTGCTGTGTTGAAGTTGCTCTTCCTCTAGACTTGGGACAGTGTTCTCGGTGCATCTCTGGAGTTGCCTGAAGGAAGTCGAGCCACCGGTCGTGTTGAATGGGGAACGGGGAATGGCTCTGGAGTCAATGCAGGGGAATCGAGCGTCATCTCGAGTTGATTTGGGGCACATGGAGCTGCTTTGCGTTGCTGGGGTGACCTCAGGGTCCGTCTAGACTGGTGACAGTGTTCTTGGGGACTGTCTCGAGATCCATTAAGCAAGTCGAAGCTCCTGACTTGTTTGAATGGGATCACGGAATAGCTCTGCATGCACTGCAGGGGAATGGGGCCTCATCTCGCCTCTAGGGGGAAGTCTCATGGTTTTTCTCGAGTTGCGGCGGGGACCTGGGGTATGTTCTCGACTTACGGCGGGGATGGCCCTTCAAAACACGAGTTTCTTCAGTGACATCAGGACTCCTGTCTAGTAACGAGGGATACCTCAGGAATCTCTTCGAGGGTTGGCAGGGCAAAAGGGACGCTACTCGAGGTGAGGCAGGGCACCCAAGGACCCTTTCCAGTAGCCAAAGGGATTTTGGGATTCCTATCAGTATTCAAGAGGAGTCAGGCATCGTCACCTTTTGAAGCAATGAACTCCGCGTGCCTCTCGAGGTGCCAGCGGGATGTGAGGCATTCCGTCAAAATGAGGCAGGGACCTAGGGCTTTCTCTAAGGTCTCTATAGGGGATTCAGACATCCCTTCATGTTGTGAGATGAAAGACGAGCCTGTATTCAAGCCACTGCAAGGAAATCCGGCCTCCTTTCAAGTTAGGGCTTCTCGCTGTATATTCCCCTTGAGGCAGCAAACTCGGGCTCCCTCCCACATACCTATTGCTGAGAGAAGCCTCCTCCTGAGGTGCTTCTGGAAAGTTGGCATATGTCTTGAGCCTAAGCCAGGGAATCAGCTCTCATCTCGAGACGATTTGGGGTACACGGAGCATTCCTCGAGTTGCTGTGCTGAAGTTGGTGTTCCTCTAGACTTGGGACAGTGTTCTTGGGGCATCTCGGGAGTTGCCTGAAGGAGGTCGAGCCACCGGTCGTGTTGAATGGGAAACGGGTTATGGCTCTGGTGTCAATGCAGGGGAATCGGGCCTCATCTCGAGTTGATTTGGGGCACATGGAGCTGCTTTGCGTTGCTGGGGTGACCTCAGGGTCTGTCTCGACTGGTGACAGTGTTCTTGGGGACTGTCTCGAGATCCATTAAGCAAGTCGAAGCTCCTGACTTGTTTTAATGGGATCACGGAATAGCTCTGCATGCACTGCAGGGGAATGGGGCCTCATCTCGCCTCTAGGGGGAAGTCTCATGGTTTTTCTCGAGTTGCGGCGGGGACCTGGGGTATGTTCTCGACTTACGGCGGGTATGGCCCTCCAAAACACGAGTTTCTTCAGTGACGTCAGGACTCCTGTCTAGTAACGAGGGACAACTCAGGAATCTCTCCGAGGCTTCGCAGGGCAAAAGGGACGCTTCTCGAGGTGAGGCAGGGCACCCAAGGACCCTTTCCAGTAGCCACAGGGATTTTGGGATTCCTATCAGTATTCAAGAGGAGTCAGGCATCGTCACCTTTTGAACCATAAACTCCGCGTGCCTCTCGAGGTGTCAGCGGGATGTGAGGCATTCTGTCAAAATGAGGCAGGGACCTAGGGCTTTCTCTAAGGTTTCCACAGGGGATTCAGACATCCCCTCATATTGTGAGATGAAAGACGAGCCTGTATTCAAGCCACTGCAAGGAAATCCGGCCTCCTTTCAAGTTAGGGCTTCTCACTGTATATTCCCCTTGAGGCAGCAAACTCGGGGTCCCTCCCACATACCTATTGCTGAGAGAAGCCTCCTCCTGAGGTGCTTCTGGAAAGTTGGCATTCGTCTTGAGCCTAAGCCAGGGAATCAGCTCTCATCTCGAGACGATTTGGGGTACACGGAGCATTCCTCGAGTTGCTGTGTTGAAGTTGCTCTTCCTCTAGACTTGGGACAGTGTTCTCGGTGCATCTCTGGAGTTGCCTGAAGGAAGTCGAGCCACCGGTCGTGTTGAATGGGGAACGGGGAATGGCTCTGGAGTCAATGCAGGGGAATCGAGCGTCATCTCGAGTTGATTTGGGGCACATGGAGCTGCTTTGCGTTGCTGGGTGATCTCAGGGTCCGTCTAGACTGGTGACAGTGTTCTTGGGGACTGTCTCGAGATCCATTAAGCAAGTCGAAGCTCCTGACTTGTTTGAATGGGATCACGGAATAGCTCTGCATGCACTGCAGGGGAATGGGCCTCATCTCGCCTCTAGGGGGAAGTCTCATGGTTTTTCTCGAGTTGCGGCGGGGACCTGGGGTATGTTCTCGACTTACGGCGGGCATGGCCCTTCAAAACACGAGTTTCTTCAGTGACGTCAGGACTCCTGTCTAGTAACGAGGGACACCTCAGGAATCTCTTCGATGCTTCACAGGGCAAAAGGGACGCTTCTCGAGGTGAGGCAGGGCACCCAAGGACCCTTTCCAGTAGCCACAGGGATTTTGGGATTCCTATCAGTGTTCAAGAGGAGTCAGGCATCGTCACCTTTTGAACCATGAACTCCGCGTGCCTCTCGAGGTGTCAGCGGGATGTGAGGCATTCTGTCCAAATGAGGCAGGGAACTAGGGCTTTCTCTAAGTTCTCCACAGGGGATTCAGACATCCCTTCATGTTGTGAGATGAAAGACGTGCCTGTAATCAAGCCACTGCAAGGAAATCCGGCCTCCTTTCAAGTTAGGGCTTCTCGCTGTATATTCCCCTTGAGGCAGCAAACTCGGGGTCCCTCCCACATACCTATTGCTGAGAGAAGCCTCCTCCTGAGGTGCTTCTGGAAAGTTGGCATACGTCTTGAGCCTAAGCCAGGGAATCAGCTCTCATCTCGAGACTATTTGGGGTACACGGAGCATTCCTCGAGTTGCTGTGCTGAAGTTGGTGTTCCTCTAGACTTGGGACAGTGTTCTCGGGGCATCTCTGGAGTTGCCTGAAGGAAGTGGAGCCACGGGTCGTGTTGAATGGGGAACGGGGAATGGCTCTGGAGTCAATGCAGGGGAATCAGGCCTCATCTCGAGTTGATTTGGGGCACATGGTGCTGCTTTGCGTTGCTGGGGTGACCTCAGGGTCCGTCTAGACTGGTGACAGTGTTCTTGGGGACTGTCGCGAGATCCATTAAGCAAGTCAAACCTCCTGACTTGTTTGAATGGGATCACGGAATAGCTCTGCATGCACTGCAGGGGAATGGGGCCTCATCTCACCTCTAGGCGGAAGTCTCATGGTTTTTCTCGAGTTGCGGCGGGGACCTGGGGTATGTTCTCGACTTACGGCGGGGATGGCCCTTCAAAACACGAGTTTCTTCAGTGACGTCAGGACTCCTGTCTAGTAACGAGGGACACCTCAGGAATCTCTTCGAGGCTTCGCAGGGCAAAAGGGACGCTTCTCGAGGTGAGGCAGGGCACCCAAGGACCCTTTCCAGTAGCCACAGAGATTTTGGGATTCCTATCAGTGTTCAAGAGGAGTCAGGCATCGTCACCTTTTGAACCATGAAATCCGCGTGCCTCTCGAGGTGTCAGCGGGATGTGAGGCATTCCGCCAAAATGAGGCAGGGACCTAAGGCTTTCTCTAAGGTCTCTACAGGGGATTCAGACATCCCTTCATGTTGTGAGATGAAAGACGAGCCTGTATTCAAGCCACTGCAAGGAAATCCGGCCTCCTTTCAAGTTAGGGCTTCTCGCTGTATATTCCCCTTGAGGCAGCAAACTCGGGCTCCCTCCCCCATACCTATTGCTGAGAGAAGCCTCCTCCTGAGGTGCTTCTGGAAAGTTGGCATACGTCTTGAGCCTAAGCCAGGGAATCAGCTCTCATCTCGAGAAGATTTGGGGTGCACGGAGGATTTCTCGAGTTGCTGTGCTGAAGTTGGTGTTCCTCTAGACTTGGGACAGTGATCTCGGGGCATCTCTGGAGTTGCCTGAAGGAAGTCGAGCCACCGGTCGTGTTGAATGGGGAACGGGGAATGGCTCTGGAGTCAATGAAGGAAATCGGGCCTCATCTCGAGTTGATTTGGGGCACATGGAGCTGCTTTGCGTTGCTGGGGTGACCTCAGGGCCGTCTAGACTGGTGACAGTGTTCTTGCTGACTGTCTCGAGATCCATTAAGCAACTCGAAGCTCCTGACTTGTTTGAATGGGATCACGGAATAGCTCTGCATGCACTGCAGGGGAATGGGGCCTCATCTCGCCTCTAGGGGAAAGTCTCATGGTTTTTCTCGAGTTGCGGCGGGGACCTGGGGTATGTTCTCGACTTACGGCGGGAATGTCCCTTCAAAACACGAGTTTCTTCAGTGACGTCAGGACTCCTGTCTAGTAACGAGGGACACCTCAGGAATCTCTTCGAGGCTTCGCAGGGCAAAAGGGACGCTTCTCGAGGTGAGGCAGGGCACCCAAGGACCCTTTCCAGTAGCCACAGAGATTTTGGGATTCCTATCAGTGTTCAAGAGGAGTCAGGCATCGTCACCTTTTGAACCATGAAATCCGCGTGCCTCTCGAGGTGTCAGCGGGATGTGAGGCATTCCGCCAAAATGAGGCAGGGACCTAAGGCTTTCTCTAAGGTCTCTACAGGGGATTCAGACATCCCTTCATGTTGTGAGATGAAAGACGAGCCTGTATTCAAGCCACTGCAAGGAAATCCGGCCTCCTTTCAAGTTAGGGCTTCTCGCTGTATATTCCCCTTGAGGCAGCAAACTCGGGCTCCCTCCCCCATACCTATTGCTGAGAGAAGCCTCCTCCTGAGGTGCTTCTGGAAAGTTGGCATACGTCTTGAGCCTAAGCCAGGGAATCAGCTCTCATCTCGAGAAGATTTGGGGTGCACGGAGGATTTCTCGAGTTGCTGTGCTGAAGTTGGTGTTCCTCTAGACTTGGGACAGTGATCTCGGGGCATCTCTGGAGTTGCCTGAAGGAAGTCGAGCCACCGGTCGTGTTGAATGGGGAATGGGGAATGGCTCCGGAGTCAATGAAGGAAATCGGGCCTCATCTCGAGTTGATTTGGGGCACATGGAGCTGCTTTGCGTTGCTGGGGTGACCTGAGGGTCCGTCTAGACTGGTGACAGTGTTCTTGGGGACTGTCTCGAGATCCATTAAGCAAGTCGAAGCTCCTGACTTGTTTGAATGGGATCACGGAATAGCTCTGCATGCACTGCAGGGGAATGGGGCCTCATCTCGCCTCAGGGGAAAGTCTCATGGTTTTTCTCGAGTTGCGGCGGGGACCTGGGGTATGTTCTCGACTTACGGCGGGGATGGCCCTTCAAAACACGAGTTTCTTCAGTGACATCAGGACTCCTGTCTAGTAACGAGGGATACCTCAGGAATCTCTTCGAGGGTTGGCAGGGCAAAAGGGACGCTACTCGAGGTGAGGCAGGGCACCCAAGGACCCTTTCCAGTAGCCACAGGGATTTTGGGATTCCTTTCAGTATTCAAGAGGAGTCAGGCATTGTCACCTTTTGAAGCAATGAACTCCGCGTGCCTCTCGAGGTGCCAGCGGGATGTGAGGCATTCCGTCAAAATGAGGCAGGGACCTAGGGCTTTCTCTAAGGTCTCTACAGGGGATTCAGACATCCCATCATGTTGTGAGATGAAAGACGAGCCTGTATTCAAGCCACTGCAAGGAAATCCGGCCTCCTTTCAAGTTAGGGCTTCTCGCTGTATATTCCCCTTGAGGCAGCAAACTCGGGCTCCCTCCCCCATACCTATTGCTGAGAGAAGCCTCCTCCTGAGGTGCTTCTGGAAAGTTGGCATACGTCTTGAGCCTAAGCCAGGGAATCAGCTCTCATCTCGAGAAGATTTGGGGTGCACGGAGGATTTCTCGAGTTGCTGTGCTGAAGTTGGTGTTCCTCTAGACTTGGGACAGTGATCTCGGGGCATCTCTGGAGTTGCCTGAAGGAAGTCGAGCCACCGGTCGTGTTGAATGGGGAACGGGGAATGGCTCCGGAGTCAATGAAGGAAATCGGGCCTCATCTCGAGTTGATTTGGGGCACATGGAGCTGCTTTGCGTTGCTGGGGTGACCTGAGGGTCCGTCTAGACTGGTGACAGTGTTCTTGGGGACTGTCTCGAGATCCATTAAGCAAGTCGAAGCTCCTGACTTGTTTGAATGGGATCACGGAATAGCTCTGCATGCACTGCAGGGGAATGGGGCCTCATCTCGCCTCAGGGGAAAGTCTCATGGTTTTTCTCGAGTTGCGGCGGGGACCTGGGGTATGTTCTCGACTTACGGCGGGGATGGCCCTTCAAAACACGAGTTTCTTCAGTGACATCAGGACTCCTGTCTAGTAACGAGGGATACCTCAGGAATCTCTTCGAGGGTTGGCAGGGCAAAAGGGACGCTACTCGAGGTGAGGCAGGGCACCCAAGGACCCTTTCCAGTAGCCACAGGGATTTTGGGATTCCTTTCAGTATTCAAGAGGAGTCAGGCATTGTCACCTTTTGAAGCAATGAACTCCGCGTGCCTCTCGAGGTGCCAGCCGGATGTGAGGCATTCCGTCAAAATGAGGCAGGGACCTAGGGCTTTCTCTAAGGTCTCTACAGGGGATTCAGACATCCCTTCATGTTGTGAGATGAAAGACGAGCCTGTATTCAAGCCACTGCAAGGAAATCCGGCCTCCTTTCAAGTTAGGGCTTCTCGCTGTATATTCCCCTTGAGGCAGCAAACTCGGGCTCCCTCCCACATACCTATTGCTGAGAGAAGCCTCCTCCTGAGGTGCTTCTGGAAAGTTGGCATACGTCTTGAGCCTAAGCCAGGGAATCAGCTCTCATCTCGAGACGATTTGGGGTACACGGAGCATTCCTCGAGTTGCTGTGCTGAAGTTGGTGTTCCTCTAGACTTGGGACAGTGTTCTTGGGGCATCTCTGGAGTTGCCTGTAGGAGGTCGAGCCACCGGTCGTGTTGAATGGGGAATGGGTTATGGCTCTGGAGTCAATGCAGGGGAATCGGGCCTCATCTCGAGTTGATTTGGGGCACATGGAGCTGCTTTGCGTTGCTGGGGTGACCTCAGGGTCTGTCTCGACTGGTGACAGTGTTCTTGGGGACTGTCTCGAGATCCATTAAGCAAGTCGAAGCTCCTGACTTGTTTGAATGGGATCACGGAATAGCTCTGCATGCACTGCAGGGGAATGGGGCCTCATCTCGCCTCTAGGGGGAAGTCTCATGGTTTTTCTCGAGTTGCGTCGGGGACCTGGGGTATGTTCTCGACTTACGGCGGGGATGGCCCTTCAAAACACGAGTTTCTTCAGTGACGTCAGGACTCCTGTCTAGTAACGAGGGACACCTCAGGAATCTCTCCGAGGCTTCGCAGGGCAAAAGGGACGCTTCTCGAGGTGAGGCAGGGCACCCAAGGACCCTTTCCAGTAGCCACAGGGATTTTGGGATTCCTATCAGTATTCAAGAGGAGTCAGGCATCGTCACCTTTTGAACCATGAACTCCGCGTGCCTCTCGAGGTGTCAGCGGGATGTGAGGCATTCTGTCAAAATGAGGCAGGGACCTAGGGCTTTCTCTAAGGTTTCCACAGGGGATTCAGACATCCCTTCATGTTGTGAGATGAAAGACGAGCCTGTATTCAAGCCACTGCAAGGAAATCTGGCCTCCTTTCAAGTTAGGGCTTCTCGCTGTATATTCCCCTTGAGGCAGCAAACTCGGGGTCCCTCCCACATACCTATTGCTGAGAGAAGCCTCCTCCTGAGGTGCTTCTGGAAAGTTGGCATACGTCTTGAGCCTAAGCCAGGGAATCAGCTCTCATCTTGAGACGATTTGGGGTACACGGAGCATTCCTCGAATTGCTGTGCTGAAGTTGGTGTTCCTCTAGACTTGGGACAGTGTTCTCGGGGCATCTCTGGAGTTGACTGAAGGAAGTTGAGCCACCGGTCGTGTTGAATGGGGAACGGGGAATGGCTCTGGAGTCAATGCAGGGAAATCGGGCCTCATCTTGAGTTGATTTGGGGCACATGGAGCTGCTTTGCGTTGCTGGGGTGACCTCAGGGTCCGTCTAGACTGGTGACAGTGTTCTTGGGGACTGTCTAGAGATCCATTAAGCAAGTCGAAGCTCCTGACTTGTTTGAATGGGATCACGGAATAGCTCTGCATGCACTGCAGGGGAATGGGGCCTCATCTCGCCTCTAGGGGGAAGTCTCATGGTTTTTCTCGAGTTGCGGCGGGGACCTGGGGTATGTTCTCGACTTACGGCGGGAATGTCCCTTCAAAACACGAGTTTCTTCAGTGACGTCAGGACTCCTGTCTAGTAACGAGGGACACCTCAGGAATCTCTTCGAGGCTTCGCAGGGCAAAAGGGACGCTTCTCGAGGTGAGGCAGGGCACCCAAGGACCCTTTCCAGTAGCCACAGAGATTTTGGGATTCCTATCAGTGTTCAAGAGGAGTCAGGCATCGTCACCTTTTGAACCATGAAATCCGCGTGCCTCTCGAGGTGTCAGCGGGATGTGAGGCATTCCGCCAAAATGAGGCAGGGACCTAAGGCTTTCTCTAAGGTCTCTACAGGGGATTCAGACATCCCTTCATGTTGTGAGATGAAAGACGAGCCTGTATTCAAGCCACTGCAAGGAAATCCGGCCTCCTTTCAAGTTAGGGCTTCTCGCTGTATATTCCCCTTGAGGCAGCAAACTCGGGCTCCCTCCCCCATACCTATTGCTGAGAGAAGCCTCCTCCTGAGGTGCTTCTGGAAAGTTGGCATACGTCTTGAGCCTAAGCCAGGGAATCAGCTCTCATCTCGAGAAGATTTGGGGTGCACGGAGGATTTCTCGAGTTGCTGTGCTGAAGTTGGTGTTCCTCTAGACTTGGGACAGTGATCTCGGGGCATCTCTGGAGTTGCCTGAAGGAAGTCGAGCCACCGGTCGTGTTGAATGGGGAACGGGGAATGGCTCCGGAGTCAATGAAGGAAATCGGGCCTCATCTCGAGTTGATTTGGGGCACATGGAGCTGCTTTGCGTTGCTGGGGTGACCTGAGGGTCCGTCTAGACTGGTGACAGTGTTCTTGGGGACTGTCTCGAGATCCATTAAGCAAGTCGAAGCTCCTGACTTGTTTGAATGGGATCACGGAATAGCTCTGCATGCACTGCAGGGGAATGGGGCCTCATCTCGCCTCAGGGGAAAGTCTCATGGTTTTTCTCGAGTTGCGGCGGGGACCAGGGGTATGTTCTCGACTTACGGCGGGGATGGCCCTTCAAAACACGAGTTTCTTCAGTGACATCAGGACTCCTGTCTAGTAACGAGGGATACCTCAGGAATCTCTTCGAGGGTTGGCAGGGCAAAAGGGACGCTACTCGAGGTGAGGCAGGGCACCCAAGGACCCTTTCCAGTAGCCACAGGGATTTTGGGATTCCTTTCAGTATTCAAGAGGAGTCAGGCATTGTCACCTTTTGAAGCAATGAACTCCGCGTGCCTCTCGAGGTGCCAGCGGGATGTGAGGCATTCCGTCAAAATGAGGCAGGGACCTAGGGCTTTCTCTAAGGTCTCTACAGGGGATTCAGACATCCCATCATGTTGTGAGATGAAAGACGAGCCTGTATTCAAGCCACTGCAAGGAAATCCGGCCTCCTTTCAAGTTAGGGCTTCTCGCTGTATATTCCCCTTGAGGCAGCAAACTCGGGCTCCCTCCCCCATACCTATTGCTGAGAGAAGCCTCCTCCTGAGGTGCTTCTGGAAAGTTGGCATACGTCTTGAGCCTAAGCCAGGGAATCAGCTCTCATCTCGAGAAGATTTGGGGTGCACGGAGGATTTCTCGAGTTGCTGTGCTGAAGTTGGTGTTCCTCTAGACTTGGGACAGTGATCTCGGGGCATCTCTGGAGTTGCCTGAAGGAAGTCGAGCCACCGGTCGTGTTGAATGGGGAACGGGGAATGGCTCCGGAGTCAATGAAGGAAATCGGGCCTCATCTCGAGTTGATTTGGGGCACATGGAGCTGCTTTGCGTTGCTGGGGTGACCTGAGGGTCCGTCTAGACTGGTGACAGTGTTCTTGGGGACTGTCTCGAGATCCATTAAGCAAGTCAAAGCTCCTGACTTGTTTGAATGGGATCACGGAATAGCTCTGCATGCACTGCAGGGGAATGGGGCCTCATCTCGCCTCAGGGGAAAGTCTCATGGTTTTTCTCGAGTTGCGGCGGGGACCTGGGGTATGTTCTCGACTTACGGCGGGGATGGCCCTTCAAAACACGAGTTTCTTCAGTGACATCAGGACTCCTGTCTAGTAACGAGGGATACCTCAGGAATCTCTTCGAGGGTTGGCAGGGCAAAAGGGACGCTACTCGAGGTGAGGCAGGGCACCCAAGGACCCTTTCCAGTAGCCACAGGGATTTTGGGATTCCTTTCAGTATTCAAGAGGAGTCAGGCATTGTCACCTTTTGAAGCAATGAACTCCGCGTGCCTCTCGAGGTGCCAGCGGGATGTGAGGCATTCCGTCAAAATGAGGCAGGGACCTAGGGCTTTCTCTAAGGTCTCTACAGGGGATTCAGACATCCCATCATGTTGTGAGATGAAAGACGAGCCTGTATTCAAGCCACTGCAAGGAAATCCGGCCTCCTTTCAAGTTAGGGCTTCTCGCTGTATATTCCCCTTGAGGCAGCAAACTCGGGCTCCCTCCCACATACCTATTGCTGAGAGAAGCCTCCTCCTAAGGTGCTTCTGGAAAGTTGGCATACGTCTTGAGCCTAAGCCAGGGAATCAGCTCTCATCTCGAGACGATTTGGGGTACACGGAGCATTCCTCGAGTTGCTGTGCTGAAGTTGGTGTTCCTCTAGACTTGGGACAGTGTTCTTGGGGCATCTCTGGAGTTGCCTGTAGGAGGTCGAGCCACCGGTCGTGTTGAATGGGGAATGGGTTATGGCTCTGGAGTCAATGCAGGGGAATCGGGCCTCATCTCGAGTTGATTTGGGGCACATGGAGCTGCTTTGCGTTGCTGGGGTGACCTCAGGGTCTGTCTCGACTGGTGACAGTGTTCTTGGGGACTGTCTCGAGATCCATTAAGCAAGTCGAAGCTCCTGACTTGTTTGAATGGGATCACGGAATAGCTCTGCATGCACTGCAGGGGAATGGGGCCTCATCTCGCCTCTAGGGGGAAGTCTCATGGTTTTTCTCGAGTTGCGTCGGGGACCTGGGGTATGTTCTCGACTTACGGCGGGGATGGCCCTTCAAAACACGAGTTTCTTCAGTGACGTCAGGACTCCTGTCTAGTAACGAGGGACACCTCAGGAATCTCTCCGAGGCTTCGCAGGGCAAAAGGGACGCTTCTCGAGGTGAGGCAGGGCACCCAAGGACCCTTTCCAGTAGCCACAGGGATTTTGGGATTCCTATCAGTATTCAAGAGGAGTCAGGCATCGTCACCTTTTGAACCATGAACTCCGCGTGCCTCTCGAGGTGTCAGCGGGATGTGAGGCATTCTGTCAAAATGAGGCAGGGACCTAGGGCTTTCTCTAAGGTTTCCACAGGGGATTCAGACATCCCTTCATGTTGTGAGATGAAAGACGAGCCTGTATTCAAGCCACTGCAAGGAAATCTGGCCTCCTTTCAAGTTAGGGCTTCTCGCTGTATATTCCCCTTGAGGCAGCAAACTCGGGGTCCCTCCCACATACCTATTGCTGAGAGAAGCCTCCTCCTGAGGTGCTTCTGGAAAGTTGGCATACGTCTTGAGCCTAAGCCAGGGAATCAGCTCTCATCTTGAGACGATTTGGGGTACACGGAGCATTCCTCGAATTGCTGTGCTGAAGTTGGTGTTCCTCTAGACTTGGGACAGTGTTCTCGGGGCATCTCTGGAGTTGACTGAAGGAAGTTGAGCCACCGGTCGTGTTGAATGGGGAACGGGGAATGGCTCTGGAGTCAATGCAGGGAAATCGGGCCTCATCTCGAGTTGATTTGGGGCACATGGAGCTGCTTTGCGTTGCTGGGGTGACCTCAGGGTCCGTCTAGACTGGTGACAGTGTTCTTGGGGACTGTCTAGAGATCCATTAAGCAAGTCGAAGCTCCTGACTTGTTTGAATGGGATCACGGAATAGCTCTGCATGCACTGCAGGGGAATGGGGCCTCATCTCGCCTCTAGGGGGAAGTCTCATGGTTTTTCTCGAGTTGCGGCGGGGACCTGGGGTATGTTCTCGACTTACGGCTGGGATGGACCTTCAAAACACGAGTTTCTTCAGTGACGTCAGGACTCCTGTCTAGTAACGAGGGATACCTCAGGAATCTCTTCGAGGGTTGGCAGGGCAAAAGTGACGCTTCTCGAGGTGAGGCAGGGCACCCAAGGACCATTTCCAGTAGCCACAGGGATTTTGGGATTCCTATCAGTATTCAAGAGGAGTCAGGCATCGTCACCTTTTGAACCATGAACTCCGCGTGCCTCTCGAGGTATCAGCGGGATGTGAGGCATTCTGTCAAAATGAGGCAGGGACCTAGGGCTTTCTCTAAGGTTTCCACTGGGGATTCAGACATCCCTTCATGTTGTGAGATGAAAGACGAGCCTGTATTCAAGCCACTGCAAGGATATCCGGCCTCCTTTCAAGTTAGGGCTTCTCGCTGTATATTCCCCTTGAGGCAGCAAACTCGGGGTCCCTCCCACATACCTATTGCTGAGAGAAGCCTCCTCCTGAGGTGCTTCTGGAAAGTTGGCATACGTCTAGAGCCTAAGCCAGGGAATCAGCTCTCATCTCGAGACGATTTGGGGTACTCGGAGCATTCCTCGATTTGCTGTGCTGAAGTTGGTGTTCCTCTAGACTTGGGACAGTGTTCTCGGGGCATCTCTGGAGTTGCCTGAAGGAAGTGGAGCCACGGGTCGTGTTGAATGGGGAAAGGGGAATGGCTCTGGGGTCAATGCAGGGGAATCAGGCCTCATCTCGAGGTGATTTGGGGCACATGGAGCTGCTTTGCATTGCTGGGGTGACCTCAGGGTCCGTCTAGACTGGTGACAGTGTTCTTGGGGACTGTCTCGAGATCCATTAAGCAAGTCGAAGTTCCTGACTTGTTTAAATGGGATCATGGAATAGCTCTGCATGAACTGCAGGGGAATGGGGCCTCATCTCGCCTCTAGGGGGAAGTCTCATGGTTTTTCTCGAGTTGGGCGGGGACCTGGGGTATGTTCTCGACTTACGGAGGGAATGGCCCTTCAAAACACGAGTTTCTTCAGTGACGTCAGGACTCCTGTCTAGTAACGAGGGACACCTCAGGAATCTCTTCGAGTCTTGGCAGGGCAAAGGGACGCTTCTCGAGGTGAGGCAGGGCACCCAAGGACCCTTTCCAGTAGCCACAGGGATTTTGGGATTCCTATCAGTATTCAAGAGGAGTCAGGCATCGTCACCTTTTGAAGCAATGAACTCCGCGTGCCTCCCGAGGTGCCAGCGGGATGTGAGGCATTCCGTCAAAAGGAGGCAGAGACCTAGGGCTTTCTCTAAGGTCTCCACAGGGGATTCAGACATCCCTTCATGTTGTGAGATGAAAGACGGGCCTGTATTGAAGCCACTGCAAGGAAATCCGGTCTCCTTTCAAGTTAGGGCTTCTCGCTGTATATTCCCCTTGAGGCAGCAAACTCGGGGTCCCTCTCACATACCTATTGCTGAGAGAAGCCTCCTCCTGAGGTGCTTCTGGAAAGTTGGCATACGTCTTGAGCCTAAGCCAGGGAATCAGCTCTCATCTCGAGACAATTTGGGGTACACGGAGCATTCCTCGAGTTGCTGTGCTGAAGGTGGAGTTCCTCTAGACTTGGGACAGTGTTCTCGGGGCATCTCTGGAGTTGCCTGAAGGAAGTCGAGCCACCAGTCTGTTGAATGGGGAACGGGGAATGGCTCTGGAGTCAATGCAGGGGAATCGGGCCTCATCTCGAGTTGATTTGGGGCACATGGAGCTGCTTTGCCTTGCTGGGGTGACCGCAGGGTCCGTCTAGACTGGTGACAGTGTTCTTGGGGACTGTCTCGAGATCCATTAAGCAAGTCGAAGCTCCTGACTTGTTTGAATGGGATCACGGAATAGCTCTGCATGCACTGCAGGGGAATGGGGCCTCATCTCGCCTCTAGGGGGAAGTCTCATGGTTTTTATCGATTTCAGGCGGGGACCTGGGTATGTTCTCGCCTTACGGCGGGGATGGCCCTTCAAAACACGAGTTTCTTCAGTGACGTCAGGACTCCTGTCTAGTAACGAGGGACACCTCAGGAATCTCCGAGGCTTGGCAGGGCAAAAGGGACGCTTCTCGAGGTGAAGCATGGCACCCAAGGACCCTTTCCTGTAGCCACAGTGATTTTGGGATTCCTATCAGTATTCAAGAGGAGTCAGGCATTGTCACCTTTTGAAACAATTAACTCTGCGTGCCTCTCGAGGTGTCAGCGGGATGTGAGGCATTCCGTCAAAATGAGGCAGGGCCCTAGGGCTTTCTCTCAGGTCTCCACAGGGGATTCAGACATCCCTTCATGTTGTGAGATGAAAGACGAGCCTGTATTCAAGCCACTGCAAGGAAATCCGGCCTCCTTTCAAGTTAGGGCTTCTCGCTGTATATTCCCCTTGAGGCAGCAAAATCGGGGACCCTCCCACATACCTATTGCTGAGAGAAGCCTATTCCAGAGTTGCTTCTGGAAAGTTGGCAAATGCCTTGAGCCTAAGCCAATGAATCAGCTCTCATCTCGAGACGATTTGGGGTGCACGGAGGATTTCTCGTGTTGCTGTGCTGAAGTTGGTGTTCCTCTAGACTTGGGACAGTGATCTCGGGGCATCTCTGGAGTTGCCTGAAGGAAGTCGAGCCACCGGTCGTGTTGAATGGGGAACTCGGAATAGCTCTGGTGTCAATGCAGGGAAATCGGGCCTCATCTCGAGTTGATTTGGGGCACATGGAGCTGCTTTGCGTTGCTGGGGTGACCTCAGGGTCCGTCTAGACTGGTGACAGTGTTCTTGGGGACTGTCTCGAGATCCATTAAGCAAGTCGAAGCTCCTGACTTGTTTGAATGGGATCACGGAATAGCTCTGCATGCACTGCAGGGGAATGGGGCCTCATCTCGCCTCTAGGGGGAAGTCTCATGGTTTTTCTCGAGTTGCGGCGGGGACCTGGGGTATGTTCTCGACTTACGGCGGGGATGGCCCTTCAAAACACGAGTTTCTTCAGTGACGTCAGGACTCCTTTCTAGTAACGAGGGATACCTCAGGAATCTCTTCGAGGGTTGGCAGGGCAAAAGGGACGCTACTCGAGGTGAGGAAGGGCACCCAAGGACCCTTTCCAGTAGCCACAGGGATTTTGGGATTCCTATCAGTATTCAAGAGGAGTCAGGCATCGTCACCTTTTGAAGCAATGAACTCCGCGTGCCTCTCGAGGTGCCAGCGGGATGTGAGGCATTCCGTCAAAATGAGGCAGGGACCTAGGGCTTTCTCTGAGGTCTCTACAGGGGATTCAGACATCCCTTCATGTTGTGAGATGAAAGACGAGCCTGTATTCAAGCCACTGCAAGGAAAGCCGGCCTCCTTTCAAGTTAGGGCTTCTCGCTGTATATTCCCCTTGAGGCAGCATATTCGGGCTCCCTCCCACATACCTATTGCTCAGAGAAGCCTCCTCCTGAGGTGCTTCTGGAAAGTTGGCATACGTCTTGAGCCTAAGCCAGGGAATCAGCTCTCATCTCGAGACGATTTGGGGTACACGGAGCATTCCTCGAGTTGATGGGCTGAAGTTGGTGTTCCTCTAGACTTGGGGCAGTGTTCTCGGGGCATCTCTGTAGTTGCCTGAAGGAAGTCGAGCCACCGGTCGTGTTGAATGGGGAACGGGTTATGGCTCTGGAGTCAATGCAGGGGAATCGGGCCTCATCTCGAGTTGATTTGGGGCACATGGAGCTGCTTTGCCTTGCTGGGGTGAGCTCAGGGTCTGTCTCGACTGGTGACAGTGTTCTTGGGGACTGTCTCGAGATCCATTAAGCAAGTCGAAGCTCCTGACTTGTTTGAATGGGATCACGGAATAGCTCTGCATGCACTGCAGGGGAATGGGGCCTCATCTCGCCTCTAGGGGGAAGTCTCATGGTTTTTCTCGAGTTGCGGCGGGGACCTGGGGTATGTTCTCGACTTACTGCGGGGATGGCCCTTCAAAACACGAGTTTCTTCAGTGACGTCAGGACTCCTGTCTAGTAACGAGGGACACCTCAGGAATCTCTCCGAGGCTTCGCAGGGCAAAAGGGACGCTTCTCGATGTGAGGCATGGCACCCAAGGACCCTTTCCAGTAGCCACAGGGATTTTGGGATTCCTATCAGTATACAAGAGGAGTCAGGCATCGTCACCTTTTGAAGCAATGAACTCCGCGTGCCTCTCGAGGTGTCAGCGGGATGTGAGGCATTCTGTCCAAATGAGGCAGGGACCTAGGGCTTTCTCTAAGGTTTCCACAGGGGATTCAGACATCCCTTCATGTTGTGAGATGAAAGAAGAGCCTGTATTCAAGCCACTGCAAGGAAATCCGGCCTCCTTTCAAGTTAGGGCTTCTCGCTGTATATTCCCCTTGAGGCAGCAAACTCGGGGTCCCTCCCACATACCTATTGCTGAGAGAAGCCTCCTCCTGAGGTGCTTCTGGAAAGTTGGCATACGTCTTGAGCCTAAGCCAGGGAATCAGCTCTCATCTCGAGACGATTTGGGGTACACGGAGCATTCCTCGATTTGCTGTGCTGAAGTTGGTGTTCCTCTAGACTTGGGACAGTGTTCTCGGGGCATCTCTGGAGTTGCCTGAAGGAAGTGGAGCCACGGTTCGTGTTGAATGGGGAACGGGGAATGGCTCTGGAGTCAATGCAGGGGAATCAGGCCTCATCTCGAGTTGATTTGGGGCACATGGAGCTGCTTTGCGTTGCTGGGGTGACCTCAGGGTCCGTCTAGACTGGTGACAGTGTTCTTGGGGACTGTCTCGAGATCCATTAAGCAAGTCAAAGATCCTGACTTGTTTGAATGGGATCACGGAATAGCTCTGCATGCACTGCAGGGGAATGGGGCCTCATCTCGCCTCTAGGGGGAAGTCTCATGGTTTTTCTCGAGTTTCGGCGGGGACTTGGGGTATGTTCTCGACTTACGGCGGGGATGGCCCTTCAAAACACGAGTTTCTTCAGTGACGTCAGGACTCCTGTCTAGTAACGAGGGACACCTCAGGAATCTCTTCGAGGCTTGGCAGGGCAAAAGGGACGCTTCTCGAGGTGAGGCAGGGCACGCAAGGACCCTTTCCAGTAGCCACAGGGATTTTGGGATTCCTATCAGTGTTCAAGAGGAGTCAGGCATCGTCACCTTTTGAACCATGAAATCCGCGTGCCTCTCGAGGTGTCAGCGGGATGTGAGGCATTCTGTCAAAATGAGGCAGGGACCTAGGGCTTTCTCTAAGGGCTCCACAGGGGATTCAGACATCCCTTCATGTTGTGAGATGAAAGACGAGCCTGTATTCAAGCCACTGCTAGGAAATCCGGCCTCCATTCAAGTTAGGGCTTCTCGCTGTATATTCCCCTTGTGGCAGCAAACTCGGGCTCCCTCCCACATACCTATTGCTGAGAGAAGCCTCCTCCTGAGGTGCTTCTGGAAAGTTGGCATACGTCTTGAGCCTAAGCCAGGGAATCAGCTCTCATCTCGAGACGATTTGGGGTACACGGAGCATTCCTCGAGTTGCTGTGTTGAAGTTGCTGTTCCTCTAGACTTGGGACAGTGTTCTCGGGGCATCTCTGGAGTTGCCTGAAGGAAGTCGAGCCACCGGTCGTGTTGAATGGGGAACGGGGAATGGCTCTGGAGTCAATGCAGGGAAATCGGGCCTCATCTCGAGTTGATTTGGGGCACATGGAGCTGCTTTGCGTTGCTGGGGTGACCTCAGGGTCCGTCTAGACTGGTGACAGTGTTCTTGGGGACTGTCTCGAGATCCATTAAGCAAGTCGAAGCTCCTGACTTGTTTGAATGGGATCACGGAATAGCTCTGCATGCACTGCAGGGGAATGGGGCCTCATCTCGCCTCTAGGGGGAAGTCTCATGGTTTTTCTCGAGTTGCGGCGGGGACCTGGGGTATGTTCTCGACTTACGGCGGGGATGGCCCTTCAAAACACGAGTTTCTTCAGTGACGTCAGGACTCCTGTCTAGTAACGAGGGATACCGCAGGAATCCCTTCGAGGTTTGGCAGGGCAAAAGAGACGCTTCTCGAGGTGAGGCAGGGCACTCAAGGACTCTTTCCAGTAGCCACAGGGATTTTGGGATTCCTATCAGTATTCAAGAGGAGTCAGGCATCGTCACCTTTTGAACCATGAACGCCGCGTGCCTCTCGAGGTGTCAGCGGGATGTGAGGCATTCTGTCAAAATGAGGTAGGGACCTAGATCTTTCTCTAAGGTCTCCACAGGGGATTCAGACATCACTTCATGTTGTGAGATGAAAGACGTGCCTGTATTCAAGCCACTGCAAGGAAATCCGGCCTCCTTTCAAGTTAGGGCTTCTCGCTGTATATTCCCCTTGAGGCAGCAAACTCGGGGTCCCTCCCACATACCTATTGCTGAGAGAAGCCTCCTCCTGAGGTGCTTCTGGAAAGTTGGCATACGTCTTGAGCCTAAGCCAGGGAATCAGCTCTCATCTTGAGACGATTTGGGGTACACAGAGCATTCCTCGAGTTGCTGTGCTGAAGTTGGTGTTCCTCTAGACTTGGGACAGTGTTCTCGGGGCATCTCTGGAGTTGCCTGAAGGAAGTCGAGCCACCGGTCGTGTTGAATGGGGAACGGGGAATGGCTCTGGAGCCAATGCAGGGAAATCGGGCCTCATCTCGAGTTGATTTGGGGCACATGGAGCTGCTTTGCGTTGCTGGGGTGACCTCAGGGTCCGTCTAGACTGGTGACAGTGTTCTTGGGGACTGTCTCGAGATCCATTAAGCAAGTCGAAGCTCCTGACTTGTTTGAATGGGATCACGGAAGAGCTCTGCATGCACTGCAGGGGAATGGGGCCTCGTCTCGCCTCTAGGGGGAAGTCTCATGGTTTTTCTCGAGTTGCGGCGAGGACCTGGGGTATGTTCTCGCCTTACGGCGGGGATGGACCTTCAAAACACGAGTTTCTTCAGTGACGTCAGGACTCCTGTCTAGTAACGAGGGATACCTCAGGAATCTCTTCGAGGGTTGGCAGGGCAAAAGGGACGCTTCTCGAGGTGAGGCAGGGCACCCAAGGACCCTTTCCAGTAGCCACAGGGATTTTGGGATTCCTATCAGTATTCAAGAGGAGTCAGGCATCGTCACCTTTTGAAGCAATGAACTCTGCGTGCCTCTCGAGGTGTCAGCGGGAAGTGAGGCATTCCGTCAAAATGAGGCAGGGACCTAGGGCTTTCTCTAAGGTCACTACAGGGGATTGAGACATCCCTTCATGTTGTGAGAAGAAAGACGAGCCTGTATTCAAGCCACTGCAAGGAAATCCGGCCTCCTTTCAAGTGAGGGCTTCTCGCTGTATATTCCCCTTGAGGCAGCAAACTCGGGGTCCCTCCCACATACCTATTGCTGAGAGAAGCCTCCTCCTGAGGTGCTTCTGGGAAGTTGGCATACGTCTTGAGCCTAAGCCAGGGAATCAGCTCGCATCTCGAGACGATTTGGGGTACACGGAGCATTCCTCGAGTTGCTGTGCTGAAGTTGGTGTTCCTCTAGACTTGGGACAGTGTTCTCGGGGCATCTCTGGAGTTGCCTGAAGGAAGTCGAGCCACCGGTCGTGTTGAATGGGGAACGGGGAATGGCTCTGGAGTCAATGCAGGGGAATCGGGCCTCATCTCGAGTTGATTTGGGGCACATGGAGATGCTTTGCGTTGCTGGGGTGACCTCAGGGTCTGTCTCGACTGGTGACAGTGTTCTTGGGGACTGTCTCGAGACCCATTAAGCAAGTCGAAGCTCCTGACTTGTTTGAATGGGATCACGGAATAGCTCTGCATGCACTGCAGGGGAATGGGGCCTCATCTCGCCTCTAGGGGGAAGTCTCATGGTTTTTCTCGAGTTGCGGCGGGGACCTGGGGTATGTTCTCGACTTACGGCGGGGATGGCACTTCAAAACACGAGTTTCTTCAGTGACGTCAGGACTCCTGTCTAGTAACGAGGGACACGTCAGGTATCTCTCCGAGGCTTCGCAGGGCAAAAGGGACGCTTCTCGAGGTGAGGCAGGGCACCCAAGGACCCTTTCCAGTAGCCACAGGGATTTTGGGATTCCTATCAGTATTCAAGAGGAGTCAGGCATCGTCACCTTTTGAACCATGAACTCCGCGCGCCTCTCGAGGTGTCAGCGGGATGTGAGGCATTCTGTCAAAATGAGGCAGGGAACTAGGGTTTTCTCTAAGGTTTCCACAGGGGATTCAGACATCCCTTCATATTGTGAGATGAAAGACGAGCCTGTATTCAAGCCACTGCAAGGAAATCCGGCCTCCTTTCAACTTAGGGCTTCTCGCTGTATATTCCCCTTGAGGCAGCAAACTCGGGGTCCCTCCCACATACCTATTGCTGAGAGAAGTCTCCTCCTGAGGTGCTTCTGGAAAGTTGGCATACGTCTTGAGCCTAAGCCAGGGAATCAGCTCTCATCTCGAGACTATTTGGGGTACTCGGAGCATTCCTCGATTTGCTGTGCTGAAGTTGGTGTTCCTCTAGACTTGGGACAGTGTTCTCGGGGCATCTCTGGAGTTGCCTGAAGGAAGTGGAGCCACGGGTCGTGTTGAATGGGGAACGGGGAATGGCTCTGGAATCAATGCAGGGGAATCAGGCCTCATCTCGAGTTGATTTGGGGCACATGGAGCTGCTTTGCGTTGCTGGGGTGACCTCAGGGTCCGTCTAGACTGGTGACAGTGTTCTTGGGGACTGTCTCGAGATCCATTAAGCAAGTCGAAGCTCCTCACTTGTTTGAATGGGATCACGGAATAGCTCTGCATGCACTGCAGGGGAATGGGGCCTCATCTCGCTTCTAGGGGGAAGTCTCATGGTTTTTCTCGAGTTGCGGCGGGGACCTGGGGTATGTTCTCGACTTACGGCGGGGATGGAACTTCAAAACACGAGTTTCTTCAGTGACGTCAGGACTCCTGTCTAGTAACGAGGGACACCTCAGGAATCTCTCCGAGGCTTCGCAGGGCAAAAGGGACGCTTCCCGAGGTGAGGCAGGGCACCCAAGGACCCTTTCCAGTAGCCACAGAGATTTGGAGATTCCTATCAGTATTCAAGAGGAGTCAGGCATCGTCACCTTTTGAACCATGAACTCCGCGTGCCTCTCGAGGTGTCAGCAGGATGTGAGGCATTCTGTCAAAATGAGGCAGGGACCTAGGGCTTTCTCTAAGGTCTCCACAGGGGATTCAGACATCACTTCATGTTGTGAGATGAAAGACGTGCCTGTATTCAAGCCACTGCAAGGAAATCCGGCCTCCTTTCAAGTTAGGGCTTCTCGCTGTATATTCCCCTTGAGGCAGCAAACTCGGGGTCCCTCCCACATACCTATTGCTGAGAGAAGCCTCCTCCTGAGGTGCTTCTGGAAAGTTGGCATACGTCTTGAGCCTAAGCCAGGGAATCAGCTCTCATCTCGAGACGATTTGGGGTACTCGGAGCATTCCTCGAGTTGCTGTGCTGAAGTTGGTGTTCCTCTAGACTTGGGACAGTATTCTCGGGGCATCTCTGGAGTTGCCTGAAGGAAGTGGAGCCACGGGTCGTGTTGAATGGGGAACGGGGAATGGCTCTGGAGTCAATGCAGGGGAATCAGGCCTCATCTCGAGTTGATTTGAGGCACATGGAGCTGCTTTGCGTTGCTGGGGTGACCTCAGGGTCCGCCTAGACTGGTGACAGTGTTCTTGGGGACTGTCTCGAGATCCATTAAGCAAGTCGAAGCTCCTGACTTGTTTGAATGGGATCACGGAATAGCTCTGCATGCACTGCAGGGGAATGTGGCCTCATCTCGCCTCTAGGGGGAAGTCTCATGGTTTTTCTCGAGTTGCGGCGGGGACCTGGGGTATGTTCTCGACTTACGGCGGGGATGGCCCTTCAAAACACGAGTTTCTTCAGTGACGTCAGGACTCCTGTCTAGTAACGAGGGACACCTTAGGAATCTCTCCGAGGCTTCGCAGGGCAAAAGGGACGCTTCTCGAGGTGAGGCAGGGCACCCAAGGACCCATTCCAGTAGCCACAGGGATTTGGGGATTCCTATCAGTATTCAAGAGGAGTCAGGCATCGTCACCTTTTGAACCATAAACTCCGCGTGCCTCTCGAGGTGTCAGCGGGATGTGAGGCATTCTGTCCAAATGAGGCAGGGACCTAGGGCTTTCTCTAAGGTTTCCACAGGGGATTCAGACATCCCTTCATGTTGTGAGATGAAAGACGAGCCTGTATTCAAGCCACTGCAAGGAAATCCGGCCTCCTTTCAAGTTAGGGCTTCTCGCTGTATATTCCACTTGAGGCAGCAAACTTGGGGTCCCTCCCACATACCTATTGCTGAGAGAAGCCTCCTCCTGAGGTGCTTCTGGAAAGTTGGCATACGTCTAGAGCCTAAGCCAGGGAATCAGCTCTCATCTCGAGACGATTTGGGGTACTCTGAGCATTCCTCGATTTGCTGTGCTGTAGTTGGTGTTCCTCTAGACTTGGGACAGTGTTCTCGGGGCATCTCTGGAGTTGCCTGAAGGAAGTGGAGCCACGGGTCGTGTTGAATGGGGAACGGGGAATGGCTCTGGAATCAATGCAGGGGAATCAGGCCTCATCTCGAGTTGATTTGGGGCACATGGAGCTGCTTTGCGTTGCTGGGGTGACCTCAGGGTCCGTCTAGACTGGTGACAGTGTTCTTGGGGACTGTCTCGAGATCCATTAAGCAAGTCGAAGCTCCTGACTTGTTTGAATGGGATCACGGAATAGCTCTGCATGCACTGCAGGGGAATGGGGCCTCGTCTCGCCTCTAGGGGGAAGTCTCATGGTTTTTCTCGAGTTGCGGCGGGGACCTGGGGTATGTTCTCGCCTTACGGCGGGGATGGCCCTTCAAAACACGAGTTTCTTCAGTGACGTCAGGACTCCTGTCTAGTAACGAGGGATACCTCAGGAATCTCTTCGAGGTTTGGCAGGGCAAAAGGGACGCTACTCGAGGTGAGGCAGGGCACCCAAGGACCCTTTCCAGTAGCCACAGGGATTTTGGGATTCCTATCAGTATTCAAGAGGAGTCAGGCATCGTCACCTTTTGAAGCAATGAACTCCGCGTGCCTCTCGAGGTGCCAGCGGGATGTGAGGCATTCCTTCAAAATGAGGCAGGGACCTAGGGCTTTCTCTAAGGTCTCTACAGGGGATTCAGACATCCCTTCATGTTGTGAGATGAAAGACGAGCCTGTATTCAAGCCACTGCAAGGAAATCCGGCCTCCATTCAAGTTAGGGCTTCTCGCTGTATATTCCCCTTGAGGCAGCAAACTCGGGGTCCCTCCCACATACCTATTGCTGAGAGAAGCCTCCTCCTGAGGTGCTTCTGGAAAGTTGGCATACGTCTAGACCCTAAGCCAGGGAATCAGCTCTCATCTCAAAACGATTTGGGGTAGTCTGAGCATTCCTCGATTTGCTGTGCTGAAGTTGGTGTTCCTCTAGACTTGGGACAGTGTTCTCGGGGCATCTCTGGAGTTGCCTGAAGGAAGTGGAGCCACGGGTCGTGTTGAATGGGGAAAGGGGAATGGTTCTGGAGTCAATGCAGGGGAATCAGGCCTCATCTCGAGTTGATTTGGGGCACATGGAGCTGCTTTGCGTTGCTGGGATGACCTCAGGGTCCGTCTAGACTGGTGACAGTGTTCTTGGGGACTGTCTCGAGATCCATTAAGCAAGTGGAAGCTCCTGACTTGTTTGAATGGGATCACGGAATAGCTCTGCATGCACTGCAGGGGAATGGGGCCTCATCTCGCTTCTAGGGGGAAGTCTCATGGTTTTTCTCGAGTTGCGGCGGGGACCTGGGGTATGTTCTCGACTTACGGCGGGGATGGAACTTCAAAACACGAGTTTCTTCAGTGACGTCAGGACTCCTGTCTAGTAACGAGGGACACCTCAGGAATCTCTCCGAGGCTTCGCAGGGCAAAAGGGACGCTTCCCGAGGTGAGGCAGGGCACCCAAGGACCCTTTCCAGTAGCCACAGGGATTTGGAGATTCCTATCAGTATTCAAGAGGAGTCAGGCATCGTCACCTTTTGAACCATGAACTCCGCGTGCCTCTCGAGGTGTCAGCGGGATGTGAGGCATTCTGTCAAAATGAGGCAGGGACCTAGGGCTTTCTCTAAGGTCTCCACAGGGGATTCAGACATCACTTCATGTTGTGAGATGAAAGACGTGCCTGTATTCAAGCCACTGCAAGGAAATCCGGCCTCCTTTCAAGTTAGGGCTTCTCGCTGTATATTCCCCTTGAGGCAGCAAACTCGGGGTCCCTCCTACATACCTATTGCTAAGAGAAGCCTCCTCCTGAGGTGCTTCTGGAAAGTTGGCATACGTCTTGAGCCTAAGCCAGGGAATCAGCTCTCATCTCGAGACGATTTGGGGTACACGGAGCATTCCTCGATTTGCTGTGCTGAAGTTGGTGTTCCTCTAGACTTGGGACAGTGTTATCGGGGCATCTCTGTAGTTGCCTGAAGGAAGTCGAGCCACCGGTCGTGTTGAATGGGGAACGCGTTATGGCTCTGGAGTCAATGCAGGGGAATCGGGCCTCATCTCGAGTTGATTTGGGGCACATCGAGCTGCTTTGCGTTGCTGGGGTGACTTCAGGGTCTGTCTCGACTGGTGACAGTGTTCTTGGGGACTGTCTCGAGATCCATTAAGCAAGTCGAAGCTCCTGACTTGTTTGAATGGGATCGCGGAATAGCTCTGCATGCACTGCAGGGGAATGGGGCCTCATCTCGCCTCTAGGGGGAAGTCTCATGGTTTTTCTCGAGTTGCGGCGGGGACCTGGGGTATGTTCTCGACTTACGGCGGGGATGGCCCTTCAAAACACGAGTTTCTTCAGTGACGTCAGGACTCCTGTCTAGTAACGAGGGACACCTCAGGAATCTCTCCGAGGCTTCGCAGGGCAAAAGGGACACTTCTCGAGGTGAGGCAGGGCACCCAAGGACTCTTTCCAGTAGCCACAGGGATTTTGGGATTCCTATCAGTATTCAAGAGGAGTCAGGCATCGTCACCTTTTGAACCATGAACTCCGCGTGCCTCTCGAGGTGTCAGCGGGATGTGAGGCATTCTGTCAAAATGAGGCAGGGACCTAGGGCTTTCTCTAAGGTTTCCACAGGGGATTCAGACATCCCTTCATGTTGTGAGATGAAAGACGAGCCTGTATTCAAGCCACTGCAAGGATATCCGGCCTCCTTTCTAGTTAGGGCTTCTCGCTGTATATTCCCCTTGAGGCAGCAAACTCGGGGTCCCTCCCACATACCTATTGCTGAGAGAAGCCTCCTCCTGAGGTGCTTCTGGAAAGTTGGTATACGTCTAGAGCCTAAGCCAGGGAATCAGCTCTCATCTCGAGACGATTTGGGGTACTCTGAGCATTCCTCGATTTGCTGTGCTGAAGTTGGTGTTCCTCTAGACTTGGGACAGTTTTCTCGGGGCATCTCTGGAGTTGCCTGAAGGAAGTGGAGCCACGGGTCGTGTTGAATGGGGAAAGGGGAATGGCTCTGGTGTCAATGCAGGGGAATCAGGCCTCATCTCGAGTTGATTTGGGGCACATGGAGCTGCTTTGCGTTGCTGGGATGACCTCAGGGTCCGTCTAGACTGGTGAAAGTGTTCTTGGGGACTGTCTCGAGATCCATTAAGCAAGTCGAAGCTCCTGACTTGTTTGAATGGGATCACGGAATAGCTCTGCATGCACTGCAGGGGAATGGGGCCTCATCTCGCTTCTAGGGGGAAGTCTCATGGTTTTTCTCGAGTTGCGGCGGGGACCTGGGGTATGTTCTCGACTTACGGCGGGGATGGCACTTCAAAACACGAGTTTCTTCAGTGACGTCAGGACTCCTGTCTAGTAAAGAGGGACAACTCAGGAATCTTTCCGATTCTTCGCAGGGCAAAAGGGACGCTTCTCGAGGTGAGGCAGGGCACCCAAGGACCCTTTCCAGTAGCCACAGGGATTTTGGGATTCCTCTCAGTGTTCAAGAAGAGTCAGGCTTCGTCACCTTTTGAACCATGAAATCCGCGTGCCTCTCGAGGTGTCAGCGGGATGTGAGGCATTCTGTCAAAATGAGGCAGGGACCTAGGGCTTTCTCTAAGGTCTCCACAGGGGATTCAGACATCCCTTCATGTTGTGAGATGAAAGACGAGCCTGTATTCAAGCCACTGCAAGGAAATCCGGCCTCCATTCAAGTTAGGGCTTCTCGCTGTATATTCCCCTTGTGGCAGCAAACTCGGGCTCCCTCCCACATACCTATTGCTGAGAGAAGCCTCCTCCTGAGGTGCTTCTGGAAAGTTGGCATACGTCTTGAGCCTAAGCCAGGGAATCAGCTCTCATCTCGAGACGATTTGGGGTACACGGAGCATTCCTCGAGTTGCTGTGTTGAAGTTGCTGTTCCTCTAGACTTGGGACAGTGTTCTCGGGGCATCTCTGGAGTTGCCTGAAGGAAGTCGAGCCACGGGTCGTGTTGAATTTGGAACGGGGAATGGCTCTGGAGTCAATGCAGGGAAATCGGGCCTCATCTCGAGTTGATGTGGGGCACATGGAGCTGCTTTGCTTTGCTGGGGTGACCTCAGGGTCCGTCTAGACTGGTGACAGTGTTCTTGGGGACTGTCTCGAGATCCATTAAGCAAATCGAAGCTCCTGACTTGTTTGAATGGGATCACGGAATAGCTCTGCATGCACTGCAGGGGAATGGGGCCTCATCTCGCCACTAGGGGGAAGTCTCATGGTTTTTCTCGAGTTGCGGCGGGGACCTGGGGTATGTTCTCGACTTACGGCGGGGATGGACCTTCAAAACACGAGTTTCTTCAGTGACGTCAGGACTCCTGTCTAGTAAAGAGGGATACCTCAGGAATCTCTTCGAGGGTTGGCAGGGCAAAAGTGACGCTACTCGAGGTGAGCCAGGGCTCCCAAGGACCCTTTCCAGTAGCCACAGGGATTTTGGGATTCCTATCAGTATTCAAGAGGAGTCACGCATCGTCACCTTTTGAAGCAATGAACTCCGCGTGCCTCTCGAGGTGCCAGCGGGATGTGAGGCATTCCGTCAAAATGAGGCAGGGACCTAGGGCTTTCTCTAAGGTCTCTACAGGGGATTCAGACATCCCTTCATGTTGTGAGATGAAAGACGAGCCTGTATTCAAGCCACTGCAAGGAAATCCGGCCTCCTTTCAAGTTAGGGCTTCTCGCTGTATATTCCCCTTGAGGCAGCAAACTCGGGCTCCCTCCCACATACCTATTGCTGAGAAAAGCCTCCTCCTGAGGTGCTTCTGGAAAGTTGGCATATGTCTTGAGCCTAAGCCAGGGAATCAGCTCTCATCTCGAGACGATTTGGGGTACACGGAGCATTCCTCGAGTTGCTGTGCTGAAGTTGGTGTTCCTCTAGACTTGGGACAGTGTTCTTGGGGCATCTCTGGAGTTGCCTGAAGGAGGTCGAGCCACCGGTCGTGTTGAATGGGGAACGGGTTATGGCTCTGGAGTCAATGCAGGGGAATCGGGCCTCATCTCGAGTTGATTTGGGGCACATGGAGCTGCTTTGCGTTGCTGGGGTGACCTCAGGGTCCGTCTAGACTGGTGACAGTTTTCTTGGGGACTGTCTCGAGATCCATTAAGCAAGTCGAAGCTCCTGACTTGTTTGAATGGGATCACGGAATAGCTCTGCATGCACTGCAGGGGAATGGGGCCTCATCTCGCCTCTAGGGGGAAGTCTCATGGTTTTTCTCGAGTTGCAGCGGGGACCTGGGGTATGTTCTCGACTTACGGCGGGGATGGCCCTTCAAAACACGAGTTTCTTCAGTGACGTCAGGACTCCTGTCTAGTAACGAGGGACACCTCAGGAAACTCTCCGAGGCTTCGCAGGGCAAAAGGGACGCTTCTCGAGGTGAGGCAGGGCACCCAAGGACCCTTTCCAGTAGCCAAAGGGATTTTGGGATTCCTATCAGTGTTCAAGAGGAGTCAGGCATCGTCACCTTTTCAACCATGAACTCCGCGTGCCTCTCGAGGTGTCAGCGGGATGTGAGGCATTCTGTCAAAATGAGGCAGGGACCTAGGGCTTTCTCTAAGGTCTCTACAGGGGATTCAGACATCACTTCATGTTGTGAGATGAAAGACGTGCCTGTATTCAAGCCACTGCAAGGAAATCCGGCCTCCTTTCAAGTTAGGGCTTCTCGATGTATATTCCCCTTGAGGCAGCAAACTCGGGCTCCCTCCCTCATACCTATTGCTGAGAGAAGCCTCCTCCTGAGGTGCTTCTGGAAAGTTGGCATACGTCTTGAGCCTAAGCCAGGGAATCAGCTCTCATCTCGAGACGATTTGGGGTACACGGAGCATTCCTCGAGTTGATGTGCTGAAGTTGGTGTTCCTCTAGACTTGGGACAGTGTTCTCGGGGCATCTCTGTAGTTGCCTGAAGGAAGTGGAGCCACCGGTCGTGTTGAATGGGGAACGGGTTATGGCTCTGGAGTCAATGCAGGGGAATTGGGCCTCATCTCGAGTTGATTTGGGGCACATGGAGCTGCTTTGTGTTGCTGGGGTGACCTCAGGGTCTGTCTCGACTGGTGACAGTGTTCTTGGGGACTGTCTCGAGATCCATTAAGCAAGTCGAAGCTCCTGACTTGTTTGAATGGGATCACGGAATAGCTCTGCATGCACTGCAGGGGAATGGGGCCTCATCTCGCCTCTAGGGGGAAGTCTCATGGTTTTTCTCGAGTTGCGGCGGGGACCTGGGGTATGTTCTCGACTTACGGCGGGGATGGCACTTCAAAACACGAGTTTCTTCAGTGACGTCAGGACTCCTGTCTAGTAACGAGGGACACCTCAAGAAACTCTCCGAGGCTTCGCAGGGCAAAAGGGACGCTTCTCGAGGTGAGGCAGGTAACCCAAGGACCCTTTCCAGTAGCCACAGGGATTTTGGGATTCCTATCAGTATTCAAGAGGAGTCAGGCATCGTCACCTTTTGAACCATGAACTCCGCGTGCCTCTCGAGTTGTCAGCGGGATGTGAGGCATTCTGTCAAAATGAGGCAGGGACCTAGGGCTTTCTCTAAGGTTTCCACAGGGGATTCAGACATCCCTTCATGTTGTGAGATGAAAGACGAGCCTGTATGCAAGCCACTGCAAGGAAATCCGGCCTCCTTTCAAGTTAGGGCTTCTCGCTGTATATTCCCCTTGAGGCAGCAAACTCGGGGTCCCTCCCACATACCTATTGCTGAGAGAAGCCTCCTCCTGAGGTGCTTCTGGAAAGTTGGCATACGTCTTGAGCCTAAGCCAGGGAATCAGCTCTCATCTCGAGACGATTTGGGGTACAGGGAGCATTCCTCGATTTGCTGTTCTGAAGTTGGTGTTCCTCTAGACTTGGGACAGTGTTCTCGGGGCATCTCTGGAGTTGCCTGAAGGAAGTGGAGCCACGGTTCGTGTTGAATGGGGAACGGGGAATGGCTCTGGAGTCAATGTAGGTAAATCGGGCCTCATCTCGAGTTGATTTGGGGCACATGGAGCTGCTTTGCGTTGCTGGGGTGACCTCAGGGTCCGTCTAGACTGGTGACAGTGTTCTTGGGGACTGTCTCGAGATCCATTAAGCAAGTCGAAGCTCCTGACTTGTTTGAATGGGATCACGGAATAGCTCTGCATGCACTGCAGGGGAATGGGGCCTCATCTCGCTTCTAGGTGGAAGTCTCATGGTTTTTCTCGAGTTGCGGCGGGGACCTGGGGTATGTTCTCGACTTACGGCGGGGATGGCACTTCAAAACACGAGTTTCTTCAGTGACGTCAGGACTCCTGTCTAGTAATGAGGGACACCTCAGGAATCTCTCCGAGGCTTGGCAGGGCAAAAGGGACGCTTCTCGAGGTGAGGCAGGGCACCCAAGGACCCTTTCCAGTAGCCACAGGGATTTGGGGATTCCTATCATTATTCAAGCGGAGTTAGGCATCGTCACCTTTTGAACCATGAACGCCGCGTGCCTCTCGAGGTGTCAGCGGGATGTGAGGCATTCTGTCAAAATGAGGCAGGGACCTAGGGCTTTCTCTAAGGTCTCCACAGGGGATTCAGACATCACTTCATGTTGTGAGATGAAAGACGTGCCTGTATTCAAGCCACTGCAAGGAAATCCGGCCTCCTTTCAAGTTAGGGCTTCTCGCTGTATATTCCCCTTGAGGCAGCAAACTCGGGGTCCCTCCCACATACCTATTGCTGAGAGAAGCCTCCTCCTGAGGTGCTTCTGGAAAGTTGGCATACGTCTTGAGCCTAAGCCAGGGAATCAGCTCTCATCTCGAGACGATTTGGGGTACACGGAGCATTCCTCGAGTTGCTGTGTTGAAGTTGCTCTTCCTCTAGACTTGGGACAGTGTTCTCGGTGCATCTCTGGAGTTGCCTGAAGGAAGTCGAGCCACCGGTCGTGTTGAATGGGGAACGGGGAATGGCTCTGGAGTCAATGCAGGGGAATCGAGCGTCATCTCGAGTTGATTTGGGGCACATGGAGCTGCTTTGCGTTGCTGGGTGATCTCAGGGTCCGTCTAGACTGGTGACAGTGTTCTTGGGGACTGTCTCGAGATCCATTAAGCAAGTCGAAGCTCCTGACTTGTTTGAATGGGATCACGGAATAGCTCTGCATGCACTGCAGGGGAATGGGCCTCATCTCGCCTCTAGGGGGAAGTCTCTTGGTTTTTCTCGAGTTGCGGCGGGGACCTGGGGTATGTTCTCGACTTACGGCGGGCATGGCCCTTCAAAACACGAGTTTCTTCAGTGACGTCAGGACTCCTGTCTAGTAACGAGGGACACCTCAGGAATCTCTTCGATGCTTCACAGGGCAAAAGGGACGCTTCTCGAGGTGAGGCAGGGCACCCAAGGACCCTTTCCAGTAGCCACAGGGATTTTGGGATTCCTATCAGTGTTCAAGAGGAGTCAGGCATCGTCACCTTTTGAACCATGAACTCCGCGTGCCTCTCGAGGTGTCAGCGGGATGTGAGGCATTCTGTCCAAATGAGGCAGGGAACTAGGGCTTTCTCTAAGTTCTCCACAGGGGATTCAGACATCCCTTCATGTTGTGAGATGAAAGACGTGCCTGTATTCAAGCCACTGCAAGGAAATCCGGCCTCCTTTCAAGTTAGGGCTTCTCGCTGTATATTCCCCTTGAGGCAGCAAACTCGGGGTCCCTCCCACATACCTATTGCTGAGAGAAGCCTCCTCCTGAGGTGCTTCTGGAAAGTTGGCATACGTCTTGAGCCTAAGCCAGGGAATCAGCTCTCATCTCGAGACTATTTGGGGTACACGGAGCATTCCTCGAGTTGCTGTGCTGAAGTTGGTGTTCCTCTAGACTTGGGACAGTGTTCTCGGGGCATCTCTGGAGTTGCCTGAAGGAAGTGGAGCCACGGGTCGTGTTGAATGGGGAACGGGGAATGGCTCTGGAGTCAATGCAGGGGAATCAGGCCTCATCTCGAGTTGATTTGGGGCACATGGTGCTGCTTTGCGTTGCTGGGGTGACCTCAGGGTCCGTCTAGACTGGTGACAGTGTTCTTGGGGACTGTCTCGAGATCCATTAAGCAAGTCAAACCTCCTGACTTGTTTGAATGGGATCACGGAATAGCTCTGCATGCACTGCAGGGGAATGGGGCCTCATCTCACCTCTAGGGGGAAGTCTCATGGTTTTTCTCGAGTTGCGGCGGGGACCTGGGGTATGTTCTCGACTTATGGCGGAGATGGCCCTTCAAAACACGAGTTTCTTCAGTGACGTCAGGACACCTGTCTAGTAACGAGGGACAACTCAGGAATCTCTTCGAGGCTTCGCAGGGCAAAAGGGACGCTTCTCGAGGTGAGGCAGGGCACCCAAGGACCCTTTCCAGTAGCCACAGAGATTTTGGGATTCCTATCAGTGTTCAAGAGGAGTCAGGCATCGTCACCTTTTGAACCATGAAATCCGCGTGCCTCTCGAGGTGTCAGCGGGATGTGAGGCATTCCGCCAAAATGAGGCAGGGACCTAAGGCTTTCTCTAAGGTCTCTACAGGGGATTCAGACATCCCTTCATGTTGTGAGATGAAAGACGAGCCTGTATTCAAGCCACTGCAAGGAAATCCGGCCTCCTTTCAAGTTAGGGCTTCTCGCTGTATATTCCCCTTGAGGCAGCAAACTCGGGCTCCCTCCCCCATACCTATTGCTGAGAGAAGCCTCCTCCTGAGGTGCTTCTGGAAAGTTGGCATACGTCTTGAGCCTAAGCCAGGGAATCAGCTCTCATCTCGAGAAGATTTGGGGTGCACGGAGGATTTCTCGAGTTGCTGTGCTGAAGTTGGTGTTCCTCTAGACTTGGGACAGTGATCTCGGGGCATCTCTGGAGTTGCCTGAAGGAAGTCGAGCCACCGGTCGTGTTGAATGGGGAACGGGGAATGGCTCTGGAGTCAATGAAGGAAATCGGGCCTCATCTCGAGTTGATTTGGGGCACATGGAGCTGCTTTGCGTTGCTGGGGTGACCTCAGGGCCGTCTAGACTGGTGACAGTGTTCTTGCTGACTGTCTCGAGATCCATTAAGCAACTCGAAGCTCCTGACTTGTTTGAATGGGATCACGGAATAGCTCTGCATGCACTGCAGGGGAATGGGGCCTCAACTCGCCTCTAGGGGAAAGTCTCATGGTTTTTCTCGAGTTGCGGCCGGGACCTGGGGTATGTTCTCGACTTACGGCGGGAATGGCCCTTCAAAACACGAGTTTCTTCAGTGACGTCAGGACTCCTGTCTAGTAACGAGGGACACCTCAGGAATCTCCGAGGCTTGGCAGGGCAAAAGGGACGCTTCTCGAGGAGAAGCATGGCACCCAAGGACCCTTTCCTGTAGCCACAGGGCTTTTGGGATTCCTATCAGTATTCAAGAGGAGTCAGGCATCGTCACCTTTTGAAACAATGAACTCTGCGTGCCTCTCGAGGTGTCAGCGGGATGTGAGGCATTCCGTCAAAATGAGGCAGGGCCCTAGGGCGTTCTCTCAGGTCTCCACAGCGGATTCAGACATCCCTTCATGTTGTGAGATGAAAGACGAGCCTGTATTCAAGCCACTGCAAGGAAATCCGGCCTCCTTTCAAGTTAGGGCTTCTCGCTGTGTATTCCCCTTGAGGCAGCAAAATCGGGGACCCTCCCACATACCTATTGCTGAGAGAAGCCTCCTCCAGAGTTGCTTCTGGAAAGTTGGCAAATGCCTTGAGCCTAAGCCAATGAATCAGCTCTCATCTCGAGATGATTTGGGGTGCACGGAGGATTTCTCGAGTTGCTGTGCTGAAGTTGGTGTTCCTCTAGACTTGGGACAGTGATCTCGGGGCATCTCTGGAGTTGCCTGAAGGAAGTCGAGCCACCGGTCGTGTTGAATGGGGAACGGGGAATGGCTCTGGAGTCAATGCAGTGAAATCGGGCCTCATCGAGTTGATTTGGAGCACATGGAGCTGCTTTGCGTTGCTGGGGTGACCTCAGGGTCCGTCTAGACTGGTGACAGTGTTCTTGGGGACTGTCTCGAGATCCATTAAGCAAGTCGAAGCTCCTGACTTGTTTGAATGGGATCACGGAATAGCTCTGCATGCACTGCAGGGGAATGGGGCCTCATCTCGCCTCTAGGGGGAAGTCTCATGGTTTTTCTCGAGTTGCGGCGGGGACCTGGGGTATGTTCTCGACTTACGGCGGGGATGGCCCTTCAAAACACGAGTTTCTTCAGTGACATCAGGACTCCTGTCTAGTAACGAGGGATACCTCAGGAATCTCTTCGAGGGTTGGCAGGGCAAAAGGGACGCTACTCGAGGTGAGGCAGGGCACCCAAGGACCCTTTCCAGTAGCCACAGGGATTTTGGGATTCCTATCAGTATTCAAGAGGAGTCAGGCATCGTCACCTTTTGAAGCAATGAACTCCGCGGGCCTCTCGAGGTGCCAGCGGGATGTGAGGCATTCCGTCAAAATGAGGCAGGGACCTAGGGCTTTCTCTAAGGTCTCTACAGGGGATTCAGACATCCCTTCATGTTGTGAGATGAAAGACGAGCCTGTATTCAAGCCAATGCAAGGAAATCCGGCCTCCTTTCAAGTTAGGGCTTCTCGCTGTATATTCCCCTTGAGGCAGCAAACTCGGGCTCCCTCCCACATACCTATTGCTGAGAGAAGCCTCCTCCTGAGGTGCTTCTGGAAAGTTGGCATATGTCTTGAGCCTAAGCCAGGGAATCAGCTCTCATCTCGAGACGATTAGGGGTACACGGAGCATTCCTCGAGTTGCTGTGCTGAAGTTGGTGTTCCTCTAGACTTGGGACAGTGTTCTTGGGGCATCTCTGGAGTTGCCTGAAGGAGGTCGAGCCACCGGTCGTGTTGAATGGGGAATGGGTTATGGCTCTGGTGTCAATGCAGGGGAATCGGGCCTCATCTCGAGTTGATTTGGGGCACATGGAGCTGCTTTGCGTTGCTGGGGTGACCTCAGGGTCTGTCTCGACTGGTGACAGTGTTCTTGGGGACTGTCTCGAGATCCATTAAGCAAGTCGAAGCTCCTGACTTGTTTGAATGGGATCACGGAATAGCTCTGCATGCACTGCAGGGGAATGGGGCCTCATCTCGCCTCTAGGGGGAAGTCTCATGGTTTTTCTCGAGTTGCGGCGGGGACCTGGGGTATGTTCTCGACTTACGGCGGGTATGGCCCTTCAAAACACGAGTTTCTTCAGTGACGTCAGGACTCCTGTCTAGTAACGAGGGACACCTCAGGAATCTCTCCGAGGCTTCGCAGGGCAAAAGGGACGCTTCTCGATGTGAGGCAGGGCACCCAAGGACCCTTTCCAGTAGCCACAGGGATTTTGGGATTCCTATCAGTATTCAAGAGGAGTCAGGCATCGTCACCTTTTGAACCATAAACTCCGCGTGCCTCTCGAGGTGTCAGCGGGATGTGAGGCATTCTGTCAAAATGAGGCAGGGACCTAGGGCTTTCTCTAAGGTTTCCACAGGGGACTCAGACATCCCTTCATATTGTGAGATGAAAGACGAGCCTGTATTCAAGCCACTGCAAGGAAATCCGGCCTCCTTTCAAGTTAGGGCTTCTCACTGTATATTCCCCTTGAGGCAGCAAACTCGGGGTCCCTCCCACATACCTATTGCTGAGAGAAGCCTCCTCCTGAGGTGCTTCTGGAAAGTTGGCATACGTCTTGAGCCTAAGCCAGGGAATCAGCTCTCATCTCGAGACGATTTGGGGTACACGGAGCATTCCTCGAGTTGCTGTGTTGAAGTTGCTCTTCCTCTAGACTTGGGACAGTGTTCTCGGTGCATCTCTGGAGTTGCCTGAAGGAAGTCGAGCCACCGGTCGTGTTGAATGGGGAACGGGGAATGACTCTGGAGTCAATGCAGGGGAATCGGGCGTCATCTCGAGTTGATTTGGGGCACATGGAGCTGCTTTGCGTTGCTGGGTGATCTCAGGGTCCGTCTAGACTGGTGACAGTGTTCTTGGGGACTGTCTCGAGATCCATTAAGCAAGTCGAAGCTCCTGACTTGTTTGAATGGGATCACGGAATAGCTCTGCATGCACTGCAGGGGAATGGGCCTCATCTCGCCTCTAGGGGGAAGTCTCATGGTTTTTCTCGAGTTGCGGCGGGGACCTGGGGTATGTTCTCGACTTACGGCGGGCATGGCCCTTCAAAACACGAGTTTCTTCAGTGACGTCAGGACTCCTGTCTAGTAACGAGGGACACCTCAAGAATCTCTTCGATGCTTCACAGGGCAAAAGGGACGCTTCTCGAGGTGAGGCAGGGCACCCAAGGACCCTTTCCAGTAGCCACAGGGATTTTGGGATTCCTATCAGTGTTCAAGAGGAGTCAGGCATCGTCACCTTTTGAACCATGAACTCCGCGTGCCTCTCGAGGTGTCAGCGGGATGTGAGGCATTCTGTCCAAATGAGGCAGGGAACTAGGGCTTTCTCTAAGTTCTCCACAGGGGATTCAGACATCCCTTCATGTTGTGAGATGAAAGACGTGCCTGTATTCAAACCACTGCAAGGAAATCCGGCCTCCTTTCAAGTTAGGGCTTCTCGCTGTATATTCCCCTTGAGGCAGCAAACTCGGGGTCCCTCCCACATACCTATTGCTGAGAGAAGCCTCCTCCTGAGGTGCTTCTGGAAAGTTGGCATACGTCTTGAGCCTAAGCCAGGGAATCAGCTCTCATCTCGAGACTATTTGGGGTACACGGAGCATTCCTCGAGTTGCTGTGCTGAAGTTGGTGTTCCTCTAGACTTGGGACAGTGTTCTCGGGGCATCTCTGGAGTTGCCTGAAGGAAGTGGAGCCACGGTTCGTGTTGAATGGGGAACGGGGAATGGCTCTGGAGTCAATGTAGGTAAATCGGGCCTCATCTCGAGTTGATTTGGGGCACATGGAGCTGCTTTGCGTTGCTGGGGTGACCTCAGGGTCCGTCTAGACTGGTGACAGTGTTCTTGGGGACTGTCTCGAGATCCATTAAGCAAGTCGAAGCTCCTGACTTGTTTGAATGGGATCACGGAATAGCTCTGCATGCACTGCAGGGGAATGGGGCCTCATCTCGCTTCTAGGTGGAAGTCTCATGGTTTTTCTCGAGTTGCGGCGGGGACCTGGGGTATGTTCTCGACTTACGGCGGGGATGGCACTTCAAAACACGAGTTTCTTCAGTGACGTCAGGACTCCTGTCTAGTAATGAGGGACACCTCAGGAATCTCTCCGAGGCTTGGCAGGGCAAAAGGGACGCTTCTCGAGGTGAGGCAGGGCACCCAAGGACCCTTTCCAGTAGCCACAGGGATTTGGGGATTCCTATCATTATTCAAGCGGAGTTAGGCATCGTCACCTTTTGAACCATGAACGCCGCGTGCCTCTCGAGGTGTCAGCGGGATGTGAGGCATTCTGTCAAAATGAGGCAGGGACCTAGGGCTTTCTCTAAGGTCTCCACAGGGGATTCAGACATCACTTCATGTTGTGAGATGAAAGACGTGCCTGTATTCAAGCCACTGCAAGGAAATCCGGCCTCCTTTCAAGTTAGGGCTTCTCGCTGTATATTCCCCTTGAGGCAGCAAACTCGGGGTCCCTCCCACATACCTATTGCTGAGAGAAGCCTCCTCCTGAGGTGCTTCTGGAAAGTTGGTATACGTCTTGAGCCTAAGCCAGGGAATCAGCTCTCATCTCGAGACAATTTGGGGTACACGGAGCATTCCTCGAGTTGCTGTGTTGAAGTTGCTCTTCCTCTAGACTTGGGACAGTGTTCTCGGTGCATCTATGGAGTTGCCTGAAGGAAGTCGAGCCACCGGTCGTGTTGAATGGGGAACGGGGAATGGCTCTGGAGTCAATGCAGGGGAATCGAGCGTCATCTCGAGTTGATTTGGGGCACATGGAGCTGCTTTGCGTTGCTGGGTGATCTCAGGGTCCGTCTAGACTGGTGACAGTGTTCTTGGGGACTGTCTCGAGATCCATTAAGCAAGTCGAAGCTCCTGACTTGTTTGAATGGGATCACGGAATAGCTCTGCATGCACTGCAGGGGAATGGGCCTCATCTCGCCTCTAGGGGGAAGTCTCATGGTTTTTCTCGAGTTGCGGCGGGGACCTGGGGTATGTTCTCGACTTACGGCGGGCATGGCCCTTCAAAACACGAGTTTCTTCAGTGACGTCAGGACTCCTGTCTAGTAACGAGGGACACCTCAGGAATCTCTTCGATGCTTCACAGGGCAAAAGGGACGCTTCTCGAGGTGAGGCAGGGCACCCAAGGACCCTTTCCAGTAGCCACAGGGATTTTGGGATTCCTATCAGTGTTCAAGAGGAGTCAGGCATCGTCACCTTTTGAACCATGAACTCCGCGTGCCTCTCGAGGTGTCAGCGGGATGTGAGGCATTCTGTCCAAATGAGGCAGGGAACTAGGGCTTTCTCTAAGTTCTCCACAGGGGATTCAGACATCCCTTCATGTTGTGAGATGAAAGACGTGCCTGTATTCAAGCCACTGCAAGGAAATCCGGCCTCCTTTCAAGTTAGGGCTTCTCGCTGTATATTCCCCTTGAGGCAGCAAACTCGGGGTCCCTCCCACATACCTATTGCTGAGAGAAGCCTCCTCCTGAGGTGCTTCTGGAAAGTTGGCATACGTCTTGAGCCTAAGCCAGGGAATCAGCTCTCATCTCGAGACTATTTGGGGTACACGGAGCATTCCTCGAGTTGCTGTGCTGAAGTTGGTGTTCCTCTAGACTTGGGACAGTGTTCTCGGGGCATCTCTGGAGTTGCCTGAAGGAAGTGGAGCCACGGGTCGTGTTGAATGGGGAACGGGGAATGGCTCTGGAGTCAATGCAGGGGAATCAGGCCTCATCTCGAGTTGATTTGGGGCACATGGAGCTGCTTTGCGTTGCTGGGGTGACCTCAGGGTCCGTCTAGACTGGTGACAGTGTTCTTGGGGACTGTCGCGAGATCCATTAAGCAAGTCAAACCTCCTGACTTGTTTGAATGGGATCACGGAATAGCTCTGCATGCACTGCAGGGGAATGGGGCCTCATCTCACCTCTAGGGGGAAGTCTCATGGTTTTTCTCGAGTTGCGGCGGGGACCTGGGGTATGTTCTCGACTTACGGCGGGGATGGCCCTTCAAAACACGAGTTTCTTCAGTGACGTCAGGACTCCTGTCTAGTAACGAGGGACAACTCAGGAATCTCTTCGAGGCTTCGCAGGGCAAAAGGGACGCTTCTTGAGGTGAGGCAGGGCACCCAAGGACCCTTTCCAGTAGCCACAGAGATTTTGGGATTCCTATCAGTGTTCAAGAGGAGTCAGGCATCGTCACCTTTTGAACCATGAAATCCGCGTGCCTCTCGAGGTGTCAGCGGGATGTGAGGCATTCCGCCAAAATGAGGCAGGGACCTAAGGCTTTCTCTAAGGTCTCTACAGGGGATTCAGACATCCCTTCATGTTGTGAGATGAAAGACGAGCCTGTATTCAAGCCACTGCAAGGAAATCCGGCCTCCTTTCAAGTTAGGGCTTCTCGCTGTATATTCCCCTTGAGGCAGCAAACTCGGGCTCCCTCCCCCATACCTATTGCTGAGAGAAGCCTCCTCCTGAGGTGCTTCTGGAAAGTTGGCATACGTCTTGAGCCTAAGCCAGGGAATCAGCTCTCATCTCGAGAAGATTTGGGGTGCACGGAGGATTTCTCGAGTTGCTGTGCTGAAGTTGGTGTTCCTCTAGACTTGGGACAGTGATCTCGGGGCATCTCTGGAGTTGCCTGAAGGAAGTCGAGCCACTGGTCGTGTTGAATGGGGAACGGGGAATGGCTCTGGAGTCAATGAAGGAAATCGGGCCTCATCTCGAGTTGATTTGGGGCACATGGAGCTGCTTTGCGTTGCTGGGGTGACCTCAGGGCCGTCTAGACTGGTGACAGTGTTCTTGCTGACTGTCTCGAGATCCATTAAGCAACTCGAAGCTCCTGACTTGTTTGAATGGGATCACGGAATAGCTCTGCATGCACTGCAGGGGAATGGGGCCTCATCTCGCCTCTAGGGGAAAGTCTCATGGTTTTTCTCGAGTTGCGGCGGGGACCTGGGGTATGTTCTCGACTTACGGCGGGAATGGCCCTTCAAAACACGAGTTTCTTCAGTGACGTCAGGACTCCTGTCTAGTAACGAGGGACACCTCAGGAATCTCCGAGGCTTGGCAGGGCAAAAGGGACGCTTCTCGAGGAGAAGCATGGCACCCAAGGACCCTTTCCTGTAGCCACAGGGATTTTGGGATTCCTATCAGTATTCAAGAGGAGTCAGGCATCGTCACCTTTTGAAACAATGAACTCTGCGTGCCTCTCGAGGTGTCAGCGGGATGTGAGGCATTCCGTCAAAATGAGGCAGGGCCCTAGGGCGTTCTCTCAGGTCTCCACAGCGGATTCAGACATCCCTTCATGTTGTGAGATGAAAGACGAGCCTGTATTCAAGCCACTGCAAGGAAATCCGGCCTCCTTTCAAGTTAGGGCTTCTCGCTGTGTATTCCCCTTGAGGCAGCAAAATCGGGGACCCTCCCACATACCTATTGCTGAGAGAAGCCTCCTCCAGAGTTGCTTCTGGAAAGTTGGCAAATGCCTTGAGCCTAAGCCAATGAATCAGCTCTCATCTCGAGATGATTTGGGGTGCACGGAGGATTTCTCGAGTTGCTGTGCTGAAGTTGGTGTTCCTCTAGACTTGGGACAGTGATCTCGGGGCATCTCTGGAGTTGCCTGAAGGAAGTCGAGCCACCGGTCGTGTTGAATGGGGAACGGGGAATGGCTCTGGAGTCAATGCAGTGAAATCGGGCCTCATCGAGTTGATTTGGAGCACATGGAGCTGCTTTGCGTTGCTGGGGTGACCTCAGGGTCCGTCTAGACTGGTGACAGTGTTCTTGGGGACTGTCTCGAGATCCATTAAGCAAGTCGAAGCTCCTGACTTGTTTGAATGGGATCACGGAATAGCTCTGCATGCACTGCAGGGGAATGGGGCCTCATCTCGCCTCTAGGGGGAAGTCTCATGGTTTTTCTCGAGTTGCGGCGGGGACCTGGGGTATGTTCTCGACTTACGGCGGGGATGGCCCTTCAAAACACGAGTTTCTTCAGTGACATCAGGACTCCTGTCTAGTAACGAGGGATACCTCAGGAATCTCTTCGAGGGTTGGCAGGGCAAAAGGGACGCTACTCGAGGTGAGGCAGGGCACCCAAGGACCCTTTCCAGTAGCCACAGGGATTTTGGGATTCCTATCAGTATTCAAGAGGAGTCAGGCATCGTCACCTTTTGAAGCAATGAACTCCGCGGGCCTCTCGAGGTGCCAGCGGGATGTGAGGCATTCCGTCAAAATGAGGCAGGGACCTAGGGCTTTCTCTAAGGTCTCTACAGGGGATTCAGACATCCCTTCATGTTGTGAGATGAAAGACGAGCCTGTATTCAAGCCAATGCAAGGAAATCCGGCCTCCTTTCAAGTTAGGGCTTCTCGCTGTATATTCCCCTTGAGGCAGCAAACTCGGGCTCCCTCCCACATACCTATTGCTGAGAGAAGCCTCCTCCTGAGGTGCTTCTGGAAAGTTGGCATATGTCTTGAGCCTAAGCCAGGGAATCAGCTCTCATCTCGAGACGATTTGGGGTACACGGAGCATTCCTCGAGTTGCTGTGCTGAAGTTGGTGTTCCTCTAGACTTGGGACAGTGTTCTTGGGGCATCTCTGGAGTTGCCTGAAGGAGGTCGAGCCACCGGTCGTGTTGAATGGGGAATGGGTTATGGCTCTGGTGTCAATGCAGGGGAATCGGGCCTCATCTCGAGTTGATTTGGGGCACATGGAGCTGCTTTGCGTTGCTGGGGTGACCTCAGGGTCTGTCTCGACTGGTGACAGTGTTCTTGGGGACTGTCTCGAGATCCATTAAGCAAGTCGAAGCTCCTGACTTGTTTGAATGGGATCACGGAATAGCTCTGCATGCACTGCAGGGGAATGGGGCCTCATCTCGCCTCTAGGGGGAAGTCTCATGGTTTTTCTCGAGTTGCGGCGGGGACCTGGGGTATGTTCTCGACTTACGGCGGGTATGGCCCTTCAAAACACGAGTTTCTTCAGTGACGTCAGGACTCCTGTCTAGTAACGAGGGACACCTCAGGAATCTCTCCGAGGCTTCGCAGGGCAAAAGGGACGCTTCTCGAGGTGAGGCAGGGCACCCAAGGACCCTTTCCAGTAGCCACAGGGATTTTGGGATTCCTATCAGTATTCAAGAGGAGTCAGGCATCGTCACCTTTTGAACCATAAACTCCGCGTGCCTCTCGAGGTGTCAGCGGGATGTGAGGCATTCTGTCAAAATGAGGCAGGGACCTAGGGCTTTCTCTAAGGTTTCCACAGGGGACTCAGACATCCCTTCATATTGTGAGATGAAAGACGAGCCTGTATTCAAGCCACTGCAAGGAAATCCGGCCTCCTTTCAAGTTAGGGCTTCTCACTGTATATTCCCCTTGAGGCAGCAAACTCGGGGTCCCTCCCACATACCTATTGCTGAGAGAAGCCTCCTCCTGAGGTGCTTCTGGAAAGTTGGCATACGTCTTGAGCCTAAGCCAGGGAATCAGCTCTCATCTCGAGACGATTTGGGGTACACGGAGCATTCCTCGAGTTGCTGTGTTGAAGTTGCTCTTCCTCTAGACTTGGGACAGTGTTCTCGGGGCATCTCTGGAGTTGCCTGAAGGAAGTCGAGCCACCGGTCATGTTGAATGGGGAACGGGGAATGACTCTGGAGTCAATGCAGGGGAATCGGGCGTCATCTCGAGTTGATTTGGGGCACATGGAGCTGCTTTGCGTTGCTGGGTGATCTCAGGGTCCGTCTAGACTGGTGACAGTGTTCTTGGGGACTGTCTCGAGATCCATTAAGCAAGTCGAAGCTCCTGACTTGTTTGAATGGGATCACGGAATAGCTCTGCATGCACTGCACGGGAATGGGCCTCATCTCGCCTCTAGGGGGAAGTCTCATGGTTTTTCTCGAGTTGCGGCGGGGACCTGGGGTATGTTCTCGACTTACGGCGGGCATGGCCCTTCAAAACACGAGTTTCTTCAGTGACGTCAGGACTCCTGTCTAGTAACGAGGGACACCTCAAGAATCTCTTCGATGCTTCACAGGGCAAAAGGGACGCTTCTCGAGGTGAGGCAGGGCACCCAAGGACCCTTTCCAGTAGCCACAGGGATTTTGGGATTCCTATCAGTGTTCAAGAGGAGTCAGGCATCGTCACCTTTTGAACCATGAACTCCGCGTGCCTCTCGAGGTGTCAGCGGGATGTGAGGCATTCTGTCCAAATGAGGCAGGGAACTAGGGCTTTCTCTAAGTTCTCCACAGGGGATTCAGACATCCCTTCATGTTGTGAGATGAAAGACGTGCCTGTATTCAAACCACTGCAAGGAAATCCGGCCTCCTTTCAAGTTAGGGCTTCTCGCTGTATATTCCCCTTGAGGCAGCAAACTCGGGGTCCCTCCCACATACCTATTGCTGAGAGAAGCCTCCTCCTGAGGTGCTTCTGGAAAGTTGGCATACGTCTTGAGCCTAAGCCAGGGAATCAGCTCTCATCTCGAGACTATTTGGGGTACACGGAGCATTCCTCGAGTTGCTGTGCTGAAGTTGGTGTTCCTCTAGACTTGGGACAGTGTTCTCGGGGCATCTCTGGAGTTGCCTGAAGGAAGTGGAGGCACGGGTCGTGTTGAATGGGGAACGGGGAATGGCTCTGGAGTCAATGCAGGGGAATCAGGCCTCATCTCGAGTTGATTTGGGGCACATGGTGCTGCTTTGCGTTGCTGGGGTGACCTGAGGGTCCGTCTAGACTGGTGACAGTGTTCTTGGGGACTGTCTCGAGATCCATTAAGCAAGTCGAAGCTCCTGACTTGTTTGAATGGGATCACGGAATAGCTCTGCATGCACTGCAGGGGAATGGGGCCTCATCTCGCCTCAGGGGAAAGTCTCATGGTTTTTCTCGAGTTGCGGCGGGGACCTGGGGTATGTTCTCGACTTACGGCGGGGATGGCCCTTCAAAACACGAGTCTCTTCAGTGACATCAGGACTCCTGTCTAGTAACGAGGGATACCTCAGGAATCTCTTCGAGGGTTGGCAGGGCAAAAGGGACGCTACTCGAGGTGAGGCAGGGCACCCAAGGACCCTTTCCAGTAGCCACAGGGATTTTGGGATTCCTTTCAGTAATCAAGAGGAGTCAGGCATTGTCACCTTTTGAAGCAATGAACTCCGCGTGCCTCTCGAGGTGCCAGCGGGATGTGAGGCATTCCGTCAAAATGAGGCAGGGACCTAGGGCTTTCTCTAAGGTCTCTACAGGGGATTCAGACATCCCATCATGTTGTGAGATGAAAGACGAGCCTGTATTCAAGCCACTGCAAGGAAATCCGGCCTCCTTTCAAGTTAGGGCTTCTCGCTGTATATTCCCCTTGAGGCAGCAAACTCGGGCTCCCTCCCACATACCTATTGCTGAGAGAAGCCTCCTCCTGAGGTGCTTCTGGAAAGTTGGCATACGTCTTGAGCCTAAGCCAGGGAATCAGCTCTCATCTCGAGACGATTTGGGGTACACGGAGCATTCCTCGAGTTGCTGTGCTGAAGTTGGTGTTCCTCTAGACTTGGGACAGTGTTCTTGGGGCATCTCTGGAGTTGCCTGTAGGAGGTCGAGCCACCGGTCGTGTTGAATGGGGAACGGGTTATGGCTCTGGAGTCAATGCAGGGGAATCGGGCCTCATCTCGAGTTGATTTGGGGCACATGGAGCTGCTTGCGTTGCTGGGGTGACCTCAGGGTCTGTCTCGACTGGTGACAGTGTTCTTGGGGACTGTCTAGAGATCCATTAAGCAAGTCGAAGCTCCTGACTTGTTTGAATGGGATCACGGAATAGCTCTGCATGCACTGCAGGGGAATGGGGCCTCATCTCGCCTCTAGGGGGAAGTCTCATGGTTTTTCTCGAGTTGCGTCGGGGACCTGGGGTATGTTCTCGACTTACGGCGGGGATGGCCCTTCAAAACACGAGTTTCTTCAGTGACGTCAGGACTCCTGTCTAGTAACGAGGGACACCTCAGGAATCTCTCCGAGGCTTCGCAGGGCAAAAGGGAGGCTTCTCGAGGTGAGGCAGGGCACCCAAGGACCCTTTCCAGTAGCCACAGGGATTTTGGGATTCCTATCAGTATTCAAGAGGAGTCAGGCATCGTCACCTTTTGAACCATGAACTCCGCGTGCCTCTCGAGGTGTCAGCGGGATGTGAGGCATTCTGTCAAAATGAGGCAGGGACCTAGGGCTTTCTCTAAGGTTTCCACAGGGGATTCAGACATCCCTTCATGTTGTGAGATGAAAGACGAGCCTGTATTCAAGCCACTGCAAGGAAATCCGGCCTCCTTTCAAGTTAGGGCTTCTCGCTGTATATTCCCCTTGAGGCAGCAAACTCGGGGTCCCTCCCACATAACTATTGCTGAGAGAAGCCTCTTCCTGAGGTGCTTCTGGAAAGTTGGCATACGTCTTGAGCCTAAGCCAGGGAATCAGCTCTCATCTCGAGAATATTTGGGGTACACGGAGCATTCCTCGATTTGCTGTGCTGAAGTTGGTGTTCCTCTAGACTTGGGACAGTGTTCTCGGGGCATCTCTGGAGTTGCCTGAAGGAAGTGGAGCCACGGGTCGTGTTGAATGGGGAACGGGGAATGGCTCTGGAGTCAATGCAGGGGAATCAGGCCTCATCTCGAGTTGATTTGGGGCACATGGAGCTGCTTTGCGTTGCTGGGGTGACCTCAGGGTCCGTCTAGACTGGTGACAGTGTTCTTGGGGACTGTCTGGAGATCCATTAAGCAAGTCGAAGCTCCTGACTTGTTTGAATGGGATCACGGAATAGCTCTGCATGCACTGCAGGGGAATGGGGCCTCATCTCGCCTCTAGGGTGAAGTCTCATGGTTTTTCTCGAGTTGCGGCGGGAACCTGGGGTATGTTCTCGACTTACGGTGGGGATGGCCCTTCAAAACACGAGTTTCTTCAGTGACGTCAGGACTCCTGTCTAGTAACGAGGGACACCTCAGGAATCTCTTCGATGCTTCGCAGGGCAAAAGGGACGCTTCTCGAGGTGAGCCAGGGCACCCAAGGACCCTTTCCAGTAGCCACAGGGATTTTGGGATTCCTATCAGTGTTCAAGAGGAGTCAGGCATCATCACCTTTTGAACCATGAAATCCGCGTGCCTCTCGAGGTGTCAGCGGGATGTGAGGCATTCTGTCAAAATGAGGCAGGGACCTAGGGCTTTCTCTAAGGTCTCCACAGGGGATTCAGACATCACTTCATGTTGTGAGATGAAAGACGAGCCTGTATTCAAGCCACTGCAAGGATATCCGGCCTCCTTTCAAGTTAGGGCTTCTCGCTGGATATTCCCCTTGAGGCAGCAAACTCGGGGTCCCTCCCACATACCTATTGCTGAGAGAAGCCTCCTCCTGAGGTGCTTCTGGAAAGTTGGCATACGTCTTGAGCCTAAGCCAGGGAATCAGCTCTCATCTTGAGACGATTTGGGGTACACGGAGCATTCCTCGAATTGCTGTGCTGAAGTTGGTGTTCCTCTAGACTTGGGACAATGTTCTCGGGGCATCTCTGGAGTTGACTGAAGGAAGTTGAGCCACCGGTCGTGTTGAATGGGGAACGGGGAATGGCTCTGGAGTCAATGCAGGGAAATCGGGCCTCATCTCGAGTTGATTTGGGGCACATGGAGCTGCTTTGCGTTGCTGGGGTGACCTCAGGGTCCGTCTAGACTGGTGACAGTGTTCTTGGGGACTGTCTAGAGATCCATTAAGCAAGTCGAAGCTCCTGACTTGTTTGAATGGGATCACGGAATAGCTCTGCATGCACTGCAGGGGAATGGGGCCTCATCTCGCCTCTAGGGGGAAGTCTCATGGTTTTTCTCGAGTTGCGGCGGGGACCTGGGGTATGTTCTCGACTTACGGCTGGGATGGCCCTTCAAAACACGAGTTTCTTCAGTGACGTCAGGACTCCTGTCTAGTAACGAGGGATACCTCAGGAATCTCTTCGAGGGTTGGCAGGGCAAAAGGGACGCTTCTCGAGGTGAGGCAGGGCACCCAAGGACCCTTTCCAGTAGCCACAGGGATTTTGGGATTCCTATCAGTATTCAAGAGGAGTCAGGCATCGTCACCTTTTGAACCATGAACTCCGCGTGCCTCTCGAGGTATCAGCGGGATGTGAGGCATTCTGTCAAAATGAGGCAGGGACCTAGGGCTTTCTCTAAGGTTTCCACTGGGGATTCAGACATCCCTTCATGTTGTGAGATGAAAGACGAGCCTGTATTCAAGCCACTGCAAGGATATCCGGCCTCCTTTCAAGTTAGGGCTTCTCGCTGTATATTCCCCTTGAGGCAGCAAACTCGGGGTCCCTCCCACATACCTATTGCTGAGAGAAGCCTCCTCCTGAGGTGCTTCTGGAAAGTTGGCATACGTCTAGAGCCTAAGCCAGGGAATCAGCTCTCATCTCGAGACGATTTGGGGTACTCGGAGCATTCCTCGATTTGCTGTGCTGAAGTTGGTGTTCCTCTAGACTTGGGACAGTGTTCTCGGGGCATCTCTGGAGTTGCCTGAAGGAAGTCGAGCCACGGGTCGTGTTGAATGGGGAAAGGGGAATGGCTCTGGAGTCAATGCAGGGGAATCAGGCCTCATCTCGAGTTGATTTGGGGCACATGGAGCTGCTTTGCATTGCTGGGGTGACCTCAGGGTCCGTCTAGACTGGTGACAGTGTTCTTGGGGACTGTCTCGAGATCCATTAAGCAAGTCGAAGTTCCTGACTTGTTTAAATGGGATCATGGAATAGCTCTGCATGAACTGCAGGGGAATGGGGCCTCATCTCGCCTCTAGGGGGAAGTCTCATGGTTTTTCTCGAGTTGCGGCGGGGACCTGGGGTATGTTCTCGACATACGGAGGGAATGGCCCTTCAAAACACGAGTTTCTTCAGTGACGTCAGGACTCCTGTCTAGTAACGAGGGACACCTCAGGAATCTCTTCGAGGCTTGGCAGGGCAAAGGGACGCTTCTCGAGGTGAGGCAGGGCACCCAAGGACCCTTTCCAGTAGCCACAGGGATTTTGGGATTCCTATCAGTATTCAAGAGGAGTCAGGCATCGTCACCTTTTGAAGCAATGAACTCTGCGTGCCTCCCGAGGTGCCAGCGGGATGTGAGGCATTCCGTCAAAAGGAGGCAGAGACCTAGGGCTTTCTCTAAGGTCTCCACAGGGGATTCAGACATCCCTTCATGTTGTGAGATGAAAGACGGGCCTGTATTGAAGCCACTGCAAGGAAATCCGGTCTCCTTTCAAGTTAGGGCTTCTCGCTGTATATTCCCCTTGAGGCAGCAAACTCGGGGTCCCTCTCACATACCTATTGCTGAGAGAAGCCTCCTCCTGAGGTGCTTCTGGAAAGTTGGCATACGTCTTGAGCCTAAGCCAGGGAATCAGCTCTCATCTCGAGACAATTTGGGGTACACGGAGCATTCCTCGAGTTGCTGTGCTGAAGGTGGAGTTCCTCTAGACTTGGGACAGTGTTCTCGGGGCATCTCTGGAGTTGCCTGAAGGAAGTCGAGCCACCAGTCTGTTGAATGGGGAACGGGGAATGGCTCTGGAGTCAATGCAGGGGAATCGGGCCTCATCTCGAGTTGATTTGGGGCACATGGAGCTGCTTTGCCTTGCTGGGGTGACCGCAGGGTCCGTCTAGACTGGTGACAGTGTTCTTGGGGACTGTCTCGAGATCCATTAAGCAAGTCGAAGCTCCTGACTTGTTTGAATGGGATCACGGAATAGCTCTGCATGCACTGCAGGGGAATGGGGCCTCATCTCGCCTCTAGGGGAAAGTCTCATGGTTTTTATCGATTTCAGGCGGGGACCTGGGTATGTTCTCGCCTTACGGCGGGGATGGCCCTTCAAAACACGAGTTTCTTCAGTGACGTCAGGACTCCTGTCTAGTAACGAGGGACACCTCAGGAATCTCCGAGGCTTGGCAGGGCAAAAGGGACGCTTCTCGAGGTGAAGCATGGCACCCAAGGACCCTTTCCTGTAGCCACAGGGATTTTGGGATTCTATTCAGTATTCAAGAGGAGTCAGGCATCGTCACCTTTTGAAACAATTAACTCTGCGTGCCTCTCGAGGTGTCAGCGGGATGTGAGGCATTCCGTCAAAATGAGGCAGGGCCCTAGGGCTTTCTCTCAGGTCTCCACAGGGGATTCAGACATCCCTTCATGTTGTGAGATGAAAGACGAGCCTGTATTCAAGCCACTGCAAGGAAATCCGGCCTCCTTTCAAGTTAGGGCTTCTCGCTGTATATTCCCCTTGAGGCAGCAAAATCGGGGACCCTCCCACATACCTATTGCTGAGAGAAGCCTATTCCAGAGTTGCTTCTGGAAAGTTGGCAAATGCCTTGAGCCTAAGCCAATGAATCAGCTCTCATCTCGAGACGATTTGGGGTGCACGGAGGATTTCTCGTGTTGCTGTGCTGAAGTTGGTGTTCCTCTAGACTTGGGACAGTGATCTCGGGGCATCTCTGGAGTTGCCTGAAGGAAGTCGAGCCACCGGTCGTGTTGAATGGGGAACTCGGAATGGCTCTGGAGTCAATGCAGGGAAATCGGGCCTCATCTCGAGTTGATTTGGGGCACATGGAGCTGCTTTGCGTTTCTGGGGTGACCTGAGGGTCCGTCTAGACTGGTGACAGTGTTCTTGGGGACTGTCTCGAGATCCATTAAGCAAGTCGAAGCTCCTGACTTGTTTGAATGGGATCACGGAATAGCTCTGCATGCACTGCAGGGGAATGGGGCCTCATCTCGCCTCTAGGGGGAAGTCTCATGGTTTTTCTCGAGTTGCGGCGGGGACCTGGGGTATGTTCTCGACTTACGGCGGTGATGGCCCTTCAAAACACGAGTTTCTTCAGTGACGTCAGGACTCCTTTCTAGTAACGAGGGATACCTCAGGAATCTCTTCGAGGGTTGGCAGGGCAAAAGGGACGCTACTCGAGGTGAGGCAGGGCACCCAAGGACCCTTTCCAGTAGCCACAGGGATTTTGGGATTCCTATCAGTATTCAAGAGGAGTCAGGCATCGTCACCTTTTGAAGCAATGAACTCCGCGTGCCTCTCGAGGTGCCAGCGGGATGTGAGGCATTCCGTCAAAATGAGGCAGGGACCTAGGGCTTTCTCTGAGGTCTCTACAGGGGATTCAGACATCCCTTCATGTTGTGAGATGAAAGACGAGCCTGTATTCAAGCCACTGCAAGGAAAGCCGGCCTCCTTTCAAGTTAGGGCTTCTCGCTGTATATTCCCCTTGAGGCAGCATATTCGGGCTCCCTCCCACATACCTATTGCTCAGAGAAGCCTCCTCCTGAGGTGCTTCTGGAAAGTTGGCATACGTCTTGAGCCTAAGCCAGGGAATCAGCTCTCATCTCGAGACGATTTGGGGTACACGGAGCATTCCTCGAGTTGATGTGCTGAAGTTGGTGTTCCTCTAGACTTGGGGCAGTGTTCTCGGGGCATCTCTGTAGTTGCCTGAAGGAAGTCGAGCCACCGGTCGTGTTGAATGGGGAACGGGTTATGGCTCTGGAGTCAATGCAGGGGAATCGGGCCTCATCTCGAGTTGATTTGGGGCACATGGAGCTGCTTTGCCTTGCTGGGGTGACCTCAGTGTCTGTCTCGACTGGTGACAGTGTTCTTGGGGACTGTCTCGAGATCCATTAAGCAAGTCGAAGCTCCTGACTTGTTTGAATGGGATCACGGAATAGCTCTGCATGCACTGCAGGGGAATGGGGCCTCATCTCGCCTCTAGGGGGAAGTCTCATGGTTTTTCTCGAGTTGCGGCGGGGACCTGGGGTATGTTCTCGACTTACTGCGGGGATGGCCCTTCAAAACACGAGTTTCTTCAGTGAGGTCAGGACTCCTGTCTAGTAACGAGGGACACCTCAGGAATCTCTCCGAGGCTTCGCAGGGCAAAAGGGACGCTTCTCGATGTGAGGCATGGCACCCAAGGACCCTTTCCAGTAGCCACAGGGATTTTGGGATTCCTATCAGTATACAAGAGGAGTCAGGCATCGTCACCTTTTGAAGCAATGAACTCCGCGTGCCTCTCGAGGTGTCAGCGGGATGTGAGGCATTCTGTCAAAATGAGGCAGGGACCTAGGGCTTTCTCTAAGGTTTCCACAGGGGATTCAGACATCCCTTCATGTTGTGAGATGAAAGAAGAGCCTGTATTCAAGCCACTGCAAGGAAATCCGGCCTCCTTTCAAGTTAGGGCTTCTCGCTGTATATTCCCCTTGAGGCAGCAAACTCGGGGTCCCTCCCACATACCTATTGCTGAGAGAAGCCTCCTCCTGAGGTGCTTCTGGAAAGTTGGCTTACGTCTTGAGCCTAAGCCAGGGAATCAGCTCTCATCTCGAGACGATTTGGGGTACACGGAGCATTCCTCGATTTGCTGTGCTGAAGTTGGTGTTCCTCTAGACTTGGGACAGTGTTCTCGGGGCATCTCTGGAGTTGCCTGAAGGAAGTGGAGCCACGGTTCGTGTTGAATGGGGAACGGGGAATGGCTCTGGAGTCAATGCAGGGGAATCAGGCCTCATCTCGAGTTGATTTGGGGCACATGTAGCTGCTTTGCGTTGCTGGGGTGACCTCAGGGTCCGTCTAGACTGGTGACAGTGTTCTTGGGGACTGTCTCGAGATCCATTAAGCAAGTCAAAGATCCTGACTTGTTTGAATGGGATCACGGAATAGCTCTGCATGCACTGCAGGGGAATGGGGCCTCATCTCGCCTCTAGGGGGAAGTCTCATGGTTTTTCTCGAGTTTCCGCGGCGACCTGGGGTATGTTCTCGACTTACGGCGGGGATGGCCCTTCAAAACACGAGTTTCTTCAGTGACGTCAGGACTCCTGTCTAGTAACGAGGGACACCTCAGGAATCTCTTCGAGGCTTGGCAGGGCAAAAGGGACGCTTCTCGAGGTGAGGCAGGGCACGCAAGGACCCTTTCCAGTAGCCACAGGGATTTTGGGATTCCTATCAGTGTTCAAGAGGAGTCAGGCATCGTCACCTTTTGAACCATGAAATCCGCGTGCCTCTCGAGGTGTCAGCGGGATGTGAGGCATTCTGTCAAAATGAGGCAGGGACCTAGGGCTTTCTCTAAGGGCTCCACAGGGGATTCAGACATCCCTTCATGTTGTGAGATGAAAGACGAGCCTGTATTCAAGCCACTGCTAGGAAATCCGGCCTCCATTCAAGTTAGGGCTTCTCGCTGTATATTCCCCTTGTGGCAGCAAACTCGGGCTCCCTCCCACATACCTATTGCTGAGAGAAGCCTCCTCCTGAGGTGCTTCTGGAAAGTTGGCATACGTCTTGAGCCTAAGCCAGGGAATCAGCTCTCATCTCGAGACGATTTGGGGTACACGGAGCATTCCTCGAGTTGCTGTGTTGAAGTTGCTGTTCCTCTAGACTTGGGACAGTGTTCTCGGGGCATCTCTGGAGTTGCCTGAAGGAAGTCGAGCCACCGGTCGTGTTGAATGGGGAACGGGGAATGGCTCTGGAGTCAATGCAGGGAAATCGGGCCTCATCTCGAGTTGATTTGGGGCACATGGAGCTGCTTTGCGTTGCTGGGGTGACCTCAGGGTCCGTCTAGACTGGTGACAGTGTTCTTGGGGACTGTCTCGAGATCCATTAAGCAAGTCGAAGCTCCTGACTTGTTTGAATGGGATCACGGAATAGCTCTGCATGCACTGCAGGGGAATGGGGCCTCATCTCGCCTCTAGGGGGAAGTCTCATGGTTTTTCTCGAGTTGCGGCGGGGACCTGGGGTATGTTCTCGACTTACGGCGGGGATGGCCCTTCAAAACACGAGTTTCTTCAGTGACGTCAGGACTCCTGTCTAGTAACGAGGGATACCGCAGGAATCCCTTCGAGGTTTGGCAGGGCAAAAGAGACACTTCTCGAGGTGAGGCAGGGCACTCAAGGACTCTTTCCAGTAGCCACAGGGATTTTGGGATTCCTATCAGTATTCAAGAGGAGTCAGGCATCGTCACCTTTTGAACCATGAACTCCGCGTGCCTCTCGAGGTGTCAGCGGGATGTGAGGCATTCTGTCAAAATGAGGCAGGGACCTAGGGCTTTCTCTAAGGTCTCCACAGGGGATTCAGACATCCCTTCATGTTGTGAGATGAAAGACGAGCCTGTATTCAAGCCACTGCAAGGAAATCCGGCCTCCTTTCAAGTTAGGGCTTCTCGCTGTATATTCCCCTTGAGGCAGCAAACTCGGGGTCCCTCCCACATACCTATTGCTGAGAGAAGCCTCCTCCTGAGGTGCTTCTGGAAAGTTGGCATACGTCTAGAGCCTAAGCCAGGGAATCAGCTCTCATCTCGAGACGATTTGGGGTACTCTGAGCATTCCTCGATTTGCTGTGCTGAAGTTGGTGTTCCTCTAGACTTGGGACAGTGTTCTCGGGGCATCTCTGGAGTTGCCTGAAGGAAGTCGAGCCACGGGTCGTGTTGAATGGGGAAAGGGGAATGGCTCTGGAGTCAATGCAGGGGAATCAGGCCTCATCTCGAGTTGATTTGGGGCACATGTAGCTGCTTTGCGTTGCTGGGGTGACCTCAGGGTCCGTCTAGACTGGTGACAGTGTTCTTGGGGACTGTCTCGAGATCCATTAAGCAAGTCAAAGATCCTGACTTGTTTGAATGGGATCACGGAATAGCTCTGCATGCACTGCAGGGGAATGGGGCCTCATCTCGCCTCTAGGGGGAAGTCTCATGGTTTTTCTCGAGTTTCCGCGGGGACCTGGGGTATGTTCTCGACTTACGGCGGGGATGGCCCTTCAAAACACGAGTTTCTTCAGTGACGTCAGGACTCCTGTCTAGTAACGAGGGACACCTCAGGAATCTCTTCGAGGCTTGGCAGGGCAAAAGGGACGCTTCTCGAGGTGAGGCAGGGCACGCAAGGACCCTTTCCAGTAGCCACAGGGATTTTGGGATTCCTATCAGTGTTCAAGAGGAGTCAGGCATCGTCACCTTTTGAACCATGAAATCCGCGTGCCTCTCGAGGTGTCAGCGGGATGTGAGGCATTCTGTCAAAATGAGGCAGGGACCTAGGGCTTTCTCTAAGGGCTCCACAGGGGATTCAGACATCCCTTCATGTTGTGAGATGAAAGACGAGCCTGTATTCAAGCCACTGCTAGGAAATCCGGCCTCCATTCAAGTTAGGGCTTCTCGCTGTATATTCCCCTTGTGGCAGCAAACTCGGGCTCCCTCCCACATACCTATTGCTGAGAGAAGCCTCCTCCTGAGGTGCTTCTGGAAAGTTGGCATACGTCTTGAGCCTAAGCCAGGGAATCAGCTCTCATCTCGAGACGATTTGGGGTACACGGAGCATTCCTCGAGTTGCTGTGTTGAAGTTGCTGTTCCTCTAGACTTGGGACAGTGTTCTCGGGGCATCTCTGGAGTTGCCTGAAGGAAGTCGAGCCACCGGTCGTGTTGAATGGGGAACGGGGAATGGCTCTGGAGTCAATGCAGGGAAATCGGGCCTCATCTCGAGTTGATTTGGGGCACATGGAGCTGCTTTGCGTTGCTGGGGTGACCTCAGGGTCTGTCTCGACTGGTGACAGTGTTCTTGGGGACTGTCTCGAGATCCATTAAGCAAGTCGAAGCTCCTGACTTGTTTGAATGGGATCACGGAATAGCTCTGCATGCACTGCAGGGGAATGGGGCCTCATCTCGCCTCTAGGGGGAAGTCTCATGGTTTTTCTCGAGTTGCGGCGGGGACCTGGGGTATGTTCTCGACTTACGGCGGGGATGGCCCTTCAAAACACGAGTTTCTTCAGTGACGTCAGGACTCCTGTCTAGTAACGAGGGATACCGCAGGAATCCCTTCGAGGTTTGGCAGGGCAAAAGAGACACTTCTCGAGGTGAGGCAGGGCACTCAAGGACTCTTTCCAGTAGCCACAGGGATTTTGGGATTCCTATCAGTATTCAAGAGGAGTCAGGCATCGTCACCTTTTGAACCATGAACTCCGCGTGCCTCTCGAGGTGTCAGCGGGATGTGAGGCATTCTGTCAAAATGAGGCAGGGACCTAGGGCTTTCTCTAAGGTCTCCACAGGGGATTCAGACATCCCTTCATGTTGTGAGATGAAAGATGAGCCTGTATTCAAGCCACTGCAAGGAAATCCGGCCTCCTTTCAAGTTAGGGCTTCTCGCTGTATATTCCCCTTGAGGCAGCAAACTCGGGGTCCCTCCCACATACCTATTGCTGAGAGAAGCCTCCTCCTGAGGTGCTTCTGGAAAGTTGGCATACGTCTAGAGCCTAAGCCAGGGAATCAGCTCTCATCTCGAGACGATTTGGGGTACTCTGAGCATTCCTCGATTTGCTGTGCTGAAGTTGGTGTTCCTCTAGACTTGGGACAGTGTTCTCGGGGCATCTCTGGAGTTGCCTGAAGGAAGTCGAGCCACGGGTCGTGTTGAATGGGGAAAGGGGAATGGCTCTGGAGTCAATGCAGGGGAATCAGGCCTCATCTCGAGTTGATTTGGGGCACATGGAGCTGCTTTGCGTTGCTGGGATGACCTCAGGGTCCGTCTAGACTGGTGACAGTGTTCTTGGGGACTGTCTCGAGATCCATTAAGCAAGTCGAAGCTCCTGACTTGTTTGAATGGGATCACGGAATAGCTCTGCATGCACTGCAGGGGAATGGGGCCTCATCTCGCTTCTAGGGGGAAGTCTCATGGTTTTTCTCGAGTTGCGGCGGGGACCTGGGGTATGTTCTCGACTTACGGCGGGGATGGCACTTCAAAACACGAGTTTCTTCAGTGACGTCAGGACTCCTGTCTAGTAACGAGGGACACCTCAGGAATCTCTCCGAGGCTTCGCAGGGCAAAAGGGACGCTTCTCGAGGTGAGGCAGGGCACCCAAGGACCCTTTCCAGTAGCCACAGGGATTTGGGGATTCCTATCAGTTTTCAAGAGGAGTCAGGCATCGTCAACTTTTGAACCATGAACGCCGCGTGCCTCTCGAGGTGTCAGCGGGATGTGAGGCATTCTGTCAAAATGAGGTAGGGACCTAGATCTTTCTCTAAGGTCTCCACAGGGGATTCAGACATCACTTCATGTTGTGAGATGAAAGACGTGCCTGTATTCAAGCCACTGCAAGGAAATCCGGCCTCCTTTCAAGTTAGGGCTTCTCGCTGTATATTCCCCTTGAGGCAGCAAACTCGGGGTCCCTCCCACATACCTATTTCTGAGAGAAGCCTCCTCCTGAGGTGCTTCTGGAAAGTTGGCATACGTCTTGAGCCTAAGCCAGGGAATCAGCTCTCATCTTGAGACGATTTGGGGTACACAGAGCATTCCTCGAGTTGCTGTGCTGAAGTTGGTGTTCCTCTAGACTTGGGACAGTGTTCTCGGGGCATCTCTGGAGTTGCCTGAAGGAAGTCGAGCCACCGGTCGTGTTGAATGGGGAACGGGGAATGGCTCTGGAGCCAATGCAGGGAAATCGGGCCTCATCTCGAGTTGATTTGGGGCACATGGAGCTGCTTTGCGTTGCTGGGGTGACCTCAGGGTCCGTCTAGACTGGTGACAGTGTTCTTGGGGACTGTCTCGAGATCCATTAAGCAAGTCGAAGCTCCTGACTTGTTTGAATGGGATCACGGAAGAGCTCTGCATGCACTGCAGGGGAATGGGGCCTCGTCTCGCCTCTAGGGGGAAGTCTCATGGTTTTTCTCGAGTTGCGGCGAGGACCTGGGGTATGTTCTCGCCTTACGGCGGGGATGGACCTTCAAAACACGAGTTTCTTCAGTGACGTCAGGACTCCTGTCTAGTAACGAGGGATACCTCAGGAATCTCTTCGAGGCTTGGCAGGGCAAAAGGGATATTCTCGAGGTGAGGCAGGGCACCCAAGGACCCTTTCCAGTAGCCACAGGGATTTTGGGATTCCTATCAGTATTCAAGAGGAGTCAGGCATCGTCACCTTTTGAACCATGAACTCCGCGTGCCTCTCGAGGTGTCAGCGGGATGTGAGGCATTCTGTCAAAATGAGGCAGGGACCTAGGGCTTTCTCTAAGGTTTCCACAGGGGATTCAGACATCCCTTCATGTTGTGAGATGAAAGAAGAGCCTGTATTCAAGCCACTGCAAGGAAATCCGGCCTCCTTTCAAGTTAGGGCTTCTCGCTGTATATTCCCCTTGAGGCAGCAAACTCGGGGTCCCTCCCACATACCTATTGCTGAGAGAAGCCTCCTCCTGAGGTGCTTGTGGAAAGTTGGCATACGTCTTGAGCCTAAGCCAGGGAATCAGCTCTCATCTCGAGACGATTTGGGGTACACGGAGCATTCCTCGATTTGCTGTGCTGAAGTTGGTGTTCCTCTAGACTTGGGACAGTGTTCTCGGGGCATCTCTGGAGTTGCCTGAAGGAAGTGGAGCCACGGTTCGTGTTGAATGGGGAACGGGGAATGGCTCTGGAGTCAATGCAGGGGAATCACGCCTCATCTCGAGTTGATTTGGGGCACATGGAGCTGCTTTGCGTTGCTGGGGTGACCTCAGGGTCCGTCTAGACTGGTGACAGTGTTCTTGGGGACTGTCTCGAGATCCATTAAGCAAGTCAAAGATCCTGACTTGTTTGAATGGGATCACGGAATAGCTCTGCATGCACTGCAGGGGAATGGGGCCTCATCTCGCCTCTAGGGGGAAGTCTCATGGTTTTTCTCGAGTTTCCGCGGGGACCTGGGGTATGTTCTCGACTTACGGCGGGGATGGCCCTTCAAAACACGAGTTTCTTCAGTGACGTCAGGACTCCTGTCTAGTAACGAGGGACACCTCAGGAATCTCTTCGAGGCTTGGCAGGGCAAAAGGGACGCTTCTCGAGGTGAGGCAGGGAACGCAAGGACCCTTTCCAGTAGCCACAGGGATTTTGGGATTCCTATCAGTGTTCAAGAGGAGTCAGGCATCGTCACCTTTTGAACCATGAACTCCGCGTGCCTCTCGAGGTGTCAGCGGGATGTGAGGCATTCTGTCAAAATGAGGCAGGGACCTAGGGCTTTCTCTAAGGGCTCCACAGGGGATTCAGACATCCCTTCATGTTGTGAGATGAAAGACGAGCCTGTATTCAAGCCACTGCTAGGAAATCCGGCCTCCATTCAAGTTAGGGCTTCTCGCTGTATATTCCCCTTGTGGCAGCAAACTCGGGCTCCCTCCCACATACCTATTGCTGAGAGAAGCCTCCTCCTGAGGTGCTTCTGGAAAGTTGGCATACGTCTTGAGCCTAAGCCAGGGAATCAGCTCTCATCTCTAGACGATTTGGGGTACACGGAGCATTCCTCGAGTTGCTGTGTTGAAGTTGCTGTTCCTCTAGAATTGGGACAGTGTTCTCGGGGCATCTCTGGAGTTGCCTGAAGGAAGTTGAGCCACCGGTCGTGTTGAATGGGGAACGGGGAATGGCTCTGGAGTCAATGCAGGGAAATCGGGCCTCATCTCGAGTTGATTTGGGGCACATGGAGCTGCTTTGCGTTGCTGGGGTGACCTCAGGGTCCGTCTAGACTGGTGACAGTGTTCTTGGGGACTGTCTCGAGATCCATTAAGCAAGTCGAAGCTCCTGACTTGTTTGAATGGGATCACGGAATAGCTCTGCATGCACTGCAGGGGAATGGGGCCTCATCTCGCCTCTAGGGGGAAGTCTCATGGTTTTTCTCGAGTTGCGGCGGGGACCTGGGGTATGTTCTCGACTTACGGCGGGGATGGCCCTTCAAAACACGAGTTTCTTCAGTGACGTCAGGACTCCTGTCTAGTAACGAGGGATACCGCAGGAATCCCTTCGAGGTTTGGCAGGGCAAAAGAGACACTTCTCGAGGTGAGGCAGGGCACTCAAGGACTCTTTCCAGTAGCCACAGGGATTTTGGGATTCCTATCAGTATTCAAGAGGAGTCAGGCATCGTCACCTTTTGAACCATGAACTCCGCGTGCCTCTCGAGGTGTCAGCGGGATGTGAGGCATTCTGTCAAAATGAGGCAGGGACCTAGGGCTTTCTCTAAGGTCTCCACAGGGGATTCAGACATCCCTTCATGTTGTGAGATGAAAGACGAGCCTGTATTCAAGCCACTGCAAGGAAATCCGGCCTCCTTTCAAGTTAGGGCTTCTCGCTGTATATTCCCCTTGAGGCAGCAAACTCGGGGTCCCTCCCACATACCTATTGCTGAGAGAAGCCTCCTCCTGAGGTGCTTCTGGAAAGTTGGCATACGTCTAGAGCCTAAGCCAGGGAATCAGCTCTCATCTCGAGACGATTTGGGGTACTCTGAGCATTCCTCGATTTGCTGTGCTGAAGTTGGTGTTCCTCTAGACTTGGGACAGTGTTCTCGGGGCATCTCTGGAGTTGCCTGAAGGAAGTCGAGCCACGGGTCGTGTTGAATGGGGAAAGGGGAATGGCTCTGGAGTCAATGCAGGGGAATCAGGCCTCATCTCGAGTTGATTTGGGGCACATGGAGCTGCTTTGCGTTGCTGGGATGACCTCAGGGTCCGTCTAGACTGGTGACAGTGTTCTTGGGGACTGTCTCGAGATCCATTAAGCAAGTCGAAGCTCCTGACTTGTTTGAATGGGATCACGGAATAGCTCTGCATGCACTGCAGGGGAATGGGGCCTCATCTCGCTTCTAGGGGGAAGTCTCATGGTTTTTCTCGAGTTGCGGCGGGGACCTGGGGTATGTTCTCGACTTACGGCGGGGATGGCACTTCAAAACACGAGTTTCTTCAGTGACGTCAGGACTCCTGTCTAGTAACGAGGGACACCTCAGGAATCTCTCCGAGGCTTCGCAGGGCAAAAGGGACGCTTCTCGAGGTGAGGCAGGGCACCCAAGGACCCTTTCCAGTAGCCACAGGGATTTGGGGATTCCTATCAGTTTTCAAGAGGAGTCAGGCATCGTCAACTTTTGAACCATGAACGCCGCGTGCCTCTCGAGGTGTCAGCGGGATGTGAGGCATTCTGTCAAAATGAGGTAGGGACCTAGATCTTTCTCTAAGGTCTCCACAGGGGATTCAGACATCACTTCATGTTGTGAGATGAAAGACGTGCCTGTATTCAAGCCACTGCAAGGAAATCCGGCCTCCTTTCAAGTTAGGGCTTCTCGCTGTATATTCCCCTTGAGGCAGCAAACTCGGGGTCCCTCCCACATACCTATTGCTGAGAGAAGCCTCCTCCTGAGGTGCTTCTGGAAAGTTGGCATACGTCTTGAGCCTAAGCCAGGGAATCAGCTCTCATCTTGAGACGATTTGGGGTACACAGAACATTCCTCGAGTTGCTGTGCTGAAGTTGGTGTTCCTCTAGACTTGGGACAGTGTTCTCGGGGCATCTCTGGAGTTGCCTGAAGGAAGTCGAGCCACCGGTCGTGTTGAATGGGGAACGGGGAATGGCTCTGGAGCCAATGCAGGGAAATCGGGCCTCATCTCGAGTTGATTTGGGGCACATGGAGCTGCTTTGCGTTGCTGGGGTGACCTCAGGGTCCGTCTAGACTGGTGACAGTGTTCTTGGGGACTGTCTCGAGATCCATTAAGCAAGTCGAAGCTCCTGACTTGTTTGAATGGGATCACGGAAGAGCTCTGCATGCACTGCAGGGGAATGGGGCCTCGTCTCGCCTCTAGGGGGAAGTCTCATGGTTTTTCTCGAGTTGCGGCGAGGACCTGGGGTATGTTCTCGCCTTACGGCGGGGATGGACCTTCAAAACACGAGTTTCTTCAGTGACGTCAGGACTCCTGTCTAGTAACGAGGGATACCTCAGGAATCTCTTCGAGGGTTGGCAGGGCAAAAGGGACGCTTCTCGAGGTGAGGCAGGGCACCCAAGGACCCTTTCCAGTAGCCACAGGGATTTTGGGATTCCTATCAGTATTCAAGAGGAGTCAGGCATCGTCACCTTTTGAAGCAATGAACTCTGCGTGCCTCTCGAGGTGTCAGCGGGAAGTGAGGCATTCCGTCAAAATGAGGCAGGGACCTAGGGCTTTCTCTAAGGTCACTACAGGGGATTGAGACATCCCTTCATGTTGTGAGAAGAAAGACGAGCCTGTATTCAAGCCACTGCAAGGAAATCCGGCCTCCTTTCAAGTGAGGGCTTCTCGCTGTATATTCCCCTTGAGGCAGCAAACTCGGGGTCCCTCCCACATACCTATTGCTGAGAGAAGCCTCCTCCTGAGGTGCTTCTGGGAAGTTGGCATACGTCTTGAGCCTAAGCCAGGGAATCAGCTCGCATCTCGAGACGATTTGGGGTACACGGAGCATTCCTCGAGTTGCTGTGCTGAAGTTGGTGTTCCTCTAGACTTGGGACAGTGTTCTCGGGGCATCTCTGGAGTTGCCTGAAGGAAGTCGAGCCACCGGTCGTGTTGAATGGGGAACGGGGAATGGCTCTGGAGTCAATGCAGGGGAATCGGGCCTCATCTCGAGTTGATTTGGGGCACATGGAGCTGCTTTGCGTTGCTGGGGTGACCTCAGGGTCTGTCTCGACTGGTGACAGTGTTCTTGGGGACTGTCTCGAGACCCATTAAGCAAGTCGAAGCTCCTGACTTGTTTGAATGGGATCACGGAATAGCTCTGCATGCACTGCAGGGGAATGGGGCCTCATCTCGCCTCTAGGGGGAAGTCTCATGGTTTTTCTCGAGTTGCGGCGGGGACCTGGGGTATGTTCTCGACTTACGGCGGGGATGGCACTTCAAAACACGAGTTTCTTCAGTGACGTCAGGACTCCTGTCTAGTAACGAGGGACACGTCAGGTATCTCTCCGAGGCTTCGCAGGGCAAAAGGGACGCTTCTCGAGGTGAGGCAGGGCACCCAAGGACCCTTTCCAGTAGCCACAGGGATTTTGGGATTCCTATCAGTATTCAAGAGGAGTCAGGCATCGTCACTTTTTGAACCATGAACTCCGCGCGCCTCTCGAGGTGTCAGCGGGATGTGAGGCATTCTGTCAAAATGAGGCAGGGAACTAGGGTTTTCTCTAAGGTTTCCACAGGGGATTCAGACATCCCTTCATATTGTGAGATGAAAGACGAGCCTGTATTCAAGCCACTGCAAGGAAATCCGGCCTCCTTTCAAGTTAGGGCTTCTCGCTGTATATTCCCCTTGAGGCAGCAAACTCGAGGTCCCTCCCACATACCTATTGCTGAGAGAAGTCTCCTCCTGAGGTGCTTCTGGAAAGTTGGCATACGTCTTGAGCCTAAGCCAGGGAATCAGCTCTCATCTCGAGACTATTTGGGGTACTCGGAGCATTCCTCGATTTGCTGTGCTGAAGTTGGTGTTCCTCTAGACTTGGGACAGTGTTCTCGGGGCATCTCTGGAGTTGCCTGAAGGAAGTGGAGCCACGGGTCGTGTTGAATGGGGAACGGGGAATGGCTCTGGAATCAATGCAGGGGAATCAGGCCTCATCTCGAGTTGATTTGGGGCACATGGAGCTGCTTTGCGTTGCTGGGGTGACCTCAGGGTCCGTCTAGACTGGTGACAGTGTTCTTGGGGACTGTCTCGAGATCCATTAAGCAAGTCGAAGCTCCTCACTTGTTTGAATGGGATCACGGAATAGCTCTGCATGCACTGCAGGGGAATGGGGCCTCATCTCGCTTCTAGGGGGAAGTCTCATGGTTTTTCTCGAGTTGCGGCGGGGACCTGGCGTATGTTCTCGACTTACGGCGGGGATGGAACTTCAAAACACGAGTTTCTTCAGTGACGTCAGGACTCCTGTCTAGTAACGAGGGACACCTCAGGAATCTCTCCGAGGCTTCGCAGGGCAAAAGGGACGCTTCCCGAGGTGAGGCAGGGCACCCAAGGACCCTTTCCAGTAGCCACAGGGATTTGGAGATTCCTATCAGTATTCAAGAGGAGTCAGGAATCGTCACCTTTTGAACCATGAACTCCGCGTGCCTCTCGAGGTGTCAGCAGGATGTGAGGCATTCTGTCAAAATGAGGCAGGGACCTAGGGCTTTCTCTAAGGTCTCCACAGGGGATTCAGACATCACTTCATGTTGTGAGATGAAAGACGTGCCTGTATTCAAGCCACTGCAAGGAAATCCGGCCTCCTTTCAAGTTAGTGCTTCTCGCTGTATATTCCCCTTGAGGCAGCAAACTCGGGGTCCCTCCCACATACCTATTGCTGAGAGAAGCCTCCTCCTGAGGTGCTTCTGGAAAGTTGGCATACGTCTTGAGCCTAAGCCAGGGAATCAGCTCTCATCTCGAGACGATTTGGGGTACTCGGAGCATTCCTCGAGTTGCTGTGCTGAAGTTGGTGTTCCTCTAGACTTGGGACAGTATTCTCGGGGCATCTCTGGAGTTGCCTGAAGGAAGTGGAGCCACGGGTCGTGTTGAATGGGGAACGGGGAATGGCTCTGGAGTCAATGCAGGGGAATCAGGCCTCATCTCGAGTTGATTTGAGGCACATGGAGCTGCTTTGCGTTGCTGGGGTTACCTCAGGGTCCGTCTAGACTGGTGACAGTGTTCTTGGGGACTGTCTCGAGATCCATTAAGCAAGTCGAAGCTCCTGACTTGTTTGAATGGGATCACGGAATAGCTCTGCATGCACTGCAGGGGAATGGGGCCTCATCTCGCCTCTAGGGGGAAGTCTCATGGTTTTTCTCGAGTTGCGGCGGGGACCTGGGGTATGTTCTCGACTTACGGCGGGGATGGCCCTTCAAAACACGAGTTTCTTCAGTGACGTCAGGACTCCTGTCTAGTAACGAGGGACACCTTAGGAATCTCTCCGAGGCTTCGCAGGGCAAAAGGGACGCTTCTCGAGGTGAGGCAGGGCACCCAAGGACCCATTCCAGTAGCCACAGGGATTTTGGGATTCCTATCAGTATTCAAGAGGAGTCAGGCATCGTCACCTTTTGAACCATGAACTCCGCGTGCCTCTCGAGGTGTCATCGGGATGTGAGGCATTCTGTCCAAATGAGGCAGGGACCTAGGGCTTTCTCTAAGGTTTCCACAGGGGATTCAGACATCCCTTCATGTTGTGAGATGAAAGACGAGCCTGTATTCAAGCCACTGCAAGGAAATCCGGCCTCCTTTCAAGTTAGGGCTTCTCGCTGTATATTCCACTTGAGGCAGCAAACATGGGGTCCCTCCCACATACCTATTGCTGAGAGAAGCCTCCTCCTGAGGTGCTTCTGGAAAGTTGGCATACGTCTAGAGCCTAAGCCAGGGAATCAGCTCTCATCTCGAGACGATTTGGGGTACTCTGAGCATTCCTCGATTTGCTGTGCTGAAGTTGGTGTTCCTCTAGACTTGGGACAGTGTTCTCGGGGCATCTCTGGAGTTGCCTGAAGGAAGTGGAGCCACGGGTCGTGTTGAATGGGGAACGGGGAATGGCTCTGGAATCAATGCAGGGGAATCAGGCCTCATCTCGAGTTGATTTGGGGCACATGGAGCTGCTTTGCGTTGCTGGGGTGACCTCAGGGTCCGTCTAGACTGGTGACAGTGTTCTTGGGGACTGTCTCGAGATCCATTAAGCAAGTCGAAGCTCCTGACTTGTTTGAATGGGATCACGGAATAGCTCTGCATGCACTGCAGGGGAATGGGGCCTCGTCTCGCCTCTAGGGGGAATTCTCATGGTTTTTCTCGAGTTGCGGCGGGGACCTGGGGTATGTTCTCGCCTTACGGCGGGGATGGCCCTTCAAAACACGAGTTTCTTCAGTGACGTCAGGACTCCTGTCTAGTAACGAGGGATACCTCAGGAATCTCTTCGAGGTTTGGCAGGGCAAAAGGGACGCTACTCGAGGTGAGGCAGGGCACCCAAGGACCCTTTCCAGTAGCCACAGGGATTTTGGGATTCCTATCAGTATTCAAGAGGAGTCAGGCATCGTCACCTTTTGAGGCAATGAACTCCCCGTGCCTCTCGAGGTGCCAGCGGGATGTGAGGCATTCCGTCAAAATGAGGCAGGGACCTAGGGCTTTCTCTAAGGTCTCTACAGGGGATTCAGACATCCCTTCATGTTGTGAGATGAAAGACGAGCCTGTATTCAAGCCACTGCAAGGAAATCCGGCCTCCATTCAAGTTAGGGCTTCTCGCTGTATATTCCCCTTGAGGCAGCAAACTCGGGGTCCCTCCCACATACCTATTGCTGAGAGAAGCCTCCTCCTGAGGTGCTTCTGGAAAGTTGGCATACGTCTAGACCCTAAGCCAGGGAATCAGCTCTCATCTCAAAACGATTTGGGGTAGTCTGAGCATTCCTCGATTTGCTGTGCTGAAGTTGGTGTTCCTCTAGACTTGGGACAGTGTTCTCGGGGCATCTCTGGAGTTGCCTGAAGGAAGTGGAGCCACGGGTCGTGTTGAATGGGGAAAGGGGAATGGTTCTGGAGTCAATGCAGGGGAATCAGGCCTCATCTCGAGTTGATTTGGGGCACATGGAGCTGCTTTGCGTTGCTGGGATGACCTCAGGGTCCGTCTAGACTGGTGACAGTGTTCTTGGGGACTGTCTCGAGATCCATTAAGCAAGTGGAAGCTCCTGACTTGTTTGAATGGGATCACGGAATAGCTCTGCATGCACTGCAGGGGAATGGGGCCTCATCTCGCCACTAGGGGGAAGTCTCATGGTTTTTCTCGAGTTGCGGCGGGGACCTGGGGTATGTTCTCGACTTACGGCGGGGATGGACCTTCAAAACACGAGTTTCTTCAGTGACGTCAGGACTCCTGTCTAGTAAAGAGGGATACCTCAGGAATCTCTTCGAGGGTTGGCAGGGCAAAAGTGACGCTACTCGAGGTGAGCCAGGGCTCCCAAGGACCCTTTCCAGTAGCCACAGGGATTTTGGGATTCCTATCAGTATTCAAGAGGAGTCACGCATCGTCACCTTTTGAAGCAATGAACTCCGCGTGCCTCTCGAGGTGCCAGCGGGATGTGAGGCATTCCGTCAAAATGAGGCAGGGACCTAGGGCTTTCTCTAAGGTCTCTACAGGGGATTCAGACATCCCTTCATGTTGTGAGATGAAAGACGAGCCTGTATTCAAGCCACTGCAAGGAAATCCGGCCTCCTTTCAAGTTAGGGCTTCTCGCTGTATATTCCCCTTGAGGCAGCAAACTCGGGCTCCCTCCCACATACCTATTGCTGAGAAAAGCCTCCTCCTGAGGTGCTTCTGGAAAGTTGGCATATGTCTTGAGCCTAAGCCAGGGAATCAGCTCTCATCTCGAGACGATTTGGGGTACACGGAGCATTCCTCGAGTTGCTGTGCTGAAGTTGGTGTTCCTCTAGACTTGGGACAGTGTTCTTGGGGCATCTCTGGAGTTGCCTGAAGGAGGTCGAGCCACCGGTCGTGTTGAATGGGGAACGGGTTATGGCTCTGGAGTCAATGCAGGGGAATCGGGCCTCATCTCGAGTTGATTTGGGGCACATGGAGCTGCTTTGCGTTGCTGGGGTGACCTCAGGGTCCGTCTAGACTGGTGACAGTGTTCTTGGGGACTGTCTCGAGATCCATTAAGCAAGTGGAAGCTCCTGACTTGTTTGAATGGGATCACGGAATAGCTCTGCATGCACTGCAGGGGTATGGGGCCTCATCTCGCTTCTAGGGGGAAGTCTCATGGTTTTTCTCGAGTTGCGGCGGGGACCTGGGGTATGTTCTCGACTTACGGCGGGGATGGAACTTCAAAACACGCGTTTCTTCAGTGACGTCAGGACTCCTGTCTAGTAACGAGGGACACCTCAGGAATCTCTCCGAGGCTTCGCAGGGCAAAAGGGACGCTTCCCGAGGTGAGGCAGGGCACCCAAGGACCCTTTCCAGTAGCCACAGGGATTTTGGGATTCCTATCAGTATTCAAGAGGAGTCAGGCATCGTCACCTTTTGAACCATGAACTCCGCGTGCCTCTCGAGGTGTCAGCGGGATGTGAGGCATTCTGTCAAAATGAGGCAGGGACCTAGGGCTTTCTCTAAGGTTTCCACAGGGGATTCAGACATCCCTTCATGTTGTGAGATGAAAGACGAGCCTGTATTCAAGCCACTGCAAGGAAATCCGGCCTCCTTTCTAGTTAGGGCTTCTCGCTGTATATTCCCCTTGAGGCAGCAAACTCGGGGTCCCTCCCACATACCTATTGCTGAGAGAAGCCTCCTCCTGAGGTGCTTCTGGAAAGTTGGCATACGTCTAGAGCCTAAGCCAGGGAATCAGCTCTCATCTCGAGACGATTTGGGGTACTCTGAGCATTCCTCGATTTGCTGTGCTGAAGTTGGTGTTCCTCTAGACTTGGGACAGTGTTCTCGGGGCATCTCTGGAGTTGCCTGAAGGAAGTGGAGCCACGGGTCGTGTTGAATGGGGAAAGGGGAATGGCTCTGGAGTCAATGCAGGGGAATCAGGCCTCATCTCGAGTTGATTTGGGGCACATGGAGCTGCTTTGCGTTGCTGGGATGACCTCAGGGTCCGTCTAGACTGGTGAAAGTGTTCTTGGGGACTGTCTCGAGATCCATTAAGCAAGTCGAAGCTCCTGACTTGTTTGAATGGGATCACGGAATAGCTCTGCATGCACTGCAGGGGAATGGGGCCTCATCTCGCTTCTAGGGGGAAGTCTCATGGTTTTTCTCGAGTTGCGGCGGGGACCTGGGGTATGTTCTCGACTTACGGCGGGGATGGCACTTCAAAACACGAGTTTCTTCAGTGACGTCAGGACTCCTGTCTAGTAAAGAGGGACAACTCAGGAATCTTTCCGATTCTTCGCAGGGCAAAAGGGACGCTTCTCGAGGTGAGGCAGGGCACCCAAGGACCCTTTCCAGTAGCCACAGGGATTTTGGGATTCCTATCAGTATTCAAGAGGAGTCAGGCATCGTCACCTTTTGAACCATGAACTCCGCGTGCCTCTCGAGGTGTCAGCGGGATGTGAGGCATTCTGTCAAAATGAGGCAGGGACCTAGGGCTTTCTCTAAGGTCTCCACAGGGGATTCAGACATCCCTTCATGTTGTGAGATGAAAGACGAGCCTGTATTCAAGCCACTGCAAGGGAATCCGGCCTCCATTCAAGTTAGGGCTTCTCGCTGTATATTCCCCTTGTGGCAGCAAACTCGGGCTCCCTCCCACATACCTATTGCTGAGAGAAGCCTCCTCCTGAGGTGCTTCTGGAAAGTTGGCATACGTCTTGAGCCTAAGCCAGGGAATCAGCTCTCATCTCGAGACGATTTGGGGTACTCGGAGCATTCCTCGATTTGCTGTGCTGAAGTTGGTGTTCCTCTAGACTTGGGACAGTGTTTTCGGGGCATCTCTGGAGTTGCCTGAAGGAAGTGGATCCACGGTTCGTGTTGAATGGGGAACGGGGAATGGCTCTGGAGTCAATGCAGGGGAATCACGCCTCATCTCGAGTTGATTTGGGGCACATGGAGCTGCTTTGCGTTGCTGGGGTGACCTCAGGGTCCGTCTAGACTGGTGACAGTGTTCTTGGGGACTGTCTCGAGATCCATTAAGCAAGTCAAACTCCTGACTTGTTTGAATGGGATCACGGAATAGCTCTGCATGCACTGCAGGGGAATGGGGCCTCATCTCGCCTCTAGTGGGAAGTCTCATGGTTTTTCTCGAGTTGCGGCCGGGACCTGGGGTATGTTCTCGACTTACGGCGGGGATGGCCCTTCAAAACACGAGTTTCTTCAGTGACGTCAGGACTCCTGTCTAGTAACGAGGGACACCTCAGGAATCTCTCCGAGGCTTCGCAGGGCAAAAGGGACGCTTCTCGAGGTGAGGCAGGGCACCCAAGGACCCTTTCCAGTAGCCACAGGGATTTTGGGATTCCTCTCAGTGTTCAAGAAGAGTCAGGCATCGTCACCTTTTGAACCATGAAATCCGCGTGCCTCTCGAGGTGTCAGCGGGATGTGAGGCATTCTGTCAAAATGAGGCAGGGACCTAGGGCTTTCTCTAAGGTCTCCACAGGGGATTCAGACATCCCTTCATGTTGTGAGATGAAAGACGAGCCTGTATTCAAGCCACTGCAAGGAAATCCGGCCTCCATTCAAGTTAGGGCTTCTCGCTGTATATTCCCCTTGTGGCAGCAAACTCGGGCTCCCTCCCACATACCTATTGCTGAGAGAAGCCTCCTCCTGAGGTGCTTCTGGAAAGTTGGCATACGTCTTGAGCCTAAGCCAGGGAATCAGCTCTCATCTCGAGACGATTTGGGGTACACGGAGCATTCCTCGAGTTGCTGTGTTGAAGTTGCTGTTCCTCTAGACTTGGGACAGTGTTCTCGGGGCATCTCTGGAGTTGCCTGAAGGAAGTCGAGCCATGGGTCGTGTTGAATGGGGAACGGGGAATGGCTCTGGAGTCAATGCAGGGAAATCGGGCCTCATCTCGAGTTGATGTGGGGCACATGGAGCTGCTTTGCTTTGCTGGGGTGACCTCTGGGTCCGTCTAGACTGGTGACAGTGTTCTTGGGGACTGTCTCGAGATCCATTAAGCAAATCGAAGCTCCTGACTTGTTTGAATGGGATCACGGAATAGCTCTGCATGCACTGCAGGGGAATGGGGCCTCATCTCGCCACTAGGGGGAAGTCTCATGGTTTTTCTCGAGTTGCGGCGGGGACCTGGGGTATGTTCTCGACTTACGGCGGGGATGGACCTTCAAAACACGAGTTTCTTCAGTGACGTCAGGACTCCTGTCTAGTAAAGAGGGATACCTCAGGAATCTCTTCGAGGGTTGGCAGGGCAAAAGTGACGCTACTCGAGGTGAGCCAGGGCTCCCAAGGACCCTTTCCAGTAGCCACAGGGATTTTGGGATTCCTATCAGTATTCAAGAGGAGTCACGCATCGTCACCTTTTGAAGCAATGAACTCCGCGTGCCTCTCGAGGTGCCAGCGGGATGTGAGGCATTCCGTCAAAATGAGGCAGGGACCTAGGGCTTTCTCTAAGGTCTCTACAGGGGATTCAGACATCCCTTCATGTTGTGAGATGAAAGACGAGCCTGTATTCAAGCCACTGCAAGGAAATCCGGCCTCCTTTCAAGTTAGGGCTTCTCGCTGTATATTCCCCTTGAGGCAGCAAACTCGGGCTCCCTCCCACATACCTATTGCTGAGAAAAGCCTCCTCCTGAGGTGCTTCTGGAAAGTTGGCATATGTCTTGAGCCTAAGCCAGGGAATCAGCTCTCATCTCGAGACGATTTGGGGTACACGGAGCATTCCTCGAGTTGCTGTGCTGAAGTTGGTGTTCCTCTAGACTTGGGACAGTGTTCTTGGGGCATCTCTGGAGTTGCCTGAAGGAGGTCGAGCCACCGGTCGTGTTGAATGGGGAACGGGTTATGGCTCTGGAGTCAATGCAGGGGAATCGGGCCTCATCTCGAGTTGATTTGGGGCACATGGAGCTGCTTTGCGTTGCTGGGGTGACCTCAGGGTCCGTCTAGACTGGTGACAGTTTTCTTGGGGACTGTCTCGAGATCCATTAAGCAAGTCGAAGCTCCTGACTTGTTTGAATGGGATCACGGAATAGCTCTGCATGCACTGCAGGGGAATGGGGCCTCATCTCGCCTCTAGGGGGAAGTCTCATGGTTTTTCTCGAGTTGCAGCGGGGACCTGGGGTATGTTCTCGACTTACGGCGGGGATGGCCCTTCAAAACACGAGTTTCTTCAGTGACGTCAGGACTCCTGTCTAGTAACGAGGGACACCTCAGGAATCTCTCCGAGGCTTCGCAGGGCAAAAGGGACGCTTCTCGAGGTGAGGCAGGGCACCCAAGGACCCTTTCCAGTAGCCAAAGGGATTTTGGGATTCCTATCAGTGTTCAAGAGGAGTCAGGCATCGTCACCTTTTGAACCATGAACTCCGCGTGCCTCTCGAGGTGTCAGCGGGATGTGAGGCATTCTGTCAAAATGAGGCAGGGACCTAGGGCTTTCTCTAAGGTCTCTACAGGGGATTCAGACATCACTTCATGTTGTGAGATGAAAGACGAGCCTGTATTCAAGCCACTGCAAGGAAATCCGGCCTCCTTTCAAGTTAGTGCTTCTCGATGTATATTCCCCTTGAGGCAGCAAACTCGGGCTCCCTCCCTCATACCTATTGCTGAGAGAAGCCTCCTCCTGAGGTGCTTCTGGAAAGTTGGCATACGTCTTGAGCCTAAGCCAGGGAATCAGCTCTCATCTCGAGACGATTTGGGGTACACGGAGCATTCCTCGAGTTGATGTGCTGAAGTTGGTGTTCCTCTAGACTTGGGACAGTGTTCTCGGGGCATCTCTGTAGTTGCCTGAAGGAAGTGGAGCCACCGGTCGTGTTGAATGGGGAACGGGTTATGGCTCTGGAGTCAATGCAGGGGAATTGGGCCTCATCTCGAGTTGATTTGGGGCACATGGAGCTGCTTTGTGTTGCTGGGGTGACCTCAGGGTCTGTCTCGACTGGTGACAGTGTTCTTGGGGACTGTCTCGAGATCCATTAAGCAAGTCGAAGCTCCTGACTTGTTTGAATGGGATCACGGAATAGCTCTGCATGCACTGCAGGGGAATGGGGCCTCATCTCGCCTCTAGGGGGAAGTCTCATGGTTTTTCTCGAGTTGCGGCGGGGACCTGGGGTATGTTCTCGACTTACGGCGGGGATGGCACTTCAAAACACGAGTTTCTTCAGTGACGTCAGGACTCCTGTCTAGTAACGAGGGACACCTCAGGAATCTCTCCGAGGCTTCGCAGGGCAAAAGGGACGCTTCTCGAGGTGAGGCAGGGCACCCAAGGACCCTTTCCAGTAGCCACAGGGATTGTGGGATTCCTATCAGTATTCAAGAGGAGTCAGGCATCGTCACCTTTTGAACCATGAACTCCGCGTGCCTCTCGAGGTGTCAGCGGGATGTGAGGCATTCTGTCAAAATGAGGCAGGGACCTAGGGCTTTCTCTAAGGTTTCCACAGGGGATTCAGACATCCCTTCATGTTGTGAGATGAAAGACGAGCCTGTATGCAAGCCACTGCAAGGAAATCCGGCCTCCTTTCAAGTTAGGGCTTCTCGCTGTATATTCCCCTTGAGGCAGCAAACTCGGGGTCCCTCCCACATACCTATTGCTGAGAGAAGCCTCCTCCTGAGGTGCTTCTGGAAAGTTGGCATACGTCTTGAGCCTAAGCCAGGGAATCAGCTCTCATCTCGAGATGATTTGGGGTACAGGGAGCATTCCTCGATTTGCTGTTCTGAAGTTGGTGTTCCTCTAGACTTGGGACAGTGTTCTCGGGGCATCTCTGGAGTTGCCTGAAGGAAGTGGAGCCACGGTTCGTGTTGAATGGGGAACGGGGAATGGCTCTGGAGTCAATGTAGGTAAATCGGGCCTCATCTCGAGTTGATTTGGGGCACATGGAGCTGCTTTGCGTTGCTGGGGTGACCTCAGGGTCCGTCTAGACTGGTGACAGTGTTCTTGGGGACTGTCTCGAGATCCATTAAGCAAGTCGAAGCTCCTGACTTGTTTGAATGGGATCACGGAATAGCTCTGCATGCACTGCAGGGGAATGGGGCCTCATCTCGCTTCTAGGTGGAAGTCTCATGGTTTTTCTCGAGTTGCGGCGGGGACCTGGGGTATGTTCTCGACTTACGGCGGGGATGGCACTTCAAAACACGAGTTTCTTCAGTGACGTCAGGACTCCTGTCTAGTAATGAGGGACACCTCAGGAATCTCTCCGAGGCTTCGCAGAGCAAAAGGGACGCTTCTCGAGGTGAGGCAGGGCACCCAAGGACCCTTTCCAGTAGCCACAGGGATTTGGGGATTCCTATCATTATTCAAGCGGAGTTAGGCATCGTCACCTTTTGAACCATGAACGCCGCGTGCCTCTCGAGGTGTCAGCGGGATGTGAGGCATTCTGTCAAAATGAGGCAGGGACCTAGGGCTTTCTCTAAGGTCTCCACAGGGGATTCAGACATCACTTCATGTTGTGAGATGAAAGACGTGCCTGTATTCAAGCCACTGCAAGGAAATCCGGCCTCCTTTCAAGTTAGGGCTTCTCGCTGTATATTCCCCTTGAGGCAGCAAACTCGGGGTCCCTCCCACATAACTATTGCTGAGAGAAGCCTCCTCCTGAGGTGCTTCTGGAAAGTTGGCATACGTCTAGACCCTAAGCCAGGGAATCAGCTCTCATCTCGAGACGATTTGGGGTACTCGGAGCATTCCTCGAGTTGCTGTGCTGAAGTTGGTGTTCCTCTAGACTTGGGACAGTGTTCTCGGGGCATCTCTGGAGTTGCCTGAAGGAAGTCGAGCCACCGGTCGTGTTGAATCGGGAATGGGGAATGGCTCTGGAGTCAATGCAGGGGAATCGGGCTTCATCTCGAGTTGATTTGGGGCACATGGAGCTGCTTTGCGTTGCTGGGGTGACTTCACGGTCCCTCTAGACTGGTGACAGTGTTCTTGGGGACTGTCTCGAGATCCATTTAGCAAGTCGAAGCTCCTGACTTGTTTGAATGGGATCACGGAATAGCTCTGCATGCACTGCAGGGGAATGGGGCCTCATCTCGCCTCTCGGGTTAAGTCTCATGGTTTTTCTCGAGTTGCGGCGGGACCTGGGGTATGTTCTCGACTTACGGCGGTAATGGCCCTTCAAAACACGAGTTTCTTCAGTGACGTCAGGAGTCCTGTCTAGTAACGAGGGACACCTCAGGAATCTCTTCGAGGCTTGGCAGGGCAAAAGGGACGCTTCTCGAGGTGAGGCAGGGCACCCAAGGACCCTTTCCAGTAGCCACAGGTATTTTGGGATTCCTATCAGTATTCAAGAGGAGTCAGGCATCGTCACCTTTTGAAGCAATGAACTCCGCGTGCCTCTCGAGGTGTCAGCGGGATGTGAGGCATTCCGTCAAAATGAGGCAGGGACCTAGGGCTTTCTCTAAGGTCTCCACAGGGGATTCAGACATCCCTTCATGTTGTGAGATGAAAGACGGGCCTGTATTCAAGCCACTGCAAGGAAATCCGGCCTCCTTTCAAGTTAGGGCTTCTCGCTGTATATTCCCCTTGAGGCAGCAAACTCGGGGTCCCTCCCACATACCTATTGCTGAGAGAAGCCTCCTCCTGAGGTGCTTCTGGAAAGTTGGCATACGTCTTGAGCCTAAGCCAGGGAATCAGCTCTCATCTCGAGACGATTTGGGGTACACGGAGCATTCCTCGAGTTGCTGTGCTGAAGGTGGTGTTCCTCTAGACTTGGGAAAGTGTTCTCGGGGCGTCTCTGGAGTTGCCTGAAGGAAGTCGAGCCACCAGTCGTGTTGAATGGGGAACGGGGAATGGCTCTGGTGTCAATGCAGGGGAATCGGGCCTCATCTCGAGTTGATTTGGGGCACATGGAGCTGCTTTGCGTTGCTGGGGTGACCTCAGGGTCCGTCTAGACTGGTGACAGTGTTCTTGGGGACTGTCTCGAGATCCATTAAGCAAGTCGAAGCTCCTGACTTGTTTGAATGGGATCACGGAATAGCTCTGCATGCACTGCAGGGGAATGGGGCCTCATCTCGCCTCTAGGGGGAAGTCTCATGGTTTTTCTCGAGTTGCGGCGGGGACCTGGGGTATGTTCTCGACTTACGGCGGGAATGGCCCTTCAAAACACGAGTTTCTTCAGTGACGTCAAGACTCCTGTCTAGTAACGAGGGACACCTCAGGAATCTCCGAGGCTTGGCAGGGCAAAAGGGACGCTTCTCGAGGTGAAGCATGGCACCCAAGGACCCTTTCCTGTAGCCACAGGGATTTTGGGATTCCTATCAGTATTCAAGAGGAGTCAGGCATCGTCACCTTTTGAAACAATGAACTCTGCGTGCCTCTCGATGTGTCAGCGGGATGTGAGGCATTCCGTCAAAATGAGGCAGGGCCCTAGGGCTTTCTCTAAGGTCTCCACAGGGGATTCAGACATCACTTCATGTTGTGAGATGAAAGACGTGCCTGTATTCAAGCCACTGCAAGGAAATCCGGCCTCCTTTCAAGTTAGGGCTTCTCGCTGTATATTCCCCTTGATGCAGCAAACTCGGGCTCCCTCCCACATACCTATTGCTGAGAGAAGCCTCCTCCTGAGGTGCTTCTGGAAAGTTGGCATATGTCTTGAGCCTAAGCCAGGGAATCAGCTCTCATCTCGAGACGATTTGGGGTACACGGAGCATTCCTCGAGTTGCTGTGCTGAAGTTGGTGTTCCTCTAGACTTGGGACAGTGTTCTCGGGGCATCTCTGGAGGTGCCTGAAGGAAGTCGAGCCACCGGTCGTGTTGAATTGGGAACGGGGAATGGCTCTGGAGTCAATGCAGGGGAATCAGTCCTCATCTCGAGTTGTTTTGGATCACATGGAGCTGCTTTGCGTTGCTGGGGTGACCTCAGGGTCCGTCTAGACTGGTGACAGTGTTCTTGGGGACTGTCTCGAGATCCGTTCAGCAAGTCGAAGCTCCTGACTTGTTTGAATGGGATCACGGAATAGCTCTGCATGCACTGCAGGGGAATGGGGCCTCATCTCGCCTCTAGGGGGAAGTCTCATGGTTTTTCTCGAGTTGCGGCGGGGACCTGGGGTATGTTCTCGACTTACGGCGGGGATGGCACTTCAAAACACGAGTTTCTTCAGTGACGTCAGGACTCCTGTCTAGTAACGAGGGACAACTCAGGAATCTCTTCGAGTCTTGGCAGGGCAAAAGGGACGCTTCTCGAGGTGAGGCAGGGCACCCGATGACCCTTTCCAGTAGCCACAGGGATTTTGGGATTCCTATCAGTATTCAAGAGGAGTCAGGCATCGTCACCTTTTGAAGCAATGAACTCCGCGTGCCTCTCGAGGTGTCAGCGGGATGTGAGGCATTCCGTCAAAATGAGGCAGGGACCGAGGGCTTTCTCTAAGGTCTCCACAGGGGATTCAGACATCCCTTCATGTTGTGAGATGAAAGACGAGCCTGTATTCAAGCCACTGCAAGGAAATCCGGCCTCCTTTCAAGTTAGGGCTTCTCGCTGTATATTCCCCTTGAGGCAGCAAACTCGGCGTCCCTCCCACATACCTATTGCTGAGAGAAGCCTCCTCCTGAGGTGCTTCTGGAAAGTTGGCATACGTCTTGAGCCTAAGCCAGGGAATCAGCTCTCATCTCGTGACGATTTGTGGTGCACGGAGCATTCCTCGAGTTGCTGTGCTGAAGTTGGTGTTCCTCTAGACTTGGGACAGTGATCTCTGGGCATCTCTGGAGTTGCCTGAAGGAAGTCGAGCCATCGGTCGTGTTGAATGGGGAACGCGGAATGGCTCTGGAATCAATGCAGGGGAATCGGGCCTCATCTCGATTTGATTTGGGGCACATGGAGCTGCTTTGCGTTGCTGGGGTGACCTCAGGGTCTGTCTCGACTGGTGACAGTGTTCTTGGGGACTGTCTCGAGATCCATTAAGCAAGTCGAAGCTCCTGACTTGTTTGAATGGGATCACGGAATAGCTCTGCATGCACTGCAGGGGAATGGGGCCTCATCTCGCCTCTAGGGGGAAGTCTCATGGTTTTTCTCGAGTTGCGGCGGGGACCTGGGGTATGTTCTCGACTTACGGCGGGGATGGCCCTTCAAAACACGAGTTTCTTCAGTGACGTCAGGACTCCTGTCTAGTAACGAGGGACACCTCAGGAATCTCTCCGAGGTTTCGCAGGGCAAAAGGGACGCTTCTCGAGGTGAGGCAGGGCACCCAAGGACCCTTTCCAGTAGCCACAGGGATTTTGGGATTCCTATCAGTATTCAAGAGGAGTCAGGCATCGTCACCTTTTGAACCATGAACTCCGCGTGCCTCTCGAGGTGTCAGCGGGATGTGAGGCATTCCGTCAAAATGAGGCAGGGACCTAGGGCTTTCTCTAAGGTTTCCACAGGGGATTCAGACATCCCTTCATGTTGTGAGATGAAAGACGAGCCTGTATTCAAGCCACTGCAAGGAAATCCGGCCTCCTTTCAAGTTAGGGCTTCTCGCTGTATATTCCCCTTGAGGCAGCAAACTCGGGGTCCCTCCCACATACCTATTGCTGAGAGAAGCCTCTTCCTGAGGTGCTTCTGGAAAGTTGGCATACGTCTTGAGCCTAAGCCAGGGAATCAGCTCTCATCTCGAGACTATTTGGGGTACACGGAGCATTCCTCGATTTGCTGTGCTGAAGTTGGTGTTCCTCTAGACTTGGGACAGTGTTCTCGGGGCATCTCTGGAGTTGCCTGAAGGAAGTCGAGCCACGGGTCGTGTTGAATGGGGAACGGGGAATGGCTCTGGAGTCAATGCAGGGGAATCAGGCCTCATCTCGAGTTGATTTGGGGCACATGGAGCTGCTTTGCGTTGCTGGGGTGACCTCAGGGTCCGTCTAGACTGGTGACAGTGTTCTTGGGGACTGTCTCGAGAACCATTAAGCAAGTCAAAGCTCCTGACTTGTTTGAATGGTATCACGGAATAGCTCTGCATGCACTGCAGGGGAATGGGGCCTCATCTCGCCTCTAGGGGGAAGTCTCATGGTTTTTCTCGAGTTGCGGCGGGGACCTGGGGTATGTTCTCGACTTACGCAGGGAATGGCCCTTCAAAACACGAGTTTCTTCAGTGACGTCAGGACTCCTGTCTAGTAACGAGGGACACCTCAGGAATCTCTTCGATGCTTCGTAGGGCAAAAGGGACGCTTCTCGAGGTGAGCCAGGGCACCCAAGGACCCTTTCCAGTAGCCACAGGGATTTTGGGATTCCTATCAGTGTTCAAGAGGAGTCAGGCATCATCACCTTTTGAACCATGAAATCCGCGTGCCTCTCGAGGTGTCAGCGGGATGTGAGGCATTCTGTCAAAATGAGGTAGGGACCTAGGGCTTTCTCTAAGGTCTCCACAGGGGATTCAGACATCCCTTCATGTTGTGAGATGAAAGACGAGCCTGTATTCAAGCCACTGCAAGGAAATCCGGCCTCCTTTCAAGTTAGGGCTTCTCGCTGTATATTCCCCTTGTGGCAGCAAACCCGGGCTCCCTCCCACATACCTATTGCTGAGAGAAGCCTCCTCCTGAGGTGCTTCTGGAAAGTTGGCATACGTCTAGAGCCTAAGCCAGGGAATCAGCTCTCATCTCGAGACGATTTGGGGTACTCGGAGCATTCCTCGATTTGCTGTGCTGAAGTTGGTGTTCCTCTAGACTTGGGACAGTGTTCTCGGGGCATCTCTGGAGTTGCCTGAAGGAAGTGGAGCCACGGGTCGTGTTGAATGGGGAAAGGGGAATGGCTCTGGAGTCAATGCAGGGGAATCAGGCCTCATCTCGAGTTGATTTGGGGCACATGGAGCTGCTTTGCATTGCTGGGGTGACCTCAGGGTCCGTCTAGACTGGTGACAGTGTTCTTGGGGACTGTCTCGAGATCCATTAAGCAAGTCGAAGCTCCTGACTTGTTTGAATGGGATCACGGAATAGCTCTGCATGCACTGCAGGGGAATGGGGCCTCATCTCGCTTCTAGGGGGAAGTCTCATGGTTTATCTCGAGTTGCGGCGGGGACCTGGGGTATGTTCTCGACTTACGGTGGCGATGGCCCTTCAAAACACGAGTTTCTTCAGTGACGTCAGGACTCCTGTCTAGTAACGAGGGACACCTCAGGAATCTCTCCGAGGCTTCGCAGGGCAAAAGGGACGCTTCTCGAGGTGAGGCAGGGCACCCAAGGACCCTTTCCAGTAGCCACAGGGATTTTGGGATTCCTATCAGTATGCAAGAGGAGTCAGGCATCGTCACCTTTTGAACCATGAACGCCGCGTGCCTCTCGAGGTGTCAGCGGGATGTGAGGCATTCTGTCAAAATGAGGCAGGGACCTAGGGCTTTCTCTAAGGTCTCCACAGGGGATTCAGACATCACTTCATGTTGTGAGATGAAAGACGTGCCTGTATTCAAGCCACTGCAAGGAAATCCGGCCTCCTTTCAAGTTAGGGCTTCTCGCTGTATATTCCCCTTGAGGCAGCAAACTCGGGGTCCCTCCCACATACCTATTGCTGATAGAAGCCTCCTCCTGAGGTGCTTCTGGAAAGTTGGCATACGTCTTGAGCCTAAGCCAGGGAATCAGCTCTCATCTTGAGACGATTTGGGGTACACGGAGCATTCCTCGAGTTGCTGTGCTGAAGTTGGTGTTCCTCTAGACTTGGGACAGTGTTCTCGGGGCATCTCTGGAGTTGCCTGAAGGAAGTCTAGCCACCGGTCGTGTTGAATGGGGAACGGGGAATGGCTCTGGAGTCAATGCAGGGGAATCGGGCCTCATCTAGAGTTGATTTGGGGCACATGGACCTGCTTTGCGTTGCTGGGGTGACCTCAGGGTCTGTCTCGACTAGGGACAGTGTTCTTGGGGACTGTCTCGAGATCCATTAAGCAAGTCGAAGATGCTGACTTGTTTGAATGGGATCACGGAATAGCTCTGCATGCACTGCAGGGGAATGGGGCCTCATCTCGCCTCTAGGGGGAAGTCTCATGGTTTTTCTCGAGTTGCGGCGGGGACCTGGGGTATGTTCTCGCCTTACGGCGGGGATGGCCCTTCAAAACACGAGTTTCTTCAGTGACGTCAGGACTCCTGTCTAGTAACGAGGGATACCTCAGGAATCTCTTCGAGGGTTGGCAGGGCAAAAGGGACGCTTCTCTAGGTGAGGCAGGGCACCCAAGGACCCTTTCCAGTAGCCACAGGGATTTTGGGATTCCTATCAGTATTCAACACGAGTCAGGCATCGTCACCTTTTGAGGAAATGAACTCCGCGGGCCTCTCGAGGTATCAGCGGGATGTGAGGCATTCCGTCAAAATGAGGCAGGGACCTAGGGCTTTCTCTAAGGTCTCCACAGGGGATTCAGGCATCCCTTCATGTTGTGAGATGAAAGACTGGCCTGTATTCAAGCCACTGCAAGGAAATCCGGCCTCCTTTCAAGTTAGGGCTTCTCGCTGTATATTCCCCTTGAGGCAGAAAACTTGGGGTCCCTCCTACATACCTATTGCTGAGAGAAGACTCCTCCTGAGGTGCTTCTGGAAAGTTGGCATATGTCTTGAGCCTAAGCCAGGGAATCAGCTCTCATCTCGAGACGATTTGGGTTACACGGAGCATTCCTCGTGTTGCTGTGCTGAAGTTGGTGTTCCTCTAGACTTGGGACAGTGTTCTCGGGGCATCTCTGGAGGTGCCTGAAGGAAGTCGAGCCACCGGTCTTGTTGAATTGGGAACGGGGAATGGCTCTGGAGTCAATGCAGGGGAATCAGGCCTCATCTCGAGTTGATTTCGGGCACATGGAGCTGCTTTGCGTTGCTGGGGTGACCTCAGGGTCCGTCTAGACTGGTGACAGTGTTCTTGGGGACTGTCTCGAGATCCATTAAGCAAGTCGAAGTTCCTGACTTGTTTGAATGGGATCATGGAATAGCTCTGCATGAACTGCAGGGGAATGGGGCCTCATCTCGCCTCTAGGGGGAAGTCTCATGGTTTTTCTCGAGTTGCGGCGGGGACCTGGGGTATGTTCTCGCCTTACGGCGGGGATGGCCCTTCAAAAGACGAGTTTCTTCAGTGACGTCAGGACTCCTGTCTAGTAACGAGGGACACCTCAGGAATCTCTTCGACGCTTGGCAGGGCAAAGGGATGCTTCTCGAGGTGAGGCAGGGCACCCAAGGACCCTTTCCTGTAGCCACAGGGATTTTGGGATTCCTATCAGTATTCAAGAGGAGTCAGGCATCGTCACCTTTTGAAACAATGAACTCTGCGTGCCTCTCGAGGTGTCAGCGGGATGTGAGGCATTCCGTCAAAATGAGGCAGGGCCCTAGGGCTTTCTCTCAGGTCTCCACAGGGGATTCAGACATCCCTTCATGTTGTGAGATGAAAGACGAGCCTGTATTCAAGCCACTGCAAGGAAATCCGGCCTCCTTTCAAGTTAGGGCTTCTCGCTGTATATTCCCCTTGAGGCAGCAAAATCGGGGACCCTCCCACATACCTATTGCTGAGAGAAGCCTACTCCAGAGTTGCTTCTGGAAAGTTGGCAAATGCCTTGAGCCTAAGCCAATGAATCAGCTCTCATCTCGAGACGATTTGGGGTGCACGGAGGATTTCTCGAGTTGCTGTGCTGAAGTTGGTGTTCCTCTAGACTTGGGACAATGATCTCGGGGCATCTCTGGAGTTGCCTGAAGGAAGTCGAGCCACCGGTCGTGTTGAATGGGGAACGGGGAATGGCTCTGGAGTCAATGCAGGGGAATCGGGCCTCATCTCGAGTTGATTTGGGGCACATGGAGCTGCTTTGCGTTGCTGGGGTGACCTCAGGGTCCGTCTAGACTGGTGACAGTGTTCTTGGGGACTGTCTCGAGATCCATTAAGCAAGTCGAAGCTCCTGACTTGTTTGAATGGGATCACGGAATAGCTCTGCATGCACTGCAGGGGAATGGGGCCTCATCTCGCCTCTAGGGGGAAGTCTCATGGTTTTTCTCGAGTTGCGGCGGGGACCTGGGGTATGTTCTCGACTTACGGCAGGGATGGCCCTTCAAAACACGAGTTTCTTCAGTGACGTCAGGACTCCTTGCTAGTAACGAGGGATACGTCAGGAATCTCTTCGAGGGTTGGCAGGGCAAAAGGGACGCTACTCGAGGTGAGGCAGGGCACCCAAGGACCCTTTCCAGTAGCCACAGGGATTTTGGGATTCCTATCATTATTCAAGAGGAGTCAGGCATCGTCACCTTTTGAAGCAATGAACTCCGCGTGCCTCTCGAGGTGCCAGCGGGATGTGAGGCATTCCGTCTAAATGAGGCAGGGACCTAGGGCTTTCTCTAAGGTCTCTACAGGGGATTCAGACATCCCTTCATGTTGCGAGATGAAAGACGAGCCTGTATTCAAGCCACTGCAAGGAAAGCCGGCCTCCTTTCAAGTTAGGGCTTCTCGCTGTATATTCCCCTTGAGGCAGCAAACTCGGGCTCCCTCCCACATACCTATTGCTCAGAGAAGCCTCCTCCTGAGGTGCTTCTGGAAAGTTGGCATACGTCTTGAGCCTAAGCCAGGGAATCAGCTCTCATCTCGAGACGATTTGGGGTACACGGAGCATTCCTCGAGTTGATGTGCTGAAGTTGGTGTTCCTCTAGACTTGGGACAGTGTTCTCGGGGCATCCCTGTAGTTGCCTGAAGGAAGTGGAGCCACGGGTCGTGTTGAATGGGGAAAGGGGAATGGCTCTGGAGTCAATGCAGGGGAATCAGGCCTCATCTCGAGTTGATTTGGGGCACATGGAGCTGCTTTGCATTGCTGGGGTGACCTCAGGGTCCGTCTAGACTGGTGACAGTGTTCTTGGGGACTGTCTCGAGATCCATTAAGCAAGTCGAAGCTCCTGACTTGTTTGAATGGGATCACGGAATAGCTCTGCATGCACTGCAGGGGAATGGGGCCTCATCTCGCTTCTAGGGGGAAGTCTCATGGTTTATCTCGAGTTGCGGCGGGGACCTGGGGTATGTTCTCGACTTACGGTGGCGATGGCCCTTCAAAACACGAGTTTCTTCAGTGACGTCAGGACTCCTGTCTAGTAACGAGGGACACCTCAGGAATCTCTCCGAGGCTTCGCAGGGCAAAAGGGACGCTTCTCGAGGTGAGGCAGGGCACCCAAGGACCCTTTCCAGTAGCCACAGGGATTTGGGGATTCCTATCAGTATGCAAGAGGAGTCAGGCATCGTCACCTTTTGAACCATGAACGCCGCGTGCCTCTCGAGGTGTCAGCGGGATGTGAGGCATTCTGTCAAAATGAGGCAGGGACCTAGGGCTTTCTCTAAGGTCTCCACAGGGGATTCAGACATCACTTCATGTTGTGAGATGAAAGACGAGCCTGTATTCAAGCCACTGCAAGGAAATCCGGCCTCCTTTCAAGTTAGGGCTTCTCGCTGTATATTCCCCTTGAGGCAGCAAACTCGGGGTCCCTCCCACATACCTATTGCTGATAGAAGCCTCCTCCTGAGGTGCTTCTGGAAAGTTGGCATACGTCTTGAGCCTAAGCCAGGGAATCAGCTCTCATCTTGAGACGATTTGGGGTACACGGAGCATTCCTCGAGTTGCTGTGCTGAAGTTGGTGTTCCTCTAGACTTGGGACAGTGTTCTCGGGGCATCTCTGGAGTTGCCTGAAGGAAGTCTAGCCACCGGTCGTGTTGAATGGGGAACGGGGAATGGCTCTGGAGTCAATGCAGGGGAATCGGGCCTCATCTAGAGTTGATTTGGGGCACATGGACCTGCTTTGCGTTGCTGGGGTGACCTCAGGGTCTGTCTCGACTAGGGACAGTGTTCTTGGGGACTGTCTCGAGATCCATTAAGCAAGTCGAAGATCCTGACTTGTTTGAATGGGATCACGGAATAGCTCTGCATGCACTGCAGGGGAATGGGGCCTCATCTCGCCTCTAGGGGGAAGTCTCATGGTTTTTCTCGAGTTGCGGCGGGGACCTGGGGTATGTTCTCGCCTTACGGCCGGGATGGCCCTTCAAAACACGAGTTTCTTCAGTGACGTCAGGACTCCTGTCTAGTAACGAGGGATACCTCAGGAATCTCTTCGAGGGTTGGCAGGGCAAAAGGGACGCTTCTCTAGGTGAGGCAGGGCACCCAAGGACCCTTTCCAGTAGCCACAGGGATTTTGGGATTTCTATCAGTATTCAACACGAGTCAGGCATCGTCACCTTTTGAGGAAATGAACTCCGCGGGCCTCTCGAGGTATCAGCGGGATGTGAGGCATTCCGTCAAAATGAGGCAGGGACCTAGGGCTTTCTCTAAGGTCTCCACAGGGGATTCAGGCATCCCTTCATGTTGTGAGATGAAAGACTGGCCTGTATTCAAGCCACTGCAAGGAAATCCGGCCTCCTTTCAAGTTAGGGCTTCTCGCTGTATATTCCCCTTGAGGCAGAAAACTTGGGGTCCCTCCTACATACCTATTGCTGAGAGAAGACTCCTCCTGAGGTGCTTCTGGAAAGTTGGCATATGTCTTGAGCCTAAGCCAGGGAATCAGCTCTCATCTCGAGACGATTTGGGTGACACGGAGCATTCCTCGTGTTGCTGTGCTGAAGTTGGTGTTCCTCTAGACTTGGGACAGTGTTCTCGGGGCATCTCTGGAGGTGCCTGAAGGAAGTCGAGCCACCGGTCGTGTTGAATTGGGAACGGGGAATGGCTCTGGAGTCAATGCAGGGGAATCAGGCCTCATCTCGAGTTGATTTCGGGCACATGGAGCTGCTTTGCGTTGCTGGGGTGACCTCAGGGTCCGTCTAGACTGGTGACAGTGTTCTTGGGGACTGTCTCGAGATCCATTAAGCAAGTCGAAGTTCCTGACTTGTTTGAATGGGATCATGGAATAGCTCTGCATGAACTGCAGGGGAATGGGGCCTCATCTCGCCTCTAGGGGGAAGTCTCATGGTTTTTCTCGAGTTGCGGCGGGGACCTGGGGTATGTTCTCGCCTTACGGCGGGGATGGCCCTTCAAAAGACGAGTTTCTTCAGTGACGTCAGGACTCCTGTCTAGTAACGAGGGACACCTCAGGAATCTCTTCGACGCTTGGCAGGGCAAAGGGATGCTTCTCGAGGTGAGGCAGGGCACCCAAGGACCCTTTCCTGTAGCCACAGGGATTTTGGGATTCCTATCAGTATTCAAGAGGAGTCAGGCATCGTCACCTTTTGAAACAATGAACTCTGCGTGCCTCTCGAGGTGTCAGCGGGATGTGAGGCATTCCGTCAAAATGAGGCAGGGCCCTAGGGCTTTCTCTCAGGTCTCCACAGGGGATTCAGACATCCCTTCATGTTGTGAGATGAAAGACGAGCCTGTATTCAAGCCACTGCAAGGAAATCCGGCCTCCTTTCAAGTTAGGGCTTCTCGCTGTATATTCCCCTTGAGGCAGCAAAATCGGGGACCCTCCCACATACCTATTGCTGAGAGAAGCCTACTCCAGAGTTGCTTCTGGAAAGTTGGCAAATGCCTTGAGCCTAAGCCAATGAATCAGCTCTCATCTCGAGACGATTTGGGGTGCACGGAGGATTTCTCGAGTTGCTGTGCTGAAGTTGGTGTTCCTCTAGACTTGGGACAATGATCTCGGGGCATCTCTGGAGTTGCCTGAAGGAAGTCGAGCCACCGGTCGTGTTGAATGGGGAACGGGGAATGGCTCTGGAGTCAATGCAGGGGAATCGGGCCTCATCTCGAGTTGATTTGGGGCACATGGAGCTGCTTTGCGTTGCTGGGGTGACCTCAGGGTCCGTCTAGACTGGTGACAGTGTTCTTGGGGACTGTCTCGAGATCCATTAAGCAAGTCGAAGCTCCTGACTTGTTTGAATGGGATCACGGAATAGCTCTGCATGCACTGCAGGGGAATGGGGCCTCATCTCGCCTCTAGGGGGAAGTCTCATGGTTTTTCTCGAGTTGCGGCGGGGACCTGGGGTATGTTCTCGACTTACGGCAGGGATGGCCCTTCAAAACACGAGTTTCTTCAGTGACGTCAGGACTCCTTGCTAGTAACGAGGGATACGTCAGGAATCTCTTCGAGGGTTGGCAGGGCAAAAGGGACGCTACTCGAGGTGAGGCAGGGCACCCAAGGACCCTTTCCAGTAGCCACAGGGATTTTGGGATTCCTATCAGTATTCAAGAGGAGTCAGGCATCGTCACCTTTTGAAGCAATGAACTCCGCGTGCCTCTCGAGGTGCCAGCGGGATGTGAGGCATTCCGTCTAAATGAGGCAGGGACCTAGGGCTTTCTCTAAGGTCTCTACAGGGGATTCAGACATCCCTTCATGTTGCGAGATGAAAGACGAGCCTGTATTCAAGCCACTGCAAGGAAAGCCGGCCTCCTTTCAAGTTAGGGCTTCTCGCTGTATATTCCCCTTGAGGCAGCAAACTCGGGCTCCCTCCCACATACCTATTGCTCAGAGAAGCCTCCTCCTGAGGTGCTTCTGGAAAGTTGGCATACGTCTTGAGCCTAAGCCAGGGAATCAGCTCTCATCTCGAGACGATTTGGGGTACACGGAGCATTCCTCGAGTTGATGTGCTGAAGTTGGTGTTCCTCTAGACTTGGGACAGTGTTCTCGGGGCATCCCTGTAGTTGCCTGAAGGAAGTGGAGCCACGGGTCGTGTTGAATGGGGAAAGGGGAATGGCTCTGGAGTCAATGCAGGGGAATCAGGCCTCATCTCGAGTTGATTTGGGGCACATGGAGCTGCTTTGCATTGCTGGGGTGACCTCAGGGTCCGTCTAGACTGGTGACAGTGTTCTTGGGGACTGTCTCGAGATCCATTAAGCAAGTCGAAGCTCCTGACTTGTTTGAATGGGATCACGGAATAGCTCTGCATGCACTGCAGGGGAATGGGGCCTCATCTCGCTTCTAGGGGGAAGTCTCATGGTTTATCTCGAGTTGCGGCGGGGACCTGGGGTATGTTCTCGACTTACGGTGGCGATGGCCCTTCAAAACACGAGTTTCTTCAGTGACGTCAGGACTCCTGTCTAGTAACGAGGGACACCTCAGGAATCTCTCCGAGGCTTCGCAGGGCAAAAGGGACGCTTCTCGAGGTGAGGCAGGGCACCCAAGGACCCTTTCCAGTAGCCACAGGGATTTGGGGATTCCTATCAGTATGCAAGAGGAGTCAGGCATCGTCACCTTTTGAACCATGAACGCCGCGTGCCTCTCGAGGTGTCAGCGGGATGTGAGGCATTCTGTCAAAATGAGGCAGGGACCTAGGGCTTTCTCTAAGGTCTCCACAGGGGATTCAGACATCACTTCATGTTGTGAGATGAAAGACGAGCCTGTATTCAAGCCACTGCAAGGAAATCCGGCCTCCTTTCAAGTTAGGGCTTCTCGCTGTATATTCCCCTTGAGGCAGCAAACTCGGGGTCCCTCCCACATACCTATTGCTGATAGAAGCCTCCTCCTGAGGTGCTTCTGGAAAGTTGGCATACGTCTTGAGCCTAAGCCAGGGAATCAGCTCTCATCTTGAGACGATTTGGGGTACACGGAGCATTCCTCGAGTTGCTGTGCTGAAGTTGGTGTTCCTCTAGACTTGGGACAGTGTTCTCGGGGCATCTCTGGAGTTGCCTGAAGGAAGTCTAGCCACCGGTCGTGTTGAATGGGGAACGGGGAATGGCTCTGGAGTCAATGCAGGGGAATCGGGCCTCATCTAGAGTTGATTTGGGGCACATGGACCTGCTTTGCGTTGCTGGGGTGACCTCAGGGTCTGTCTCGACTAGGGACAGTGTTCTTGGGGACTGTCTCGAGATCCATTAAGCAAGTCGAAGATCCTGACTTGTTTGAATGGGATCACGGAATAGCTCTGCATGCACTGCAGGGGAATGGGGCCTCATCTCGCCTCTAGGGGGAAGTCTCATGGTTTTTCTCGAGTTGCGGCGGGGACCTGGGGTATGTTCTCGCCTTACGGCCGGGATGGCCCTTCAAAACACGAGTTTCTTCAGTGACGTCAGGACTCCTGTCTAGTAACGAGGGATACCTCAGGAATCTCTTCGAGGGTTGGCAGGGCAAAAGGGACGCTTCTCGAGGTGAGGCAGGGCACCCAAGGACCCTTTCCAGTAGCCACAGGGATTTTGGGATTCCTATCAGTATTCAACACGAGTCAGGCATCCTCACCTTTTGAGGAAATGAACTTCGCGGGCCTCTCGAGCTATCAGCGGGATGTGAGGCATTCTGTCAAAATGAGGCAGGGACCTAGGGCTTTCTCTAAGGTCTCCACAGGGGATTCAGGCATCCCTTCATGTTGTGAGATGAAAGACTGGCCTGTATTCAAGCCACTGCAAGGAAATCCGGCCTCCTTTCAAGTTAGGGCTTCTCGCTGTATATTCCCCTTGAGGCAGAAAACTTGGGGTCCCTCCTACATACCTATTGCTGAGAGAAGACTCCTCCTGAGGTGCTTCTGGAAAGTTGGCATATGTCTTGAGCCTAAGCCAGGGAATCAGCTCTCATCTCGAGACGATTTGGGTGACACGGAGCATTCCTCGTGTTGCTGTGCTGAAGTTGGTGTTCCTCTAGACTTGGGACAGTGTTCTCGGGGCATCTCTGGAGGTGCCTGAAGGAAGTCGAGCCACCGGTCGTGTTGAATTGGGAACGGGGAATGGCTCTGGAGTCAATGCAGGGGAATCAGGCCTCATCTCGAGTTGATTTCGGGCACATGGAGCTGCTTTGCGTTGCTGGGGTGACCTCAGGGTCCGTCTAGACTGGTGACAGTGTTCTTGGGGACTGTCTCGAGATCCATTAAGCAAGTCGAAGTTCCTGACTTGTTTGAATGGGATCATGGAATAGCTCTGCATGAACTGCAGGGGAATGGGGCCTCATCTCGCCTCTAGGGGGAAGTCTCATGGTTTTTCTCGAGTTGCGGCGGGGACCTGGGGTATGTTCTCGCCTTACGGCGGGGATGGCCCTTCAAAAGACGAGTTTCTTCAGTGACGTCAGGACTCCTGTCTAGTAACGAGGGACACCTCAGGAATCTCTTCGACGCTTGGCAGGGCAAAGGGATGCTTCTCGAGGTGAGGCAGGGCACCCAAGGACCCTTTCCTGTAGCCACAGGGATTTTGGGATTCCTATCAGTATTCAAGAGGAGTCAGGCATCGTCACCTTTTGAAACAATGAACTCTGCGTGCCTCTCGAGGTGTCAGCGGGATGTGAGGCATTCCGTCAAAATGAGGCAGGGCCCTAGGGCTTTCTCTCAGGTCTCCACAGGGGATTCAGACATCCCTTCATGTTGTGAGATGAAAGACGAGCCTGTATTCAAGCCACTGCAAGGAAATCCGGCCTCCTTTCAAGTTAGGGCTTCTCGCTGTATATTCCCCTTGAGGCAGCAAAATCGGGGACCCTCCCACATACCTATTGCTGAGAGAAGCCTACTCCAGAGTTGCTTCTGGAAAGTTGGCAAATGCCTTGAGCCTAAGCCAATGAATCAGCTCTCATCTCGAGACGATTTGGGGTGCACGGAGGATTTCTCGAGTTGCTGTGCTGAAGTTGGTGTTCCTCTAGACTTGGGACAATGATCTCGGGGCATCTCTGGAGTTGCCTGAAGGAAGTCGAGCCACCGGTCGTGTTGAATGGGGAACGGGGAATGGCTCTGGAGTCAATGCAGGGGAATCGGGCCTCATCTCGAGTTGATTTGGGGCACATGGAGCTGCTTTGCGTTGCTGGGGTGACCTCAGGGTCTGTCTCGACTGGTGACAGTGTTCTTGGGGACTGTCTCGAGATCCATTAAGCAAGTCGAAGCTCCTGACTTGTTTGAATGGGATCACGGAATAGCTCTGCATGCACTGCAGGGGAATGGGGCCTCATCTCGCCTCTAGGGGGAAGTCTCATGGTTTTTCTCGAGTTGCGGCGGGGACCTGGGGTATGTTCTCGACTTACGGCAGGGATGGCCCTTCAAAACACGAGTTTCTTCAGTGACGTCGGGACTCCTGTCTAGTAAAGAGGGATACCTCAGGAATCTCTTCGAGGGTTGGCAGGGCAAAAGTGACGCTACTCGAGGTGAGCCAGGGCTCCCAAGGACCCTTTCCAGTAGCCACAGGGATTTTGGGATTCCTATCAGTATTCAAGAGGAGTCACGCATCGTCACCTTTTGAAGCAATGAACTCCGCGTGCCTCTCGAGGTGCCAGCGGGATGTGAGGCATTCCGTCAAAATGAGGCAGGGACCTAGGGCTTTCTCTAAGGTCTCTACAGGGGATGCAGACATCCCTTCATGTTGTGAGATGAAAGACGAGCCTGTATTCAAGCCACTGCAAGGAAATCCGGCCTCCTTTCAAGTTAGGGCTTCTCGCTGTATATTCCCCTTGAGGCAGCAAACTCGGGCTCCCTCCCACATACCTATTGCTGAGAAAAGCCTCCTCCTGAGGTGCTTCTGGAAAGTTGGCATATGTCTTGAGCCTAAGCCAGGGAATCAGCTCTCATCTCGAGACGATTTGGGGTACACGGAGCATTCCTCGAGTTGCTGTGCTGAAGTTGGTGTTCCTCTAGACTTGGGACAGTGTTCTTGGGGCATCTCTGGAGTTGCCTGAAGGAGGTCGAGCCACCGGTCGTGTTGAATGGGGAACGGGTTATGGCTCTGGAGTCAATGCAGGGGAATCGGGCCTCATCTCGAGTTGATTTGGGGCACATGGAGCTGCTTTGCGTTGCTGGGGTGACCTCAGGGTCCGTCTAGACTGGTGACAGTTTTCTTGGGGACTGTCTCGAGATCCATTAAGCAAGTCGAAGCTCCTGACTTGTTTGAATGGGATCACGGAATAGCTCTGCATGCACTGCAGGGGAATGGGGCCTCATCTCGCCTCTAGGGGGAAGTCTCATGGTTTTTCTCGAGTTGCAGCGGGGACCTGGGGTATGTTCTCGACTTACGGCGGGGATGGCCCTTCAAAACACGAGTTTCTTCAGTGACGTCAGGACTCCTGTCTAGTAACGAGGGACACCTCAGGAATCTCTCCGAGGCTTCGCAGGGCAAAAGGGACGCTTCTCGAGGTGAGGCAGGGCACCCAAGGACCCTTTCCAGTAGCCAAAGGGATTTTGGGATTCCTATCAGTGTTCAAGAGGAGTCAGGCATCGTCACCTTTTGAACCATGAACTCCGCGTGCCTCTCGAGGTGTCAGCGGGATGTGAGGCATTCTGTCAAAATGAGGCAGGGACCTAGGGCTTTCTCTAAGGTCTCTACAGGGGATTCAGACATCACTTCATGTTGTGAGATGAAAGACGAGCCTGTATTCAAGCCACTGCAAGGAAATCCGGCCTCCTTTCAAGTTAGGGCTTCTCGATGTATATTCCCCTTGAGGCAGCAAACTCGGGCTCCCTCCCTCATACCTATTGCTGAGAGAAGCCTCCTCCTGAGGTGCTTCTGGAAAGTTGGCATACGTCTTGAGCCTAAGCCAGGGAATCAGCTCTCATCTCGAGACGATTTGGGGTACACGGAGCATTCCTCGAGTTGATGTGCTGAAGTTGGTGTTCCTCTAGACTTGGGACAGTGTTCTCGGGGCATCTCTGTAGTTGCCTGAAGGAAGTGGAGCCACCGGTCGTGTTGAATGGGGAACGGGTTATGGCTCTGGAGTCAATGCAGGGGAATTGGGCCTCATCTCGAGTTGATTTGGGGCACATGGAGCTGCTTTGTGTTGCTGGGGTGACCTCAGGGTCTGTCTCGACTGGTGACAGTGTTCTTGGGGACTGTCTCGAGATCCATTAAGCAAGTCGAAGCTCCTGACTTGTTTGAATGGGATCACGGAATAGCTCTGCATGCACTGCAGGGGAATGGGGCCTCATCTCGCCTCTAGGGGGAAGTCTCATGGTTTTTCTCGAGTTGCGGCGGGGACCTGGGGTATGTTCTCGACTTACGGCGGGGATGGCACTTCAAAACACGAGTTTCTTCAGTGACGTCAGGACTCCTGTCTAGTAACGAGGGACACCTCAGGAATCTCTCCGAGGCTTCGCAGGGCAAAAGGGACGCTTCTCGAGGTGAGGCAGGGCACCCAAGGACCCTTTCCAGTAGCCACAGGGATTTTGGGATTCCTATCAGTATTCAAGAGAAGTCAGGCATCGTCACCTTTTGAACCATGAACTCCGCTGGCCTCTCGAGGTGTCAGCGGGATGTGAGGCATTCTGTCAAAATGAGGCAGGGACCTAGGGCTTTCTCTAAGGTTTCCACAGGGGATTCAGACATCCCTTCATGTTGTGAGATGAAAGACGAGCCTGTATGCAAGCCACTGCAAGGAAATCCGGCCTCCTTTCAAGTTAGGGCTTCTCGCTGTATATTCCCCTTGAGGCAGCAAACTCGGGGTCCCTCCCACATACCTATTGCTGAGAGAAGCCTCCTCCTGAGGTGCTTCTGGAAAGTTGGCATACGTCTTGAGCCTAAGCCAGGGAATCAGCTCTCATCTCGAGACGATTTGGGGTACAGGGAGCATTCCTCGATTTGCTGTTCTGAAGTTGGTGTTCCTCTAGACTTGGGACAGTGTTCTCGGGGCATCTCTGGAGTTGCCTGAAGGAAGTGGAGCCACGGTTCGTGTTGAATGGGGAACGGGGAATGGCTCTGGAGTCAATGTAGGTAAATCGGGCCTCATCTCGAGTTGATTTGGGGCACATGGAGCTGCTTTGCGTTGCTGGGGTGACCTCAGGGTCCGTCTAGACTGGTGACAGTGTTCTTGGGGACTGTCTCGAGATCCATTAAGCAAGTCGAAGCTCCTGACTTGTTTGAATGGGATCACGGAATAGCTCTGCATGCACTGCAGGGGAATGGGGCCTCATCTCGCTTCTAGGTGGAAGTCTCATGGTTTTTCTCGAGTTGCGGCGGGGACCTGGGGTATGTTCTCGACTTACGGCGGGGATGGCACTTCAAAACACGAGTTTCTTCAGTGACGTCAGGACTCCTGTCTAGTAATGAGGGACACCTCAGGAATCTCTCCGAGGCTTCGCAGAGCAAAAGGGACGCTTCTCGAGGTGAGGCAGGGCACCCAAGGACCCTTTCCAGTAGCCACAGGGATTTGGGGATTCCTATCATTATTCAAGCGGAGTTAGGCATCGTCACCTTTTGAACCATGAACGCCGCGTGCCTCTCGAGGTGTCAGCGGGATGTGAGGCATTCTGTCAAAATGAGGCAGGGACCTAGGGCTTTCTCTAAGGTCTCCACAGGGGATTCAGACATCACTTCATGTTGTGAGATGAAAGACGTGCCTGTATTCAAGCCACTGCAAGGAAATCCGGCCTCCTTTCAAGTTAGGGCTTCTCGCTGTATATTCCCCTTGAGGCAGCAAACTCGGGGTCCCTCCCACATAACTATTGCTGAGAGAAGCCTCCTCCTGAGGTGCTTCTGGAAAGTTGGCATACGTCTAGACCCTAAGCCAGGGAATCAGCTCTCATCTCGAGACGATTTGGGGTACTCGGAGCATTCCTCGAGTTGCTGTGCTGAAGTTGGTGTTCCTCTAGACTTGGGACAGTGTTCTCGGGGCATCTCTGGAGTTGCCTGAAGGAAGTCGAGCCACCGGTCGTGTTGAATCGGGAATGGGGAATGGCTCTGGAGTCAATGCAGGGGAATCGGGCTTCATCTCGAGTTGATTTGGGGCACATGGAGCTGCTTTGCGTTGCTGGGGTGACTTCACGGTCCCTCTAGACTGGTGACAGTGTTCTTGGGGACTGTCTCGAGATCCATTTAGCAAGTCGAAGCTCCTGACTTGTTTGAATGGGATCACGGAATAGCTCTGCATGCACTGCAGGGGAATGGGGCCTCATCTCGCCTCTCGGGTTAAGTCTCATGGTTTTTCTCGAGTTGCGGCGGGACCTGGGGTATGTTCTCGACTTACGGCGGTAATGGCCCTTCAAAACACGAGTTTCTTCAGTGACGTCAGGAGTCCTGTCTAGTAACGAGGGACACCTCAGGAATCTCTTCGAGGCTTGGCAGGGCAAAAGGGACGCTTCTCGAGGTGAGGCAGGGCACCCAAGGACCCTTTCCAGTAGCCACAGGTATTTTGGGATTCCTATCAGTATTCAAGAGGAGTCAGGCATCGTCACCTTTTGAAGCAATGAACTCCGCGTGCCTCTCGAGGTGTCAGCGGGATGTGAGGCATTCCGTCAAAATGAGGCAGGGACCTAGGGCTTTCTCTAAGGTCTCCACAGGGGATTCAGACATCCCTTCATGTTGTGAGATGAAAGACGGGCCTGTATTCAAGCCACTGCAAGGAAATCCGGCCTCCTTTCAAGTTAGGGCTTCTCGCTGTATATTCCCCTTGAGGCAGCAAACTCGGGGTCCCTCCCACATACCTATTGCTGAGAGAAGCCTCCTCCTGAGGTGCTTCTGGAAAGTTGGCATACGTCTTGAGCCTAAGCCAGGGAATCAGCTCTCATCTCGAGACGATTTGGGGTACACGGAGCATTCCTCGAGTTGCTGTGCTGAAGGTGGTGTTCCTCTAGACTTGGGAAAGTGTTCTCGGGGCGTCTCTGGAGTTGCCTGAAGGAAGTCGAGCCACCAGTCGTGTTGAATGGGGAACGGGGAATGGCTCTGGTGTCAATGCAGGGGAATCGGGCCTCATCTCGAGTTGATTTGGGGCACATGGAGCTGCTTTGCGTTGCTGGGGTGACCTCAGGGTCCGTCTAGACTGGTGACAGTGTTCTTGGGGACTGTCTCGAGATCCATTAAGCAAGTCGAAGCTCCTGACTTGTTTGAATGGGATCACGGAATAGCTCTGCATGCACTGCAGGGGAATGGGGCCTCATCTCGCCTCTAGGGGGAAGTCTCATGGTTTTTCTCGAGTTGCGGCGGGGACCTGGGGTATGTTCTCGACTTACGGCGGGAATGGCCCTTCAAAACACGAGTTTCTTCAGTGACGTCAAGACTCCTGTCTAGTAACGAGGGACACCTCAGGAATCTCCGAGGCTTGGCAGGGCAAAAGGGACGCTTCTCGAGGTGAAGCATGGCACCCAAGGACCCTTTCCTGTAGCCACAGGGATTTTGGGATTCCTATCAGTATTCAAGAGGAGTCAGGCATCGTCACCTTTTGAAACAATGAACTCTGCGTGCCTCTCGATGTGTCAGCGGGATGTGAGGCATTCCGTCAAAATGAGGCAGGGCCCTAGGGCTTTCTCTAAGGTCTCCACAGGGGATTCAGACATCACTTCATGTTGTGAGATGAAAGACGTGCCTGTATTCAAGCCACTGCAAGGAAATCCGGCCTCCTTTCAAGTTAGGGCTTCTCGCTGTATATTCCCCTTGATGCAGCAAACTCGGGCTCCCTCCCACATACCTATTGCTGAGAGAAGCCTCCTCCTGAGGTGCTTCTGGAAAGTTGGCATATGTCTTGAGCCTAAGCCAGGGAATCAGCTCTCATCTCGAGACGATTTGGGGTACACGGAGCATTCCTCGAGTTGCTGTGCTGAAGTTGGTGTTCCTCTAGACTTGGGACAGTGTTCTCGGGGCATCTCTGGAGGTGCCTGAAGGAAGTCGAGCCACCGGTCGTGTTGAATTGGGAACGGGGAATGGCTCTGGAGTCAATGCAGGGGAATCAGTCCTCATCTCGAGTTGTTTTGGATCACATGGAGCTGCTTTGCGTTGCTGGGGTGACCTCAGGGTCCGTCTAGACTGGTGACAGTGTTCTTGGGGACTGTCTCGAGATCCGTTCAGCAAGTCGAAGCTCCTGACTTGTTTGAATGGGATCACGGAATAGCTCTGCATGCACTGCAGGGGAATGGGGCCTCATCTCGCCTCTAGGGGGAAGTCTCATGGTTTTTCTCGAGTTGCGGCGGGGACCTGGGGTATGTTCTCGACTTACGGCGGGGATGGCACTTCAAAACACGAGTTTCTTCAGTGACGTCAGGACTCCTGTCTAGTAACGAGGGACAACTCAGGAATCTCTTCGAGTCTTGGCAGGGCAAAAGGGACGCTTCTCGAGGTGAGGCAGGGCACCCGATGACCCTTTCCAGTAGCCACAGGGATTTTGGGATTCCTATCAGTATTCAAGAGGAGTCAGGCATCGTCACCTTTTGAAGCAATGAACTCCGCGTGCCTCTCGAGGTGTCAGCGGGATGTGAGGCATTCCGTCAAAATGAGGCAGGGACCGAGGGCTTTCTCTAAGGTCTCCACAGGGGATTCAGACATCCCTTCATGTTGTGAGATGAAAGACGAGCCTGTATTCAAGCCACTGCAAGGAAATCCGGCCTCCTTTCAAGTTAGGGCTTCTCGCTGTATATTCCCCTTGAGGCAGCAAACTCGGCGTCCCTCCCACATACCTATTGCTGAGAGAAGCCTCCTCCTGAGGTGCTTCTGGAAAGTTGGCATACGTCTTGAGCCTAAGCCAGGGAATCAGCTCTCATCTCGTGACGATTTGTGGTGCACGGAGCATTCCTCGAGTTGCTGTGCTGAAGTTGGTGTTCCTCTAGACTTGGGACAGTGATCTCTGGGCATCTCTGCAGTTGCCTGAAGGAAGTCGAGCCATCGGTCGTGTTGAATGGGGAACGCGGAATGGCTCTGGAATCAATGCAGGGGAATCGGGCCTCATCTCGATTTGATTTGGGGCACATGGAGCTGCTTTGCGTTGCTGGGGTGACCTCAGGGTCTGTCTCGACTGGTGACAGTGTTCTTGGGGACTGTCTCGAGATCCATTAAGCAAGTCGAAGCTCCTGACTTGTTTGAATGGGATCACGGAATAGCTCTGCATGCACTGCAGGGGAATGGGGCCTCATCTCGCCTCTAGGGGGAAGTCTCATGGTTTTTCTCGAGTTGCGGCGGGGACCTGGGGTATGTTCTCGACTTACGGCGGGGATGGCCCTTCAAAACACGAGTTTCTTCAGTGACGTCAGGACTCCTGTCTAGTAACGAGGGACACCTCAGGAATCTCTCCGAGGTTTCGCAGGGCAAAAGGGACGCTTCTCGAGGTGAGGCAGGGCACCCAAGGACCCTTTCCAGTAGCCACAGGGATTTTGGGATTCCTATCAGTATTCAAGAGGAGTCAGGCATCGTCACCTTTTGAACCATGAACTCCGCGTGCCTCTCGAGGTGTCAGCGGGATGTGAGGCATTCCGTCAAAATGAGGCAGGGACCTAGGGCTTTCTCTAAGGTTTCCACAGGGGATTCAGACATCCCTTCATGTTGTGAGATGAAAGACGAGCCTGTATTCAAGCCACTGCAAGGAAATCCGGCCTCCTTTCAAGTTAGGGCTTCTCGCTGTATATTCCCCTTGAGGCAGCAAACTCGGGGTCCCTCCCACATACCTATTGCTGAGAGAAGCCTCTTCCTGAGGTGCTTCTGGAAAGTTGGCATACGTCTTGAGCCTAAGCCAGGGAATCAGCTCTCATCTCGAGACTATTTGGGGTACACGGAGCATTCCTCGATTTGCTGTGCTGAAGTTGGTGTTCCTCTAGACTTGGGACAGTGTTCTCGGGGCATCTCTGGAGTTGCCTGAAGGAAGTCGAGCCACGGGTCGTGTTGAATGGGGAACGGGGAATGGCTCTGGAGTCAATGCAGGGGAATCAGGCCTCATCTCGAGTTGATTTGGGGCACATGGAGCTGCTTTGCGTTGCTGGGGTGACCTCAGGGTCCGTCTAGACTGGTGACAGTGTTCTTGGGGACTGTCTCGAGAACCATTAAGCAAGTCAAAGCTCCTGACTTGTTTGAATGGGATCACGGAATAGCTCTGCATGCACTGCAGGGGAATGGGGCCTCATCTCGCCTCTAGGGGGAAGTCTCATGGTTTTTCTCGAGTTGCGGCGGGGACCTGGGGTATGTTCTCGACTTACGCCGGGAATGGCCCTTCAAAACACGAGTTTCTTCAGTGACGTCAGGACTCCTGTCTAGTAACGAGGGACACCTCAGGAATCTCTTCGATGCTTCGTAGGGCAAAAGGGACGCTTCTCGAGGTGAGCCAGGGCACCCAAGGACCCTTTCCAGTAGCCACAGGGATTTTGGGATTCCTATCAGTGTTCAAGAGGAGTCAGGCATCATCACCTTTTGAACCATGAAATCCGCGTGCCTCTCGAGGTGTCAGCGGGATGTGAGGCATTCTGTCAAAATGAGGTAGGGACCTAGGGCTTTCTCTAAGGTCTCCACAGGGGATTCAGACATCCCTTCATGTTGTGAGATGAAAGACGAGCCTGTATTCAAGCCACTGCAAGGAAATCCGGCCTCCTTTCAAGTTAGGGCTTCTCGCTGTATATTCCCCTTGTGGCAGCAAACCCGGGCTCCCTCCCACATACCTATTGCTGAGAGAAGCCTCCTCCTGAGGTGCTTCTGGAAAGTTGGCATACGTCTAGAGCCTAAGCCAGGGAATCAGCTCTCATCTCGAGACGATTTGGGGTACTCGGAGCATTCCTCGATTTGCTGTGCTGAAGTTGGTGTTCCTCTAGACTTGGGACAGTGTTCTCGGGGCATCTCTGGAGTTGCCTGAAGGAAGTGGAGCCACGGGTCGTGTTGAATGGGGAAAGGGGAATGGCTCTGGAGTCAATGCAGGGGAATCAGGCCTCATCTCGAGTTGATTTGGGGCACATGGAGCTGCTTTGCATTGCTGGGGTGACCTCAGGGTCCGTCTAGACTGGTGACAGTGTTCTTGGGGACTGTCTCGAGATCCATTAAGCAAGTCGAAGCTCCTGACTTGTTTGAATGGGATCACGGAATAGCTCTGCATGCACTGCAGGGGAATGGGGCCTCATCTCGCTTCTAGGGGGAAGTCTCATGGTTTATCTCGAGTTGCGGCGGGGACCTGGGGTATGTTCTCGACTTACGGTGGCGATGGCCCTTCAAAACACGAGTTTCTTCAGTGACGTCAGGACTCCTGTCTAGTAACGAGGGACACCTCAGGAATCTCTCCGAGGCTTCGCAGGGCAAAAGGGACGCTTCTCGAGGTGAGGCAGGGCACCCAAGGACCCTTTCCAGTAGCCACAGGGATTTGGGGATTCCTATCAGTATGCAAGAGGAGTCAGGCATCGTCACCTTTTGAACCATGAACGCCGCGTGCCTCTCGAGGTGTCAGCGGGATGTGAGGCATTCTGTCAAAATGAGGCAGGGACCTAGGGCTTTCTCTAAGGTCTCCACAGGGGATTCAGACATCACTTCATGTTGTGAGATGAAAGACGTGCCTGTATTCAAGCCACTGCAAGGAAATCTGGCCTCCTTTCAAGTTAGGGCTTCTCGCTGTATATTCCCCTTGAGGCAGCAAACTCGGGGTCCCTCCCACATACCTATTGCTGATAGAAGCCTCCTCCTGAGGTGCTTCTGGAAAGTTGGCATACGTCTTGAGCCTAAGCCAGGGAATCAGCTCTCATCTTGAGACGATTTGGGGTACACGGAGCATTCCTCGAGTTGCTGTGCTGAAGTTGGTGTTCCTCTAGACTTGGGACAGTGTTCTCGGGGCATCTCTGGAGTTGCCTGAAGGAAGTCTAGCCACCGGTCGTGTTGAATGGGGAACGGGGAATGGCTCTGGAGTCAATGCAGGGGAATCGGGCCTCATCTAGAGTTGATTTGGGGCACATGGACCTGCTTTGCGTTGCTGGGGTGACCTCAGGGTCTGTCTCGACTAGGGACAGTGTTCTTGGGGACTGTCTCGAGATCCATTAAGCAAGTCGAAGATGCTGACTTGTTTGAATGGGATCACGGAATAGCTCTGCATGCACTGCAGGGGAATGGGGCCTCATCTCGCCTCTAGGGGGAAGTCTCATGGTTTTTCTCGAGTTGCGGCGGGGACCTGGGGTATGTTCTCGCCTTACGGCGGGGATGGCCCTTCAAAACACGAGTTTCTTCAGTGACGTCAGGACTCCTGTCTAGTAACGAGGGATACCTCAGGAATCTCTTCGAGGGTTGGCAGGGCAAAAGGGACGCTTCTCTAGGTGAGGCAGGGCACCCAAGGACCCTTTCCAGTAGCCACAGGGATTTTGGGATTCCTATCAGTATTCAACACGAGTCAGGCATCGTCACCTTTTGAGGAAATGAACTCCGCGGGCCTCTCGAGGTATCAGCGGGATGTGAGGCATTCCGTCAAAATGAGGCAGGGACCTAGGGCTTTCTCTAAGGTCTCCACAGGGGATTCAGGCATCCCTTCATGTTGTGAGATGAAAGACTGGCCTGTATTCAAGCCACTGCAAGGAAATCCGGCCTCCTTTCAAGTTAGGGCTTCTCGCTGTATATTCCCCTTGAGGCAGAAAACTTGGGGTCCCTCCTACATACCTATTGCTGAGAGAAGACTCCTCCTGAGGTGCTTCTGGAAAGTTGGCATATGTCTTGAGCCTAAGCCAGGGAATCAGCTCTCATCTCGAGACGATTTGGGTTACACGGAGCATTCCTCGTGTTGCTGTGCTGAAGTTGGTGTTCCTCTAGACTTGGGACAGTGTTCTCGGGGCATCTCTGGAGGTGCCTGAAGGAAGTCGAGCCACCGGTCGTGTTGAATTGGGAACGGGGAATGGCTCTGGAGTCAATGCAGGGGAATCAGGCCTCATCTCGAGTTGATTTCGGGCACATGGAGCTGCTTTGCGTTGCTGGGGTGACCTCAGGGTCCGTCTAGACTGGTGACAGTGTTCTTGGGGACTGTCTCGAGATCCATTAAGCAAGTCGAAGTTCCTGACTTGTTTGAATGGGATCATGGAATAGCTCTGCATGAACTGCAGGGGAATGGGGCCTCATCTCGCCTCTAGGGGGAAGTCTCATGGTTTTTCTCGAGTTGCGGCGGGGACCTGGGGTATGTTCTCGCCTTACGGCGGGGATGGCCCTTCAAAAGACGAGTTTCTTCAGTGACGTCAGGACTCCTGTCTAGTAACGAGGGACACCTCAGGAATCTCTTCGACGCTTGGCAGGGCAAAGGGATGCTTCTCGAGGTGAGGCAGGGCACCCAAGGACCCTTTCCTGTAGCCACAGGGATTTTGGGATTCCTATCAGTATTCAAGAGGAGTCAGGCATCGTCACCTTTTGAAACAATGAACTCTGCGTGCGTCTCTAGGTGTCAGCGGGATGTGAGGCATTCCGTCAAAATGAGGCAGGGCCCTAGGGCTTTCTCTCAGGTCTCCACAGGGGATTCAGACATCCCTTCATGTTGTGAGATGAAAGACGAGCCTGTATTCAAGCCACTGCAAGGAAATCCGGCCTCCTTTCAAGTTAGGGCTTCTCGCTGTATATTCCCCTTGAGGCAGCAAAATCGGGGACCCTCCCACATACCTATTGCTGAGAGAAGCCTACTCCAGAGTTGCTTCTGGAAAGTTGGCAAATGCCTTGAGCCTAAGCCAATGAATCAGCTCTCATCTCGAGACGATTTGGGGTGCACGGAGGATTTCTCGAGTTGCTGTGCTGAAGTTGGTGTTCCTCTAGACTTGGGACAATGATCTCGGGGCATCTCTGGAGTTGCCTGAAGGAAGTCGAGCCACCGGTCGTGTTGAATGGGGAACGGGGAATGGCTCTGGAGTCAATGCAGGGGAATCGGGCCTCATCTCGAGTTGATTTGGGGCACATGGAGCTGCTTTGCGTTGCTGGGGTGACCTCAGGGTCCGTCTAGACTGGTGACAGTGTTCTTGGGGACTGTCTCGAGATCCATTAAGCAAGTCGAAGCTCCTGACTTGTTTGAATGGGATCACGGAATAGCTCTGCATGCACTGCAGGGGAATGGGGCCTCATCTCGCCTCTAGGGGGAAGTCTCATGGTTTTTCTCGAGTTGCGGCGGGGACCTGGGGTATGTTCTCGACTTACGGCAGGGATGGCCCTTCAAAACACGAGTTTCTTCAGTGACGTCAGGACTCCTTGCTAGTAACGAGGGATACGTCAGGAATCTCTTCGAGGGTTGGCAGGGCAAAAGGGACGCTACTCGAGGTGAGGCAGGGCACCCAAGGACCCTTTCCAGTAGCCACAGGGATTTTGGGATTCCTATCAGTATTCAAGAGGAGTCAGGCATCGTCACCTTTTGAAGCAATGAACTCCGCGTGCCTCTCGAGGTGCCAGCGGGATGTGAGGCATTCCGTCTAAATGAGGCAGGGACCTAGGGCTTTCTCTAAGGTCTCTACAGGGGATTCAGACATCCCTTCATGTTGCGAGATGAAAGACGAGCCTGTATTCAAGCCACTGCAAGGAAAGCCGGCCTCCTTTCAAGTTAGGGCTTCTCGCTGTATATTCCCCTTGAGGCAGCAAACTCGGGCTCCCTCCCACATACCTATTGCTCAGAGAAGCCTCCTCCTGAGGTGCTTCTGGAAAGTTGGCATACGTCTTGAGCCTAAGCCAGGGAATCAGCTCTCATCTCGAGACGATTTGGGGTACACGGAGCATTCCTCGAGTTGATGTGCTGAAGTTGGTGTTCCTCTAGACTTGGGACAGTGTTCTCGGGGCATCCCTGTAGTTGCCTGAAGGAAGTGGAGCCACGGGTCGTGTTGAATGGGGAAAGGGGAATGGCTCTGGAGTCAATGCAGGGGAATCAGGCCTCATCTCGAGTTGATTTGGGGCACATGGAGCTGCTTTGCATTGCTGGGGTGACCTCAGGGTCCGTCTAGACTGGTGACAGTGTTCTTGGGGACTGTCTCGAGATCCATTAAGCAAGTCGAAGCTCCTGACTTGTTTGAATGGGATCACGGAATAGCTCTGCATGCACTGCAGGGGAATGGGGCCTCATCTCGCTTCTAGGGGGAAGTCTCATGGTTTATCTCGAGTTGCGGCGGGGACCTGGGGTATGTTCTCGACTTACGGTGGCGATGGCCCTTCAAAACACGAGTTTCTTCAGTGACGTCAGGACTCCTGTCTAGTAACGAGGGACACCTCAGGAATCTCTCCGAGGCTTCGCAGGGCAAAAGGGACGCTTCTCGAGGTGAGGCAGGGCACCCAAGGACCCTTTCCAGTAGCCACAGGGATTTGGGGATTCCTATCAGTATGCAAGAGGAGTCAGGCATCGTCACCTTTTGAACCATGAACGCCGCGTGCCTCTCGAGGTGTCAGCGGGATGTGAGGCATTCTGTCAAAATGAGGCAGGGACCTAGGGCTTTCTCTAAGGTCTCCACAGGGGATTCAGACATCACTTCATGTTGTGAGATGAAAGACGAGCCTGTATTCAAGCCACTGCAAGGAAATCCGGCCTCCTTTCAAGTTAGGGCTTCTCGCTGTATATTCCCCTTGAGGCAGCAAACTCGGGGTCCCTCCCACATACCTATTGCTGATAGAAGCCTCCTCCTGAGGTGCTTCTGGAAAGTTGGCATACGTCTTGAGCCTAAGCCAGGGAATCAGTTCTCATCTTGAGACGATTTGGGGTACACGGAGCATTCCTCGAGTTGCTGTGCTGAAGTTGGTGTTCCTCTAGACTTGGGACAGTGTTCTCGGGGCATCTCTGGAGTTGCCTGAAGGAAGTCTAGCCACCGGTCGTGTTGAATGGGGAACGGGGAATGGCTCTGGAGTCAATGCAGGGGAATCGGGCCTCATCTAGAGTTGATTTGGGGCACATGGACCTGCTTTGCGTTGCTGGGGTGACCTCAGGGTCTGTCTCGACTAGGGACAGTGTTCTTGGGGACTGTCTCGAGATCCATTAAGCAAGTCGAAGATCCTGACTTGTTTGAATGGGATCACGGAATAGCTCTGCATGCACTGCAGGGGAATGGGGCCTCATCTCGCCTCTAGGGGGAAGTCTCATGGTTTTTCTCGAGTTGCGGCGGGGACCTGGGGTATGTTCTCGCCTTACGGCCGGGATGGCCCTTCAAAACACGAGTTTCTTCAGTGACGTCAGGACTCCTGTCTAGTAACGAGGGATACCTCAGGAATCTCTTCGAGGGTTGGCAGGGCAAAAGGGACGCTTCTCGAGGTGAGGCAGGGCACCCAAGGACCCTTTCCAGTAGCCACAGGGATTTTGGGATTCCTATCAGTATTCAACACGAGTCAGGCATCGTCACCTTTTGAGGAAATGAACTTCGCGGGCCTCTCGAGCTATCAGCGGGATGTGAGGCATTCCGTCAAAATGAGGCAGGGACCTAGGGCTTTCTCTAAGGTCTCCACAGGGGATTCAGGCATCCCTTCATGTTGTGAGATGAAAGACTGGCCTGTATTCAAGCCACTGCAAGGAAATCCGGCCTCCTTTCAAGTTAGGGCTTCTCGCTGTATATTCCCCTTGAGGCAGAAAACTTGGGGTCCCTCCTACATACCTATTGCTGAGAGAAGACTCCTCCTGAGGTGCTTCTGGAAAGTTGGCATATGTCTTGAGCCTAAGCCAGGGAATCAGCTCTCATCTCGAGACGATTTGGGTGACACGGAGCATTCCTCGTGTTGCTGTGCTGAAGTTGGTGTTCCTCTAGACTTGGGACAGTGTTCTCGGGGCATCTCTGGAGGTGCCTGAAGGAAGTCGAGCCACCGGTCGTGTTGAATTGGGAACGGGGAATGGCTCTGGAGTCAATGCAGGGGAATCAGGCCTCATCTCGAGTTGATTTCGGGCACATGGAGCTGCTTTGCGTTGCTGGGGTGACCTCAGAGTCCGTCTAGACTGGTGACAGTGTTCTTGGGGACTGTCTCGAGATCCATTAAGCAAGTCGAAGTTCCTGACTTGTTTGAATGGGATCATGGAATAGCTCTGCATGAACTGCAGGGGAATGGGGCCTCATCTCGCCTCTAGGGGGAAGTCTCATGGTTTTTCTCGAGTTGCGGCGGGGACCTGGGGTATGTTCTCGCCTTACGGCGGGGATGGCCCTTCAAAAGACGAGTTTCTTCAGTGACGTCAGGACTCCTGTCTAGTAACGAGGGACACCTCAGGAATCTCTTCGACGCTTGGCAGGGCAAAGGGATGCTTCTCGAGGTGAGGCAGGGCACCCAAGGACCCTTTCCTGTAGCCACAGGGATTTTGGGATTCCTATCAGTATTCAAGAGGAGTCAGGCATCGTCACCTTTTGAAACAATGAACTCTGCGTGCCTCTCGAGGTGTCAGCGGGATGTGAGGCATTCCGTCAAAATGAGGCAGGGCCCTAGGGCTTTCTCTCAGGTCTCCACAGGGGATTCAGACATCCCTTCATGTTGTGAGATGAAAGACGAGCCTGTATTCAAGCCACTGCAAGGAAATCCGGCCTCCTTTCAAGTTAGGGCTTCTCGCTGTATATTCCCCTTGAGGCAGCAAAATCGGGGACCCTCCCACATACCTATTGCTGAGAGAAGCCTACTCCAGAGTTGCTTCTGGAAAGTTGGCAAATGCCTTGAGCCTAAGCCAATGAATCAGCTCTCATCTCGAGACGATTTGGGGTGCACGGAGGATTTCTCGAGTTGCTGTGCTGAAGTTGGTGTTCCTCTAGACTTGGGACAATGATCTCGGGGCATCTCTGGAGTTGCCTGAAGGAAGTCGAGCCACCGGTCGTGTTGAATGGGGAACGGGGAATGGCTCTGGAGTCAATGCAGGGGAATCGGGCCTCATCTCGAGTTGATTTGGGGCACATGGAGCTGCTTTGCGTTGCTGGGGTGACCTCAGGGTCTGTCTCGACTGGTGACAGTGTTCTTGGGGACTGTCTCGAGATCCATTAAGCAAGTCGAAGCTCCTGACTTGTTTGAATGGGATCACGGAATAGCTCTGCATGCACTGCAGGGGAATGGGGCCTCATCTCGCCTCTAGGGGGAAGTCTCATGGTTTTTCTCGAGTTGCGGCGGGGACCTGGGGTATGTTCTCGACTTACGGCAGGGATGGCCCTTCAAAACACGAGTTTCTTCAGTGACGTCGGGACTCCTTTCTAGTAACGAGGGATACGTCAGGAATCTCTTCGAGGGTTGGCAGGGCAAAAGGGACGCTACTCGAGGTGAGGCAGGGCACCCAAGGACCCTTTCCAGTAGCCACAGGGATTTTGGGATTCCTATCAGTATTCAAGAGGAGTCAGGCATCGTCACCTTTTGAAGCAATGAACTCCGCGTGCCTCTCGAGGTGCCAGCGGGATGTGAGGCATTCCGTCTAAATGAGGCAGGGACCTAGGGCTTTCTCTAAGGTCTCTACAGGGGATTCAGACATCCCTTCATGTTGCGAGATGAAAGACGAGCCTGTATTCAAGCCACTGCAAGGAAAGCCGGCCTCCTTTCAAGTTAGGGCTTCTCGCTGTATATTCCCCTTGAGGCAGCAAACTCGGGCTCCCTCCCACATACCTATTGCTCAGAGAAGCCTCCTCCTGAGGTGCTTCTGGAAAGTTGGCATACGTCTTGAGCCTAAGCCAGGGAATCAGCTCTCATGTCGAGACGATTTGGGGTACACGGAGCATTCCTCGAGTTGATGTGCTGAAGTTGGTGTTCCTCTAGACTTGGGACAGTGTTCTCGGGGCATCCCTGTAGTTGCCTGAAGGAAGTCGAGCCACCGGTCGTGTTGAATGGGGAACGGGTTATGGCTCTGGAGTCAATGCAGGGGAATCGGGCCTCATCTCGAGTTGATTTGGGGCACATGGAGCTGCTTTGCGTTGCTGGGGTGACCTCAGGGTCTGTCTCGACTGGTGACAGTGTTCTTGGGGACTGTCTCGAGATCCATTAAGCAAGTCGAAGCTCCTGACTTGTTTGAATGGGATCACGGAATAGCTCTGCATGCACTGCAGGGGAATGGGGCCTCATCTCGCCTCTAGGGGGAAGTCTCATGGTTTTTCTCGAGTTGCGGCGGGGACCTGGGGTATGTTCTCGACTTACGGCGGGGATGGCACTTCAAAACACGAGTTTCTTCAGTGACGTCAGGACTCCTGTCTAGTAACGAGGGACACCTCAGGAATCTCTCCGAGGCTTCGCAGGGCAAATGGGACGCTTCTCGAGGTGAGGAAGGGCACCCAAGGACCCTTTCCAGTAGCCACAGGGATTTTGGGATTCCTATCAGTATTCAAGAGAAGTCAGGCATCGTCACCTTTTGAACCATGAACTCCGCGTGCCTCTCGAGGTGTCAGCGGGATGTGAGGCATTCTGTCAAAATGAGGCAGGGACCTAGGGCTTTCTCTAAGGTTTCCACAGGGGATTCAGACACCCCTTCATGTTGTGAGATGAAAGACGAGCCTGTATTCAAGCCACTGCAAGGAAATCCGGCCTCCTTTCAAGTTAGGGCTTCTCGCTGTATATTCCCCTTGAGGCAGCAAACTCGGGGTCCCTCCCACATACCTATTGCTGAGAGAAGCCTCCTCCTGAGGTGCTTCTGGAAAGTTGGCATACGTCTTGAGCCTAAGCCAGGGAATCAGCTCTCATCTCGAGACGATTTGGGGTACACGGAGCATTCCTCGATTTGCTGTGCTGAAGTTGGTGTTCCTCTAGACTTGGGACAGTGTTCTCGGGGCATCTCTGGAGTTGCATGAAGGAAGTGGAGCCACGGTTCGTGTTGAATGGGGAACGGGGAATGGCTCAGGAGTCAATGCAGGGGAATCAGGCCTCATCTCGAGTTGATTTGGGGCACATGGAGCTGCTTTGCGTTGCTGGGGTGACCTCAGGGTCCGTCTAGACTGGTGACAGTGTTCTTGGGGACTGTCTCGAGATCCATTAAGCAAGTCAAAGCTCCTGACTTGTTTGAATGGGATCACGGAATAGCTCTGCATGCACTGCAGTGGAATGGGGCCTCATCTCGCCTCTAGGGGGAAGTCTCATGGTTTTTCTCGAGTTGCGGCGGGGACCTGGGGTATGTTCTCGACTTACGGCGGGGATGGCCCTTCAAAACACGAGTTTCTTCAGTGACGTCAGGACTCCTGTCTAGTAACGAGGGATACCTCAGGAATCCCTTCGAGGGTTGGCAGGGCAAAAGTGACGCTTCTCGAGGTGAGGCAGGGCACCCAAGGACCCTTTCCAGTAGCCACAGGGATTTGGGGATTCCTATCAGTTTTCAAGAGGAGTCAGGCATCGTCACCTTTTGAACCATGAACGCCGCGTGCCTCTCGAGGTGTCAGCGGGATGTGAGGCATTCTGTCAAAATGAGGCAGGGACCTAGGGCTTTCTCTAAGGTCTCCACAGGGGATTCAGACATCCCTTCATGTTGTGAGATGAAAGACGGGCCTGTATTCAAGCCACTGCAAGGAAATCCGGCCTCCTTTCAAGTTAGGGCTTCTCGCTGTATATTCCCCTTGAGGCAGCAAACTCGGGGTCCCTCCCACATACCTATTGCTGAGAGAAGCCTCCTCCTGAGGTGCTTCTGGAAAGTTGGCATACGTCTTGAGCCTAAGCCAGGGAATCAGCTCTCATCTCGAAACGATTTGGGGTACTCGGAGCATTCCTCGATTTGCTGTGCTGAAGTTGGTGTTCCTCTAGACTTGGGACAGTATTCTCGGGGCATCTCTGGAGTTGCCTGAAGGAAGTGGAGCCACGGGTCGTGTTGAATGGGGAACAGGGAATGGCTCTGGAGTCAATGCAGGGGAATCAGGCCTCATCTCGAGTTGATTTGGGGCACATGGAGCTGCTTTGCGTTGCTGGGGTGACCTCAGGGTCCGTCTAGACTGGTGACAGTGTTCTTGGGGACTGTCTCGAGATCCATTAAGCAAGTCGAAGCTCCTGACTTGTTTGAATGGGATCACGGAATAGCTCTGCATGCACTGCAGGGGAATGGGGCCTCATCTCGCCTCTAGGGGGAAGTCTCATGGTTTTTCTCGAGTTGCGGCGGGGACCTGGGGTATGTTCTCGACTTACGGCGGGGATGGCCCTTCAAAACACGAGTTTCTTCAGTGACGTCAGGACTCCTGTCTAGTAACGAGGGACACCTCAGGAATCTCTCCGAGGCTTCGCAGGGCAAAAGGGACGCTTCTCGAGGTGAGGCAGGGCACCCAAGGACCCTTTCCAGTAGCCACAGGCATTTTGGGATTCCTATCAGTATTCAAGAGGAGTCAGGCATCGTCACCTTTTGAACCATGAACTCCGCGTGCCTCTCGAGGTGTCAGCGGGATGTGAGGCATTCTGTCAAAATGAGGCAGGGAACTAGGGCTTTCTCTAAGGTCTCCACAGGGGATTCAGACATCACTTCATGTTGTGAGATGAAAGACGTGCCTGTATTCAAGCCACTGCAAGGAAATCCGGCCTCCTTTCAAGTTAGGGCTTCTCGCTGTATATTCCACTTGAGGCAGCAAACTCGGGGTCCCTCCCACATACCTATTGCTGGGAGAAGCCTCCTCCTGAGGTGCTTCTGGAAAGTTGTCATACGTCTTGAGCCTAAGCCAGGGAATCAGCTCTCATCTTGAGACGATTTGGGGTACACAGAGCATTCCTCGAGTTGCTGTGCTGAAGTTGGTGTTCCTCTAGACTTGGGACAGTGTTCTCGGGGCATCTCTGGAGTTGCCTGAAGGAAGTCGAGCCACCGGTCGTGTTGAATGGGGAACGGGGAATGGCTCTGGAGCCAATGCAGGGAAATCGGGCCACATCTCGAGTTGATTTGGGGCACATGGAGCTGCTTTGCGTTGCTGGGGTGACCTCAGGGTCCGTCTAGACTGGTGACAGTGTTCTTGGGGACTGTCTCGAGATCCATTAAGCAAGTCGAAGCTCCTGACTTGTTTGAATGGGATCACGGAATAGCTCTGCATGCACTGCAGGGGAATGGGGCCTCGTCTCGCCTCTAGGGGGAAGTCTCATGGTTTTTCTCGAGTTGCGGCGAGGACCTGGGGTATGTTCTCGCCTTACGGCGGGGATGGCCCTTCAAAACACGAGTTTCTTCAGTGACGTCAGGACTCCTGTCTAGTAACGAGGGATACCTCAGGAATCTCTTCGAGGGTTGGCAGGGCAAAAGGGACGCTTCTCGAGGTGAGGCAGGGCACCCAAGGACCCTTTCCAGTAGCCACAGGGATTTTGGGATTCCTATCAGTATTCAAGAGGAGTCAGGCATCGTCACCTTTTGAAGCAGTGAACTCTGCGTGCCTCTCGAGGTGTCAGCGGGATGTGAGGCATTCCGTCAAAATGAGGCAGGGACCTAGGGCTTTCTCTAAGGTTTCCACAGGGGATTCAGACACCCCTTCATGTTGTGAGATGAAAGACGAGCCTGTATTCAAGCCACTGCAAGGAAATCCGGCCTCCTTTCAAGTTAGGGCTTCTCGCTGTATATTCCCCTTGAGGCAGCAAACTCGGGGTCCCTCCCACATACCTATTGCTGAGAGAAGCCTCCTCCTGAGGTGCTTCTGGAAAGTTGGCATACGTCTTGAGCCTAAGCCAGGGAATCAGCTCTCATCTCGAGACGATTTGGGGTACACGGAGCATTCCTCGATTTGCTGTGCTGAAGTTGGTGTTCCTCTAGACTTGGGACAGTGTTCTCGGGGCATCTCTGGAATTGCATGAAGGAAGTGGAGCCACGGTTCGTGTTGAATGGGGAACGGGGAATGGCTCTGGAGTCAATGCTGGGGAATCAGGCCTCATCTCGAGTTGATTTGGGGCACATGGAGCTGCTTTGCGTTGCTGGGGTGACCTCAGGGTCCGTCTAGACTGGTGACAGTGTTCTTGGGGACTGTCTCGAGATCCATTAAGCAAGTCAAAGCTCCTGACTTGTTTGAATGGGATCACGGAATAGCTCTGCATGCACTGCAGTGGAATGGGGCCTCATCTCGCCTCTAGGGGGAAGTCTCATGGTTTTTCTCGAGTTGCGGCGGGGACCTGGGGTATGTTCTCGACTTACGGCGGGGATGGCCCTTCAAAACACGAGTTTCTTCAGTGACGTCAGGACTCCTGTCTAGTAACGAGGGATACCTCAGGAATCCCTTCGAGGGTTGGCAGGGCAAAAGTGACGCTTCTCGAGGTGAGGCAGGGCACCCAAGGACCCTTTCCAGTAGCCACAGGGATTTGGGGATTCCTATCAGTTTTCAAGAGGAGTCAGGCATCGTCACCTTTTGAACCATGAACGCCGCGTGCCTCTCGAGGTGTCAGCGGGATGTGAGGCATTCTGTCAAAATGAGGCAGGGACCTAGGGCTTTCTCTAAGGTCTCCACAGGGGATTCAGACATCACTTCATGTTGTGAGATGAAAGACGTGCCTGTATTCAAGCCACTGCAAGGAAATCCGGCCTCCTTTCAAGTTAGGGCTTCTCGCTGTATATTCCCCTTGAGGCAGCAAACTCGGGGTCCCTCCCACATACCTATTGCTGAGAGAAGCCTCCTCCTGAGGTGCTTCTGGAAAGTTGGCATACGTCTTGAGCCTAAGCCAGGGAATCAGCTCTCATCTCGAAACGATTTGGGGTACTCGGAGCATTCCTCGATTTGCTGTGCTGAAGTTGGTGTTCCTCTAGACTTGGGACAGTATTCTCGGGGCATCTCTGGAGTTGCCTGAAGGAAGTGGAGCCACGGGTCGTGTTGAATGGGGAACAGGGAATGGCTCTGGAGTCAATGCAGGGGAATCAGGCCTCATCTCGAGTTGATTTGGGGCACATGGAGCTGCTTTGCGTTGCTGGGGTGACCTCAGGGTCCGTCTAGACTGGTGACAGTGTTCTTGGGGACTGTCTCGAGATCCATTAAGCAAGTCGAAGCTCCTGACTTGTTTGAATGGGATCACGGAATAGCTCTGCATGCACTGCAGGGGAATGGGGCCTCATCTCGCCTCTAGGGGGAAGTCTCATGGTTTTTCTCGAGTTGCGGCGGGGACCTGGGGTATGTTCTCGACTTACGGCGGGGATGGCCCTTCAAAACACGAGTTTCTTCAGTGACGTCAGGACTCCTGTCTAGTAACGAGGGACACCTCAGGAATCTCTCCGAGGCTTCGCAGGGCAAAAGGGACGCTTCTCGAGGTGAGGCAGGGCACCCAAGGACCCTTTCCAGTAGCCACAGGCATTTTGGGATTCCTATCAGTATTCAAGAGGAGTCAGGCATCGTCACCTTTTGAACCATGAACTCCGCGTGCCTCTCGAGGTGTCAGCGGGATGTGAGGCATTCTGTCAAAATGAGGCAGGGAACTAGGGCTTTCTCTAAGGTCTCCACAGGGGATTCAGACATCCCTTCATGTTGTGAGATGAAAGACGTGCCTGTATTCAAGCCACTGCAAGGAAATCCGGCCTCCTTTCAAGTTAGGGCTTCTCGCTGTATATTCCACTTGAGGCAGCAAACTCGGGGTCCCTCCCACATACCTATTGCTGGGAGAAGCCTCCTCCTGAGGTGCTTCTGGAAAGTTGTCATACGTCTTGAGCCTAAGCCAGGGAATCAGCTCTCATCTTGAGACGATTTGGGGTACACAGAGCATTCCTCGAGTTGCTGTGCTGAAGTTGGTGTTCCTCTAGACTTGGGACAGTGTTCTCGGGGCATCTCTGGAGTTGCCTGAAGGAAGTCGAGCCACCGGTCGTGTTGAATGGGGAACGGGGAATGGCTCTGGAGCCAATGCAGGGAAATCGGGCCACATCTCGAGTTGATTTGGGGCACATGGAGCTGCTTTGCGTTGCTGGGGTGACCTCAGGGTCCGTCTAGACTGGTGACAGTGTTCTTGGGGACTGTCTCGAGATCCATTAAGCAAGTCGAAGCTCCTGACTTGTTTGAATGGGATCACGGAATAGCTCTGCATGCACTGCAGGGGAATGGGGCCTCGTCTCGCCTCTAGGGGGAAGTCTCATGGTTTTTCTCGAGTTGCGGCGAGGACCTGGGGTATGTTCTCGCCTTACGGCGGGGATGGCCCTTCAAAACACGAGTTTCTTCAGTGACGTCAGGACTCCTGTCTAGTAACGAGGGATACCTCAGGAATCTCTTCGAGGGTTGGCAGGGCAAAAGGGATGCTTCTCGAGGTGAGGCAGGGCACCCAAGGACCCTTTCCAGTAGCCACAGGGATTTTGGGATTCCTATCAGTATTCAAGAGGAGTCAGGCATCGTCACCTTTTGAAGCAGTGAACTCTGCGTGCCTCTCGAGGTGTCAGCGGGATGTGAGGCATTCCGTCAAAATGAGGCAGGGACCTAGGGCTTTCTCTAAGGTCACTACAGGGGATTGAGACATCCCTTCATGTTGTGAGATGAAAGACGAGCCTGTATTCAAGCCACTGCAAGGAAATCCGGCCTCCTTTCAAGTTAGGGCTTCTCACTGTATATTCCCCTTGAGGCAGCAAACTCGGGGTCCCTCCCACATACCTATTGCTGAGAGAAGCCTCCTCCTGAGGTGCTTCTGGAAAGTTGGCATACGTCTTGAGCCTAAGCCAGGGAATCAGCTCTCATCTCGAGACGATTTGGGGTACACGGAGCATTCCTCGTGTTGCTGTGCTGAAGTTGGTGTTCCTCTAGACTTGGGACAGTGTTCACGGGGCATCTCTGGAGTTGCCTGAAGGAAGTCGAGCCACCGGTCGTGTTGAATGGGGAACGGGGAATGGCTCTGGAGTCAATGCAGGGGAATCGGGCCTCATCTCGAGTTGATTTGGGGCACATGGAGCTGCTTTGCGTTGCTGGGGTGACCTCAGGGTCTGTCTCGACTGGTGACAGTGTTCTTGGGGACTGTCTCGAGACCCATTAAGCAAGTCGAAGCTCCTGACTTGTTTGAATGGGATCACGGAATAGCTCTGCATGCACTGCAGGGGAATGGGGCCTCATCTCGCCTCTAGGGGGAAGTCTCATGGTTTTTCTCGAGTTGCGGCGGGGACCTGGGGTATGTTCTCGACTTACGGCGGGGATGGCCCTTCAAAACACGAGTTTCTTCAGTGACGTCAGGACTCCTGTCTAGTAACGAGGGACACGTCAGGAATCTCTCCGAGGCTTCGCAGGGGAAAAGGGACGCTTCTCGAGGTGAGGCAGGGCACCCAAGGACCCTTTCCAGTAGCCACAGGGATTTTGGGATTCCTATCAGTATTCAAGAGGAGTCAGGCATCGTCACCTTTTGAACCATGAACTCCGCGCGCCTCTCGAGGTGTCAGCGGGATGTGAGGCATTCTGTCAAAATGAGGCAGGGACCTAGGGTTTTCTCTAAGGTTTCCACAGGGGACTCAGACATCCCTTCATATTGTGAGATGAAAGACGAGCCTGTATTCAAGCCACTGCAAGGAAATCCGGCCTCCTTTCAAGTTAGGGCTTCTCGCTGTATATTCCCCTTGAGGCAGCAAACTCGGGGTCCCTCCCACATACCTATTGCTGAGAGAAGCCTCCTCCTGAGGTGCTTCTGGAAAGTTGGCATACGTCTTGAGCCTAAGCCAGGGAATCAGCTCTCATCTCGAGACGATTTGGGGTACTCGGAGCATTCCTCGATTTGCTCTGCTGAAGTTGGTGTTCCTCTAGACTTGGGACAGTGTTCTCGGGGCATCTCTGGAGTTGCCTGAAGGAAGTGGAGCCACGGGTCGTGTTGAATGGGGAACGGGGAATGGCTCTGGAATCAATGCACGGGAATCAGGCCTCATCTCGAGTTGATTTGGGGCACATGGAGCTGCTTTGCGTTGCTGGGGTGACCTCAGGGTCCGTCTAGACTGGTGACAGTGTTCTTGGGGACTGTCTCGAGATCCATTAAGCAAGTCGAAGCTCCTGACTTGTTTGAATGGGATCACGGAATAGCTCTGCATGCACTGCAGGGGAATGGGGCCTCGTCTCGCCTCTAGGGGGAATTCTCATGGTTTTTCTCGAGTTGCGGCGGGGACCTGGGGTATGTTCTCGCCTTACGGCGGGGATGGCCCTTCAAAACACGAGTTTCTTTAGTGACGTCAGGACTCCTGTCTAGTAACGAGGGATACCTCAGGAATCTCTTCGAGGGTTGGCAGGGCAAAAGGGACGCTACTCGAGGTGAGGCAGGGCACCCAAGGACCCTTTCCAGTAGCCACAGGGATTTTGGGATTCCTATCAGTATTCAAGAGGAGTCAGGCATCGTCACCTTTTGAAGCAATGAACTCCGCGTGCCTCTCGAGGTGCCAGCGGGATGTGAGGCATTCCGTCAAAATGAGGCAGGGACCTAGGGCTTTCTCTAAGGTCTCTACAGGGGATTCAGACATCCCTTCATGTTGTGAGATGAAAGACGAGCCTGTATTCAAGCCACTGCAAGGAAATCCGGCCTCCATTCAAGTTAGGGCTTCTCGCTGTATATTCCCCTTGTGGCAGCAAACTCGGGCTCCCTCCCACAAACCTATTGCTGAGAGAAGCCTCCTCCTGAGGTGCTTCTGGAAAATTGGCATACGTCTTGAGCCTAAGCCAGGGAATCAGCTCTCATCTCGAGACGATTTGGGGTACACGGAGCATTCCTCGAGTTGCTGTGTTGAAGTTGGTGTTCCTCTAGACTTGGGACAGTGTTCTCGGGGCATCTCTGGAGTTGCCTGAAGGAAGTCGAGCCACCGGTCGTGTTGAATGGGGAACGGGGAATGGCTCTGGAGTCAATGCAGGGAAATCGGGCCTCATCTCGAGTTGATTTGGGGCACATGGAGCTGCTTTGCGTTGCTGGGGTGACCTCAGGGTCCGTCTAGACTGGTGACAGTGTTCTTGGGGACTGTCTCGAGATCCATTAAGCAAGTCGAAGCTCCTGACTTGTTTGAATGGGATCACGGAATAGCTCTGCATGCACTGCAGGGGAATGGGGCCTCATCTCGCCTCTAGGGGGAAGTCTCATGGTTTTTCTCGAGTTGCGGCGGGGACCTGGGGTATGTTCTCGACTTACGGCGGGGATGGCCCTTCAAAACACGAGTTTCTTCAGTGACGTCAGGACTCCTGTCTAGTAACGAGGGACACCTCAGGAATCTCTCCGAGGCTTCGCAGGGCAAAAGGGACGCTTCTCGAGGTGAGGCAGGGCACCCAAGGACCCTTTCCAGTAGCCACAGGCATTTTGGGATTCCTATCAGTATTCAAGAGGAGTCAGGCATCGTCACCTTTTGAACCATGAACTCCGCGTGCCTCTCGAGGTGTCAGCGGGATGTGAGGCATTCTGTCAAAATGAGGCAGGGAACTAGGGCTTTCTCTAAGGTCTCCACAGGGGATTCAGACATCACTTCATGTTGTGAGATGAAAGACGTGCCTGTATTCAAGCCACTGCAAGGAAATCCGGCCTCCTTTCAAGTTAGGGCTTCTCGCTGTATATTCCACTTGAGGCAGCAAACTCGGGGTCCCTCCCACATACCTATTGCTGGGAGAAGCCTCCTCCTGAGGTGCTTCTGGAAAGTTGTCATACGTCTTGAGCCTAAGCCAGGGAATCAGCTCTCATCTTGAGACGATTTGGGGTACACAGAGCATTCCTCGAGTTGCTGTGCTGAAGTTGGTGTTCCTCTAGACTTGGGACAGTGTTCTCGGGGCATCTCTGGAGTTGCCTGAAGGAAGTCGAGCCACCGGTCGTGTTGAATGGGGAACGGGGAATGGCTCTGGAGCCAATGCAGGGAAATCGGGCCACATCTCGAGTTGATTTGGGGCACATGGAGCTGCTTTGCGTTGCTGGGGTGACCTCAGGGTCCGTCTAGACTGGTGACAGTGTTCTTGGGGACTGTCTCGAGATCCATTAAGCAAGTCGAAGCTCCTGACTTGTTTGAATGGGATCACGGAATAGCTCTGCATGCACTGCAGGGGAATGGGGCCTCGTCTCGCCTCTAGGGGGAAGTCTCATGGTTTTTCTCGAGTTGCGGCGAGGACCTGGGGTATGTTCTCGCCTTACGGCGGGGATGGCCCTTCAAAACACGAGTTTCTTCAGTGACGTCAGGACTCCTGTCTAGTAACGAGGGATACCTCAGGAATCTCTTCGAGGGTTGGCAGGGCAAAAGGGATGCTTCTCGAGGTGAGGAAGGGCACCCAAGGACCCTTTCCAGTAGCCACAGGGATTTTGGGATTCCTATCAGTATTCAAGAGGAGTCAGGCATCGTCACCTTTTGAAGCAGTGAACTCTGCGTGCCTCTCGAGGTGTCAGCGGGATGTGAGGCATTCCGTCAAAATGAGGCAGGGACCTAGGGCTTTCTCTAAGGTCACTACAGGGGATTGAGACATCCCTTCATGTTGTGAGATGAAAGACGAGCCTGTATTCAAGCCACTGCAAGGAAATCCGGCCTCCTTTCAAGTTAGGGCTTCTCACTGTATATTCCCCTTGAGGCAGCAAACTCGGGGTCCCTCCCACATACCTATTGCTGAGAGAAGCCTCCTCCTGAGGTGCTTCTGGAAAGTTGGCATACGTCTTGAGCCTAAGCCAGGGAATCAGCTCTCATCTCGAGACGATTTGGGGTACACGGAGCATTCCTCGTGTTGCTGTGCTGAAGTTGGTGTTCCTCTAGACTTGGGACAGTGTTCACGGGGCATCTCTGGAGTTGCCTGAAGGAAGTCGAGCCACCGGTCGTGTTGAATGGGGAACGGGGAATGGCTCTGGAGTCAATGCAGGGGAATCGGGCCTCATCTCGAGTTGATTTGGGGCACATGGAGCTGCTTTGCGTTGCTGGGGTGACCTCAGGGTCTGTCTCGACTGGTGACAGTGTTCTTGGGGACTGTCTCGAGACCCATTAAGCAAGTCGAAGCTCCTGACTTGTTTGAATGGGATCACGGAATAGCTCTGCATGCACTGCAGGGGAATGGGGCCTCATCTCGCCTCTAGGGGGAAGTCTCATGGTTTTTCTCGAGTTGCGGCGGGGACCTGGGGTATGTTCTCGACTTACGGCGGGGATGGCCCTTCAAAACACGAGTTTCTTCAGTGACGTCAGGACTCCTGTCTAGTAACGAGGGACACGTCACGAATCTCTCCGAGGCTTCGCAGGGGAAAAGGGACGCTTCTCGAGGTGAGGCAGGGCACCCAAGGACCCTTTCCAGTAGCCACAGGGATTTTGGGATTCCTATCAGTATTCAAGAGGAGTCAGGCATCGTCACCTTTTGAACCATGAACTCCGCGCGCCTCTCGAGGTGTCAGCGGGATGTGAGGCATTCTGTCAAAATGAGGCAGGGACCTAGGGTTTTCTCTAAGGTTTCCACAGGGGACTCAGACATCCCTTCATATTGTGAGATGAAAGACGAGCCTGTATTCAAGCCACTGCAAGGAAATCCGGCCTCCTTTCAAGTTAGGGCTTCTCGCTGTATATTCCCCTTGAGGCAGCAAACTCGGGGTCCCTCCCACATACCTATTGCTGAGAGAAGCCTCCTCCTGAGGTGCTTCTGGAAAGTTGGCATACGTCTTGAGCCTAAGCCAGGGAATCAGCTCTCATCTCGAGACGATTTGGGGTACTCGGAGCATTCCTCGATTTGCTCTGCTGAAGTTGGTGTTCCTCTAGACTTGGGACAGTGTTCTCGGGGCATCTCTGGAGTTGCCTGAAGGAAGTGGAGCCACGGGTCGTGTTGAATGGGGAACGGGGAATGGCTCTGGAATCAATGCACGGGAATCAGGCCTCATCTCGAGTTGATTTGGGGCACATGGAGCTGCTTTGCGTTGCTGGGGTGACCTCAGGGTCCGTCTAGACTGGTGACAGTGTTCTTGGGGACTGTCTCGAGATCCTTTAAGCAAGTCGAAGCTCCTGACTTGTTTGAATGGGATCACGGAATAGCTCTGCATGCACTGCAGGGGAATGGGGCCTCGTCTCGCCTCTAGGGGGAATTCTCATGGTTTTTCTCGAGTTGCGGCGGGGACCTGGGGTATGTTCTCGCCTTACGGCGGGGATGGCCCTTCAAAACACGAGTTTCTTCAGTGACGTCAGGACTCCTGTCTAGTAACGAGGGATACCTCAGGAATCTCTTTTAGGGTTGGCAGGGCAAAAGGGACGCTACTCGAGGTGAGGCAGGGCACCCAAGGACCCTTTCCAGTAGCCACAGGGATTTTGGGATTCCTATCAGTATTCAAGAGGAGTCAGGCATCGTCACCTTTTGAAGCAATGAACTCCGCGTGCCTCTCGAGGTGCCAGCGGGATGTGAGGCATTCCGTCAAAATGAGGCAGGGACCTAGGGCTTTCTCTAAGGTCTCTACAGGGGATTCAGACATCCCTTCATGTTGTGAGATGAAAGACGAGCCTGTATTCAAGCCACTGCAAGGAAATCCGGCCTCCATTCAAGTTAGGGCTTCTCGCTGTATATTCCCCTTGTGGCAGCAAACTCGGGCTCCCTCCCACAAACCTATTGCTGAGAGAACCCTCCTCCTGAGGTGCTTCTGGAAAATTGGCATACGTCTTGAGCCTAAGCCAGGGAATCAGCTCTCATCTCGAGACGATTTGGGGTACACGGAGCATTCCTCGAGTTGCTGTGTTGAAGTTGGTGTTCCTCTAGACTTGGGACAGTGTTCTCGGGGCATCTCTGGAGTTGCCTGAAGGAAGTCGAGCCACCGGTCGTGTTGAATGGGGAACGGGGAATGGCTCTGGAGTCAATGCAGGGAAATCGGGCCTCATCTCGAGTTGATTTGGGGCACATGGAGCTGCTTTGCGTTGCTGGGGTGACGTCAGGGTCCGTCTAGACTGGTGACAGTGTTCTTGGGGACTGTCTCGAGATCCATTAAGCAAGTCGAAGCTCCTGACTTGTTTGAATGGGATCACGGAATAGCTCTGCATGCACTGCAGGGGAATGGGGCCTCATCTCGCCTCTAGGGGGAAGTCTCATGGTTTTTCTCGAGTTGCGGCGGGGACCTGGGGTATGTTCTCGACTTACGGCGGGGATGGCACTTCAAAACACGAGTTTCTTCAGTGACGTCAGGACTCCTGTCTAGTAACGAGGGATACCTCAGGAATCTCTTCGAGGGTTGGCAGGGCAAAAGGGATCTTCTCGAGGTGAGGCAGGGCACCCAAGGACCCTTTCCAGTAGCCACAGGGATTTTGGGATTCCTATCAGTATTCAAGAGGAGTCAGGCATCGTCACCTTTTGAAGCAATGAACTCCGCGTGCCTCTCGAGGTGTCAGCGGGATGTGAGGCATTCTGTCAAAATGAGGCAGGGACCTAGGGCTTTCTCTAAGGTTTCCACAGGGGATTCAGACATCCCTTCATGTTGTGAGATGAAAGACGAGCCTGTATTCAAGCCACTGCAAGGAAATCCGGCCTCCTTTCAAGTTAGGGTTTCTCGCTGTATATTCCCCTTGAGGCAGCAAACTCGGGGTCCCTCCCACATACCTATTGCTGAGAGAAGCCTCCTCCTGAGGTGCTTCTGGAAAGTTGGCATACGTCTTGAGCCTAAGCCAGGGAATCAGCTCTCATCTTGAGACGATTTGGGGTACACGGAGCATTCCTCGAGTTGCTGTGCTGAAGTTGGTGTTCCTCTAGACGTGGGACAGTGTTCTCGGGGCATCTCTGGAGTTGCCTGAAGTAAGTCGAGGTACCGGTCGTGTTGAATGGGGAACGGGGAATGGCTCTGGTGTCAATGCAGGGAAATGGGGCCTCATCTCGAGTTGATTTGGGGCACATGGTGCTGCTTTGCGTTGCTGGGGTGACCTCAGGGTCCGTCTAGACTGGTGACAGTGTTCTTGGGGACTGTCTCGAGATCCATTAAGCAAGTCGAAGCTCCTGACTTGTTTGAATGGCATCACGGAATAGCTCTGCATGCACTGCAGGGGAATGGGGCCTCATCTCGCCTCTAGGGGGAAGTCTCATGGTTTTTCTCGAGTTCCGGCGGGGACCTGGGGTATGTTCTCGACTTACGGCTGGGATGGCCCTTCAGAACACGAGTTTCTTCAGTTACGTCAGGACTCCTGTCTAGTAATGAGGGATACCTCAGGAATCTCTTCAAGGGTTGGCAGGGCAAAAGTGACGCTTCTCGAGGTGAGGCAGGGCACCCAAGGACCATTTCCAGTAGCCACAGGGATTTTGGGATTCCTATCAGTATTCAAGAGGAGTCAGGCATCGTCACCTTTTGAACCATGAACTCCGCGTGCCTCTCGAGGTGTCAGCGGGATGTGAGGCATTCTGTCAAAATGAGGCAGGGACCTAGGGCTTTCTCTAAGGTTTCCACTGGGGATTCAGACATCCCTTCATATTGTGAGATGAAAGACGAGCCTGTATTCAAGCCACTGCAAGGATATCCGGCCTCCTTTCAAGTTAGGGCTTCTCGCTGTATATTCCCCTTGAGGCAGCAAACTCGGGGTCCCTCCCACATACCTATTGCTGAGAGAAGCCTCCTCCTGAGGTGCTTCTGGAAAGTTGGCATACGTCTAGAGCCTAAGCCAGGGAATCAGCTCTCATCTCGAGACGATTTGGGGTACTCGGAGCATTCCTCGATTTGCTGTGCTGAAGTTGGTGTTCCTCTAGACTTGGGACAGTGTTCTCGGGGCATCTCTGGAGTTGCCTGAAGGAAGTGGAGCCACGGGTCGTGTTGAATGGGGAAAGGGGAATGGCTCTGGAGTCAATGCAGGGGAATCAGGCCTCATCTCGAGTTGATTTGGGGCACATGGAGCTGCTTTGCATTGCTGGGGTGACCTCAGGGTCCGTCTAGACTGGTGACAGTGTTCTTGGGGACTGTCTCGAGATCCATTAAGCAAGTCGAAGCTCCTGACTTGTTTGAATGGGATCACGGAATAGCTCTGCATGCACTGCAGGGGAATGGGGCCTCATCTCGCTTCTAGGGGGAAGTCTCATGGTTTATCTCGAGTTGCGGCGGGGACCTGGGGTATGTTCTCGACTTACGGTGGCGATGGCCCTTCAAAACACGAGTTTCATCAGTGACGTCAGGACTCCAGTCTAGTAACGAGGGACACCTCAGGAATCTCTCCGAGGCTTCGCAGGGCAAAAGGGACGCTTCTCGAGGTGAGGCAGGGCACGCAAGGACCCTTTCCAGTAGCCACAGGGATTTGGGGATTCCTATCAGTATGCAAGAGGAGTCAGGCATCGTCACCTTTTGAACCATGAACGCCGCGTGCCTCTCGAGGTGTCAGCGGGATGTGAGGCATTCTTTCAAAATAAGGCAGGGACCTAGGGCTTTCTCTAAGGTCTCCACAGGGGATTCAGACATCACTTCATGTTGTGAGATGAAAGACGTGCCTGTATTCAAGCCACTGCAAGGAAATCCGGCCTCCTTTCAAGTTAGGGCTTCTCGCTGTATATTCCCCTTGAGGCAGCAAACTCGGGGTCCCTCCCACATACCTATTGCTGATAGAAGCCTCCTCCTGAGGTGCTTCTGGAAAGTTGGCATACGTCTTGAGCCTAAGCCAGGGAATCAGCTCTCATCTTGAGACGATTTGGGGTACACGGAGCATTCCTCGAGTTGCTGTGCTGAAGTTGGTGTTCCTCTAGACTTGGGACAGTGTTCTCGGGGCATCTCTGGAGTTGCCTGAAGGAAGTCTAGCCACCGGTCGTGTTGAATGGGGAACGGGGAATGGCTCTGGAGTCAATGCAGGGGAATCGGGCCTCATCTAGAGTTGATTTGGGGCACATGGACCTGCTTTGCGTTGCTGGGGTGACCTCAGGGTCTGTCTCGACTAGGGACAGTGTTCTTGGGGACTGTCTCGAGATCCATTAAGCAAGTCGAAGATCCTGACTTGTTTGAATGGGATCACGGAATAGCTCTGCATGCACTGCAGGGGAATGGGGCCTCATCTCGCCTCTAGGGGGAAGTCTCATGGTTTTTCTCGAGTTGCGGCGGGGACCTGGGGTATGTTCTCGCCTTACGGCGGGGATGGCCCTTCAAAACACGAGTTTCTTCAGTGACGTCAGGACTCCTGTCTAGTAACGAGGGATACCTCAGGAATCTCTTCGAGGGTTGGCAGGGCAAAAGGGACGCTTCTCGAGGTGAGGCAGGGCACCCAAGGACCCTTTCCAGTAGCCACAGGGATTTTGGGATTCCTATCAGTATTCAACACGAGTCAGGCATCGTCACCTTTTGAGGAAATGAACTCCGCGGGCCTCTCGAGGTATCAGCGGGATGTGAGGCATTCCGTCAAAATGAGGCAGGGACCTAGGGCTTTCTCTAAGGTCTCCACAGGGGATTCAGGCATCCCTTCATGTTGTGAGATGAAAGACTGGCCTGTGTTCAAGCCACTGCAAGGAAATCCGGCCTCCTTTCAAGTTAGGGCTTCTCGCTGTATATTCCCCTTGAGGCAGAAAACTTGGGGTCCCTCCTACATACCTATTGCTGAGAGAAGACTCCTCCTGAGGTGCTTCTGGAAAGTTGGCATATGTCTTGAGCCTAAGCCAGGGAATCAGCTCTCATCTCGAGACGATTTGGGTTACACGGAGCATTCCTCGTGTTGCTGTGCTGAAGTTGGTGTTCCTCTAGACTTGGGACAGTGTTCTCGGGGCATCTCTGGAGGTGCCTGAAGGAAGTCGAGCCACCGGTGGTGTTGAATTGGGAACGGGGAATGGCTCTGGAGTCAATGCAGGGGAATCAGGCCTCATCTCGAGTTGATTTCGGGCACATGGAGCTGCTTTGCGTTGCTGGGGTGACCTCAGGGTCCGTCTAGACTGGTGACAGTGTTCTTGGGGACTGTCTCGAGATCCATTAAGCAAGTCGAAGTTCCTGACTTGTTTGAATGGGATCATGGAATAGCTCTGCATGAACTGCAGGGGAATGGGGCCTCATCTCGCCTCTAGGGGGAAGTCTCATGGTTTTTCTCGAGTTGCGGCGGGGACCTGGGGTATGTTCTCGACTTACGGCGGGAATGGCCCTTCAAAACACGAGTTTCTTCAGTGACGTCAGGACTCCTGTCTAGTAACGAGGGACACCTCAGGAATCTCTCCGAGGCTTCGCAGGGCAAAAGGGACGCTTCTCGAGGTGAGGCAGGGCACCCAAGGACCCTTTCCAGTAGCCACAGGGATTTTGGGATTCCTATCAGTATTCAAGAGAAGTCAGGCATCGTCACCTTTTGAACCATGAACTCCGCGTGCCTCTCGAGGTGTCAGCGGGATGTGAGGCATTCTGTCAAAATGAGGCAGGGACCTAGGGCTTTCTCTAAGGTTTCCACAGGGGATTCAGACATCCCTTCATGTTGTGAGATGAAAGACGAGCCTGTATTCAAGCCACTGCAAGGAAATCCGGCCTCCTTTCAAGTTAGGGCTTCTCGCTGTATATTCCCCTTGAGGCAGCAAACTCGGGGTCCCTCCCACATACCTATTGCTGAGAGAAGCCTCCTCCTGAGGTGCTTCTGGAAAGTTGGCATACGTCTTGAGCCTAAGCCAGGGAATCAGCTCTCATCTCGAGACGATTTGGGGTACACGGAGCATTCCTCGATTTGCTGTGCTGAAGTTGGTGTTCCTCTAGACTTGGGACAGTGTTCTCGGGGCATCTCTGGAGTTGCATGAAGGAAGTGGAGCCACGGTTCGTGTTGAATGGGGAACGGGGAATGGCTCAGGAGTCAATGCAGGGGAATCAGGCCTCATCTCGAGTTGATTTGGGGCACATGGAGCTGCTTTGCGTTGCTGGGGTGACCTCAGGGTCCGTCTAGACTGGTGACAGTGTTCTTGGGGACTGTCTCGAGATCCATTAAGCAAGTCAAAGCTCCTGACTTCTTTGAATGGGATCACGGAATAGCTCTGCATGCACTGCAGTGGAATGGGGCCTCATCTCGCCTCTAGGGGGAAGTCTCATGGTTTTTCTCGAGTTGCGGCGGGGACCTGGGGTATGTTCTCGACTTACGGCGGGGATGGCCCTTCAAAACACGAGTTTCTTCAGTGACGTCAGGACTCCTGTCTAGTAACGAGGGATACCTCAGGAATCCCTTCGAGGGTTGGCAGGGCAAAAGTGACGCTTCTCGAGGTGAGGCAGGGCACCCAAGGACCCTTTCCAGTAGCCACAGGGATTTGAGGATTCCTATCAGTTTTCAAGAGGAGTCAGGCATCGTCACCTTTTGAACCATGAACGCCGCGTGCCTCTCGAGGTGTCAGCGGGATGTGAGGCATTCCGTCAAAATGAGGCAGGGACCTAGGGCTTTCTCTAAGGTCACTACAGGGGATTGAGACATCCCTTCATGTTGTGAGATGAAAGACGAGCCTGTATTCAAGCCACTGCAAGGAAATCCGGCCTCCTTTCAAGTTAGGGCTTCTCACTGTATATTCCCCTTGAGGCAGCAAACTCGGGGTCCCTCCCACATACCTATTGCTGAGAGAAGCCTCCTCCTGAGGTGCTTCTGGAAAGTTGGCATACTTCTTGAGCCTAAGCCAGGGAATCAGCTCTCATCTCGAGACGATTTGGGGTACACGGAGCATTCCTCGTGTTGCTGTGCTGAAGTTGGTGTTCCTCTAGACTTGGGACAGTGTTCACGGGGCATCTCTGGAGTTGCCTGAAGGAAGTCGAGCCACCGGTCGTGTTGAATGGGGAACGGGGAATGGCTCTGGAGTCAATGCAGGGGAATCGGGCCTCATCTCGAGTTGATTTGGGGCACATGGAGCTGCTTTGCGTTGCTGGGGTGACCTCAGGGTCCGTCTAGACTGGTGACAGTGTTCTTGGGGACTGTCTCGAGATCCATTAAGCAAGTCGAAGTTCCTGACTTGTTTGAATGGGATCATGGAATAGCTCTGCATGAACTGCAGGGGAATGGGGCCTCATCTCGCCTCTAGGGGGAAGTCTCATGGTTTTTCTCGAGTTGCGGCGGGGACCTGGGGTATGTTCTCGACTTACGGCGGGAATGGCCCTTCAAAACACGAGTTTCTTCAGTGACGTCAGGACTCCTGTCTAGTAACGAGGGACACCTCAGGAATCTCTCCGAGGCTTCGCAGGGCAAAAGGGACGCTTCTCGAGGTGAGGCAGGGCACCCAAGGACCCTTTCCAGTAGCCACAGGGATTTTGGGATTCCTATCAGTATTCAAGAGAAGTCAGGCATCGTCACCTTTTGAACCATGAACTCCGCGTGCCTCTCGAGGTGTCAGCGGGATGTGAGGCATTCTGTCAAAATGAGGCAGGGACCTAGGGCTTTCTCTAAGGTTTCCACAGGGGATTCAGACATCCCTTCATGTTGTGAGATGAAAGACGAGCCTGTATTCAAGCCACTGCAAGGAAATCCGGCCTCCTTTCAAGTTAGGGCTTCTCGCTGTATATTCCCCTTGAGGCAGCAAACTCGGGGTCCCTCCCACATACCTATTGCTGAGAGAAGCCTCCTCCTGAGGTGCTTCTGGAAAGTTGGCATACGTCTTGAGCCTAAGCCAGGGAATCAGCTCTCATCTCGAGACGATTTGGGGTACACGGAGCATTCCTCGATTTGCTGTGCTGAAGTTGGTGTTCCTCTAGACTTGGGACAGTGTTCTCGGGGCATCTCTGGAGTTGCATGAAGGAAGTGGAGCCACGGTTCGTGTTGAATGGGGAACGGGGAATGGCTCAGGAGTCAATGCAGGGGAATCAGGCCTCATCTCGAGTTGATTTGGGGCACATGGAGCTGCTTTGCGTTGCTGGGGTGACCTCAGGGTCCGTCTAGACTGGTGACAGTGTTCTTGGGGACTGTCTCGAGATCCATTAAGCAAGTCAAAGCTCCTGACTTCTTTGAATGGGATCACGGAATAGCTCTGCATGCACTGCAGTGGAATGGGGCCTCATCTCGCCTCTAGGGGGAAGTCTCATGGTTTTTCTCGAGTTGCGGCGGGGACCTGGGGTATGTTCTCGACTTACGGCGGGGATGGCCCTTCAAAACACGAGTTTCTTCAGTGACGTCAGGACTCCTGTCTAGTAACGAGGGATACCTCAGGAATCCCTTCGAGGGTTGGCAGGGCAAAAGTGACGCTTCTCGAGGTGAGGCAGGGCACCCAAGGACCCTTTCCAGTAGCCACAGGGATTTGAGGATTCCTATCAGTTTTCAAGAGGAGTCAGGCATCGTCACCTTTTGAACCATGAACGCCGCGTGCCTCTCGAGGTGTCAGCGGGATGTGAGGCATTCCGTCAAAATGAGGCAGGGACCTAGGGCTTTCTCTAAGGTCACTACAGGGGATTGAGACATCCCTTCATGTTGTGAGATGAAAGACGAGCCTGTATTCAAGCCACTGCAAGGAAATCCGGCCTCCTTTCAAGTTAGGGCTTCTCACTGTATATTCCCCTTGAGGCAGCAAACTCGGGGTCCCTCCCACATACCTATTGCTGAGAGAAGCCTCCTCCTGAGGTGCTTCTGGAAAGTTGGCATACTTCTTGAGCCTAAGCCAGGGAATCAGCTCTCATCTCGAGACGATTTGGGGTACACGGAGCATTCCTCGTGTTGCTGTGCTGAAGTTGGTGTTCCTCTAGACTTGGGACAGTGTTCACGGGGCATCTCTGGAGTTGCCTGAAGGAAGTCGAGCCACCGGTCGTGTTGAATGGGGAACGGGGAATGGCTCTGGAGTCAATGCAGGGGAATCGGGCCTCATCTCGAGTTGATTTGGGGCACATGGAGCTGCTTTGCGTTGCTGGGGTGACCTCAGGGTCTGTCTCGACTGGTGACAGTGTTCTTGGGGACTGTCTCGAGACCCATTAAGCAAGTCGAAGCTCCTGACTTGTTTGAATGGGATCACGGAATAGCTCTGCATGCACTGCAGGGGAATGGGGCCTCATCTCGCCTCTAGGGGGAAGTCTCATGGTTTTTCTCGAGTTGCGGCGGGGACCTGGGGTATGTTCTCGACTTACGGCGGGGATGGCCCTTCAAAACACGAGTTTCTTCAGTGACGTCAGGACTCCTGTCTAGTAACGAGGGACACGTCAGGAATCTCTCCGAGGCTTCGCAGGGGAAAAGGGACGCTTCTCGAGGTGAGGCAGGGCACCCAAGGACCCTTTCCAGTAGCCACAGGGATTTTGGGATTCCTATCAGTATTCAAGAGGAGTCAGGCATCGTCACCTTTTGAACCATGAACTCCGCGCGCCTCTCGAGGTGTCAGCGGGATGTGAGGCATTCTGTCAAAATGAGGCAGGGACCTAGGGTTTTCTCTAAGGTTTCCACAGGGGACTCAGACATCCCTTCATATTGTGAGATGAAAGACGAGCCTGTATTCAAGCCACTGCAAGGAAATCCGGCCTCCTTTCAAGTTAGGGCTTCTCGCTGTATATTCCCCTTGAGGCAGCAAACTCGGGGTCCCTCCCACATACCTATTGCTGAGAGAAGCCTCCTCCTGAGGTGCTTCTGGAAAGTTGGCATACGTCTTGAGCCTAAGCCAGGGAATCAGCTCTCATCTCGAGACGATTTGGGGTACTCGGAGCATTCCTCGATTTGCTCTGCTGAAGTTGGTGTTCCTCTAGACTTGGGACAGTGTTCTCGGGGCATCTCTGGAGTTGCCTGAAGGAAGTGGAGCCACGGGTCGTGTTGAATGGGGAACGGGGAATGGCTCTGGAATCAATGCAGGGGAATCAGGCCTCATCTCGAGTTGATTTGGGGCACATGGAGCTGCTTTGCGTTGCTGGGGTGACCTCAGGGTCCGTCTAGACTGGTGACAGTGTTCTTGGGGACTGTCTCGAGATCCATTAAGCAAGTCGAAGCTCCTGACTTGTTTGAATGGGATCACGGAATAGCTCTGCATGCACTGCAGGGGAATGGGGCCTCGTCTCGCCTCTAGGGGGAATTCTCATGGTTTTTCTCGAGTTGCGGCGGGGACCTGGGGTATGTTCTCGCCTTACGGCGGGGATGGCCCTTCAAAACACGAGTTTCTTCAGTGACGTCAGGACTCCTGTCTAGTAACGAGGGATACCTCAGGAATCTCTTCGAGGGTTGGCAGGGCAAAAGGGACGCTACTCGAGATGAGGCAGGGCACCCAAGGACCCTTTCCAGTAGCCACAGGGATTTTGGGATTCCTATCAGTATTCAAGAGGAGTCAGGCATCGTCACCTTTTGAAGCAATGAACTCCGCGTGCCTCTCGAGGTGCCAGCGGGATGTGAGGCATTCCGTCAAAATGAGGCAGGGACCTAGGGCTTTCTCTAAGGTCTCTACAGGGGATTCAGACATCCCTTCATGTTGTGAGATGAAAGACGAGCCTGTATTCAAGCCACTGCAAGGAAATCCGGCCTCCATTCAAGTTAGGGCTTCTCGCTGTATATTCCCCTTGTGGCAGCAAACTCGGGCTCCCTCCCACAAACCTATTGCTGAGAGAAGCCTCCTCCTGAGGTGCTTCTGGAAAGTTGGCATACGTCTTGAGCCTAAGCCAGGGAATCAGCTCTCATCTCGAGACGATTTGGGGTACACGGAGCATTCCTCGAGTTGCTGTGTTGAAGTTGGTGTTCCTCTAGACTTGGGACAGTGTTCTCGGGGCATCTCTGGAGTTGCCTGAAGGAAGTCGAGCCACCGGTCGTGTTGAATGGGGAACGGGGAATGGCTCTGGAGTCAATGCAGGGAAATCGGGCCTCATCTCGAGTTGATTTGGGGCACATGGAGCTGCTTTGCGTTGCTGGGGTGACCTCAGGGTCCGTCTAGACTGGTGACAGTGTTCTTGGGGACTGTCTCGAGATCCATTAAGCAAGTCGAAGCTCCTGACTTGTTTGAATGGGATCACGGAATAGCTCTGCATGCACTGCAGGGGAATGGGGCCTCATCTCGCCTCTAGGGGGAAGTCTCATGGTTTTTCTCGAGTTGCGGCGGGGACCTGGGGTATGTTCTCGACTTACGGCGGGGATGGCACTTCAAAACACGAGTTTCTTCAGTGACGTCAGGACTCCTGTCTAGTAACGAGGGATACCTCAGGAATCTCTTCGAGGGTTGGCAGGGCAAAAGGGATCTTCTCGAGGTGAGGCAGGGCACCCAAGGACCCTTTCCAGTAGCCACAGGGATTTTGGGATTCCTATCAGTATTCAAGAGGAGTCAGGCATCGTCACCTTTTGAAGCAATGAACTCCGCGTGCCTCTCGAGGTGTCAGCGGGATGTGAGGCATTCTGTCAAAATGAGGCAGGGACCTAGGGCTTTCTCTAAGGTTTCCACAGGGGATTCAGACATCCCTTCATGTTGTGAGATGAAAGACGAGCCTGTATTCAAGCCACTGCAAGGAAATCCGGCCTCCTTTCAAGTTAGGGTTTCTCGCTGTATATTCCCCTTGAGGCAGCAAACTCGGGGTCCCTCCCACATACCTATTGCTGAGAGAAGCCTCCTCCTGAGGTGCTTCTGGAAAGTTGGCATACGTCTTGAGCCTAAGCCAGGGAATCAGCTCTCATCTTGAGACGATTTGGGGTACACGGAGCATTCCTCGAGTTGCTGTGCTGAAGTTGGTGTTCCTGTAGACGTGGGACAGTGTTCTCGGGGCATCTCTGGAGTTGCCTGAAGTAAGTCGAGGTACCGGTCGTGTTGAATGGGGAACGGGGAATGGCTCTGGAGTCAATGCAGGGAAATGGGGCCTCATCTCGAGTTGATTTGGGGCACATGGAGCTGCTTTGCGTTGCTGGGGTGACCTCAGGGTCCGTCTAGACTGGTGACAGCGTTCTTGGGGACTGTCTCGAGATCCATTAAGCAAGTCGAAGCTCCTGACTTGTTTGAATGGGATCACGGAATAGCTCTGCATGCACTGCAGGGGAATGGGGCCTCATCTCGCCTCTAGGGGGAAGTCTCATGGTTTTTCTCGAGTTCCGGCGGGGACCTGGGGTATGTTCTCGACTTACGGCTGGGATGGCCCTTCGAAACACGAGTTTCTTCAGTGACGTCAGGACTCCTGTCTAGTAATGAGGGATACCTCAGGAATCTCTTCAAGGGTTGGCAGGGCAAAAGTGACGCTTCTCGAGGTGAGGCAGGGCACCCAAGGACCATTTCCAGTAGCCACAGGGATTTTGGGATTCCTATCAGTATTCAAGAGGAGTCAGGCATCGTCACCTTTTGAACCATGAACTCCGCGTGCCTCTCGAGGTGTCAGCGGGATGTGAGGCATTCTGTCAAAATGAGGCAGGGACCTAGGGCTTTCTCTAAGGTTTCCACTGGGGATTCAGACATCCCTTCATATTGTGAGATGAAAGACGAGCCTGTATTCAAGCCACTGCAAGGATATCCGGCCTCCTTTCAAGTTAGGGCTTCTCGCTGTATATTCCCCTTGAGGCAGCAAACTCGGGGTCCCTCCCACATACCTATTGCTGAGAGAAGCCTCCTCCTGAGGTGCTTCTGGAAAGTTGGCATACGTCTAGAGCCTAAGCCAGGGAATCAGCTCTCATCTCGAGACGATTTGGGGTACTCGGAGCATTCCTCGATTTGCTGTGCTGAAGTTGGTGTTCCTCTAGACTTGGGACAGTGTTCTCGGGGCATCTCTGGAGTTGCCTGAAGGAAGTGGAGCCACGGGTCGTGTTGAATGGGGAAAGGGGAATGGCTCTGGAGTCAATGCAGGGGAATCAGGCCTCATCTCGAGTTGATTTGGGGCACATGGAGCTGCTTTGCATTGCTGGGGTGACCTCAGGGTCCGTCTAGACTGGTGACAGTGTTCTTGGGGACTGTCTCGAGATCCATTAAGCAAGTCGAAGCTCCTGACTTGTTTGAATGGGATCACGGAATAGCTCTGCATGCACTGCAGGGGAATGGGGCCTCATCTCGCTTCTAGGGGGAAGTCTCATGGTTTATCTCGAGTTGCGGCGGGGACCTGGGGTATGTTCTCGACTTACGGTGGCGATGGCCCTTCAAAACACGAGTTTCTTCAGTGACGTCAGGACTCCAGTCTAGTAACGAGGGACACCTCAGGAATCTCTCCGAGGCTTCGCAGGGCAAAAGGGACGCTTCTCGAGGTGAGGCAGGGCACGCAAGGACCCTTTCCAGTAGCCACAGGGATTTGGGGATTCCTATCAGTATGCAAGAGGAGTCAGGCATCGTCACCTTTTGAACCATGAACGCCGCGTGCCTCTCGAGGTGTCAGCGGGATGTGAGGCATTCTTTCAAAATAAGGCAGGGACCTAGGGCTTTCTCTAAGGTCTCCACAGGGGATTCAGACATCACTTCATGTTGTGAGATGAAAGACGTGCCTGTATTCAAGCCACTGCAAGGAAATCCGGCCTCCTTTCAAGTTAGGGCTTCTCGCTGTATATTCCCCTTGAGGCAGCAAACTCGGGGTCCCTCCCACATACCTATTGCTGATAGAAGCCTCCTCCTGAGGTGCTTCTGGAAAGTTGGCATACGTCTTGAGCCTAAGCCAGGGAATCAGCTCTCATCTTGAGACGATTTGGGGTACACGGAGCATTCCTCGAGTTGCTGTGCTGAAGTTGGTGTTCCTCTAGACTTGGGACAGTGTTCTCGGGGCATCTCTGGAGTTGCCTGAAGGAAGTCTAGCCACCGTTCGTGTTGAATGGGGAACGGGGAATGGCTCTGGAGTCAATGCAGGGGAATCGGGCCTCATCTAGAGTTGATTTGGGGCACATGGACCTGCTTTGCGTTGCTGGGGTGACCTCAGGGTCTGTCTCGACTAGGGACAGTGTTCTTGGGGACTGTCTCGAGATCCATTAAGCAAGTCGAAGATCCTGACTTGTTTGAATGGGATCATGGAATAGCTCTGCATGCACTGCAGGGGAATGGGGCCTCATCTCGCCTCTAGGCGGAAGTCTCATGGTTTTTCTCGAGTTGCGGCGGGGACCTGGGGTATGTTCTCGCCTTACGGCGGGGATGGCCCTTCAAAACACGAGTTTCTTCAGTGACGTCAGGACTCCTGTCTAGTAACGAGGGATACCTCAGGAATCTCTTCGAGGGTTGGCAGGGCAAAAGGGACGCTTCTCGAGGTGAGGCAGGGCACCCAAGGACCCTTTCCAGTAGCCACAGGGATTTTGGGATTCCTATCAGTATTCAACACGAGTCAGGCATCGTCACCTTTTGAGGAAATGAACTCCGCGGGCCTCTCGAGGTATCAGCGGGATGTGAGGCATTCCGTCAAAATGAGGCAGGGACCTAGGGCTTTCTCTAAGGTCTCCACAGGGGATTCAGGCATCCCTTCATGTTGTGAGATGAAAGACTGGCCTGTGTTCAAGCCACTGCAAGGAAATCCGGCCTCCTTTCAAGTTAGGGCTTCTCGCTGTATATTCCCCTTGAGGCAGAAAACTTGGGGTCCCTCCTACATACCTATTGCTGAGAGAAGACTCCTCCTGAGGTGCTTCTGGAAAGTTGGCATATGTCTTGAGCCTAAGCCAGGGAATCAGCTCTCATCTCGAGACGATTTGGGTTACACGGAGCATTCCTCGTGTTGCTGTGCTGAAGTTGGTGTTCCTCTAGACTTGGGACAGTGTTCTCGGGGCATCTCTGGAGGTGCCTGAAGGAAGTCGAGCCACCGGTGGTGTTGAATTGGGAACGGGGAATGGCTCTGGAGTCAATGCAGGGGAATCAGGCCTCATCTCGAGTTGATTTCGGGCACATGGAGCTGCTTTGCGTTGCTGGGGTGACCTCAGGGTCCGTCTAGACTGGTGACAGTGTTCTTGGGGACTGTCTCGAGATCCATTAAGCAAGTCGAAGTTCCTGACTTGTTTGAATGGGATCATGGAATAGCTCTGCATGAACTGCAGGGGAATGGGGCCTCATCTCGCCTCTAGGGGGAAGTCTCATGGTTTTTCTCGAGTTGCGGCGGGGACCTGGGGTATGTTCTCGACTTACGGCGGGAATGGCCCTTCAAAACACGAGTTTCTTCAGTGACGTCAGGACTCCTGTCTAGTAACGAGGGACACCTCAGGAATCTCTCCGAGGCTTCGCAGGGCAAAAGGGACGCTTCTCGAGGTGAGGCAGGGCACCCAAGGACCCTTTCCAGTAGCCACAGGGATTTTGGGATTCCTATCAGTATTCAAGAGGAGTCAGGCATCGTCACCTTTTGAAACAATGAACTCTGCGTGCCTCTCGAGGTGTCAGCGGGATGTGAGGCATTCCGTCAAAATGAGGCAGGGCACTAGGGCTTTCTCTCAGGTCTCCACAGGGGATTCAGACATCCCTTCATGTTGTGAGATGAAAGACGAGCCTGTATTCAAGCCACTGCAAGGAAATCCGGCCTCCTTTCAAGTTAGGGCTTCTCGCTGTATATTCCCCTTGAGGCAGCAAAATCGGGGACCCTCCCACATACCTATTGCTGAGAGAAGCCTACTCCAGAGTTGCTTCTGGAAAGTTGGCAAATGCCTTGAGCCTAAGCCAATGAATCAGCTCTCATCTCGAGACGATTTGGGGTGCACGGAGGATTTCTCGAGTTGCTGTGCTGAAGTTGGTGTTCCTCTAGACTTGGGACAGTGATCTCGGGGCATCTCTGGAGTTGCCTGAAGGAAGTCGAGCCACCGGTCGTGTTGAATGGGGAACGGGGAATGGCTCTGGAGTCAATGCAGGGGAATCGGGCCTCATCTCGAGTTGATTTGGGGCACATGGAGCTGCTTTGCGTTGCTGGGGTGACCTGAGGGTCCGTCTAGACTGGTGACAGTGTTCTTGGGGACTGTCTCGAGATCCATTAAGCAAGTCGAAGCTCCTGACTTGTTTGAATGGGATCACGGAATAGCTCTGCATGCACTGCAGGGGAATGGGGCCTCATCTCGCCTCTAGGGGGAAGTCTCATGGTTTTTCTCGAGTTGCGGCGGGGACCTGGGGTATGTTCTCGACTTACGGCAGGGATGGCCCTTCAAAACACGAGTTTCTTCAGTGACGTCAGGACTCCTTTCTAGTAACGAGGGATACGTCAGGAATCTCTTCGAGGGTTGGCAGGGCAAAAGGGACGCTACTCGAGGTGAGGCAGGGCACCCAAGGACCCTTTCCAGTAGCCACAGGGATTTTGGGATTCCTATCAGTATTCAAGAGGAGTCAGGCATCGTCACCTTTTGAAGCAATGAACTCCGCGTGCCTCTCGAGGTGCCAGCGGGATGTGAGGCATTCCGTCAAAATGAGGCAGGGACCTAGGGCTTTCTCTAAGGTCTCTACAGGGGATTCAGACATCCCTTCATGTTGTGAGATGAAAGACGAGCCTGTATTCAAGCCACTGCAAGGAAAGCCGGCCTCCTTTCAAGTTAGGGCTTCTCGCTGTATATTCCCCTTGAGGCAGCAAACTCGGGCTCCGTCCCACATACCTATTGCTCAGAGAAGCCTCCTCCTGAGGTGCTTCTGGAAAGTTGGCATACGTCTTGAGCCTAAGCCAGGGAATCAGCTCTCATCTCGAGACGATTTGGGGTACACGGAGCATTCCTCGAGTTGATGTGCTGAAGTTGGTGTTCCTCTAGACTTGGGACAGTGTTCTCGGGGCATCTCTGTAGTTGCCTGAAGGAAGTCGAGCCACCGGTCGTGTTGAATGGGAAACGGGTTATGGCTCTGGAGTCAATGCAGGGGAATCGGGCCTCATCTCGAGTTGATTTGGGGCACATGGAGCTGCTTTGCGTTGCTGGGGTGACCTCAGGGTCTGTCTCGACTGGTGACAGTGTTCTTGGGGACTGTCTCGAGATCCATTAAGCAAGTCGAAGCTCCTGACTTGTTTGAATGGGATCACGGAATAGCTCTGCATGCACTGCAGGGGAATGGGGCCTCATCTCGCCTCTAGGGGGAAGTCTCATGGTTTTTCTCGAGTTGCGGCGGGGACCTGGGGTATGTTCTCGACTTACGGCGGGGATGGCACTTCAAAACACGAGTTTCTTCAGTGACGTCAGGACTCCTGTCTAGTAATGAGGGACACCTCAGGAATCTCTCCGAGGCTTCGCAGGGCAAAAGGGACGCTTCTCGAGGTGAGGAAGGGCACCCAAGGACCCTTTCCAGTAGCCACAGGGATTTTGGGATTCCTATCAGTATTCAAGAGAAGTCAGGCATCGTCACCTTTTGAACCATGAACTCCGCGTGCCTCTCGAGGTGTCAGCGGGATGTGAGGCATTCTGTCAAAATGAGGCAGGGACCTAGGGCTTTCTCTAAGGTTTCCACAGGGGATTCAGACATCCCTTCATGTTGTGAGATGAAAGACGAGCCTGTATTCAAGCCACTGCAAGGAAATCCGGCCTCCTTTCAAGTTAGGGCTTCTCGCTGTATATTCCCCTTGAGGCAGCAAAATCGGGGTCCCTCCCACATACCTATTGCTGAGAGAAGCCTCCTCCTGAGGTGCTTCTGGAAAGTTGGCATACGTCTTGAGCCTAAGCCAGGGAATCAGCTCTCATCTCGAGACGATTTGGGGTACACGGAGCATTCCTCGATTTGCTGTGCTGAAGTTGGTGTTCCTCTAGACTTGGGACAGTGTTCTCGGGGCATCTCTGGAGTTGCATGAAGGAAGTGGAGCCACGGTTCGTGTTGAATGGGGAACGGGGAATGGCTCAGGAGTCAATGCAGGGGAATCAGGCCTCATCTCGAGTTGATTTGGGGCACATGGAGCTGCTTTGCGTTGCTGGGGTGACCTCAGGGTCCGTCTAGACTGGTGACAGTGTTCTTGGGGACTGTCTCGAGATCCATTAAGCAAGTCAAAGCTCCTGACTTGTTTGAATGGGATCACGGAATAGCTCTGCATGCACTGCAGTGGAATGGGGCCTCATCTCGCCTCTAGGGGGAAGTCTCATGGTTTTTCTCGAGTTGCGGCGGGGACCTGGGGTATGTTCTCGACTTACGGCGGGGATGGCCCTTCAAAACACGAGTTTCTTCAGTGACGTCAGGACTCCTGTCTAGTAACGAGGGATACCTCAGGAATCCCTTCGAGGGTTGGCAGGGCAAAAGTGACGCTTCTCGAGGTGAGGCAGGGCACCCAAGGACCCTTTCCAGTAGCCCCAGGAATTTTGGGATTCCTATCAGTATTCAAGAGGAGTCAGGCATCGTCACCTTTTGAACCATGAACGCCGCGTGCCTCTCGATGTGTCAGCGGGATGTGAGGCATTCTGTCAAAATGAGGCAGGGACCTAGGGCTTTCTCTAAGGTCTCCACAGGGGATTCAGACATCACTTCATGTTGTGAGATGAAAGACGTGCCTGTATTCAAGCCACTGCAAGGAAATCCGGCCTCCTTTCAAGTTAGGGCTTCTCGCTGTATATTCCCCTTGAGGCAGCAAACTCGGGGTCCCTCCCACATACCTATTGCTGAGAGAAGCCTCCTCTTGAGGTGCTTCTGGAAAGTTGGCATACGTCTTGAGCCTAAGCCAGGGAATCAGCTCTCATCTCGAAACGATTTGGGGTACTCGGAGCATTCCTCGATTTGCTGTGCTGAAGTTGGTGTTCCTCTAGACTTGGGACAGTATTCTCGGGGCATCTCTGGAGTTGCCTGAAGGAAGTGGAGCCACGGGTCGTGTTGAATGGGGAACAGGGAATGGCTCTGGAGTCAATGCAGGGGAATCAGGCCTCATCTCGAGTTGATTTGGGGCACATGGAGCTGCTTTGCGTTGCTGGGGTGACCTCAGGGTCCGTCTAGACTGGTGACAGTGTTCTTGGGGACTGTCTCGAGATCCATTAAGCAAGTCGAAGCTCCTGACTTGTTTGAATGGGATCACGGAATAGCTCTGCATGCACTGCAGGGGAATGGGGCCTCATCTCGCCTCTAGGGGGAAGTCTCATGGTTTTTCTCGAGTTGCGGCGGGGACCTGGGGTATGTTCTCGACTTACGGCGGGGATGGCCCTTCAAAACACGAGTTTCTTCAGTGACGTCAGGACTCCTGTCTAGTAACGAGGGATACCTCAGGAATCTCTTCGAGGGTTGGCAGGGCAAAAGGGACGCTTCTCGAGGTGAGGCAGGGCACCCAAGGACCCTTTCCAGTAGCCCCAGGGATTTTGGGATTCCTATCAGTATTCAAGAGGAGTCAGGCATCGTCACCTTTTGAAGCAGTGAACTCTGCGTGCCTCTCGAGGTGTCAGCGGGATGTGAGGCATTCCGTCAAAATGAGGCAGGGACCTAGGGCTTTCTCTAAGGTCACTACAGGGGATTGAGACATCCCTTCATGTTGTGAGATGAAAGACGAGCCTGTATTCAAGCCACTGCAAGGAAATCCGGCCTTCTTTCAAGTGAGGGCTTCTCGCTGTATATTCCCCTTGAGGCAGCAAACTCGGGCTCCCTCCCACATACCTATTGCTGAGAGAAGCCTCCTCCTGAGGTGCTTCTGGAAAGTTGGCATACGTCTTGAGCCTAAGCCAGGGAATCAGCTCTCATCTCGAGACGATTTGGGGTACACGGAGCATTCCTCGTTTTGCTGTGCTGAAGTTGGTGTTCCTCTAGACTTGGGACAGTGTTCTCGGGGCATCTCTGGAGTTGCCTGAAGGAAGTCGAGCCACCGGTCGTGTTGAATGGGGAACGGGGAATGGCTCTGGAGTCAATGCAGGGGAATCGGGCCTCATCTCGAGTTGATTTGGGGCACATGGAGCTGCTTTGCGTTGCTGGGGTGACCTCAGGGTCTGTCTCGACAGGTGACAGTGTTCTTGGGGACTGTCTCGAGACCCATTAAGCAAGTCGAAGCTCCTGACTTGTTTGAATGGGATCACGGAATAGCTCTGCATGCACTGCAGGGGAATGGGGCCTCATCTCGCCTCTAGGGGGAAGTCTCATGGTTTTTCTCGAGTTGCGGCGGGGACCTGGGGTATGTTCTCGACTTACGGCGGGGATGGCCCTTCAAAACACGAGTTTCTTCAGTGACGTCAGGACTCCTGTCTAGTAACGAGGGACACGTCAGGAATCTCTCCGAGGCTTCGCAGGGGAAAAGGGACGCTTCTCGAGGTGAGGCAGGGCACCCAAGGACCCTTTCCAGTAGCCACAGGGATTTTGGGATTCCTATCAGTATTCAAGAGGAGTCAGGCATCGTCACCTTTTGAAGCAATGAACTCCGCGTGCCTCTCGAGGTGTCAGCGGGATGTGAGGCATTCTGTCAAAATGAGGCAGGGACCTAGGGCTTTCTCTAAGGTTTCCACAGGGGATTCAGACATCCCTTCATGTTGTGAGATGAAAGACGAGCCTGTATTCAAGCCACTGCAAGGAAATCCGGCCTCCTTTCAAGTTAGGGTTTCTCGCTGTATATTCCCCTTGAGGCAGCAAACTCGGGGTCCCTCCCACATACCTATTGCTGAGAGAAGCCTCCTCCTGAGGTGCTTCTGGAAAGTTGGCATACGTCTTGAGCCTAAGCCAGGGAATCAGCTCTCATCTTGAGACGATTTGGGGTACACGGAGCATTCCTCGAGTTGCTGTGCTGAAGTTGGTGTTCCTCTAGACGTGGGACAGTGTTCTCGGGGCATCTCTGGAGTTGCCTGAAATAAGTCGAGGTACCGGTCGTGTTGAATGGGGAACGGGGAATGGCTCTGGAGTCAATGCAGGGAAATGGGGCCTCATCTCGAGTTGATTTGGGGCACATGGAGCTGCTTTGCGTTGCTGGGGTGACCTCAGGGTCCGTCTAGACTGGTGACAGTGTTCTTGGGGACTGTCTCGAGATCCATTAAGCAAGTCGAAGCTCCTGACTTGTTTGAATGGGATCTCGGAATAGCTCTGCATGCACTGCAGGGGAATGGGGCCTCATCTCGCCTCTAGGGGGAAGTCTCATGGTTTTTCTCGAGTTCCGGCGGGGACCTGGGGTATGTTCTCGACTTACGGCGGGGATGGCCCTTCAAAACACGAGTTTCTTCAGTGACGTCAGGACTCCTGTCTAGTAATGAGGGATACCTCAGGAATCTCTTCAAGGGTTGGCAGGGCAAAAGTGACGCTTCTCGAGGTGAGGCAGGGCACCCAAGGACCATTTCCAGTAGCCACAGGGATTTTGGGATTCCTATCAGTATTCAAGAGGAGTCAGGCATCGTCACCTTTTGAACCATGAACTCCGCGTGCCTCTCGAGGTGTCAGCGGGATGTGAGGCATTCTGTCAAAATGAGGCAGGGACCTAGGACTTTCTCTAAGGTTTCCACTGGGGATTCAGACATCCCTTCATATTGTGAGATGAAAGACGAGCCTGTATTCAAGCCACTGCAAGGATATCCGGCCTCCTTTCAAGTTAGGGCTTCTCGCTGTATATTCCCCTTGAGGCAGCAAACTCGGGGTCCCTCCCACATACCTATTGCTGAGAGAAGCCTCCTCCTGAGGTGCTTCTGGAAAGTTGGCATACGTCTAGAGCCTAAGCCAGGGAATCAGCTCTCATCTCGAGACGATTTGGGGTACTCGGAGCATTCCTCGATTTGCTGTGCTGAAGTTGGTGTTCCTCTAGACTTGGGACAGTGTTCTCGGGGCATCTCTGGAGTTGCCTGAAGGAAGTGGAGCCACGGGTCGTGTTGAATGGGGAAAGGGGAATGGCTCTGGAGTCAATGCAGGGGAATCAGGCCTCATCTCGAGTTGATTTGGGGCACATGGAGCTGCTTTGCATTGCTGGGGTGACCTCAGGGTCCGTCTAGACTGGTGACAGTGTTCTTGGGGACTGTCTCGAGATCCATTAAGCAAGTCGAAGCTCCTGACTTGTTTGAATGGGATCACGGAATAGCTCTGCATGCACTGCAGGGGAATGGGGCCTCATCTCGCTTCTAGGGGGAAGTCTCATGGTTTATCTCGAGTTGCGGCGGGGACCTGGGGTATGTTCTCGACTTACGGTGGCGATGGCCCTTCAAAACACGAGTTTCTTCAGTGACGTCAGGACTCCAGTCTAGTAACGAGGGACACCTCAGGAATCTCTCCGAGGCTTCGCAGGGCAAAAGGGACGCTTCTCGAGGTGAGGCAGGGCACGCAAGGACCCTTTCCAGTAGCCACAGGGATTTGGGGATTCCTATCAGTATGCAAGAGGAGTCAGGCATCGTCACCTTTTGAACCATGAACGCCGCGTGCCTCTCGAGGTGTCAGCGGGATGTGAGGCATTCTTTCAAAATAAGGCAGGGACCTAGGGCTTTCTCTAAGGTCTCCACAGGGGATTCAGACATCACTTCATGTTGTGAGATGAAAGACGTGCCTGTATTCAAGCCACTGCAAGGAAATCCGGCCTCCTTTCAAGTTAGGGCTTCTCGCTGTATATTCCCCTTGAGGCAGCAAACTCGGGGTCCCTCCCACATACCTATTGCTGATAGAAGCCTCCTCCTGAGGTGCTTCTGGAAAGTTGGCATACGTCTTGAGCCTAAGCCAGGGAATCAGCTCTCATCTTGAGACGATTTGGGGTACACGGAGCATTCCTCGAGTTGCTGTGCTGAAGTTGGTGTTCCTCTAGACTTGGGACAGTGTTCTCGGGGCATCTCTGGAGTTGCCTGAAGGAAGTCTAGCCACCGGTCGTGTTGAATGGGGAACGGGGAATGGCTCTGGAGTCAATGCAGGGGAATCGGGCCTCATCTAGAGTTGATTTGGGGCACATGGACCTGCTTTGCGTTGCTGGGGTGACCTCAGGGTCTGTCTCGACTAGGGACAGTGTTCTTGGGGACTGTCTCGAGATCCATTAAGCAAGTCGAAGATCCTGACTTGTTTGAATGGGATCACGGAATAGCTCTGCATGCACTGCAGGGGAATGGGGCCTCATCTCGCCTCTAGGGGGAAGTCTCATGGTTTTTCTCGAGTTGCGGCGGGGACCTGGGGTATGTTCTCGCCTTACGGCGGGGATGGCCCTTCAAAACACGAGTTTCTTCAGTGACGTCAGGACTCCTGTCTAGTAACGAGGGATACCTCAGGAATCTCTTCGAGGGTTGGCAGGGCAAAAGGGACGCTTCTCGAGGTGAGGCAGGGCACCCAAGGACCCTTTCCAGTAGCCACAGGGATTTTGGGATTCCTATCAGTATTCAACACGAGTCAGGCATCGTCACCTTTTGAGGAAATGAACTCCGCGGGCCTCTCGAGGTATCAGCGGGATGTGAGGCATTCCGTCAAAATGAGGCAGGGACCTAGGGCTTTCTCTAAGGTCTCCACAGGGGATTCAGGCATCCCTTCATGTTGTGAGATGAAAGACGAGCCTGTATTCAAGCCACTGCAAGGAAAGCCGGCCTCCTTTCAAGTTAGGGCTTCTCGCTGTATATTCCCCTTGAGGCAGCAAACTCGGGCTCCGTCCCACATACCTATTGCTCAGAGAAGCCTCCTCCTGAGGTGCTTCTGGAAAGTTGGCATACGTCTTGAGCCTAAGCCAGGGAATCAGCTCTCATCTCGAGACGATTTGGGGTACACGGAGCATTCCTCGAGTTGATGTGCTGAAGTTGGTGTTCCTCTAGACTTGGGACAGTGTTCTCGGGGCATCTCTGTAGTTGCCTGAAGGAAGTCGAGCCACCGGTCGTGTTGAATGGGAAACGGGTTATGGCTCTGGAGTCAATGCAGGGGAATCGGGCCTCATCTCGAGTTGATTTGGGGCACATGGAGCTGCTTTGCGTTGCTGGGGTGACCTCAGGGTCTGTCTCGACTGGTGACAGTGTTCTTGGGGACTGTCTCGAGATCCATTAAGCAAGTCGAAGCTCCTGACTTGTTTGAATGGGATCACGGAATAGCTCTGCATGCACTGCAGGGGAATGGGGCCTCATCTCGCCTCTAGGGGGAAGTCTCATGGTTTTTCTCGAGTTGCGGCGGGGACCTGGGGTATGTTCTCGACTTACGGCGGGGATGGCACTTCAAAACACGAGTTTCTTCAGTGACGTCAGGACTCCTGTCTAGTAACGAGTCATACCTCAGGAATCTCTTCGAGGGCTGGCAGGGCAAAAGGGACGCTTCTCCAGGTGAGGCAGGGTACCCAAGGACCCTTTCTAGTAGCCACAGGGATTTTGGGATTCCTATCAGTATTCAAGAGAAGTCAGGCATCGTCACCTTTTGAACCATGAACTCCGCGTGCCTCTCGAGGTGTCAGCGGGATGTGAGGCATTCTGTCAAAATGAGGCAGGGACCTAGGGCTTTCTCTAAGGTTTCCACAGGGGATTCAGACATCCCTTCATGTTGTGAGATGAAAGACGAGCCTGTATTCAAGCCACTGCAAGGAAATCCGGCCTCCTTTCAAGTTAGGGCTTCTCGCTGTATATTCCCCTTGAGGCAGCAAACTCGGGGTCCCTCCCACATACCTATTGCTGAGAGAAGCCTCCTCCTGAGGTGCTTCTGGAAAGTTGGCATACGTCTTGAGCCTAAGCCAGGGAATCAGCTCTCATCTCGAGACGATTTGGGGTACACGGAGCATTCCTCGATTTGCTGTGCTGAAGTTGGTGTTCCTCTAGACTTGGGACAGTGTTCTCGGGGCATCTCTGGAGTTGCATGAAGGAAGTGGAGCCACGGTTCGTGTTGAATGGGGAACGGGGAATGGCTCAGGAGTCAATGCAGGGGAATCAGGCCTCATCTCGAGTTGATTTGGGGCACATGGAGCTGCTTTGCGTTGCTGGGGTGACCTCAGGGTCCGTCTAGACTGGTGACAGTGTTCTTGGGGACTGTCTCGAGATCCATTAAGCAAGTCAAAGCTCCTGACTTGTTTGAATGGGATCACGGAATAGCTCTGCATGCACTTCAGTGGAATGGGGCCTCATCTCGCCTCTAGGGGGAAGTCTCATGGTTTTTCTCGAGTTGCGGCGGGGACCTGGGGTATGTTCTCGACTTACGGCGGGGATGGCCCTTCAAAACACGAGTTTCTTCAGTGACGTCAGGACTCCTGTCTAGTAACGAGGGATACCTCAGGAATCCCTTCGAGGGTTGGCAGGGCAAAAGTGACGCTTCTCGAGGTGAGGCAGGGCACCCAAGGACCCTTTCCAGTAGCCACAGGGATTTGGGGATTCCTATCAGTTTTCAAGAGGAGTCAGGCATCGTCACCTTTTGAACCATGAACGCCGCGTGCCTCTCGATGTGTCAGCGGGATGTGAGGCATTCTGTCAAAATGAGGCAGGGACCTAGGGCTTTCTCTAAGGTCTCCACAGGGGATTCAGACATCACTTCATGTTGTGAGATGAAAGACGTGCCTGTATTCAAGCCACTGCAAGGAAATCCGGCCTCCTTTCAAGTTAGGGCTTCTCGCTGTATATTCCCCTTGAGGCAGCAAACTCGGGGTCCCTCCCACATACCTATTGCTGAGAGAAGCCTCCTCTTGAGGTGCTTCTGGAAAGTTGGCATACGTCTTGAGCCTAAGCCAGGGAATCAGCTCTCATCTCGAGACGATTTGGGGTACTCGGAGCATTCCTCGATTTGCTGTGCTGAAGTTGGTGTTCCTCTAGACTTGGGACAGTATTCTCGGGGCATCTCTGGAGTTGCCTGAAGGAAGTGGAGCCACGGGTCGTGTTGAATGGGGAACAGGGAATGGCTCTGGAGTCAATGCAGGGGAATCAGGCCTCATCTCGAGTTGATTTGGGGCACATGGAGCTGCTTTGCGTTGCTGGGGTGACCTCAGGGTCCGTCTAGACTGGTGATAGTGTTCTTGGGGACTGTCTCGAGATCCATTAAGCAAGTCGAAGCTCCTGACTTGTTTGAATGGGATCACGGAATAGCTCTGCATGCACTGCAGGGGAATGGGGCCTCATCTCGCCTCTAGGGGGAAGTCTCATGGTTTTTCTCGAGTTGCGGCGGGGACCTGGGGTATGTTCTCGACTTACGGCGGGGATGGCCCTTCAAAACACGAGTTTCTTCAGTGACGTCAGGACTCCTGTCTAGTAACGAGGGATACCTCAGGAATCTCTTCGAGGGTTGGCAGGGCAAAAGGGACGCTTCTCGAGGTGAGGCAGGGCACCCAAGGACCCTTTCCAGTAGCCCCAGGGATTTTGGGATTCCTATCAGTATTCAAGAGGAGTCAGGCATCGTCACCTTTTGAAGCAGTGAACTCTGCGTGCCTCTCGAGGTGTCAGCGGGATGTGAGGCATTCCGTCAAAATGAGGCAGGGACCTAGGGCTTTCTCTAAGGTCACTACAGGGGATTGAGACATCCCTTCATGTTGTGAGATGAAAGACGAGCCTGTATTCAAGCCACTGCAAGGAAATCCGGCCTCCTTTCAAGTGAGGGCTTCTCGCTGTATATTCCCCTTGAGGCAGCAAACTCGGGCTCCCTCCCACATACCTATTGCTGAGAGAAGCCTCCTCCTGAGGTGCTTCTGGAAAGTTGGCATACGTCTAGAGCCTAAGCCAGGGAATCAGCTCTCATCTCGAAACGATTTGGGGTACTCTGAGCATTCCTCGATTTGCTGTGCTGAAGTTGGTGTTCCTCTAGACTTGGGACAGTGTTCTCGGGGCATCTCTGGAGTTGCCTGAAGGAAGTCGAGCCACCGGTCGTGTTGAATGGGGAAAGGGGAATGGCTCTGGAGTCAATGCAGGGGAATCAGGCCTCATCTCGAGTTGATTTGGGGCACATGGAGCTGCTTTGCGTTGCTGGGATGACCTCAGGGTCCGTCTAGACTGGTGACAGTGTTCTTGGGGACTGTCTCGAGATCCATTAAGCAAGTCGAAGCTCCTGACTTGTTTGAATGGGATCACGGAATAGCTCTGCATGCACTGCAGGGGAATGGGGCCTCATCTCGCTTCTAGGGGGAAGTCTCATGATTTTTCTCGAGTTGCGGCGGGGACCTGGGGTATGTTCTCGACTTACGGCGGGGATGGCACTTCAAAACACGAGTTTCTTCAGTGACGTCAGGACTCCAGTCTAGTAACGAGGGACACCTCAGGAATCTCTCCGAGGCTTCGCAGGGCAAAAGGGACGCTTCCCGAGGTGAGGCAGGGCACCCAAGAACCCTTTCCAGTAGACACAGGGATTTGGGGATTCCTATCAGTATTCAAGAGGAGTCAGGCATCGTCACCTTTTGAACCATGAACTCCGCGTGCCTCTCGAGGTGTCAGCGGGATGTGAGGCATTCTGTCAAAATCAGGCAGGGACCTAGGGCTTTCTCTAAGGTCTCCACAGGGGATTCAGACATCACTTTATGTTGTGAGATGAAAGACGTGCCTGTATTCAAGCCACTGCAAGGAAATCCGGCCTCCTTTCAAGTTAGGGCTTCTCGCTGTATATTCCCCTTGAGGCAGCAAACTCGGGGTCCTTCCCACATACCTATTGCTGAGAGAAGCCTCCTCCTGAGGTGCTTCTGGAAAGTTGGCATACGTCTTGAGCCTAAGCCAGGGAATCAGCTCTCATCTCGAGACTATTTGGGGTACACGGAGCATTCCTCGAGTTGCTGTGCTGAAGTTGGTGTTCCTCTAGACTTGGGACAGTGTTCTCGGGGCATCTCTGGAGTTGCCTGAAGGAAGTGGAGCCACGGGTCGTGTTGAATGGGGAACGGGGAATGGCTCTGGAGTCAATGCAGGGGAATCAGGCCTCATCTCGAGTTGATTTGGGGCACATGGAGCTGCTTTGCATTGCTGGGGTGACCTCAGGGTCCGTCTAGACTGGTGACAGTGTTCTTGGGGACTGTCTCGAGATCCATTAAGCAAGTCGAAGCTCCTGACTTGTTTGAATGGGATCACGGAATAGCTCTGCATGCACTGCAGGGGAATGGGGCCTCGTCTCGCCTCTAGGGGAAGTCTCATGGTTTTTCTCGAGTTGCGGCGGTTACCTGGGGTATGTTCTTGACTTACATCGGGGATGGCCCTTCAAAACACGAGTTTCTTCAGTGACGTCAGGACTCCTGTCTAGTAACGAGGGATACCTCAGGAATCTCTTCGAGGGTTGGCAGGGCAAAAGGGATGCTTCTCGAGGTGAGGCAGGGCACCCAAGGACCCTTTCCAGTAGCCACAGGGATTTGGGGATTCCTATCAGTATTCAAGAGGAGTCAGGCATCGTCACCTTTTGAAGCAATGAACTCTGCGTGACTCTCGAGGTGTCAGCGGGATGTGAGGCATTCCGTCAAAATGAGGCAGGGACCTAGGGCTTTCTCTAAGGTCTCCACAGGGGATTCAGACATCCGTTTATGTTGTGAGATGAAAGACGAGCCTGTATTCAAGCCACTGCAAGGAAATCCGGCCTCCTTTCATGTTAGGGCTTCTCGCTGTATATTCCCCTTGAGGCAGCAAACTCGGGCTCCCTCCCACATACCTATTGCTGAGAGAAGCCTCCTCCTGAGGTGCTTCTGGAAAGTTGGCATACGTCTTGAGCCTAAGCCAGGGAATCAGCTCTCATCTCGAGCCGATTTGGGGTACACGGAGCATTCCTCGAGTTGCTGTGCTGAAGTTGGTGTTCCTCTAGACTTGGGACAGTGTTCTCGGGGCATCTCTGGAGTTGCCTGAAGGAAGTCGAGCCACCGGTCGTGTTGAATGGGGAACGGGGAATGGCTCTGGAGTCAATGCAGGGGAATCGGGCCTCATCTCGAGTTGATTTGGGGCACATGGAGCTGCTTTGCGTTGCTGGGGTGACCTCAGGGTCCGTCTAGACTGGTGACAGTGTTCTTGGGGACTGTCTCGAGATCCATTAAGCAAGTCGAAGCTCCTGACTTGTTTGAATGGGATCACGGAATAGCTCTGCATGCACTGCAGGGAAATGGGGCCTCATCTCGCCTCTAGGGGGAAGTCTCATTGTTTTTCTCGAGTTTTGGCGGGGACATGGGGTATGTTCTCGACTTACGGCGGGGATGGCACTTCAAAACACGAGTTTCTTCAGTGACGTCAGGACTCCTGTCTAGTAACGAGGGACACCTCAGGAATCTCTCCGAGGCTTCGCAGGGCAAAAGGGACGCTTCTCGAGGTGAGGCAGGGCACCCAAGGACCCTTTCCAGTAGCCACAGGGATTTTGGGATTCCTATCAGTATTCAAGAGGAGTCAGGCATCGTCACCTTTCGAACCATGAACTCGGCGTGCCTCTCGAGGTGTCAGCGGGATGTGAGGCATTCTGTCAAAATGAGGCAGGGACCTAGGGCTTTCTCTAAGGTCTCCACAGGGGATTCAGACATCCCTTCATGTTGTGAGATGAAAGACGAGCCTGTATTCAAGCCACTGCAAGGAAATCCGGCCTCCTTTCAAGTTAGGGCTTCTCGCTGTATATTCCCCTTGAGGCAGCAAACTCGGGCTCCTTCCCACATACCTATTGCTGAGAGAAGCCTCCTCTTGAGGTGCTTTTGGAAAGTTGGCATAAGTTTTGAGCCTAAGCCAGGGAATCAGCTCTCATCTCGAGACGATTTGGGGTACACGGAGCATTCCTCGAGTTGCTGTGCTGAAGTTGGTGTTCCTCTAGACTTGGGACAGTGTTCTCGGGGCATCTCTGGAGTTGCCTGAAGGAAGTCGAGCCACCGGTCGTGTTGAATGGGGAACGGGGAATGGCTCTGGAGTCAATGCAGGGGAATCAGGCCTCATCTCGAGTTGATTTGGGGCACATGGAGCTGCTTTGCGTTGCTGGGGTGACCTCAGGGTCCGTCTAGACTGGTGACAGTGTTCTTGGGGACTGTCTCGAGATCCATTAAGCAAGTCGAAGCTCCTGACTTGTTTGAATGGGATCACGGAATAGCTCTGCATGCACTGCAGGGGAATGGGGCCTCGTCTCGCCTCTAGGGGGAAGTCTCATGGTTTTTCTCGAGTTGCGGCGGGGACCTGGGGTATGTTCTCGCCTTACGGCGGGGATGGCCCTTCAAAACACGAGTTTCTTCAGTGACGTCAGGAGTCCTGTCTAGTAACGAGGGATACCTCAGGAATCTCTTCGAGGGTTGGCAGGGCAAAAGGGACGCTTCTCGAGGTGAGGCAGGGCACCCAAGGACCCTTTCCAGTAGCCACAGGGATTTTGGGATTCCTATCAGTATTCAAGAGGAGTCAGGCATCGTCACCTTTTGAAGCAATGAACTCCGCGTGCTTCTCGAGGTGTCAGCGGGATGCGAGGCATTCCGTCAAAATGAGGCAGGGACCTAGTGCTTTCTCTAAGGTCTCTACAGGGGATTCAGACATCCCTTCATGTTGTGAGATGAAAGACGAGCCTGTATTCAAGCCACTGCAAGGAAATCCGGCCTCCTTTCAAGTTAGGGCTTCTCGCTGTACATTCCCCTTTAGGCAGCAAACTCGGGCTCCCTCCAACATACCTATTGCTGAGAGAAGCCTCCTCCTGAGGTGCTTCTGGAAAGTTGGCATACGTCTTGAGCCTAAGACAGGGAATCAGCTCTCATCTCGAGACGATTTGGGGTACACGGAGCATTCCTCGAGTTGCTGTGTTGAAGTTGGTGTTCCTCTAGACTTGGGACAGTGTTCTCGGGGCATCTCTGGAGTTGCCTGAAGGAAGTCGAGCCACCGGTCGTGTTGAATGGGGAATGGGGAATGGCTCTGGAGTTAATTCATGGAAATCGGGCGTCATCTCGAGTTGATTTGGGGCACATGGAGCTGCTTTGCGTTGCTGGGGTGACCTCAGGGTCCGTCTAGACTGGTGACCGTGTTCTTGGGGACTGTCTCGAGATCCGTTAAGCAAGTCGAAGCTCCTGACTTGTTTGAATGGGATCACGGAATAGCTCTGCATGCACTGCAGGGGAATGGGGCCTCATCTCGCCTCTATGGGGAAGTCTCATGGTTTTTCTCGAGTTGCGGCGGGGACCTGGGGTATGTTCTCGACTTACGGCGGGGATGGCACTTTAAAACACGAGTTTCTTCAGTGACGTCAGGACTCCTGTCTAGTAACGAGGGACACCTCAGGAATCTCTCCGAGGCTTCGCAGGGCAAAAGGGACGCTTCTCGAGGTGAGGAAGGGCACCCAAGGACCCTTTCCAGTAGCCACAGGGATTTGGGGATTCCTATCAGTATTCCAGAGGAGTCAGGCATCGTCACCTTTTGAACCATGAACGCCGCGTGCCTCTCGAGGTGTCAGCGGGATATGAGGCATTCTGTCAAAATGAGGCAGGGACCTAGGGCTTTCTCTAAGGTCTCCACAGGGGATTCAGACATCACTTCATGTTGTGAGATGAAAGACGTGCCTGTATTCAACCCACTGCAAGGAAATCCGGCCTCCTTTCAAGTTAGGGCTTCTCGCTGTATATTCCCCTTGAGGCAGCAAACTCGGGCTCCCTTCCACATATCTATTGCTGAGAGAAGCCTGCTCCTGAGGTGCTTCTGGAAAGTTGGCATACGTCTTGAGCCTAAGCCAGGGAATCAGCTCTCATCTCGAGACGATTTGTGGTACACGGAGCATTCCTCGAGTTGCTGTGCTGAAGTTGGTGTTCCTCTAGACTTGGGACAGTGTTCTCGGGGCATCTCTGTAGTTGCCTGAAGGAAGTCGAGCCACCGGTCGTGTTGAATGGGGAACTGGTTATGGCTCTGGAGTCAATGCAGGGGAATCGGGCCTCATCTCGAGTTGATTTGGGGGACATGGAGCTGCTTTGCGTTGCTGGGGTGACCTCAGGGTCTGTCTCGACTGGTGACAGTGTTCTTGGGGACTGTCTCGAGATCCATTAAGCAAGTCGAAGCTCCTGACTTGTTTGAATGGGATCACGGAATAGCTCTGCATGCACTGCAGGCGAATGGGGCCACAACTCGCCTCTAGGGGGAAGTCTCATGGTTTTTCTCGAGTTGCGGCGGGGACCTGGGGTATGTTCTCGACTTACGGCGGGGATGGCACTTCAAAACACGAGTTTCTTCAGTGACGTCAGGACTCCTGTCTAGTAATGAGGGATACCTCAGGAATCTCTTCGAGGGTTGGCAGGGCAAAAGGGACGCTTCTCGAGGTGAGGCAGGGCACCCAAGGACCCTTTCCAGTAGCCACAGGGATTTTGGGATTCCTATCAGTATTCATGAGGAGTCAGGCATCGTCACCTTTTGAAGCAATGAAGTCTGCGTGCCTCTCGAGGTGTCAGCGGGATGTGAGGCATTCCGTCAAAATGAGGCAGGGACCTAGGGCTTTCTCTAAGGTCTCCACAGGGGATTCAGACATCCCTTCATGTTGTGAGATGAAAGACGAGCCTGTATTCAAGCCACTGCAAGGAAATCCGGCCTTCTTTCAAGTTAGGGCTTCTCGCTGTATATTCCCCTTGAGGCAGCAAACTCGGGCTCCCTCCCACATACCTATTGCTGAGAGAAGCCTCCTCCTGAGGTGCTTTTGGAAAGTTGGCATACGTCTTGAGCCTAAGCCAGGGAATCAGCTCTCATCTCGAGACGATTTGGGGTACACGGAGCATTCCTCGAGTTGCTGTGCTGAAGTTGGTTTTCCTCTAGACTTGGGACAGTGTTCTCGGGGCATCTCTGGAGTTGCCTGAAGGAAGTCGAGCCACCGGTCGTGTTGAATGGGGAACGGGGAATGGCTCTGGAGTCAATGCAGGGGAATCGGGCCTCATCTGGAGTTGATTTGGGGCACATGGAGCTGCTTTGCGTTGCTGGGGTGACCTCAGGGTCCGTCTAGACTGGTGACAGTGTTCTTGGGGAATGTCTCGAGATCCATTAAGCAAGTCGAAGCTCCTGACTTGTTTGAATGGGATCACGGAATAGCTCTGCATGCACTGCAGGGAAATGGGGCCTCATCTCGCCTCTAGGGGGAAGTCTCATGGTTTTTCTCGAGTTTCGGCGGGGACATGGGGTATGTTCTCGACTAACGGCGGGGATGGCACTTCAAAACACGAGTTTCTTCAGTGACGTCAGGACTCCTGTCTAGTAACGAGGGACACCTCAGGAATCTCTCCGAGGCTTCACAGGGCAAAAGGGACGCTTCTCGAGGTGAGGCAGGGCACCCAAGGACCCCTTCCAGTAGCCACAGCGATTTTGGGATTCCTATCAGTATTCAAGAGGAGTCAGGCATCGTCACCTTTTGAAGCAATGAACTCCGCGTGCCTCTCGAGGTGTCAGCGGGATGTGAGGCATTCCGTCAAAATGAGGCAGGGACCTAGGGCTTTCTCTAAGGTCTCCACAGGGGATTCAGACATCCGTTTATGTTGTGAGATGAAAGACGAGCCTGTATTCAAGCCACTGCAAGGAAATCCGGCCTCCTTTCATGTTAGGGCTTCTCGCTGTATATTCCCCTTGAGGCAGCAAACTCGGGCTCCCTCCCACATACCTATTGCTGAGAGAAGCCTCCTCCTGAGGTGCTTCTGGAAAGTTGGCATACGTCTTGAGCCTAAGCCAGGGAATCAGCTCTCATCTCGAGCCGATTTGGGGTACACGGAGCATTCCTCGAGTTGCTGTGCTGACGTTGGTGTTCCTCTAGACTTGGGACAGTGTTCTCGGGGCATCTCTGGAGTTGCCTGAAGGAAGTCGAGCCACCGGTCGTGTTGAATGGGGAACGGGGAATGGCTCTGGAGTCAATGCAGGGGAATCGGGCCTCATCTCGAGTTGATTTGGGGCACATGGAGCTGCTTTGCGTTGCTGGGGTGACCTCAGGGTCCGTCTAGACTGGTGACAGTGTTCTTGGGGACTGTCTCGAGATCCATTAAGCAAGTCGAAGCTCCTGACTTGTTTGAATGGGATCACGGAATAGCTCTGCATGCACTGCAGGGAAATGGGGCCTCATCTCGCCTCTAGGGGGAAGTCTCATTGTTTTTCTCGAGTTTTGGCGGGGACATGGGGTATGTTCTCGACTTACGGCGGGGATGGCACTTCAAAACACGAGTTTCTTCAGTGACGTCAGGACTCCTGTCTAGTAACGAGGGACACCTCAGGAATCTCTCCGAGGCTTCGCAGGGCAAAAGGGACGCTTCTCGAGGTGAGGCAGGGCACCCAAGGACCCTTTCCAGTAGCCACAGGGATTTTGGGATTCCTATCAGTATTCAAGAGGAGTCAGGCATCGTCACCTTTTGAAGCAATGAACTCCGCGTGCCTCTCGAGGTGTCAGCGGGATGTGAGGCATTCCGTCAAAATGAGGCAGGGACCTAGGGCTTTCTCTAAGGTCTCCACAGGGGATTCAGACATCCCTTTATGTTGTGAGATGAAAGACGAGCCTGTATTCAAGCCACTGTAAGGAAATCCGGCCTCCTTTCATGTTAGGGCTTCTCGCTGTATATTCCCCTTGAGGCAGCAAACTCGGGCTCCCTCCCACATACCTATTGCTGAGAGAAGCCTCCTCCTGAGGTGCTTCTGGAAAGTTGGCATACGTCTTGAGCCTAAGCCGGGGAATCAGCTCTCATCTCGAGACGATTTGTGGTACACGGAGCATTCCTCGAGTTGCTGTGCTGAAATTAGTGTTCCTCTAGACTTGGGACAGTGTTCTCGGGGCATCTCTGGAGTTGCCTGAAGGAAGTCGAGCCACCGGTCGTGTTGAATGGGGAACGGGTTATGGCTCTGGAGTCAATGCAGGGGAATCGGGCCTCATCTGGAGTTGATTTGGGGCACATGGAGCTGCTTTGCGTTGCTGGGGTGACCTCAGGGTCTGTCTCGACTGGTGACAGTGTTCTTGGGGACTGTCTCGAGATCCATTAAGCAAGTCGAAGCTCCTGACTTGTTTGAATGGGATCACGGAAGAGCTCTGCATGCACTGCAGGCGAATGGGGCCACAACTCGCCTCTAGGGGGAAGTCTCATGGTTTTTCTCGAGTTGCGGCGGGGACCTGGGGTATGTTCTCGACTTACGGCGGGGATGGCACTTCAAAACACGAGTTTCTTCAGTGACGTCAGGACTCCTGTCTAGTAACGAGGGACACGTCAGGAATCTCTCCGAGGCTTCGCAGGGCAAAAGGGACGCTTCTCGAGGTGAGGCAGGGCACCCAAGGACCCTTTCCAGTAGCCACAGGGATTTTGGGATTCCTATCAGTATTCAAGAGGAGTCAGGCATCGTCACCTTTCGAACCATGAACTCGGCGTGCCTCTCGAGGTGTCAGCGGGATGTGAGGCATTCTGTCAAAATGAGGCAGGGACCTAGGGCTTTCTCTAAGGTCTCCACAGGGGATTCAGACATCCCTTCATGTTGTGAGATGAAAGACGAGCCTGTATTCAAGCCACTGCAAGGAAATCCGGCCTCCTTTCAAGTTAGGGCTTCTCGCTGTATATTCCCCTTGTGGCAGCAAACTCGGGCTCCCTCCCACATACCTATTGCTGAGAGAAGCCTCCTCCTGAGGTGCTTCTGGAAAGTTGGCATACGTCTTGAGCCAAACCAGGGAATCAGCTCTCATCTCGAGACGATTTGGGGTGCACGGAGCATTCCTCGAGTTGCTGTGCTGAAGTTGGTGTTCCTCTAGAGTTGGGACAGTGATCTCGGGGCATCTCTGGAGTTGCCTGAAGGAAGTCGAGCCACCGGTCGTGTTGAATGGGGAACGGGGAATGGCTCTGGAGTCAATGCAGGGAAATCGGGCCTCATCTCGAGTTGATTTGGGGCACATGGAGCTGCTTTGCGTTGCTGGGGTGACCTGAGGGTCCGTCTAGACTGGTGACAGTGTTCTTGGGGACTGTCTCGAGATCCATTAAGCAAGTCGAAGCTCCTGACTTGTTTGAATGGGATCACGGAATAGCTCTGCATGCACTGCAGGGGAATGGGGCCTCATCTCGCCTCTAGGGGGAAGTCTCATGGTTTTTGTCGAGTTGCGGCGGGGACCTGGGGTATGTTCTCGACTTACGGCGGGGATGGCCCTTCAAAACACGAGTTTCTTCAGTGACGTCAGGACTCCTGTCTAGTAACGAGGGACACCTCAGGAATCTCTTCGAGGCTTCGCAGGGCAAAAGGGACGCTTCTCGAGGTGAGGCAGGGCACCCAAGGACCCTTTCCAGTAGCCACAGAGATTTTGGGATTCCTATCAGTGTTCAAGAGGAGTCAGGCATCGTCACCTTTTGAACCATGAAATCCGCGTGCCTCTCGAGGTGTCAGCGGGATGTGAGGCATTCCGTCAAAATGAGGCAGGGACCTAGGGCTTTCTCTAAGGTCTCTACAGGGGATTCAGACATCCCTTCATGTTGTGAGATGAAAGACGAGCCTGTATTCCAGCCACTGCAAGGAAATCCGGCCTCCTTTCAAGTTAGGGCTTCTCGCTGTATATTCCCCTTGAGGCAGCAAACTCGGGCTCCCTCTCCCATACCTATTGCTGAGAGAAGCCTCCTCCTGAGGTGCTTCTGGAAAGTTGGCATACGTCTTGAGCCTAAGCCAGGGAATCAGCTCTCATCTCGAGACGATTTGGGGTACACGGAGCATTCCTCGAGTTGCTGTGCTGAAGTTGGTGTTCCTCTAGACTTGGGACAGTGTTCTCGGGGCATCTCTGGAGTTGCCTGAAGGAAGTGGAGCCACGGGTCGTGTTGAATGGGGAAAGGGGAATGGCTCTGGAGTCAATGCAGGGGAATCAGGCCTCATCTCGAGTTGATTTGGGGCACATGGAGCTGCTTTGCATTGCTGGGGTTACCTCCGGGTCCGTCTAGACTGGTGACAGTGTTCTTGGGGACTGTCTCGAGACCCATTAAGCAAGTCGAAGCTCCTGACTTGTTTGAATGGGATCACGGAATAGCTCTGCATGCACTGCAGGGGAATGGGGCCTCATCTCGCCTCTAGGGGGAAGTCTCATGGTTTTTCTCGAGTTGCGGCAGGGACCTGGGGTATGTTCTCGACTTACGGCGGGGATGGCACTTCAAAACACGAGTTTCTTCAGGGACGTCAGGACTCCTGTCTAGTAACGAGGGACACGTCAGGAATCTCTCCGAGGCTTCGCAGGGCAAAAGGGACGCTTCTCGAGGTGAGGCAGGGCACCCAAGGACCCTTTCCAGTAGCCACAGGGATTTTGGGATTCCTATCAGTATTCAAGAGGAGTCAGGCATCGTCACCTTTTGAACCATGAACTCCGCGTGCCTCTCGATGTGTCAGCGGGATGTGAGGCATTCTGTCAAAATGAGGCAGGGTCCTAGGGCTTTCTCTAAGGTTTCCACAGGGGATTCAGACATCCCTTCATGTTGTGAGATGAAACACGAGCCTGTATTCAAGCCACTGCAAGGAAATCCGGCCTCCTTTCAAGTTAGGGCTTCTCGCTGTATATTCCCCTTGAGGCAGCAAACTCGGGGTCCCTCCCACATAGCTATTGCTGAGAGAAGCCTCCTCCTGAGGTGCTTCTGGAAAGTTGGCATACGTCTTGAGCCTAAGCCAGGGAATCAGCTCTCATCTCGAGACGATTTGGGGTACTCGGAGCATTCCTCGATTTGCTGTGCTGAAGTTGGTGTTCTTCTAGACTTGGGACTGTGTTCTCGGGACATCTCTGGAGTTGCCTGAAGGAAGTGGAGCCACGGGTCGTGTTGAATGGGGAACGGGGAATGGCTATGGAGTCAATGCAGGGGGAATCAGGCCTCATCTCGAGTTGATTTGGGGCACATGGAGCTGCTTTGCATTGCTGGGGTGACCTCAGGGTCCGTCTAGACTGGTGACAGTGTTCTTGGGGACTGTCTCGAGATCCATTAAGCAAGTCGAAGCTCCTGACTTGTTTGAATGGGATCACGGAATAGCTCTGCATGCACTGCAGGGGAATGGGGCCTCATCTCGCCTCTAGGGGGAAGTCTCATGGTTTTTCTCGAGTTGCGGCGGGGACCTGGCGTATGTTCTCGACTTACGGCGGGGAAGGCCCTTCAAAACACGAGTTTCTTCAGTGACGTCAGGACTCCTGTCTAGTAACGAGGGACACCTCAGGAATCTCTCCGAGGCTTCGCAGGGCAAAAGGGACGCTTCTCGAGGTGAGGCAGGGCACCCAAGGACCCTTTCCAGTAGCCACAGGGATTTTGGGATTCCTATCAGTGTTCAAGAGGAGTCAGGCATCGTCACCTTTTGAACCATGAACTCGGCGTGCCTCTCGAGGTTTCAGCGGGATGTGAGGCATTTTGTCAAAATGAGGCAGGGACCTAGGGCTTTCTCTAAGGTCTCCACAGGGGATTCAGATATCCCTTCATGTTGTGAGATGAAAGACGAGCCTGTATTCAAGCCACTGCAAGGAAATCCGGCCTCCTTTCAAGTTAGGGCTTCTCGCTGTATATTCCCCTTGTGGCAGCAAACTCGGGCTCCCTCCCACATACCTATTGCTGAGAGAAGCCTCCTCCTGAGGTGCTTCTGGAAAGTTGGCATACGTCTTGAGCCTAAGCTAGGGAATCAGCTCTCATCTCGAGATGATTTGGGGTACACGGAGCATTCCTCGAGTTGATGTGCTGAAGTTGGTGTTGCTCTAGACTTGAGACAGTGTTCTCGGGGCATCTCTGGAGTTGCCTGAAGGAAGAAGAGCCACCGGTCGTGTTGAATGGGGAACGGGTTATGGCTCTGGAGTCAATGCAGGGGAATCGGGCCTCATCTCGAGTTGATTTGGGGGACATGGAGCTGCTTTGCGTTGCTGGGGTGACCTCAGGGTCTGTCTCGACTGGTGACAGTGTTCTTGGGGACTGTCTCGAGATCCATTAAGCAAGTCGAAGCTCCTGACTTGTTTGAATGGGATCACGGAATAGCTCTGCATGCACTGCAGGCGAATGGGGCCACAACTCGCCTCTAGGGGGAAGTCTCATGGTTTTTCTCGAGTTGCGGCGGGGACCTGGGGTATGTTCTCGACTTACGGCGGGGATGGCACTTCAAAACACGAGTTTCTTCAGTGACGTCAGGACTCCTGTCTAGTAATGAGGGATACCTCAGGAATCTCTTCGAGGGTTGGCAGGGCAAAAGGGACGCTTCTCGAGGTGAGGCAGGGCACCCAAGGACCCTTTCCAGTAGCCACAGGGATTTTGGGATTCCTATCAGTATTCATGAGGAGTCAGGCATCGTCACCTTTTGAAGCAATGAAGTCTGCGTGCCTCTCGAGGTGTCAGCGGGATGTGAGGCATTCCGTCAAAATGAGGCAGGGACCTAGGGCTTTCTCTAAGGTCACTACAGTGGATTCAGACATCCCTTCATGTTGTGAGATGAAAGACGAGCCTGTATTCAAGCCACTGCAAGGAAATCCGGCCTTCTTTCAAGTTAGGGCTTCTCGCTGTATATTCCCCTTGAGGCAGCAAACTCGGGCTCCCTCCCACATACCTATTGCTGAGAGAAGCCTCCTCCTGAGGTGCTTTTGGAAAGTTGGCATACGTCTTGAGCCTAAGCCAGGGAATCAGCTCTCATCTCGAGACGATTTGGGGTACACGGAGCATTCCTCGAGTTGCTGTGCTGAAGTTGGTTTTCCTCTAGACTTGGGACAGTGTTCTCGGGGCATCTCTGGAGTTGCCTGAAGGAAGTCGAGCCACCGGTCGTGTTGAATGGGGAACGGGGAATGGCTCTGGAGTCAATGCAGGGGAATCGGGCCTCATCTGGAGTTGATTTGGGGCACATGGAGCTGCTTTGCGTTGCTGGGGTGACCTCAGGGTCCGTCTAGACTGGTGACAGTGTTCTTGGGGAATGTCTCGAGATCCATTAAGCAAGTCGAAGCTCCTGACTTGTTTGAATGGGATCACGGAATAGCTCTGCATGCACTGCAGGGAAATGGGGCCTCATCTCGCCTCTAGGGGGAAGTCTCATGGTTTTTCTCGAGTTTCGGCGGGGACATGCTGTATGTTCTCGACTAACGGCGGGGATGGCACTTCAAAACACGAGTTTCTTCAGTGACGTCAGGACTCCTGTCTAGTAACGAGGGACACCTCAGGAATCTCTCCGAGTCTTCACAGGGCAAAAGGGACGCTTCTCGAGGTGAGGCAGGGCACCCAAGGACCCTTTCCAGTAGCCACAGCGATTTTGGGATTCCTATCAGTATTCAAGAGGAGTCAGGCATCGTCACCTTTTGAAGCAATGAACCCCGCGTGCCTCTCGAGGTGTCAGCGGGATGTGAGGCATTCCGTCAAAATGAGGCAGGGACCTAGGGCTTTCTCTAAGGTCTCCACAGGGGATTCAGACATCCGTTTATGTTGTGAGATGAAAGACGAGCCTGTATTCAAGCCACTGCAAGGAAATCCGGCCTCCTTTCATGTTAGGGCTTCTCGCTGTATATTCCCCTTGAGGCAGCAAACTCGGGCTCCCTCCCACATACCTATTGCTGAGAGAAGCCTCCTCCTGAGGTGCTTCTGGAAAGTTGGCATACGTCTTGAGCCTAAGCCAGGGAATCAGCTCTCATCTCGAGCCGATTTGGTTTACACGGAGCATTCCTCGAGTTGCTGTGCTGAAGTTGGTGTTCCTCTAGACTTGGGACAGTGTTCTCGGGGCATCTCTGGAGTTGCCTGAAGGAAGTCGAGCCACCGGTCGTGTTGAATGGGGAACGGGGAATGGCTCTGGAGTCAATGCAGGGGAATCGGGCCTCATCTCGAGTTGATTTGGGGCACATGGAGCTGCTTTGCGTTGCTGGGGTGACCTCAGGGTCCGTCTAGACTGGTGACAGTGTTCTTGGGGACTGTCTCGAGATCCATTAAGCAAGTCGAAGCTCCTGACTTGTTTGAATGGGATCACGGAATAGCTCTGCATGCACTGCAGGGAAATGGGGCCTCATCTCGCCTCTAGGGGGAAGTCTCATTGTTTTTCTCGAGTTTTGGCGGGGACATGGGGTATGTTCTCGACTTACGGCGGGGATGGCACTTCAAAACACGAGTTTCTTCAGTGACGTCAGGACTCCTGTCTAGTAACGAGGGACACCTCAGGAATCTCTCCGAGGCTTCGCAGGGCAAAAGGGACGCTTCTCGAGGTGAGGCAGGGCACCCAAGGACCCTTTACAGTAGCCACAGGGATTTTGGGATTCCTATCAGTATTCAAGAGGAGTCAGGCATCGTCACCTTTTGAAGCAATGAACTCCGCGTGCCTCTCGAGGTGTCAGCGGGATGTGAGGCATTCCGTCAAAATGAGGCAGGGACCTAGGGCTTTCTCTAAGGTCTCCACAGGGGATTCAGACATCCCTTTATGTTGTGAGATGAAAGACGAGCCTGTATTCAAGCCACTGTAAGGAAATCCGGCCTCCTTTCATGTTAGGGCTTCTCGCTGTATATTCCCCTTGAGGCAGCAAACTCGGGCTCCCTCCCACATACCTATTGCTGAGAGAAGCCTCCTCCTGAGGTGCTTCTGGAAAGTTGGCATACGTCTTGAGCCTAAGCCGGGGAATCAGCTCTCATCTCGAGACGATTTGTGGTACACGGAGCATTCCTCGAGTTGCTGTGCTGAAATTAGTGTTCCTCTAGACTTGGGACAGTGTTCTCGGGGCATCTCTGGAGTTGCCTGAAGGAAGTCGAGCCACCGGTCGTGTTGAATGGGGAACGGGTTATGGCTCTGGAGTCAATGCAGGGGAATCGGGCCTCATCTGGAGTTGATTTGGGGCACATGGAGCTGCTTTGCGTTGCTGGGGTGACCTCAGGGTCTGTCTCGACTGGTGACAGTGTTCTTGGGGACTGTCTCGAGATCCATTAAGCAAGTCGAAGCTCCTGACTTGTTTGAATGGGATCACGGAAGAGCTCTGCATGCACTGCAGGCGAATGGGGCCACAACTCGCCTCTAGGGGGAAGTCTCATGGTTTTTCTCGAGTTGCGGCGGGGACCTGGGGTATGTTCTCGACTTACGGCGGGGATGGCACTTCAAAACACGAGTTTCTTCAGTGACGTCAGGACTCCTGTCTAGTAACGAGGGACACGTCAGGAATCTCTCCGAGGCTTCGCAGGGCAAAAGGGACGCTTCTCGAGGTGAGGCAGGGCACCCAAGGACCCTTTCCAGTAGCCACAGGGATTTTGGGATTCCTATCAGTATTCAAGAGGAGTCAGGCATCGTCACCTTTCGAACCATGAACTCGGCGTGCCTCTCGAGGTGTCAGCGGGATGTGAGGCATTCTGTCAAAATGAGGCAGGGACCTAGGGCTTTCTCTAAGGTCTCCACAGGGGATTCAGACATCCCTTCATGTTGTGAGATGAAAGACGAGCCTGTATTCAAGCCACTGCAAGGAAATCCGGCCTCCTTTCAAGTTAGGGCTTCTCGCTGTATATTCCCCTTGTGGCAGCAAACTCGGGCTCCCTCCCACATACCTATTGCTGAGAGAAGCCTCCTCCTGAGGTGCTTCTGGAAAGTTGGCATACGTCTTGAGCCTAAGCCAGGGAATCAGCTCTCATCTCGAGACGATTTGGGGTGCACGGAGCATTCCTCGAGTTGCTGTGCTGAAGTTGGTGTTCCTCTAGACTTGGGACAGTGATCTCGGGGCATCTCTGGAGTTGCCTGAAGGAAGTCGAGCCACCGGTCGTGTTGAATGGGGAACGGGGAATGGCTCTGGAGTCAATGCAGGGAAATCGGGCCTCATCTCGAGTTGATTTGGGGCACATGGAGCTGCTTTGCGTTGCTGGGGTGACCTGAGGGTCCGTCTAGACTGGTGACAGTGTTCTTGGGGACTGTCTCGAGATCCATTAAGCAAGTCGAAGCTCCTGACTTGTTTGAATGGGATCACGGAATAGCTCTGCATGCACTGCAGGGGAATGGGGCCTCATCTCGCCTCTAGGGGGAAGTCTCATGGTTTTTGTCGAGTTGCGGCGGGGACCTGGGGTATGTTCTCGACTTACGGCGGGGATGGCCCTTCAAAACACGAGTTTCTTCAGTGACGTCAGGACTCCTGTCTAGTAACGAGGGACACCTCAGGAATCTCTTCGAGGCTTCGCAGGGCAAAAGGGACGCTTCTCGAGGTGAGGCAGGGCACCCAAGGACCCTTTCCAGTAGCCACAGAGATTTTGGGATTCCTATCAGTGTTCAAGAGGAGTCAGGCATCGTCACCTTTTGAACCATGAAATCCGCGTGCCTCTCGAGGTGTCAGCGGGATGTGAGGCATTCCGTCAAAATGAGGCAGGGACCTAGGGCTTTCTCTAAGGTCTCTACAGGGGATTCAGACATCCCTTCATGTTGTGAGATGAAAGACGAGCCTGTATTCCAGCCACTGCAAGGAAATCCGGCCTCCTTTCAAGTTAGGGCTTCTCGCTGTATATTCCCCTTGAGGCAGCAAACTCGGGCTCCCTCTCCCATACCTATTGCTGAGAGAAGCCTCCTCCTGAGGTGCTTCTGGAAAGTTGGCATACGTCTTGAGCCTAAGCCAGGGAATCAGCTCTCATCTCGAGACGATTTGGGGTACACGGAGCATTCCTCGAGTTGCTGTGCTGAAGTTGGTGTTCCTCTAGACTTGGGACAGTGTTCTCGGGGCATCTCTGGAGTTGCCTGAAGGAAGTGGAGCCACGGGTCGTGTTGAATGGGGAAAGGGGAATGGCTCTGGAGTCAATGCAGGGGAATCAGGCCTCATCTCGAGTTGATTTGGGGCACATGGAGCTGCTTTGCATTGCTGGGGTTACCTCAGGGTCCGTCTAGACTGGTGACAGTGTTCTTGGGGACTGTCTCGAGACCCATTAAGCAAGTCGAAGCTCCTGACTTGTTTGAATGGGATCACGGAATAGCTCTGCATGCACTGCAGGGGAATGGGGCCTCATCTCGCCTCTAGGGGGAAGTCTCATGGTTTTTCTCGAGTTGCGGCAGGGACCTGCGGTATGTTCTCGACTTACGGCGGGGATGGCCCTTCAAAACACGAGTTTCTTCAGTGACGTCAGGACTCCTGTCTAGTAACGAGGGACACGTCAGGAATCTCTCCGAGGCTTCGCAGGGCAAAAGGGACGCTTCTCGAGGTGAGGCAGGGCACCCAAGGACCCTTTCCAGTAGCCACAGGGATTTTGGGATTCCTATCAGTATTCAAGAGGAGTCAGGCATCGTCACCTTTTGAACCATGAACTCCGCGTGCCTCTCGATGTGTCAGCGGGATGTGAGGCATTCTGTCAAAATGAGGCAGGGTCCTAGGGCTTTCTCTAAGGTTTCCACAGGGGATTCAGACATCCCTTCATGTTGTGAGATGAAACACGAGCCTGTATTCAAGCCACTGCAAGGAAATCCGGCCTCCTTTCAAGTTAGGGCTTCTCGCTGTATATTCCCCTTGAGGCAGCAAACTCGGGGTCCCTCCCACATAGCTATTGCTGAGAGAAGCCTCCTCCTGAGGTGCTTCTGGAAAGTTGGCATACGTCTTGAGCCTAAGCCAGGGAATCAGCTCTCATCTCGAGACGATTTGGGGTACACGGAGCATTCCTCGAGTTTCTGTGCTGAAGTTGGTGTTCCTCTAGACTTGGGACAGTGTTCTCGGGGCATCTCTGGAGTTGCCTGAAGGAAGTCGAGCCACGGGTCGTGTTGTATGGGGAACGGGGAATGGCTCTGGAGTCAATGCAGGGAAATCGGGCCTCATCTCGAGTTGATTTGGGGCACATGGAGCTGCTTTGCGTTGCTGGGTTGACCTCAGGGTCCGTCTAGACTGGTGACAGTGTTCTTGGGGACTCTCTCGAGATCCATTAAGCAAGTCGAAGCTCCTGACTTGTTTGAATGGGATCACGGAATAGCTCTGCATGCACTGCAGAGGAATGGGGCCTCATCTCGCCTCTAGGGGGAAGTCTCATGGTTTTTCTCGAGTTGCGGCGGGACCTGGGGTATGTTCTCGACTTACGGCGAGGAAGTCACTTCAAAACACGAGTTTCTTCAGTGACGTCAGGACTCCTGTCTAGTAACGAGGGACACGTCAGGAATCTCTCCGAGGCTTCGCAGGGCAAAAGGGACGCTTCTCGAGGTGAGGCAGGGCACCCAAGGACCCTTTCCAGTAGCCACAGGGATTTTGGGATTCCTATCAGTGTTCAAGAGGAGTCAGGCATCGTCACCTTTTGAACCATGAACTCCGCGTGCCTCTCGAGGTGTCAGCGGGATGTGAGGCATTCTGTCAAAATGAGGCAGGGACCTAGGGCTTTCTCTAAGGTCTCCACAGGGGATTCAGACATCCCTTCATGTTGTGAGATGAAAGACGAGCCTGTATTCAAGCCACTGCAAGGAAATCCGGCCTCCTTTCAAGTTAGGGCTTCTCGCTGTATATTCCCCTTGAGGCAGCAAACTCGGGCTCCCTCCCACATACCTATTGCTGAGAGAAGCCTCCTCCTGAGGTGCTTCTGGAAAGTTGGCATACGTCTTGAGCCTAAGCCAGGGAATCAGCTCTCATCTCGAGACGATTTGGGGTACACGGAGCATTCCTCGAGTTGCTGTGTTGAAGTTGGTGTTCCTCTAGACTTGGGACAGTGTTCTCGGGGCATCTCTGCAGGTGCCTGAAGGAAGTCGAGCCACTGGTCGTGTTGAATGGGGAACGGGGAATGGCTCTGGAGTCAATGCAGGGGAATCGGGCCTCATCTATAGTTGATGTGGGGCACATGGAGCTGCTTTGCGTTGCTGGGGTGACCTCAGGGTCCGTCTAGACTGGTGACAGTGTTCTTGGAGACTGTCTCGAGATACATTAAGCAAGTCGAAGCTCCTGACTTGTTTGAATGGGATCACGGAATAGCTCTGCATGCACTGCAGGGGAATGGGGCCTCATCTCGCCTCTAGGGGGAAGTCTCATGGTTTTTCTCGAGTTGCGGCGGGGACCTGGGGTATGTTCTCGACTTACGGCGGGGATGGCCCTTCAAAACACGAGTTTCTTCAGTGAGGTCAGGACTCCTGTCTAGTAACGAGGGATACCTCAGGAATCTCTCCGAGGCTTCGCAGGGCAAAAGGGACGCTTCTCGAGGTGAGGCAGGGCACCCAAGGACCCTTTCCAGTAGCCACAGGGATTTGGGGATTCCTATCAGTATTCAAGAGGAGTCAGGCATCGTCACCTTTTGAACCATGAACGCCGCGTGCCTCTCGAGGTGTCAGCGGGATGTGAGGCATTCTGTCAAAATGAGGCAGGGACCTAGGGCTTTCTCTAAGGTCTCCACAGGGGATTCAGACATCACTTCATGTTGTGAGATGAAAGACGTGCCTGTATTCAAGCCACTGCAAGGAAATCCGGCCTCCTTTCAAGTTAGGGCTTCTCGCTGTATATTCCCCTTGAGGCAGCAAACTCGGGGTCCCTCCCACATACCTATTGCTGAGAGAAGCCTCCTCCTGAGGTACTTCTGGAAAGTTGGCATACGTCTTGAGCCTAAGCCAGGGAATCAGCTCTCATCTCGAGACGATTTGGGGTACACGGAGCATTCCTCGAGTTGCTGTGCTGAAGTTGGCGTTCCTCTAGACTTGGGTCAGTGTTCCCCGGGCATCTCTGGAGTTGCCTGAAGGAAGTCGAGCCACCGGTCGTGTTGAATGGGGAACGGGGAATGGCTCTGGAGTCAATGCAGGGGAATCGGGCCTCATCTCGAGTTGATTTGGGGCACATGGAGCTGCTTTGCGTTGCTGGGGTGACCTCAGGGTCTGTCTCGACTGGTGACAGTGTTCTTGGGGACTGTCTCGAGATCCATTAAGCAAGTCGAAGCTCCTGACTTGTTTGAATGGGATCACGGAATAGCTCTGCATGCACTGCAGGGGAATGGGGCCTCATCTCGCCTCTAGGGGGAAGTCTCATGGTTTTTCTCGAGTTGCGGCGGGGACCTGGGGTATGTTCTCGACTTACGGCGGGGATGGCCCTTCAAAACACGAGTTTCTTCAGTGACATCAGGACTCCTGTCTAGTAACGAGGGACACCTCAGGAATCTCTCCGAGGCTTCGCAGGGCAAAAGGGACGCTTCTCGAGGTGAGGCAGGGCACCCAAGGACCCTTTCCAGTAGCCACAGGGATTTTGGGATACCTATCATTGTTCAAGAAGAGTCAGGCATCGTCACCTTTTGAACCATGAACTCCGCGTGCCTCTCGAGGTGTCAGCGGGATGTGAGGCATTCTGTCAAAATGAGGCAGGGACCTAGGGCTTTCTCTAAGGTCTCCACAGGGGATTCAGACATCCCTTCATGTTGTGAGATGAAAGACGAGCCTGTATTCCAGCCACTGCAAGGAAATCCGGCCTCCTTTCAAGTTAGGGCTTCTCGCTGTATATTCCCCTTGAGGCAGCAAACTCGGGCTCCCTCTCCCATACCTATTGCTGAGAGAAGCCTCCTCCTGAGGTGCTTCTGGAAAGTTGGCATACGTCTTGAGCCTAAGCCAGGGAATCAGCTCTCATCTCGAGACGATTTGGGGTACACGGAGCATTCCTCGAGTTGCTGTGCTGAAGTTGGTGTTCCTCTAGACTTGGGACAGTGTTCTCGGGGCATCTCTGGAGTTGCCTGAAGGAAGTGGAGCCACGGGTCGTGTTGAATGGGGAAAGGGGAATGGCTCTGGAGTCAATGCAGGGGAATCAGGCCTCATCTCGAGTTGATTTGGGGCACATGGAGCTGCTTTGCATTGCTGGGGTTACCTCAGGGTCCGTCTAGACTGGTGACAGTGTTCTTGGGGACTGTCTCGAGACCCATTAAGCAAGTCGAAGCTCCTGACTTGTTTGAATGGGATCACGGAATAGCTCTGCATGCACTGCAGGGGAATGGGGCCTCATCTCGCCTCTAGGGGGAAGTCTCATGGTTTTTCTCGAGTTGCGGCAGGGACCTGCGGTATGTTCTCGACTTACGGCGGGGATGGCCCTTCAAAACACGAGTTTCTTCAGTGACGTCAGGACTCCTGTCTAGTAACGAGGGACACGTCAGGAATCTCTCCGAGGCTTCGCAGGGCAAAAGGGACGCTTCTCGAGGTGAGGCAGGGCACCCAAGGACCCTTTCCAGTAGCCACAGGGATTTTGGGATTCCTATCAGTATTCAAGAGGAGTCAGGCATCGTCACCTTTTGAACCATGAACTCCGCGTGCCTCTCGATGTGTCAGCGGGATGTGAGGCATTCTGTCAAAATGAGGCAGGGTCCTAGGGCTTTCTCTAAGGTTTCCACAGGGGATTCAGACATCCCTTCATGTTGTGAGATGAAACACGAGCCTGTATTCAAGCCACTGCAAGGAAATCCGGCCTCCTTTCAAGTTAGGGCTTCTCGCTGTATATTCCCCTTGAGGCAGCAAACTCGGGGTCCCTCCCACATAGCTATTGCTGAGAGAAGCCTCCTCCTGAGGTGCTTCTGGAAAGTTGGCATACGTCTTGAGCCTAAGCCAGGGAATCAGCTCTCATCTCGAGACGATTTGGGGTACACGGAGCATTCCTCGAGTTTCTGTGCTGAAGTTGGTGTTCCTCTAGACTTGGGACAGTGTTCTCGGGGCATCTCTGGAGTTGCCTGAAGGAAGTCGAGCCACGGGTCGTGTTGTATGGGGAACGGGGAATGGCTCTGGAGTCAATGCAGGGAAATCGGGCCTCATCTCGAGTTGATTTGGGGCACATGGAGCTGCTTTGCGTTGCTGGGTTGACCTCAGGGTCCGTCTAGACTGGTGACAGTGTTCTTGGGGACTCTCTCGAGATCCATTAAGCAAGTCGAAGCTCCTGACTTGTTTGAATGGGATCACGGAATAGCTCTGCATGCACTGCAGAGGAATGGGGCCTCATCTCGCCTCTAGGGGGAAGTCTCATGGTTTTTCTCGAGTTGCGGCGGGACCTGGGGTATGTTCTCGACTTACGGCGAGGAAGTCACTTCAAAACACGAGTTTCTTCAGTGACGTCAGGACTCCTGTCTAGTAACGAGGGACACGTCAGGAATCTCTCCGAGGCTTCGCAGGGCAAAAGGGACGCTTCTCGAGGTGAGGCAGGGCACCCAAGGACCCTTTCCAGTAGCCACAGGGATTTTGGGATTCCTATCAGTGTTCAAGAGGAGTCAGGCATCGTCACCTTTTGAACCATGAACTCCGCGTGCCTCTCGAGGTGTCAGCGGGATGTGAGGCATTCTGTCAAAATGAGGCAGGGACCTAGGGCTTTCTCTAAGGTCTCCACAGGGGATTCAGACATCCCTTCATGTTGTGAGATGAAAGACGAGCCTGTATTCAAGCCACTGCAAGGAAATCCGGCCTCCTTTCAAGTTAGGGCTTCTCGCTGTATATTCCCCTTGAGGCAGCAAACTCGGGCTCCCTCCCACATACCTATTGCTGAGAGAAGCCTCCTCCTGAGGTGCTTCTGGAAAGTTGGCATACGTCTTGAGCCTAAGCCAGGGAATCAGCTCTCATCTCGAGACGATTTGGGGTACACGGAGCATTCCTCGAGTTGCTGTGTTGAAGTTGGTGTTCCTCTAGACTTGGGACAGTGTTCTCGGGGCATCTCTGCAGGTGCCTGAAGGAAGTCGAGCCACTGGTCGTGTTGAATGGGGAACGGGGAATGGCTCTGGAGTCAATGCAGGGGAATCGGGCCTCATCTATAGTTGATGTGGGGCACATGGAGCTGCTTTGCGTTGCTGGGGTGACCTCAGGGTCCGTCTAGACTGGTGACAGTGTTCTTGGAGACTGTCTCGAGATACATTAAGCAAGTCGAAGCTCCTGACTTGTTTGAATGGGATCACGGAATAGCTCTGCATGCACTGCAGGGGAATGGGGCCTCATCTCGCCTCTAGGGGGAAGTCTCATGGTTTTTCTCGAGTTTCGGCGGGGACCTGGGGTATGTTCTCGACTTACGGCGGGGATGGCCCTTCAAAACACGAGTTTCTTCAGTGAGGTCAGGACTCCTGTCTAGTAACGAGGGATACCTCAGGAATCTCTCCGAGGCTTCGCAGGGCAAAAGGGACGCTTCTCGAGGTGAGGCAGGGCACCCAAGGACCCTTTCCAGTAGCCACAGGGATTTGGGGATTCCTATCAGTATTCAAGAGGAGTCAGGCATCGTCACCTTTTGAACCATGAACGCCGCGTGCCTCTCGAGGTGTCAGCGGGATGTGAGGCATTCTGTCAAAATGAGGCAGGGACCTAGGGCTTTCTCTAAGGTCTCCACAGGGGATTCAGACATCACTTCATGTTGTGAGATGAAAGACGTGCCTGTATTCAAGCCACTGCAAGGAAATCCGGCCTCCTTTCAAGTTAGGGCTTCTCGCTGTATATTCCCCTTGAGGCAGCAAACTCGGGGTCCCTCCCACATACCTATTGCTGAGAGAAGCCTCCTCCTGAGGTACTTCTGGAAAGTTGGCATACGTCTTGAGCCTAAGCCAGGGAATCAGCTCTCATCTCGAGACGATTTGGGGTACACGGAGCATTCCTCGAGTTGCTGTGCTGAAGTTGGCGTTCCTCTAGACTTGGGTCAGTGTTCCCCGGGCATCTCTGGAGTTGCCTGAAGGAAGTCGAGCCACCGGTCGTGTTGAATGGGGAACGGGGAATGGCTCTGGAGTCAATGCAGGGGAATCGGGCCTCATCTCGAGTTGATTTGGGGCACATGGAGCTGCTTTGCGTTGCTGGGGTGACCTCAGGGTCTGTCTCGACTGGTGACAGTGTTCTTGGGGACTGTCTCGAGATCCATTAAGCAAGTCGAAGCTCCTGACTTGTTTGAATGGGATCACGGAATAGCTCTGCATGCACTGCAGGGGAATGGGGCCTCATCTCGCCTCTAGGGGGAAGTCTCATGGTTTTTCTCGAGTTGCGGCGGGGACCTGGGGTATGTTCTCGACTTACGGCGGGGATGGCCCTTCAAAACACGAGTTTCTTCAGTGACATCAGGACTCCTGTCTAGTAACGAGGGACACCTCAGGAATCTCTCCGAGGCTTCGCAGGGCAAAAGGGACGCTTCTCGAGGTGAGGCAGGGCACCCAAGGACCCTTTCCAGTAGCCACAGGGATTTTGGGATACCTATCATTGTTCAAGAAGAGTCAGGCATCGTCACCTTTTGAACCATGAACTCCGCGTGCCTCTCGAGGTGTCAGCGGGATGTGAGGCATTCTGTCAAAATGAGGCAGGGACCTAGGGCTTTCTCTAAGGTCTCCACAGGGGATTCAGACATCACTTCATGTTGTGAGATGAAAGACGTGCCTGTATTCAAGCCACTGCAAGGAAATCCGGCCTCCTTTCAAGTTAGGGCTTCTCGCTGTATATTCCCCTTGAGGCAGCAAACTCGGGGTCCCTCCCACATACCTATTGCTGAGAGAAGTCTCCTCCTGAGGTGCTTCTGGAAAGTTGGCATACGTCTTGAGCCTAAGCCAGGGAATCAGCTCTCATCTTGAGACGATTTGGGGTACACGGAGCATTCCTCGAGTTGCTGTGCTGAAGTTGGTGTTCCTCTAGCCTTGGGACAGTGTTATCGGGGCATCTCTGGAGTTGCCTGAAGGAAGTCGAGCCACGGGTCGTGTTGAATGGGGAATGGGGAATGGCTCTGGAGTCAATGCAGGGAAATCGGGCCTCATCTCGAGTTGATTTGGGGCACATGGAGCTGCTTTGCGTTGCTGGTGTGACCTCAGGGTCCGTCTAGACTGGTGACAGTGTTCTTGGGGACTCTCTCGAGATCCATTAAGCAAGTCGAAGCTCCTGACTTGTTTGAATGGGATCACGGAATAGCTCTGCATGCACTGCAGAGGAATGGGGCCTCATCTCGCCTCTAGGGGGAAGTCTCATGGTTTTTCTAGAGTTGCGACGGGGACCTGGGTTATGTTCTCGACTTACGGCGGGGATGTCACTTCAAAACACGAGTTTCTTCAGTGACGTCAGGACTCCTGTCTAGTAACGAGGGACACGTCAGGAATCTCTCCGAGGCTTCGCAGGGCAAAAGGGACGCTTCTCGAGGTGAGGCAGGGCACCCAAGGACCCTTTCCAGTAGCCACAGGGATTTTGGGATTCCTATCAGTATTCAAGAGGAGTCAGGCATCGTCACCTTTTGAACCATGAACTCCGCGTGCCTCTCGAGGTGTCAGCGGGATGTGAGGCATTCTGTCAAAATGAGGCAGGGACCTAGGGCTTTCTCTAAGGTCTCCACAGGGGATTCAGGCATCCCTTCATATTGTGAGATGAAAGACGAGCCTGTATTCAAGCCACTGCAAGGAAATCCGGCCTCCTTTCAAGTTAGGGCTTCTCGCTGTATATTCCCCTTGAGGCAGCAAACTCGGGGTCCCTCCCACATACCTATTGCTGAGAGAATCCTCCTCCTGAGGTGCTTCTGGAAAGTTGGCATACGTCTTGAGCCTAAGCCAGGGAATCAGCTCTCATCTCGAGACGATTTGGGGTACTCGGAGCATTCCTCGATTTGCTGTTCTGAAGTTGGTGTTCCTCTAGACTTGGGACAGTGTTCTCGGGGCATCTCTGGAGTTGCCTGAAGGAAGTCGAGCCACTGGTCGTGTTGAATGGGGAACGGGGAATGGCTCTGGAGTCAATGCAGGGGAATCGGGCCTCATCTATAGTTGATGTGGGGCACATGGAGCTGCTTTGCGTTGCTGGGGTGACCTCAGGGTCCGTCTAGACTGGTGACAGTGTTCTTGGGGACTGTCTCGAGATCCATTAAGCAAGTCGAAGCTCCTGACTTGTTTGAATGGGATCACGGAATAGCTCTGCATGCACTGCAGGGGAATGGGGCCTCATCTCGCCTCTAGGGGGAAGTCTCATGGTTTTTCTCGAGTTGCGGCGGGGACCTGGGGTATGTTCTCGACTTACGGCGGGGATGGCCCTTCAAAACACGAGTTTCTTCAGTGAGGTCAGGACTCCTGTCTAGTAACGAGGGATACCTCAGGAATCTCTCCGAGGCTTCGCAGGGCAAAAGGGACGCTTCTCGAGGTGAGGCAGGGCACCCAAGGAACCTTTCCAGTAGCCACAGGGATTTTGGGATTCCTATCAGTATTCAAGAGGAGTCAGGCAACGTCACCTTTTGAACCATGAACGCCGCGTGCCTCTCGAGGTGTCAGCGGGATGTGAGGCATTCTGTCAAAATGAGGCAGGGACCTAGGGCTTTCTCTAAGGTCTCCACAGGGGATTCAGACATCACTTCATGTTGTGAGATGAAAGACGTGCCTGTATTCAAGCCACTGCAAGGAAATCCTGCCTCCTTTCAAGTTAGGGCTTCTCGCTGTATATTCCCCTTGAGGCAGCAAACTCGCAGTCCCTCCCACATACCCATTGCTGAGAGAAGCCTCCTCCTGAGGTGCTTCTGGAAAGTTGGCATACGTCTTGAGCCTAAGCCAGGGAATCAGCTCTCATCTTGAGACGATTTGGGGTACACGGAATATTCCTCGAGTTGCTGTGCTGAAGTTGGTGTTCCTCTAGACTTGGGACAGTGTTCTCGGGGCATCTCTGGAGTTGCCTGAAGGAAGTCGAGCCACCGGTCGTGTTGAATGGGGAACGGGGAATGGCTCTGGAGTCAATGCAGGGAAATGGGGCCTCATCTCGAGTTGATTTGGGGCACATGGAGCTGCTTTGCGTTGCTGGGGTGACCTCAGGATCCGTCTAGACTGGTAACAGTGTTCTTGGGGACTGTCTCGAGATCCATTAAGCAAGTCGAAGCACCTGACTTGTTTGAATGGGATCACGGAATAGCTCTGCATGCACTGCAGGGGAATGGGGCCTCATCTCGCCTCTAGGGGGAAGTCTCATTGTTTTTCTCGAGTTTTGGCGGGGACCTGGGGTATGTTCTCGACTTACATCGGGGATGGCCCTTCAAAACACGAGTTTCTTCAGTGACGTCAGGACTCCTGTCTAGTAACGAGGGACACGTCAGGAATCTCTCCGAGGCTTCGCAGGGCAAAAGGGAGCCTTCTCGAGGTGAGGCAGGGCACCCAAGGACCCTTTCCAGTAGCCACAGGGATTTGGGGATTCCTATCAGTATTCAAGAGGAGTCAGGCATCGTCACCTTTTGAAGCAATGAACTCCGCGTGCCTCTCGAGGTGTCAGCGGGATGTGAGGCATTCTGTCAAAATGAGGCAGGGACCTAGGGCTTTCTCTATGGTCTCCACACGGGATACAGACATCACTTCATGTTGTGAGATGAAAGACGTGCCTGTATTCAAGCCACTGCAAGGAAATCCGGCCTCCTTTCAAGTTAGGGCTTCTCGCTGTATATTCCCCTTGAGGCAGCAAACTCAGGGTCCCTGCCACATACATATTGCTGAGAGAAGCCTCCTCCTGAGGTGCTTCTGGAAAGTTGGCATACGTCTTGAACCTAAGCCAGGGAATCAGCTCTCATCTTGAGACGATTTGGGGTACACGGAGCATTCCTCGAGTTTCTGTGCTGAAGTTGGTGTTCCTCTAGACTTGGGACAGTGTCCTCGGGGCATCTCTGGAGTTGCCTGAAGGAAGTCGTGCCACCGGTCGTGTTGAATGGGGAACGGGGAATGGCTCTGGAGTCAATGCAGGGGAATCGGGCCTCATCTCGAGTTGATTTGGGGCACATGGAGCTGCTTTGCTTTGCTGGGGTGACCTCAGGGTCCGTCTAGACTGGTGACAGTGTTCTTGGGGACTGTCTCGAGATCCATTAAGCAAGTCGAAGCTCCTGACTTGTTTGAATGGGATCACAGAATAGCTCTGCATGCACTGCAGGGGAATGGGGCCTCATCTCGCCTCTAGGGGGAAGTCTCATGGTTTTTCTCGAGTTGCGGCGGGGACCTGGGGTATGTTCTCGACTTACGGCGGGGATGGCCCTTCAAAACACGAGTTTCTTCAGTGACGTCAGGACTCCTGTCTAATAACGAGGGACACCTCAGGAATCTCTCCGAGGCTTCGCAGGGCAAAAGGGACGCTTCTCGAGGTGAGGCAGGGCACCCAAGGCCCCTTTCCAGTAGCCACAGGGATTTTGGGATTCCTATCAGTGTTCAAGAGGAGTCAGGCATCGTCACCTTTTGAAGCAATGAACTCCGCGTGCCTCTCGAGGTGTCAGCGGGATGTGAGGCATTCCGTGAAAAGGAGGCAGGGACCTAGGGCTTTCTCTAAGGTCTCCACAGGGGATTCAGACATCCCTTCATGTTGTGAGATGAAAGACGAGCCTGTATTCAAGCCATTGCAAGGAAATCCGGCCTCCTTTCAAGTTAGGGTTTCTCGCTGTATATTCCCCTTGTGGCAGCAAACTCGGGCTCCCTCCCACATACCTATTGCTGAGAGAAGCCTCCTCCTGAGGTGCTTCTGGAAAGTTGGCATACGTCTTGAGCCTAAGCCAGGGAATCAGCTCTCATCTCGAGACGATTTGGGGTACACGGAGCATTCCTCGAGTTGCTGTGCTGAAGTTGGTGTTCCTCTAGACTGGGGACAGTGTTCTCGGGGCATCTCTGGAGTTGCCTGGAGGAAGTCGAGCCACCGGTCGTGTTGAATGGGGAACGGGGAATGGCTCTGGAGTCAATGCAGGGTAATCGGGCGTCATCTCGAGTTGATTTGGGGCACATGGAGTTGCATTGCGTTGCTGGGGTGACCTCAGGGTCCGTCTAGACTGGTAACAGTGTTCTTGGGGACTGTCTCGAGATCCATTAAGCAAGTCGAAGCTCCTGACTTGTTTGAATGGGATCACGGAATAGCTCTGCATGCACTGCAGGGGAATGGGGCCTCATCTCGCCTCTAGGGGGAAGTCTCATGGTTTTTCTCGAGTTGCGGCGGGGACCTGGGTTATGTTCTCGACTTACGGCGGGGATGGCACTTCAAAACACGAGTTTCTTCAGTGACGTCAGGACTCCTGTCTAGTAACGAGGGACACCTCAGGAATCTCTCCGAGGCTTCGCAGGGCAAAAGGGACGCTTCTCGAGGTGAGGCAGGGCACCCAAGGAGCCTTTCCAGTAGCCACAGGGATTTGGGGATTCCTATCAGTATTCAAGAGGAGTCAGGCATCGTCACCTTTTGAGCCATCAACGCTGCGTGCCTCTCGAGGTGTCAGCGGGATATGAGGCATTCTGTCAAAATGATGCAGGGACCTAGGACTTTCTCTAAGGTCTCCACAGGGGATTCAGACATCACTTCATGTTGTGAGATGAAAGACGTGCCAGTATTCAAGCCACTGCAAGGAAATCCGTCCTCCTTTCAAGTTAGTGCTTCTCGCTGTATATTCCCCTTGAGGCAGCAAACTCGGGGTCCCTCCCACATACCTATTGCTGAGAGAAGCCTCCTCCTGAGGTGCTTCTGGAAAGTTGGCATACGTCTTGAGCCTAAGCCAGGGAATCAGCTCTCATCTTGAGACGATTTGGGGTACACGGAACATTCCTCGAGTTGCTGTGCTGAAGTTGGTGTTCCTCTAGACTTGGGGCAGTGTTCTCGGGGCATCTCTGGAGTTGCCTGAAGGAAGTCGAGCCACCGGTCGTGTTGAATGGGGAACAGGGAATGGCTCTGGAGTCAATGCAGGGAAATCGGGCCTCATCTCGAGTTGATTTGGGGCACATGGAGATGCTTTGCGTTGCTGGGGTGACCTCAGGGTCTGTCTAGACTGGTGACAGTGTTCTTGGGGACTGTCTCGAGATCCATTAAGCAAGTCGATGCTCCTGACTTGTTTGAATGGGATCACGGAATAGCTCTGCATGCACTGCAGGGGAATGGGGCCTCATCTCGCCTCTAGGGGGAAGTCTCATGGTTTTTCTCGAGTTGCGGCGGGGACCTGGGGTATGTTCTCGACTTACATCGGGGATGGCCCTTCAAAACACGAGTTTCTTCAGTGACGTCAGGACTCCTGTCTAGTAACGAGGGATACCTCAGGAATCTCTTCGAGGGTTGGCAGGGCAAAAGGGACGCTTGTCGAGGTGAGGCAGGGCACCCAAGGACCCTTTCCAGTAGCCACAGGGATTTGGGGATTCCTATCAGTATTCAAGAGGAGTCAGGCATCGTCACCTTTTGAAGCAATGAACTCTGCGTGCCTCTCGAGGTGTCAGCGGGATGCGAGGCATTCCGTCAAAATGAGGCAGGGACCTAGGGCTTTCTCTAAGGTCTCTACAGGGGATTCAGACATCCCTTCTTGTTGTGAGATGAAAGACGAGCCTGTATTCAAGCCACTGCAAGGAAATCCGGCCTCCTTTCAAGTTAGGGCCTCTCGGTGTATATTCCCCTTGAGGCAGCAAACTCGGGGTCCCTCCCACATAGCTATTGCTGAGAGAAGCCTCCTCCTGAGGTGCTTCTGGAAAGTTGGCATACGTCTTGAGCCTAAGCCAGGGAATCAGCTCTCATCTCGAGACGATTTGGGGTACACGGAGCATTCCTCGAGTTGCTGTGCTGAAGTTGGTGTTCCTCTAGACTGGGGACAGTGTTCTCGGGGCATCTCTGGAGTTGCCTGGAGGAAGTGGAGCCACCGGTCGTGTTGAATGGGGAACGGGGAATGGCTCTGGAGTCAATGCAGGGTAATCGGGCGTCATCTCGAGTTGATTTGGGGCACATGGAGTTGCATTGCGTTGCTGGGGTGACCTCAGGGTCCGTCTAGACTGGTAACAGTGTTCTTGGGGACTGTCTCGAGATCCATTAAGCAAGTCGAAGCTCCTGACTTGTTTGAATGGGATCACGGAATAGCTCTGCATGCACTGCAGGGGAATGGGGCCTCATCTCGCCTCTAGGGGGAAGTCTCATGGTTTTTCTCGAGTTGCGGCGGGGACCTGGGGTATGTTCTCGACTTACGGCGGGGATGGCACTTCAAAACACGAGTTTCTTCAGTGACGTCAGGACTCCTGTCTAGTAACGAGGGACACCTCAGGAATCTCTCCGAGGCTTCGCAGGGCAAAAGGGACGCTTCTCGAGGTGAGGCAGGGCACCCAAGGACCCTTTCCAGTAGCCACAGGGATTTGGGGATTCCTATCAGTATTCAAGAGGAGTCAGGCATCGTCACCTTTTGAGCCATCAACGCTGCGTGCCTCTCGAGGTGTCAGCGGGATATGAGGCATTCTGTCAAAATGATGCAGGGACCTAGGACTTTCTCTAAGGTCTCCACAGGGGATTCAGACATCACTTCATGTTGTGAGATGAAAGACGTGCCTGTATTCAAGCCACTGCAAGGAAATCCGTCCTCCTTTCAAGTTAGGGCTTCTCGCTGTATATTCCCCTTGAGGCAGCAAACTCGGGGTCCCTCCCACATACCTATTGCTGAGAGAAGCCTCATCCTGAGGTGCTTCTGGAAAGTTGGCATACGTCTTGAGCCTAAGCCAGGGAATCAGCTCTCATCTTGAGACGATTTGGGGTACACGGAGCATTCCTCGTGTTGCTGTGTTGAAATTGGTGTTCCTCTAGACTTGGGACAGTGTTCTCGGGGCATCTCTGGAGTTGCCTGAAGGAAGTCGAGCCACCGGTCGTGTTGAATGGGGAACGGGGAATGGCTCTGGAGTCAATGCAGGGGAATCGGGCCTCATCTCGATTTGATGTGGGGCACATGGAGCTGCTTTGCGTTGCTGGGTGACCTCAGGGTCCGTCTAGACTGGTGACAGTGTTCTTGGGGACTGTCTCGAGATACATTAAGCAAGTCGAAGCTCCTGACTTGTTTGAATGGGATCACGGAATAGCTCTGCATGCACTGCAGGGGAATGGGGCCTCATCTCGCCTCTAGGGGGAAGTCTCATGGTTTTTCTCGAGTTTCGGCGGGGACCTGGGGTATGTTCTCGACTTACGGCGGGGATGGCCCTTCAAAACACGAGTTTCTTCAGTGAGGTCAGGACTCCTGTCTAGTAACGAGGGATACCTCAGGAATCTCTCCGAGACTTCGCAGGGCAAAAGGGACGCTTCTCGAGGTGAGGCAGGGCACCCAAGGACCCTTTCCAGTAGCCACAGGGATTTGGGGATTCCTATCAGTATTCAAGAGGAGTCAGGCATCGTCACCTTTTGAACCATGAACGCCGCGTGCCTCTCGAGGTGTCAGCGGGATGTGAGGCATTCTTTCAAAATGAGGCAGGGACCTAGGGCTTTCTCTAAGGTCTCCACAGGGGATTCAGACATCACTTCATGTTGTGAGATGAAAGACGAGCCTGTATTCAAGCCACTGCAAGGAAATCCGGCCTTCTTTCAAGTTAGGGCTTCTCGCTGTATATTCCCCTTGAGGCAGCAAACTCGGGCTCCCTCCCACATATCTATTGCTGAGAGAAGCCTGCTCCTGAGGTGCTTCTGGAAAGTTGGCATACGTCTTGAGCCTAAGCCAGGGAATCAGCTCTCATCTCGAGACGATTTGTGGTACACGGAGCATTCCTCGAGTTGCTGTGCTGAAGTTGGTGTTCCTCTAGACTTGGGACAGTGTTCTCGGGGCATCTCTGTAGTTGCCTGAAGGAAGTCGAGCCACCGGTCGTGTTGAATGGGGAACTGGTTATGGCTCTGGAGTCAATGCAGGGGAATCGGGCCTCATCTCGAGTTGATTTGGGGGACATGGAGCTGCTTTGCGTTGCTGGGGTGACCTCAGGGTCTGTCTCGACTGGTGACAGTGTTCTTGGGGACTGTCTCGAGATCCATTAAGCAAGTCGAAGCTCCTGACTTGTTTGAATGGGATCACGGAATAGCTCTGCATGCACTGCAGGCGAATGGGGCCACAACTCGCCTCTAGGGGGAAGTCTCATGGTTTTTCTCGAGTTGCGGCGGGGACCTGGGGTATGTTCTCGACTTACGGCGGGGATGGCACTTCAAAACACGAGTTTCTTCAGTGACGTCAGGACTCCTGTCTAGTAATGAGGGATACCTCAGGAATCTCTTCGAGGGTTGGCAGGGCAAAAGGGACGCTTCTCGAGGTGAGGCAGGGCACCCAAGGACCCTTTCCAGTAGCCACAGGGATTTTGGGATTCCTATCAGTATTCATGAGGAGTCAGGCATCGTCACCTTTTGAAGCAATGAAGTCTGCGTGCCTCTCGAGGTGTCAGCGGGATGTGAGGCATTCCGTCAAAATGAGGCAGGGACCTAGGGCTTTCTCTAAGGTCACTACAATGGATTCAGACATCCCTTCATGTTGTGAGATGAAAGACGAGCCTGTATTCAAGCCACTGCAAGGAAATCCGGCCTTCTTTCAAGTTAGGGCTTCTCGCTGTATATTCCCCTTGAGGCAGCAAACTCGGGCTCCCTCCCACATACCTATTGCTGAGAGAAGCCTCCTCCTGAGGTGCTTTTGGAAAGTTGGCATACGTCTTGAGCCTAAGCCAGGGAATCAGCTCTCATCTCGAGACGATTTGGGGTACACGGAGCATTCCTCGAGTTGCTGTGCTGAAGTTGGTTTTCCTCTAGACTTGGGACAGTGTTCTCGGGGCATCTCTGGAGTTGCCTGAAGGAAGTCGAGCCACCGGTCGTGTTGAATGGGGAACGGGGAATGGCTCTGGAGTCAATGCAGGGGAATCGGGCCTCATCTGGAGTTGATTTGGGGCACATGGAGCTGCTTTGCGTTGCTGGGGTGACCTCAGGGTCCGTCTAGACTGGTGACAGTGTTCTTGGGGAATGTCTCGAGATCCATTAAGCAAGTCGAAGCTCCTGACTTGTTTGAATGGGATCACGGAATAGCTCTGCATGCACTGCAGGGAAATGGGGCCTCATCTCGCCTCTAGGGGGAAGTCTCATGGTTTTTCTCGAGTTTCGGCGGGGACATGGGGTATGTTCTCGACTAACGGCGGGGATGGCACTTCAAAACACGAGTTTCTTCAGTGACGTCAGGACTCCTGTCTAGTAACGAGGGACACCTCAGGAATCTCTCCGAGGCTTCACAGGGCAAAAGGGACGCTTCTCGAGGTGAGGCAGGGCACCCAAGGACCCTTTCCAGTAGCCACAGCGATTTTGGGATTCCTATCAGTATTCAAGAGGAGTCAGGCATCGTCACCTTTTGAAGCAATGAACTCCGCGTGCCTCTCGAGGTGTCAGCGGGATGTGAGGCATTCCGTCAAAATGAGGCAGGGACCTAGGGCTTTCTCTAAGGTCTCCACAGGGGATTCAGACATCCGTTTATGTTGTGAGATGAAAGACGAGCCTGTATTCAAGCCACTGCAAGGAAATCCGGCCTCCTTTCATGTTAGGGCTTCTCGCTGTATATTCCCCTTGAGGCAGCAAACTCGGGCTCCCTCCCACATACCTATTGCTGAGAGAAGCCTCCTCCTGAGGTGCTTCTGGAAAGTTGGCATACGTCTTGAGCCTAAGCCAGGGAATCAGCTCTCATCTCGAGCCGATTTGGGGTACACAGAGCATTCCTCGAGTTGCTGTGCTGAAGTTGGTGTTCCTCTAGACTTGGGACAGTGTTCTCGGGGCATCTCTGGAGTTGCCTGAAGGAAGTCGAGCCACCGGTCGTGTTGAATGGGGAACGGGGAATGGCTCTGGAGTCAATGCAGGGGAATCGGGCCTCATCTCGAGTTGATTTGGGGCACATGGAGCTGCTTTGCGTTGCTGGGGTGACCTCAGGGTCCGTCTAGACTGGTGACAGTGTTCTTGGGGACTGTCTCGAGATCCATTAAGCAAGTCGAAGCTCCTGACTTGTTTGAATGGGATCACGGAATAGCTCTGCATGCACTGCAGGGAAATGGGGCCTCATCTCGCCTCTAGGGGGAAGTCTCATTGTTTTTCTCGAGTTTTGGCGGGGACATGGGGTATGTTCTCGACTTACGGCGGGGATGGCCCTTCAAAACACGAGTTTCTTCAGTGACGTCAGGACTCCTGTCTAGTAACGAGGGACACCTCAGGAATCTCTCCGAGGCTTCGCAGGGCAAAAGGGACGCTTCTCGAGGTGAGGCAGGGCACCCAAGGACCCTTTCCAGTAGCCACAGGGATTTTGGGATTCCTATCAGTATTCAAGAGGAGTCAGGCATCGTCACCTTTTGAAGCAATGAACTCCGCGTGCCTCTCGAGGTGTCAGCGGGATGTGAGGCATTCCGTCAAAATGAGGCAGGGACCTAGGGCTTTCTCTAAGGTCTCCACAGGGGATTCAGACATCCCTTTATGTTGTGAGATGAAAGACGAGCCTGTATTCAAGCCACTGTAAGGAAATCCGGCCTCCTTTCATGTTAGGGCTTCTCGCTGTATATTCCCCTTGAGGCAGCAAACTCGGGCTCCCTCCCACATACCTACTGCTGAGAGAAGCCTCCTCCTGAGGTGCTTCTGGAAAGTTGGCATACGTCTTGAGCCTAAGCCGGGGAATCAGCTCTCATCTCGAGACGATTTGTGGTACACGGAGCATTCCTCGAGTTGCTGTGCTGAAATTAGTGTTCCTCTAGACTTGGGACAGTGTTCTCGGGGCATCTCTGGAGTTGCCTGAAGGAAGTCGAGCCACCGGTCGTGTTGAATGGGGAACGGGTTATGGCTCTGGAGTCAATGCAGGGGAATCGGGCCTCATCTGGAGTTGATTTGGGGCACATGGAGCTGCTTTGCGTTGCTGGGGTGACCTCAGGGTCTGTCTCGACTGGTGACAGTGTTCTTGGGGACTGTCTCGAGATCCATTAAGCAAGTCGAAGCTCCTGACTTGTTTGAATGGGATCACGGAAGAGCTCTGCATGCACTGCAGGCGAATGGGGCCACAACTCGCCTCTAGGGGGAAGTCTCATGGTTTTTCTCGAGTTCGGCGGGGACCTGGGGTATGTTCTCGACTTACGGCGGGGATGGCACTTCAAAACACGAGTTTCTTCAGTGACGTCAGGACTCCTGTCTAGTAACGAGGGACACGTCAGGAATATCTCCGAGGCTTCGCAGGGCAAAAGGGACGCTTCTCGAGGTGAGGCAGGGCACCCAAGGACCCTTTCCAGTAGCCACAGGGATTTTGGGATTCCTATCAGTATTCAAGAGGAGTCAGGCATCGTCACCTTTCGAACCATGAACTCGGCGTGCCTCTCGAGGTGTCAGCGGGATGTGAGGCATTCTGTCAAAATGAGGCAGGGACCTAGGGCTTTCTCTAAGGTCTCCACAGGGGATTCAGACATCCCTTCATGTTGTGAGATGAAAGACGAGCCTGTATTCAAGCCACTGCAAGGAAATCCGGCCTCCTTTCAAGTTAGGGCTTCTCGCTGTATATTCCCCTTGTGGCAGCAAACTCGGGCTCCCTCCCACATACCTATTGCTGAGAGAAGCCTCCTCCTGAGGTGCTTCTGGAAAGTTGGCATACGTCTTGAGCCTAAGCCAGGGAATCAGCTCTCATCTCGAGACGATTTGGGGTGCACGGAGCATTCCTCGAGTTGCTGTGCTGAAGTTGGTGTTCCTCTAGACTTGGGACAGTGATCTCGGGGCATCTCTGGAGTTGCCTGAAGGAAGTCGAGCCACCGGTCGTGTTGAATGGGGAACGGGGAATGGCTCTGGAGTCAATGCAGGGAAATCGGGCCTCATCTCGAGTTGATTTGGGGCACATGGAGCTGCTTTGCGTTGCTGGGGTGACCTGAGGGTCCGTCTAGACTGGTGACAGTGTTCTTGGGGACTGTCTCGAGATCCATTAAGCAAGTCGAAGCTCCTGACTTGTTTGAATGGGATCACGGAATAGCTCTGCATGCACTGCAGGGGAATGGGGCCTCATCTCGCCTCTAGGGGGAAGTCTCATGGTTTTTGTCGAGTTGCGGCGGGGACCTGGGGTATGTTCTCGACTTACGGCGGGGATGGCCCTTCAAAACACGAGTTTCTTCAGTGACGTCAGGACTCCTGTCTAGTAACGAGGGACACCTCAGGAATCTCTTCGAGGCTTCGCAGGGCAAAAGGGACGCTTCTCGAGGTGAGGCAGGGCACCCAAGGACCCTTTCCAGTAGCCACAGAGATTTTGGGATTCCTATCAGTGTTCAAGAGGAGTCAGGCATCGTCACCTTTTGAACCATGAAATCCGCGTGCCTCTCGAGGTGTCAGCGGGATGTGAGGCATTCCGTCAAAATGAGGCAGGGACCTAGGGCTTTCTCTAAGGTCTCTACAGGGGATTCAGACATCCCTTCATGTTGTGAGATGAAAGACGAGCCTGTATTCCAGCCACTGCAAGGAAATCCGGCCTCCTTTCAAGTTAGGGCTTCTCGCTGTATATTCCCCTTGAGGCAGCAAACTCGGGCTCCCTCTCCCATACCTATTGCTGAGAGAAGCCTCCTCCTGAGGTGCTTCTGGAAAGTTGGCATACGTCTTGAGCCTAAGCCAGGGAATCAGCTCTCATCTCGAGACGATTTGGGGTACACGGAGCATTCCTCGAGTTGCTGTGCTGAAGTTGGTGTTCCTCTAGACTTGGGACAGTGTTCTCGGGGCATCTCTGGAGTTGCCTGAAGGAAGTGGAGCCACGGGTCGTGTTGAATGGGGAAAGGGGAATGGCTCTGGAGTCAATGCAGGGGAATCAGGCCTCATCTCGAGTTGATTTGGGGCACATGGAGCTGCTTTGCATTGCTGGGGTTACCTCAGGGTCCGTCTAGACTGGTGACAGTGTTCTTGGGGACTGTCTCGAGACCCATTAAGCAAGTCGAAGCTCCTGACTTGTTTGAATGGGATCACGGAATAGCTCTGCATGCACTGCAGGGGAATGGGGCCTCATCTCGCCTCTAGGGGGAAGTCTCATGGTTTTTCTCGAGTTGCGGCAGGGACCTGGGGTATGTTCTCGACTTACGGCGGGGATGGCACTTCAAAACACGAGTTTCTTCAGTGACGTCAGGACTCCTGTCTAGTAACGAGGGACACGTCAGGAATCTCTCCGAGGCTTCGCAGGGCAAAAGGGACGCTTCTCGAGGTGAGGCAGGGCACCCAAGGACCCTTTCCAGTAGCCACAGGGATTTTGGGATTCCTATCAGTATTCAAGAGGAGTCAGGCATCGTCACCTTTTGAACCATGAACTCCTCGTGCCTCTCGATGTGTCAGCGGGATGTGAGGCATTCTGTCAAAATGAGGCAGGGTCCTAGGGCTTTCTCTAAGGTTTCCACAGGGGATTCAGACATCCCTTCATGTTGTGAGATGAAACACGAGCCTGTATTCAAGCCACTGCAAGGAAATCCGGCCTCCTTTCAAGTTAGGGCTTCTCGCTGTATATTCCCCTTGAGGCAGCAAACTCGGGGTCCCTCCCACATAGCTATTGCTGAGAGAAGCCTCCTCCTGAGGTGCTTCTGGAAAGTTGGCATACGTCTTGAGCCTAAGCCAGGGAATCAGCTCTCATCTCGAGACGATTTGGGGTACACGGAGCATTCCTCGAGTTTCTGTGCTGAAGTTGGTGTTCCTCTAGACTTGGGACAGTGTTCTCGGGGCATCTCTGGAGTTGCCTGAAGGAAGTCGAGCCACGGGTCGTGTTGTATGGGGAACGGGGAATGGCTCTGGAGTCAATGCAGGGAAATCGGGCCTCATCTCGAGTTGATTTGGGGCACATGGAGCTGCTTTGCGTTGCTGGGGTGACCTCAGGGTCCGTCTAGACTGGTAACAGTGTTCTTGGGGAGTGTCTCGAGATCCATTAAGCAAGTCGAAGCTCCTGACTTGTTTGAATGGGATCACGGAATAGCTCTGCATGCACTGCAGGGGAATGGGGCCTCATCTCGCCTCTAGGGGGAAGTCTCATATTTTTTCTCGAGTTGCGGCGGGGACCTGGGGTATGTTCTCGACTTACATCGGGGATGGCCCTTCAAAACACGAGTTTCTTCAGTGACGTCAGGACTCCTGTCTAGTAACGAGGGACACGTCAGGAATCTCTCCGAGGCTTCGCAGGGCAAAAGGGACGCTTCTCGAGGTGAGGCAGGGCACCCAAGGACCCTTTCCAGTAGCCACAGGGATTTGGGGATTCCTATCAGTATTCAAGAGGAGTCAGGCATCGTCACCTTTTGAACCATGAACGCCGCGTGCCTCTCGAGGTGTCAGCGGGATGTGAGGCATTCTGTCAAAATGAGGCAGGGACCTAGGGCTTTCTCTAAGGTCTCCACAGGGGATTCAGACATCACTTCATGTTGTGAGATGAAAGACGTGCCTGTATTCAAGCCACTGCAAGGAAATCCGGCCTCCTTTCAAGTTAGGGCTTCTCGCTGTATATTCCCCTTGAGGCAGCAAACTCGGGGTCCCTCCCACATACCTATTGCTGAGAGAAGCCTCCTCCTGAGGTACTTCTGGAAAGTTGGCATACGTCTTGAGCCTAAGCCAGGGAATCAGCTCTCATCTCGAGACGATTTGGGGTACACGGAGCATTCCTCGAGTTGCTGTGCTGAAGTTGGTGTTCCTCTAGACTTGGGTCAGTGTTCCCCGGGCATCTCTGGAGTTGCCTGAAGGAAGTCGAGCCACCGGTCGTGTTGAATGGGGAACGGGGAATGGCTCTGGAGTCAATGCAGGGGAATCGGGCCTCATCTCGAGTTGATTTGGGGCACATGGAGCTGCTATGCGTTGCTGGGGTGACCTCAGGGTCTGTCTCGACTGGTGACAGTGTTCTTGGGGACTGTCTCGAGATCCATTAAGCAAGTCGAAGCTCCTGACTTGTTTGAATGGGATCACGGAATAGCTCTGCATGCACTGCAGGGGAATGGGGCCTCATCTCGCCTCTAGGGGGAAGTCTCATGGTTTTTCTCGAGTTGCGGCGGGGACCTGGGGTATGTTCTCGACTTACGGCGGGGATGGCCCTTCAAAACACGAGTTTCTTCAGTGACATCAGGACTCCTGTCTAGTAACGAGGGACACCTCAGGAATCTCTCCGAGGCTTCGCAGGGCAAAAGGGACGCTTCTCGAGGTGAGGCAGGGCACCCAAGGACCCTTTCCAGTAGCCACAGGGATTTTGGGATACCTATCATTGTTTAAGAAGAGTCAGGCATCGTCACCTTTTGAACCATGAACTCCGCGTGCCTCTCGAGGTGTCAGCGGGATGTGAGGCATTCTGTCAAAATGAGGCAGGGACCTAGGGCTTTCTCTAAGGTCTCCACAGGGGATTCAGACATCACTTCATGTTGTGAGATGAAAGACGTGCCTGTATTCAAGCCACTGCAAGGAAATCCGGCCTCCTTTCAAGTTAGGGCTTCTCGCTGTATATTCCCCTTGAGGCAGCAAACTCGGGGTCCCTCCCACATACCTATTGCTGAGAGAAGTCTCCTCCTGAGGTGTTTCTGGAAAGTTGGCATACGTCTTGAGCCTAAGCCAGGGAATCAGCTCTCATCTTGAGACGATTTGGGGTACACGGAGCATTCCTCGAGTTGCTGTGCTGAAGTTGGTGTTCCTCTAGCCTTGGGACAGTTTTATCGGGGCATCTCTGGAGTTGCCTGAAGGAAGTCGAGCCACGGGCCGTGTTGAATGGGGAACGGGGAATGGCTCTGGAGTCAATGCAGGGAAATCGGGCCTCATCTCGAGTTGATTTGGGGCACATGGAGCTGCTTTGCGTTGCTGGTGTGACCTCAGGGTCCGTCTAGACTGGTGACAGTGTTCTTGGGGACTCTCTCGAGATCCATTAAGCAAGTCGAAGCTCCTGACTTGTTTGAATGGGATCACGGAATAGCTCTGCATGCACTGCAGAGGAATGGGGCCTCATCTCGCCTCTAGGGGGAAGTCTCATGGTTTTTCTAGAGTTGCGACGGGGACCTGGGTTATGTTCTCGACTTACGGCGGGGATGTCACTTCAAAACACGAGTTTCTTCAGTGACGTCAGGACTCCTGTCTAGTAACGAGGGACACGTCAGGAATCTCTCCGAGGCTTCGCAGGGCAAAAGGGACGCTTCTCGAGGTGAGGCAGGGCACCCAAGGACCCTTTCCAGTAGCCACAGGGATTTTGGGATTCCTATCAGTATTCAAGAGGAGTCAGGCATCGTCACCTTTTGAACCATGAACTCCGCGTGCCTCTCGAGGTGTCAGCGGGATGTGAGGCATTCTGTCAAAATGAGGCAGGGACCTAGGGCTTTCTCTAAGATCTCCACAGGGGATTCAGGCATCCCTTCATATTGTGAGATGAAAGACGAGCCTGTATTCAAGCCACTGCAAGGAAATCCGGCCTCCTTTCAAGTTAGGGCTTCTCGCTGTATATTCCCCTTGTGGCAGCAAACTCGGGCTCCCTCCCACATACCTATTGCTGAGAGAAGCCTCCTCCTGAGGTGCTTCTGGAAAGTTGGCATACGTCTTGAGCCTAAGCCAGGGAATCAGCTCTCATCTCGAGACGATTTGGGGTGCACGGAGCATTCCTCGAGTTGCTGTGCTGAAGTTGGTGTTCCTCTAGACTTGGGACAGTGATCTCGGGGCATCTCTGGAGTTGCCTGAAGGAAGTCGAGCCACCGGTCGTGTTGAATGGGGAACGGGGAATGGCTCTGGAGTCAATGCAGGGAAATCGGGCCTCATCTCGAGTTGATTTGGGGCACATGGAGCTGCTTTGCGTTGCTGGGGTGACCTGAGGGTCCGTCTAGACTGGTGACAGTGTTCTTGGGGACTGTCTCGAGATCCATTAAGCAAGTCGAAGCTCCTGACTTGTTTGAATGGGATCACGGAATAGCTCTGCATGCACTGCAGGGGAATGGGGCCTCATCTCGCCTCTAGGGGGAAGTCTCATGGTTTTTGTCGAGTTGCGGCGGGGACCTGGGGTATGTTCTCGACTTACGGCGGGGATGGCCCTTCAAAACACGAGTTTCTTCAGTGACGTCAGGACTCCTGTCTAGTAACGAGGGACACCTCAGGAATCTCTTCGAGGCTTCGCAGGGCAAAAGGGACGCTTCTCGAGGTGAGGCAGGGCACCCAAGGACCCTTTCCAGTAGCCACAGAGATTTTGGGATTCCTATCAGTGTTCAAGAGGAGTCAGGCATCGTCACCTTTTGAACCATGAAATCCGCGTGCCTCTCGAGGTGTCAGCGGGATGTGAGGCATTCCGTCAAAATGAGGCAGGGACCTAGGGCTTTCTCTAAGGTCTCTACAGGGGATTCAGACATCCCTTCATGTTGTGAGATGAAAGACGAGCCTGTATTCCAGCCACTGCAAGGAAATCCGGCCTCCTTTCAAGTTAGGGCTTCTCGCTGTATATTCCCCTTGAGGCAGCAAACTCGGGCTCCCTCTCCCATACCTATTGCTGAGAGAAGCCTCCTCCTGAGGTGCTTCTGGAAAGTTGGCATACGTCTTGAGCCTAAGCCAGGGAATCAGCTCTCATCTCGAGACGATTTGGGGTACACGGAGCATTCCTCGAGTTGCTGTGCTGAAGTTGGTGTTCCTCTAGACTTGGGACAGTGTTCTCGGGGCATCTCTGGAGTTGCCTGAAGGAAGTGGAGCCACGGGTCGTGTTGAATGGGGAAAGGGGAATGGCTCTGGAGTCAATGCAGGGGAATCAGGCCTCATCTCGAGTTGATTTGGGGCACATGGAGCTGCTTTGCATTGCTGGGGTTACCTCAGGGTCCGTCTAGACTGGTGACAGTGTTCTTGGGGACTGTCTCGAGACCCATTAAGCAAGTCGAAGCTCCTGACTTGTTTGAATGGGATCACGGAATAGCTCTGCATGCACTGCAGGGGAATGGGGCCTCATCTCGCCTCTAGGGGGAAGTCTCATGGTTTTTCTCGAGTTGCGGCAGGGACCTGGGGTATGTTCTCGACTTACGGCGGGGATGGCACTTCAAAACACGAGTTTCTTCAGTGACGTCAGGACTCCTGTCTAGTAACGAGGGACACGTCAGGAATCTCTCCGAGGCTTCGCAGGGCAAAAGGGACGCTTCTCGAGGTGAGGCAGGGCACCCAAGGACCCTTTCCAGTAGCCACAGGGATTTTGGGATTCCTATCAGTATTCAAGAGGAGTCAGGCATCGTCACCTTTTGAACCATGAACTCCTCGTGCCTCTCGATGTGTCAGCGGGATGTGAGGCATTCTGTCAAAATGAGGCAGGGTCCTAGGGCTTTCTCTAAGGTTTCCACAGGGGATTCAGACATCCCTTCATGTTGTGAGATGAAACACGAGCCTGTATTCAAGCCACTGCAAGGAAATCCGGCCTCCTTTCAAGTTAGGGCTTCTCGCTGTATATTCCCCTTGAGGCAGCAAACTCGGGGTCCCTCCCACATAGCTATTGCTGAGAGAAGCCTCCTCCTGAGGTGCTTCTGGAAAGTTGGCATACGTCTTGAGCCTAAGCCAGGGAATCAGCTCTCATCTCGAGACGATTTGGGGTACACGGAGCATTCCTCGAGTTTCTGTGCTGAAGTTGGTGTTCCTCTAGACTTGGGACAGTGTTCTCGGGGCATCTCTGGAGTTGCCTGAAGGAAGTCGAGCCACGGGTCGTGTTGTATGGGGAACGGGGAATGGCTCTGGAGTCAATGCAGGGAAATCGGGCCTCATCTCGAGTTGATTTGGGGCACATGGAGCTGCTTTGCGTTGCTGGGGTGACCTCAGGGTCCGTCTAGACTGGTAACAGTGTTCTTGGGGAGTGTCTCGAGATCCATTAAGCAAGTCGAAGCTCCTGACTTGTTTGAATGGGATCACGGAATAGCTCTGCATGCACTGCAGGGGAATGGGGCCTCATCTCGCCTCTAGGGGGAAGTCTCATATTTTTTCTCGAGTTGCGGCGGGGACCTGGGGTATGTTCTCGACTTACATCGGGGATGGCCCTTCAAAACACGAGTTTCTTCAGTGACGTCAGGACTCCTGTCTAGTAACGAGGGACACGTCAGGAATCTCTCCGAGGCTTCGCAGGGCAAAAGGGACGCTTCTCGAGGTGAGGCAGGGCACCCAAGGACCCTTTCCAGTAGCCACAGGGATTTGGGGATTCCTATCAGTATTCAAGAGGAGTCAGGCATCGTCACCTTTTGAACCATGAACGCCGCGTGCCTCTCGAGGTGTCAGCGGGATGTGAGGCATTCTGTCAAAATGAGGCAGGGACCTAGGGCTTTCTCTAAGGTCTCCACAGGGGATTCAGACATCACTTCATGTTGTGAGATGAAAGACGTGCCTGTATTCAAGCCACTGCAAGGAAATCCGGCCTCCTTTCAAGTTAGGGCTTCTCGCTGTATATTCCCCTTGAGGCAGCAAACTCGGGGTCCCTCCCACATACCTATTGCTGAGAGAAGCCTCCTCCTGAGGTACTTCTGGAAAGTTGGCATACGTCTTGAGCCTAAGCCAGGGAATCAGCTCTCATCTCGAGACGATTTGGGGTACACGGAGCATTCCTCGAGTTGCTGTGCTGAAGTTGGTGTTCCTCTAGACTTGGGTCAGTGTTCCCCGGGCATCTCTGGAGTTGCCTGAAGGAAGTCGAGCCACCGGTCGTGTTGAATGGGGAACGGGGAATGGCTCTGGAGTCAATGCAGGGGAATCGGGCCTCATCTCGAGTTGATTTGGGGCACATGGAGCTGCTATGCGTTGCTGGGGTGACCTCAGGGTCTGTCTCGACTGGTGACAGTGTTCTTGGGGACTGTCTCGAGATCCATTAAGCAAGTCGAAGCTCCTGACTTGTTTGAATGGGATCACGGAATAGCTCTGCATGCACTGCAGGGGAATGGGGCCTCATCTCGCCTCTAGGGGGAAGTCTCATGGTTTTTCTCGAGTTGCGGCGGGGACCTGGGGTATGTTCTCGACTTACGGCGGGGATGGCCCTTCAAAACACGAGTTTCTTCAGTGACATCAGGACTCCTGTCTAGTAACGAGGGACACCTCAGGAATCTCTCCGAGGCTTCGCAGGGCAAAAGGGACGCTTCTCGAGGTGAGGCAGGGCACCCAAGGACCCTTTCCAGTAGCCACAGGGATTTTGGGATACCTATCATTGTTTAAGAAGAGTCAGGCATCGTCACCTTTTGAACCATGAACTCCGCGTGCCTCTCGAGGTGTCAGCGGGATGTGAGGCATTCTGTCAAAATGAGGCAGGGACCTAGGGCTTTCTCTAAGGTCTCCACAGGGGATTCAGACATCACTTCATGTTGTGAGATGAAAGACGTGCCTGTATTCAAGCCACTGCAAGGAAATCCGGCCTCCTTTCAAGTTAGGGCTTCTCGCTGTATATTCCCCTTGAGGCAGCAAACTCGGGGTCCCTCCCACATACCTATTGCTGAGAGAAGTCTCCTCCTGAGGTGTTTCTGGAAAGTTGGCATACGTCTTGAGCCTAAGCCAGGGAATCAGCTCTCATCTTGAGACGATTTGGGGTACACGGAGCATTCCTCGAGTTGCTGTGCTGAAGTTGGTGTTCCTCTAGCCTTGGGACAGTTTTATCGGGGCATCTCTGGAGTTGCCTGAAGGAAGTCGAGCCACGGGCCGTGTTGAATGGGGAACGGGGAATGGCTCTGGAGTCAATGCAGGGAAATCGGGCCTCATCTCGAGTTGATTTGGGGCACATGGAGCTGCTTTGCGTTGCTGGTGTGACCTCAGGGTCCGTCTAGACTGGTGACAGTGTTCTTGGGGACTCTCTCGAGATCCATTAAGCAAGTCGAAGCTCCTGACTTGTTTGAATGGGATCACGGAATAGCTCTGCATGCACTGCAGAGGAATGGGGCCTCATCTCGCCTCTAGGGGGAAGTCTCATGGTTTTTCTAGAGTTGCGACGGGGACCTGGGTTATGTTCTCGACTTACGGCGGGGATGTCACTTCAAAACACGAGTTTCTTCAGTGACGTCAGGACTCCTGTCTAGTAACGAGGGACACGTCAGGAATCTCTCCGAGGCTTCGCAGGGCAAAAGGGACGCTTCTCGAGGTGAGGCAGGGCACCCAAGGACCCTTTCCAGTAGCCACAGGGATTTTGGGATTCCTATCAGTATTCAAGAGGAGTCAGGCATCGTCACCTTTTGAACCATGAACTCCGCGTGCCTCTCGAGGTGTCAGCGGGATGTGAGGCATTCTGTCAAAATGAGGCAGGGACCTAGGGCTTTCTCTAAGATCTCCACAGGGGATTCAGGCATCCCTTCATATTGTGAGATGAAAGACGAGCCTGTATTCAAGCCACTGCAAGGAAATCCGGCCTCCTTTCAAGTTAGGGCTTCTCGCTGTATATTCCCCTTGAGGCAGCAAACTCGGGGTCCCTCCCACATACCTATTGCTGAGAGAATCCTCCTCCTGAGGTGCTTCTGGAAAGTTGGCATACGTCTTGAGCCTAAGCCAGGGAATCAGCTCTCATCTCGAGACGATTTGGGGTACTCGGAGCATTCCTCGATTTGCTGTTCTGAAGTTGGTGTTCCTCTAGACTTGGGACAGTGTTCTCGGGGCATCTCTGGAGTTGCCTGAAGGAAGTCGAGCCACTGGTCGTGTTGAATGGGGAACGGGGAATGGCTCTGGAGTCAATGCAGGGGAATCGGGCCTCATCTATAGTTGATGTGGGGCACATGGAGCTGCTTTGCGTTGCTGGGGTGACCTCAGGTTCCGTCTAGACTGGTGACAGTGTTCTTGGGGACTGTCTCGAGATCCATTAAGCAAGTCGAAGCTCCTGACTTGTTTGAATGGGATCACGGAATAGCTCTGCATGCACTGCAGGGGAATGGGGCCTCATCTCGCCTCTAGGGGGAAGTCTCATGGTTTTTCTCGAGTTGCGGCGGGGACCTGGGGTATGTTCTTGACTTACGGCGGGGATGGCCCTTCAAAACACGAGTTTCTTCAGTGAGGTCAGGACTCCTGTCTAGTAACGAGGGATACCTCAGGAATCTCTCCGAGGCTTCGCAGGGCAAAAGGGACGCTTCTCGAGGTGAGGCAGGGCACCCAAGGAACCTTTCCAGTAGCCACAGGGATTTTGGGATTCCTATCAGTATTCAAGAGGAGTCAGGCAACGTCACCTTTTGAACCATGAACGCCGCGTGCCTCTCGAGGTGTCAGCGGGATGTGAGGCATTCTGTCAAAATGATGCAGGGACCTAGGGCTTTCTCTAAGGTCTCCACAGGGGATTCAGACATCACTTCATGTTGTGAGATGAAAGACGTGCCTGTATTCAAGCCACTGCAAGGAAATCCGGCCTCCTTTCAAGTTAGGGCTTCTCGCTGTATATTCCCCTTGAGGCAGCAAACTCGCAGTCCCTCCCACATACCCATTGCTGAGAGAAGCCTCCTCCTGAGGTGCTTCTGGAAAGTTGGCATACGTCTTGAGCCTAAGCCAGGGAATCAGCTCTCATCTTGAGACGATTTGGGGTACACGGAATATTCCTCGAGTTGCTGTGCTGAAGTTGGTGTTCCTCTAGACTTGGGACAGTGTTCTCGGGGCATCTCTGGAGTTGCCTGAAGGAAGTCGAGCCACCGGTCGTGTTGAATGGGGAACGGGGAATGGCTCTGGAGTCAATGCAGGGAAATGGGGCCTCATCTCGAGTTGATTTGGGGCACATGGAGCTGCTTTGCGTTGCTGGGGTGACCTCAGGATCCGTCTAGACTGGTAACAGTGTTCTTGGGGACTGTCTCGAGATCCATTAAGCAAGTCGAAGCACCTGACTTGTTTGAATGGGATCACGGAATAGCTCTGCATGCACTGCAGGGGAATGGGGCCTCATCTCGCCTCTAGGGGGAAGTCTCATGGTTTTTCTCGAGTTGCGGCGGGGACCTGGGGTATGTTCTCGACTTACATCGGGGATGGCCCTTCAAAACACGAGTTTCTTCAGTGACGTCAGGACTCCTGTCTAGTAACGAGGGACACGTCAGGAATCTCTCCGAGGCTTCGCAGGGCAAAAGGGACCCTTCTCGAGGTGAGGCAGGGCACCCAAGGACCCTTTCCAGTAGCCACAGGGATTTGGGGATTCCTATCAGTATTCAAGAGGAGTCAGGCATCGTCACCTTTTGAAGCAATGAACTCCGCGTGCCTCTCGAGGTGTCAGCGGGATGTGAGGCATTCTGTCAAAATGAGGCAGGGACCTAGGGCTTTCTCTATGGTCTCCACACGGGATACAGACATCACTTCATGTTGTGAGATGAAAGACGTGCCTGTATTCAAGCCACTGCAAGGAAATCCGGCCTCCTTTCAAGTTAGGGCTTCTCGCTGTATATTCCCCTTGAGGCAGCAAACTCAGGGTCCCTGCCACATACATATTGCTGAGAGAAGCCTCCTCCTGAGGTGCTTCTGGAAAGTTGGCATACGTCTTGAACCTAAGCCAGGGAATCAGCTCTCATCTTGAGACGATTTGGGGTACACGGAGCATTCCTCAAGTTTCTGTGCTGAAGTTGGTGTTCCTCTAGACTTGGGACAGTGTCCTCGGGGCATCTCTGGAGTTGCCTGAAGGAAGTCGTGCCACCGGTCGTGTTGAATGGGGAACGGGGAATGGCTCTGGAGTCAATGCAGGGGAATCGGGCCTCATCTCGAGTTGATTTGGGGCACATGGAGCTGCTTTGCTTTGCTGGGGTGACCTCAGGGTCCGTCTAGACTGGTGACAGTGTTCTTGGGGACTGTCTCGAGATCCATTAAGCAAGTCGAAGCTCCTGACTTGTTTGAATGGGATCACAGAATAGCTCTGCATGCACTGCAGGGGAATGGGGCCTCATCTCGCCTCTAGGGGGAAGTCTCATGGTTTTTCTCGAGTTGCGGCGGGGACCTGGGGTATGTTCTCGACTTACGGCGGGGATGGCCCTTCAAAACACGAGTTTCTTCAGTGACGTCAGGACTCCTGTCTAATAACGAGGGACACCTCAGGAATCTCTCCGAGGCTTCGCAGGGCAAAAGGGACGCTTCTCGAGGTGAGGCAGGGCACCCAAGGCCCCTTTCCAGTAGCCACAGGGATTTTGGGATTCCTATCAGTGTTCAAGAGGAGTCAGGCATCGTCACCTTTTGAAGCAATGAACTCCGCGTGCCTCTCGAGGTGTCAGCGGGATGTGAGGCATTCCGTGAAAAGGAGGCAGGGACCTAGGGCTTTCTCTAAGGTCTCCACAGGGGATTCAGACATCCCTTCATGTTGTGAGATGAAAGACGAGCCTGTATTCAAGCCATTGCAAGGAAATCCGGCCTCCTTTCAAGTTAGGGCTTCTCGCTGTATATTCCCCTTGTGGCAGCAAACTCGGGCTCCCTCCCACATACCTATTGCTGAGAGAAGCCTCCTCCTGAGGTGCTTCTGGAAAGTTGGCATACGTCTTGAGCCTAAGCCAGGGAATCAGCTCTCATCTCGAGACGATTTGGGGTACACGGAGCATTCCTCGAGTTGCTGTGCTAAAGTTGGTGTTCCTCTAGACTGGGGACAGTGTTCTCGGGGCATCTCTGGAGTTGCCTGGAGGAAGTCGAGCCACCGGTCGTGTTGAATGGGGAACGGGGAATGGCTCTGGAGTCAATGCAGGGTAATCGGGCGTCATCTCGAGTTGATTTGGGGCACATGGAGTTGCATTGCGTTGCTGGGGTGACCTCAGGGTCCGTCTAGACTGGTAACAGTGTTCTTGGGGACTGTCTCGAGATCCATTAAGCAAGTCGAAGCTCCTGACTTGTTTGAATGGGATCACGGAATAGCTCTGCATGCACTGCAGGGGAATGGGGCCTCATCTCGCCTCTAGGGGGAAGTCTCATGGTTTTTCTCGAGTTGCGGCGGGGACCTGGGGTATGTTCTCGACTTACGGCGGGGATGGCACTTCAAAACACGAGTTTCTTCAGTGACGTCAGGACTCCTGTCTAGTAAGGAGGGACACCTCAGGAATCTCTCCGAGGCTTCGCAGGGCAAAAGGGACGCTTCTCGAGGTGAGGCAGGGCACCCAAGGAGCCTTTCCAGTAGCCACAGGGATTTGGGGATTCCTATCAGTATTCAAGAGGAGTCAGGCATCGTCACCTTTTGAGCCATCAACGCTGCGTGCCTCTCGAGGTGTCAGCGGGATATGAGGCATTCTGTCAAAATGATGCAGGGACCTAGGACTTTCTCTAAGGTCTCCACAGGGGATTCAGACATCACTTCATGTTGTGAGATGAAAGACGTGCCAGTATTCAAGCCACTGCAAGGAAATCCGTCCTCCTTTCAAGTTAGTGCTTCTCGCTGTATATTCCCCTTGAGGCAGCAAACTCGGGGTCCCTCCCACATACCTATTGCTGAGAGAAGCCTCCTCCTGAGGTGCTTCTGGAAAGTTGGCATACGTCTTGAGCCTAAGCCAGGGAATCAGCTCTCATCTTGAGACGATTTGGGGTACACGGAACATTCCTCGAGTTGCTGTGCTGAAGTTGGTGTTCCTCTAGACTTGGGGCAGTGTTCTCGGGGCATCTCTGGAGTTGCCTGAAGGAAGTCGAGCCACCGGTCGTGTTGAATGGGGAACAGGGAATGGCTCTGGAGTCAATGCAGGGAAATCGGGCCTCATCTCGAGTTGATTTGGGGCACATGGAGATGCTTTGCGTTGCTGGGGTGACCTCAGGGTCTGTCTAGACTGGTGACAGTGTTCTTGGGGACTGTCTCGAGATCCATTAAGCAAGTCGAAGCTCCTGACTTGTTTGAATGGGATCACGGAATAGCTCTGCATGCACTGCAGGGGAATGGGGCCTCATCTCGCCTCTAGGGGGAAGTCTCATGGTTTTTCTCGAGTTGCGGCGGGGACCTGGGGTATGTTCTCGACTTACATCGGGGATGGCCCTTCAAAACACGAGTTTCTTCAGTGACGTCAGGACTCCTGTCTAGTAACGAGGGATACCTCAGGAATCTCTTCGAGGGTTGGCAGGGCAAAAGGGACGCTTGTCGAGGTGAGGCAGGGCACCCAAGGACCCTTTCCAGTAGCCACAGGGATTTGGGGATTCCTATCAGTATTCAAGAGGAGTCAGGCATCGTCACCTTTTGAAGCAATGAACTCTGCGTGCCTCTCGAGGTGTCAGCGGGATGCGAGGCATTCCGTCAAAATGAGGCAGGGACCTAGGGCTTTCTCTAAGGTCTCTACAGGGGATTCAGACATCCCTTCTTGTTGTGAGATGAAAGACGAGCCTGTATTCAAGCCACTGCAAGGAAATCCGGCCTCCTTTCAAGTTAGGGCTTCTCGCTGTATATTCCCCTTGAGGCAGCAAACTCGGGGTCCCTCCCACATAGCTATTGCTGAGAGAAGCCTCCTCCTGAGGTGCTTCTGGAAAGTTGGCATACGTCTTGAGCCTAAGCCAGGGAATCAGCTCTCATCTCGAGACGATTTGGGGTACACGGAGCATTCCTCGAGTTGCTGTGCTGAAGTTGGTGTTCCTCTAGACTGGGGACAGTGTTCTCGGGGCATCTCTGGAGTTGCCTGGAGGAAGTGGAGCCACGGGTCGTGTTGAATGGGGAACGGGGAATGGCTCTGGAGTCAATGCAGGGTAATCGGGCGTCATCTCGAGTTGATTTGGGGCACATGGAGTTGCATTGCGTTGCTGGGGTGACCTCAGGGTCCGTCTAGACTGGTGACAGTGTTCTTGGGGACTGTCTCGAGATCCATTAAGCAAGTCGAAGCTCCTGACTTGTTTGAATGGGATCACGGAATAGCTCTGCATGCACTGCAGGGGAATGGGGCCTCATCTCGCCTCTAGGGGGAAGTCTCATGGTTTTTCTCGAGTTGTGGCGGGGACCTGGGGTATGTTCTCGACTTACGGCGGGGATGGCACTTCAAAACACGAGTTTCTTCAGTGACGTCAGGACTCCTGTCTAGTAACGAGGGACACCTCAGGAATCTCTCCGAGGCTTCGCAGGGCAAAAGGGACGCTTCTCGAGGTGAGGCAGGGCACCCAAGGACCCTTTCCAGTAGCCACAGGGATTTGGGGATTCCTATCAGTATTCAAGAGGAGTCAGGCATCGTCACCTTTTGAGCCATCAACGCTGCGTGCCTCTCGAGGTGTCAGCGGGATATGAGGCATTCTGTCAAAATGATGCAGGGACCTAGGACTTTCTCTAAGGTCTCCACAGGGGATTCAGACATCACTTCATGTTGTGAGATGAAAGACGTGCCTGTATTCAAGCCACTGCAAGGAAATCCGTCCTCCTTTCAAGTTAGGGCTTCTCGCTGTATATTCCCCTTGAGGCAGCAAACTCGGGGTCCCTCCCACATACCTATTGCTGAGAGAAGCCTCATCCTGAGGTGCTTCTGGAAAGTTGGCATACGTCTTGAGCCTAAGCCAGGGAATCAGCTCTCATCTTGAGACGATTTGGGGTACACGGAGCATTCCTCGTGTTGCTGTGTTGAAATTGGTGTTCCTCTAGACTTGGGACAGTGTTCTCGGGGCATCTCTGGAGTTGCCTGAAGGAAGTCGAGCCACCGGTCGTGTTGAATGGGGAACGGGGAATGGCTCTGGAGTCAATGCAGGGGAATCGGGCCTCATCTCGATTTGATGTGGGGCACATGGAGCTGCTTTGCGTTGCTGGGTGACCTCAGGGTCCGTCTAGACTGGTGACAGTGTTCTTGGGGACTGTCTCGAGATACATTAAGCAAGTCGAAGCTCCTGACTTGTTTGAATGGGATCACGGAATAGCTCTGCATGCACTGCAGGGGAATGGGGCCTCATCTCGCCTCTAGGGGGAAGTCTCATGGTTTTTCTCGAGTTTCGGCGGGGACCTGGGGTATGTTCTCGACTTACGGCGGGGATGGCCCTTCAAAACACGAGTTTCTTCAGTGAGGTCAGGACTCCTGTCTAGTAACGAGGGATACCTCAGGAATCTCTCCGAGACTTCGCAGGGCAAAAGGGACGCTTCTCGAGGTGAGGCAGGGCACCCAAGGACCCTTTCCAGTAGCCACAGGGATTTGGGGATTCCTATCAGTATTCAAGAGGAGTCAGGCATCGTCACCTTTTGAACCATGAACTCCGCGTGCCTCTCGAGGTGTCAGCGGGATGTGAGGCATTCTTTCAAAATGAGGCAGGGACCTAGGGCTTTCTCTAAGGTCTCCACAGGGGATTCAGACATCACTTCATGTTGTGAGATGAAAGACGAGCCTGTATTCAAGCCACTGCAAGGAAATCCGGCCTCCTTTCAAGTTAGGGCTTCTCGCTGTATATTCCCCTTGAGGCAGCAAACTCGGGGTCCCTCCCACATAGCTATTGCTGAGAGAAGCCTCCTCCTGAGGTGCTTCTGGAAAGTTGGCATACGTCTTGAGCCTAAGCCAGGGAATCAGCTCTCATCTTGAGACGATTTCGTGTACACGGAGCATTCCTCGAGTTGCTGTGCTGAAGTTGGTGTTCCTCTAGACTTGGGACAGTGTTCTCGGGGCATCTCTGGAGTTGCCTGAAGGAAGTCGAGCCACCGGTCGTGTTGAATGGGGAACGGGGAATGGCTCTGGAGTCAATGCAGGGAAATCGGGCCTCATCTCGAGTTGATTTGGGGCACATGGAACTGCTTTGCTTTGCTGGGGTGACCTCAGGGTCCGTCTAGACTGGTGACAGTGTTCTTGGGGACTGTCTCGAGATCCATTAAGCAAGTCGAAGCTCCTGACTTGTTTGAATGGGATCACGGAATAGCTCTGCATGCACTGCAGGGGAATGGGGCCTCATCTCGCCTCTAGGGGGAAGTCTCATGGTTTTTCTCGAGTTGCGGCGGGGACCTGGTCTATGTTCTCCACTTACGGCGGGGATGGCCCTTCAAAACACGAGTTTCTTCAGTGACGTCAGGACTCCTGTCTAGTAATGAGGGACACCTCAGGAATCTCTCCGAGGCTTCGCAGGGCAAAAGGGACGCTTCTCGAGGTGAGGCAGGGCACCCAAGGACCCTTTCCAGTAGCCACAGGGATTTTGGGATACCTATCATTGTTCAAGAAGAGTCAGGCATCGTCACCTTTTGAACCATGAACTCCGCGTGCCTCTCGAGGTGTCAGCGGGATGTGAGGCATTCTGTCAAAATGAGGCAGGGACCTAGGGCTTTCTCTCAGGTCTCCACAGGGGATTCAGACATCCCTTCATGTTGTGAGATGAAAGACGAGCCTGCATTCAAGCCACTGAAAGGAAATCCGGCCTCCTTTCAAGCTAGGGCTTCTCGCTGTATATTCCCCTTGTGGCAGCAAACTCGGGCTCCCTCCCACATACCTATTGCTGAGAGAAGCCTCCTCCTGAGGTGCTTCTGGAAAGTTGGCATACGTCTTGAGCCTAAGCCAGGGAATCAGCTCTCATCTCGAGACGATTTGGGGTACATGGAGCATTCCTCGAGTTGCTGTGTTGAAGTTGGTGTTCCTCTAGACTTGGGACAGTGTTCTCGGGGCATCTCTGGAGTTGCCTGAAGGAAGTCGAGCCACCGGTCGTGTTGAATGGGGAACGGGGAATGGCTCTGGAGTCAATGCAGTTGAATCGGGCGTCATCTCGAGTTGATTTGGGGCAGATGGAGCTGCTTTGCGTTGCTGGGGTGACCTCAGGGTCCGTATAGACTGGTGACAGTGTTCTTGGGGACTGTCTCGAGATCCATTAAGCAAGTCGAAGCTCCTGACTTGTTTGAAAGGGATCACGGAATAGCTCTGCATGCACTGCAGGGGAATGGGGCCTCATCTCGCCTCTAGGGGGAAGTCTCATGGTTTTTCTCGAGTTGCGGCGGGGACCTGGGGTATGTTCTCGACTTACGGCGGGGATGGCACTTCAAAACACGAGTTTCTTCAGTGACGTCAGGACTCCCGTCTAGCAACGAGGGACACCTCAGGAATCTCTCCGAGGCTTCGCAGGGCAAAAGGGACGCTTCTCGAGGTGAGAAAGGGCACCCAAGGACCCTTTCCAGTAGCCACAGGGATTTGGTGATTCCTATCAGTATTCAAGAGGAGTCAGGCATCGTCACCTTTTGAACCATGAACGCCGCGTGCCTCTCGAGGTGTCAGCGGGATGTGAGGCATTCTGTCAAAATGAGGCAGGGACCTAGGGCTTTCTCTAAGGTCTCCACAGGGGATTCAGACATCACTTCATGTTGTGAGATGAAAGACGTGCCTGTATTCAAGCCACTGCAAGGAAATCCGGCCTCCTTTCAAGTTAGGGCTTCTCGCTGTATATTCCCCTTGAGGCAGCAAACTCGGGGTCCCTCCCACATACCTATTGCTGAGAGAAGCCTCCTCCTGAGGTGCTTCTGGAAAGTTGGCATACGTCTTGAGCCTAAGCCAGGGAATCAGCTCTCATCTTGAGACGATTTGGGGTACACGGAGCATTCCTCGTGTTGCTGTGCTGAAGTTGCTGTTCCTCTAGACTTGGGACAGTGTTCTCGGGGCATCTCTGGAGTTGCCTGAAGGAAGTCGAGCCACGGGTCGTGTTGAATGGGGAACGGGGAATGGCTCTGGAGTCAATGCAGGGAAATCGGGCATCATCTCGAGTTGATTTGCGGCACATGGAGCTGCTTTGCGTTGCTGGGGTGAGCTCAGTGTCCGTCTAGACTGGTGACAGTGTTCTTGGGGACTGTCTCGAGATCCATTAAGCAAGTCGAAGCTCCTGACTTGTTTGAATGGGATCACGGAATAGCTCTGCATGCACTGCAGAGGAATGGGGCCTCATCTCGCCTCTAGGGGGAAGTCTCATGGTTTTTCTCGAGTTGCGGCGGGGACCTGGGGTATGTTCTCGACTTATGGCGGGGATGTCCCTTCAAAACACGAGTTTCTTCAGTGACGTCAGGACTCCTGTCTAGTAACGAGGGACACGTCAGGAATCTCTCCGAGGCTTCGCAGGGCAAAAGGGACGCTTCTCGAGGTGAGGCAGGGCACCCAAGGAGCCTTTCCAGTAGCCACAGGGATTTTGGGATTCCTATCAGTATTCAAGAGTAGTCAGGCATCGTCACCTTTTGAACCATGAATTCCGCGTGCCTCTCGAGGTGTCAGCGGGATGTGAGGCATTCTGTCAAAATGAGGCAGGGACCTAGGGCTTTCTCTAAGGTCTCCACAGGGGATTCAGACATCACTTCATGTTGTGAGATGAAAGACGTGCCTGTATTCAAGCCACTGCAAGGAAATCCGGCCTCCTTTCAAGTTAGGGCTTCTCGCTGTATATTCCCCTTGAGGCAGCAAACTCGGGCTCCCTCCCACATACCTATTGCTGAGAGAAGCCTCCTCCTGAGGTGCTTCTGGAAAGTTGGCATACGTCTTGAGCCTAAGCCAGGGAATCAGCTCTCATCTTGAGACGATTTGGGGTACACGGAGCATTCCTCGTGTTGCTGTGTTGAAATTGGTGTTCCTCTAGACTTGGGACAGTGTTCTCGGGGCATCTCTGGACTTGCCTGAAGGAAGTCGAGCCACCGGTCGTGTTGAATGGGGAACGGGGAATGGCTCTGGAGTCAATGCAGGGGAATCGGGCCTCATCTCGATTTGATGTGGGGCACATGGAGCTGCTTTGCGTTGCTGGGGTGACCTCAGGGTCCGTCTAGACTGGTGACAGTGTTCTTGGGGACTGTCTCGAGATACATTAAGCAAGTCGAAGCTCCTGACTTGTTTGAATGGGATCACGGAATAGCTCTGCATGCACTGCAGGGGAATGGGGCCTCATCTCGCCTCTAGGGGGAAGTCTCATGGTTTTTCTCGAGTTGCGGCGGGGACCTGGGGTATGTTCTCGACTTACGGCGGGGATGGCCCTTCAAAACACGAGTTTCTTCAGTGAGGTCAGGACTCCTGTCTAGTAACGAGGGATACCTCAGGAATCTCTCCGAGACTTCGCAGGGCAAAAGGGACGCTTCTCGAGGTGAGGCAGGGCACCCAAGGACCCTTTCCAGTAGCCACAGGGATTTGGGGATTCCTATCAGTATTCAAGAGGAGTCAGGCATCGTCACCTTTTGAACCATGAACGCCGCGTGCCTCTCGAGGTGTCAGCGGGATGTGAGGCATTCTTTCAAAATGAGGCAGGGACCTAGGGCTTTCTCTAAGGTCTCCACAGGGGATTCAGACATCACTTCATGTTGTGAGATGAAAGACGAGCCTGTATTCAAGCCACTGCAAGGAAATCCGGCCTCCTTTCAAGTTAGGGCTTCTCGCTGTATATTCCCCTTGTGGCAGCAAACTCGGGCTCCCTCCCACATACCTATTGCTGAGAGAAGCCTCCTCCTGAGGTGCTTCTGGAAAGTTGGCATACGTCTTGAGCCTAAGCCATGGAATCAGCTCTCATCTCGAGACGATTTGGGGTACATGGAGCATTCCTCGAGTTGTTGTGTTGAAGTTGGTGTTCCTCTAGACTTGGGACAGTGTTCTCGGGCATCTCTGGAGTTGCCTGAAGGAAGTCTAGCCACCGGTCGTGTTGAATGGGGAACGGGGAATGGCTCTGGAGTCAATGCAGTTGAATCGGGCGTCATCTCGAGTTGATTTGGGGCAGATGGAGCTGCTTTGCGTTGCTGGGGTGACCTCAGGGTCCGTATAGACTGGTGACAGTGTTCTTGGGGACTGTCTCGAGATCCATTAAGCAAGTCGAAGCTCCTGACTTGTTTGAAAGGGATCACGGAATAGCTCTGCATGCACTGCAGGGGAATGGGGCCTCATCTCGCCTCTAGGGGGAAGTCTCATGGTTTTTCTCGAGTTGCGGCGGGGACCTGGGGTATGTTCTCGACTTACGGCGGGGATGGCACTTCAAAACACGAGTTTCTTCAGTGACGTCAGGACTCCCGTCTAGCAACGAGGGACACCTCAGGAATCTCTCCGAGGCTTCGCAGGGCAAAAGGGACGCTTCTCGAGGTGAGGCAGGGCACCCAAGGACCCTTTCCAGTAGCCACAGGGATTTGGTGATTCCTATCAGTATTCAAGAGGAGTCAGGCATCGTCACCTTTTGAACCATGAACGCCGCGTGCCTCTCGAGGTGTCAGCGGGATGTGAGGCATTCTGTCAAAATGAGGCAGGGACCTAGGGCTTTCTCTAAGGTCTCCACAGGGGATTCAGACATCACTTCATGTTGTGAGATGAAAGACGTGCCTGTATTCAAGCCACTGCAAGGAAATCCGGCCTCCTTTCAAGTTAGGGCTTCTCGCTGTATATTCCCCTTGAGGCAGCAAACTCGGGGTCCCTCCCACATACCTAATGCTGAGAGAAGCCTCCTCCTGAGGTGCTTCTGGAAAGTTGGCATACGTCTTGAGCCTAAGCCAGGGAATCAGCTCTCATCTTGAGACGATTTGGGGTACACGGAGCATTCCTCGTGTTGCTGTGCTGAAGTTGCTGTTCCTCTAGACTTGGGACAGTGTTCTCGGGGCATCTCTGGAGTTGCCTGAAGGAAGTCGAGCCACGGGTCGTGTTGAATGGGGAACGGGGAATGGCTCTGGAGTCAATGCAGGGAAATCGGGCCTCATCTCGAGTTGATTTGCGGCACATGGAGCTGCTTTGCGTTGCTGGGGTGAGCTCAGTGTCCGTCTAGACTGGTGACAGTGTTCTTGGGGACTGTCTCGAGATCCATTAAGCAAGTCGAAGCTCCTGACTTGTTTGAATGGGATCACGGAATAGCTCTGCATGCACTGCAGAGGAATGGGGCCTCATCTCGCCTCTAGGGGGAAGTCTCATGGTTTTTCTCGAGTTGCCGCGGGGACCTGGGGTATGTTCTCGACTTATGGCGGGGATGTCACTTCAAAACACGAGTTTCTTCAGTGACGTCAGGACTCCTGTCTAGTAACGAGGGACACGTCAGGAATCTCTCCGAGGCTTCGCAGGGCAAAAGGGACGCTTCTCGAGGTGAGGCAGGGCACCCAAGGAGCCTTTCCAGTAGCCACAGGGATTTTGGGATTCCTATCAGTATTCAAGAGTAGTCAGGCATCGTCACCTTTTGAACCATGAACTCCGCGTGCCTCTCGAGGTGTCAGCGGGATGTGAGGCATTCTGTCAAAATGAGGCAGGGACCTAGGGCTTTCTCTAAGGTTTCCACAGGATATTCAGACATCCCTTCATGTTGTGAGATGAAAGACGAGCCTGTATTCAAGCCACTGCAAGGAAATCCGGCCTCCTTTCAAGTTAGGGCTTCTCGCTGTATATTCCCCTTGAGGCAGCAAACTCGGGCTCCCTCCCACATACCTATTGCTGAGAGAAGCCTCCTCCTGAGGTGCTTCTGGAAAGTTGGCATACGTCTTGAGCCTAAGCCAGGGAATCAGCTCTCATCTCGAGACGATTTGGGGTACACGGAGCATTCCTCCAGTTGCTGTGTTGAAGTTGGTGTTCCTCTAGACTTGGGACAGTGTTCTCGGGGCATCTCTGGAGTTGCCTGAAGGAAGTCGAGCCACCGGTCGTGTTGAATGGGGAACGGGGAATGGCTCTGGAGTCAATGCATGGGAATCGGGCCTCATCTCTAGTTGATGTGGGGCACATGGAGCTGCTTTGCGTTGCTGGGGTGACCTCAGGGTCCGTCTAGACTGGTGACAGTGTTCTTGGGGACTGTCTCGAGATACATTAAGCAAGTCGAAGCTCCTGACTTGTTTGAATGGGATCACGGAATAGCTCTGCATGCACTGCAGGGGAATGGGGCCTCATCTCGCCTCTAGGGGGAAGTCTCATGGTTTTTCTCGAGTTGCGACGGGGACCTGGGATATGTTCTCCACTTACGGCGGGGATGGCCCTTCAAAACACGAGTTTCTTCTGTGAGGTCAGGACTCCTGTCTAGTAAGGAGGGACACCTCAGGAATCTCTCCGAGGCTTCGCAGGGCAAAAGGGACGCTTCTCGAGGTGAGGCAGGGCACCGAAGGACCCTTTCCAGTAGCCACAGGGATTTGGGGATTCCTATCAGTATTCAATAGGAGTCAGGCATCGTCACCTTTTGAACCATGAACGCCGCGTGCCTCTCGAGGTGTCAGCGGGATGTGAGGCATTCTGTCAAAATGAGGCAGGGACCTAGGGCTTTCTCTAAGGTCTCCACAGGGGATTCAGACATCACTTCATGTTGTGAGATGAAAGACGTGCCTGTATTCAAGCCACTGCAAGGAAATCCGGCCTCCTTTCAAGTTAGGTCTTCTCGCTGTATATTCCCCTTGAGGCAGCAAACTCGGGGTCCCTCCCACATACCCATTGCTGAGAGAAGCCTCCTCCTGAGGTGCTTCTGGAAAGTTGGCATACGTCTTGAGCCTAAGCCAGGGAATCAGCTCTCATCTTGAGACGATTTGGGGTACACGGAACATTCCTTGAGTTGCTGTGCTGAAGTTGGTGTTCCTCTAGACTTGGGACAGTGTTCTCGGGGCCTCTCTGGAGTTGCCTGAAGGAAGTCGAGCCACCGGTCGTGTTGAATGTGGAACGGGGAATGGCTCTGGAGTCAATGCAGGGAAATCGGGCCTCATCTCGAGTTGATTTGGGGCACATGGAGCTGCTTTGCGTTGCTGGGGTGACTTCAGGGTCCGTCTAGACTGGTGACAGTGTTCTTGGGGACTGTCTCGAGATCCATTAAGCAAGTCGAAGCTCTTGACTTGTTTGAATGGGATCACGGAATAGCTCTGCATGCACTGCAGGGGAATGGGGCCTCATCTCGCCTCTAGGGGGAAGTCTCATGGTTTTTCTCGAGTTGCGTCGGGGACCTGGGGTATGTTCTCGACTTACATCGGGGATGGCCCTTCAAAACACGAGTTTCTTCAGTGACGTCAGGACTCCTGTCTAGTAACGAGGGACACCTCAGGAATCTCTCCGAGGCTTCGCAGGGCAAAAGGGACGCTTCTCGAGGTGAGGCAGGGCACCAAAGGCCCCTTTCCAGTAGCTACAGGGATTTTGGGATTCCTATCAGTGTTCAAGAGGAGTCAGGCATCGTCACCTTTTGAACCATGAACTCCGCGTGCCTCTCGAGGTGTCAGCGGGATGTGAGGCATTCCGTCAAAATGAGGCAGGGACCTAGGGCTTTCTCTAAGGTCTCCACAGGGGATTCAGACATCCCTTCATGTTGTGAGATGAAAGACGAGCCTGTATTCAAGCCACTGCAAGGAAATCCGGCCTCCTTTCAAGTTAGGGCTTCTCGCTGTATATTCCCCTTGAGGCAGCAAACTCGGGCTCCCTCCCACATACCTATTGCTGAGAGAAGCCTCCTCCTGAGGTGCTTCTGGAAAGTTGGCATACGTCTTGAGCCTAAGCCAGGGAATCAGCTCTCATCTTGAGACGATTTGGGGTACACGGACCATTCCTCGAGTTTCTGTGCTGAAGTTGGTGTTCCTCTAGACTTGGGACAGTGTTCTCGGGGCATCTCTGGAGTTGCCTGAAGGAAGTCTTGCCACCGGTCGTGTTGAATGGGGAACGGGGAATGGCTCTGGAGTCAATGCAGGGGAATCGGGCCTCATGTCGAGTTGATTTGGGGCACATGGAGCTGCTTTGCGTTGCTGGGATGACCTCAGGGTCCGTCTAGACTGGTGACAGTGTTCTTGGGGACTGTCTCGAGATCCATTAAGCAATTCGAAGCTCCTGACTTGTTTGAATGGGATCACGGAATAGCTCTGCATGCACTGCAGGGGAATGGGGCCTCATCTCGCCTCTAGGGGGAAGTCTCATGGTTTTTCTCGAGTTGCGGCGGGGATCAGGGGTATGTTCTCGACTTACATCGGGGATGGCCCTTCAAAACATGAGTTTCTTCAGTGACGTCAGGACTCCTGTCTAATAACGAGGGACACCTCAGGAATCTCTCCGAGGCTTCGCAGGGCAAAAGGGACGCTTCTCGAGGTGAGGCAGGGCACCCAAGGCCCCTTTCCAGTAGCCACAGGGATTTTGGGATTCCTATCAGTATTCAAGAGGAGTCAGGCATCGTCACCTTTTGAAGCAATGAACTCCGCGTGCCTCTCGAGGTGTCAGCGGGATGCGAGGCATTCCGTCAAAATGAGGCAGGGACCTAGGGCTTTCTCTAAGGTCTCCACAGGGGATTCAGACATCCCTTCATGTTGTGAGATGAAAGACGAGCCTGTATTCAAGCCACTGCAAGGAAATCCGGCCTCCTTTCAAGTTAGGGCTTCTCGCTGTATATTCCCCTTGAGGCAGCAAACTCGGGGTCCCTCCCACATACCTATTGCTGAGAGATGCCTCCTCCTGAGGTGCTTCTGGAAAGTTGGCATACGTCTTGAGCCTAAGCCAGGGAATCAGCTCTCATCTCGAGACGATTTGGGGTACTTGGAGCATTCCTCGATTTGCTGTGCTGAAGTTGGTATTCCTCTAGACTTGGGACAGAGTTCTCGGGGCATCTCTGGAGTTGCCTGAAGGAAGTGGAGCCACGGGTCGTGTTGAATGGGGAACGGGGAACGGCTCTGGAGTCAATGCAGGGGAATCAGGCCTCATCTCGAGTTGATTTGGGGCACATGGAGCTGCTTTGCGTTGCTGGGGTGACCTCAGGGTCCGTCTAGACTGGTGACAGTGTTCTTGGGGACTGTCTCGAGATCCATTAAGCAAGTCGAAGCTCCTGACTTGTTTGAATGGGATCACAGAATAGCTCTGCATGCACTGCAGGGGAATGGGGCCTCATCTCGCCTCTAGGGGGAAGTCTCATGGTTTTTCTCGAGTTGCGGCGGGGACCTGGGGTATGTTCTCGACTTACGGTGGGGATGGCCCTTCAAAACACGAGTTTCTTCAGTGACGTCAGGACACCTGTCTAATAACGAGGGACACCTCAGGAATCTCTCCGAGGCTTCGCAGGGCAAAAGGGACGCTTCTCGAGGTGAGGCAGGGCACCCAAGGCCCCTTTCCAGTAGCTACAGGGATTTTGGGATTCCTATCAGTGTTCAAGAGGAGTCAGGCATCGTCACCTTTTGAACCATGAACTCCGCGTGCCTCTCGAGGTGTCAGCGGGATGTGAGGCATTCCGTCAAAATGAGGCAGGGATCTAGGGCTTTCTCTAAGGTCTCCACAGGGGATTCAGACATCCCTTCATGTTGTGAGATGAAAGACGAGCCTGTATTCAAGCCACTGCAAGGAAATCCGGCCTCCTTTCAAGTTAGGGCTTCTCGCTGTATATTCCCCTTGAGGCAGCAAACTCGGGCTCCCTCCCACATACCTATTGCTGAGAGAAGCCTCCTCCTGAGGTGCTTCTGGAAAGTTGGCATACGTCTTGAGCCTAAGCCAGGGAATCAGCTCTCATCTTGAGACGATTTGGGGTACACGGAACATTCCTCGAGTTGCTGTGCTGAAGTTGGTGTTCCTCTAGACTTGGGACAGTGTTCTCGGGGCATCTCTGGAGTTGCCTGAAGGAAGTCGAGCCACCGGTCGTGTTGAATGGGGAACGGGGAATGTCTCTGGAGTCAATGCAGGGAAATCGGGCCTCATCTCGAGTTGATTTGGGGCACATGGAGCTGCTTTGCGTTGCTGGGGTGACCTCAGGGTCCGTCTAGACTGGTGACAGTGTTCTTGGGGACTGTCTCGAGATCCATTAAGCAAGTCGAAGCTCCTGACTTGTTTGAATGGGATCACGGAATAGCTCTGCATGCACCGCAGGGGAATGGGGCCTCATCTCGCCTCTAGGGGGAAGTCTCATGGTTTTTCTCGAGTTGCGGCGGGGACCTGGGGTATGTTCTCGACTTACATCGGGGATGGCCCTTCAAAACACAAGTTTCTTCAGTGACGTCAGGACTCCTGTCTAGTAACGAGGGACACCTCAGGAATCTCTTCGAGGTTTGGGAGGGCAAAAGGGACGCTTCTCGAAGTGAGGCAGGGCACCCAAGGACGCTTTCCAGTAGCCACAGGGATTTTGGGATTCCTATCAGTATTCAAGAGGAGTCAGGCATCGTCACCTTTTCAAGCAATGAACTCCGCGTGCCTCTCGAGGTGTCAGCGGGATGTGAGGCATTCCGTCAAAATGAGGCAGGGACCTAGGGCTTTCTCTAAGGTCTCTACAGGGGATTCAGACATCCCTTCATGTTGTGAGATGAAAGACGAGCCTGTATTCAAGCCACTGCTAGGAAATCCGGCCTCCTTTCAAGTTAGGGCTTCTCGCTGTATATTCCCCTTGAGGCAGCAAACTCGGGGTCCCTCCCACATACCTATTGTTGAGAGAATCCTCCTCCTGAGGTGCTTCTGGAAAGTTGCCATACGTCTTGAGCCTAAGCCAGGGAATCAGCTCTCATCTCGAGACGATTTGGGGTACACGGAGCATTCCTCGAGTTGCTGTGCTCAAGTTGGTCTTCCTCTAGACTTGGGACAGTGTTCTCGGGGCATCTCTGGAGTTGCCTTAAGGAAGTCGAGCCACCGGTCGTGTTGAATGGGGAACGGGGAATGGCTCTGGAGTCAATGCAGGGAAATCGGGCCTCATCTCGAGTTGATTTGGGGCACATGGAGCTGCTTTGCGTTGCTGGGATGTCCTCAGGGTCCGTCTAGACTGGTGACTGTGTTCTTGGGGACTGTCTCGAGATCCATTAAGCAAGTCGAAGCTCCTGACTTGTTTGAATGGGATCACGGAATATCTCTGCATGCACTGCAGGGGAATGGGGCCTCATCTCGCCTCTAGGGGGAAGTCTCATGGATTTTCTCGAGTTGCGGCGGGGACCTGGGGTATGTTCTCGACTTACAGCGGGGATGGCACTTCAAAACACGATTTGCTTCAGTGACGTCAGGACTCCTGTCTAGTAAGGAGGGACACCTCAGGAATCTCTCTGAGGCTTCGCTTGGCAAAAGGGACGCTTCTCGAGGTGAGGCAGGGCACCCAAGGACCCTTTCCAGTAGCCACAGGGATTTTGGGATTCCTATCAGTATTCAAGAGGAGTCAGGCATCGTCACCTTTTGAACCATGAACGCCGCGTGCCTATCGAGGTGTCAGCGGGATGTGAGGCATTCTGTCAAAATGAGGCAGGGACCTAGGGCTTTCTCTAAGGTCCCCACAGGGGATTCAGACATCACTTCATGTTGTGAGATGAAAGACGTGCCTGTATTCAAGCCACTGCAAGGAAATCCGGCCTCCTTTCAAGTTAGGGCTTCTCGCTGTATATTCCCCTTGAGGCAGCAAACTCGGGGTCCCTCCCACATACCTATTGCTGAGAGAAGCCTCCTCCTGAGGTGCTTCTGGAAAGTTGGCATACGTCTTGAACCTAAGCCAGGGAATCAGCTCTCATCTTGAGACGATTTCGTGTACACGGAGCATTCCTCGAGTTGCTGTGCTGAAGTTGGTGTTCCTCTAGACTTGGGACAGTGTTCTCGGGGCATCTCTGGAGTTGCCTGAAGGAAGTCGAGCCACCGGTCGTGTTGAATGGGGAACGGGGAATGGCTCTGGAGTCAATGCAGGGAAATCGGGCCTCATCTCGAGTTGATTTGGGGCACATGGAGCTGCTTTGCGTTGCTGGGGTGACCTCAGGGTCCGTCTAGACTGGTGACAGTGTTCTTGGGGACTGTCTCGAGATCCATTAAGCAAGTCGAAGCTCCTGACTTGTTTGAATGGGATCACGGAATAGCTCTGCATGCACTGCAGGGGAATGGGGCCTCATCTCGCCTCTAGGGGGAAGTCTCATGGTTTTTCTCGAGTTGCGGCGGGGACCTGGGGTATGTTCTCGACTTACATCGGGGATGGCCCTTCAAAACACGAGTTTCTTCAGTGACGTCAGGACTCCTGTCTAGTAACGAGGGATACCTCAGGAATCTCTTCGAGGGTTGGCAGGGCAAAAGGGACGCTTCTCGAGGTGAGGCAGGGCACCCAAGGACCCTTTCCAGTAGCCACAGGGATTTTGGGATTCCTATCAGTATTCAAGAGGAGTCAGGCATCGTCACCTTTTGAAGCAATGAACTCTGCGTGCCTCTCGAGGTGTCAGCGGGATGCGAGGCATTCCGTCAAAATGAGGCAGGGACCTAGGGCTTTCTCTAAGGTCTCTACAGGGGATTCAGACATCCCTTCATGTTGTGAATGAAAGACGAGCCTGTATTCAAGCCACTGCAAGGAAATCCGGCCTCCTTTCAAGTTAGGGCTTCTCGCTGTATATTTCCCTTGAGGCAGCAAACTCGGGCTCCCTCCCACATACCTATTGCTGAGAGAAACCTCCTCCTGAGGTGCTTCTGGAAAGTTGGCATACGTCTTGAGCCTAAGCCAGGGAATCAGCTCTCATCTCGAGACGATTTGGGGTACACGGAGCATTCCTCGATTTGCTGTGCTGAAGTTGGTGTTCCTCTAGACTTGGGACAGTGATCTCGGGGCATCTCTGGAGTTGCCTGAAGGAAGTCGAGCAACGGGTCGTGTTGAATGGGGAAAGGGGAATGGCTCTGGAGTCAATGCAGGGGAATCGGGCCTCATCTCGAGTTGATTTGGGGCACATGGAGCTGCTTTTCGTTGCTGGGGTGACCTCAGTGTCTGTCTCGACTAGTGACAGTGTTCTTGGGGACTGTCTCGAGATCCATTAAGCAAGTCGAAGCTCCTGACTTGTTTGAATGGGATCACGGAATAGCTCTGCATGCACTGCAGGGGAATGGGGCCTCATCTCGCCTCTAGGGGGAAGTCTCATGGTTTTTCTCGAGTTGCGGCGGGGACCTGGGGTATGTTCTCGACTTACGGCGGGGATGGCCCTTCAAAACACGAGTTTCTTCAGTGACGTCAGGACTCCTGTCTAGTAACGAGGGACACCTCAGGAATCTCTCCGAGGCTTCGCAGGGCAAAAGGGACGCTTCTCGATGTGAGGCAGGGCACCCAAGGACCCTTTCCAGTAGCCACAGGGATTTTGGGATTCCTATCAGTATTCAAGAGGAGTCAGGCATCGTCACCTTTTGAACCATGAACTCCGCGTGCCTCTCGAGGTGTCAGCGGGATGTGAGGCATTCTGTCAAAATGAGGCAGGGACCTAGGGCTTTCTCTAAGGTCTCCACAGGGGATTCAGACATCCCTTCATGTTGTGAGATGAAAGACGAGCCTGTATTCAAGCCACTGCAAAGAAATCCGGCCTCCTTTCAAGTTAGGGGTTCTCGCTGTATATTCCCCTTGTGGCAGCAAACTCGGGCTCCCTCCCACATACCTATTGCTGAGAGAAGCCTCCTCCTGAGGTGCTTCTGGAAAGTTGGCATACGTCTTGAGCCTAAGCCAGGGAATCAGCTCTCATCTCGAGACGATTTGTGGTACACGGAGCATTCCTCGAGTTGCTGTGTTGAAGTTGGTGTTCCTCTAGACTTGGGACAGTGTTCTCGGGGCAACTCTGGAGTTGCCTGAAGGAAGTCGAGCCACCGGTCGTGTTGAATGGGGAACGGGGAATGGCTCTGGAGTCAATGCAGGGGAATCGTGCGTCATCTCGAGTTGAATTGGGTCACATGGAGCTGCTTTGCGTTGCTGGGATGACCTCAGGGTCCGTCTAGACTGGTGACAGGGTTCCTGGGGACTGTCTCGAGATCCATTAAGCAAGTCGAAGCTCCTGACTTGTTTGAATGGGATCACGGAATAGCTCTGCATGCACTGCAGGGGAATGGGGCCTCATCTCGCCTCTAGGGGGAAGTCTCATGGTTTTTCTCGAGTTGCGGCGGGGACCTGGGGTATGTTCTCGACTTACGGCGGGGATGGCACTTCAAAACACGAGTTTCTTCAGTGACGTCAGGACTCCTGTCTAGTAACGAGGGACACCTCAGGAATCTCTCCGAGGCTTCGCAGGGCCAAAGGGACGCTTCTCGAGGTGAGGCAGGGCACCCAAGGACCCTTTCCAGTAGCCACAGGGATTTTGGGATTCCTATCAGTATTCAAGAGGAGTCAGGCATCGTCATTTTTTGAAGCAATGAACTCCGCGTGCCTCTCCAGGTGTCAGCGGGATGTGAGGAATTCCGTCAAAATGAGGCAGGGACCTAGGGCTTTCTCTAAGGTCTATACAGGGGATTCAGACATCCCTTCATGTTGTGAGATGAAAGACGAGCCTGTATTCAAGCCACTGCAAGGAAATCCGGCCTCCTTTCAAGTTAGGGCTTCTCGCTGTATATTCCCCTTGAGGCAGCAAACTCGGGCTCCCTCCCACATACCTATTGCTGAGAGAAGCCTCATCCTGAGGTGCTTCTGGAAAGTTGGCATACGTCTTGAGCATAAGCCAGGGAATCAGCTCTCATCTCGAGACGATTTGGGGTACATGGAGCATTCCTCGAGTTGCTGTGCTGAAGTTGGTGTTCCTCTAGACTTGGGACAGTGTTCTCGGGGCATCTCTGGAGTTGCCTGAAGGAAGTCGAGCCACCGGTCGTGTTGAATGGGGAACGGGGAATGGCTCTGGAGTCAATGCAGGGGAATCGGGCCTCATCTCGAGTTGATTTGGGGCACATGGAGCTGCTTTGCGTTGCTGGGGTGACCTCAGGGTCTGTCTCGACTGGTGACAGTGTTCTTGGGGACTGTCTCGAGATCCATTAAGCAAGTCGAAGCTCCTGACTTGTTTGAATGGGATCACGGAATAGCTCTGCATGCACTGCAGGGGAATGGGGCCTCATCTCGCCTCTAGGGGGAAGTCTCATGGTTTTTCTCGAGTTGCGGCGGGGACCTGGGGTATGTTCTCGACTTACGGCGGGGATGGCCCTTCAAAACACGAGTTTCTTCAGTGACGTCAGGACTCCTGTCTAGTAATGAGGGATACCTCAGGAATCTCTTCGAGGGTTGGCAGGGCAAAAGGGACGCTTCTCGAGGTGAGGCAGGGCACCCAAGGACCCTTTCCAGTAGCCACAGGGATTTTGGGATTCCTATCAGTATTCAGGAGGAGTCAGGCATCGTCACCTTTTGAAGCAATGAACTCCGAGTGCCTCTCGAGGTATCAGCGGGATGTGAGGCATTCCGTCAAAATGAGGCAGGGACCTAGGGCTTTCTCTAAGGTCTCTACATGGGATTCAGACATCCCTTCATGTTGTGAGATGAAAGACGAGCCTGTATTCAAGCCACAGCAAGGAAATCCGGCCTCCTTTCAAGTTAGGGCTTCTCGCTGTATATTCCCCTTGAGGCAGCAAACTCGGGCTCCCTCCCACATACCTATTGCTGAGAGAAGCCTCCTCCTGAGGTGCTTCTGGAAAGTTGGCATACGTCTTGAGCCTAAGCCAGGGAATCAGCTCTCATCTCGAGACGATTTGGGGTACACGGAGCATTCCTCGAGTTGCTGTGCTGAAGTTGGTGTTCCTCTAGACTTGGGACAGTGTTCTCAGGGCATCTCTGGAGATGCCTGAAGGACGTCGAGCCACGGGTCGTGTTGAATGGGGAACGGGGAATGGCTCTGGAGTCAATGCAGGGGAATCGGGCCTCATCTCGAGTTGATTTGGGGCACATGGAGCTGCTTTGCGTTGCTGGGGTGACCTCAGGGTCTGTCTTGACTGGTGACAGTGTTCTTGGGGACTCTCTCGAGATCCATTAAGCAAGTCGAAGCTCCTGACTTGTTTGAATGGGATCACGGAATAGCTCTGCATGCACTGCAGGGGAATGGGGCCTCATCTCGCCTCTAGGGGGAAGTCTCATGGTTTTTCTCGAGTTGCGGCGGGGACCTGGGGTATGTTCTCGACTTACGGCGGGGATGGCACTTCAAAACACGAGTTTCTTCAGTGACGTCAGGACTCCTGTCTAGTAATGAGGGACACGTCAGGAATCTCTCCGAGCCTTCGCAGGGCAAAAGGGACGCTTCTCGAGGTGAGGCAGGGCACCCAAGGACCCTTTCCAGTAGCCACAGGGATTTTGGGATTCCTATCAGTATTCAAGAGGAGTCAGGCATCGTCACCTTTTGAACCATGAACTCCGCGTGCCTCTCGAGGTGTCAGCGGGATGTGAGGCATTCTGTCAAAATGAGACAGCGACCTAGGGCTTTCTCTAAGGTCTCCACAGGGGATTCAGACATCCCTTCATGTTGTGAGATGAAAGACGAGCCTGTATTCAAGCCACTGCAAGGAAATCCGGCCTCCTTTCAAGTTAGGGCTTCTCGCTGTATATTCCCCTTGAGGCAGCAAACTCGTGCTCCCTCCCACATAACTATTGCTGAGAGAAGCCTCCTCCTGAGGTGCTTCTGGAAAGTTGGCATACGTCTTGAGCCTAAGCCAGGGAATCAGCTCTCATCTCGAGACGATTTGGGGTACACGGAGCATTCCTCGAGTTGCTGTGCTGAAGTTGGTGTTCCTCTAGACTTGTGACAGTGTTCTCGGGGCATCTCTGGAGTTGCCTGAAGGAAGTCGAGCCACCGGTCGTGTTGAATGGGGAACGGGGAATGGCTCTGGAGTCAATGCAGGGGAATCGGGCCTCATCTCGAGTTGATTTGGGGCACATGGAGCTGCTTTGTGTTGCTGGGGTGACCTCAGGGTCTGTCTCGACTGGTGACAGTGTTCTTGGGGACTGACTAGAGATCCATTAAGCAAGTCGAAGCTCCTGACTTGTTTGAATGGGATCACGGAATAGCTCTGCATGCACTGCAGGGGAATGGGGCCTCATCTCGCCTCTAGGGGGAAGTCTCATGGTTTTTCCCGAGTTGCGGCGGGACCTGGGGTATGTTCTCGACTTACGGCGGGGATGGCACTTCAAAACACGAGTTTCTTCAGTGACGTCAGGACTCCTGTCTAGTAATGAGGGACACGTCAGGAATCTCTCCGAGACTTCGCAGGGCAAAAGGGACGCTTCTCGAGATGAGGCAGGGCACCCAAGGACACTTTCCAGTAGCCACAGGGATTTTGGGATTCCTATCAGTATTCAAGAGGAGTCAGGCATCGTCACCTTTTGAACCATGAACTCCGCGTGCCTCTCGAGGTGTCAGCGGGATGTGAGGCATTCTGTCAAAATGAGGCAGGGACCTAGGGCTTTCTCTAATGTCTCCACAGGGAATTCAGACTTCACTTCATGTTGTGAGATGAAAGACGAGCCTGTATTCAAGCCACTGCAAGGAAATCCGGCCTCCTTTCAAGTTAGGGCTTCTCGCTGTATATTCCCCTTGAGGCAGCAAACTCGGGGTCCCTCCCACATACCTATTGCTGAGAGAAGCCTCCTCCTGAGGTGTTTCTGGAAAGTTGGCATACGTCTTGAGCGTAAGCCAGGGAATCAGCTCTCATCTTGAGACGATTTGGGGTACATGGAGCATTCCTGGAGTTGCTGTGCTTAAGTTGGTGTTCCTCTAGACCTGGGACAGTGTTCTCGGGGCATCTCTGGAGTTGCCTGAAGGAAGTCGAGCCACCGGTCGTGTTGAATGGGGAACGGGGAATGTCTCTGGAGTCAATGCAGGGAAATCGGGCCTCATCTCGAATTGATTTGGGGCACATGGAGCTGCTTTGCGTTGCTGGGGTGACCTCAGGGTCCGTCTAGACTGGTGACAGTGTTCTTGGGTACTGTCTCGAGATCCATTAAGCAAGTCGAAGCGCCTGACTTGTTTGAATGGGATCACGGAATAGCTCTGCATGCACTGCAGGGGAATGGGGCCTCGTCTCGCCTCTAGGGGGAAGTCTCATGGTTTTTCTCGAGTTGCGGCGGGGACCTGGGGTATGTTCTCGACTTACGGCGGGGATGGCCCTTCAAAACACGAGTTTCTTCAGTGACGTCAGGACTCCTGTCTAGTAACGAGGGACACCTCAGGATTCTCTCCGAGGCTTCGCAGGGCAAAAGGGACGCTTCTCGAGGTGAGGCAGGGCACCCAAGGACCCTTTCCAGTAGCCACAGGGATTTTGGGATTCCTATCAGTGTTCAAGAGGAGTCAGGCATCGTCACCTTTTGAACCATGAACTCCGCGTGCCTCTCGAGGTGTCAGCGGGATGTGAGGCATTCTGTCAAAATGAGGCAGGGAGCTAGGGCTTTCTCTAAGGTCTCCACAGGGGACTCAGACATCCCTTCATGTTGTGAGATGAAAGACGAGCCTGTATTCAAGCCACTGCAAGGAAATCCGGCCTCCTTTCAAGTTAGGGCTTCTCGCTGTATATTCCCCTTGAGGCAGCAAACTCGGGGTCCCTCCCACATACCTATTGCTGAGAGAAGCCTCCTCCTGAGGTGCTTCTGGAAAGTTGGCATACGTCTTGAGCCTAAGCCAGGGAATCAGCTCTCATGTCGAGACGATTTGGGGTACACGGAGCATTCCTCGAGTTGCTGTGCTGAAGTTGGTGTTCCTCTAGACTTGGGAGAGTGTTCTCGGGGCATCTCTGGAGTTGCCTGAAGGAAGTCGAGCCACCGGTCGTGTTGAATGGGGAACGGGGAATGGCTCTGGAGTCAATGCAGGGCAATCGGGCCTCATCTCGAGTTGATTTGGGGCACATGGCGCTGCTTTGCGTTGCTGGGGTGACCTCAGGGTCTGTCTCGAATGGTGACAGTGTTCTTGGGGACTGTCTAGAGATCCATTAAGCAAGTCGAAGCTCCTGACTTGTTTGAATGGGATCACGGAATAGCTCTGCATGCACTGCAGGGGAATGGGGCCTCATCTCGCCTCTAGGGGGAAGTCTCATGGTTTTTCTCGAGTTGCGGCGGGACCTGGGGTATGTTCTCGACTTACGGCGGGGATGGCCCTTCAAAACACGAGTTTCTTCAGTGACGTCAGGACTCCTGTCTAGTAACGAGTGACACCTCAGGAATCTCTCCGAGGCTTCGCAGGGCAAAAGGGACACTTCTCGAGGTGAGGCAGGGCACCCAAGGACCCTTTCCAGTAGCCACAGGGATTTTGGGATTCCTATCAGTGTTCAAGAGGAGTCAGGCATCGTCACCTTTTGAACCATGAACTCCGCGTGCCTCTCGAGGTGTCAGCGGGATGTGAGGCATTCTGTCAAAATGAGGCAGGACCTAGGGCTTTCTCTAAGGTCTCCACAGGGGATTCAGACATCCCTTCATGTTGTGAGATGAAAGACGAGCCTGTATTCAAGCCACTGCAAGGAAATCCGGCCTCCTTTCAAGTTTGGGCTTCTCGCTGTATATTCCCCTTGTGGCAGCAAACTCGGGCTCCCTCCCACATACCTATTGCTGAGAGAAGCCTCCTCCTGAGGTGCTTCTGGAAAGTTGGCATACGTCTTGAGCCTAAGCCAGGGAATCAGCTCTCATCTTGAGACGATTTGGGGAACACGGAGCATTCCTCGAGTTGCTGTGTTGAAGTTGGTGTTCCTCTAGACTTGGGACAGTGTTCTCGGGGCATCTCTGGAGTTGCCTGAAGGAAGTCGAGCCACCGGTCGTGTTGAATGGGGAACGGGGAATGGCTCTGGAATCAATGCAGGGGAATCGGGGGTCATCTCGAGTTGATTTGGGGTACATGGAGCTGCTTTGTGTTGCTGGGGTGACCTCAGGGTCCGTCTAGACTGGTGACAGTGTTCTTGGGGACTGTCTCGAGATCCATTAAGCAAGTCGAAGCTCCTGACTTGTTTGAATGGGATCACGGAATAGCTCTGCATGCACTGCAGGGGAATGGAGCCTCATCTCGCCTCTAGGGGGAAGTCTCATGGTTTTTCTCGAGTTGCGACGGGGACCTGGGGTATGTTCTCGACTTACGGCGGGGATGGCACTTCAAAACACGAGTTTCTTCAGTGACGTCAGGACTCCTGTCTAGTATCGAGGGATACCTCAGGAATCTCTCCGAGGCTTCGCAGGGCAAAAGGGACGCTTCTCGAGGTGAGGCAGGGCACCCAAGGACCCTTTCCAGTAGCCACAGGGATTTGGGGATTCCTATCAGTATTCAAGAGTAGTCAGGCATCGTCACCTTTTGAACCATGAACGCCGCGTGCCTCTCGAGGTGTCAGCGGGATATCAGGCATTCTGTCAAAATGATTCAGGGACCTAGGGCTTTCTCTAAGGTCTCCACAGGGGATTCAGAAATCACTTCATGTTGTGAGATGAAAGACGTGCCTGTATTCAAGCCACTGCAAGGAAATCCGGCCTCCTTTCAAGTTAGGGCTTCTCGCTGTATATTCCCCTTGAGGCAGCAAACTCGGGGTCCCTCCCACATACCTATTGCTGAGAGAAGCCTCCTCCTGAGGTGCTTCTGGAAAGTTGGCATACGTCTTGAGCCTAAGCCAGGGAATCAGCTCTCATCTTGAGACGATTTGGGGTACACGGAGCATTCCTCGAGTTGCTGTGTTGAAGTTGGTGTTCCTCTAGACTTGGGACAGTGTTCTCGGGGCATCTCTGGAGTTGCCTGAAGGAAGTCGAGCCACCGGTCGTGTTGAATGGGGAACGGGGAATGGCTCTGGAGTCAATGCAGGGGAATCGGGCGTCATCTCGAGTTGATTTGGGGCACATGGAGCTGATTTGTGTTGCTGGGGTGACCTCAGGGTCCGTCTAGACTGGTGACAGTGTTCTTGGGGACTGTCTCAAGATCCGTTAAGCAAGTCGAAGCTCCTGACTTGTTTGAATGGGATCACGGAATAGCTCTGCATGCACTGCAGGGGAATGGAGCCTCATCTCGCCTCTAGGGGGAAGTCTCATGGTTTTTCTCGAGTTGCGGCGGGGACCTGGGGTATGTTCTCGACTTACGGCGGGGATGGCCCTTCAAAACACGAGTTTCTTCAGTGACGTCAGGACTCCTGTCTAGTAACGAGGGACACCTCAGGAATCTCTCCGAGGCTTCGCAGGGCAAAAGGGACGCTTCTCGAGGTGAGGCAGGGCACCCAAGGACCCTTTCCAGTAGCCACAGGGATTTGGGGATTCCTATCAGTATTCAAGAGGAGTCAGGCATCGTCACCTTTTGAACCATGAACGCCGCGTGCCTCTCGAGGTGTCAGCGCGATATGAGGCATTCTGTCAAAATGAGGCAGGGAACTAGGGCTTTCTCTAAGGTCTCCACAGGGGATTCAGACATCACTTCATGTTGTGAGATGAAAGACGTGCCTGTATTCAAGCCACTGCAAGGAAATCCGGCCTCCTTTCAAGTTAGGGCTTCTCGCTGTATATTCCCCTTGAGGTAGCAAACTCGGGGTCCCTCCCACATACCTATTGCTGAGAGAAGCCTCCTCCTGAGGTGCTTCTGGAAAGTTGGCATACGTCTTGAGCCTAAGCCAGGGAATCAGCTCTCATCTTGAGACGATTTCGTGTACACGGAGCATTCCTCGAGTTGCTGTGCTGAAGTTGGTGTTCCTCTAGACTTGGGACAGTGTTCTCGGGGCATCTCTGGAGTTGCCTGAAGGAAGTCGAGCCACCGGTCGTGTTGAATGGGGAACGGGGAATGGCTCTGGAGTCAATGCAGGGAAATCGGGCCTCATCTCGAGTTGATTTGGGGCACATGGAGCTGCTTTGCGTTGCTGGGGTGACCTCAGGGTCCGTCTAGACTGGTGACAGTGTTCTTGGGTACTGTCTCGAGATCCATTAAGCAAGTCGAAGCTCCTGACTTGTTTGAATGGGATCACGGAATAGCTCTGCATGCACTGCAGGGGAATGGGGCCTCTTCTCGCCTCTAGGGGGAAGTCTCATGGTTTTTATCGAGTTGCGGCGGGGACCTGGGGTATGTTCTCGACTTACGGCGGTGATGGCCCTTCAAAACACGAGTTTCTTCAGTGACGTCAGGACTCCTGTCTAGTAACGAGGGACACCTCAGGATTCTCTCTGAGGCTTCGCAGGGCAAAAGGGACGCTTCTCGAGGTGAGGCAGGGCACCCAAGGACCCTTTCCAGTAGCCACAGGGATTTTGGGATTCCTATCAGTATTCAAGAGGAGTCAGGCATCGTCACCTTTTGAACCATGAACTCCGCGTGCCTCTCGAGGTGTCAGCGGGATGTGAGGCATTCTGTCAAAATGAGGCAGGGACCTAGGGCTTTCTCTAAGGTCTCCACAGGGGATTCAGACATCCCTTCATGTTGTGAGATGAAAGACGAGCCTGTATTCAAGCCACTGCAAGGAAATCCGGCCTCCTTTCAAGTTAGGGCTTCTCGCTGTTTATTCCCCTTGTGGAAGCAAACTCGGGCTCCCTCCCACATAACTATTGCTGAGAGAAGCCTCCTCCTGAGGTGCTTCTGGAAAGTTGGCATACGCCTTGAGCCTAAGCCAGGGAATCAGCTCTCATCTCGAGACGATTTGGTGTACACGGAGCATTCCTCGAGTTGCTGTGTTGAAGTTGGTGTTCCTCTAGACTTGCGACAGTGTTCTCGGGGCATCTCTGGAGTTGCCTGAAGGAAGTCGAGCCACCGGTCGTGTTGAATGGGGAACGGGGAATGGCTCTGGAGTCAATGCAGGGGAATCGGGCGTCATCTCGAGTTGATTTGGGGCACATGGAGCTGCTTTGCGTTGCTGGGGTGACCTCAGGGTCCGTCTAGACTGGTGACCGTGTTCTTGGGGACTGTCTCGAGATCCATTATGCAAGTCGAAGCTCCTGACTTGTTTGAATGGGATCACGGAATAGCTCTGCATGCACTGCAGGGGAATGGGGCCTCATCTCGCCTCTAGGGGGAAGTCTCATGGTTTTTCTCGAGTTGCGGCGGGGACCTGGGGTATGTTCTCGACTTACGGCGGGCATGTAACTTCAAAACACGAGTTTCTTCAGTGACGTCAGGACTCCTGTCTAGTAACGAGGGACACCTCAGGAATCTCTCCGAGGCTTCGCAGGGCAAAATGGACGCTTCTCGAGGTGAGGCAGGGCACCCAAGGACCCTTTCCAGTAGCCACAGGGATTTGGGGATTCCTATCAGTATTCAAGAGGAGTCAGGCATCGTCACCTTTTGAACCATGAACGCCGCGTGCCTCTCGAGGTGTCAGCGGTATATGAGGCATTCTGTCAAAATGAGGCAGGGACCTAGGGCTTTCTCTAATGTCTCCACAGGGGATTCAGACTTCACTTCATGTTGTGAGATGAAAGACGTGCTTGTATTCAAGCCACTGCAAGGATATCCGGCCTCCTTTCAAGTTAGGGCTTCTCGCTGTATATTCCCCTTGAGGCAGCAAACTCGGGGTCCCTCCCACATACCTATTGCTGAGAGAAGCCTCCTCCTGAGGTGTTTCTGGAAAGTTGGCATACGTCTTGAGCGTAAGCCAGGGAATCCGCTCTCATCTTGAGACGATTTGGGGTACACGGAGCATTCCTCGAGTTGCTGTGCTGAAGTTGGTGTTCCTCTAGACTTGGGACAGTGTTCTCGGGGCATCTCTGGAGTTGCCTGAAGGAAGTCGAGCCACCGGTCGTGTTGAATGGGGAACGGGGAATGTCTCTGGAGTCAATGCAGGGAAATCGGGCCTCATCTCGAGTTGATTTGGGGCACATGGAGCTGCTTTGCGTTGCTGGGGTGACCTCAGGGTCCGTCTAGACTGGTGACAGTGTTCTTGGGTACTGTCTCGAGATCCATTAAGCAAGTCGAAGCTCCTGACTTGTTTGAATGGGATCACGGAATAGCTCTGCATGCACTGCAGGGGAATGGGGCCTCGTCTCGCCTCTAGGGGGAAGTCTCATGGTTTTTCTCGAGTTGCGGCGGGGACCTGGGGTATGTTCTCGACTTACGGCGGGGATGGCCCTTCAAAACACGAGTTTCTTCAGTGACGTCAGGACTCCTGTCTAGTAACGAGGGACACCTCAGGATTCTCTCCGAGGCTTCGCAGGGCAAAAGGGACGCTTCTCGAGGTGAGGCAGGGCACCCAAGGACCCTTTCCAGTAGCCACAGGGATTTTGGGATTCCTATCAGTGTTCAAGAGGAGTCAGGCATCGTCACCTTTTGAACCATGAACTCCGCGTGCCTCTCGAGGTGTCAGCGGGATGTGAGGCATTCTGTCAAAATGAGGCAGGGACCTAGGGCTTTCTCTAAGGTCTCCACAGGGGATTCAGACATCCCTTCATGTTGTGAGATGAAAGACGAGCCTGTATTCAAGCCACTACAAGGAAATCCGGCCTCCTTTCAAGTTAGGGCTTCTCGCTGTATATTCCCCTTGAGGCAGCAAACTCGGGGTCCCTCCCACATAACTATTGCTGAGAGAAGCCTCCTCCTGAGGTGCTTCTGGAAAGTTGGCATACGTCTTGAGCTTAAGCCAGGGAATCAGCTCTCATCTCGAGACGATTTGGGGTACACGGAGCATTCCTCGAGTTGCTGTGCTGAAGTTGGTGTTCCTCTAGACTTGGGACAGTGTTCTCGGGGCATCTCTGGAGTGGCCTGAAGGAAGTTGAGCCACCGGTCGTGTTGAATGGGGAACGGGGAATGGCTCTGGAGTCAATGCAGGGGAATCGGGCCTCATCTTGAGTTGATTTGGGGCACATGGAGCTGCTTTGCGTTGCTGGGGTGACCTCAGGGTCTGTCTCGACTGGTGACAGTGTTCTTGGGGACTGTCTAGAGATCCATTAAGCAAGTCGAAGCTCCTGACTTGTTTGAATGGGATCACGGAATAGCTCTGCATGCACTGCAGGGGAATGGGGCCTCATCTCGCCTCTAGGGGGAAGTCTCATGGTTTTTCCCGAGTTGCGGCGGGACCTGGGGTATGTTCTCGACTTACGGCGGGGATGGCACTTCAAAACACGAGTTTCTTCAGTGACGTCAGGACTCCTGTCTAGTAATGAGGGACACGTCAGGAATCTCTCCGAGACTTCGCAGGGCAAAAGGGACGCTTCTCGAGATGAGGCAGGGCACCCAAGGACCCTTTCCAGTAGCCACAGGGATTTTGGGATTCCTATCATTATTCAAGAGGAGTCAGGCATCGTCACCTTTTGAACCATGAACTCCGCGTGCCTCTCGAGGTGTCAGCGGGATGTGAGGCATTCTGTCAAAATGAGGCAGGGACCTAGGGCTTTCTCTAATGTCTCCACAGGGGATTCAGACTTCACTTCATGTTGTGAGATGAAAGACGTGCCTGTATTCAAGCCACTGCAAGGAAATCCGGCCTCCTTTCAAGTTAGGGCTTCTCGCTGTATATTCCCCTTGAGGCAGCAAACTCGGGGTCCCTCCCACATACCTATTGCTGAGAGAAGCCTCCTCCTGAGGTGTTTCTGGAAAGTTGGCATACGTCTTGAGCCTAAGCCAGGGAATCAGCTCTCATCTTGAGACGATTTGGCGTACACGGAGCATTCCTGGAGTTGCTGTGCTTAAGTTGGTGTTCCTCTAGACTTGGGACAGTGTTCTCGGGGCATCTCTGGAGTTGCCTGAAGGAAGTCGAGCCACCGGTCGTGTTGAATGGGGAACGGGGAATGTCTCTGGAGTCAATGCAGGGAAATCGGGCCTCATCTCGAGTTGATTTGGGGCACATGGAGCTGCTTTGCGTTGCTGGGGTGACCTCAGGGTCTGTCTCGACTGGTGACAGTGTTCTTGGGGACTGTCTAGAGATCCATTAAGCAAGTCGAAGCTCCTGACTTGTTTGAATGGGATCACGGAATAGCTCTGCATGCACTGCAGGGGAATGGGGCCTCATCTCGCCTCTAGGGGGAAGTCTCATGGTTTTTCTCGAGTTGCGGCGGGACCTGGGGTATGTTCTCGACTTACGGCGGGGATGGCCCTTCAAAACACGAGTTTCTTCAGTGACGTCAGGACTCCTGTCTAGTAACGAGGGACACCTCAGGATTCTCTCCGAGGCTTCGCAGGGCAAAAGGGACGCTTCTCGAGGTGAGGCAGGGCACCCAAGGACCCTTTCCAGTAGCCACAGGGATTTTGGGATTCCTATCAGTGTTCAAGAGGAGTCAGGCATCGTCACCTTTTGAACCATGAACTCCGCGTGCCTCTCGAGGTGTCAGCGGGATGTGAGGCATTCTGTCAAAATGAGGCAGGGACCTAGGGCTTTCTCTAAGGTCTCCACAGGGGATTCAGACATCCCTTCATGTTGTGAGATGAAAGACGAGCCTGTATTCAAGCCACTGCAAGGAAATCCGGCCTCCTTTCAAGTTAGGGCTTCTCGCTGTTTATTCCCCTTGTGGAAGCAAACTCGGGCTCCCTCCCACATAACTATTGCTGAGAGAAGCCTCCTCCTGAGGTGCTTCTGGAAAGTTGGCATACGCCTTGAGCCTATGCCAGGGAATCAGCTCTCATCTCGAGACGATTTGGTGTACACGGAGCATTCCTCGAGTTGCTGTGTTGAAGTTGGTGTTCCTCTAGACTTGCGACAGTGTTCTCGGGGCATCTCTGGAGTTGCCTGAAGGAAGTCGAGCCACCGGTCGTGTTGAATGGGGAACGGGGAATGGCTCTGGAGTCAATGCAGGGGAATCGGGCGTCATCTCTAGTTGATTTGGGGCACATGGAGCTGCTTTGCGTTGCTGGGGTGACCTCAGGGTCCGTCTAGACTGGTGACCGTGTTCTTGGGGACTGTCTCCAGATCCATTAAGCAAGTCGAAGCTCCTGACTTGTTTGAATGGGATCACGGAATAGCTCTGCATGCACTGCAGGGGAATGGGGCCTCATCTCGCCTCTAGGGGGAAGTCTCATGGTTTTTCTCGAGTTGCGGCGGGGACCTGGGGTATGTTCTCGACTTACCGCGGGCATGTAACTTCAAAACACGAGTTTCTTCAGTGACGTCAGGACTCCTGTCTAGTAACGAGGGACACCTCAGGAATCTCTCCGAGGCTTCGCAGGGCAAAATGGACGCTTCTCGAGGTGAGGCAGGGCACCCAAGGACCCTTTCCAGTAGCCACAGGGATTTGGGGATTCCTATCAGTATTCAAGAGGAGTCAGGCATCGTCACCTTTTGAACCATGAACGCCGCGTGCCTCTCGAGGTGTCAGCGGTATATGAGGCATTCTGTCAAAATGAGGCAGGGACCTAGGAATTTCTCTAATGTCTCCACAGGGGATTCAGACTTCACTTCATGTTGTGAGATGAAAGACGTGCTTGTATTCAAGCCACTGCAAGGATATCCGGCCTCCTTTCAAGTTAGGGCTTCTCGCTGTATATTCCCCTTGAGGCAGCAAACTCGGGGTCCCTCCCACATACCTATTGCTGAGAGAAGCCTCCTCCTGAGGTGTTTCTGGAAAGTTGGCATACGTCTTGAGCGTAAGCCAGGGAATCAGCTCTCATCTTGAGACGATTTGGGGTACACGGAGCATTCCTCGAGTTGCTGTGCTGAAGTTGGTGTTCCTCTAGACTTGGGACAGTGTTCTCGGGGCATCTCTGGAGTTGCCTGAAGGAAGTCGAGCCACCGGTCGTGTTGAATGGGGAACGGGGAATGTCTCTGGAGTCAATGCAGGGAAATCGGGCCTCATCTCGAGTTGATTTGGGGCACATGGAGCTGCTTTGCGTTGCTGGGGTGACCTCAGGGTCCGTCTAGACTGGTGACAGTGTTCTTGGGTACTGTCTCGAGATCCATTAAGCAAGTCGAAGCTCCTGACTTGTTTGAATGGGATCACGGAATAGCTCTGCATGCACTGCAGGGGAATGGGGCCTCGTCTCGCCTCTAGGGGGAAGTCTCATGGTTTTTCTCGAGTTGCGGCGGGGACCTGGGGTATGTTCTCGACTTACGGCGGGGATGGCCCTTCAAAACACGAGTTTCTTCAGTGACGTCAGGACTCCTGTCTAGTAACGAGGGACACCTCAGGATTCTCTCCGAGGCTTCGCAGGGCAAAAGGGACGCTTCTCGAGGTGAGGCAGGGCACCCAAGGACCCTTTCCAGTAGCCACAGGGATTTTGGGATTCCTATCAGTGTTCAAGAGGAGTCAGGCATCGTCACCTTTTGAACCATGAACTCCGCGTGCCTCTCGAGGTGTCAGCGGGATGTGAGGCATTCTGTCAAAATGAGGCAGGGACCTAGGGCTTTCTCTAAGGTCTCCACAGGGGATTCAGACATCCCTTCATGTTGTGAGATGAAAGACGAGCCTGTATTCAAGCCACTACAAGGAAATCCGGCCTCCTTTCAAGTTAGGGCTTCTCGCTGTATATTCCCCTTGAGGCAGCAAACTCGGGCTCCCTCCCACATAACTATTGCTGAGAGAAGCCTCCTCCTGAGGTGCTTCTGGAAAGTTGGCATACGTCTTGAGCCTAAGCCAGGGAATCAGCTCTCATCTCGAGACGATTTGGGGTACACGGAGCATTCCTCGAGTTGCTGTGCTGAAGTTGGTGTTCCTCTAGACTTGGGACAGTGTTCTCGGGGCATCTCTGGAGTGGCCTGAAGGAAGTTGAGCCACCGGTCGTGTTGAATGGGGAACGGGGAATGGCTCTGGAGTCAATGCAGGGGAATCGGGCCTCATCTTGAGTTGATTTGGGGCACATGGAGCTGCTTTGCGTTGCTGGGGTGACCTCAGGGTCTGTCTCGACTGGTGACAGTGTTCTTGGGGACTGTCTAGAGATCCATTAAGCAAGTCGAAGCTCCTGACTTGTTTGAATGGGATCACGGAATAGCTCTGCATGCACTGCAGGGGAATGGGGCCTCATCTCGCCTCTAGGGGGAAGTCTCATGGTTTTTCTCGAGTTGCGGCGGGACCTGGGGTATGTTCTCGACTTACGGCGGGGATGGCACTTCAAAACACGAGTTTCTTCAGTGACGTCAGGACTCCTGTCTAGTAATGAGGGACACGTCAGGAATCTCTCCGAGACTTCGCAGGGCAAAAGGGACGCTTCTCGAGATGAGGCAGGGCACCCAAGGACCCTTTCCAGTAGCCACAGGGATTTTGGGATTCCTATCAGTATTCAAGAGGAGTCAGGCATCGTCACCTTTTGAACCATGAACGCCGCGTGCCTCTCGAGGTGTCAGCGGGATGTGAGGCATTCTGTCAAAATGAGGCAGGGACCTAGGGCTTTCTCTAATGTCTCCACAGGGGATTCAGACTTCACTTCATGTTGTGAGATGAAAGACGTGCCTGTATTCAAGTCACTGCAAGGAAATGCGGCCTCCTTTCAAATTAGGGCTTCTCGCTGTATATTCCCCTTGAGGCAGCAAACTCGGGCTCCCTCCCACATACCTATTGCTGAGAGAAGCCTCCTCCTGAGGTGCTTCTGGAAAGTTGGCATACGTCTTGAGCCTAAGCCAGGGAATCAGCTCTCATCTTGAGACGATTTGGGGTACTCGGAGCATTCCTCGATTTGCTGTGCTGAAGTTGGTGTTCCTCTAGACTTGGGACAGTGTTCTCGGGGCATCTCTGGAGTTGCCTGAAGGAAGTGGAGCCACGGATCGTGTTGAATGGGGAACGGGGAATGGCTCTGGAGTCAATGCAGGGGAATCAGGCCTCATCTCGAGTTGATTTGGGGCACATGGAGCTGCTTTGCGTTGCTGGGGTGACCTCAGGGTCCGTATAGACTTTTGACAGTGTTCTTGGGGACTGTCTCGAGATCCATTAAGCAAGTCGAAGCTCCTGACTTGTTTGAATGGGATCACGGAATAGCTCTGCATGCACTGAAGGGGAATGGGGCCTCATCTCGCCTCTAGGGGGAAGTCTCATGGTTTTTCTCGAGTTGCGGCGGGGACCTGGGGTATGTTCTCGACTTACGGCGGGGATGGCCCTTCAAAACACGAGTTTCTTCAGTGACGTCAGGACTCCTGTCTAGTAACGATGGACACCTCAGGAATCTCTCCGAGGCTTCGCAGAGCAAAAGGGACACTTCTCGAGGTGAGGCAGGGCACCCAAGGACCCTTTCCAGTAGCCACAGGGATTTTGGGATTCCTATCAGTGTTCAAGAGGAGTCAGGCATCGTCACCTTTTGAACCATGAACTCCGCGTGCCTCTCGAGGTGTCAGCGGGATGTGAGGCATTCTGTCAAAATGAGGCAGGGACCTAGGGCTTTCTCTAAGGTCTCCACAGGGGATTCAGACATCCCTTCATGTTGTGAGATGAAAGACGAGCCTGTATTCAAGCCACTGCAAGGAAATCCGGCCTCCTTTCAAGTTTGGGCTTCTCGCTGTATATTCCCCTTGTGGCAGCAAACTCGGGCTCCCTCCCACATACCTATTGCTGAGAGAAGCCTCCTCCTGAGGTGGTTCTGGAAAGTTGGCATACGTCTTGAGCCTAAGCCAGGGAATCAGCTCTCATCTTGAGACGATTTGGGGTACACGGAGCATTCCTCGAGTTGCTGTGTTGAAGTTGGTGTTCCTCTAGACTTGGGACAGTGTTCTCGGGGCATCTCTGGAGTTGCCTGAAGGAAGTCGAGCCACCGGTCGTGTTGAATGGGGAACGGGGAATGGCTCTGGAGTCAATGCAGGGGAATCGGGCGTCATCTCGAGTTGATTTGGGGCACATGGAGCTGCTTTGTGTTGCTGGGGTGACCTCAGGGTCCGTCTAGACTGGTGACAGTGTTCTTGGGGACTGTCTCGAGATCCATTAAGCAAGTCGAAGGTCCTGACTTGTTTGAATGGGATCACGGAATAGCTCTGCATGCACTGCAGGGGAATGGAGCCTCATCTCGCCTCTAGGGGGAAGTCTCATGGTTTTTCTCGAGTTGCGGCGGGGACCTGGGGTATGTTCTCGACTTACAGCGGGGATGGCCCTTCAAAACACGAGTTTCTTCAGTGACGTCAGGACTCCTGTCTAGTAACGAGGGACACCTCAGGAATCTCTCCGAGGCTTCGCAGGGCAAAAGGGACGCTTCTCGAGGTGAGGCAGGGCACCCAAGGACCCTTTCCAGTAGCCACAGGGATTTGGGGATTCCTATCAGTATTCAAGAGGAGTCAGGCATCGTCACCTTTTGAACCATGAACGCCGCGTGCCTCTCGAGGTGTCAGCGCGATATGAGGCATTCTGTCAAAATGAGGCAGGGAACTAGGGCTTTCTCTAAGGTCTCCACAGGGGATTCAGACATCACTTCATGTTGTGAGATGAAAGACGTGCCTGTATTCAAGCCACTGCAAGGAAATCCGGCCTCCTTTCAAGTTAGGGCTTCTCGCTGTATATTCCCCTTGAGGCAGCAAACTCGGGCTCCCTCCCACATACCTATTGCTGAGAGAAGCCTCCTCCTGAGGTGCTTCTGGAAAGTTGGCATACGTCTTGAGCCTAAGCCAGGGAATCAGCTCTCATCTTGAGACGATTTGTGGTACACGGAGCATTCCTCGAGTTGCTGTGCTGAAGTTGGTGTTCCTCTAGACTTGGGACAGTGTTCTCGGGGCATCTCTGGAGTTGCCTGAAGGAAGTCGAGCCACCGGTCGTGTTGAATGGGGAACGGGGAATGGCTCTGGAGTCAATGCAGGGAAATCGGGCCTCATCTCGAGTTGATTTGGGCCACATGGAGCTGCTTTGCGTTGCTGGGGTGACCTCAGGGTCCGTCTAGACTGGTGACAGTGTTCTTGGGGACTGTCTCGAGATCCATTAAGCAAGTCGAAGCTCCTGACTTGTTTGAATGGGATCACGGAATAGCTCTGCATGCACTGCAGGGGAATGGGGCCTCATCTCGCCTCTAGGGGGAAGTCTCATGGTTTTTCTCGAGTTGCGGCGGGGACCTGGGGTATGTTCTCGACTTACGGCGGGGATGGCCCTTCAAAACACGAGTTTCTTCAGTGACGTCAGGACTCCTGTCTAGTAACGAGGGACACCTCAGGATTCTCTCCGAGGCTTCGCAGGGCAAAAGGGACGCTTCTCGAGGTGAGGCAGGGCACCCAAGGACCCTTTCCAGTAGCCACAGGGATTTTGGGATTCCTATCAGTGTTCAAGAGGAGTCAGGCATCGTCACCTTTTGAACCATGAACTCCGCGTGCCTCTCGAGGTGTCAGCGGGATGTGAGGCATTCTGTCAAAATGAGGCAGGGACCTAGGGCTTTCTCTAAGGTCTCCACAGGGGATTCAGACATCCCTTCATGTTGTGAGATGAAAGACGAGCCTGTATTCAAGCCACTGCAAGGAAATCCGGCCTCCTTTCAAGTTAGGGCTTCTCGCTGTATATTCCCCTTGAGGCAGCAAACTCGGGCTCCCTCCCACATAACTATTGCTGAGAGAAGCCTCCTCCTGTGGTGCTTCTGGAAAGTTGGCATACGTCTTGAGCCTAAGCCAGGGAATCAGCTCTCATCTCGAGACGATTTGGGGTACACGGAGCATTCCTCGAGTTGCTGTGCTGAAGTTGGTGTTCCTCTAGACTTGGGACAGTGTTCTCGGGGCATCTCTGGAGTTGCCTGAAGGAAGTCGAGCCACCGGTCGTGTTGAATGGGGAACGGGGAATGGCTCTGGAGTCAATGCATGGGAATCGGGCCTCATCTCGAGTTGATTTGGGGCACATGGAGCTGCTTTGCGTTGCTGGGGTGACCTCAGGGTCTGTCTCGACTGGTGACAGTGTTCTTGGGGACTGTCTCGAGATCCATTAAGCAAGTCGAAGCTCCTGACTTGTTTGAATGGGATCACGGAATAGCTCTGCATGCACTGCAGGGGAATGGGGCCTCATCTCGCCTCTAGGGGGAAGTCTCATGGTTTTTCCCGAGGTGCGGCGGGACCTGGGGTATGTTCTCGACTTACGGCGGGGATGGCACTTCAAAACACGAGTTTCTTCAGTGACGTCAGGACTCCTGTCTAGTAATGAGGGACACGTCAGGAATCTCTCCGAGACTTCGCAGGGCAAAAGGGACGCTTCTCGAGATGAGGCAGGGCACCCAAGGACCCTTTCCAGTAGCCACAGGGATTTTGGGATTCCTATCAGTATTCAAGAGGAGTCAGGCATCGTCACCTTTTGAACCATGAACTCCGCGTGCCTCTCGAGGTGTCAGCGGGATGTGAGGCATTCTGTCAAAATGAGGCAGGGACCTAGGGCTTTCTCTAAGGTTTCCACAGGGGATTCAGACATCCCTTCATGTTGTGAGATTAAAGACGAGCCTGTATTCAAGCCACTGCAAGGAAATCCGGCCTCCTTTCAAGTTAGGGCTTCTCGCTGTATATTCCCCTTGAGGCAGCAAACTCGGGGTCCCTCCCACATACCTATTGCTGAGAGAAGCCTCCTCCTGAGGTGCTTCTGGAAAGTTGGCATACGTCTTGAGCCTAAGCCAGGGAATCAGCTCTCATCTTGAGACGATTTGGGGTACTCGGAGCATTCCTCGATTTGCTGTGCTGAAGTTTGTGTTCCTCTAGACTTGGGACAGTGTTCTCGGGGCATCTCTGGAGTTGCCTGAAGGAAGTGGAGCCACGGATCGTGTTGAATGGGGAACGGGGAATGGCTCTGGAATCAATGCAGGGGAATCAGGCCTCATCTCGAGTTGATTTGGGGCACATGGAGCTGCTTTGCATTGCTGGGGTGACCTCAGGGTCCGTCTAGACTGGTGACAGTGTTCTTGGGGACTGTCTCGAGATCCATTAAGCAAGTCGAAGCTCCTGACTTGTTTGAATGGGATCACGGAATAGCTCTGCATGCACTGCAGGGGAATGGGGCCTCATCTCGCCTCTAGGGGGAAGTCTCATGGTTTTTCTCGAGTTGCGGCGGGGACCTGGGGTATGTTCTCGACTTACGGCGGGGATGGCCCTTCAAAACACGAGTTTCTTCAGTGACGTCAGGACTCCTGTCTAGTAACGAGGGACACCTCAGGATTCTCTCCGAGGCTTCGCAGGGCAAAAGGGACGCTTCTCGAGGTGAGGCAGGGCACCCAAGGACCCTTTCCAGTAGCCACAGGGATTTTGGGATTCCTATCAGTGTTCAAGAGGAGTCAGGCATCGTCACCTTTTGAACCATGAACTCCGCGTGCCTCTCGAGGTGTCAGCGGGATGTGAGGCATTCTGTCAAAATGAGGCAGGGACCTAGGGCTTTCTCTAAGGTCTCCACAGGGGATTCAGACATCCCTTCATGTTGTGAGATGAAAGACGAGCCTGTATTCAAGCCACTGCAAGGAAATCCGGCCTCCTTTCAAGTTAGGGCTTCTCGCTGTATATTCCCCTTGAGGCAGCAAACTCGGTGTCCCACCCACGTACCTATTGCTGAGAGAAGCCTCCTCCTGAGGTGCTTCTGGAAAGTTGGCATACGTCTTGAGCCTAAGCCAGGGAATCAGCTCTCATCTCGAGACGATTTGGGGTACACAGAGCATTCCTCGAGTTGCTGTGCTAAATTTGGTGTTCCTCTAGACTAGGGACAGTGTTCTCGGGGCATCTCTGGAGTTGCCTGAAGGAAGTCGAGCCACCGGTCGTGTTGAATGGGGAACGGGGAATGACTCTGGTGTCAATGCAGGGGAATCGGGCCTCATCTCGAGTTGATTTGGGGCACATGGAGCTGCTTTGCGTTGCTGGGGTGACCTCAGGGTCCGTCTAGACTGGTGACAGTGTTCTTGGGGACTGTCTCGAGATCCATTAAGCAAGTCGAAGCTCCTGACTTGTTTGAATGGGATCACGGAATAGCTCTGCATGCAATGCAGGGGAATGGGGCCTCATCTCGCCTCTAGGGGGAAGTCTCATGGTTTTTCTCGAGTTGCAGCGGGGACCTGGGGTATGTTCTCGATTTACGGCCGGGATGGCACTTCAAAACACGAGTTTCTACAGTGACGTCAGGACTCCTGTCTAGTAACGAGGGATACCTCAGGAATCTCTTCGAGGGTTGGCAGGGCAAAAGGGACGCTTCTCGAGGTGAGGCAGGGCACCCAAGGACCCTTTCCAGTAGCCACAGTGATTTTGGGATTCCTATCAGTATTCAAGAGGAGTCAGGCATTGTCACCTTTTGAAGCAATGAACTCCGCGTGTCTCTCGAGGTGTCAGCGGGATGTGAGGCATTCTGTCAAAATGAGGCAGGGACATAGGGCTTTCTCTCAGGTCTCCACAGGGGATTCAGACATCCCTTCATGTTGTGAGATGAAAGACGAGCCTGCATTCAAGCCACTGAAAGGAAATCCGGCCTCCTTTCAAGTTAGGGCTTCTTGCTGTATATTCCCCTTGTGGCAGCAAACTCGGGGTCCCTCCCACATACCTATTGCTGAGAGAAGCCTCCTCCTGAGGTGCTTCTGGAAAGTTGGCATACGTCTTGAGCCTAAGCCAGGGAATCAGCTCTCATCTCGAGACGATTTGGGGTACATGGAGCATTCCTCGAGTTGCTGTGTTGAAGTTGGTGTTCCTCTAGACTTGGGACAGTGTTCTCGGGGCATCTCTGGAGTTGCCTGAAGGAAGTCGAGCCACCGGTAGTGTTGAATGGGGAACGGGGAATGGCTCTGGAGTCAATGCAGGGGAATCGGGCCTCATCTCGAGTTGATTTGGGGCAGATGGAGCTGCTTTGCGTTGCTGGGGTGACCTCAGGGTCCGTATAGACTGGTGACAGTGTTCTTGGGGACTGTCTCGAGATCCATTAAGCAAGTTGAAGCTCCTGACTTGTTTGAATGGGATCACGGAATAGCTCTGCATGCACTGCAGGGGAATGGGGCCTCATCTCGCCTCTAGGGGGAAGTCTCATGGTTTTTCTCGAGTTGCGGCGGGGACCTGGGGTATGTTCTCGACTTACGGCGGGGATGTCACTTCAAAACACGAGTTTCTTCAGTGACGTCAGGACTCCTGTCTAGTAACGAGGGACATGTCAGGAATCTCTCCGAGGCTTCGCAGGGCAAAAGGGACGCTTCTCGAGGTTAGGCAGGGCACCCAAGGAGCCTTTCCAGTAGCCACAGGGATTTTGGGATTCCTATCAGTATTCAAGAGGAGTCAGGCATCGTCACCTTTTGAACCATGAACTCCGCGTGCCTCTCGAGGTGTCAGCGGGATGTGAGGCATTCTGTCAAAATGAGGCAGGGACCTAGGGCTTTCTCTAAGGTTTCCACAGGGGATTCAGACATCCCTTCATGTTTTGAGATGAAAGACGAGCCTGTATTCAAGCCACTGCATGGAAATCCGGCCTCCTTTCAAGTTAGGGCTTCTCGCTGTATATTCCCCTTGAGGCAGCAAACTCGGGCTCCCTCCCACATACCTATTGCTGAGAGAAGCCTCCTCCTGAGGTGCTTCTGGAAAGTTGGCATACGTCTTGAGCCTAAGCCAGGGAATCAGCTCTCCTCTCGAGACGATTTGGGGTACACGGAGCATTCCTCCAGTTGCTGTGTTGAAGTTGGTGTTCCTCTAGACTTGGGATAGTGTTCTCGGGGCATCTCTGGAGTTGCCTGAAGGAAGTCGAGCCACCGGTCGTGTTGAATGGGGATCGGGGAATGGCTCTGGAGTCAATGCAGGGGAATCTGGCCTCATCTCGAGTTGATGTGGGGCACATGGAGCTGCTTTGCGTTGCTGGGGTGACCTCAGGGTCCGTCTAGACTGGTGACAGTGTTCTTGGGGACTGTCTCGAGATACATTAAGCAAGTCGAAGCTCCTGACTTGTTTGAATGGGATCACGTAATAGCTCTGCATGCACTGCAGGGGAATGGGGCCTCATCTCGCCTCTAGGGAGAAGTCTCATGGTTTTTCTCGAGTTGCGGCGGGGACCTGGGGTATGTTCTCGACTTACGGCGGGGATGGCCCTTCAAAACACGAGTTTCTTCAGTGAGGTCAGGACTCCTGTCTAGTAACGAGGGACACCTCAGGAATCTCTCCGAGGCTTCGCAGGGCAAAAGGGACGCTTCTCGAGGTGAGGCAGGGCACCCAAGGACCCTTTCCAGTAGCCACAGGGATTTGGGGATTCCTATCAGTATTCAATAGGAGTCAGGCATCGTCTCCTTTTGAACCATGAACTCCGCGTGCCTCTCGAGGTGTCAGCGGGATGTGAGGCATTCTGTCAAAATGAGGCAGGGACCTAGGGCTTTCTCTAAGGTCTCCACAGGGGATTCAGACATCACTTCATGTTGTGAGATGAAAGACGTGCCTGTATTCAAGCCACTGCAAGGAAATCCGGCCTCCTTTCAAGTTAGGGCTTCTCGCTGTATATTCCCCTTGAGGCAGCAAACTCGGGGTCCCTCACACATACCCATTGCTGAGAGATTCCTCCTCCTGAGGTGCTTCTGGAAAGTTGGCATACGTCTTGAGCCTAAGCCAGGGAATCAGCTCTCATCTTGAGACGATTTGGGGTACACGGAACATTCCTCAAGTTGCTGTGCTGAAGTTGGTGTTCCTCTAGACTTGGGACAGTGTTCTCGGGGCATCTCTGGAGTTGCCTGAAGGAAGTCGAGCCACCGGTCGTGTTGAATGGGGAACGGGGAATGGCTCTGGAGTCAATGCAGGGAAATCGGGCCTCATCTCGAGTTGATTTGGGGCACATGGAGCTGCTTTGCGTTGCTGGGGTGACCTCAGGGTCCGTCTAGACTGGTGACAGTGTTCTTGGGGACTGTCTCGAGATCCATTAAGCAAGTCGAAGCTCTTGACTTGTTTGAATGGGATCACATAATAGCTCTGCATGCACTGCAGGGGAATGGGGCCTCATCTCGCCTCTAGGGGGAAGTCTCATGGTTTTTCTCGAGTTGCGGCGGGGACCAGGTGTATGTTCTCGACTTACATCGGGGATGGCGCTTCAAAACACGAGTTTCTTCAGTGACGTCAGGACTCCTGTCTAGTAACGAGGGACACCTCAGGAATCTCTCCGAGGCTTCGCAGGGCAAAAGGGACGCTTCTCGAGGTGAGGCAGGGCACCCAAGGACCCTTTCCAGTAGCCACAGGGATTTGGGGATTCCTATCAGTATTCAAGAGGAGTCAGGCATCGTCACCTTTTGAAGCAATGAACTCCGCGTGCCTCTCGAGGTGTCAGCGGGATGTGAGGCATTCTGTCAAAATGAGGCAGGGACCTAGGGCTTTCTCTAAGGTCTCCACAGGGGATTCAGACATCACTTCATGTTGTGAGATGAAAGACGAGCCTCTATTCAAGCCACTGCAAGGAAATCCGGCCTCCTTTCAAGTTAGGGCTTCTCGCTGTATATTCCCCTTGAGGCAGCAAACTCGGGGTCCCTCCCACATACCTATTGCTGAGAGAAGCCTCCTCCTGAGGTGCTTCTGGAAAGTTGGCATATGTCTTGAGCCTAAGCCAGTGAATCAGCTCTCATCTTGAGACGATTGGGGTACACGGAGCTTTCCTCGAGTTTCTGTGCTGAAGTTGGTGTTCCTCTAGACTTGGGACAGTGTTCTCGGGGCATCTCTGGAGTTGCCTGAAGGAAGTCGTGCCACCGGTCGTGTTGAATGGGGAACGGGGAATGGCTCTGGAGTCAATGCAGGGGAATCGGGCCTCATCTCGAGTTGATTTGGGGCACATGGAGCTGCTTTGCATTGCTGGGATGACCTCAGGGTCCGTCTAGACTGGTGACAGTGTTCTTGGGGACTGTCTCGAGATCCATTAAGCAAGTCGAAGCTCCTGACTTGTTTGAATGGGATCACGGAATAGCTCTGCATGCACTGCAGGGGAATGGGGCCTCATCTCGCCTCTAGGGGGAAGTCTCATGTTTTTTCTCGAGTTGCGGCGGGGACCAGAGATATGTTCTCGACTTACATCGGGGATGGCCCTTCAAAACACGAGTTTCTTCAGTGACGTCAGGACTCCTGTCTAGTAACGAGGGATACCTCAGGAATCTCTTCGAGGGTCGGCAGGGCAAAAGGGACGCTTCTTGAGGTGAGGCAGGGCACCCAAGGACCCTTTCCAGTAGCCACAGGGATTTTGGGATTCCTATCAGTATTCAAGAGGAGTCAGGCATCGTCACCTTTTGAAGTAATGAACTCCGCGTGCCTCTCGAGTTGTCAGCGGGATGCGAGGCATTCTGTCAAAATGAGGCAGGGACCTAGGGCTTTCTCCAAGGTCTCCACAGGGGATTCAGACATCCTTTCATGTTGTGAGATGAAAGACGAGCCTGTATTCAAGCCACTGCAAGGAAATCCGGCCTCCTTTCAAGTTAGGGCTTCTCGCTGTATATTCCCCTTGAGGCAGCAAACTCGGGGTCCCTCCCACATACCTATTGCTGAGAGAAGCCTCCTCCTGAGGTGCTTCTGGAAAGTTGGCATACGTCTTGAGCCTAAGCCAGGGAATCAGCTCTCATCTCGAGACGATTTGGGGTACTTGGAGCATTCCTCGATTTGCTGTGCTGAAGTTGGTATTCCTCTAGACTTGGGACAGAGTTCTCGGGGCATCTCTGGAGTTGCCTGAAGGAAGTGGAGCCACGGGTCGTGTTGAATGGGGAACGGGGAACGGCTCTGGAGTCAATGCATTGGAATCAGGCCTCATCTCGAGTTGATTTGGGGCACATGGAGCTGCTTTGCGTTGCTGGGGTGACCTCAGGGTCCGTCTAGACTGGTGACAGTGTTCTTGGGGACTGTCTCGAGATCCATTAAGCAAGTCGAAGCTCCTGACTTGTTTGAATGGGATCACAGAATAGCTCTGCATGCACTGCAGTGGAATGGGGCCTCATCTCGCCTCTAGGGGGAAGTCTCATGGTTTTTCTCGAGTTGCGGCGAGGACCTGGGCTATGTTCTCGACTTACGGTGGGGATGGCCCTTCAAAACACGAGTTTCTTCAGTGACGTCAGGACTCCTGTCTAATAATGAGGGACAACTCAGGAATCTCTCCGAGGCTTCGCAGGGCAAAAGGGACGATTCTCGAGGTGAGGCAGGGCACCCAAGCACATTTCCAGTAGCCACAGGGATTTTGGGATTCCTATCAGTGTTCAAGAGGAGTCAGGCATCGTCACCTTTTGAACCATGAACTCCGCGTGCCTCTCGAGGTGTCAGCGGGATGTGAGGCATTCTGTCAAAATGAGGCAGGGACCTAGGGCTTTCTCTAAGGTCTCCACAGGGGATTCAGACATCCCTTCATGTTGTGAGATGAAAGACGAGCCTGTATTCAAGCCACTGCAAGGAAATCCGGCCTCCTTTCAAGTTAGGGCTTCGCGCTGTATATTCCCCTTGTGGCAGCAAACTCGGGCTCCCTCCCACATACCTATTGCTGAGAGAAGCCTCCTCCTGAGGTGCTTCTGGAAAGTTGGCATACGTCTTGAGCCTAAGCCAGGGAATCAGCTCTCATCTCGAGACGATTTGGGGCACACAGAGCATTCCTCGAGTTGCTGTGCTGAAGTTGGTGTTCCTCTAGACTGGGGACAGTGTTCTCGGGGCATCTCTGGAGTTGCCTGGAAGAAGTCGAGCCACCGGTCGTGTTGAATGGGGAACGGGGAATGGCTCTGCAGTCAATGCAGGGAAATCGGGCCTCATCTCGAGTTGATTTGGGGCACATGGAGCTGCTTTGCGTTGCTGGGGTGACCTCAGGGTCCGTCTAGACTGGTGACAGTGTTCTTGGGTACTGTCTCGAGATCCATTAAGCAAGTCGAAGCTCCTGACTTGTTTGAATGGGATCACGGAATAGCTCTGCATGCACTGCAGGGGAATGGGGCCTCGTCTCGCCTCTAGGGGGAAGTCTCATGGTTTTTCTCGAGTTGCGGCGGGGACCTGGGGTATGTTCTCGACTTACGGCGGGGATGGCCCTTCAAAACACGAGTTTCTTCAGTGACGTCAGGACTCCTGTCTAGTAACGAGGGACACATCAGTATTCTCTCCGAGGCTTCGCAGGGCAAAAGGGACACTTCTCGAGGTGAGGCAGGGCACCCAAGGACCCTTTCCAGTAGCCACAGGGATTTGGGGATTCCTATCAGTATTCAAGAGGAGTCAGGCATCGTCACCTTTTGAACCATGAACGCCGCGTGCCTCTCAAAATGTCAGCGGGATATCAGGCATTCTGTCAAAATGAGGCAGGGACCTAGGGCTTTCTCTAAGGTCTCCACAGGGGATTCAGAAATCACTTCATGTTGTGAGATGAAAGACGTGCCTGTATTCAAGCCACTGCAAGGAAATCCGGCCTCCTTTCAAGTTAGGGCTTCTCGCTGTATATTCCCCTTGAGGCAGCAAACTCGGGGTCCCTCCTACATACCTATTGCTGAGAGAAGCCTCCTCCTGAGGTGCTTCTAGAAAGTTGGCATACGTCTTGAGCCTAAGCCAGGGAATCAGCTCTCATCTTGAGACGATTTGGGGTACACGGAGCATTCCTCGAGTTGCTGTGTTGAAGTTGGTGTTCCTCTAGACTTGGGACAGTGTTCTCGGGGCATCTCTGGAGTTGCCTGAAGGAAGTCGAGCCACCGGTCGTGTTGAATGGGGAACGGGGAATGGCTCTGGGGTCAATGCAGGGGAATCGGGCGTCATCTCGAGTTGATTTGGGGCACATGGAGCTGCTTTGTGTTGCTGGGGTGACCTCAGAGTCCGTCTAGACTGGTGACAGTGTTCTTGGGGACCGTCTCGAGATCCATTAAGCAAGTCAAAGCTCCTGACTTGTTTGAATGGGATCACGGAATAGCTCTGCATGCACTGCAGGGGAATGGAGCCTCATCTCGCCTCTAGGGGGAAGTCTCATGGTTTTTCTCGAGTTGCGGCGGGGACCTGGGGTATGTTCTCGACTTACGGCGGGGATGGCACTTCAAAACACGAGTTTCTTCAGTGACATCAGGACTCCTGTGTAGTATCGAGGGATACCTCAGGAATTTCTCCGAGGCTTCGCAGGGCAAAAGGGACGCTTCTCGAGGTGAGGCAGGGCACCCAAGGACCCTTTCCAGTAGCCACAGGGATTTGGGGATTTCTATCAGTATTCAAGAGGAGTCAGGCATCGTCACCTTTTGAACCATGAACGCCGCGTGCCTCTCGAGGTGTCAGCGCGATATGAGGCATTCTGTCAAAATGAGGCAGGGAACTAGGGCTTTCTCTAAGGTCTCCACAGGGGATTCAGACATCACTTCATGTTGTGAGATGAAAGACGTGCCTGTATTCAAGCCACTGCAAGGAAATCCGGCCTCCTTTCAAGTTAGGGCTTCATGCTGTATATTCCCCTTGAGGCAGCAAACTCGGGCTCCCTCCCACATACCTATTGCTGAGAGAAGCCTCCTCCTGAGGTGCTTCTGGAAAGTTGGCATACGTCTTGAGCGTAAGCCAGGGAATCAGCTCTCATCTTGAGACGATTTGGGGTATACGGAGCATTCCTCGAGTTGCTGTGCTGAAGTTGGTGTTCCTCTAGACTTGGGACAGTGTTCTCGGGGCATCTCTGGAGTTGCCTGAAGGAAGTCGAGCCACCGGTCGTGTTGAATGGGGAACGGGGAATGGCTCTGGAGTCAATGCAGGGGAATCGGGCCTCATCTCGAGTTGATTTGGGGCACATGGAGCTGCTTTGCGTTGCTGGGGTGACCTCAGGGTCTGTCTCGACTGGTGACAGTGTTCTTGGGGACTGTCTAGAGATCCATTAAGCAAGTCGAAGCTCCTGACTTGTTTGAATGGGATCATGGAATAGCTCTGCATGCACTGCAGGGGAATGGGGCCTCATCTCGCCTCTAGGGGGAAGTCTCATGGTTTTTCCCGAGGTGCGGCGGGACCTGGGGTATGTTCTCGACTTACGGCGGGGATGGCACTTCAAAACACGAGTTTCTTCAGTGACGTCAGGACTCCTATCTAGTAATGAGGGACACGTCAGGAATCTCTCCGAGACTTCGCAGGGCAAAAGGGACGCTTCTCGAGATGAGGCAGGGCACCCAAGGACCCTTTCCAGTAGCCACAGGGATTTTGGGATTCCTATCAGTATTCAAGAGGAGTCAGGCATCGTCACCTTTTGAACCATGAACTCCGCGTGCCTCTCGAGGTGTCAGCGGGATGTGAGGCATTCTGTCAAAATGAGGCAGGGACCTAGGGCTTTCTCTAAGGTTTCCACAGGGGATTCAGACATCCCTTCATGTTGTGAGATGAAAGACGAGCCTGTATTCAAGCCACTGCAAGGAAATCCGGCCTCCTTTCAAGTTAGGGCTTCTCGCTGTATATTCCCCTTGAGGCAGCAAACTCGGGGTCCCTCCCACATACCTATTGCTGAGAGAAGCCTCCTCCTGAGGTGCTTCTGGAAAGTTGGCATACGTCTTGAGCCTAAGCCAGGGAATCAGCTCTCATCTTGAGACGATTTTGGGTACTCGGAGCATTCCTCGATTTGCGGTGCTGAAGTTTGTGTTCCTCTAGACTTGGGACAGTGTTCTCGGGGCATCTCTGGAGTTGCCTGAAGGAAGTGGAGCCACGGATCGTGTTGAATGGGGAACGGGGAATGGCTCTGGAGTCAATGCAGGGGAATCAGGCCTCATCTCGAGTTGATTTGTGGCACATGGAGCTGCTTTGCATTGCTGGGGTGACCTCAGGGTCCGTCTAGACAGGTGACAGTGTTCTTGGGGACTGTCTCGAGATCCATTAAGCAAGTCGAAGCACCTGACTTGTTTGAATGGGATCACGGAATAGCTCTGCATGCACTGCAGGGGAATGGGGCCTCATCTCGCCTCTAGGGGGAAGTCTCATGGTTTTTCTCGAGTTGCGGCGGGGACCTGGGGTATGTTCTCGACTTACGGCGGGGATGGCCCTTCAAAACACGAGTTTCTTCAGTGACGTCAGGACTCCTGTCTAGTAACGAGGGACACCTCAGGATTCTCTCCGAGGCTTCGCAGGGCAAAAGGGACGCTTCTCGAGGTGAGGCAGGGCACCCAAGGACCCTTTCCAGTAGCCACAGGGATTTTGGGATTCCTATCAGTGTTCAAGAGGAGTCAGGCATCGTCACCTTTTTAACCATGAACTCCGCGTGCCTCTCGAGGTGTCACTGGGATGTGAGGCATTCTGTCAAAATGAGGCAGGGACCTAGGGCTTTCTCTAAGGTCTCCACAGGGGATTCAGACATCCCTTCATGTTGTGAGATGAAAGACGAGCCTGTATTCAAGCCACTGCAAGGAAATCCGGCCTCCTTTCAAGTTTGGGCTTCTCGCTGTATATTCCCCTTGAGGCAGCAAACTCGGGCTCCCTCCCACATACCTATTGCTGAGAGAAGCCTCCTCCTGAGGTGCTTCTGGAAAGTTGGCATACGTCTTGAGCCTAAGCCAGGGAATCAGCTCTCATCTCGAGACGATTTGGGGTACACGGAGCATTCCTCGAGTTGCTGTGCTGAAGTTGGTGTTCCTCTAGACTTGGGACAGTGTTCTCGGGGCATCTCTGGAGTTGCCTGAAGGAAGTCGAGCCACCGGTCGTGTTGAATGGGGAACGGGGAATGGCTCTGGAGTCAATGCAGGGGAATCGGGCCTCATCTCGAGTTGATTTGGGGCACATGGAGCTGCTTTGCGTTGCTGGGGTGACCTCAGGTTCTGTCTCGACTGGTGACAGTGTTCTTGGGGACTGTCTAGAGATCCATTAAGCAAGTCGAAGCTCCTGACTTTTTTGAATGGGATCACGGAATAGCTCTGCATGCACTGCAGGGGAATGGGGCCTCATCTCGCCTCTAGGGGGAAGTCTCATGGTTATTTCCCGAGTTGCGGCGGGACCTGGGGTATGTTCTCGACTTACGGCGGGGATGGCACTTCAAAACACGAGTTTCTTCAGTGACGTCAGGACTCCTGTCTAGTAATGAGGGACACGTCAGGAATCTCTCCGAGACTTCGCAGGGCAAAAAGGACGCTTCTCGAGATGAGGCAGGGCACCCAAGGACCCTTTCCAGTAGCCACAGGGATTTGGGGATTCCTATCAGTATTCAAGAGGAGTCAGGCATCGTCACCTTTTGAACCATGAACTCCGCGTGCCTCTCGATGTGTCAGCGGGATGTGAGGCATTCTGTCAAAATGAGGCAGGGACCTAGGGCTTTCTCTAAGGTTTCCACAGGGGATTCAGACATCCCTTCATGTTGTGAGATGAAAGACGAGCCTGTATTCAAGCCACTGCAAGGAAATCCGGCCTCCTTTCAAGTTAGGGCTTCTCGCTGTATATTCCCCTTGAGGCAGCAAACTCGGTGTCCCTCCCACGTAAATATTGCTGAGAGAAGCCTCCTCCTGAGGTGCTTCTGGAAAGTTGGCATACGTCTTGAGCCTAAGCCAGGGAATCAGCTCTCATCTCGAGACGATTTGGGGTACACAGAGCATTCCTCGAGTTGCTGTGCTGAAGTTGGTGTTCCTCTAGACTAGGGACAGTGTTCTCGGGGCATCTCTGGAGTTGCCTGAAGGAAGTCGAGCCACCGGTCGTGTTGAATGGGGAACGGGGAATGACTCTGGTGTCAATGCAGGGGAATCGGGCCTCATCTCGAGTTGATTTGGGGCACATGGAGCTGCTTTGCGTTGCTGGGGTGACCTCAGGGTCCGTCTAGACTGGTGACAGTGTTCTTGGGGACTGTCTCGAGATCCATTAAGCAAGTCGAAGCTCCTGACTTGTTTGAATGGGATCACGGAATAGCTCTGCATGCACTGCAGGGGAATGGGGCCTCATCTCGCCTCTAGGGGGAAGTCTCATGGTTTTTCTCGAGTTGCAGCGGGGACCTGGGGTATGTTCTCGATTTACGGCCGGGATGGCACTTCAAAACACGAGTTTCTACAGTGACGTCAGGACTCCTGTCTAGTAACGAGGGATACCTCAGGAATCTCTTCGAGGGTTGGCAGGGCAAAAGGGACGCTTCTCGAGGTGAGGCAGGGCACCCAAGGACCCTTTCCAGTAGCCACAGTGATTTTGGGATTCCTATCAGTATTCAAGAGGAGTCAGGCATCGTCACCTTTTGAAGCAATGAACTCCGCGTGACTCTCGAGGTGTCAGCGGGATGTGAGGCATTCTGTCAAAATGAGGCAGGGACATAGGGCTTTCTCTCAGGTCTCCACAGGGGATTCAGACATCCCTTCATGTTGTGAGATGAAAGACGAGCCTGCATTCAAGCCACTGAAAGGAAATCCGGCCTCCTTTCAAGTTAGGGCTTCTCGCTGTATATTCCCCTTGAGGCAGCAAACTCGGTGTCCCTCCCACGTACCTATTGCTGAGAGAAGCCTCCTCCTGAGGTGCTTCTGGAAAGTTGGCATACGTCTTGAGCCTAAGCCAGGGAATCAGCTCTCATCTCGAGACGATTTGGGGTACACAGAGCATTCCTCGAGTTGCTGTGCTGAAGTTGGTGTTCCTCTAGACTAGGGACAGTGTTCTCGGGGCATCTCTGGAGTTGCCTGAAGGAAGTCGAGCCACCGGTCGTGTTGAATGGGGAACGGGGAATGACTCTGGTGTCAATGCAGGGGAATCGGGCCTCATCTCGAGTTGATTTGGGGCACATGGAGCTGCTTTGCGTTGCTGGGGTGACCTCAGGGTCCGTCTAGACTGGTGACAGTGTTCTTGGGGACTGTCTCGAGATCCATTAAGCAAGTCGAAGCTCCTGACTTGTTTGAATGGGATCACGGAATAGCTCTGCATGCACTGCAGGGGAATGGGGCCTCATCTCGCCTCTAGGGGGAAGTCTCATGGTTTTTCTCGAGTTGCAGCGGGGACCTGGGGTATGTTCTCGATTTACGGCCGGGATGGCACTTCAAAACACGAGTTTCTACAGTGACGTCAGGACTCCTGTCTAGTAACGAGGGATACCTCAGGAATCTCTTCGAGGGTTGGCAGGGCAAAAGGGACGCTTCTCGAGGTGAGGCAGGGCACCCAAGGACCCTTTCCAGTAGCCACAGTGATTTTGGGATTCCTATCAGTATTCAAGAGGAGTCAGGCATCGTCACCTTTTGAAGCAATGAACTCCGCGTGACTCTCGAGGTGTCAGCGGGATGTGAGGCATTCTGTCAAAATGAGGCAGGGACATAGGGCTTTCTCTCAGGTCTCCACAGGGGATTCAGACATCCCTTCATGTTGTGAGATGAAAGACGAGCCTGCATTCAAGCCACTGAAAGGAAATTCGGCCTCCTTTCAAGTTAGGGCTTCTCGCTGTATATTCCCCTTGTGGCAGCAAACTCGGGCTCCCTCCCACATACCTATTGCTGAGAGAAGCCTCCTCCTGAGGTGCTTCTGGAAAGTTGGCATACGTCTTGAGCCTAAGCCAGGGAATCAGCTCTCATCTCGAGACGATTTGGGGTACACGGAGCATTCCTCGAGTTGCTGTGTTGAAGTTGGTGTTCCTCTAGACTTGGGACAGTGTTCTCGGGGCATCTCTGGAGTTGCCTGAAGGAAGTCGAGCCACCGGTCGTGTTGAATGGGGAACGGGGAATGGCTCTGGAGTCAATGCAGGGGAATCGGGCCTCATCTCGAGTTGATTTGGGGCAGATGGAGCTGCTTTGCGTTGCTGGGGTGACCTCAGGGTCCGTATAGACTGGTGACAGTGTTCTTGGGGACTGTCTCGAGATCCATTAAGCAAGTTGAAGCTCCTGACTTGTTTGAATGGGATCACGGAATAGCTCTGCATGCACTGCAGGGGAATGGGGCCTCATCTCGCCTCTAGGGGGAAGTCTCATGGTTTTTCTCGAGTTGCGGCGGGGACCTGGGGTATGTTCTCGACTTACGGCGGGCATGTCACTTCAAAACACGAGTTTCTTCAGTGACGTCAGGACTCCTGTCTAGTAACGAGGGATACGTCAGGAATCTCTCCGAGGCTTCGCAGGGCAAAAGGGACGCTTCTCGAGGTGAGGCAGGGCACCCAAGGACCCTTTCCAGTAGCCACAGGGATTTTGGGATTCCTATCAGTATTCAAGAGGAGTCAGGCATCGTCACCTTTTGAACCATGAACTCCGCGTGCCTCTCGAGGTGTCAGCGGGATGTGAGGCATTCTGTCAAAATGAGGCAGGGACCTAGGGCTTTCTCTAAGGTCTCCACAGGGGATTCAGACATCCCTTCATGTTGTGAGATGAAAGACGTGCCTGTATTCAAGCCACTGCAAGGAAATCCGGCCTCCTTTCAAGTTAGGGCTTCTCGCTGTATATTCCCCTTGAGGCAGCAAACTCGGGGTCCCTCCCACATACCCATTGCTGAGAGATGCCTCCTCCTGAGGTGCTTCTGGAAAGTTGGCATACGTCTTGAGCCTAAGCCAGGGTATCAGCTCTCATCTTGAGACGATTTGGGGTACACGGAACATTCCTCAAGTTGCTGTGCTGAAGTTGGTGTTCCTCTAGACTTGGGACAGTGTTCTCGGGGCATCTCTGGAGTTGCCTGAAGGAAGTCGAGCCACCGGTCGTGTTGAATGGGGAACGGGGAATGGCTCTGGTGTCAATGCAGGGAAATCGGGCCTCATCTCGAGTTGATTTGGGGCACATGGAGCTGCTTTGCGTTGCTGGGGTGACCTCAGGGTCCGTCTAGACTGGTGACAGTGTTCTTGGGGACTGTCTCGAGATCCATTAAGCAAGTCGAAGCTCTTGACTTGTTTGAATGGGATCACATAATAGCTCTGCATGCACTGCAGGGGAATGGGGCCTCATCTCGCCTCTAGGGGGAAGTCTCATGGTTTTTCTCGAGTTGCGGCGGGGACCTGGGGTATGTTCTCGACTTACATCGGGGATGGCCCTTCAAAACACGAGTTTCTTCAGTGACGTCAGGACTCCTGTCTAGTAACGAGGGACACCTCAGGAATCTCTCCGAGGCTTCGCAGGGCAAAAGGGACGCTTCTCGAGGTGAGGCAGGGCACCCAAGGACCCTTTCCAGTAGCCACAGGGATTTGGGGATTCCTATCAGTATTCAAGAGGAGTCAGGCATCGTCACCTTTTGAAGCAATGAACTCCGCGTGCCTCTCGAGGTGTCAGCGGGATGTGAGGCATTCTGTCAAAATGAGGCAGGGACCTAGGGCTTTCTCTAAGGTCTCCACAGGGGATTCAGACATCACTTCATGTTGTGAGATGAAAGACGTGCCTGTATTCAAGCCACTGCAAGGAAATCCGGCCTCCTTTCAAGTTAGGGCTTCTCGCTGTATATTCCCCGTGAGGCAGCAAACTCGGGGTCCCTCCCACATACCTATTGCTGAGAGAAGCCTCCTCCTGAGGTGCTTCTGGAAAGTTGGCATACGTCTTGAGCCTAAGCCAGGGAATCAGCTCTCATCTTGAGACGATTGGGGTACACGGAGCTTTCCTCGAATTTCTGTGCTGAAGTTGGTGTTCCTCTAGACTTGGGACAGTGTTCTCGGGGCATCTCTGGAGTTGCCTGAAGGAAGTCGTGCCACCGGTCGTGTTGAATGGGGAACGGGGAATGGCTCTGGAGTCAATGCAGGGGAATCGGGCCTCATCTCGAGTTGATTTGGGGCACATGGAGCTGCTTTGCGTTGCTGGGGTGACCTCAGGGTCCGTCTAGACTGGTGACAGTGTTCTTGGGGACTGTCTTGAGATCCATTAAGCAAGTCGAAGCTCCTGACTTGTTTGAATGGGATCACGGAATAGCTCTGCATGCACTGCAGGGGAATGGGGCCTCATCTCGCCTCTAGGGGGAAGTCTCATGGTTTTTCTCGAGTTGCGGCGGGGACCTGGGGTATGTTCTCGACTTACGGCGGGGATGGCACTTCAAAACACGAGTTTCTTCAGTGACGTCAGGACTCCTGTCTAGTAACGAGGGACACCTCAGGAATCTCTCCGAGGCTTCGCAGGGCAAAAGGGACGCTTCTCGAGGTGAGGCAGGGCACCCAAGGACCCTTTCCAGTAGCCACAGGGATTTTGGGATTCCTATCAGTGTTCAAGAGGAGTCAGGCATCGTCACCTTTTGAACCATGAACGCCGCGTGCCTCTCGAGGTGTCAGCGGGATGTGAGGCATTCTGTCAAAATGAGGCAGGGACCTAGGGCTTTCTCTAAGGTCTCCACAGGGGATTCAGACATCCCTTCATGTTGTGAGATGAAAGACGAGCCTGTATTCAAGCCACTGCAAGGAAATCCGGCCTCCTTTCAAGTTAGCGCTTCTCGCTGTATATTCCCCTTGTGGCAGCAAACTCGGGCTCCCTCCCACATACCTATTGCTGAGAGAAGCCTCCTCCTGAGGTGCTTCTGGAAAGTTGGCATACGTCTTGAGCCTAAGCCAGGGAATCAGCTCTCATCTCGAGACGATTTGTGGTACACGGAGCATTCCTCGAGTTGCTGTGTTGAAGTTGGTGTTCCTCTAGACTTGGGACAGTGTTCTCGGGGCATCTCTGGAGTTGCCTGAAGGAAGTCGAGCCACCGGTCGTGTTGAATGGGGATCGGGGAATGGCTCTGGAGTCAATGCAGGGGAATCGGGCGTCATCTCGAGTTGAATTGGGTCACATGGAGCTGCTTTGCGTTGCTGGGATGACCTCAGGGTCCGTCTAGACTGGTGACAGGGTTCTTGGGGACTCTCTCGAGATCCATTAAGCAAGTCGAAGCTCCTGACTTGTTTGAATGGGATCACGGAATAGCTCTGCATGCACTGCAGGGGAATGGGGCCTCATCTCGCCTCTAGGGGGAAGTCCCATGGTTTTTCTCGAGTTGCGACGGGGACCTGGGGTATGTTCTCGACTTACGGCGGGGATGGCACTTCAAAACACGAGTTTCTTCAGTGACGTCAGGACTCCTGTCTAGTAACGAGGGACACCTCAGGAATCTCTCCGAGGCTTCGCAGGGCAAAAGGGACGCTTCTCGAGGTGAGATATGGCACCCAAGGACCCTTTCCAGTAGCCACAGTGATTTGGGGATTCCTATCAGTATTCAAGAGGAGTCAGGCATCGTCACCTTTTGAACCATGAACGCCGCGTGCCTCTCGACGTATCAGCGGGATATGAGGCATTCTGTCAAAATGAGGCAGGGACCTAGGGCTTTATCTAAGGTCTCCACAGGGGATTCAGACATCACTTCATGTTGTGAGATGAAAGACGTGCCTGTATTTAAGCCACTGCAAGGAAATCCGGCCTCCTTTCAAGTTAGGGCTTCTCGCTGTATATTCCCCTTGAGGCAGCAAACTCGGGGTCCCTCCCACATACCTATTGCTGAGAGAAGCCTCCTCCTGAGGTGCTTCTGGAAAGTTGGCATACGTCTTGAGCCTAAGCCAGGGAATCAGCTCTCTTCTTGAGACGATTTGGGGTACACGGAGCATTCCTCGAGTTGCTGTGCTGAAGCTGGTGTTCCTCTAAACTTGGGACAGTGTTCTCGGGGCATCTCTGGAGTTGCCTGAAGGAAGTCGAGCCACCAGTCGTGTTGAATGGGGAACGGGGAATGGCTCTGGAGTCAATGCAGGGAAATCGGGCCTCATCTCGAGTTGATTTGGGGCACATGGAGTTGCTTTGCGTTGCTGGGGTTACCTCAGGGTCCGTCTAGACTGGTGACAGTGTTCTTGGGTACTGTCTCGAGATTCATTAAGCAAGTCGAAGCTCCTGACTTGTTTGAATGGGATCACGGAATAGCTCTGCATGCACTGCAGGGGAATGGGGCCTCATCTCGCCTCTAGGGGGAAGTCTCATGGTTTTTCTCGAGTTGCGGCGGGGACCTGGGGTATGTTCTCGCCTTACGGCAGGGATGGCCCTTCAAAACACGAGTTTCTTCAGTGACGTCAGGACTCCTGTCTAGTAACGAGGGATACCTCAGGAATCTCTTCGAGGGTTGGCAGGGCAAAAGGGACGCTTCTCGAGGTGAGGCAGGGCACCCAAGGACCCTTTCCAGTAGCCACAGGGATTTTGGGATTCCTATCAGTATTCAAGAGGAGTCAGGCATCGTCACCTTTTGAAGCAATAAACTCCGCGTGCCTCTCGAGGTGTCAGCGGGATGTGAGGAATTCCGTCAAAATGAGGCAGGGACCTAGGGCTTTCTCTAAGGTCTCTACAGGGGATTCAGACATCCCTTCATGTTGTGAGATGAAAGACGAGCCTGTATTCAAGCCACTGCAAGGAAATCCGGCCTCCTTTCAAGTTAGGGCTTCTCGCTGTATATTCCCCTTAATGCAGCAAACTCGGGCTCCCTCCCACATACCTATTGCTGAGAGAAGCTTCCTCCTGAGGTGCTTCTGGAAAGTTGGCATACGTCTTGAGCCTAAGCCAGGGAATCAGCTCTCATCTCGAGACGATTTGGGGTACACGAAGCATTCCTCGAGTTGCTGTGCTGAAGTTGGTGTTCCTTAGACTTGGGACAGTGTTCTCGGGGCATCTCTGGAGTTGCCTGAAGGAAGTCGAGCCACCGGTCGTGTTGAATGGGGAACGGGTAATGGCTCTGGAGTCAATGCAGGGGAATCGGGCCTCATCTCGAGTTGATTTGGGGCACATGGAGCTGCTTTGCGTTGCTGGGGTGACCTCAGGTTCTGTCTCGACTGGTGACAGTGTTCTTGGGGACTGTCTCGAGATCCATTAAGAAAGTCGAAGCTCCTGACTTGTTTGAATGGGATCACGGAATAGCCCTGCATGCACTGCAGTGGAATGGGGCCTCATCTCGCCTCTAGGGGGAAGTCTCATGGTTTTTCTCGAGTTGCGGCGAGGACCTGGGGTATGTTCTCGACTTACATCGGGGATGGCCCTTCAAAACACGAGTTTCTTCGGTGACGTCAGGATTCCTGTCTAGTAACGAGGGACACCTCAGGAATCTCTCCGAGGCTTCGCAGGGCAAAAGGGACGCTTCTCGAGGTGAGGCAGGGCACCCAAGGACCCTTTCCAGTAGCCACAGGGATTTTGGGATTCCTATCAGTGTTCAAGAGGAGTCAGGCATCGTCACCTTTTGAACCATGAACTCGGCGTGCCTCTCGAGGTGTCAGCGGGATGTGAGGCATTCTGTCAAAATGAGGCAGGGACCTCGGGCTTTCTCTAAGGTCTCCACAGGGGATTCAGACATCCCTTCATGTTGTGAGATGAAAGACGAGCCTGTATTCAAGCCACTGCAAGGAAATCCGGCCTCCTTTCAAGATAGGGCTTCTCGCTGTTTATTCCCCTTGTGGCAGCAAACTCGGGCTCCCTCCCACATAACTATTGCTGAGAGAAGCCTCCTCCTGAGGTGCTTCTGGAAAGTTGGCATACGTCTTGAGCCTAAGCCAGGGAATCAGCTCTCATCTCGAGACGATTTGGTGTACACGGAGCATTCCTCGAGTTGCTGTGTTGAAGTTGGTGTTCCTCTAGACTTGGGACAGTGTTCTCGGGGCATCTCTGGAGTTGCCTGAAGGAAGTCGTGCCACCGGTCGTGTTGAATGGGGAACGGGGAATGGCTCTGGAGTCAATGCAGGGGAATCGGGCCTCATCTCGAGTTGATTTGGGGCACATGGAGCTGCTTTGCGTTGCTGCGGTGACCTCAGGGTCCGTCTAGACTGGTGACAGTGTTCTTGGGGACTGTCTCGAGATCCATTAAGCAAGTCGAAGCTCCTGACTTGTTTGAATGGGATCACGGAATAGCTCTGCATGCACTGCAGGGGAATGGGGCCTCATCTCGCCTCTAGGGGGAAGTCTCATGGTTTTTCTCGAGTTGCGGCGGGGACCTGGGGTATGTTCTCGACCTACGGCGGGGATGTCACTTCAAAACACGAGTTTCTTCAGTGACGTCAGGACTCCTGTCTAGTAACGAGGGACACCTCAGGAATCTCTCCGAGGCTTCGCAGGGCAAAAGGGACGCTTCTCGTGGTGAGGCAGGGCACCCAAGGACCCTTTCCAGTAGCCACAGGGATTTGGGGATTCCTATCAGTATTCAAGGGGAGTCAGGCATCGTCACCTTTTGAACCATGAACGCCGCGTGCCTCTCGAGGTGTCAGCGGTATATGAGGCATTCTGTCAAAATGAGGCAGGGACCTAGGGCTTTCTCTAATGTCTCCACAGGGGATTCAGACTTCACTTCATGTTGTGAGATGAAAGACGTGCCTGTATTCAAGCCACTGCAAGGAAATCCGGCCTCCTTTCAAGTTAGGGCTTCTCGCTGTATATTCCCCTTGAGGCAGCAAACTCGGGGTCCCTCCCACATACCTATTGCTGAGAGAAGCCTCCTCCTGAGGTGTTTCTGGAAAGTTGGCATACGTCTTGAGCGTAAGCCAGGGAATCAGCTCTCATCTTGAGACGATTTGGGGTACACGGAGCATTCCTCGAGTTGCTGTGCTTAAGTTGGTGTTCCTCTAGACTTGGGACAGTGTTCTCGGGGCATCTCTGGAGTTGCCTGAAGGAAGTCGAGCCACTGGTCGTGTTGAATGGGGAACGGGGAATGTCTCTGGAGTCAATGCAGGGAAATCGGGCCTCACCTCGAGTTGATTTGGGGCACATGGAGCTGCTTTGCGTTGCTGGGGTGACCTCAGGGTCCGTCTAGACTGGTGACAGTGTTCTTGGGGACTGTCTCGAGATCCATTAAGCAAGTCGAAGCTCCTGACTTGTTTGAATGGGATCACGGAATAGCTCTGCATGCACTGCAGGGGAATGGGGCCTCGTCTTGCCTCTAGGGGGAAGTCTCATGGTTTTTCTCGAGTTGCGGCGGGGACCTGGGGTATGTTCTCGACTTACGGCGGGGATGGCCCTTCAAAACACGAGTTTCTTCAGTGACGTCAGGACTCCTGTCTAGTAACGAGGGACACCTCAGGATTCTCTCCGAGGCTTCGCAGGGCAAAAGGGATGCTTCTCGAGGTGAGGCAGGGCACACAAGGACCCTTTCCAGTAGCCACAGGGATTTTGGGATTCCTATCAGTGTTCAAGAGGAGTCAGGCATCGTCACCTTTTGAACCATGAACTCCGCGTGACTCTCGAGGTGTCAGCGGGATGTGAGGCATTCTGTCAAAATGAGGCAGGGACCTAGGGCTTTCTCTAAGGTCTCCACAGGGGATTCAGACATCCCTTCATGTTGTGAGATGAAAGACGAGCCTGTATTCAAGCCACTGCAAGGAAATCCGGCCTCCTTTCAAGTTAGGTCTTCTCGCTGTATATTCCCCTTGAGGCAGCAAACTCGGGGTCCCTCCCACATACCTTTTGCTGAGAGAAGCCTCCTCCTGAGGTGCTTCTGGAAAGTTGGCATACGTCTTGAGCCTAAGCCAGGGAATCAGCTCTCATCTTGAGACGATTTGGGGTACTCGGAGCATTCCTCGATTTGCTGTGCTGAAGTTGGTGTTCCTCTAGACTTGGGACAGTGTTCTCGGGGCATCTCTGGAGTTGCCTGAAGTAAGTGGAGCCACGGATCGTGTTGAATGGGGACCGGGGAATGGCTCTGGAGTCAATGCAGGGGAATCAGGCCTCATCTCGAGTTGATTTGGGGCACCTGGAGCTGCTTTGCGTTGCTGGGGTGACCTCAGGGTCCGTCTAGACTGGTGACAGTGTTCTTGGGGACTGTCTCGAGATCCATTAAGCAAGTCGAAGCTCCTGACTTGTTTGAATGGGATCACGGAATAGCTCTGCATGCACTGCAGGGGAATGGGGCCTCATCTCGCCTCTAGGGGGAAGTCTCATGGTTTTTCTCGAGTTGCGGCGGGGACCTGGGATATGTTTTCGACTTATGGCGGGGATGGCCCTTCAAAACACGAGTTTCTTCAGTGACGTCAGGACTCCTGTCTAGTAACGAGGGACACCTCAGGAATCTCTCCGAGGCTTCGCAGGGCAAAAGGGACGCTTCTCGAGGTGAGGCAGGGCACCCAAGGACCCTTTCCAGTAGCAACAGGGATTTGGGGATTCCTATCAGTATTCAAGAGGAGTCAGGCATCGTCACCTTTTGAACCATGAACGCCGCGTGCCTCTCGAGGTGTCAGCGGTATATGAGGGATTCTGTCAAAATGAGGCAGGGACCTAGGGCTTTCTCTAATGTCTCCACAGGGGATTCAGACTTCACTTCATGTTGTGAGATGAAAGACGTGCCTGTATTCAAGCCACTGCAAGGAAATCCGGCCTCCTTTCAAGTTAGGGCTTCTGGCTGTATATTCCCCTTGAGGCAGCAAACTCGGGGTCCCTCCCACATACCTATTGCTGAGAGAAGCCTCCGCCTGAGGTGTTTCTGGAAAGTTGGCATACGTCTTGAGCGTAATCCAGGGAATCAGCTCTCATCTTGAGACGATTTGGGGTACACGGAGCATTCCTCGAGTTGCTGTGCTTAAGTTGGTGTTCCTCTAGACTTGAGACAGTGTTCTCGGGGCATCTCTGGAGTTGCCTGAAGGAAGTCGAGCCACCGGTCGTGTTGAATGGGGAACGGGGAATGGCTCTGGAGTCAATGCAGGGGAATCGGGCCTCATCTCGAGTTGATGTGGGGCACATGGAGCTGCTTTGCGTTGCTGGGGTGACCTCAGGGTCCGTCTAGACTGGTGACAGTGTTCTTGGGGACTGTCTCGAGATACATTAAGCAAGTCGAAGCCCCTGACTTGTTTGAATGGGATCACGGAATAGCTCTGCATGCACTGCAGGGGAATGGGGCCTCATCTCGCCTCTAGGGGGAAGTCTCATGGTTTTTCTCGAGTTGCGGCGGGGACCTGGGGTATGTTCTCGACTTACGGCGGGGATGGCACTTCAAAACACGAGTTTCTTCAGTGACGTCAGGACTCCTGTCTAGTAACGAGGGACACCTCAGGAATCTCTCCGAGGCTTCGCAGGGCAAAAGGGACGCTTCTCGAGGTGAGGCAGGGCACCCAAGGACCCTTTCCAGTAGCCACAGGGATTTTGGGATTCCTATCAGTGTTCAAGAGGAGTCAGGCATCGTCACCTTTTGAACCATGAACTCCGCGTGCCTCTCGAGGTGTCAGCGGGATGTGAGGCATTCTGTCAAAATGAGGCAGGGACCTAGGGCTTTCTCTAAGGTCTCCACAGGGGATTCAGACATCCCTTCATGTTGTGAGATGAAAGACGAGCCTGTATTCAAGCCACTGCAAGGAAATCCGGCCTCCTTTCAAGTTAGGGCTTCTCGCTGTATATTCCCCTTGTGGCAGCAAACTCGGGCTCCCTCCCACATACCTATTGCTGAGAGAAGCCTCCTCCTGAGGTGCTTCTGGAAAGTTGGCATACGTCTTGAGCCTAAGCCAGGGAATCAGCTCTCATCTCGAGACGATTTGTGGTACACGGAGCATTCCTCGAGTTGCTGTGTTGAAGTTGGTGTTCCTCTAGACTTGGGACAGTGTTCTCGGGGCATCTCTGGAGTTGCCTGAAGGAAGTCGAGCCACCGGTCGTGTTGAATGGGGATCGGGGAATGGCTCTGGAGTCAATGCAGGGGAATCGGGCGTCATCTCGAGTTGAATTGGGTCACATGGAGCTGCTTTGCGTTGCTGGGATGACCTCAGGGTGCGTCTAGACTGGTGACAGTGTTCTTGGGGACTCTCTCGAGATCCATTAAGCAAGTCGAAGCTCCTGACTTGTTTGAATGGGATCACGGAATAGCTCTGCATGCACTGCAGGGGAATGGGGCCTCATCTCGCCTCTAGGGGGAAGTCCCATGGTTTTTCTCGAGTTGCGACGGGGACCTGGGGTATGTTCTCGACTTACGGCGGGGATGGCACTTCAAAACACGAGTTTCTTCAGTGACGTCAGGACTCCTGTCTAGTAACGAGGGACACCTCAGGAATCTCTCCGAGGCTTCGCAGGGCAAAAGGGACGCTTCTCGAGGTGAGATATGGCACCCAAGGACCCTTTCCAGTAGCCACAGTGATTTGGGGATTCCTATCAGTATTCAAGAGGAGTCAGGCATCGTCACCTTTTGAACCATGAACGCCGCGTGCCTCTCGACGTATCAGCGGGATATGAGGCATTCTGTCAAAATGAGGCAGGGACCTAGGGCTTTATCTAAGGTCTCCACAGGGGATTCAGACATCACTTCATGTTGTGAGATGAAAGACGTGCCTGTATTCAAGCCACTGCAAGGAAATCCGGCCTCCTTTCAAGTTAGGTCTTCTCGCTGTATATTCCCCTTGAGGCAGCAAACTCGGGGTCCCTCCCACATACCTATTGCTGAGAGAAGCCTCCTCCTGAGGTGCTTCTGGAAAGTTGGCATACGTCTTGAGCCTAAGCCAGGGAATCAGCTCTCTTCTTGAGACGATTTGGGGTACACGGAGCATTCCTCGAGTTGCTGTGCTGAAGCTGGTGTTCCTCTAAACTTGGGACAGTGTTCTCGGGGCATCTCTGGAGTTGCCTGAAGGAAGTCGAGCCACCAGTCGTGTTGAATGGGGAACGGGGAATGGCTCTGGAGTCAATGCAGGGAAATCGGGCCTCATCTCGAGTTGATTTGGGGCACATGGAGTTGCTTTGCGTTGCTGGGGTTACCTCAGGGTCCGTCTAGACTGGTGACAGTGTTCTTGGGTACTGTCTCGAGATCCATTAAGCAAGTCGAAGCTCCTGACTTGTTTGAATGGGATCACGGAATAGCTCTGCATGCACTGCAGGGGAATGGGGCCTCATCTCGCCTCTAGGGGGAAGTCTCATGGTTTTTATCGAGTTGCGGCGGGGACCTGGGGTATGTTCTCGCCTTACGGCAGGGATGGCCCTTCAAAACACGAGTTTCTTCAGTGACGTCAGGACTCCTGTCTAGTAACGAGGGATACCTCAGGAATCTCTTCGAGGGTTGGCAGGGCAAAAGGGACGCTTCTCGAGGTGAGGCAGGGCACCCAAGGACCCTTTCCAGTAGCCACAGGGATTTTGGGATTCCTATCAGTATTCAAGAGGAGTCAGGCATCGTCACCTTTTGAAGCAATAAACTCCGCGTGCCTCTCGAGGTGTCAGCGGGATGTGAGGAATTCCGTCAAAATGAGGCAGGGACCTAGGGCTTTCTCTAAGGTCTCTACAGGGGATTCAGACATCCCTTCATGTTGTGAGATGAAAGACGAGCCTGTATTCAAGCCACTGCAAGGAAATCCGGCCTCCTTTCAAGTTAGGGCTTCTCGCTGTATATTCCCGTTAATGCAGCAAACTCGGGCTCCCTCCCACATACCTATTGCTGAGAGAAGCTTCCTCCTGAGGTGCTTCTGGAAAGTTGGCATACGTCTTGAGCCTAAGCCAGGGAATCAGCTCTCATCTCGAGACGATTTGGGGTACACGGAGCATTCCTCGAGTTGCTGTGCTGAAGTTGGTGTTCCTTAGACTTGGGACAGTGTTCTCGGGGCATCTCTGGAGTTGCCTGAAGGAAGTCGAGCCACCGGTCGTGTTGAATGGGGAACGGGTAATGGCTCTGGAGTCAATGCAGGGGAATCGGGCCTCATCTCGAGTTGATTTGGGGCACATGGAGCTGCTTTGCGTTGCTGGGGTGACCTCAGGTTCTGTCTCGACTGGTGACAGTGTTCTTGGGGACTGTCTCGAGATCCATTAAGAAAGTCGAAGCTCCTGACTTGTTTGAATGGGATCACGGAATAGCTCTGCATGCACTGCAGTGGAATGGGGCCTCATCTCGCCTCTAGGGGGAAGTCTCATGGTTTTTCTCGAGTTGCGGCGAGGACCTGGGGTATGTTCTCGACTTACATCGGGGATGGCCCTTCAAAACACGAGTTTCTTCGGTGACGTCAGGATTCCTGTCTAGTAACGAGGGACACCTCAGGAATCTCTCCGAGGCTTCGCAGGGCAAAAGGGACGCTTCTCGAGGTGAGGCAGGGCACCCAAGGACCCTTTCCAGTAGCCACAGGGATTTTGGGATTCCTATCAGTGTTCAAGAGGAGTCAGGCATCGTCACCTTTTGAACCATGAACTCGGCGTGCCTCTCGAGGTGTCAGCGGGATGTGAGGCATTCTGTCAAAATGAGGCAGGGACCTCGGGCTTTCTCTAAGGTCTCCACAGGGGATTCAGACATCCCTTCATGTTGTGAGATGAAAGACGAGCCTGTATTCAAGCCACTGCAAGGAAATCCGGCCTCCTTTCAAGATAGGGCTTCTCGCTGTTTATTCCCCTTGTGGCAGCAAACTCGGGCTCCCTCCCACATAACTATTGCTGAGAGAAGCCTCCTCCTGAGGTGCTTCTGGAAAGTTGGCATACGTCTTGAGCCTAAGCCAGGGAATCAGCTCTCATCTCGAGACGATTTGGTGTACACGGAGCATTCCTCGAGTTGCTGTGTTGAAGTTGGTGTTCCTCTAGACTTGGGACAGTGTTCTCGGGGCATCTCTGGAGTTGCCTGAAGGAAGTCGTGCCACCGGTCGTGTTGAATGGGGAACGGGGAATGGCTCTGGAGTCAATGCAGGGGAATCGGGCCTCATCTCGAGTTGATTTGGGGCACATGGAGCTGCTTTGCGTTGCTGGGGTGACCTCAGGGTCCGTCTAGACTGGTGACAGTGTTCTTGGGGACTGTCTCGAGATCCATTAAGCAAGTCGAAGCTCCTGACTTGTTTGAATGGGATCACGGAATAGCTCTGCATGCACTGCAGGGGAATGGGGCCTCATCTCGCCTCTAGGGGGAAGTCTCATGGTTTTTCTCGAGTTGCGGCGGGGACCTGGGGTATGTTCTCGACCTACGGCGGGGATGTCACTTCAAAACACGAGTTTCTTCAGTGACGTCAGGACTCCTGTCTAGTAACGAGGGACACCTCAGGAATCTCTCCGAGGCTTCGCAGGGCAAAAGGGACGCTTCTCGTGGTGAGGCAGGGCACCCAAGGACCCTTTCCAGTAGCCACAGGGATTTGGGGATTCCTATCAGTATTCAAGGGGAGTCAGGCATCGTCACCTTTTGAACCATGAACGCCGCGTGCCTCTCGAGGTGTCAGCGGTATATGAGGCATTCTGTCAAAATGAGGCAGGGACCTAGGGCTTTCTCTAATGTCTCCACAGGGGATTCAGACTTCACTTCATGTTGTGAGATGAAAGACGTGCCTGTATTCAAGCCACTGCAAGGAAATCCGGCCTCCTTTCAAGTTAGGGCTTCTCGCTGTATATTCCCCTTGAGGCAGCAAACTCGGGGTCCCTCCCACATACCTATTGCTGAGAGAAGCCTCCTCCTGAGGTGTTTCTGGAAAGTTGGCATACGTCTTGAGCGTAAGCCAGGGAATCAGCTCTCATCTTGAGACGATTTGGGGTACACGGAGCATTCCTCGAGTTGCTGTGCTTAAGTTGGTGTTCCTCTAGACTTGGGACAGTGTTCTCGGGGCATCTCTGGAGTTGCCTGAAGGAAGTCGAGCCACTGGTCGTGTTGAATGGGGAACGAGGAATGTCTCTGGAGTCAATGCAGGGAAATCGGGCCTCACCTCGAGTTGATTTGGGGCACATGGAGCTGCTTTGCGTTGCTGGGGTGACCTCAGGGTCCGTCTAGACTGGTGACAGTGTTCTTGGGGACTGTCTCGAGATCCATTAAGCAAGTCGAAGCTCCTGACTTGTTAGAATGGGATCACGGAATAGCTCTGCATGCACTGCAGGGGAATGGGGCCTCGTCTTGCCTCTAGGGGGAAGTCTCATGGTTTTTCTCGAGTTGCGGCGGGGACCTGGGGTATGTTCTCGACTTACGGCGGGGATGGCCCTTCAAAACACGAGTTTCTTCAGTGACGTCAGGACTCCTGTCTAGTAACGAGGGACACCTCAGGATTCTCTCCGAGGCTTCGCAGGGCAAAAGGGATGCTTCTCGAGGTGAGGCAGGGCACCCAAGGACCCTTTCCAGTAGCCACAGGGATTTTGGGATTCCTATCAGTGTTCAAGAGGAGTCAGGCATCGTCACCTTTTGAACCATGAACTCCGCGTGACTCTCGAGGTGTCAGCGGGATGTGAGGCATTCTGTCAAAATGAGGCAGGGACCTAGGGCTTTCTCTAAGGTCTCCACAGGGGATTCAGACATCCCTTCATGTTGTGAGATGAAAGACGAGCCTGTATTCAAGCCACTGCAAGGAAATCCGGCCTCCTTTCAAGTTAGGTCTTCTCGCTGTATATTCCCCTTGAGGCAGCAAACTCGGGGTCCCTCCCACATACCTTTTGCTGAGAGAAGCCTCCTCCTGAGGTGCTTCTGGAAAGTTGGCATACGTCTTGAGCCTAAGCCAGGGAATCAGCTCTCATCTTGAGACGATTTGGGGTACTCGGAGCATTCCTCGATTTGCTGTGCTGAAGTTGGTGTTCCTCTAGACTTGGGACAGTGTTCTCGGGGCATCTCTGGAGTTGCCTGAAGTAAGTGGAGCCACGGATCGTGTTGAATGGGGACCGGGGAATGGCTCTGGAGTCAATGCAGGGGAATCAGGCCTCATCTCGAGTTGATTTGGGGCACCTGGAGCTGCTTTGCGTTGCTGGGGTGAACTCAGGGTCCGTCTAGACTGGTGACAGTGTTCTTGGGGACTGTCTCGAGATCCATTAAGCAAGTCGAAGCTCCTGACTTGTTTGAATGGGATCACGGAATAGCTCTGCATGCACTGCAGGGGAATGGGGCCTCATCTCGCCTCTAGGGGGAAGTCTAATGGTTTTTCTCGAGTTGCGGCGGGGACCTGGGATATGTTTTCGACTTATGGCGGGGATGGCCCTTCAAAACACGAGTTTCTTCAGTGACGTCAGGACTCCTGTCTAGTAACGAGGGACACCTCAGGAATCTCTCCGAGGCTTCGCAGGGCAAAAGGGAAGCTTCTCGAGGTGAGGCAGGGCACCCAAGGACCCTTTCCAGTAGCAACAGGGATTTGGGGATTCCTATCAGTATTCAAGAGGAGTCAGGCATCGTCACCTTTTGAACCATGAACGCCGCGTGCCTCTCGAGGTGTCAGCGGTATATGAGGCATTCTGTCAAAATGAGGCAGGGACCTAGGGCTTTCTCTAATGTCTCCACAGGGGATTCAGACTTCACTTCATGTTGTGAGATGAAAGACGTGCCTGTATTCAAGCCACTGCAAGGAAATCCGGCCTCCTTTCAAGTTAGGGCTTCTGGCTGTATATTCCCCTTGAGGCAGCAAACTCGGGGTCCCTCCCACATACCTATTGCTGAGAGAAGCCTCCGCCTGAGGTGTTTCTGGAAAGTTGGCATACGTCTTGAGCGTAATCCAGGGAATCAGCTCTCATCTTGAGACGATTTGGGGTACACGGAGCATTCCTCGAGTTGCTGTGCTTAAGTTGGTGTTCCTCTAGACTTGAGACAGTGTTCTCGGGGCATCTCTGGAGTTGCCTGAAGGATGTCGAGCCACCGGTCGTGTTGAATGGGGAACGGGGAATGGCTCTGGAATCAATGCAGGGGAATCAGGCCTCATCTCGAGTTGATTTGGGGCACATGGAGCTGCTTTGCGTTGCTGGGGTGACTTCAGGGTCCGTCTAGACTGGTGACAGTGTTCTTGGGGACTGTCTCGAGATCCATTAAGCAAGTCGAAGCTCCTGACTTGTTTGAATGGGATCACGGAATAGCTCTGCATGCACTGCAGGGGAATGGGGCCTCATCTCGCCTCTAGGGGGAAGTCTCATGGTTTTTCTCGAGTTGCGGCGGGGACCTGGGGTATGTTCTCGACTTACGGCGGGGATGGCCCTTCAAAACACGAGTTTCTTCAGTGACGTCAGGACTCCTGTCTAGTAACGAGGGACACCTCAGGATTCTCTCCGAGGCTTCGCAGGGCAAAAGGGACGCTTCTCGAGGTGAGGCAGGGCACCCAAGGACCCTTTCCAGTAGCCACAGGGATTTTGGGATTCCTATCAGTGTTCAAGAGGAGTCAGGCATCGTCACCTTTTGAACCATGAACTCCATGTGCCTCTCGAGGTGTCAGCGGGATGTGAGGCATTCTGTCAAAATGAGGCAGGGACCTAGGGCTTTCTCTAAGGTCTCCACAGGGGATTCAGACATCCCTTCATGTTGTGAGATGAAAGACGAGCCTGTATTCAAGCCACTGCAAGGAAATCCGGCCTCCTTTCAAGTTAGGACTTCTCGCTGTATATTCCCCTTGAGGCAGCAAACTCGGGCTCCCTCCCACATACCTATTGCTGAGAGAAGCCTCCTCCTGAGGTGCTTCTGGAAAGTTGGCATACGTCTTGAGCCTAAGCCAGGGAATCAGCTCTCATCTCGAGACGATTTGGGGTACACGGAGCATTCCTCGAGTTGCTGTGCTGAAGTTGGTGTTCCTCTAGACTTGGGACAGTGTTCTCGGGGCATCTCTGGAGTTGCCTGAAGGAAGTCGAGCCACCGGTCGTGTTGAATGGGGAACGGGGAATGGCTCTGGAGTCAATGCAGGGGAATCGGGCCTCATCTCGAGTTGATTTGGGGCACATGGAGCTGCTTTGCGTTGCTGGGGTGACCTCAGGGTCCGTCTAGACTGGTGACAGTGTTCTTGGGGACTGTCTTGAGATCCATTAAGCAAGTCGATGCTCCTGACTTGTTTGAATGGGATCACGGAATAGCTCTGCATGCACTGCAGGGGAATGGGGCCTCATCTCGCCTCTAGGGGGAAGTCTCATGGTTTTTCTCGAGTTGCGGCGGGGACCTGGGGTATGTTCTCGACTTACGGCGGGGATGGCACTTCAAAACACGAGTTTCTTCAGTGACGTCAGGACTCCTGTCTAGTAACGAGGGACACCTCAGGAATCTCTCCGAGGCTTCGCAGGGCAAAAGGGACGCTTCTCGAGGTGAGGCAGGGCACCCAAGGACCCTTTCCAGTAGCCACAGGGATTTTGGGATTCCTATCAGTGTTCAAGAGGAGTCAGGCATCGTCACCTTTTGAACCATGAACGCCGCGTGCCTCTCGAGGTGTCAGCGGGATGTGAGGCATTCTGTCAAAATGAGGCAGGGACCTAGGGCTTTCTCTAAGGTCTCCACAGGGGATTCAGACATCCCTTCATGTTGTGAGATGAAAGACGAGCCTGTATTCAAGCCACTGCAAGGAAATCCGGCCTCCTTTCAAGTTAGGGCTTCTCGCTGTATATTCCCCTTGTGGCAGCAAACTCGGGCTCCCTCCCACATACCTATTGCTGAGAGAAGCCTCCTCCTGAGGTGCTTCTGGAAAGTTGGCATACGTCTTGAGCCTAAGCCAGGGAATCAGCTCTCATCTCGAGACGATTTGTGGTACACGGAGCATTCCTCGAGTTGCTGTGTTGAAGTTGGTGTTCCTCTAGACTTGGGACAGTGTTCTCGGGGCATCTCTGGAGTTGCCTGAAGGAAGTCGAGCCACCGGTCGTGTTGAATGGGGATCGGGGAATGGCTCTGGAGTCAATGCAGGGGAATCGGGCGTCATCTCGAGTTGAATTGGGTCACATGGAGCTGCTTTGCGTTGCTGGGATGACCTCAGGGTCCGTCTAGACTGGTGACAGGGTTCTTGGGGACTCTCTCGAGATCCATTAAGCAAGTCGAAGCTCCTGACTTGTTTGAATGGGATCACGGAATAGCTCTGCATGCACTGCAGGGGAATGGGGCCTCATCTCGCCTCTAGGGGGAAGTCCCATGGTTTTTCTCGAGTTGCGACGGGGACCTGGGGTATGTTCTCGACTTACGGCGGGGATGGCACTTCAAAACACGAGTTTCTTCAGTGACGTCAGGACTCCTGTCTAGTAACGAGGGACACCTCAGGAATCTCTCCGAGGCTTCGCAGGGCAAAAGGGACGCTTCTCGAGGTGAGATATGGCACCCAAGGACCCTTTCCAGTAGCCACAGTGATTTGGGGATTCCTATCAGTATTCAAGAGGAGTCAGGCATCGTCACCTTTTGAACCATGAACGCCGCGTGCCTCTCGACGTATCAGCGGGATATGAGGCATTCTGTCAAAATGAGGCAGGGACCTAGGGCTTTATCTAAGGTCTCCACAGGGGATTCAGACATCACTTCATGTTGTGAGATGAAAGACGTGCCTGTATTTAAGCCACTGCAAGGAAATCCGGCCTCCTTTCAAGTTAGGGCTTCTCGCTGTATATTCCCCTTGAGGCAGCAAACTCGGGGTCCCTCCCACATACCTATTGCTGAGAGAAGCCTCCTCCTGAGGTGCTTCTGGAAAGTTGGCATACGTCTTGAGCCTAAGCCAGGGAATCAGCTCTCTTCTTGAGACGATTTGGGGTACACGGAGCATTCCTCGAGTTGCTGTGCTGAAGCTGGTGTTCCTCTAAACTTGGGACAGTGTTCTCGGGGCATCTCTGGAGTTGCCTGAAGGAAGTCGAGCCACCAGTCGTGTTGAATGGGGAACGGGGAATGGCTCTGGAGTCAATGCAGGGAAATCGGGCCTCATCTCGAGTTGATTTGGGGCACATGGAGTTGCTTTGCGTTGCTGGGGTTACCTCAGGGTCCGTCTAGACTGGTGACAGTGTTCTTGGGTACTGTCTCGAGATTCATTAAGCAAGTCGAAGCTCCTGACTTGTTTGAATGGGATCACGGAATAGCTCTGCATGCACTGCAGGGGAATGGGGCCTCATCTCGCCTCTAGGGGGAAGTCTCATGGTTTTTCTCGAGTTGCGGCGGGGACCTGGGGTATGTTCTCGCCTTACGGCAGGGATGGCCCTTCAAAACACGAGTTTCTTCAGTGACGTCAGGACTCCTGTCTAGTAACGAGGGATACCTCAGGAATCTCTTCGAGGGTTGGCAGGGCAAAAGGGACGCTTCTCGAGGTGAGGCAGGGCACCCAAGGACCCTTTCCAGTAGCCACAGGGATTTTGGGATTCCTATCAGTATTCAAGAGGAGTCAGGCATCGTCACCTTTTGAAGCAATAAACTCCGCGTGCCTCTCGAGGTGTCAGCGGGATGTGAGGAATTCCGTCAAAATGAGGCAGGGACCTAGGGCTTTCTCTAAGGTCTCTACAGGGGATTCAGACATCCCTTCATGTTGTGAGATGAAAGACGAGCCTGTATTCAAGCCACTGCAAGGAAATCCGGCCTCCTTTCAAGTTAGGGCTTCTCGCTGTATATTCCCCTTAATGCAGCAAACTCGGGCTCCCTCCCACATACCTATTGCTGAGAGAAGCTTCCTCCTGAGGTGCTTCTGGAAAGTTGGCATACGTCTTGAGCCTAAGCCAGGGAATCAGCTCTCATCTCGAGACGATTTGGGGTACACGAAGCATTCCTCGAGTTGCTGTGCTGAAGTTGGTGTTCCTTAGACTTGGGACAGTGTTCTCGGGGCATCTCTGGAGTTGCCTGAAGGAAGTCGAGCCACCGGTCGTGTTGAATGGGGAACGGGTAATGGCTCTGGAGTCAATGCAGGGGAATCGGGCCTCATCTCGAGTTGATTTGGGGCACATGGAGCTGCTTTGCGTTGCTGGGGTGACCTCAGGTTCTGTCTCGACTGGTGACAGTGTTCTTGGGGACTGTCTCGAGATCCATTAAGAAAGTCGAAGCTCCTGACTTGTTTGAATGGGATCACGGAATAGCCCTGCATGCACTGCAGTGGAATGGGGCCTCATCTCGCCTCTAGGGGGAAGTCTCATGGTTTTTCTCGAGTTGCGGCGAGGACCTGGGGTATGTTCTCGACTTACATCGGGGATGGCCCTTCAAAACACGAGTTTCTTCGGTGACGTCAGGATTCCTGTCTAGTAACGAGGGACACCTCAGGAATCTCTCCGAGGCTTCGCAGGGCAAAAGGGACGCTTCTCGAGGTGAGGCAGGGCACCCAAGGACCCTTTCCAGTAGCCACAGGGATTTTGGGATTCCTATCAGTGTTCAAGAGGAGTCAGGCATCGTCACCTTTTGAACCATGAACTCGGCGTGCCTCTCGAGGTGTCAGCGGGATGTGAGGCATTCTGTCAAAATGAGGCAGGGACCTCGGGCTTTCTCTAAGGTCTCCACAGGGGATTCAGACATCCCTTCATGTTGTGAGATGAAAGACGAGCCTGTATTCAAGCCACTGCAAGGAAATCCGGCCTCCTTTCAAGATAGGGCTTCTCGCTGTTTATTCCCCTTGTGGCAGCAAACTCGGGCTCCCTCCCACATAACTATTGCTGAGAGAAGCCTCCTCCTGAGGTGCTTCTGGAAAGTTGGCATACGTCTTGAGCCTAAGCCAGGGAATCAGCTCTCATCTCGAGACGATTTGGTGTACACGGAGCATTCCTCGAGTTGCTGTGTTGAAGTTGGTGTTCCTCTAGACTTGGGACAGTGTTCTCGGGGCATCTCTGGAGTTGCCTGAAGGAAGTCGTGCCACCGGTCGTGTTGAATGGGGAACGGGGAATGGCTCTGGAGTCAATGCAGGGGAATCGGGCCTCATCTCGAGTTGATTTGGGGCACATGGAGCTGCTTTGCGTTGCTGCGGTGACCTCAGGGTCCGTCTAGACTGGTGACAGTGTTCTTGGGGACTGTCTCGAGATCCATTAAGCAAGTCGAAGCTCCTGACTTGTTTGAATGGGATCACGGAATAGCTCTGCATGCACTGCAGGGGAATGGGGCCTCATCTCGCCTCTAGGGGGAAGTCTCATGGTTTTTCTCGAGTTGCGGCGGGGACCTGGGGTATGTTCTCGACCTACGGCGGGGATGTCACTTCAAAACACGAGTTTCTTCAGTGACGTCAGGACTCCTGTCTAGTAACGAGGGACACCTCAGGAATCTCTCCGAGGCTTCGCAGGGCAAAAGGGACGCTTCTCGTGGTGAGGCAGGGCACCCAAGGACCCTTTCCAGTAGCCACAGGGATTTGGGGATTCCTATCAGTATTCAAGGGGAGTCAGGCATCGTCACCTTTTGAACCATGAACGCCGCGTGCCTCTCGAGGTGTCAGCGGTATATGAGGCATTCTGTCAAAATGAGGCAGGGACCTAGGGCTTTCTCTAATGTCTCCACAGGGGATTCAGACTTCACTTCATGTTGTGAGATGAAAGACGTGCCTGTATTCAAGCCACTGCAAGGAAATCCGGCCTCCTTTCAAGTTAGGGCTTCTCGCTGTATATTCCCCTTGAGGCAGCAAACTCGGGGTCCCTCCCACATACCTATTGCTGAGAGAAGCCTCCTCCTGAGGTGTTTCTGGAAAGTTGGCATACGTCTTGAGCGTAAGCCAGGGAATCAGCTCTCATCTTGAGACGATTTGGGGTACACGGAGCATTCCTCGAGTTGCTGTGCTTAAGTTGGTGTTCCTCTAGACTTGGGACAGTGTTCTCGGGGCATCTCTGGAGTTGCCTGAAGGAAGTCGAGCCACTGGTCGTGTTGAATGGGGAACGGGGAATGTCTCTGGAGTCAATGCAGGGAAATCGGGCCTCACCTCGAGTTGATTTGGGGCACATGGAGCTGCTTTGCGTTGCTGGGGTGACCTCAGGGTCCGTCTAGACTGGTGACAGTGTTCTTGGGGACTGTCTCGAGATCCATTAAGCAAGTCGAAGCTCCTGACTTGTTTGAATGGGATCACGGAATAGCTCTGCATGCACTGCAGGGGAATGGGGCCTCGTCTTGCCTCTAGGGGGAAGTCTCATGGTTTTTCTCGAGTTGCGGCGGGGACCTGGGGTATGTTCTCGACTTACGGCGGGGATGGCCCTTCAAAACACGAGTTTCTTCAGTGACGTCAGGACTCCTGTCTAGTAACGAGGGACACCTCAGGATTCTCTCCGAGGCTTCGCAGGGCAAAAGGGATGCTTCTCGAGGTGAGGCAGGGCACACAAGGACCCTTTCCAGTAGCCACAGGGATTTTGGGATTCCTATCAGTGTTCAAGAGGAGTCAGGCATCGTCACCTTTTGAACCATGAACTCCGCGTGACTCTCGAGGTGTCAGCGGGATGTGAGGCATTCTGTCAAAATGAGGCAGGGACCTAGGGCTTTCTCTAAGGTCTCCACAGGGGATTCAGACATCCCTTCATGTTGTGAGATGAAAGACGAGCCTGTATTCAAGCCACTGCAAGGAAATCCGGCCTCCTTTCAAGTTAGGTCTTCTCGCTGTATATTCCCCTTGAGGCAGCAAACTCGGGGTCCCTCCCACATACCTTTTGCTGAGAGAAGCCTCCTCCTGAGGTGCTTCTGGAAAGTTGGCATACGTCTTGAGCCTAAGCCAGGGAATCAGCTCTCATCTTGAGACGATTTGGGGTACTCGGAGCATTCCTCGATTTGCTGTGCTGAAGTTGGTGTTCCTCTAGACTTGGGACAGTGTTCTCGGGGCATCTCTGGAGTTGCCTGAAGTAAGTGCAGCCACGGATCGTGTTGAATGGGGACCGGGGAATGGCTCTGGAGTCAATGCAGGGGAATCAGGCCTCATCTCGAGTTGATTTGGGGCACCTGGAGCTGCTTTGCGTTGCTGGGGTGACCTCAGGGTCCGTCTAGACTGGTGACAGTGTTCTTGGGGACTGTCTCGAGATCCATTAAGCAAGTCGAAGCTCCTGACTTGTTTGAATGGGATCACGGAATAGCTCTGCATGCACTGCAGGGGAATGGGGCCTCATCTCGCCTCTAGGGGGAAGTCTCATGGTTTTTCTCGAGTTGCGGCGGGGACCTGGGATATGTTTTCGACTTATGGCGGGGATGGCCCTTCAAAACACGAGTTTCTTCAGTGACGTCAGGACTCCTGTCTAGTAACGAGGGACACCTCAGGAATCTCTCCGAGGCTTCGCAGGGCAAAAGGGACGCTTCTCGAGGTGAGGCAGGGCACCCAAGGACCCTTTCCAGTAGCAACAGGGATTTGGGGATTCCTATCAGTATTCAAGAGGAGTCAGGCATCGTCACCTTTTGAACCATGAACGCCGCGTGCCTCTCGAGGTGTCAGCGGTATATGAGGGATTCTGTCAAAATGAGGCAGGGACCTAGGGCTTTCTCTAATGTCTCCACAGGGGATTCAGACTTCACTTCATGTTGTGAGATGAAAGACGTGCCTGTATTCAAGCCACTGCAAGGAAATCCGGCCTCCTTTCAAGTTAGGGCTTCTGGCTGTATATTCCCCTTGAGGCAGCAAACTCGGGGTCCCTCCCACATACCTATTGCTGAGAGAAGCCTCCGCCTGAGGTGTTTCTGGAAAGTTGGCATACGTCTTGAGCGTAATCCAGGGAATCAGCTCTCATCTTGAGACGATTTGGGGTACACGGAGCATTCCTCGAGTTGCTGTGCTTAAGTTGGTGTTCCTCTAGACTTGAGACAGTGTTCTCGGGGCATCTCTGGAGTTGCCTGAAGGAAGTCGAGCCACCGGTCGTGTTGAATGGGGAACGGGGAATGGCTCTGGAGTCAATGCAGGGGAATCGGGCCTCATCTCGAGTTGATGTGGGGCACATGGAGCTGCTTTGCGTTGCTGGGGTGACCTCAGGGTCCGTCTAGACTGGTGACAGTGTTCTTGGGGACTGTCTCGAGATACATTAAGCAAGTCGAAGCCCCTGACTTGTTTGAATGGGATCACGGAATAGCTCTGCATGCACTGCAGGGGAATGGGGCCTCATCTCGCCTCTAGGGGGAAGTCTCATGGTTTTTCTCGAGTTGCGGCGGGGACCTGGGGTATGTTCTCGACTTACGGCGGGGATGGCACTTCAAAACACGAGTTTCTTCAGTGACGTCAGGACTCCTGTCTAGTAACGAGGGACACCTCAGGAATCTCTCCGAGGCTTCGCAGGGCAAAAGGGACGCTTCTCGAGGTGAGGCAGGGCACCCAAGGACCCTTTCCAGTAGCCACAGGGATTTTGGGATTCCTATCAGTGTTCAAGAGGAGTCAGGCATCGTCACCTTTTGAACCATGAACTCCGCGTGCCTCTCGAGGTGTCAGCGGGATGTGAGGCATTCTGTCAAAATGAGGCAGGGACCTAGGGCTTTCTCTAAGGTCTCCACAGGGGATTCAGACATCCCTTCATGTTGTGAGATGAAAGACGAGCCTGTATTCAAGCCACTGCAAGGAAATCCGGCCTCCTTTCAAGTTAGGGCTTCTCGCTGTATATTCCCCTTGTGGCAGCAAACTCGGGCTCCCTCCCACATACCTATTGCTGAGAGAAGCCTCCTCCTGAGGTGCTTCTGGAAAGTTGGCATACGTCTTGAGCCTAAGCCAGGGAATCAGCTCTCATCTCGAGACGATTTGTGGTACACGGAGCATTCCTCGAGTTGCTGTGTTGAAGTTGGTGTTCCTCTAGACTTGGGACAGTGTTCTCGGGGCATCTCTGGAGTTGCCTGAAGGAAGTCGAGCCACCGGTCGTGTTGAATGGGGATCGGGGAATGGCTCTGGAGTCAATGCAGGGGAATCGGGCGTCATCTCGAGTTGAATTGGGTCACATGGAGCTGCTTTGCGTTGCTGGGATGACCTCAGGGTGCGTCTAGACTGGTGACAGGGTTCTTGGGGACTCTCTCGAGATCCATTAAGCAAGTCGAAGCTCCTGACTTGTTTGAATGGGATCACGGAATAGCTCTGCATGCACTGCAGGGGAATGGGGCCTCATCTCGCCTCTAGGGGGAAGTCCCATGGTTTTTCTCGAGTTGCGACGGGGACCTGGGGTATGTTCTCGACTTACGGCGGGGATGGCACTTCAAAACACGAGTTTCTTCAGTGACGTCAGGACTCCTGTCTAGTAACGAGGGACACCTCAGGAATCTCTCCGAGGCTTCGCAGGGCAAAAGGGACGCTTCTCGAGGTGAGATATGGCACCCAAGGACCCTTTCCAGTAGCCACAGTGATTTGGGGATTCCTATCAGTATTCAAGAGGAGTCAGGCATCGTCACCTTTTGAACCATGAACGCCGCGTGCCTCTCGACGTATCAGCGGGATATGAGGCATTCTGTCAAAATGAGGCAGGGACCTAGGGCTTTATCTAAGGTCTCCACAGGGGATTCAGACATCACTTCATGTTGTGAGATGAAAGACGTGCCTGTATTCAAGCCACTGCAAGGAAATCCGGCCTCCTTTCAAGTTAGGTCTTCTCGCTGTATATTCCCCTTGAGGCAGCAAACTCGGGGTCCCTCCCACATACCTATTGCTGAGAGAAGCCTCCTCCTGAGGTGCTTCTGGAAAGTTGGCATACGTCTTGAGCCTAAGCCAGGGAATCAGCTCTCTTCTTGAGACGATTTGGGGTACACGGAGCATTCCTCGAGTTGCTGTGCTGAAGCTGGTGTTCCTCTAAACTTGGGACAGTGTTCTCGGGGCATCTCTGGAGTTGCCTGAAGGAAGTCGAGCCACCAGTCGTGTTGAATGGGGAACGGGGAATGGCTCTGGAGTCAATGCAGGGAAATCGGGCCTCATCTCGAGTTGATTTGGGGCACATGGAGTTGCTTTGCGTTGCTGGGGTTACCTCAGGGTCCGTCTAGACTGGTGACAGTGTTCTTGGGTACTGTCTCGAGATCCATTAAGCAAGTCGAAGCTCCTGACTTGTTTGAATGGGATCACGGAATAGCTCTGCATGCACTGCAGGGGAATGGGGCCTCATCTCGCCTCTAGGGGGAAGTCTCATGGTTTTTATCGAGTTGCGGCGGGGACCTGGGGTATGTTCTCGCCTTACGGCAGGGATGGCCCTTCAAAACACGAGTTTCTTCAGTGACGTCAGGACTCCTGTCTAGTAACGAGGGATACCTCAGGAATCTCTTCGAGGGTTGGCAGGGCAAAAGGGACGCTTCTCGAGGTGAGGCAGGGCACCCAAGGACCCTTTCCAGTAGCCACAGGGATTTTGGGATTCCTATCAGTATTCAAGAGGAGTCAGGCATCGTCACCTTTTGAAGCAATAAACTCCGCGTGCCTCTCGAGGTGTCAGCGGGATGTGAGGAATTCCGTCAAAATGAGGCAGGGACCTAGGGCTTTCTCTAAGGTCTCTACAGGGGATTCAGACATCCCTTCATGTTGTGAGATGAAAGACGAGCCTGTATTCAAGCCACTGCAAGGAAATCCGGCCTCCTTTCAAGTTAGGGCTTCTCGCTGTATATTCCCGTTAATGCAGCAAACTCGGGCTCCCTCCCACATACCTATTGCTGAGAGAAGCTTCCTCCTGAGGTGCTTCTGGAAAGTTGGCATACGTCTTGAGCCTAAGCCAGGGAATCAGCTCTCATCTCGAGACGATTTGGGGTACACGGAGCATTCCTCGAGTTGCTGTGCTGAAGTTGGTGTTCCTTAGACTTGGGACAGTGTTCTCGGGGCATCTCTGGAGTTGCCTGAAGGAAGTCGAGCCACCGGTCGTGTTGAATGGGGAACGGGTAATGGCTCTGGAGTCAATGCAGGGGAATCGGGCCTCATCTCGAGTTGATTTGGGGCACATGGAGCTGCTTTGCGTTGCTGGGGTGACCTCAGGTTCTGTCTCGACTGGTGACAGTGTTCTTGGGGACTGTCTCGAGATCCATTAAGAAAGTCGAAGCTCCTGACTTGTTTGAATGGGATCACGGAATAGCTCTGCATGCACTGCAGTGGAATGGGGCCTCATCTCGCCTCTAGGGGGAAGTCTCATGGTTTTTCTCGAGTTGCGGCGAGGACCTGGGGTATGTTCTCGACTTACATCGGGGATGGCCCTTCAAAACACGAGTTTCTTCGGTGACGTCAGGATTCCTGTCTAGTAACGAGGGACACCTCAGGAATCTCTCCGAGGCTTCGCAGGGCAAAAGGGACGCTTCTCGAGGTGAGGCAGGGCACCCAAGGACCCTTTCCAGTAGCCACAGGGATTTTGGGATTCCTATCAGTGTTCAAGAGGAGTCAGGCATCGTCACCTTTTGAACCATGAACTCGGCGTGCCTCTCGAGGTGTCAGCGGGATGTGAGGCATTCTGTCAAAATGAGGCAGGGACCTCGGGCTTTCTCTAAGGTCTCCACAGGGGATTCAGACATCCCTTCATGTTGTGAGATGAAAGACGAGCCTGTATTCAAGCCACTGCAAGGAAATCCGGCCTCCTTTCAAGATAGGGCTTCTCGCTGTTTATTCCCCTTGTGGCAGCAAACTCGGGCTCCCTCCCACATAACTATTGCTGAGAGAAGCCTCCTCCTGAGGTGCTTCTGGAAAGTTGGCATACGTCTTGAGCCTAAGCCAGGGAATCAGCTCTCATCTCGAGACGATTTGGTGTACACGGAGCATTCCTCGAGTTGCTGTGTTGAAGTTGGTGTTCCTCTAGACTTGGGACAGTGTTCTCGGGGCATCTCTGGAGTTGCCTGAAGGAAGTCGTGCCACCGGTCGTGTTGAATGGGGAACGGGGAATGGCTCTGGAGTCAATGCAGGGGAATCGGGCCTCATCTCGAGTTGATTTGGGGCACATGGAGCTGCTTTGCGTTGCTGGGGTGACCTCAGGGTCCGTCTAGACTGGTGACAGTGTTCTTGGGGACTGTCTCGAGATCCATTAAGCAAGTCGAAGCTCCTGACTTGTTTGAATGGGATCACGGAATAGCTCTGCATGCACTGCAGGGGAATGGGGCCTCATCTCGCCTCTAGGGGGAAGTCTCATGGTTTTTCTCGAGTTGCGGCGGGGACCTGGGGTATGTTCTCGACCTACGGCGGGGATGTCACTTCAAAACACGAGTTTCTTCAGTGACGTCAGGACTCCTGTCTAGTAACGAGGGACACCTCAGGAATCTCTCCGAGGCTTCGCAGGGCAAAAGGGACGCTTCTCGTGGTGAGGCAGGGCACCCAAGGACCCTTTCCAGTAGCCACAGGGATTTGGGGATTCCTATCAGTATTCAAGGGGAGTCAGGCATCGTCACCTTTTGAACCATGAACGCCGCGTGCCTCTCGAGGTGTCAGCGGTATATGAGGCATTCTGTCAAAATGAGGCAGGGACCTAGGGCTTTCTCTAATGTCTCCACAGGGGATTCAGACTTCACTTCATGTTGTGAGATGAAAGACGTGCCTGTATTCAAGCCACTGCAAGGAAATCCGGCCTCCTTTCAAGTTAGGGCTTCTCGCTGTATATTCCCCTTGAGGCAGCAAACTCGGGGTCCCTCCCACATACCTATTGCTGAGAGAAGCCTCCTCCTGAGGTGTTTCTGGAAAGTTGGCATACGTCTTGAGCGTAAGCCAGGGAATCAGCTCTCATCTTGAGACGATTTGGGGTACACGGAGCATTCCTCGAGTTGCTGTGCTTAAGTTGGTGTTCCTCTAGACTTGGGACAGTGTTCTCGGGGCATCTCTGGAGTTGCCTGAAGGAAGTCGAGCCACTGGTCGTGTTGAATGGGGAACGGGGAATGTCTCTGGAGTCAATGCAGGGAAATCGGGCCTCACCTCGAGTTGATTTGGGGCACATGGAGCTGCTTTGCGTTGCTGGGGTGACCTCAGGGTCCGTCTAGACTGGTGACAGTGTTCTTGGGGACTGTCTCGAGATCCATTAAGCAAGTCGAAGCTCCTGACTTGTTTGAATGGGATCACGGAATAGCTCTGCATGCACTGCAGGGGAATGGGGCCTCGTCTTGCCTCTAGGGGGAAGTCTCATGGTTTTTCTCGAGTTGCGGCGGGGACCTGGGGTATGTTCTCGACTTACGGCGGGGATGGCCCTTCAAAACACGAGTTTCTTCAGTGACGTCAGGACTCCTGTCTAGTAACGAGGGACACCTCAGGATTCTCTCCGAGGCTTCGCAGGGCAAAAGGGATGCTTCTCGAGGTGAGGCAGGGCACCCAAGGACCCTTTCCAGTAGCCACAGGGATTTTGGGATTCCTATCAGTGTTCAAGAGGAGTCAGGCATCGTCACCTTTTGAACCATGAACTCCGCGTGACTCTCGAGGTGTCAGCGGGATGTGAGGCATTCTGTCAAAATGAGGCAGGGACCTAGGGCTTTCTCTAAGGTCTCCACAGGGGATTCAGACATCCCTTCATGTTGTGAGATGAAAGACGAGCCTGTATTCAAGCCACTGCAAGGAAATCCGGCCTCCTTTCAAGTTAGGTCTTCTCGCTGTATATTCCCCTTGAGGCAGCAAACTCGGGGTCCCTCCCACATACCTTTTGCTGAGAGAAGCCTCCTCCTGAGGTGCTTCTGGAAAGTTGGCATACGTCTTGAGCCTAAGCCAGGGAATCAGCTCTCATCTTGAGACGATTTGGGGTACTCGGAGCATTCCTCGATTTGCTGTGCTGAAGTTGGTGTTCCTCTAGACTTGGGACAGTGTTCTCGGGGCATCTCTGCAGGTGCCTGAAGTAAGTGGAGCCACGGATCGTGTTGAATGGGGACCGGGGAATGGCTCTGGAGTCAATGCAGGGGAATCAGGCCTCATCTCGAGTTGATTTGGGGCACCTGGAGCTGCTTTGCGTTGCTGGGGTGACCTCAGGGTCCGTCTAGACTGGTGACAGTGTTCTTGGGGACTGTCTCGAGATCCATTAAGCAAGTCGAAGCTCCTGACTTGTTTGAATGGGATCACGGAATAGCTCTGCATGCACTGCAGGGGAATGGGGCCTCATCTCGCCTCTAGGGGGAAGTCTAATGGTTTTTCTCGAGTTGCGGCGGGGACCTGGGATATGTTTTCGACTTATGGCGGGGATGGCCCTTCAAAACACGAGTTTCTTCAGTGACGTCAGGACTCCTGTCTAGTAACGAGGGACACCTCAGGAATCTCTCCGAGGCTTCGCAGGGCAAAAGGGAAGCTTCTCGAGGTGAGGCAGGGCACCCAAGGACCCTTTCCAGTAGCAACAGGGATTTGGGGATTCCTATCAGTATTCAAGAGGAGTCAGGCATCGTCACCTTTTGAACCATGAACGCCGCGTGCCTCTCGAGGTGTCAGCGGTATATGAGGCATTCTGTCAAAATGAGGCAGGGACCTAGGGCTTTCTCTAATGTCTCCACAGGGGATTCAGACTTCACTTCATGTTGTGAGATGAAAGACGTGCCTGTATTCAAGCCACTGCAAGGAAATCCGGCCTCCTTTCAAGTTAGGGCTTCTGGCTGTATATTCCCCTTGAGGCAGCAAACTCGGGGTCCCTCCCACATACCTATTGCTGAGAGAAGCCTCCGCCTGAGGTGTTTCTGGAAAGTTGGCATACGTCTTGAGCGTAATCCAGGGAATCAGCTCTCATCTTGAGACGATTTGGGGTACACGGAGCATTCCTCGAGTTGCTGTGCTTAAGTTGGTGTTCCTCTAGACTTGAGACAGTGTTCTCGGGGCATCTCTGGAGTTGCCTGAAGGATGTCGAGCCACCGGTCGTGTTGAATGGGGAACGGGGAATGGCTCTGGAATCAATGCAGGGGAATCAGGCCTCATCTCGAGTTGATTTGGGGCACATGGAGCTGCTTTGCGTTGCTGGGGTGACTTCAGGGTCCGTCTAGACTGGTGACAGTGTTCTTGGGGACTGTCTCGAGATCCATTAAGCAAGTCGAAGCTCCTGACTTGTTTGAATGGGATCACGGAATAGCTCTGCATGCACTGCAGGGGAATGGGGCCTCATCTCGCCTCTAGGGGGAAGTCTCATGGTTTTTCTCGAGTTGCGGCGGGGACCTGGGGTATGTTCTCGACTTACGGCGGGGATGGCCCTTCAAAACACGAGTTTCTTCAGTGACGTCAGGACTCCTGTCTAGTAACGAGGGACACCTCAGGATTCTCTCCGAGGCTTCGCAGGGCAAAAGGGACGCTTCTCGAGGTGAGGCAGGGCACCCAAGGACCCTTTCCAGTAGCCACAGGGATTTTGGGATTCCTATCAGTGTTCAAGAGGAGTCAGGCATCGTCACCTTTTGAACCATGAACTCCATGTGCCTCTCGAGGTGTCAGCGGGATGTGAGGCATTCTGTCAAAATGAGGCAGGGACCTAGGGCTTTCTCTAAGGTCTCCACAGGGGATTCAGACATCCCTTCATGTTGTGAGATGAAAGACGAGCCTGTATTCAAGCCACTGCAAGGAAATCCGGCCTCCTTTCAAGTTAGGACTTCTCGCTGTATATTCCCCTTGAGGCAGCAAACTCGGGCTCCCTCCCACATACCTATTGCTGAGAGAAGCCTCCTCCTGAGGTGCTTCTGGAAAGTTGGCATACGTCTTGAGCCTAAGCCAGGGAATCAGCTCTCATCTCGAGACGATTTGGGGTACACGGAGCATTCCTCGAGTTGCTGTGCTGAAGTTGGTGTTCCTCTAGACTTGGGACAGTGTTCTCGGGGCATCTCTGGAGTTGCCTGAAGGAAGTCGAGCCACCGGTCGTGTTGAATGGGGAACGGGGAATGGCTCTGGAGTCAATGCAGGGGAATCGGGCCTCATCTCGAGTTGATTTGGGGCACATGGAGCTGCTTTGCGTTGCTGGGGTGACCTCAGGGTCTGTCTCGACTGGTGACAGTGTTCTTGGGGACTGTCTAGAGATCCATTAAGCAAGTCGAAGCTCCTGACTTGTTTGAATGGGATCACGGAATAGCTCTGCATGCACTGCAGGGGAATGGGGCCTCATCTCGCCACTAGGGGGAAGTCTCATGGTTTTTCCCGAGTTGCGGCGGAACCTGGGGTATGTTCTCGACTTACGGCGGGGATGGCACTTCAAAACACGAGTTTCTTCAGTCACGTCAGGACTCCTGTCTAGTAATGAGGGACACGTCAGGAATCTCTCCGAGACTTCGCAGGGCAAAAGGGACGCTTCTCGAGATGAGGCAGGGCACCCAAGGACCCTTTCCAGTAGCCACAGGGATTTTGGGATTCCTATCAGTATTCAAGAGGAGTCAGGCATCGTCACCTTTTGAACCATGAACACCGCGTGCCTCTCGAGGTGTCAGCGCGATGTGAGGCATTCTGTCAAAATGAGGCAGGGACCTAGGGCTTTCTCTAAGGTTTCCACAGTGGATTCAGACATCCCTTCATGTTGTGAGATGAAAGACGAGCCTGTATTCAAGCCACTGCAAGGAAATCCGGCCTCCTTTCAAGCTAGGGCTTCTCGCTGTATATTCCCCTTGAGGCAGCAAACTCGGGGTCCCTCCCACATACCTATTGCTGAGAGAAGCCTTCTCCTGAGGTGCTTCTGGAAAGTTGGCATACGTCTTGAGCCTAAGCCAGGGAATCAGCTCTCATCTTGAGACGATTTGGGGTACACGGAGCATTCCTCGAGTTGCTGTGTTGAAGTTGGTGTTCCTCTAGGCTTGGGACAGTGTTCTCGGGGCATCTCTGGAGTTGCCTGAAGGAAGTCGAACCACCGGTCGTGTTGAATGGTAAACGGGGAATGGCTCTGGTGTCAATGCAGGGGAATCGGGCGTCATCACGAGTTGATTTGGGGCACATGGAGCTGCTTTGTGTTGCTGGGGTGATCTCAGGGTCCGTATAGACTGGTGACAGTGTTCTTGGGGACTCTCTCGAGATCCATTAAGCAAGTCGAAGAACCTGACTTGTTTGAATGGGATCACGGAATATCTCTGCATGCACTGCAGGGGAATGGGGCCTCATCTCGCCTCTAGGGGGAAGTCTCATGGTTTTTCTCGAGTTGCGGCGGGGACCTGGGGTATGTTCTCGACTTACGGCGGGGATGGCACTTCAAAACACGAGTTTCTTCAGTGGCGTCAGGACTCTTGTCTAGTAACGAGGGACACCTCAGGAATCTCTCCGAGGCTTCGCAGGGCAAAAGGGACGCTTCTCGAGGTGAGGCAGGGCACCCAAGGACCCTTTTCAGTAGCCACAGGGATTTTGGGATTCCTATCAATATTCAAGAGGAGTCAGGCATCGTCACCTTTTGAAGCAATGAACTCCGCTTGCCTCTCGAGGTGTCACCGGGATGTGAGGCATTCCGTCAAAATGAGGCAGGGACCTAGGGCTTTCTCTAAGGTCTCTACAGGGGATTCAGACATCCCTTCATGTTGTGAGATGAAAGACGAGCCTGGATTCAAGCCACTGCAAGGAAATCCGGCCTCCTTTCAAGTTAGGGCTTCTCGCTGTATATTCCCCTTGAGGCAGCAAACTCGGGCTCCCTCCCACATACCTATTGCTGAGAGAAGCCTCCTCCTGAGGTGCTTCTGGAAAGTTGGCATAGGTCTTGAGCCTAAGCCAGGGAATCAGCTGTCATCTCGAGACGATTTGGGGTACACGGAGCATTACTCGAGTTGCTGTGCTGAAGTTGGTGTTCCTCTAGACTTGGGACAGTGTTCTCGGGGCATCTCTGGAGTTGCCTGAAGGAAGTCGAGCCACCGGTCGTGTTGAATGGGGAAAGGGGAATGGCTCTGGAGTCAATGCAGGGGAATCGGGCCTCATCTCGAGTTGATTTGGGGCACATGGAGCTGCTTTGCGTTGCTGGGGTGACCTCAGGGTCCGTCTAGACTGGTGACAGTGTTCTTGGGGACTGTCTCGAGATCCATTAAGCAAGTCGAAGCTCCTGACTTGTTTGAATGGGATCACGGAATAGCTCTGCATGCACTGCAGAGGAATGGGGCCTCATCACGCCTCTAGGGGGAAGTCTCATGGTTTTTCTCGAGTTGCGACGGGGACATGGGGTATGTTCTCGACTTACGGCAGGGATGGCCCTTCCAAACACGAGTTTCTTCAGTGACGTCAGGACTCCTGTCTAGTAACGAGGGACACCTCAGGAATCTCTCCGAGGCTTCGCAGGGCAAAAGGGACGCTTCTCGAGGTGAGGCAGGGCACCCAAGGACCCTTTCCAGTATCCACAGGGATTTTGGGATTCCTATCAGTATTCAAGAGGAGTCAGGCATCGTCACCTTTTGAACCATGAACTCCGCGTGCCTCTCGAGGTGTCAGCGGGATGTGAGGCATTCCGTCAAAATGAGGCAGGGACCTAGGGCTTTCTCTAAGGTCTCCACAGTGGATTCAGACATCCCTTCATGTTGTGAGATGAAAGACGAGCCTGTATTCAAGTCACTGCAAGGAAATCCGGTCTCTTTTCAAATTAGTGCTTCTCGCTGTATATTCCCCTTGAGGCAGCAAACTCAGGCTCCCTCCCACATACCTATTGCTGAGAGAAGCCTCCTCCTGAGGTGCTTCTGGAAAGTTGGCATACGTCTTGAGCCTAAGCCAGGGAATCAGCTCTCATCTCGAGACGATTTGGGGTACACGGAGCATTCCTCGAGTTGCTGTGCTGAAGTTGGTGTTCCTCTAGACTTGGGACAGTGTTCTCGGAGCATCTCTGGAGATGCCTGAAGGAAGTCGAGCCACCGGTCGTGTTGAATGGGGAATGGGGAATGGCTCTGGAGTCAATGCAGTGGAATCGGGCCTCATCTCGAGTTGATTTGGGGCACATGGAGCTGCTTTGTGTTGCTGGGGTGACCTCAGGGTCCGTCTAGACTGGTGACAGTGTTCTTGGGGACTGTCTGGAAATCCATTAAGCAAGTCGAAGCTCCTGACTTGTTTGAATGGGATCACGGAATAGCTCTGCATGCACTGCAGGGGAATGGAGCCTCATCTCGCCTCTAGGGGGAAGTCTCATGGTTTTTCTCGAGTTGCGGCGGGGACATAGGGTATGTTCTCGACTTACTGCGGGGATGGCACTTCAAAACACGAGTTTCTTCAGTGACGTCAGGACTCCTGTCTAGTAACGAGGGACACCTCAGGAATCTCTCCGAGGCTTCGCAGGGCAAAAGAAACGCTTCTCGAGGTGAGGCAGGGCACCCAAGGACCCTTTCCAGTAGCCACAGGGATTTGGGGATTCCTATCAGTATTCAAGAGGAGTCAGGCATCGTCACCTTTTGAACCATGAACGCCGCGTTCCTCTCGAGGTGTCAGCGGGATATGAGGCATTCTGTCAAAATGAGGCAGGGACCTAGGGCTTTCTCTAAGGTCTCCACAGGGGATTCAGACATCACTTCATGTTGTGAGATGAAAGATGTGCCTGTACTCAAGCCACTGCAAGGAAATCCGGCCTCCTTTCAAGTTAGGGCTTCTCGCTGTATATTCCCCTTGAGGCAGCAAAATCGGGGTCCCTCCCACATACCTATTGCTGAGAGAAGCCTCCTCCTGAGTTGCTTCTGGAAAGTTGGCATACGTCTTGAGCCTAAGCCAGGGAATCAGCTCTCATCTTGAGACGATTTGGGGTACACGGAGCATTCCTCGAGTTGCTGTGTTGAAGTTGGTGTTCCTCTAGACTTGGGACAGTGTTCTCGGGGCATCTCTGGAGTTGCCTGAAGGAAGTAGATCCACCGGTCATGTTGAATGGGGAACGGGGAATGGCTCTGGAGTCAATGCAGTGGAATCGGGCGTCATCTCGAGTTGATTTGGGGCACATGGAGCTGCTTTGCGTTCCTGGGGTGACCTCTGGGTCCGTCTAGACTGGTGACAGTGTTCTTGGGGACTCTCTGGAGATCCATTAAGCAAGTCGAAGCTCCTGACTTGTTTGAATGGGATCACGGAATAGCTCTGCATGCACTGCAGGGGAATGGAGCCTCATCTCGCCTCTAGGGGGAAGTCTCATGGTTTTTCTCGAGTTGCGGCGGGGACCTGGGGTATGTTCTCGACTTACATCGGGGATGGCCCTTCAAAACACGAGTTTCTTCGGTGACGTCAGGATTCCTGTCTAGTAACGAGGGACACCTCAGGAATCTCTCCGAGGCTTCGCAGGGCAAAAGGGACGCTTCTCGAGGTGAGGCAGGGCACCCAAGGACCCTTTCCAGTAGCCACAGGGATTTTGGGATTCCTATCAGTGTTCAAGAGGAGTCAGGCATCGTCACCTTTTGAACCATGAACTCGGCGTGCCTCTCGAGGTGTCAGCGGGATGTGAGGCATTCTGTCAAAATGAGGCAGGGACCTCGGGCTTTCTCTAAGGTCTCCACAGGGGATTCAGACATCCCTTCATGTTGTGAGATGAAAGACGAGCCTGTATTCAAGCCACTGCAAGGAAATCCGGCCTCCTTTCAAGATAGGGCTTCTCGCTGTTTATTCCCCTTGTGGCAGCAAACTCGGGCTCCCTCCCACATAACTATTGCTGAGAGAAGCCTCCTCCTGAGGTGCTTCTGGAAAGTTGGCATACGTCTTGAGCCTAAGCCAGGGAATCAGCTCTCATCTCGAGACGATTTGGTGTACACGGAGCATTCCTCGAGTTGCTGTGTTGAAGTTGGTGTTCCTCTAGACTTGGGACAGTGTTCTCGGGGCATCTCTGGAGTTGCCTGAAGGAAGTCGTGCCACCGGTCGTGTTGAATGGGGAACGGGGAATGGCTCTGGAGTCAATGCAGGGGAATCGGGCCTCATCTCGAGTTGATTTGGGGCACATGGAGCTGCTTTGCGTTGCTGCGGTGACCTCAGGGTCCGTCTAGACTGGTGACAGTGTTCTTGGGGACTGTCTCGAGATCCATTAAGCAAGTCGAAGCTCCTGACTTGTTTGAATGGGATCACGGAATAGCTCTGCATGCACTGCAGGGGAATGGGGCCTCATCTCGCCTCTAGGGGGAAGTCTCATGGTTTTTCTCGAGTTGCGGCGGGGACCTGGGGTATGTTCTCGACCTACGGCGGGGATGTCACTTCAAAACACGAGTTTCTTCAGTGACGTCAGGACTCCTGTCTAGTAACGAGGGACACCTCAGGAATCTCTCCGAGGCTTCGCAGGGCAAAAGGGACGCTTCTCGTGGTGAGGCAGGGCACCCAAGGACCCTTTCCAGTAGCCACAGGGATTTGGGGATTCCTATCAGTATTCAAGGGGAGTCAGGCATCGTCACCTTTTGAACCATGAACGCCGCGTGCCTCTCGAGGTGTCAGCGGTATATGAGGCATTCTGTCAAAATGAGGCAGGGACCTAGGGCTTTCTCTAATGTCTCCACAGGGGATTCAGACTTCACTTCATGTTGTGAGATGAAAGACGTGCCTGTATTCAAGCCACTGCAAGGAAATCCGGCCTCCTTTCAAGTTAGGGCTTCTCGCTGTATATTCCCCTTGAGGCAGCAAACTCGGGGTCCCTCCCACATACCTATTGCTGAGAGAAGCCTCCTCCTGAGGTGTTTCTGGAAAGTTGGCATACGTCTTGAGCGTAAGCCAGGGAATCAGCTCTCATCTTGAGACGATTTGGGGTACACGGAGCATTCCTCGAGTTGCTGTGCTTAAGTTGGTGTTCCTCTAGACTTGGGACAGTGTTCTCGGGGCATCTCTGGAGTTGCCTGAAGGAAGTCGAGCCACTGGTCGTGTTGAATGGGGAACGGGGAATGTCTCTGGAGTCAATGCAGGGAAATCGGGCCTCACCTCGAGTTGATTTGGGGCACATGGAGCTGCTTTGCGTTGCTGGGGTGACCTCAGGGTCCGTCTAGACTGGTGACAGTGTTCTTGGGGACTGTCTCGAGATCCATTAAGCAAGTCGAAGCTCCTGACTTGTTTGAATGGGATCACGGAATAGCTCTGCATGCACTGCAGGGGAATGGGGCCTCGTCTTGCCTCTAGGGGGAAGTCTCATGGTTTTTCTCGAGTTGCGGCGGGGACCTGGGGTATGTTCTCGACTTACGGCGGGGATGGCCCTTCAAAACACGAGTTTCTTCAGTGACGTCAGGACTCCTGTCTAGTAACGAGGGACACCTCAGGATTCTCTCCGAGGCTTCGCAGGGCAAAAGGGATGCTTCTCGAGGTGAGGCAGGGCACACAAGGACCCTTTCCAGTAGCCACAGGGATTTTGGGATTCCTATCAGTGTTCAAGAGGAGTCAGGCATCGTCACCTTTTGAACCATGAACTCCGCGTGACTCTCGAGGTGTCAGCGGGATGTGAGGCATTCTGTCAAAATGAGGCAGGGACCTAGGGCTTTCTCTAAGGTCTCCACAGGGGATTCAGACATCCCTTCATGTTGTGAGATGAAAGACGAGCCTGTATTCAAGCCACTGCAAGGAAATCCGGCCTCCTTTCAAGTTAGGTCTTCTCGCTGTATATTCCCCTTGAGGCAGCAAACTCGGGGTCCCTCCCACATACCTTTTGCTGAGAGAAGCCTCCTCCTGAGGTGCTTCTGGAAAGTTGGCATACGTCTTGAGCCTAAGCCAGGGAATCAGCTCTCATCTTGAGACGATTTGGGGTACTCGGAGCATTCCTCGATTTGCTGTGCTGAAGTTGGTGTTCCTCTAGACTTGGGACAGTGTTCTCGGGGCATCTCTGGAGTTGCCTGAAGTAAGTGCAGCCACGGATCGTGTTGAATGGGGACCGGGGAATGGCTCTGGAGTCAATGCAGGGGAATCAGGCCTCATCTCGAGTTGATTTGGGGCACCTGGAGCTGCTTTGCGTTGCTGGGGTGACCTCAGGGTCCGTCTAGACTGGTGACAGTGTTCTTGGGGACTGTCTCGAGATCCATTAAGCAAGTCGAAGCTCCTGACTTGTTTGAATGGGATCACGGAATAGCTCTGCATGCACTGCAGGGGAATGGGGCCTCATCTCGCCTCTAGGGGGAAGTCTCATGGTTTTTCTCGAGTTGCGGCGGGGACCTGGGATATGTTTTCGACTTATGGCGGGGATGGCCCTTCAAAACACGAGTTTCTTCAGTGACGTCAGGACTCCTGTCTAGTAACGAGGGACACCTCAGGAATCTCTCCGAGGCTTCGCAGGGCAAAAGGGACGCTTCTCGAGGTGAGGCAGGGCACCCAAGGACCCTTTCCAGTAGCAACAGGGATTTGGGGATTCCTATCAGTATTCAAGAGGAGTCAGGCATCGTCACCTTTTGAACCATGAACGCCGCGTGCCTCTCGAGGTGTCAGCGGTATATGAGGGATTCTGTCAAAATGAGGCAGGGACCTAGGGCTTTCTCTAATGTCTCCACAGGGGATTCAGACTTCACTTCATGTTGTGAGATGAAAGACGTGCCTGTATTCAAGCCACTGCAAGGAAATCCGGCCTCCTTTCAAGTTAGGGCTTCTGGCTGTATATTCCCCTTGAGGCAGCAAACTCGGGGTCCCTCCCACATACCTATTGCTGAGAGAAGCCTCCGCCTGAGGTGTTTCTGGAAAGTTGGCATACGTCTTGAGCGTAATCCAGGGAATCAGCTCTCATCTTGAGACGATTTGGGGTACACGGAGCATTCCTCGAGTTGCTGTGCTTAAGTTGGTGTTCCTCTAGACTTGAGACAGTGTTCTCGGGGCATCTCTGGAGTTGCCTGAAGGAAGTCGAGCCACCGGTCGTGTTGAATGGGGAACGGGGAATGGCTCTGGAGTCAATGCAGGGGAATCGGGCCTCATCTCGAGTTGATGTGGGGCACATGGAGCTGCTTTGCGTTGCTGGGGTGACCTCAGGGTCCGTCTAGACTGGTGACAGTGTTCTTGGGGACTGTCTCGAGATACATTAAGCAAGTCGAAGCCCCTGACTTGTTTGAATGGGATCACGGAATAGCTCTGCATGCACTGCAGGGGAATGGGGCCTCATCTCGCCTCTAGGGGGAAGTCTCATGGTTTTTCTCGAGTTGCGGCGGGGACCTGGGGTATGTTCTCGACTTACGGCGGGGATGGCACTTCAAAACACGAGTTTCTTCAGTGACGTCAGGACTCCTGTCTAGTAACGAGGGACACCTCAGGAATCTCTCCGAGGCTTCGCAGGGCAAAAGGGACGCTTCTCGAGGTGAGGCAGGGCACCCAAGGACCCTTTCCAGTAGCCACAGGGATTTTGGGATTCCTATCAGTGTTCAAGAGGAGTCAGGCATCGTCACCTTTTGAACCATGAACTCCGCGTGCCTCTCGAGGTGTCAGCGGGATGTGAGGCATTCTGTCAAAATGAGGCAGGGACCTAGGGCTTTCTCTAAGGTCTCCACAGGGGATTCAGACATCCCTTCATGTTGTGAGATGAAAGACGAGCCTGTATTCAAGCCACTGCAAGGAAATCCGGCCTCCTTTCAAGTTAGGGCTTCTCGCTGTATATTCCCCTTGTGGCAGCAAACTCGGGCTCCCTCCCACATACCTATTGCTGAGAGAAGCCTCCTCCTGAGGTGCTTCTGGAAAGTTGGCATACGTCTTGAGCCTAAGCCAGGGAATCAGCTCTCATCTCGAGACGATTTGTGGTACACGGAGCATTCCTCGAGTTGCTGTGTTGAAGTTGGTGTTCCTCTAGACTTGGGACAGTGTTCTCGGGGCATCTCTGGAGTTGCCTGAAGGAAGTCGAGCCACCGGTCGTGTTGAATGGGGATCGGGGAATGGCTCTGGAGTCAATGCAGGGGAATCGGGCGTCATCTCGAGTTGAATTGGGTCACATGGAGCTGCTTTGCGTTGCTGGGATGACCTCAGGGTGCGTCTAGACTGGTGACAGGGTTCTTGGGGACTCTCTCGAGATCCATTAAGCAAGTCGAAGCTCCTGACTTGTTTGAATGGGATCACGGAATAGCTCTGCATGCACTGCAGGGGAATGGGGCCTCATCTCGCCTCTAGGGGGAAGTCCCATGGTTTTTCTCGAGTTGCGACGGGGACCTGGGGTATGTTCTCGACTTACGGCGGGGATGGCACTTCAAAACACGAGTTTCTTCAGTGACGTCAGGACTCCTGTCTAGTAACGAGGGACACCTCAGGAATCTCTCCGAGGCTTCGCAGGGCAAAAGGGACGCTTCTCGAGGTGAGATATGGCACCCAAGGACCCTTTCCAGTAGCCACAGTGATTTGGGGATTCCTATCAGTATTCAAGAGGAGTCAGGCATCGTCACCTTTTGAACCATGAACGCCGCGTGCCTCTCGACGTATCAGCGGTATATGAGGCATTCTGTCAAAATGAGGCAGGGACCTAGGGCTTTATCTAAGGTCTCCACAGGGGATTCAGACATCACTTCATGTTGTGAGATGAAAGACGTGCCTGTATTCAAGCCACTGCAAGGAAATCCGGCCTCCTTTCAAGTTAGGTCTTCTCGCTGTATATTCCCCTTGAGGCAGCAAACTCGGGGTCCCTCCCACATACCTATTGCTGAGAGAAGCCTCCTCCTGAGGTGCTTCTGGAAAGTTGGCATACGTCTTGAGCCTAAGCCAGGGAATCAGCTCTCTTCTTGAGACGATTTGGGGTACACGGAGCATTCCTCGAGTTGCTGTGCTGAAGCTGGTGTTCCTCTAAACTTGGGACAGTGTTCTCGGGGCATCTCTGGAGTTGCCTGAAGGAAGTCGAGCCACCAGTCGTGTTGAATGGGGAACGGGGAATGGCTCTGGAGTCAATGCAGGGAAATCGGGCCTCATCTCGAGTTGATTTGGGGCACATGGAGTTGCTTTGCGTTGCTGGGGTTACCTCAGGGTCCGTCTAGACTGGTGACAGTGTTCTTGGGTACTGTCTCGAGATCCATTAAGCAAGTCGAAGCTCCTGACTTGTTTGAATGGGATCACGGAATAGCTCTGCATGCACTGCAGGGGAATGGGGCCTCATCTCGCCTCTAGGGGGAAGTCTCATGGTTTTTATCGAGTTGCGGCGGGGACCTGGGGTATGTTCTCGCCTTACGGCAGGGATGGCCCTTCAAAACACGAGTTTCTTCAGTGACGTCAGGACTCCTGTCTAGTAACGAGGGATACCTCAGGAATCTCTTCGAGGGTTGGCAGGGCAAAAGGGACGCTTCTCGAGGTGAGGCAGGGCACCCAAGGACCCTTTCCAGTAGCCACAGGGATTTTGGGATTCCTATCAGTATTCAAGAGGAGTCAGGCATCGTCACCTTTTGAAGCAATAAACTCCGCGTGCCTCTCGAGGTGTCAGCGGGATGTGAGGAATTCCGTCAAAATGAGGCAGGGACCTAGGGCTTTCTCTAAGGTCTCTACAGGGGATTCAGACATCCCTTCATGTTGTGAGATGAAAGACGAGCCTGTATTCAAGCCACTGCAAGGAAATCCGGCCTCCTTTCAAGTTAGGGCTTCTCGCTGTATATTCCCGTTAATGCAGCAAACTCGGGCTCCCTCCCACATACCTATTGCTGAGAGAAGCTTCCTCCTGAGGTGCTTCTGGAAAGTTGGCATACGTCTTGAGCCTAAGCCAGGGAATCAGCTCTCATCTCGAGACGATTTGGGGTACACGGAGCATTCCTCGAGTTGCTGTGCTGAAGTTGGTGTTCCTTAGACTTGGGACAGTGTTCTCGGGGCATCTCTGGAGTTGCCTGAAGGAAGTCGAGCCACCGGTCGTGTTGAATGGGGAACGGGTAATGGCTCTGGAGTCAATGCAGGGGAATCGGGCCTCATCTCGAGTTGATTTGGGGCACATGGAGCTGCTTTGCGTTGCTGGGGTGACCTCAGGTTCTGTCTCGACTGGTGACAGTGTTCTTGGGGACTGTCTCGAGATCCATTAAGAAAGTCGAAGCTCCTGACTTGTTTGAATGGGATCACGGAATAGCTCTGCATGCACTGCAGTGGAATGGGGCCTCATCTCGCCTCTAGGGGGAAGTCTCATGGTTTTTCTCGAGTTGCGGCGAGGACCTGGGGTATGTTCTCGACTTACATCGGGGATGGCCCTTCAAAACACGAGTTTCTTCGGTGACGTCAGGATTCCTGTCTAGTAACGAGGGACACCTCAGGAATCTCTCCGAGGCTTCGCAGGGCAAAAGGGACGCTTCTCGAGGTGAGGCAGGGCACCCAAGGACCCTTTCCAGTAGCCACAGGGATTTTGGGATTCCTATCAGTGTTCAAGAGGAGTCAGGCATCGTCACCTTTTGAACCATGAACTCGGCGTGCCTCTCGAGGTGTCAGCGGGATGTGAGGCATTCTGTCAAAATGAGGCAGGGACCTCGGGCTTTCTCTAAGGTCTCCACAGGGGATTCAGACATCCCTTCATGTTGTGAGATGAAAGACGAGCCTGTATTCAAGCCACTGCAAGGAAATCCGGCCTCCTTTCAAGATAGGGCTTCTCGCTGTTTATTCCCCTTGTGGCAGCAAACTCGGGCTCCCTCCCACATAACTATTGCTGAGAGAAGCCTCCTCCTGAGGTGCTTCTGGAAAGTTGGCATACGTCTTGAGCCTAAGCCAGGGAATCAGCTCTCATCTCGAGACGATTTGGTGTACACGGAGCATTCCTCGAGTTGCTGTGTTGAAGTTGGTGTTCCTCTAGACTTGGGACAGTGTTCTCGGGGCATCTCTGGAGTTGCCTGAAGGAAGTCGTGCCACCGGTCGTGTTGAATGGGGAACGGGGAATGGCTCTGGAGTCAATGCAGGGGAATCGGGCCTCATCTCGAGTTGATTTGGGGCACATGGAGCTGCTTTGCGTTGCTGGGGTGACCTCAGGGTCCGTCTAGACTGGTGACAGTGTTCTTGGGGACTGTCTCGAGATCCATTAAGCAAGTCGAAGCTCCTGACTTGTTTGAATGGGATCACGGAATAGCTCTGCATGCACTGCAGGGGAATGGGGCCTCATCTCGCCTCTAGGGGGAAGTCTCATGGTTTTTCTCGAGTTGCGGCGGGGACCTGGGGTATGTTCTCGACCTACGGCGGGGATGTCACTTCAAAACACGAGTTTCTTCAGTGACGTCAGGACTCCTGTCTAGTAACGAGGGACACCTCAGGAATCTCTCCGAGGCTTCGCAGGGCAAAAGGGACGCTTCTCGTGGTGAGGCAGGGCACCCAAGGACCCTTTCCAGTAGCCACAGGGATTTGGGGATTCCTATCAGTATTCAAGGGGAGTCAGGCATCGTCACCTTTTGAACCATGAACGCCGCGTGCCTCTCGAGGTGTCAGCGGTATATGAGGCATTCTGTCAAAATGAGGCAGGGACCTAGGGCTTTCTCTAATGTCTCCACAGGGGATTCAGACTTCACTTCATGTTGTGAGATGAAAGACGTGCCTGTATTCAAGCCACTGCAAGGAAATCCGGCCTCCTTTCAAGTTAGGGCTTCTCGCTGTATATTCCCCTTGAGGCAGCAAACTCGGGGTCCCTCCCACATACCTATTGCTGAGAGAAGCCTCCTCCTGAGGTGTTTCTGGAAAGTTGGCATACGTCTTGAGCGTAAGCCAGGGAATCAGCTCTCATCTTGAGACGATTTGGGGTACACGGAGCATTCCTCGAGTTGCTGTGCTTAAGTTGGTGTTCCTCTAGACTTGGGACAGTGTTCTCGGGGCATCTCTGGAGTTGCCTGAAGGAAGTCGAGCCACTGGTCGTGTTGAATGGGGAACGAGGAATGTCTCTGGAGTCAATGCAGGGAAATCGGGCCTCACCTCGAGTTGATTTGGGGCACATGGAGCTGCTTTGCGTTGCTGGGGTGACCTCAGGGTCCGTCTAGACTGGTGACAGTGTTCTTGGGGACTGTCTCGAGATCCATTAAGCAAGTCGAAGCTCCTGACTTGTTAGAATGGGATCACGGAATAGCTCTGCATGCACTGCAGGGGAATGGGGCCTCGTCTTGCCTCTAGGGGGAAGTCTCATGGTTTTTCTCGAGTTGCGGCGGGGACCTGGGGTATGTTCTCGACTTACGGCGGGGATGGCCCTTCAAAACACGAGTTTCTTCAGTGACGTCAGGACTCCTGTCTAGTAACGAGGGACACCTCAGGATTCTCTCCGAGGCTTCGCAGGGCAAAAGGGATGCTTCTCGAGGTGAGGCAGGGCACCCAAGGACCCTTTCCAGTAGCCACAGGGATTTTGGGATTCCTATCAGTGTTCAAGAGGAGTCAGGCATCGTCACCTTTTGAACCATGAACTCCGCGTGACTCTCGAGGTGTCAGCGGGATGTGAGGCATTCTGTCAAAATGAGGCAGGGACCTAGGGCTTTCTCTAAGGTCTCCACAGGGGATTCAGACATCCCTTCATGTTGTGAGATGAAAGACGAGCCTGTATTCAAGCCACTGCAAGGAAATCCGGCCTCCTTTCAAGTTAGGTCTTCTCGCTGTATATTCCCCTTGAGGCAGCAAACTCGGGGTCCCTCCCACATACCTTTTGCTGAGAGAAGCCTCCTCCTGAGGTGCTTCTGGAAAGTTGGCATACGTCTTGAGCCTAAGCCAGGGAATCAGCTCTCATCTTGAGACGATTTGGGGTACTCGGAGCATTCCTCGATTTGCTGTGCTGAAGTTGGTGTTCCTCTAGACTTGGGACAGTGTTCTCGGGGCATCTCTGGAGTTGCCTGAAGTAAGTGGAGCCACGGATCGTGTTGAATGGGGACCGGGGAATGGCTCTGGAGTCAATGCAGGGGAATCAGGCCTCATCTCGAGTTGATTTGGGGCACCTGGAGCTGCTTTGCGTTGCTGGGGTGACCTCAGGGTCCGTCTAGACTGGTGACAGTGTTCTTGGGGACTGTCTCGAGATCCATTAAGCAAGTCGAAGCTCCTGACTTGTTTGAATGGGATCACGGAATAGCTCTGCATGCACTGCAGGGGAATGGGGCCTCATCTCGCCTCTAGGGGGAAGTCTAATGGTTTTTCTCGAGTTGCGGCGGGGACCTGGGATATGTTTTCGACTTATGGCGGGGATGGCCCTTCAAAACACGAGTTTCTTCAGTGACGTCAGGACTCCTGTCTAGTAACGAGGGACACCTCAGGAATCTCTCCGAGGCTTCGCAGGGCAAAAGGGAAGCTTCTCGAGGTGAGGCAGGGCACCCAAGGACCCTTTCCAGTAGCAACAGGGATTTGGGGATTCCTATCAGTATTCAAGAGGAGTCAGGCATCGTCACCTTTTGAACCATGAACGCCGCGTGCCTCTCGAGGTGTCAGCGGTATATGAGGCATTCTGTCAAAATGAGGCAGGGACCTAGGGCTTTCTCTAATGTCTCCACAGGGGATTCAGACTTCACTTCATGTTGTGAGATGAAAGACGTGCCTGTATTCAAGCCACTGCAAGGAAATCCGGCCTCCTTTCAAGTTAGGGCTTCTGGCTGTATATTCCCCTTGAGGCAGCAAACTCGGGGTCCCTCCCACATACCTATTGCTGAGAGAAGCCTCCGCCTGAGGTGTTTCTGGAAAGTTGGCATACGTCTTGAGCGTAATCCAGGGAATCAGCTCTCATCTTGAGACGATTTGGGGTACACGGAGCATTCCTCTAGTTGCTGTGCTTAAGTTGGTGTTCCTCTAGACTTGAGACAGTGTTCTCGGGGCATCTCTGGAGTTGCCTGAAGGATGTCGAGCCACCGGTCGTGTTGAATGGGGAACGGGGAATGGCTCTGGAATCAATGCAGGGGAATCAGGCCTCATCTCGAGTTGATTTGGGGCACATGGAGCTGCTTTGCGTTGCTGGGGTGACTTCAGGGTCCGTCTAGACTGGTGACAGTGTTCTTGGGGACTGTCTCGAGATCCATTAAGCAAGTCGAAGCTCCTGACTTGTTTGAATGGGATCACGGAATAGCTCTGCATGCACTGCAGGGGAATGGGGCCTCATCTCGCCTCTAGGGGGAAGTCTCATGGTTTTTCTCGAGTTGCGGCGGGGACCTGGGGTATGTTCTCGACTTACGGCGGGGATGGCCCTTCAAAACACGAGTTTCTTCAGTGACGTCAGGACTCCTGTCTAGTAACGAGGGACACCTCAGGATTCTCTCCGAGGCTTCGCAGGGCAAAAGGGACGCTTCTCGAGGTGAGGCAGGGCACCCAAGGACCCTTTCCAGTAGCCACAGGGATTTTGGGATTCCTATCAGTGTTCAAGAGGAGTCAGGCATCGTCACCTTTTGAACCATGAACTCCATGTGCCTCTCGAGGTGTCAGCGGGATGTGAGGCATTCTGTCAAAATGAGGCAGGGACCTAGGGCTTTCTCTAAGGTCTCCACAGGGGATTCAGACATCCCTTCATGTTGTGAGATGAAAGACGAGCCTGTATTCAAGCCACTGCAAGGAAATCCGGCCTCCTTTCAAGTTAGGACTTCTCGCTGTATATTCCCCTTGAGGCAGCAAACTCGGGCTCCCTCCCACATACCTATTGCTGAGAGAAGCCTCCTCCTGAGGTGCTTCTGGAAAGTTGGCATACGTCTTGAGCCTAAGCCAGGGAATCAGCTCTCATCTCGAGACGATTTGGGGTACACGGAGCATTCCTCGAGTTGCTGTGCTGAAGTTGGTGTTCCTCTAGACTTGGGACAGTGTTCTCGGGGCATCTCTGGAGTTGCCTGAAGGAAGTCGAGCCACCGGTCGTGTTGAATGGGGAACGGGGAATGGCTCTGGAGTCAATGCAGGGGAATCGGGCCTCATCTCGAGTTGATTTGGGGCACATGGAGCTGCTTTGCGTTGCTGGGGTGACCTCAGGGTCTGTCTCGACTGGTGACAGTGTTCTTGGGGACTGTCTAGAGATCCATTAAGCAAGTCGAAGCTCCTGACTTGTTTGAATGGGATCACGGAATAGCTCTGCATGCACTGCAGGGGAATGGGGCCTCATCTCGCCACTAGGGGGAAGTCTCATGGTTTTTCCCGAGTTGCGGCGGAACCTGGGGTATGTTCTCGACTTACGGCGGGGATGGCACTTCAAAACACGAGTTTCTTCAGTCACGTCAGGACTCCTGTCTAGTAATGAGGGACACGTCAGGAATCTCTCCGAGACTTCGCAGGGCAAAAGGGACGCTTCTCGAGATGAGGCAGGGCACCCAAGGACCCTTTCCAGTAGCCACAGGGATTTTGGGATTCCTATCAGTATTCAAGAGGAGTCAGGCATCGTCACCTTTTGAACCATGAACACCGCGTGCCTCTCGAGGTGTCAGCGCGATGTGAGGCATTCTGTCAAAATGAGGCAGGGACCTAGGGCTTTCTCTAAGGTTTCCACAGTGGATTCAGACATCCCTTCATGTTGTGAGATGAAAGACGAGCCTGTATTCAAGCCACTGCAAGGAAATCCGGCCTCCTTTCAAGCTAGGGCTTCTCGCTGTATATTCCCCTTGAGGCAGCAAACTCGGGGTCCCTCCCACATACCTATTGCTGAGAGAAGCCTTCTCCTGAGGTGCTTCTGGAAAGTTGGCATACGTCTTGAGCCTAAGCCAGGGAATCAGCTCTCATCTTGAGACGATTTGGGGTACACGGAGCATTCCTCGAGTTGCTGTGTTGAAGTTGGTGTTCCTCTAGGCTTGGGACAGTGTTCTCGGGGCATCTCTGGAGTTGCCTGAAGGAAGTCGAACCACCGGTCGTGTTGAATGGTAAACGGGGAATGGCTCTGGTGTCAATGCAGGGGAATCGGGCGTCATCACGAGTTGATTTGGGGCACATGGAGCTGCTTTGTGTTGCTGGGGTGATCTCAGGGTCCGTATAGACTGGTGACAGTGTTCTTGGGGACTCTCTCGAGATCCATTAAGCAAGTCGAAGAACCTGACTTGTTTGAATGGGATCACGGAATATCTCTGCATGCACTGCAGGGGAATGGGGCCTCATCTCGCCTCTAGGGGGAAGTCTCATGGTTTTTCTCGAGTTGCGGCGGGGACCTGGGGTATGTTCTCGACTTACGGCGGGGATGGCACTTCAAAACACGAGTTTCTTCAGTGGCGTCAGGACTCTTGTCTAGTAACGAGGGACACCTCAGGAATCTCTCCGAGGCTTCGCAGGGCAAAAGGGACGCTTCTCGAGGTGAGGCAGGGCACCCAAGGACCCTTTCCAGTAGCCACAGGGATTTTGGGATTCCTATCAATATTCAAGAGGAGTCAGGCATCGTCACCTTTTGAAGCAATGAACTCCGCTTGCCTCTCGAGGTGTCACCGGGATGTGAGGCATTCCGTCAAAATGAGGCAGGGACCTAGGGCTTTCTCTAAGGTCTCTACAGGGGATTCAGACATCCCTTCATGTTGTGAGATGAAAGACGAGCCTGGATTCAAGCCACTGCAAGGAAATCCGGCCTCCTTTCAAGTTAGGGCTTCTCGCTGTATATTCCCCTTGAGGCAGCAAACTCGGGCTCCCTCCCACATACCTATTGCTGAGAGAAGCCTCCTCCTGAGGTGCTTCTGGAAAGTTGGCATAGGTCTTGAGCCTAAGCCAGGGAATCAGCTGTCATCTCGAGACGATTTGGGGTACACGGAGCATTACTCGAGTTGCTGTGCTGAAGTTGGTGTTCCTCTAGACTTGGGACAGTGTTCTCGGGGCATCTCTGGAGTTGCCTGAAGGAAGTCGAGCCACCGGTCGTGTTGAATGGGGAAAGGGGAATGGCTCTGGAGTCAATGCAGGGGAATCGGGCCTCATCTCGAGTTGATTTGGGGCACATGGAGCTGCTTTGCGTTGCTGGGGTGACCTCAGGGTCCGTCTAGACTGGTGACAGTGTTCTTGGGGACTGTCTCGAGATCCATTAAGCAAGTCGAAGCTCCTGACTTGTTTGAATGGGATCACGGAATAGCTCTGCATGCACTGCAGAGGAATGGGGCCTCATCACGCCTCTAGGGGGAAGTCTCATGGTTTTTCTCGAGTTGCGACGGGGACATGGGGTATGTTCTCGACTTACGGCAGGGATGGCCCTTCCAAACACGAGTTTCTTCAGTGACGTCAGGACTCCTGTCTAGTAACGAGGGACACCTCAGGAATCTCTCCGAGGCTTCGCAGGGCAAAAGGGACGCTTCTCGAGGTGAGGCAGGGCACCCAAGGACCCTTTCCAGTATCCACAGGGATTTTGGGATTCCTATCAGTATTCAAGAGGAGTCAGGCATCGTCACCTTTTGAACCATGAACTCCGCGTGCCTCTCGAGGTGTCAGCGGGATGTGAGGCATTCCGTCAAAATGAGGCAGGGACCTAGGGCTTTCTCTAAGGTCTCCACAGTGGATTCAGACATCCCTTCATGTTGTGAGATGAAAGACGAGCCTGTATTCAAGTCACTGCAAGGAAATCCGGTCTCTTTTCAAATTAGTGCTTCTCGCTGTATATTCCCCTTGAGGCAGCAAACTCAGGCTCCCTCCCACATACCTATTGCTGAGAGAAGCCTCCTCCTGAGGTGCTTCTGGAAAGTTGGCATACGTCTTGAGCCTAAGCCAGGGAATCAGCTCTCATCTCGAGACGATTTGGGGTACACGGAGCATTCCTCGAGTTGCTGTGCTGAAGTTGGTGTTCCTCTAGACTTGGGACAGTGTTCTCGGAGCATCTCTGGAGATGCCTGAAGGAAGTCGAGCCACCGGTCGTGTTGAATGGGGAATGGGGAATGGCTCTGGAGTCAATGCAGTGGAATCGGGCCTCATCTCGAGTTGATTTGGGGCACATGGAGCTGCTTTGTGTTGCTGGGGTGACCTCAGGGTCCGTCTAGACTGGTGACAGTGTTCTTGGGGACTGTCTGGAAATCCATTAAGCAAGTCGAAGCTCCTGACTTGTTTGAATGGGATCACGGAATAGCTCTGCATGCACTGCAGGGGAATGGAGCCTCATCTCGCCTCTAGGGGGAAGTCTCATGGTTTTTCTCGAGTTGCGGCGGGGACATAGGGTATGTTCTCGACTTACTGCGGGGATGGCACTTCAAAACACGAGTTTCTTCAGTGACGTCAGGACTCCTGTCTAGTAACGAGGGACACCTCAGGAATCTCTCCGAGGCTTCGCAGGGCAAAAGAAACGCTTCTCGAGGTGAGGCAGGGCACCCAAGGACCCTTTCCAGTAGCCACAGGGATTTGGGGATTCCTATCAGTATTCAAGAGGAGTCAGGCATCGTCACCTTTTGAACCATGAACGCCGCGTGCCTCTCGAGGTATCAGCGCGATATGAGGCATTCTGTCAAAATGAGGCAGGGAACTAGGGCTTTCTCTAAGGTCTCCACAGGGGATTCAGACATCACTTCATGTTGTGAGATGAAAGACGTGCCTGTATTCAAGCCACTGCAAGGAAATCCGGCCTCCTTTCAAGTTAGGGCTTCTCGCTGTATATTCCCCTTGAGGCAGCAAACTCGGGGTCCCTCCCACATACCTATTGCTGAGAGAAGCCTCCTCCTGAGGTGCTTCTGGAAAGTTGGCATACGTCTTGAGCCTAAGCCAGGGAATCAGCTCTCATCTTGAGACGATTTGGGGTACACGGAGCATTCCTCGAGTTGCTGTGCTTAAGTTGGTGTTCCTCTAGACTTGGGACAGTGTTCTCGGGGCATCTCTGGAGTTGCCTGAAGGAAGTCGAGCCACCGGTCGTGTTGAATGGGGAACGGGGAATGGCTCTGGAGTCAATGCAGGGAAATCGGGCCTCATCTCGAGTTGATTTGGGGCGCATGGAGCTGCTTTGCGTTGCTGGGGTGACCTCAGGGTCCGTCTAGACTGGTGACAGTGTTCTTGGGTACTGTCTCGAGATCCATTAAGCAAGTCGAAGCTCCTGACTTGTTTGAATGGGATCACGGAATAGCTCTGCATGCACTGCAGGGGAATGGGGCCTCGTCTTGCCTCTAGGGGGAAGTCTCATGGTTTTTCTCGAGTTGCGGCGGGGACCTGGGGTATGTTCTCGACTTACGGCGGGGATGGCCCTTCAAAACACGAGTTTCTTCAGTGACGTCAGGACTCCTGTCTAGTAACGAGGGACACCTCAGGATTCTCTCCGAGGCTTCGCAGGGCAAAAGGGATGCTTCTCGAGGTGAGGCAGGGCACCCAAGGACCCTTTCCAGTAGCCACAGGGATTTTGGGATTCCTATCAGTGTTCAAGAGGAGTCAGGCATCGTCACCTTTTGAACCATGAACTCCGCGTGCCTCTCGAGGTGTCAGCGGGATGTGAGGCATTCTGTCAAAATGAGGCAGGGACCTAGGGCTTTCTCTAAGGTCTCCACAGGGGATTCAGACATCACTTCATGTTGTCAGATGAAAGACGAGCCTGTATTCAAGCCACTGCAAGGAAATCCGGCCTCCTTTCAAGTTAGGGCTTCTCGCTGTATATTCCCCTTTTGGCAGTAAACTCGGGCTCCCTCCCACATACCTATTGCTGAGAGAAGCCTCCTCCTGAGGTGCTTCTGGAAAGTTGGCATACGTCTTGAGCCTAAGCCAGGGAATCAGCTCTCATCTCGAGACGATTTGGGGTACACGGAGCATTCCTCGAGTTGCTGTGTTGAAGTTGGTGTTCCTCTAGACTTGGGACAGTGTTCTCGGGGCATCTCTGGAGTTGCCTGAAGGAAGTCGAACCACCGGTCGTGTTGAATGGGGAACGGGGAATGGCTCTGGAGTCAATGCAGGGAAATCGGGGTTCATCTCGAGTTGATTTGGGGCACATGGAGCTGCTTTGCGTTGCTGGGGTGACCTCAGGGTCCGTCTAGACTGGTGACAGTGTTCTTGGGTACTGTCTCGAGATCCATTAAGCAAGTCGAAGCTCCTGACTTGTTTGAATGGGATCACGGAATAGCTCTGCATGCACTGCAGGGGAATGGGGCCGCGTCTCGCCTCTAGGGGGAAGTCTCATGGTTTTTCTCGAGTTGCGGTGGGGACCTGGGGTATGTTCTAGACTTACGGCGGGGATGGCCCTTCAAACCACGAGTTTCTTCAGTGACGTCAGGACTCCTGTCTAGTAACGAGGGATACCTCAGGAATCTCTTCGAGGGTTGGCAGGGCAAAAGGGACGCTTCTCGATATGAGGCAGGGCACCCAAGGACCCTTTCCAGTAGCCACAGGGATTTTGGGATTCCTATCAGTATTCAAGAGGAGTCAGGCATCGTCACCTTTTGAAGCAATGAACTCCCCGTGACTCTCGAGGTGTCAGCGGGATGTGAGGCATTCCGTCAAAAGGAGGCAGGGACCTAGGGCTTTCTCTAAGGTCTCTACAGGGGATTCAGACATCCCTTCATGTTGTGAGATGAAAGACGAGCCTGTATTCAAGCCACTGCAAGGAAATCCGGCCTCCTTTCAAGTTAGGGCTTCTCGCTGTATATTCCCCTTGAGGCAGCAAACTCGGGCTCCCTCCCACATACCTATTGCTGAGAGAAGCCTCCTCCTGAGGTGCTTCTGGAAAGTTGGCATACGTCTTGAGCCTAAGCCAGGGAATCAGCTCTCATCTCGAGACGATTTGGGGTACACGGAGCATTCCTCGAGTTGCTGTGCTGAAGTTGGTGTTCCTCTAGACTTGGGACAGTGTTCTCGGGGCATCTCTGGAGTTGCCTGAAGGAAGTCCAGCCACCGGTCGTGTTGAATGGGGAACGGGGAATGGCTCTGGAGTCAATGCAGGGGAATCGGGCCTCATCTCGAGTTGATTTGGGGCACATGGAGCTGCTTTGCGTTGCTGGGGTGACCTCAGGGTCCGTGTAGATTGGTGACAGTGTTCTTGAGGACTGTCTCGAGATCCATTAAGCAAGTCGAAGCTCCTGACTTGTTTGAATGGGATCACGGAATAGCTCTGCATGCCTTGCAGGGGAATGGGGCCTCATCTCGCCTCTAGGGGGAAGTCTCATGGTTTTTCTCGAGTTGCGGCGGGGAACTGGGATATGTTCTCGACTTATGGCAGGGATGGCCCTTCCAAACACGAGTTTCTTCAGTGACGTCAGGACTCCTGTCTAGTAACGAGGGACACCTCAGGAATCTCTCCGAGGCTTCGCAGGGCAAAAGGGACGCTTCTCGAGGTGAGGCAGGGCACCCAAGGACCTTTTCCAGTAGCCACAGGGATTTGGGGATTCCTATCAGTGTTCAAGAGGAGTCAGGCATCGTCACCTTTTGAACCATGAACGCCGCGTGCCTCTCGAGGTGTCAGCGGTATATGAGGCATTCTGTCAAAATGAGGCAGGGACCTAGGGCTTTCTCTAATGTCTCCACAGGGGATTCAGACTTCACTTCATGTTGTGAGATGAAAGACGTGCCTGTATTCAAGCCACTGCAAGGAAATCCGGCCTCCTTTCAAGTTAGGGCTTCTGGCTGTATATTCCCCTTGAGGCAGCAAATTCGGGGTCCCTCCCACATACCTATTGCTGAGAGAAGCCTCCGCCTGAGGTGTTTCTGGAAAGTTGGCATACGTCTTGAGCGTAATCCAGGGAATCAGCTCTCATCTTGAGACGATTTGGGGTACACGGAGCATTCCTCGAGTTGCTGTGCTTAAGTTGGTGTTCCTCTAGACTTGAGACAGTGTTCTCGGGGCATCTCTGGAGTTGCCTGAAGGAAGTCGAGCCACCGGTCGTGTTGAATGGGGAACGGGGAATGGCTCTGGAATCAATGCAGGGGAATCAGGCCTCATCTCGAGTTGATTTGGGGCACATGGAGCTGCTTTGCGTTGCTGGGATGACTTCAGGGTCCGTCTAGACTGGTGACAGTGTTCTTGGGGACTGTCTCGAGATCCATTAAGCAAGTCGAAGCTCCTGACTTGTTTGAATGGGATCACGGAATAGCTCTGCATGCACTGCAGGGGAATGGGGCCTCATCTCGCCTCTAGGGGGAAGTCTCATGGTTTTTCTCGAGTTGCGGCGGGGACCTGGGGTATGTTCTCGACTTTCGGCGGGGATGGCCCTTCAAAACACGAGTTTCTTCAGTGACGTCAGGACTCCTGTCTAGTAACGAGGGACACCTCAGGATTCTCTCCGAGGCTTCGCAGGGCAAAAGGGACGCTTCTCGAGGTGAGGCAGGGCACCCAAGGACCCTTTCCAGTAGCCACAGGGATTTTGGGATTCCTATCAGTGTTCAAGAGGAGTCAGGCATCGTCACCTTTTGAACCATGAACTCCATGTGCCTCTCGAGGTGTCAGCGGGATGTGAGGCATTCTGTCAAAATGAGGCAGGGACCTAGGGCTTTCTCTAAGGTCTCCACAGGGGATTCAGACTTCACTTCATGTTGTGAGATGAAAGACGAGCCTGTATTCAAGCCACTGCAAGGAAATCCGGCCTCCTTTCAAGTTAGGACTTCTCGCTGTATATTCCCCTTGAGGCAGCAAACTCGGGCTCCCTCCCACATACCTATTGCTGAGAGAAGCCTCCTCCTGAGGTGCTTCTGGAAAGTTGGCATACGTCTTGAGCCTAAGCCAGGGAATCAGCTCTCATCTCGAGACGATTTGGGGTACACGGAGCATTCCTCGAGTTGCTGTGCTGAAGTTGGTGTTCCTCTAGACTTGGGACAGTGTTCTCGGGGCATCTCTGGAGTTGCCTGAAGGAAGTCGAGCCACCGGTCGTGTTGAATGGGGAACTGGGAATGGCTCTGGAGTCAATGCAGGGGAATCGGGCCTCATCTCGAGTTGATTTGGGGCACATGGAGCTGCTTTGCGTTGCTGGGGTGACCTCAGGGTCTGTCTCGACTGGTGACAGTGTTCTTGGGGACTGTCTAGAGATCCATTAAGCAAGTCGAAGCTCCTGACTTGTTTGAATGGGATCACGGAATAGCTCTGCATGCACTGCAGGGGAATGGGGCCTCATCTCGCCACTAGGGGGAAGTCTCATGGTTTTTCCCGAGTTGCGGCGGAACCTGGGGTATGTTCTCGACTTACGGCGGGGATGGCACTTCAAAACACGAGTTTCTTCAGTCACGTCAGGACTCCTGTCTAGTAATGAGGGACACGTCAGGAATCTCTCCGAGACTTCGCAGGGCAAAAGGGACGCTTCTCGAGATGAGGCAGGGCACCCAAGGACCCTTTCCAGTAGCCACAGGGATTTTGGGATTCCTATCAGTATTCAAGAGGAGTCAGGCATCGTCACCTTTTGAACCATGAACTCCGCGTGCCTCTCGAGGTGTCAGCGGGATGTGAGGCATTCTGTCAAAATGAGGCAGGGACCTAGGGCTTTCTCTAAGGTTTCCACAGGGGATTCAGACATCCCTTCATGTTGTGAGATGAAAGACGAGCCTGTATTCAAGCCACTGCAAGGAAATCCGGCCTCCTTTCAAGTTAGGGCTTCTCGCTGTATATTCCCCTTGAGGCAGCAAACTCGGGGTCCCTCCCACATACCTATTGCTGAGAGAAGCCTCCTCCTGAGGTGCTTCTGGAAAGTTGGCATACGTCTTGAGCCTAAGCCAGGGAATCAGCTCTCATCTTGAGACGATTTGGGGTACTCAGAGCATTCCTCGATTTGCTGTGCTGAAGTTTGTGTTCCTCTAGACTTGGGACAGTGTTCTCGGGGCATCTCTGGAGTTGCCTGAAGGAAGTGGAGCCACGGATCGTGTTGAATGGGGAACGGGGAATGGCTCTGGAGTCAATGCAGGGGAATCAGGCCTAATCTCGAGTTGATTTGGGGCACATGGAGCTGCTTTGCATTGCTGGGGTGACCTCAGGGTCCGTCTAGACTGGTGACAGTGTTCTTGGGGACTGTCTCGAGATCCATTAAGCAAGTCGAAGCTCCTGACTTGTTTGAATGGGATCACGGAATAGCTCTGCATGCACTGCAGGGGAATGGGGCCTCATCTCGCCTCTAGGGGGAAGTCTCATGGTTTTTCTCGAGTTGCGGCGGGGACCTGGGGTATGTTCTCGACTTACGGCGGGGATGGCCCTTCAAAACACGAGTTTCTTCAGTGACGTCAGGACTCCTGTCTAGTAACGAGGGACACCTCAGGATTCTCTCCGAGGCTTCGCAGGGCAAAAGGGACGCTTCTCGAGGTGAGGCAGGGCACCCAAGGACCCTTTCCAGTAGCCACAGGGATTTTGGGATTCCTATCAGTGTTCAAGAGGAGTCAGGCATCGTCACCTTTTGAACCATGAACTCCGCGTGCCTCTCGAGGTGTCAGCGGGATGTGAGGCATTCTGTCAAAATGAGGCAGGGACCTAGGGCTTTCTCTAAGGTTTCCACAGGGGATTCAGACATCCCTTCATGTTGTGAGATGAAAGACGAGCCTGTATTCAAGCCACTGCAAGGAAATCCGGCCTCCTTTCAAGTTAGGGCTTCTCGCTGTATATTCCCCTTGAGGCAGCAAACTCGGGGTCCCTCCCACATACCTATTGCTGAGAGAAGCCTCCTCCTGAGGTGCTTCTGGAAAGTTGGCATACGTCTTGAGCCTAAGCCAGGGAATCAGCTCTCATCTTGAGACGATTTGGGGTACTCGGAGCATTCCTCGATTTGCTGTGCTGAAGTTTGTGTTCCTCTAGACTTGGGACAGTGTTCTCGGGGCATCTCTGGAGTTGCCTGAAGGAAGTGGAGCCACGGATCGTGTTGAATGGGGAACGGGGAATGTCTCTGGAGTCAATGCAGGGGAATCAGGCCTCATCTCGAGTTGATTTGGGGCACATGGAACTGCTTTGCGTTGCTGGGGTGACCTCAGGGTCCGTCTAGACTGGTGACAGTGTTCTTGGGGACTCTCTCGAGATCCATTAAGCAAGTCGAAGCTCCTGACTTGTTTGAATGGGATCACGGAATAGCTCTGCATGCACTGCAGGGGAATGGGGCCTCATCTCGCCTCTAGGGGGAAGTCTCATGGTTTTTCTCGAGTTGCGGCGGGGACCTGGGGTATGTTCTCGACTTATGGCGGGGATGGCCCTTCAAAACACGAGTTTCTTCAGTGACGTCAGGACTCCTGTCTAGTAACGAGGGACACCTCAGGAATCTCTCCGAGGCTTCGCAGGGCAAAAGGGACACTTCTCGAGGTGAGGCAGGGCACCCAAGGACCCTTTCCAGTAGCCACAGGGATTTTGGGATTCCTATCAGTGTTCAAGAGGAGTCAGGATCGTCACCTTTTGAACCATGAACTCCGCGTGCCTCTCGAGGTGTCAGCGGGATGTGAGGCATTCTGTCAAAATGAGGCAGGGACCTAGGGCTTTCTCTAAGGTCTCCACAGGGGATTCAGACATCCCTTCATGTTGTGAGATGAAAGACGAGCCTGTATTCAAGCCACTGCAAGGAAATCCGGCCTCCTTTCAAGTTTGGGCTTCTCGCTGTATATTCCCCTTGTGGCAGCAAACTCGGGCTCCCTCCCACATACCTATTGCTGAGAGAAGCCTCCTCCTGAGGTGCTTCTGGAAAGTTGGCATACGTCTTGAGCCTAAGCCAGGGAATCAGCTCTCATCTTGAGACGATTTGGGGTACACGGAGCATTCCTCGAGTTGCTGTGTTGAAGTTGGTGTTCCTCTAGGCTTGGGACAGTGTTCTCGGGGCATCTCTGGAGTTGCCTGAAGGAAGTCGAACCACCGGTCGTGTTGAATGGTAAACGGGGAATGGCTCTGGTGTCAATGCAGGGGAATCGGGCGTCATCACGAGTTGATTTGGGGCACATGGAGCTGCTTTGTGTTGCTGGGGTGACCTCAGGGTCCGTCTAGACTGGTGACAGTGTTCTTGGGGACTCTCTCGAGATCCATTAAGCAAGTCGAAGAACCTGACTTGTTTGAATGGGATCACGGAATATCTCTGCATGCACTGCAGGGGAATGGGGCCTCATCTCGCCTCTAGGGGGAAGTCTCATGGTTTTTCTCGAGTTGCGGCGGGGACCTGGGGTATGTTCTCGACTTACGGCGGGGATGGCACTTCAAAACACGAGTTTCTTCAGTGACGTCAGGACTCTTGTCTAATAACGAGGGACACCTCAGGAATCTCTCCGAGGCTTCGCAGGGCAAAAGGGACGCTTCTCGAGGTGAGGCAGGGCACCCAAGGACCCTTTCCAGTAGCCACAGGGATTTTGGGATTCCTATCAGTATTCAAGAGGAGTCAGGCATCGTCACCTTTTGAAGCAATGAACTCCGCTTGCCTCTCGAGGTGTCACCGGAATGTGAGGCATTCCGTCAAAATGAGGCAGGGACCTAGGGCTTTCTCTAAGGTCTCTACAGGGGATTCAGACATCCCTTCATGTTGTGAGATGAAAGACGAGCCTGGATTCAAGCCACTGCAAGGATATCCGGCCTCCTTTCAAGTTAGGGCTTCTCGCTGTATATTCCCCTTGAGGCAGCAAACTCGGGCTCCCTCCCACATACCTATTGCTGAGAGAAGCCTCCTCCTGAGGTGCTTCTGGAAAGTTGGCATAGGTCTTGAGCCTAAGCCAGGGAATCAGCTGTCATCTCGAGACGATTTGGGGTACACGGAGCATTACTCGAGTTGCTGTGCTGAAGTTGGTGTTCCTCTAGACTTGGGACAGTGTTCTCGGGGCATCTCTGGAGTTGCCTGAAGGAAGTCGAGCCACCGGTCGTGTTGAATGGGGAACGGGGAATGGCTCTGGAGTCAATGCAGGGGAATCGGGCCTCATCTCGAGTTGATTTGGGGCACATGGAGCTGCTTTGCGTTGCTGGGGTGACCTCAGGGTCCGTCTAGACTGGTGACAGTGTTCTTGGGGACTGTCTCGAGATCCATTAAGCAAGTCGAAGCTCCTGACTTGTTTGAATGGGATCACGGAATAGCTCTGCATGCACTGCAGAGGAATGCGGCCTCATCACGCCTCTAGGGGGAAGTCTCATGGTTTTTCTCGAGTTGCGACGGGGACCTGGGGTATGTTCTCGACTTACGGCAGGGATGGCCCTTCCAAACACGAGTTTCTTCAGTGACGTCAGGACTGCTGTCTAGTAACGAGGGACACCTCAGGAATCTCTCCGAGGCTTCGCAGGGCAAAAGGGACGCTTCTCGAGGTGAGGCAGGGCACCCAAGGACCCTTTCCAGTATCCACAGGGATTTTGGGATTCCTATCAGTATTCAAGAGGAGTCAGGCATCGTCACCTTTTGAACCATGAACTCCGCGTGCCTCTCGAGGTGTCAGCGGGATGTGAGGCATTCCGTGAAAATGAGGCAGGGACCTAGGGCTTTCTCTAAGGTCTCCACAGTGGATTCAGACATCCCTTCATGTTGTGAGATGAAAGACGAGCCTGTATTCAAGTCACTGTAAGGAAATCCGGTCTCTTTTCAAATTAGTGCTTCTCGCTGTATATTCCCCTTGAGGCAGCAAACTCAGGCTCCCTCCCACATACCTATTGCTGAGAGAAGCCTCCTCCTGAGGTGCTTCTGGAAAGTTGGCATACGTCTTGAGCCTAAGCCAGGGAATCAGCTCTCATCTCGAGACGATTTGGGGTACACGGAGCATTCCTCGAGTTGCTGTGCTGAAGTTGGTGTTCCTCTAGACTTGGGACAGTGTTCTCGGAGCATCTCTGGAGATGCCTGAAGGAAGTAGAGCCACCGGTCGTGTTGAATGGGGAACGGGGAATGGCTCTGGAGTCAATGCAGGGGAATCGGGCCTCATCTCGAGTTGATTTGGGGCACATGGAGCTGCTTTGTGTTGCTGGGGTGACCTCAGGGTCCGTCTAGACTGGTGACAGTGTTCTTGGGGACTGTCTGGAAATCCATTAAGCAAGTCGAAGCTCCTGACTTGTTTGAATGGGATCACGGAATAGCTCTGCATGCACTGCAGGGGAATGGAGCCTCCTCTCGCCTCTAGGGGGAAGTCTCATGGTTTTTCTCGAGTTGCGGCGGGGACCTAGGGTATGTTCTCGACTTACTGCGGGGATGGCACTTCAAAACACGAGTTTCTTCAGTGACGTCAGGACTCCTGTCTAGTAACGAGGGACACCTCAGGAATCTCTCCGAGGCTTCGCAGGGCAAAAGAAACGCTTCTCGAGGTGAGGCAGGGCACCCAAGGACCCTTTCCAGTAGCCACAGGGATTTGGGGATTCCTATCAGTATTCAAGAGGAGTCAGGCATCGTCACCTTTTGAACCATGAACGCCGGGTGCCTCTCGAGGTGTCAGCGGGATATGAGGCATTCTGTCAAAATGAGGCAGGGACCTAGGGCTTTCTCTAAGGTCTCCACAGGGGATTCAGACATCACTTCATGTTGTGAGATGAAAGATGTGCCTGTATTCAAGCCACTGCAAGGAAATCCGGCCTCCTTTCAAGTTAGGGCTTCTCGCTGTATATTCCCCTTGAGGCAGCAAAATCGGGGTCCCTCCCACATACCTATTGCTGAGAGAAGCCTCCTCCTGAGGTGCTTCTGGAAAGTTGGCATACGTCTTGAGCCTAAGCCAGGGAATCAGCTCTCATCTTGAGACGATTTGGGGTACACGGAGCATTCCTCGAGTTGCTGTGTTGAAGTTGGTGTTCCTCTAGACTTGGGACAGTGTTCTCGGGGCATCTCTGGAGTTGCCTGAAGGAAGTAGAGCCACCGGTCATGTTGAATGGGGAACGGGAAATGGCTCTGGAGTCAATGCAGTGGAATCGGGCGTCATCTCGAGTTGATTTGGGGCACATGGAGCTGCTTTGCGTTCCTGGGGTGACCTCTGGGTCCGTCTAGACTGGTGACAGTGTTCTTGGGGACTCTCTGGAGATCCATTAAGCAAGTCGAAGCTCCTGACTTGTTTGAATGGGATCACGGAATAGCTCTGCATGCACTGCACGGGAATGGAGCCTCATCTCGCCTCTAGGGGGAAGTCTCATGGTTTTTCTCGAGTTGCGGCGGGGACCTGGGGTATGTTCTCGACTTACTGCTGGGATGGCACTTCAAAACACGAGTTTCTTCAGTGACGTCAGGACTCCTGTCTAGTAAGGAGGGACACCTCAGGATTCTCTCCGAGGCTTCGCAGGGCAAAAGGGATGCTTCTTGAGGTGAGGCAGGGCACCCAAGGACCCTTTCCAGTAGCCACAGGGATTTGGGGATTCCTATCAGTATTCAAGAGGAGTCAGGCATCGTCACCTTTTGAACCATGAACGCCGCGTGCCTCTCGAGGTGTCAGCGCGATATGAGGCATTCTGTCAAAATGAGGCAGGGAACTAGGGCTTTCTCTAAGGTCTCCACAGGGGATTCAGACATCACTTCATGTTGTGAGATGAAAGACGTGCCTGTATTCAAGCCACTGCAAGGAAATCCGGCCTCCTTTCAAGTTAGGGCTTCTCGCTGTATATTCCCCTTGAGGCAGCAAACTCGGGGTCCCTCCCACATACCTATTGCTGAGAGAAGCCTCCTCCTGAGGTGCTTCTGGAAAGTTGGCATACGTCTTGAGCGTAAGCCAGGGAATCAGCTCTCATCTTGAGACGATTTGGGGTACACGGAGCATTCCTCGAGTTGCTGTGCTTAAGTTGGTGTTCCTCTAGACTTGGGACAGTGTTCTCGGGGCATCTCTGGAGTTGCCTGAAGGAAGTCGAGCCACCGGTCGTGTTGAATGGGGAACGGGGAATGGCTCTGGAGTCAATGCAGGGAAATCGGGCCTCATCTCGAGTTGATTTGGGGCACATGGAGCTGCTTTGCGTTGCTGGGGTGACCTCAGGGTCCGTCTAGACTGGTGACAGTGTTCTTGGGTACTGTCTCGAGATCCATTAAGCAAGTCGAAGCTCCTGACTTGTTTGAATGGGATCACGGAATAGCTCTGCATGCACTGCAGGGGAATGGGGCCTCGTCTTGCCTCTAGGGGGAAGTCTCATGGTTTTTCTCGAGTTGCGGCGGGGACCTGGGGTATGTTCTCGACTTACGGCGGGGATGGCCCTTCAAAACACGAGTTTCTTCAGTGACGTCAGGACTCCTGTCTAGTAACGAGGGACACCTCAGGATTCTCTCCGAGGCTTCGCAGGGCAAAAGGGATGCTTCTCGAGGTGAGGCAGGGCACCCAATGCCCCTTTCCAGTAGCCACAGGGATTTTGGGATTCCTATCAGTGTTCAAGAGGAGTCAGGCATCGTCACCTTTTGAACCATGAACTCCGCTTGCCTCTCGAGGTGTCAGCGGGATGTGAGGCATTCTGTCAAAATGAGGCAGGGACCTAGGGCTTTCTCTAAGGTCTCCACAGGGGATTCAGACATCCCTTCATGTTGTGAGATGAAAGACGAGCCTGTATTCAAGCCACTGCAAGGAAATCCAGCCTCCTTTCAAGTTAGGTCTTCTCGCTGTATATTCCCCTTGAGGCAGCAAACTCGGGGTCCCTCCCACATACCTATTGCTGAGAGAAGCCTCCTCCTGAGGTGCTTCTGGACAGTTGGCATACGTCTTGAGCCTAAGCCAGGGAATCAGCTCTCATCTCGAGACGATTTGGGGTACACGGAGCATTCCTCGAGTTGCTGTTCTGAAGTTGGTGTTCCTCTAGACTTGGGACAGTGTTCTCGGGGCATCTCTGGAGTTGCCTGAAGGAAGTCGAGCCACCGGTCGTGTTGAATGGGGAACGGGGAATGGCTCTGGAGTCAATGCAGGTGAATCAGGCCTCATCTCGAGTTGATTTGGGGCACATGGAGCTGCTTTGCATTGCTGGGGTGACCTCAGGGTCCGTCTAGACTGGTGACAGTGTTCTTGGGGACTGTCTCGAGATCCATTAAGCAAGTCGAAGCTCCTGACTTGTTTGAATGGGATCACGGAATAGCTCTGCATGCACTGCAGGGGAATGGGGCCTCATCTCGCCTCTAGGGGGAAGTCTCATGGTTTTTCTCGAGTTGCGGCGGGGACCTGGGGTATGTTCTCGACTTACGGCGGGGATGGCACTTCAAAACACGAGTTTCTTCAGTGACGTCAGGACTCCTGTCTAGTAATGAGGGACACCTCAGGAACCTCTCCGAGGCTTCGCAGGGCAAAAGGGATGCTTCTCGAGGTGAGGCAGGGCACCCAAGGACCCTTTCCAGTAGCCACAGGGATTTGGGGATTCCTATCAGTATTCAAGAGGAGTCAGGCATCGTCACCTTTTGAACCATGAATGCTGCGTGCCTCTCGAGGTGTCAGCGGGATATGAGGCATTCTGTCAAAATGAGGCAGGGACCTAGGGCTTTCTCTAAGGTCTCCACAGGGGATTCAGACATCACTTCATGTTGTGAGATGAAAGACGTGCCTGTATTCAAGCCACTGCAAGGAAATCCGGGCTCCTTTCAAGTTAGGGCTTCTCGCTGTATATTCCCCTTGAGGCAGCAAACTCGGGGTCCCTCCCACATACCTATTGCTGAGAGAAGCCTCCTCCTGAGGTGCTTCTGGAAAGTTGGCATACGTCTTGAGCCTAAGCCAGGGAATCAGCTCTCATCTTGAGACGATTTGGGGAACACGGAGCATTCCTCGAGTTGCTGTGCTTAAGTTGGTGTTCCTCTAGACTTGGGACAGTGTTCTCGGGGCATCTCTGGAGTTGCCTGAAGGAAGTCGAGCCACCGGTCGTGTTGAATGGGGAACGGGGAATGGCTCTGGAGTCAATGCAGGGAAATCGTGCCTCATCTCGAGTTGATTTGGGGCGCATGGAGCTGCTTTGCGTTGCTGGGGTGACCTCAGGGTCCGTCTAGACTGGTGACAGTGTTCTTGGGTACTGTCTCGAGATCCATTAAGCAAGTCGAAGCTCCTGACTTGTTTGAATGGGATCACGGAATAGCTCTGCATGCACTGCAGGGGAATGGGGCCTCGTCTTGCCTCTAGGGGGAAGTCTCATGGTTTTTCTCGAGTTGCGGCGGGGACCTGGGGTATGTTCTCGACTTACGGCGGGGATGGCCCTTCAAAACACGAGTTTCTTCAGTGACGTCAGGACTCCTGTCTAGTAACGAGGGACACCTCAGGATTCTCTCCGAGGCTTCGCAGGGCAAAAGGGATGCTTCTCGAGGTGAGGCAGGGCACCCAAGGACCCTTTCCAGTAGCCACAGGGATTTTGGGATTCCTATCAGTGTTCAAGAGGAGTCAGGCATCGTCACCTTTTGAACCATGAACTCCGCGTGCCTCTCGAGGTGTCAGCGGGATGTGAGGCATTCTGTCAAAATGAGGCAGGGACCTAGGGCTTTCTCTAAGGTCTCCACAGGGGATTCAGACATCCCTTCATGTTGTGAGATGAAAGACGAGCCTGTATTCAAGCCACTGCAGGGAAATCCAGCCTCCTTTCAAGTTCGGTCTTCTCGCTGTATATTCCCCTTGAGGCAGCAAACTCGGGGTCCCTCCCACATACCTATTGCTGAGAGAAGCCTCCTCCTGAGGTGCTTCTGGAAAGTTGGCATACGTCTTGAGCCTAAGCGAGGGAATCAGCTCTCATCTCGAGACGATTTGGGGTACACGGAGCATTCCTCGAGTTGCTGTGCTGAAGTTGGTGTTCCTTTAGACTTGGGACAGTGTTCTCGGGGCATCTCTGGAGTTGCCTGAAGGAAGTCGAGCCACCGGTCGTGTTGAATGGGGAACGGGGAATGGCTCTTGGGTCAATGCAGGGGAATCGGGCCTCATCTCGAGTTGATTTGGGGCACATGGAGCTGCTTTGCGTTGCTGGGGTGACCTCAGGGTCTGTCTCGACTGGTGACAGTGTTCTTGGGGACTGTCTCGAGATCCATTAAGCAAGTCGAAGCTCCTGACTTGTTTGAATGGGATCACGGAATAGCTCTGCATGCACTGCAGGGGAATGGGGCCTCATTTCGCCTCTAGAGGGAAGTCTCATGGTTTTTCCCGAGTTGCGGCGGGACCTGGGGTATGTTCTCGACTTACTGCGGGGATGGCACTTCAAAACACGAGTTTCTTCAGTGACGTCAAGACTCCTGTCTAGTAATGAGGGACACGTCAGGAATCTCTCCGAGACTTCGCAGGGCAAAAGGGACGCTTCTCGAGGTGAGGCAGGGCACCTAAGGACACTTTCCAGTAGCCACAGGGATTTTGGTATTCCTATCAGTATTCAAGAGGAGTCAGGCATCATCACCTTTTGAACCATGAACTCCGCGTGCCTCTCGAGGTGTCAGCGGGATGTGAGGCATTCTTTCAAAATGAGGCAGGGACCTAGGGCTTTCTCTAAGGTTTCCACAGGGGATTCAGACATCCCTTCATGTTCTGAGATGAAAGACGAGCCTGTATTCAAGCCACTGCAAGGGAATCCGGCCTCCTTTCAAGTTAGGGCTTCTCGCTGTATATTCCCCTTGAGGCAGCAAACTCGGGGTCCCTCCCACATACCTATTGCTGAGAGAAGCCTCCTCCTGAGGTGCTTCTGGAAAGTTGGCATACGTCTTGAGCCTAAGCCAGAAAATCAGCTCTCATCTTGGGACAATTTGGCGTACTCGGAGCATTCCTCGATTTGCTGTGCTAAAGTTGGTGTTCCTCTAGACTTGGGACAGTGTTCTCGGGGCATCTCTGGAGTTGCCTGAAGTAAGTGGAGCCACGGATCGTGTTGAATGGGGACCGGGAATGGCTCTGGAGTCAATGCAGGGGAATCAGGCCTCATCTCGAGTTGATTTGGGGCACCTGGAGCTGCTTTGCTTTGCTGGGGTGACCTCAGGGTCCGTCTAGATTGGTGACAGTGTTCTTGGGGACTGTCTCGAGATCCATTAAGCAAGCCGAAGCTCCTGACTTGTTTGAATGGGATCACGGAATAGCTCTGCATGCACTGCAGGGGAATGGGGCCTCATCTCGCCTCTAGGGGGAAGTCTCATGGTTTTTCTCGAGTTGCGGCGGGGACCTGGGGTATGTTCTCGACTTACGGCAGGGATGGCCCTTCAAAACACGAGTTTCTTCAGTGACGTCAGGACTCCTGTCTAGTAACGAGGGACACCTCAGGAATCTCTCCGAGGCTTCGCAGGGTAAAAGGGACACTTCTCGAGGTGAGGCAGGGCACCCAAGGACCCTTTCCAGTAGCCACAGGGATTTTGGGATTCCTATCAGTGTTCAAGAGGAGTCAGGCATCGTCACCTTTTGAACCATGAACTCCGCGTGCCTCTCGAGGTGTCAGCGGGATGTGAGGCATTCTGTCAAAATGAGGCAGGGAACTAGGGCTTTCTCTAAGGTCTCCACAGGGGATTCAGACATCCCTTCATGTTGTCAGATGAAAGACGAGCCTGTATTCAAGCCACTGCAAGGAAATCCGGCCTCCTTTCAAGTTAGGGCTTCTCGCTGTATATTCCCCTTTTGGCAGTAAACTCGGGCTCCCTCCCACATACCTATTGCTGAGAGAAGCCTCCTCCTGAGGTGCTTCTGGAAAGTTGGTATACGTCTTGAGCCTAAGCCAGGGAATCAGCTCTCATCTCGAGACGATTTGGGGTACACGGAGCATTCCTCGAATTGCTATGTTGAAGTTGGCGTTCCTCTAGACTTGGGACAGTGTTCTCGGGGCATCTCTGGAGTTGCCTGAAGGAAGTCGAACCACCGGTCGTGTTGAATGGGGAACGGGGAATGGTTCTGGAGTCAATGCAGGGAAATCGGGGTTCATCTCGAGTTGATTTGGGGCACATGGAGCTGCTTTGCGTTGCTGGTTTGACCTCAGGGTCCGTCTAGACTGGTGACAGTGTTCTTGGGTACTGTCTCGAGATCCATTAAGCAAGTCGAAGCTCCTGACTTGTTTGAATGGGATCACGGAATAGCTCTGCATGCACTGCAGGGGAATGGGGCCTCGTCTCGCCTCTAGGGGGAAGTCTCATGGTTTTTCTCGAGTTGCGGTGGGGACCTGGGGTATGTTCTAGACTTACGGCGGGGATGGCCCTTCAAACCACGAGTTTCTTCAGTGACGTCAGGACTCCTGTCTAGTAACGAGGGATACCTCAGGAATCTCTTCGAGGGTTGGCAGGGCAAAAGGGACGCTTCTCGATATGAGGCAGGGCACCCAAGGACCCTTTTCAGTAGCCACAGGGATTTTGGGATTCCTATCAATATTCAAGAGGAGTCAGGCATCGTCACCTTTTGAAGCAATGAACTCCGCGTGACTCTCGAGGTGTCAGCGGGATGTGAGGCATTCCGTCAAAAGGAGGCAGGGACCTAGGGCTTTCTCTAAGGTCTCTACAGGGGATTCAGACATCCCTTCATGTTGTGAGATGAAAGACGAGCCTGTATTCAAGCCACTGCAAGGAAATCCGGCCTCCTTTCAAGTTAGGGCTTCTCGCTGTATATTCCCCTTGTGGCAGCAAACTCGGGCTCCCTCCCACATACCTATTGCTGAGAGAAGCCTCCTCCTGAGGTGCTTCTGGAAAGTTGGCATACGTCTTGAGCCTAAGCCAGGGAATCAGCTCTCATCTCGAGACGATTTGGGGTACACGGAGCATTCCTCGAGTTGCTGTGCTGAAGTTGGTGTTCCTCTAGACTTGGGACAGTGTTCTCGGGGCATCTCTGGAGTTGCCTGAAGGAAGTCCAGCCACCGGTCGTGTTGAATGGGGAACGGGGAATGGCTCTGGAGTCAATGCAGGGGAATCGGGCCTCATCTCGAGTTGATTTGGGGCACATGGAGCTGCTTTGCGTTGCTGGGGTGACCTCAGGGTCCGTGTAGACTGGTGACAGTGTTCTTGAGGACTGTCTCGAGATCCATTAAGCAAGTCGAAGCTCCTGACTTGTTTGAATGGGATCACGGAATAGCTCTGCATGCCTTGCAGGGGAATGGGGCCTCATCTCGCCTCTAGGGGGAAGTCTCATGGTTTTTCTCGAGTTGCGGCGGGGAACTGGGGTATGTTCTCGACTTACGGCAGGGATGGCCCTTCCAAACACGAGTTTCTTCAGTGACGTCAGGACTCCTGTCTAGTAACGAGGGACACCTCAGGAATCTCTCCGAGGCTTCGCAGGGCAAAAGGGACGCTTCTCGAGGTGAGGCAGGGCACCCAAGGACCTTTTCCAGTAGCCACAGGGATTTTGGGATTCCTATCAGTATTCAAGAGGAGTCAGGCATCGTCACCTTTTGAACCATGAAGTCCGCGTGCCTCTCGAGGTGTCAGCGGGATGTGAGGCATTCTGTCAAAATGAGGCAGGGACCTAGGGCTTTCTCTAAGGTCTCCACAGGGGATTCAGACATCCCTTCATGTTCTGAGATGAAAGACGAGCCTGTATTCAAGCCACTGCAAGGAAATCCGGCCTCCTTTCAAGTTAGGGCTTCTCGCTGTATATTCCCCTTGAGGCAGCAAACTCGGGGTCCCTCCCACATACCTATTGCTGAGAGAAGCCTCCTCCTGAGGTGCTTCTGGAAAGTTGGCATACGTCTTTGGCCTAAGCCAGGGAATCAGTTCTCATCTTGAGACGATTTGGGGTACACGGAGCATTCCTCGAGTTGCTGTGCTGAAGTTGGTGTTCCTCTAGACTTGGGACAGTGTTCTCGGGGCATCTCTGGAGTTGCCTGAAGGAAGTCGAGCCACGGGTCGTGTTGAATGGGGAACGGGGAATGGCTGTGGAGTCAATGCAGGGAAATCGGGTCTCATCTCGAGTTGATTTGGGGCGCATGGAGCTGCTTTGCGTTGCTGGGGTGACCTCAGGGTCCGTCTAGACAGGTGACAGTGTTCTTGGGTACTGTCTCGAGATCCATTAAGCAAGTCGAAGCTCCTGAGTTGTTTGAATGGAATCACGGAATAGCTCTGCATGCACTGCAGGGGAATGGGGCCTCGTCTCGCCTCAGGGGGAAGTCTCATGGTTTTTCTCGAGTTGCGGCGGGGACCTGGGGTATGTTCTCGACTTACGACGAGGATGGCCCTTCAAAACACGAGTTTCTTCAGTGACGTCAGGACTCCTGTCTAGTAACGAGGGACACCTCAGGAATCTCTTCGAGGCTTGGCAGGGCAAAAGGGACGCTTCTCGAGGTGAGGCAGGGCACCCAAGGACCCTTTCCAGTAGCCACAGGGATTTTGGGATTCCTATCAGTATTCAAGAAGTGTCAGGTATCATCACCTTTTGAAGCAATGAACTCCGCGTGCCTCTCGAGGTGTCAGCGGGATGTGAGGCATTCCGTCAAAATGAGGCAGGGAGCTAAGGCTTTCTCTAAGGTCTCCACAGTGGATTCAGACATCCCTTCATGTTGTGAGATGAAAGAGGAGCCTGTATTCAAGTCACTGCAAGGAAATGCGGCCTCCTTTCAAATTAGGGCTTCTCGCTGTATATTCCCCTTGAGGCAGCAAACTCGGGCTCCCTCCCACATACCTATTGCTGAGAGAAGCCTCCTCCTGAGGTGCTTCTGGAAAGTTGGCATACGTCTTGAGCCTAAGCCAGGGAATCAGCTCTCATCTCGAGACGATTTGGGGTACACGGAGCATTCCTCGAGTTGCTGTGCTGAAGTTGGTGTTCCTCTAGACTTGGGACAGTGTTCTCGGGGCATCTCTGGAGTTGCCTGAAGGAAGTCGAGCCACCGGTCGTGTTGAATGGGGAACGGGGAATGGCTCTGGAGTCAATGCAGGGGAATCGGGCCTCATCTCGAGTTGATTTGGGGCACATGGAGCTGCTTTGCGTTGCTGGGGTGACCTCAGGGTCTGTCTCGACTGGTGACAGTGTTCTTGGGGACTGTCTCGAGATCCATTAAGCAAGTCGAAGCTCCTGACTTGTTTGAATGGGATCACGGAATAGCTCTGCATGCACTGCAGGGGAATGGGGCCTCATTCCGCCTCTAGGGGGAAGTCTCATGGTTTTTCCCGAGTTGCGGCGGGACCTGGGGTATGTTCTCGACTTACTGCGGGGATGGCACTTCAAAACACGAGTTTCTTCAGTGACGTCAGGACTCCTGTCTAGTAATGAGGGACACGTCAGGAATCTCTCCGAGACTTCGCAGGGCAAAAGGGACGCTTCTCGAGGTGAGGCAGGGCACCTAAGGACACTTTCCAGAAGCCACAGGGATTTTGGGATTCCTATCAGTATTCAAGAGGAGTCAGGCATCATCACCTTTTGAACCATGAACTCCGCGTGCCTCTCGAGGTGTCAGCGGGATGTGAGGCATTCTTTCAAAATGAGGCAGGGACCTAGGGCTTTCTCTAAGGTTTCCAGAGGGGATTCAGACATCCCTTCATGTTCTGAGATGAAAGACGAGCCTGTATTCAAGCCACTGCAAGGAAATCCGGCCTCCTTTCAAGTTAGGGCTTCTCGATGTATATTCCCCTTGAGGCAGCAAACTCGGGGTCCCTCCCACATACCTATTGCTGAGAGAAGCCTCCTCCTGAGGTGCTTCTGGAAAGTTGGCATACGTCTTGAGCCTAAGCCAGGGAATCAGCTCTCATCTTGGGACGATTTGGCGTACTCGGAGCATTCCTCGATTTGCTGTGCTGAAGTTGGTGTTCCTCTAGACTTGGGACAGTGTTCTCGGGGCATCTCTGGAGTTGCCTGAAGTAAGTGGAGCCACGGATCGTGTTGAATGGGGACCGGGAATGGCTCTGGAGTCAATGCAGGGGAATCAGGCCTCATCTCGAGTTGATTTGGGGCACCTGGAGCTGCTTTGCTTTGCTGGGGTGACCTCAGGGTCCGTCTAGACTGGTGACAGTGATCTTGGGGACTGTCTCGAGATCCATTAAGCAAGTCGAAGCTCCTGACTTGTTTGAATGGGATCACGGAATAGCTCTGCATGCACTGCAGGGGAATGGGGCCTCATCTCGCCTCTAGGGGGAAGTCTCATGGTTTTTCTCGAGTTGCGGCGGGGACCTGGGGTATGTTCTCGACTTATGGCAGGGATGGCCCTTCAAAACACGAGTTTCTTCATTGACGTCAGGACTCCTGTCTAGTAACGAGGGACACCTCAGGAATCTCTCCGAGGCTTCGCAGGGTAAAAGGGACACTTCTCGAGGTGAGGCAGGGCACCCAAGGACCCTTTCCAGTAGCCACAGGGATTTTGGGATTCCTATCAGTGTTCAAGAGGAGTCAGGCATCGTCACCTTTTGAACCATGAACTCCGCGTGCCTCTCGAGGTGTCAGAGGGATGTGAGGCATTCTGTCAAAATGAGGCAGGGAACTAGGGCTTTCTCTAAGGTCTCCACAGGGGATTCAGACATCCCTTCATGTTGTCAGATGAAAGACGAGCCTGTATTCAAGCCACTGCAAGGAAATCCGGCCTCCTTTCAAGTTAGGGCTTCTCGCTGTATATTCCCCTTTTGGCAGTAAACTCGGGCTCCCTCCCACATACCTATTGCTGAGAGAAGCCTCCTCCTGAGGTGCTTCTGGAAAGTTGGCATACGTCTTGAGCCTAAGCCAGGGAATCAGCTCTCATCTCGAGACGATTTGGGGTACACGGAACATTCCTCGAGTTGCTGTGTTGAAGTTGGTGTTCCTCTAGACTTGGGACAGTGTTCTCGGGGCATCTCTGGAGTTGCCTGAAGGAAGTCGAACCACCGGTCGTGTTGAATGGGGAACGGGGAATGGCTCTGGAGTCAATGCAGGGAAATCGGGGTTCATCTCGAGTTGATTTGGGGCACATGGAGCTGCTTTGCGTTGCTGGGGTGACCTCAGGGTCCGTCTAGACTGGTGACAGTGTTCTTGGGTACTGTCTCGAGATCCATTAAGCAAGTCGAAGCTCCTGACTTGTTTGAATGGGATCACGGAATAGCTCTGCATGCACTGCAGGGGAATGGGGCCTCGTCTCGCCTCTAGGGGGAAGTCTCATGGTTTTTCTCGAGTTGCGGTGGGGACCTGGGGTATGTTCTAGACTTAGGGCGGGGATGGCCCTTCAAACCACGAGTTTCTTCAGTGACGTCAGGACTCCTGTCTAGTAACGAGGGATATCTCAGGAATCCTTTCGAGGGTTGGCAGGGCAAAAGGGACGCTTTTCGATATGAGGCAGGGCACCCAAGGACCCTTTCCAGTAGCCACAGGGATTTTGGGATTCCTATCAGTATTCAAGAGGAGTCAGGCATCGTCACCTTTTGAAGCAATGAACTCCGCGTGCCTCTCGAGGTGTCAGCGGGATGTGAGGCATTCCGTCAAAAGGAGGCAGGGACCTAGGGCTTTCTCTAAGGTCTCTACAGGGGATTCAGACATCCCTTCATGTTGTGAGATGAAAGACGAGCCTGTATTCAAGCCACTGCAAGGAAATCCGGCCTCCTTTCAAGTTAGGGCTTCTCGGTGTATATTCCCCTTGAGGCAGCAAATTCGGGCTCCCTCCCACATACCTATTGCTGAGAGAAGCCTCCTCCTGAGGTGCTTCTGGAAAGTTGGCATACGTCTTGAGCCTAAGCCAGGGAATCAGCTCTCATCTCGAGACGATTTGGGGTACACGGAGCATTCCTCGAGTTGCTGTGCTGAAGTTGGTGTTCCTCTAGACTTGGGACAGTGTTCTCGGGGCATCTCTGGAGTTGCCTGAAGGAAGTCGAGCCACCGGTCGTGTTGAATGGGGAACGGGGAATGGCTCTGGAGTCAATGCAGGGGAATCGGGCCTCATCTCGAGTTGATTTGGGGCACATGGAGCTGCTTTGCGTTGCTGGGGTGACCTCAGGGTCCGTGTAGACTGGTGACAGTGTTCTTGGGGACTGTCTCGAGATCCATTAAGCAAGTCGAAGCTCCTGACTTGTTTGAATGGGATCACGGAATAGCTCTGCATGCCTTGCAGGGGAATGGGGCCTCATCTCGCCTCTAGGGGGAAGTCTCATGGTTTTTCTCGAGTTGCGGCGGGGAACTGGGGTATGTTCTCGACTTACGGCAGGGATGGCCCTTCCAAACACGAGTTTCTTCAGTGACGTCAGGACTCCTGTCTAGTAACGAGGGACACCTCAGGAATCTCTCCGAGGCTTCGCAGGGCAAAAGGGACGCTTCTCGAGGTGAGGCAGGGCACCCAAGGACCTTTTCCAGTAGCCACAGGGATTTTGGGATTCCTATCAGTATTCAAGAGGAGTCAGGCATCGTCACCTTTTGAACCATGAAGTCCGCGTGCCTCTCGAGGTGTCAGCGGGATGTGAGGCATTCTGTCAAAATGAGGCAGGGACCTAGGGCTTTCTCTAAGGTCTCCACAGGGGATTCAGACATCCCTTCATGTTGTGAGATGAAAGACGAGCCTGTATTCAAGCCACTGCAAGGAAATCCGGCCTCCTTTCAAGTTAGGGCTTCTCGCTGTATATTCCCCTTGAGGCAGCAAACTCGGGGTCCCTCCCACATACCTATTGCTGAGAGAAGCCTCCTCCTGAGGTGCTTCTGGAAAGTTGGCATACGTCTTGGGCCTAAGCCAGGGAATCAGTTCTCATCTTGAGACGATTTGGGGTACACGGAGCATTCCTCGAGTTGCTGTGCTGAAGTTGGTGTTCCTCTAGACTTGGGACAGTGTTCTCGGGGCATCTCTGGAGTTGCCTGAAGGAAGTCGAGCCACCGGTCGTGTTGAATGGGGAACGGGGAATGGCTGTGGAGTCAATGCAGGGAAATCGGGCCTCATCTCGAGTTGATTTGGGGCACATGGAGCTGCTTTGCGTTGCTGGGGTGACCTCAGGGTCTGTCTCGACTGGTGACAGTGTTCTTGGGGACTCTCTCGAGATCCATTAAGCAAGTCGAAGCTCCTGACTTATTTGAATGGGATCACGGAATAGCTCTGCATGCACTGCAGGGGAATGGGGCCTCATCTCGCCTCTAGGGGGAAGTCTCATGGTTTTTCCCGAGTTGGGGCGGGGACCTGGGGTATGTTCTCGACTTACGGCGGGGATGGCACTTCAAAACACGAGTTTCTTCAGTGACGTCAGGACTCCTGTCTAGTAATGAGGGACACGTGAGGAATCTCTCCGAGACTTCGCAGGGCAAAAGGGACGCTTCTCGAGGTGAGGCAGGGCACCCAAGGACCCTTTCCAGTAGCCACAGGGATTTTGGGATTCCTATCAGTATTCAAGAGGAGTCAGGCATCGTCACCTTTTGAACCATGAACTCCGCGTGCCTCTCGAGGTGTCAGCGGGATGTGAGGCATTCTGTCAAAATGAGGCAGGGATCTAGGGCTTTCTCTAAGGTCTCCACAGGGGATTCAGACATCCCTTCATGTTGTGAGATGAAAGACGAGCCTGTATTCAAGCCACTGCAAGGAAATCCTGCCTCCTTTCAAGGTAGGGCTTCTCGCTGTATATTCCCCTTGTGGCAGCAAACTCTGGCTCCCTCCCACATACCTATTGCTGAGAGAAGCCTCCTCCTGAGGTGCTTCTGGAAAGTTGTCATACGTCTTGAGCCTAAGCCAGGGAATCAGCTCTCATCTCGAGACGATTTGGGGTACACGGAGCATTCCTCGAGTTGCTGTATTGAAGTTGGTGTTCCTCTAGACTTGCGACAGTGTTCTCGGGGCATCTCTGGAGTTGCCTGAAGGAAGTCGAGCCACCGGTCGTGTTGAATGGGGAACGGGGAATGGCTCTGGAGTCAATGCAGGAGAATCGGGCGTCATCTCGAGTTGATTTGGGGCACATGGAGCTGCTTTGCGTTGCTGGGGTGACCTCAGGGTCCGTCTAGACTGGTGACAGTGTTCTTGGGGACTGTCTCAAGATCCATTAAGCAAGTCGAAGCTCCTGACTTGTTTGAATGGGATCACGGAATAGCTCTGCATGCACTGCATGGGAATGGGGCCTCATCTCGCCTCTAGGGGGAAGTCTCATGGTTTTTCTCGAGTTGCGGCGGGGACCTGGGGTATGTTCTCGACTTACGGCGGGGATGGCACTTCAAAACACGAGTTTCTTCAGTGACGTCAGGACTCCTGTCTAGTAATGAGGGACACCTCAGGAACCTCTCCGAGGCTTCGCAGGGCAAAAGGGATGCTTCTCGAGGTGAGGCAGGGCACCCAAGGACCCTTTCCAGTAGCCACAGGGATTTGGGGATTCCTATCAGTATTCAAGAGGAGTCAGGCATCGTCACCTTTTGAACCATGAACTCCGCGTGCCTCTCGAGGTGTCAGCGGGATATGAGGCATTCTGTCAAAATGAGGCAGGGACCTAGCGCTTTCTCTAAGGTCTCCACAGGGGATTCAGACATCCCTTCATGTTGTCAGAAGAAAGACGAGCCTGTATTCAAGCCACTGCAAGGAAATCCGGCCTCCTTTCAAGTTAGGGCTTCTCGCTGTATATTCCCCTTGTGGCAGCAAACTCGGGCTCCCTCCCACATACCTATTGCTGAGAGAAGCCTCCTCCTGAGGTGCTTCTGGAAAGTTGGCATACGTCTTGAGCCTAAGCCAGGGAATCAGCTCTCATCTCGAGACGATTTGGGGTACACGGAGCATTCCTCGAGTTGCTGTGTTGAAGTTGGTGTTCCTCTAGACTTGGGACAGTGTTCTCGGGGCATCTCTGGAGTTGCCTGAAGGAAGTCGAACCACCGGTCGTGTTGAATGGGGAACGGGGAATGGCTCTGGAGTCAATGCAGGGAAATCGGGCCTCATCTCGAGTTGATTTGGGGCACATGGAGCTGCTTTGCGTTGCTGGGGTGACCTCAGGGTCCGTGTAGACTGGTGACAGTGTTCTTGGGGACTGTCTAGAGATCCATTAAGCAAGTCGAAGCTCCTGACTTGTTTGAATGGGATCACGGAATAGCTCTGCATGCACTGCAGGGGAATGGGGCCTCATCTCGCCTCTAGGGGGAAGTCTCATGGTTTTTCTCGAGTTGCGGCGGGGAACTGGGGTATGTTCTCGACTTACGGCAGGGATGGCCCTTCCAAACACGAGTTTCTTCAGTGACGTCAGGACTCCTGTCTAGTAACGAGGGACACCTCAGGAATCTCTCCGAGGCTTCGCAGGGCAAAAGGGACGCTTCTCGAGGTGAGGCAGGGCACCCAAGGACCCTTTCCAGTAGCCACAGGGATTTTGGGATTCCTATCAGTATTCAAGAGGAGTCAGGAATCGTCACATTTTGAACAATGAACTCCGCGTGCCTCTCGAGGTGTCAGCGGGATGTGAGGCATTCTGTCAAAATGAGGCAGGGACCTAGGGCTTTCTCCAAGTTCTCCACAGGGGATTCAGACATCCCTTCATGTTGTGAGATGAAAGACGAGCCTGTATTCAAGCCACTGCAAGGAAATCCGGCCTCCTTTCAAGTTAGGGCTTCTCGCTGTATATTCCCCTTGAGGCAGCAAACTCGGGGTCCCTCCCACATACCTATTGCTGAGAGAAGCCTCCTCCTGAGGTGCTTCTGGAAAGTTGGCATACGTCTTGAGCCTAAGCCAGGGAATCAGCTCTCATCTCGAGACGATTTGGGGTACTCGGAGCATTCCTCGATTTGCTGTGCTGAAGTTGGTGTTCCTCTAGACTTGGGACAGTGTTCTCGGGGCATCTCTGGAGTTGCTTGAAGGAAGTGGAGCCACGGGTCGTGTTGAATGGGGAACGGGGAATGGCTCTGGAGTCAATGCAGGGGAATCGAGCGTCATCTCGAGTTGATTTGGGGCACATGGAGCTGCTTTGCGTTGCTGGGGTGACCTCAGGTTCCGTCTAGACTGGTGACAGTGTTCTTGGTGACTGTCTCGAGATCCATTAAGCAAGTCGAAGCTCCTGACTTGTTTGAATGGGATCACGGAATAGCTCTGCATGCACTGCAGGGGAATGGGGCCTCATCTTGCCTCTAGGGGGAAGTCTCATGGTTTTTCTCGAGTTGCGCCGGGGACCTGGGGTATGTTCCCGACTTACTGCGGGGATGGCCCTTCAAAACACGAGTTTCTTCAGTGACGTCAGGACTCCTGTCTAGTAACGAGGGACACCTCAGGAATCTCTTTGAGGCTTCGCAGGGCAAAAGGGACGCTTCTCGAGGTGAGGCAGGGCACCCAAGGACCCTTTCCAGTAGCCACAGGGATTTTGGGATTCCTATCAGTGTTCAAGAGGAGTCAGGCATCGTCACCTTTTGAACCATGAACTCCGCGTGCCTCTCGAGGTGTCAGCGGGATGTGAGGCATTCTGTCAAAATGAGGCAGGGACCTAGGGCTTTCTCTAAGTTCTCCACAGGGGATTCAGACATCCCTTCATTTTGTGAGATGAAAGACGAGCCTGTATTCAAGCCACTGCAAGGAAATCCGGCCTCATTTCAAGTTAGGGCTTCTCGCTGTATATTCCCCTTGAGGCAGCAAACTCGGGGTCCCTCCCACATACCTATTGCTGAGAGAAGCCTCCTCCTGAGGTGCTTCTGGAAAGTTGGCATACGTCTTGAGCCTAAGCCAGGGAATCAGCTCTCATCTCGAGACGATTTGGGGTACTCGGAGCATTCCTCGATTTGCTGTGCTGAAGTTGGTGTTCCTCTAGACTTGGGACCGTGTTCTCGGGGCATCTCTGGAGTTGCCTGAAGGAAGTGGAGCCACGGGTCGTGTTGAATGGGGAACGGGGAATTTCTTTGGAGTCAATGCAGGGGAATCAGGCCTCATCTCGAGTTGATTTGGGGCACATGGAGCTGCTTTGCGTTGCTGGGGTGACCTCAGGGTCCGTCTAGACTGGTGACAGTGTTCTTGGGGACTGTCTCGAGATCCATTAAGCAAGTCGAAGCTCCTGACTTGTTTGAATGGGATCACGGAATAGCTCTGCATGCACTGCATGGGAATGGGGCCTCATCTCGCCTCTAGGGGGAAGTCTCATGGTTTTTCTCGAGTTGCGGCGGGGACCTGGGGTATGTTCTCGACTTACGGCGGGGATGGCACTTCAAAACACGAGTTTCTTCAGTGACGTCAGGACTCCTGTCTAGTAATGAGGGACACCTCAGGAACCTCTCCGAGGCTTCGCAGGGCAAAAGGGATGCTTCTCGAGGTGAGGCAGGGCACCCAAGGACCCTTTCCAGTAGCCACAGGGATTTGGGGATTCCTATCAGTATTCAAGAGGAGTCAGGCATCGTCACCTTTTGAACCATGAACTCCGCGTGCCTCTCGAGGTGTCAGCGGTATATGAGGCATTCTGTCAAAATGAGGCAGGGACCTAGCGCTTTCTCTAAGGTCTCCACAGGGGATTCAGACATCCCTTCATGTTGTCAGATGAAAGACGAGCCTGTATTCAAGCCACTGCAAGGAAATCCGGCCTCCTTTCAAGTTAGGGCTTCTCGCTGTATATTCCCCTTGTGGCAGCAAACTCGGGCTCCCTCCCACATACCTATTGCTGAGAGAAGCCTCCTCCTGAGGTGCTTCTGGAAAGTTGGCATACGTCTTGAGCCTAAGCCAGGGAATCAGCTCTCATCTCGAGACGATTTGGGGTACACGGAGCATTCCTCGAGTTGCTGTGTTGAAGTTGGTGTTCCTCTAGACTTGGGACAGTGTTCTCGGGGCATCTCTGGAGTTGCCTGAAGGAAGTCGAACCACCGGTCGTGTTGAATGGGGAACGGGGAATGGCTCTGGAGTCAATGCAGGGAAATCGGGCCTCATCTCGAGTTGATTTGGGGCACATGGAGCTGCTTTGCGTTGCTGGGGTGACCTCAGGGTCCGTGTAGACTGGTGACAGTGTTCTTGGGGACTGTCTAGAGATCCATTAAGCAAGTCGAAGCTCCTGACTTGTTTGAATGGGATCACGGAATAGCTCTGCATGCACTGCAGGGGAATGGGGCCTCATCTCGCCTCTAGGGGGAAGTCTCATGGTTTTTCTCGAGTTGCGGCGGGGAACTGGGGTATGTTCTCGACTTACGGCAGGGATGGCCCTTCCAAACACGAGTTTCTTCAGTGACGTCAGGACTCCTGTCTAGTAACGAGGGACACCTCAGGAATCTCTCCGAGGCTTCGCAGGGCAAAAGGGACGCTTCTCGAGGTGAGGCAGGGCACCCAAGGACCCTTTCCAGTAGCCACAGGGATTTTGGGATTCCTATCAGTATTCAAGAGGAGTCAGGAATCGTCACATTTTGAACAATGAACTCCGCGTGCCTCTCGAGGTGTCAGCGGGATGTGAGGCATTCTGTCAAAATGAGGCAGGGACCTAGGGCTTTCTCCAAGTTCTCCACAGGGGATTCAGACATCCCTTCATGTTGTGAGATGAAAGACGAGCCTGTATTCAAGCCACTGCAAGGAAATCCGGCCTCCTTTCAAGTTAGGGCTTCTCGCTGTATATTCCCCTTGAGGCAGCAAACTCGGGGTCCCTCCCACATACCTATTGCTGAGAGAAGCCTCCTCCTGAGGTGCTTCTGGAAAGTTGGCATACGTCTTGAGCCTAAGCCAGGGAATCAGCTCTCATCTCGAGACGATTTGGGGTACTCGGAGCATTCCTCGATTTGCTGTGCTGAAGTTGGTGTTCCTCTAGACTTGGGACAGTGTTCTCGGGGCATCTCTGGAGTTGCTTGAAGGAAGTGGAGCCACGGGTCGTGTTGAATGGGGAACGGGGAATGGCTCTGGAGTCAATGCAGGGGAATCGAGCGTCATCTCGAGTTGATTTGGGGCACATGGAGCTGCTTTGCGTTGCTGGGGTGACCTCAGGTTCCGTCTAGACTGGTGACAGTGTTCTTGGTGACTGTCTCGAGATCCATTAAGCAAGTCGAAGCTCCTGACTTGTTTGAATGGGATCACGGAATAGCTCTGCATGCACTGCAGGGGAATGGGGCCTCATCTTGCCTCTAGGGGGAAGTCTCATGGTTTTTCTCGAGTTGCGCCGGGGACCTTGGGTATGTTCTCGACTTACTGCGGGGATGGCCCTTCAAAACACGAGTTTCTACAGTGACGTCAGGACTCCTGTCTAGTAATGAGGGATACCTCAGGAATCTCTTCGAGGGTTGGCAGGGCAAAAGGGACGCTTCTCGAGGTGAGGCAGGGCACCCAAGGACCCTTTCCATTAGCCACAGGGATTTTGGGATTCCTATCAGTATTCAAGAGGAGTCAGGCATCGTCACCTTTTGAAGCAATGAACTCCGCGTGCCTCTCGAGGTGTCAGCGGGATGTGAGGCATTCCGTCAAAATGAGGCAGGGACCTAGGGCTTTCTCTAAGGTCTCTACAGGGGATTCAGACATCCCTTCATGTTGTGAGATGAAAGACGAGCCTGTATTCAAGCCACTGCAAGGAAATCCGGCCTCCTTTCAAGTTAGGGCTTCTCGCTGTATATTCCCCTTGAGGCAGCAAACTCGGGGTCCCTCCCACATACCTATTGCTGAGAAAAGCCTCCTCCTCAGGTGCTTCTGGAAAGTTGGCATACGTCTTGAGCCTAAGCCAGGGAATCAGCTCTCATCTCGAGACGATTTGGGGTACACGGAGCATTCCTCGAGTTGCTGTGATGAAGTTGGTGTTCCTCTAGACTTGGGACAGTGTTCTCGGGGCATCTCTGGAGTTGCTTGAAGGAAGTCGAGCCACCGGTCGTGTTGAATGGGGAACGGGGAATGGCTCTGGAGTCAATGCAGGGGAATCTGGCCTCATCTCGAGTTGATGTGGGGCACATGGAGCTGCTTTGCGTTGCTGGGCTGACCTCAGGGTCTCTCTCGACTGGTGACAGTGTTCTTGGGGACTGTCTCGAGACCCATTAAGCAAGTCGAAACTCCTGACTTGTTTGAATGGGATCACGGAATAGCTCTGCATGCACTGCAGGGGAATGGGGCCTCATCTCGCCTCTAGGGGGAAGTCTCATGGTTTTTCTCGAGTTGCGGCAGGGACCTGGGGTATGTTCTCGACTTACGGCGGGGATGGCCCTTCAAAACACGAGTTTCTTCAGTGGCGTCAGGACTCCTGTCTAGTAACGAGGGACACCTCAGGAATCTCTCCGAGGCTTCGCAGGGCAAAAGGGACGCTTCTCGAGGTGAGGCAGGGCACCCAAGGACCCTTTCCCGTAGCCACAGGGATTTTGGGATTCCTATCAGTATTCAAGAGGAGTCAGGAATCGTCACCTTTTGAACCATGAACTGAGCGTGCCTCTCGAGGTGTCAGCGGGATGTGAGGCATTCTGTCAAAATGAGGCAGGGACCTAGGGCTTTCTCTAAGTTCTCCACAGGGGATTCAGACAACCCTTCATGTTGTGAGATGAAAGACGAGCCTGTATTCAAGACACTGCAAGGAAATCCGGCCTCCTTTCAAGTTAGGGCTTCTCGCTGTATATTCCCCTTGAGGCAGCAAACTCGGTGTCCCTCCCACGTACCTATTGCTGAGAGAAGCCTCCTCCTGAGGTGCTTCTGGAAAGTTGGCATACGTCTTGAGCCTAAGCCAGGGAATCAGCTCTCATCTCGAGACGATTTGGGGTACACAGAGCATTCCTCGAGTTGCTGTGCTGAAGTTGGTGTTCCTCTAGACTTGGGACAGTGTTCTCGGGGCATCTCTGGAGTTGCCTGAAGGAAGTCGAGCCACCGGTCGTGTTGAATGGGGAACGGGGAATTACTCTGGTGTCAATGCAGGGGAATCGGGCCTCATCTCGAGTTGATTTGGGGTACATGGAGCTGCTTTGCGTTGCTGGGGTGACCTCAGGGTCCGTCTAGACTGGTGACAGTGTTCTTGGGGACTGTCTCGAGATCCATTAAGCAAGTCGAAGCTCCTGACTTGTTTGAATGGGATCACGGAATAGCTCTGCATGCACTGCAGGGGAATGGGGCCTCATCTCGCCTCTAGGGGGAAGTCTCATGGTTTTTCTCGAGTTGCAGCGGGGACCTGGGGTATGTTCTCGATTTACGGCCGGGATGGCACTTCAAAACACGAGTTTCTACAGTGACGTCAGGACTCCTGTCTAGTAACGAGGGATACCTCAGGAATCTCTTCGAGGGTTGGCAGGGCAAAAGGGACGCTTCTCGAGGTGAGGCAGGGCACCCAAGGACCCTTTCCAGTAGCCACAGGGATTTTGGGATTCCTATCAGTATTCAAGAGGAGTCAGGCATCGTCACCTTTTGAAGCAATGAACTCCGCGTGTCTCTCGAGGTGTCAGCGGGATGTGAGGCATTCTGTCAAAATGAGGCAGGGAACTAGGGCTTTCTCTAAGGTCTCCACAGGGGATTCAGACATCCCTTCATGTTGTCAGATGAAAGACGAGCCTGTATTCAAGCCACTGCAAGGAAATCCGGCCTCCTTTCAAGTTAGGGCTTCTCGCTGTATATTCCCCTTTTGGCAGTAAACTCGGGCTCCCTCCCACATACCTATTGCTGAGAGAAGCCTCCTCCTGAGGTGCTTCTGGAAAGTTGGTATACGTCTTGAGCCTAAGCCAGGGAATCAGCTCTCATCTCGAGACGATTTGGGGTACACGGAGCATTCCTCGAGTTGCTATGTTGAAGTTGGTGTTCCTCTAGACTTGGGACAGTGTTCTCGGGGCATCTCTGGAGTTGCCTGAAGGAAGTCGAACCACCGGTCGTGTTGAATGGGGAACGGGGAATGGCTCTGGAGTCAATGCAGGGAAATCGGGGTTCATCTCGAGTTGATTTGGGGCACATGGAGCTGCTTTGCGTTGCTGGGGTGACCTCAGGGTCCGTCTAGACTGGTGACAGTGTTCTTGGGTACTGTCTCGAGATCCATTAAGCAAGTCGAAGCTCCTGACTTGTTTGAATGGGATCACGGAATAGCTCTGCATGCACTGCAGGGGAATGGGGCCTCGTCTCGCCTCTAGGGGGAAGTCTCATGGTTTTTCTCGAGTTGCGGTGGGGACCTGGGGTATGTTCTAGACTTACGGCGGGGATGGCCCTTCAAACCACGAGTTTCTTCAGTGACGTCAGGACTCCTGTCTAGTAACGAGGGATACCTCAGGAATCTCTTCGAGGGTTGGCAGGGCAAAAGGTACGCTTCTCGATATGAGGCAGGGCACCCAAGGACCCTTTTCAGTAGCCACAGGGATTTTGGTATTCCTATCAATATTCAAGAGGAGTCAGGCATCGTCACCTTTTGAAGCAATGAACTCCGCGTGACTCTCGAGGTGTCAGCGGGATGTGAGGCATTCCGTCAAAAGGAGGCAGGGACCTAGGGCTTTCTCTAAGGTCTCTACAGGGGATTCAGACATCCCTTCATGTTGTGAGATGAAAGACGAGCCTGTATTCAAGCCACTGCAAGGAACTCCGGCCTCCTTTCAAGTTAGGGCTTCTCGCTGTATATTCCCCTTGTGGCAGCAAACTCGGGCTCCCTCCCACATACCTATTGCTGAGAGAAGCCTCCTCCTGAGGTGCTTCTGGAAAGGTGGCATACGTCTTGAGCCTAAGCCAGGGAATCAGCTCTCATCTTGAGACGATTTGGGGTACACGGAACATTCCTCGAGTTGCTGTGTTGAAGTTGGTGTTGCTCTAGACTTGGGACAGTGTTCTCGGGGCATCTCTGGAGTTGCCTGAAGGAAGTCGAGCCACCGGTCGTGTTGAATGGGGAACGGGGAATGGCTCTGGAGTCAATGCAGGGGAATCGTGCCTCACCTCGAGTTGATTTGGAGCACATGGAGCTGCTTTGCGTTGCTGGGGTGACCTCAGGGTCCGTCTAGACTGGTGACAGTGTTCTTGGGGACTGTCTCGAGATCCATTAAGCAAGTCGAAGCTCCTGACTTGTTTGAATGGGATCACGGAATAGCTCTGCATGCACTGCAGGGGAATGGGGCCTCATCTCGCCTCTAGGGGGAAGTCTCATGGTTTTTTTCGAGTTGCGGCGGGGACCTGGGGTATGTTCTCGACTTACGGCGGGGATGGCCCTTCAAAACACGAGTTTCTTCAGTGACGTCTGGACTCCTGTCTAGTAACGAGGGACACCTCAGAAATCCCTTCGAGGCTTGGCAGGGCAAAAGGGACGCTTCTCGAGGTGAGGCAGGGCACCCAAGGACCCTATCCAGTAGCCACAGGGATTTTGGGATTCCTATCAGTATTCAAGAGGAGTCAGGCATCGTCACCTTTTGAAGCAATAAACTCCGCGTGACTCTCGAGGTGTCACCGGGATGTGAGGCATTCCGTCAAAATGAGGCAGGGACCTAGGGCTTTCTCTAAGGTCTCCACAGGGGATTCAGACATCCCTTCATGTTGTGAGATGAAAGACGAGCCTGTATTCAAGCCACTGCAAGGAAATCCGGCCTCCTTTCAAGTTAGGGCTTCTCGCTGTATATTCCCCTTGAGGCAGCAAACTCGGGGTCCCTCCCACATACTTATTGCTGAGAGAAGCCTCCTCCTGAGGTGCTTCTGGAAAGTTGGCATACGTCTTGAGCCTAAGCCAGGGAATCAGCTCTCATCTCGAGACGATTTGGGGTACTCCGAGCATTCCTCGAGTTGCTGTGCTGAAGTTGGTGTTCCTCTAGACTTGGGACAGTGTTCTCGGGGCATCTCTAGAGTTGCCTGAAGGAAGTGGAGCTACGGGTCGTGTTGAATGGGGAACGGCGAATGGCTCTGGAGTCAATGCAGGGGAATCAGGCCTCATCTCGACTTGATTTGGGGCACATGGAGCTGCTTTGCGTTGCTGGGGTGACCTCAGGGTCCGTCTAGACTGGTGACAGTGTTCTTGGGGACTGTCTCGAGATCCATTAAGCAAGTCGAAGCTCCTGACTTGTTTGAATGGGATCACGGAATAGCTCTGCATGCACTGCAGGGGAATGGGGCCTCATCTCGCCTCTATGGGGAAGTCTCATGGTTTTTCTCGAGTTGCGGCGGGGACCTGGGGTATGTTCTCGACTTACGGCGGGGATGACCCTTCAAAACACGAGTATCTTCAGTGACGTCAGGAATCCTGTCTAGTAACGAGGGACACCTCAGGAATCTCTCCGAGGCTTCGCAGGGCAAAAGGGACGCTTCTCGAGGTGAGGCAGGGCACCCAAGTACCCTTTCCAGTAGCCACAGGGATTTTGGGATTCCTATCAGTATTCAAGAGGAGTCAGGCATCGTCACCTTTTGAACCATGAACTCCGCGTGCCTCTCAGGTGTCAGCGGGATATGAGGCATTCTGTCACAATGAGGCAGGGACCTAGGGCTTTCTCTAAGGTCTCCAAAGGGGATTCAGACATCCCTTCAGGTTGTGAGATGAAAGACGAGCCTATATTCAAGCCACTGCAAAGAAATCCGGCCTCCTTTCAAGTTAGGGCTTCTCGCTGTATATTCCCCTTGAGGCAGCAAACTCGGGCTCCCTCCCACATACCTATTGCTGAGAGAAGCCTCCTCCTGAGGTGCTTCTGGAAAGTTGGCATATGTCTTGAGCCTAAGCCAGGGAATCAGCTCTCATCTCGAGACGATTTGGGGTACACGGAGCATTCCTCGAGTTGCTGTGCTGAAGTTGGTGTTCCTCTAGACTTGGGACAGTGTTCTTGGGGCATCTCTGGAGTTGCCTGAAGGAGGTCGAGCCACCGGTCGTGTTGAATGGGGAACGGGTTATGGCTCTGGAGTCAATGCAGGGGAATCGGGCCTCATCTCGAGTTGATTTGGGGCACATGGAGCTGCTTTGCGTTGCTGGGGTGACCTCAGGGTCTGTCTCGACTGGTGACAGTGTTCTTGGGGACTGTCTCGAGATCCATTAAGCAAGTCGAAGCTCCTGACTTGTTTGAATGGGATCACGGAATAGCTCCGCATGCACTGCAGGGGAATGGGGCCTCATCTCGCCTCTAGGGGGAAGTCTCATGGTTTTTCTCGAGTTGCGGCGGGGACCTGGGGTATGTTCTCGAATTACGGCGGGTATGGCCCTTCAAAACACGAGTTTCTTCAGTGACGTCAGGACTCCTGTCTAGTAACGAGGGACACCTCAGGAATCTCTCCGAGGCTTTGCAGGGCAAAAGGGACGCTTCTCGATGTGAGGCAGGTCACCCAAGGACCCTTTCCAGTAGCCACAGGGATTTTGGGATTCCTATCAGTATTCAAGAGGAGTCAGGCATCGTCACCTTTTGAACCATAAACTCCGCGTGCCTCTCGAGGTGTCAGCGGGATGTGAGGCATTCTGTCAAAATGAGGCAGGGACCTAGGGCTTTCTCTAAGGTTTCCACAGGGGATTCAGACATCCCTTCATATTGTGAGATGAAAGACGAGCCTGTATTCAAGCCACTGCAAGGAAATCCGGCCTCCTTTCAAGTTAGGGCTTCTCACTGTATATTCCCCTTGAGGCAGCAAACTCGGGGTCCCTCCCACATACCTATTCCTGAGAGAAGCCTCCTCCTGAGGTGCTTCTGGAAAGTTGGCATACGTCTTGAGCCTAAGCCAGGGAATCAGCTCTCATCTCGAGACGATTTGGGGTACACGGAGCATTCCTCGAGTTGCTGTGTTGAAGTTGCTCTTCCTCTAGACTTGGGACAGTGTTCTCGGTGCATCTCTGGAGTTGCCTGAAGGAAGTCGAGCCACCGGTCGTGTTGAATGGGGAACGGGGAATGGCTCTGGAGTCAATGCAGGGGAATCGTGCCTCACCTCGAGTTGATTTGGAGCACATGGAGCTGCTTTGCGTTGCTGGGGTGACCTCAGGGTCCGTCTAGACTGGTGACAGTGTTCTTGGGGACTGTCTCGAGATCCATTAAGCAAGTCGAAGCTCCTGACTTGTTTGAATGGGATCACGGAATAGCTCTGCATGCACTGCAGGGGAATGGGGCCTCATCTCGCCTCTAGGGGGAAGTCTCATGGTTTTTTTCGAGTTGCGGCGGGGACCTGGGGTATGTTCTCGACTTACGGCGGGGATGGCCCTTCAAAACACGAGTTTCTTCAGTGACGTCTGGACTCCTGTCTAGTAACGAGGGACACCTCAGAAATCCCTTCGAGGCTTGGCAGGGCAAAAGGGACGCTTCTCGAGGTGAGGCAGGGCACCCAAGGACCCTATCCAGTAGCCACAGGGATTTTGGGATTCCTATCAGTATTCAAGAGGAGTCAGGCATCGTCACCTTTTGAAGCAATAAACTCCGCGTGACTCTCGAGGTGTCACCGGGATGTGAGGCATTCCGTCAAAATGAGGCAGGGACCTAGGGCTTTCTCTAAGGTCTCCACAGGGGATTCAGACATCCCTTCATGTTGTGAGATGAAAGACGAGCCTGTATTCAAGCCACTGCAAGGAAATCCGGCCTCCTTTCAAGTTAGGGCTTCTCGCTGTATATTCCCCTTGAGGCAGCAAACTCGGGGTCCCTCCCACATACCTATTGCTGAGAGAAGCCTCCTCCTGAGGTGCTTCTGGAAAGTTGGCATACGTCTTGAGCCTAAGCCAGGGAATCAGCTCTCATCTCGAGACGATTTGGGGTACTCCGAGCATTCCTCGAGTTGCTGTGCTGAAGTTGGTGTTCCTCTAGACTTGGGACAGTGTTCTCGGGGCATCTCTAGAGTTGCCTGAAGGAAGTGGAGCTACGGGTCGTGTTGAATGGGGAACGGCGAATGGCTCTGGAGTCAATGCAGGGGAATCAGGCCTCATCTCGACTTGATTTGGGGCACATGGAGCTGCTTTGCGTTGCTGGGGTGACCTCAGGGTCCGTCTAGACTGGTGACAGTGTTCTTGGGGACTGTCTCGAGATCCATTAAGCAAGTCGAAGCTCCTGACTTGTTTGAATGGGATCACGGAATAGCTCTGCATGCACTGCAGGGGAATGGGGCCTCATCTCGCCTCTATGGGGAAGTCTCATGGTTTTTCTCGAGTTGCGGCGGGGACCTGGGGTATGTTCTCGACTTACGGCGGGGATGACCCTTCAAAACACGAGTATCTTCAGTGACGTCAGGAATCCTGTCTAGTAACGAGGGACACCTCAGGAATCTCTCCGAGGCTTCGCAGGGCAAAAGGGACGCTTCTCGAGGTGAGGCAGGGCACCCAAGTACCCTTTCCAGTAGCCACAGGGATTTTGGGATTCCTATCAGTATTCAAGAGGAGTCAGGCATCGTCACCTTTTGAACCATGAACTCCGCGTGCCTCTCAGGTGTCAGCGGGATATGAGGCATTCTGTCACAATGAGGCAGGGACCTAGGGCTTTCTCTAAGGTCTCCAAAGGGGATTCAGACATCCCTTCAGGTTGTGAGATGAAAGACGAGCCTATATTCAAGCCACTGCAAAGAAATCCGGCCTCCTTTCAAGTTAGGGCTTCTCGCTGTATATTCCCCTTGAGGCAGCAAACTCGGGCTCCCTCCCACATACCTATTGCTGAGAGAAGCCTCCTCCTGAGGTGCTTCTGGAAAGTTGGCATATGTCTTGAGCCTAAGCCAGGGAATCAGCTCTCATCTCGAGACGATTTGGGGTACACGGAGCATTCCTCGAGTTGCTGTGCTGAAGTTGGTGTTCCTCTAGACTTGGGACAGTGTTCTTGGGGCATCTCTGGAGTTGCCTGAAGGAGGTCGAGCCACCGGTCGTGTTGAATGGGGAACGGGTTATGGCTCTGGAGTCAATGCAGGGGAATCGGGCCTCATCTCGAGTTGATTTGGGGCACATGGAGCTGCTTTGCGTTGCTGGGGTGACCTCAGGGTCTGTCTCGACTGGTGACAGTGTTCTTGGGGACTGTCTCGAGATCCATTAAGCAAGTCGAAGCTCCTGACTTGTTTGAATGGGATCACGGAATAGCTCCGCATGCACTGCAGGGGAATGGGGCCTCATCTCGCCTCTAGGGGGAAGTCTCATGGTTTTTCTCGAGTTGCGGCGGGGACCTGGGGTATGTTCTCGAATTACGGCGGGTATGGCCCTTCAAAACACGAGTTTCTTCAGTGACGTCAGGACTCCTGTCTAGTAACGAGGGACACCTCAGGAATCTCTCCGAGGCTTTGCAGGGCAAAAGGGACGCTTCTCGATGTGAGGCAGGTCACCCAAGGACCCTTTCCAGTAGCCACAGGGATTTTGGGATTCCTATCAGTATTCAAGAGGAGTCAGGCATCGTCACCTTTTGAACCATAAACTCCGCGTGCCTCTCGAGGTGTCAGCGGGATGTGAGGCATTCTGTCAAAATGAGGCAGGGACCTAGGGCTTTCTCTAAGGTTTCCACAGGGGATTCAGACATCCCTTCATATTGTGAGATGAAAGACGAGCCTGTATTCAAGCCACTGCAAGGAAATCCGGCCTCCTTTCAAGTTAGGGCTTCTCACTGTATATTCCCCTTGAGGCAGCAAACTCGGGGTCCCTCCCACATACCTATTCCTGAGAGAAGCCTCCTCCTGAGGTGCTTCTGGAAAGTTGGCATACGTCTTGAGCCTAAGCCAGGGAATCAGCTCTCATCTCGAGACGATTTGGGGTACACGGAGCATTCCTCGAGTTGCTGTGTTGAAGTTGCTCTTCCTCTAGACTTGGGACAGTGTTCTCGGTGCATCTCTGGAGTTGCCTGAAGGAAGTCGAGCCACCGGTCGTGTTGAATGGGGAACGGGGAATGGCTCTGGAGTCAATGCAGGGGAATCGGGCGTCATCTCGAGTTGATTTGGGGCACATGGAGCTGCTTTGCGTTGCTGGGTGATCTCAGGGTCCGTCTAGACTGGTGACAGTGTTCTTGGGGACTGTCTCGAGATCCATTAAGCAAGTCGAAGCTCCTGACTTGTTTGAATGGGATCACGGAATAGCTCTTCATGCACTGCAGGGGAATGGGCCTCATCTCGCCTCTAGGGGGAAGTCTCATGGTTTTTCTCGAGTTGCGGCGGGGACCTGGGGTATGTTCTCGAATTACGGCGGGCATGGCCCTTCAAAACACGAGTTTCTTCAGTGACGTCAGGACTCCTGTCTAGTAACGAGGGACACCTCAGGAATCTCTCCGATGCTTCGCAGGGCAAAAGGGACGCTTCTCGAGGTGAGGCAGGGCACCCAAGGACCCTTTCCAGTAGCCACAGGGATTTTGGGATTCCTATCAGTGTTCAAGAGGAGTCAGGCATCGTCACCTTTTGAACCATGAACTCCGCGTGACTCTCGAGGTGTCAGCGGGATGTGAGGCATTCTGTCCAAATGAGGCAGGGAACTAGGGCTTTCTCTAAGTTCTCCACAGGGGATTCAGACATCCCTTCATGTTGTGAGATGAAAGACGTGCCTGTATTCAAGCCACTGCAAGGAAATCCGGCCTCCTTTCAAGTTAGGGCTTCTCGCTGTATATTCCCCTTGAGGCAGCAAACTCGGGGTCCCTCCCACATACCTATTGCTGAGAGAAGCCTCCTCCTGAGGTGCTTCTGGAAAGTTGGCATACGTCTTTAGCCTAAGCCAGGGAATCAGCTCTCATCTCGAGACGATTTGGGGTACACAGAGCATTCCTCGAGTTGCTGTGCTGAAGTTGGTGTTCCTCTAGACTTGGGACAGTGTTCTCGGGGCATCTCTGGAGTTGCCTGAAGGAAGTCGAGCCACCGGTCGTGTTGAATGGGGAACGGGGAATTACTCTGGTGTCAATGCAGGGGAATCGGGCCTCATCTCGAGTTGATTTGGGGCACATGTAGCTGCTTTGCGTTGCTGGGGTGACCTCAGGGTCCGTCTAGACTGGTGACAGTGTTCTTGGGGACTGTCTCGAGATCCATTAAGCAAATCGAAGCTCCTGACTTGTTTGAATGGGATCACGGAATAGCTCTGCATGCACTGCAGGGGAATGGGGCCTCATCTCGCCTCTAGGGGGAAGTCTCATGGTTTTTCTCGAGTTGCAGCGGGGACCTGGGGTATGTTCTCGATTTACGGCCGGGATGGCACTTCAAAACACGAGTTTCTACAGTGACGTCAGGACTCCTGTCTAGTAACGAGGGATACCTCAGGAATCTCTTCGAGGGTTGGCAGGGCAAAAGGGACGCTTCTCGAGGTGAGGCAGGGCACCCAAGGACCCTTTCCAGTAGCCACAGGGATTTTGGGATTCCTATCAGTATTCAAGAGGAGTCAGGCATCGTCACCTTTTGAAGCAATGAACTCCGCGTGCCTCTCGAGGTGTCAGCGGGATGTGAGGCATTCCGTCAAAATGAGGCAGGGACCTAGGGCTTTCTCTAAGGTCTCTACAGGGGATTCAGATATCCCTTCATGTTGTGAGATGAAAGACGAGCCTGTATTCAAGCCACTGAAAGGAAATCCAGGCTCCTTTCAAGTTAGGGATTCTCGCTGTATATTCCCCTTGAGGCAGCAAACTCGGGGTCCCTCCCACATACCTATTGCTGAGAGAAGCCTCCTCCTCAGGTGCTTCTGGAAAGTTGGCATACGTCTTGAGCCTAAGCCAGGGAATTAGCTCTCATCTCGAGACGATTTGGGGTACACGGAGCATTCCTCGAGTTGCTGTGCTGAAGTTGGTGTTCCTCTAGACTTGGGACAGTGTTCTCGGGGCATCTCTGGAGTTGCCTGAAGGAAGTCGAGCCACCGGTCGTGTTGAATTGGGAACGGGGAATGGCTCTGGAGTCAATGCAGGGGAATCGGGCCTCATCTCGAGTTGATGTGGGGCACATGGAGCTGCTTTGCTTTGCTGGGGTGACCTCAGGGTCCGTCTAGACTGGTGACAGTGTTCTTGGGGACTGTCTCGAGACCCATTAAGCAAGTCGAAACTCCTGACTTGTTTGAATGGGATCACGGAATTGCTTTGCATGCACTGCAGGGGAATGGGGCCTCATCTCGCCTCTAGGGGGAAGTCTCATTGTTTTTATCGAGTTGCGGCGGGGACTTGGGGTATGTTCTTGACTTACGGCGGGATGGCCCTTCAAAACACGAGTTTCTTCAGTGGCGTCAGGACCTCTGTCTAGTAACGAGGGACACCTCAGGAATCTCTCCGAGGCTTCGCAGGGCAAAAGGGACGCTTCTCGAGGTGAGGCAGGGCACCCAAGGACACTTTCCCGTAGCCACAGGGATTTTGGGATTCCTATCAGTATTCAAGAGGAGTCAGGAATCGTCACCTTTTGAACCATGAACTGAGCGTGCCTCTCGAGGTGTCAGCGGGATGTGAGGCATTCTGTCAAAATGAGGCAGGGACCTAGGGCTTTCTCTAAGGTCTCTACAGGGGATTCAGACATCCCTTCATGTTGTGAGATGAAAGAGGAGCCTGTATTCAAGCCACTGCAAGGAAATCCGGCCTCCTTTCAAGTTAGGGCTTCTCGCTGTATATTCCCCTTGAGGCAGCAAACTCGGGGTCCCTCCCACATAGCTATTGCTGAGAGAAGCCTCCTCCTCAGGTGCTTCTGGAAAGTTGGCATACGTCTTGAGCCTAAGCCAGGGAATTAGCTCTCATCTCGAGACGATTTGGGGTACACGGAGCATTCCTCGAGTTGCTGTGCTGAAGTTGGTGTTCCTCTAGACTTGGGACAGTGTTCTCGGGGCATCTCTGGAGTTGCCTGAAGGAAGTCGAGCCACCGGTCGTGTTGAATTGGGAACGGGGAATGGCTCTGGATCAATGCGGGGGAATCGGGCCTCATCTCGAGTTGATGTGGGGCACATGGAGCTGCTTTGCATTGCTGGGGTGACCTCAGGGTCCGTCTAGACTGGTGACAGTGTTCTTGGGGACTGTCTCGAGACCCATTAAGCAAGTCGAAACTCCTGACTTGTTTGAATGGGATCACGGAATAGCTCTGCATGCACTGCAGGGGAATGGGGCCTCATCTCGCCTCTAGGGGGAAGTCTCATGGTTTTTATCGAGTTGCGGCGGTTACCTGGGGTATGTTCTTGACTTACGGCGGGGATGGCCCTTCAAAACACGAGTTTCTTCAGTGGCGTCAGGACTCCTGTCTAGTAACGAGGGACACCTCAGGAATCTCTCCGAGGCTTCGCAGGGCAAAAGGGACGCTTCTCGAGGTGAGGCAGGGCACCCAAGGACCCTATCCCGTAGCCAAAGGGATTTTGGGATTCCTATCAGTATTCAAGAGGAGTCAGGAATCGTCACCTTTTGAACCATGAACTGAGCGTGCCTCTCGAGGTGTCAGCGGGATGTGAGGCATTCTGTCAAAATGAGGCAGGGACCTAGGGCTTTCTCTAAGTTCTCCACAGGGATTCAGACATCCCTTCATTTTGTGAGATGAAAGACGAGCCTGTATTCAAGCCACTGCAAGGAAATCCGGCCTCCTTTCAAGTTAGGGCTTCTCGCTGTATATTCCCCTTGAGGCAGCAAACTCGGGGTCCCTCCCACATACCTATTGCTGAGAGAAGCCTCCTCCTGAGGTGCTTCTGGAAAGTTGGCATACGTCTTGAGCCTAAGCCAGGGAATCAGCTCTCATCTCGAGACGATTTGGGGTACTCGGAGCATTCCTCGATTTGCTGTGCTGAAGTTGGTGTTCCTCTAGACTTGGGACAGTGTTCTCGGGGCATCTCTGGAGTTGCCTGAAGGAAGTGGAGCCACGGGTCGTGTTGAATGGGGAACGGGGAATGGCTCTGGAGTCAATGCAGGGGAATCAGGCCTCATCTCGAGTTGATTTGGGGCACATGGAGCTGCTTTGCGTTGCTGGGGTGACCTCAGGGTCCGTCTAGACTGGTGACAGTGTTCTTGGGGACTGTCTCGAGATCCATTAAGCAAGTCGAAGCTCCTGACTTGTTTGAATGGGATCACGGAATAGCTCTGCATGCACTGCAGGGGAATGGGGCCTCATCTCGCCTCTAGGGGGAAGTCTCATGGTTTTTATCGAGTTGCGGCGGGGACCTGGGGTATGTTCTCGACTTACGGCGGGGATGGCTCTTCAAAACACGAGTTTCTTCAGTGGCGTCAGGACTCCTGTCTAGTAACGAGGGACACCTCAGGAATCTCTCCGAGGCTTCGCAGGGCAAAAGGGATGCTTCTCGAGGTGAGGCAGGGCACCCAAGGACCCTTTCCAGTAGCCACAGGGATTTTGGGATTCCTATCAGTATTCAAGAGGAGTCAGGCATCGTCACCTTTTGAACCATGAACTCCGCGTGCCTCTCGAGGTGTCAGCGGGATGTGAGGCATTCTGTCAAAATGAGGCAGGGACCTAGGGCTTTCTCTAAGTTCTCCACAGGGGATTCAGACATCCCTTCATGTTGTGAGATGAAAGACGAGCCTGTATTCAAGTCACTGCAAGGAAATCCGGCCTCCTTTCAAGTTAGGGCTTCTCGCTGTATATTCCCCTTGAGGCAGCAAACTCGGTGTCCCTCCCACGTACCTATTGCTGAGAGAAGCCTCCTCCTGAGGTGCTTCTGGAAAGTTGGCATACGTCTTGAGCCTAAGCCAGGGAATCAGCTCTCATCTCGAGACGATTTGGGGTACACAGAGCATTCCTCGAGTTGCTGTGCTGAAGTTGGTGTTCCTCTAGACTTGGGACAGTGTTCTCGGGGCATCTCTGGAGTTGCCTGAAGGAAGTCGAGCCACCGGTCGTGTTGAATGGGGAACGGGGAATGACTCTGGTGTCAATGCAGGGGAATCGGGCCTCATCTCGAGTTGATTTGGGGCACATGGAGCTGCTTTGCGTTGCTGGGGTGACCTCAGGGTCCGTCTAGACTGGTGACAGTGTTCTTGGGGACTGTCTCGAGATCCATTAAGCAAGTCGAAGCTCCTGACTTGTTTGAATGGGATCACGGAATAGCTCTGCATGCACTGCAGGGGAATGGGGCCTCATCTCGCCTCTAGGGGGAAGTCTCATGGTTTTTCTCGAGTTGCAGTGGGGACCTGGGGTATGTTCTCGATTTATGGCCGGGATGGCACTTCAAAACACGAGTTTCTACAGTGACGTCAGGACTCCTGTCTAGTAATGAGGGATACCTCAGGAATCTCTTCGAGGGTTGGCAGGGCAAAAGGGACGCTTCTCGAGGTGAGGCAGGGCACCCAAGGACCCTTTCCATTAGCCACAGGGATTTTGGGATTCCTATCAGTATTCAAGAGGAGTCAGGCATCGTCACCTTTTGAAGCAATGAACTCCGCGTGCCTCTCGAGGTGTCAGCGGGATGTGAGGCATTCCGTCAAAATGAGGCAGGGACCTAGGGCTTTCTCTAAGGTCTCTACAGGGGATTCAGACATCCCTTCATGTTGTGAGATGAAAGACGAGCCTGTATTCAAGCCACTGCAAGGAAATCCGGCCTCCTTTCAAGTTAGGGCTTCTCGCTGTATATTCCCCTTGAGGCAGCAAACTCGGGGTCCCTCCCACATACCTATTGCTGAGAAAAGCCTCCTCCTCAGGTGCTTCTGGAAAGTTGGCATACGTCTTGAGCCTAAGCCAGGGAATCAGCTCTCATCTCGAGACGATTTGGGGTACACGGAGCATTCCTCGAGTTGCTGTGATGAAGTTGGTGTTCCTCTAGACTTGGGACAGTGTTCTCGGGGCATCTCTGGAGTTGCTTGAAGGAAGTCGAGCCACCGGTCGTGTTGAATGGGGAACGGGGAATGGCTCTGGAGTCAATGCAGGGGAATCTGGCCTCATCTCGAGTTGATGTGGGGCACATGGAGCTGCTTTGCGTTGCTGGGCTGACCTCAGGGTCTCTCTCGACTGGTGACAGTGTTCTTGGGGACTGTCTCGAGACCCATTAAGCAAGTCGAAACTCCTGACTTGTTTGAATGGGATCACGGAATAGCTCTGCATGCACTGCAGGGGAATGGGGCCTCATCTCGCCTCTAGGGGGAAGTCTCATGGTTTTTATCGAGTTGCGGCGGGGACCTGGGGTATGTTCTCGACTTACGGCGGGGATGGCCCTTCAAAACACGAGTTTCTTCAGTGGCGTCAGGACTCCTGTATAGTAACGAGGGACAACTCAGGAATCTCTCCGAGGCTTCGCAGGGCAAAAGGGACGCTTCTCGAGGTGAGGCAGGGCACCCAAGGACCCTTTCCCGTAGCCACAGGGATTTTGGGATTCCTATCAGTATTCAAGAGGAGTCAGGAATCGTCACCTTTTGAACCATGAACTGAGCGTGCCTCTCGAGGTGTCAGCGGGATGTGAGGCATTCTGTCAAAATGAGGCAGGGACCTAGGGCTTTCTCTAAGTTCTCCACAGGGGATTCAGACAACCCTTCATGTTGTGAGATGAAAGACGAGCCTGTATTCAAGCCACTGCAAGGAAATCCGGCCTCCTTTCAAGTTAGGGCTTCTCGCTGTATATTCCCCTTGAGGCAGCAAACTCGGTGTCCCTCCCACGTACCTATTGCTGAGAGAAGCCTCCTCCTGAGGTGCTTCTGGAAAGTTGGCATACGTCTTGAGCCTAAGCCAGGGAATCAGCTCTCATCTCGAGACGATTTGGGGTACACAGAGCATTCCTCGAGTTGCTGTGCTGAAGTTGGTGTTCCTCTAGACTTGGGACAGTGTTCTCGGGGCATCTCTGGAGTTGCCTGAAGGAAGTCGAGCCACCGGTCGTGTTGAATGGGGAACGGGGAATGACTCTGGTGTCAATGCAGGGGAATCGGGCCTCATCTCGAGTTGATTTGGGGTACATGGAGCTGCTTTGCGTTGCTGGGGTGACCTCAGGGTCCGTCTAGACTGGTGACAGTGTTCTTGGGGACTGTCTCGAGATCCATTAAGCAAGTCGAAGCTCCTGACTTGTTTGAATGGGATCACGGAATAGCTCTGCATGCACTGCAGGGGAATGGGGCCTCATCTCGCCTCTAGGGGGAAGTCTCATGGTTTTTCTCGAGTTGCAGCGGGGACCTGGGGTATGTTCTCGATTTACGGCCGGGATGGCACTTCAAAACACGAGTTTCTACAGTGACGTCAGGACTCCTGTCTAGTAACGAGGGATACCTCAGGAATCTCTTCGAGGGTTGGCAGGGCAAAAGGGACGCTTCTCGAGGTGAGGCAGGGCACCCAAGGACCCTTTCCAGTAGCCACAGGGATTTTGGGATTCCTATCAGTATTCAAGAGGAGTCAGGCATCGTCACCTTTTGAAGCAATGAACTCCGCGTGTCTCTCGAGGTGTCAGCGGGATGTGAGGCATTCCGTCAAAATGAGGCAGGGACTTAGGGCTTTCTCTAAGGTGTCTACAGGGGATTCAGACATCTCTTCATGTTGTGAGATGAAAGACGAGCCTGTATTCAAGCCACTGCAAGGAAATCCGGCCTCCTTTCAAGTTAGGGCTTCTCGCTGTATATTCCCCTTGAGGCAGCAAACTCGGGCTCCCTCCCACATACCTATTGCTGAGAGAAGCCTCCTCCTGAGGTGCTTCTGGAAAGGTGGCATACGTCTTGAGCCTAAGCCAGGGAATCAGCTCTCATCTTGAGACGATTTGGGGTACACGGAACATTCCTCGAGTTGCTGTGTTGAAGTTGGTGTTGCTCTAGACTTGGGACAGTGTTCTCGGGGCATCTCTGGAGTTGCCTGAAGGAAGTCGAGCCACCGGTCGTGTTGAATGGGGAACGGGGAATGGCTCTGGAGTCAATGCAGGGGAATCGTGCCTCACCTCGAGTTGATTTGGAGCACATGGAGCTGCTTTGCGTTGCTGGGGTGACCTCAGGGTCCGTCTAGACTGGTGACAGTGTTCTTGGGGACTGTCTCGAGATCCATTAAGCAAGTCGAAGCTCCTGACTTGTTTGAATGGGATCACGGAATAGCTCTGCATGCACTGCAGGGGAATGGGGCCTCATCTCGCCTCTAGGGGGAAGTCTCATGGTTTTTTTCGAGTTGCGGCGGGGACCTGGGGTATGTTCTCGACTTACGGCGGGGATGGCCCTTCAAAACACGAGTTTCTTCAGTGACGTCTGGACTCCTGTCTAGTAACGAGGGACACCTCAGAAATCCCTTCGAGGCTTGGCAGGGCAAAAGGGACGCTTCTCGAGGTGAGGCAGGGCACCCAAGGACCCTATCCAGTAGCCACAGGGATTTTGGGATTCCTATCAGTATTCAAGAGGAGTCAGGCATCGTCACCTTTTGAAGCAATAAACTCCGCGTGACTCTCGAGGTGTCACCGGGATGTGAGGCATTCCGTCAAAATGAGGCAGGGACCTAGGGCTTTCTCTAAGGTCTCCACAGGGGATTCAGACATCCCTTCATGTTGTGAGATGAAAGACGAGCCTGTATTCAAGCCACTGCAAGGAAATCCGGCCTCCTTTCAAGTTAGGGCTTCTCGCTGTATATTCCCCTTGAGGCAGCAAACTCGGGGTCCCTCCCACATACCTATTGCTGAGAGAAGCCTCCTCCTGAGGTGCTTCTGGAAAGTTGGCATACGTCTTGAGCCTAAGCCAGGGAATCAGCTCTCATCTCGAGACGATTTGGGGTACTCCGAGCATTCCTCGAGTTGCTGTGCTGAAGTTGGTGTTCCTCTAGACTTGGGACAGTGTTCTCGGGGCATCTCTAGAGTTGCCTGAAGGAAGTGGAGCTACGGGTCGTGTTGAATGGGGAACGGCGAATGGCTCTGGAGTCAATGCAGGGGAATCAGGCCTCATCTCGACTTGATTTGAGGCACATGGAGCTGCTTTGCGTTGCTGGGGTGACCTCAGGGTCCGTCTAGACTGGTGACAGTGTTCTTGGGGACTGTCTCGAGATCCATTAAGCAAGTCGAAGCTCCTGACTTGTTTGAATGGGATCACGGAATAGCTCTGCATGCACTGCAGGGGAATGGGGCCTCATCTCGCCTCTATGGGGAAGTCTCATGGTTTTTCTCGAGTTGCGGCGGGGACCTGGGGTATGTTCTCGACTTACGGCGGGGATGACCCTTCAAAACACGAGTATCTTCAGTGACGTCAGGAATCCTGTCTAGTAACGAGGGACACCTCAGGAATCTCTCCGAGGCTTCGCAGGGCAAAAGGGACGCTTCTCGAGGTGAGGCAGGGCACCCAAGTACCCTTTCCAGTAGCCACAGGGATTTTGGGATTCCTATCAGTATTCAAGAGGAGTCAGGCATCGTCACCTTTTGAACCATCAACTCCGCGTGCCTCTCAGGTGTCAGCGGGATATGAGGCATTCTGTCACAATGAGGCAGGGACCTAGGGCTTTCTCTAAGGTCTCCAAAGGGGATTCAGACATCCCTTCAGGTTGTGAGATGAAAGACGAGCCTATATTCAAGCCACTGCAAAGAAATCCGGCCTCCTTTCAAGTTAGGGCTTCTCGCTGTATATTCCCCTTGAGGCAGCAAACTCGGGCTCCCTCCCACATACCTATTGCTGAGAGAAGCCTCCTCCTGAGGTGCTTCTGGAAAGTTGGCATATGTCTTGAGCCTAAGCCAGGGAATCAGCTCTCATCTCGAGACGATTTGGGGTACACGGAGCATTCCTCGAGTTGCTGTGCTGAAGTTGGTGTTCCTCTAGACTTGGGACAGTGTTCTTGGGGCATCTCTGGAGTTGCCTGAAGGAGGTCGAGCCACCGGTCGTGTTGAATGGGGAACGGGTTATGGCTCTGGAGTCAATGCAGGGGAATCGGGCCTCATCTCGAGTTGATTTGGGGCACATGGAGCTGCTTTGCGTTGCTGGGGTGACCTCAGGGTCTGTCTCGACTGGTGACAGTGTTCTTGGGGACTGTCTCGAGATCCATTAAGCAAGTCGAAGCTCCTGACTTGTTTGAATGGGATCACGGAATAGCTCCGCATGCACTGCATTGGAATGGGGCCTCATCTCGCCTCTAGGGGGAAGTCTCATGGTTTTTCTCGAGTTGCGGCGGGGACCTGGGGTATGTTCTCGAATTACGGCGGGTATGGCCCTTCAAAACACGAGTTTCTTCAGTGACGTCAGGACTCCTGTCTAGTAACGAGGGACACCTCAGGAATCTCTCCGAGGCTTTGCAGGGCAAAAGGGACGCTTCTCGATGTGAGGCAGGTCACCCAAGGACCCTTTCCAGTAGCCACAGGGATTTTGGGATTCCTATCAGTATTCAAGAGGAGTCAGGCATCGTCACCTTTTGAACCATAAACTCCGCGTGCCTCTCGAGGTGTCAGCGGGATGTGAGGCATTCTGTCAAAATGAGGCAGGGACCTAGGGCTTTCTCTAAGGTTTCCACAGGGGATTCAGACATCCCTTCATATTGTGAGATGAAAGACGAGCCTGTATTCAAGCCACTGCAAGGAAATCCGGCCTCCTTTCAAGTTAGGGCTTCTCACTGTATATTCCCCTTGAGGCAGCAAACTCGGGGTCCCTCCCACATACCTATTGCTGAGAGAAGCCTCCTCCTGAGGTGCTTCTGGAAAGTTGGCATACGTCTTGAGCCTAAGCCAGGGAATCAGCTCTCATCTCGAGACGATTTGGGGTACACGGAGCATTCCTCGAGTTGCTGTGTTGAAGTTGCTCTTCCTCTAGACTTGGGACAGTGTTCTCGGTGCATCTCTGGAGTTGCCTGAAGGAAGTCGAGCCACCGGTCGTGTTGAATGGGGAACGGGGAATGGCTCTGGAGTCAATGCAGGGGAATCGGGCGTCATCTCGAGTTGATTTGGGGCACATGGAGCTGCTTTGCGTTGCTGGGTGATCTCAGGGTCCGTCTAGACTGGTGACAGTGTTCTTGGGGACTGTCTCGAGATCCATTAAGCAAGTCGAAGCTCCTGACTTGTTTGAATGGGATCACGGAATAGCTCTGCATGCACTGCAGGGGAATGGGCCTCATCTCGCCTCTAGGGGGAAGTCTCATGGTTTTTCTCGAGTTGCGGCGGGGACCTGGGGTATGTTCTCGAATTACGGCGGGCATGGCCCTTCAAAACACGAGTTTCTTCAGTGACGTCAGGACTCCTGTCTAGTAACGAGGGACACCTCAGGAATCTCTCCGATGCTTCGCAGGGCAAAAGGGACGCTTCTCGAGGTGAGGCAGGGCACCCAAGGACCCTTTCCAGTAGCCACAGGGATTTTGGGATTCCTATCAGTGTTCAAGAGGAGTCAGGCATCGTCACCTTTTGAACCATGAACTCCGCGTGCCTCTCGAGGTGTCAGCGGGATGTGAGGCATTCTGTCCAAATGAGGCAGGGAACTAGGGCTTTCTCTAAGTTCTCCACAGCGGATTCAGACATCCCTTCATGTTGTGAGATGAAAGACGTGCCTGTATTCAAGCCACTGCAAGGAAATCCGGCCTCCTTTCAAGTTAGGGCTTCTCGCTGTATATTCCCCTTGAGGCAGCAAACTCGGGGTCGCTCCCACATACCTATTGCTGAGAGAAGCCTCCTCCTGAGGTGCTTCTGGAAAGTTGGCATACGTCTTTAGCCTAAGCCAGGGAATCAGCTCTCATCTCGAGACGATTTGGGGTACACAGAGCATTCCTCGAGTTGCTGTGCTGAAGTTGGTGTTCCTCTAGACTTGGGACAGTGTTCTCGGGGCATCTCTGGAGTTGCCTGAAGGAAGTCGAGCCACCGGTCGTGTTGAATGGGGAACGGGGAATTACTCTGGTGTCAATGCAGGGGAATCGGGCCTCATCTCGAGTTGATTTGGGGCACATGTAGCTGCTTTGCGTTGCTGGGGTGACCTCAGGGTCCGTCTAGACTGGTGACAGTGTTCTTGGGGACTGTCTCGAGATCCATTAAGCAAGTCGAAGCTCCTGACTTGTTTGAATGGGATCACGGAATAGCTCTGCATGCACTGCAGGGGAATGGGGCCTCATCTCGCCTCTAGGGGGAAGTCTCATGGTTTTTCTCGAGTTGCAGCGGGGACCTGGGGTATGTTCTCGATTTACGGCCGGGATGGCACTTCAAAACACGAGTTTCTACAGTGACGTCAGGACTCCTGTCTAGTAACGAGGGATACCTCAGGAATCTCTTCGAGGGTTGGCAGGGCAAAAGGGACGCTTCTCGAGGTGAGGCAGGGCACCCAAGGACCCTTTCCAGTAGCCACAGGGATTTTGGGATTCCTATCAGTATTCAAGAGGAGTCAGGCATCGTCACCTTTTGAAGCAATGAACTCCGCGTGCCTCTCGAGGTGTCAGCGGGATGTGAGGCATTCCGTCAAAATGAGGCAGGGACCTAGGGCTTTCTCTAAGGTCTCTACAGGGGATTCAGATATCCCTTCATGTTGTGAGATGAAAGACGAGCCTGTATTCAAGCCACTGAAAGGAAATCCAGGCTCCTTTCAAGTTAGGGATTCTCGCTGTATATTCCCCTTGAGGCAGCAAACTCGGGGTCCCTCCCACATACCTATTGCTGAGAGAAGCCTCCTCCTCAGGTGCTTCTGGAAAGTTGGCATACGTCTTGAGCCTAAGCCAGGGAATTAGCTCTCATCTCGAGACGATTTGGGGTACACGGAGCATTCCTCGAGTTGCTGTGCTGAAGTTGGTGTTCCTCTAGACTTGGGACAGTGTTCTCGGGGCATCTCTGGAGTTGCCTGAAGGAAGTCGAGCCACCGGTCGTGTTGAATTGGGAACGGGGAATGGCTCTGGAGTCAATGCAGGGGAATCGGGCCTCATCTCGAGTTGATGTGGGGCACATGGAGCTGCTTTGCTTTGCTGGGGTGACCTCAGGGTCCGTCTAGACTGGTGACAGTGTTCTTGGGGACTGTCTCGAGACCCATTAAGCAAGTCGAAACTCCTGACTTGTTTGAATGGGATCACGGAATTGCTTTGCATGCACTGCAGGGGAATGGGGCCTCATCTCGCCTCTAGGGGGAAGTCTCATTGTTTTTATCGAGTTGCGGCGGGGACTTGGGGTATGTTCTTGACTTACGGCGGGATGGCCCTTCAAAACACGAGTTTCTTCAGTGGCGTCAGGACCTCTGTCTAGTAACGAGGGACACCTCAGGAATCTCTCCGAGGCTTCGCAGGGCAAAAGGGACGCTTCTCGAGGTGAGGCAGGGCACCCAAGGACACTTTCCCGTAGCCACAGGGATTTTGGGATTCCTATCAGTATTCAAGAGGAGTCAGGAATCGTCACCTTTTGAACCATGAACTGAGCGTGCCTCTCGAGGTGTCAGCGGGATGTGAGGCATTCTGTCAAAATGAGGCAGGGACCTAGGGCTTTCTCTAAGGTCTCTACAGGGGATTCAGACATCCCTTCATGTTGTGAGATGAAAGACGAGCCTGTATTCAAGCCACTGCAAGGAAATCCGGCCTCCTTTCAAGTTAGGGCTTCTCGCTGTATATTCCCCTTGAGGCAGCAAACTCGGGGTCCCTCCCACATACCTATTGCTGAGAGAAGCCTCCTCCTCAGGTGCTTCTGGAAAGTTGGCATACGTCTTGAGCCTAAGCCAGGGAATTAGCTCTCATCTCGAGACGATTTGGGGTACACGGAGCATTCCTCGAGTTGCTGTGCTGAAGTTGGTGTTCCTCTAGACTTGGGACAGTGTTCTCGGGGCATCTCTGGAGTTGCCTGAAGGAAGTCGAGCCACCGGTCGTGTTGAATTGGGAACGGGGAATGGCTCTGGAGTCAATGCGGGGGAATCGGGCCTCATCTCGAGTTGAGGTGGGGCACATGGAGCTGCTTTGCGTTGCTGGGGTGACCTCAGGGTCCGTCTAGACTGGTGACAGTGTTCTTGGGGACTGTCTCGAGACCCATTAAGCAAGTCGAAACTCCTGACTTGTTTGAATGGGATCACGGAATAGCTCTGCATGCACTGCAGGGGAATGGGGCCTCATCTCGCCTCTAGGGGGAAGTCTCATGGTTTTTATCGAGTTGCGGCGGGGACCTGGGGTATGTTCTTGACTTCCGGCGGGGATGGCCCTTCAAAACACGAGTTTCTTCAGTGGCGTCAGGACTCCTGTCTAGTAACGAGGGACACCTCAGGAATCTCTCCGAGGCTTCGCAGGGCAAAAGGGACGCTTCTCGAGGTGAGGCAGGGCACCCAAGGACCCTATCCCGTAGCCAAAGGGATTTTGGGATTCCTATCAGTATTCAAGAGGAGTCAGGAATCGTCACCTTTTGAACCATGAACTGAGCGTGCCTCTCGAGGTGTCAGCGGGATGTGAGGCATTCTGTCAAAATGAGGCAGGGACCTAGGGCTTTCTCTAAGTTCTCCACAGGGATTCAGACATCCCTTCATTTTGTGAGATGAAAGACGAGCCTGTATTCAAGCCACTGCAAGGAAATCCGGCCTCCTTTCAAGTTAGGGCTTCCCGCTGTATATTCCCCTTGAGGCAGCAAACTCGGGGTCCCTCCCACATACCTATTGCTGAGAGAAGCCTCCTCCTGAGGTGCTTCTGGAAAGTTGGCATACGTCTTGAGCCTAAGCCAGGGAATCAGCTCTCATCTCGAGACGATTTGTGGTACTCGGAGCATTCCTCGATTTGCTGTGCTGAAGTAGGTGTTCCTCTAGACTTGGGACAGTGTTCTCGGGGCATCTCTGGAGTTGCCTGAAGGAAGTGGAGCCACGGGTCGTGTTGAATGGGGAACGGGGAATGGCTCTGGAGTCAATGCAGGGGAATCAGGCCTCATCTCGAGTTGATTTGGGGCACATGGAGCTGCTTTGCGTTGCTGGGGTGACCTCAGGGTCCGTCTAGACTGGTGACAGTGTTCTTGGGGACTGTCTCGAGATCCATTAAGCAAGTCGAAGCTCCTGACTTGTTTGAATGGGATCACGGAATAGCTCTGCATGCACTGCAGGGGAATGGGGCCTCATCTTGCCTCTAGGGGGAAGTCTCATGGTTTTTCTCGAGTTGCGGCGGGGACCTGGGGTATGTTCTCGACTTACGGCGGGGATGGCCCTTCAAAACACGAGTTTCTTCAGTGACGTCAGGACTCCTGTCTAGTAACGAGGGACACCTCAGGAATCTCTTTGAGGCTTCGCAGGGCAAAAGGGACGCTTCTCGAGGTGAGGCAGGGCACCCAAGGACCCTTTCCAGTAGCCACAGGGATTTTGGGATTCCTATCAGTATTCAAGAGGAGTCAGGCATCGTCACCTTTTGAAGCATGAACTCCGCGTGCCTCTCGAGGTGTCAGCGGGATGTGTGGCATTCTGTCAAAATGAGGCAGGGACCTAGGGCTTTCTCTAAGGTCTCCACAGGGGATTCAGACATCCCTTCATGTTGTGAGATGAAAGACGAGGTTGTATTCAAGCCACTGCAAGGAAATCCGGCCTCCTTTCAAGTTAGGGCTTCTCGCTGTATATTCCCCTTGAGGCAGCAAACTCGGGGTCCCTCCCACATTCCTATTGCTGAGAGAAGCCTCCTCCTGAGGTGCTTCTGGAAAGTTGGCATACGTCTTGAGCCTAAGCCAGGGAATCAGCTCTCATCTCGAGACGATTTGGGGTACACAGAGCATTCCTCGAGTTGCTGTGCTGAAGTTGGTGTTCCTCTAGACTTGGGACAGTGTTCTCGGGGCATCTATGGAGTTGCCTGAAGGAAGTCGAGCCACCGATCGTGTTGAATGGGGAACGGGGAATGACTCTGGTGTCAATGCAGGGGAATCGGGCCTCATCTCGAGTTGATTTGGGGCACATGGAGCTGCTTTGCGTTGCTGGGGTGACCTCAGGGTCCGTCTAGACTGGTGACAGTGTTCTTGGGGACTGTCTCGAGATCCATTAAGCAAGTCGAAGCTCCTGACTTGTTTGAATGGGATCACGGAATAGCTCTGCATGCACTGCAGGGGAATGGGGCCTCATCTCGCCTCTAGGGGGAAGTCTCATGGTTTTTCTCGAGTTGCAGCGGGGACCTGGGGTATGTTCTCGATTTACGGCCGGGATGGCACTTCAAAACACGAGTTTCTACAGTGACGTCAGGACTCCTGTCTAGTATCGAGGGATACCTCAGGAATCTCTTCGAGGGTTGGCAGGGAAAAAGGGACGCTTCTCGAGGTGAGGCAGGGCACCCAAGGACCCTTTCCAGTAGCCACAGGGATTTTGGGATTCCTATCAGTATTCAAGAGGAGTCAGGCATCGTCACCTTTTGAAGCAATGAACTCCGCGTGTCTCTCGAGGTGTCAGCGGGATGTGAGGCATTCCGTCAAAATGAGGCAGGGACCTTGGGCTTTCTCTAAGGTCTCCACAGTGGATTCAGACATCCCTTCATGTTGTGAGATGAAAGACGAGCCTGTATTCAAGTCACTGCAAGGAAATCCGGCCTCCTTTCAAGTTAGTGCTTCTCGCTGTATATTCCCCTTGAGGCAGCAAACTCGGGGTCCCTCCCACATACCTATTGCTGAGAGAAGCCTCCTCCTCAGGTGCTTCTGGAAAGTTGGCATACGTCTTGAGCCTAAGCCAGGGAATCGGCTCTCATCTCGAGACGATTTGGGGTACACGGAGCATTCCTCGAGTTGCTGTGCTGAAGTTGGTGTTCCTCTAGACTTGGGACAGTGTTCTCGGGGCATCTCTGGAGTTGCCTGAAGGAAGTCGAGCCACCGGTCGTGTTGAATGGGGAACGGGGAATGGCTCTGGAGTCAATGCAGGGGAATCGGGCCTCATCTCGAGTTGATTTGGGGCACATGGAGCTGCTTTGCGTTGCTGGGGTGACCTCAGGGTCTGTTTCGACTGGTGACAGTGTTCTTGGGGACTGTCTCGAGACCCATTAAGCAAGTCGAAACTCCTGACTTGTTTGAATGGGATCACGGAATAGCTCTGCATGCACTGCAGGGGAATGGGGCCTCATCTCGCCTCTAGGGGGAAGTCTCATGGTTTTTATCGAGTTGCGGCGGGGACCTGGGGTATGTTCTCGACTTACGGCGGGGATGGCCCTTCAAAACACGAGTTTCTTCAGTGACGTCAGGACTCCTGTCTAGTAACGAGGGACACCTCAGGAATCTCTTTGAGGCTTCGCAGGGCAAAAGGGACGCTTCTCGAGGTGAGGCAGGGCACCCAAGGACCCTTTCCAGTAGCCACAGGGATTTTGGGATTCCTATCAGTATTCAAGAGGAGTCAGGAATCGTCACCTTTTGAACCATGAACTCCGCGTGCCTCTCGAGGTGTCAGCGGGATGTGAGGCATTCTGTCAAAATGAGGCAGGGACCTAGGGCTTTCTCTAAGTTCTCCACAGGGGATTCAGACATCCCTTCATGTTGTGAGATGAAAGACGAGCCTGTATTCAAGCCACTGCAAGGAAATCCGGCCTCCTTTCAAGTTAGGGCTTCTCGCTGTATATTCCCCTTGAGGCAGCAAACTCGGTGTCCCTCCCACGTACCTATTGCTGAGAGAAGCCTCCTCCTGAGGTGCTTCTGGAAAGTTGGCATACGTCTTGAGCCTAAGCCAGGGAATCAGCTCTCATCTCGAGACGATTTGGGGTACACAGAGCATTCCTCGAGTTGCTGTGCTGAAGTTGGTGTTCCTCTAGACTTGGGACAGTGTTCTCGGGGCATCTCTGGAGTTGCCTGAAGGAAGTCGAGCCACCGGTCGTGTTGAATGGGGAACGGGGAATGACTCTGGTGTCAATGCAGGGGAATCGGGCCTCATCTCGAGTTGATTTGGGGCACATGGAGCTGCTTTGCGTTGCTGGGGTGACCTCAGGGTCCGTCTAGACTGGTGACAGTGTTCTTGGGGACTGTCTCGAGATCCATTAAGCAAGTCGAAGCTCCTGACTTGTTTGAATGGGATCACGGAATAGCTCTGCATGCACTGCAGGGGAATGGGGCCTCATCTCGCCTCTAGGGGGAAGTCTCATGGTTTTTCTCGAGTTGCAGCGGGGACCTGGGGTATGTTCTCGATTTACGGCCAGGATGGCACTTCAAAACACGAGTTTCTACAGTGACGTCAGGACTCCTGTCTAGTAACGAGGGATACCTCAGGAATCTCTTCGAGGGTTGGCAGGGCAAAAGGGACGCTGCTCGAGGTGAGGCAGGGCACCCAAGGACCCTTTCCAGTAGCCACAGGGATTTTGGGATTCCTATCAGTATTCAAGAGGAGTCAGGCATCGTCACCTTTTGAAGCAATGAACTCCGCGTGCCTCTCGAGGTGTCAGCGGGATGTGAGGCATTCCGCCAAAATGAGGCAGGGACCTAGGGCTTTCTCTAAGGTCTCTACAGGGGATTCAGACATTCCTTCATGTTGTGAGATGAAAGACGAGCCTGTATTCAAGCCACTGCAAGGAAATCCGGCCTCCTTTCAAGTTAGGGCTTCTCGCTGTATATTCCCCTTGAGGCAGCAAACTCGGGGTCCCTCCCACATACCTATTGCTGAGAGAAGCCTCCTCCTCAGGTGCTTCTGGAAAGTTGGCATACGTCTTGAGCCTAAGCCAGGGAATCAGCTCTCATCTCGAGACGATTTGGGGTACAAGGAGCATTCCTCGAGTTGCTGTGCTGAAGTTGGTGTTCCTCTAGACTTGGGACAGTGTTCTCGGGGCATCTCTGGAGTTGCCTGAAGGAAGTCGAGCCACCGGTCGTGTTGAATGGGGAACGGGGAATGGCTCTGGAGTCAATGCAGGGGAATCTGGCCTCATCTCGAGTTGATTTGGGGCACATGGTGCTGCTTTGCGTTGCTGGGTGACCTCAGGGTCTGTCTCGACTGGTGACAGTGTTCTTGGGGACTGTCTCGAGACCCATTAAGCAAGTCGAAACTCCTGACTTGTTTGAATGGGATCACGGAATAGCTCTGCATGCACTGCAGGGGAATGGGGCCTCATCTCGCCTCTAGGGGGAAGTCTCATGGTTTTTATCGAGTTGCGGCGGGGACCTGGGGTATGTTCTCGACTTACGGCGGGGATGGCCCTTCAAAACACGAGTTTCTTCAGTGGCGTCAGGACTCCTGTCTAGTAACGAGGGACACCTCAGGAATCTCTCCGAGGCTTCGCAGGGCAAAAGGGACGCTTCTCGAGGTGAGGCAGGGCACCCAAGGACCCTTTCCCGTAGCCACAGGGATTTTGGGATTCCTATCTGTATTCAAGAGGAGTCAGGAATCGTCACCTTTTGAACCATGAACTGAGCGTGCCTCTCGAGGTGTCATCGGGATGTGAGGCATTCTGTCAAAATGAGGCAGGGACCTAGGGCTTTCTCTAAGTTCTCCACAGGGGATTCAGACATCCCTTCATGTTGTGAGATGAAAGACGAGCCTGTATTCAAGCCACTGCAAGGAAATCCGGCCTCCTTTCAAGTTAGGGCTTCTCGCTGTATATTCCCCTTGAGGCAGCAAACTCGGTGTCCCTCCCACGCACCTATTGCTGAGAGAAGCCTCCTCCTGAGGTGCTTCTGGAAAGTTGGCATACGTCTTGAGCCTAAGCCAGGGAATCAGCTCTCATCTCGAGACGATTTGGGGTACACAGAGCATTCCTCGATTTGCTGTGCTGAAGTTGGTGTTCCTCTAGACTTGGGACAGTGTTCTCGGGGCATCTCTGGAGTTGCCTGAAGGAAGTCGAGCCACCGGTCGTGTTGAATGGGGAACGGGGATTGACTCTGGTGTCAATGCAGGGGAATCGGGCCTCATCTCGAGTTGATTTAGGGCACTTGGTGCCGCTTTGCGTTGCTGGGGTGACCTCAGGGTCCGTCTAGACTGGTGACAGTGTTCTTGGGGACTGTCTCGAGATCCATTAAGCAAGTCGAAGCTCCTGACTTGTTTGAATGGGATCACGGAATAGCTCTGCATGCACTGCAGGGGAATGGGGCCTCATCTCGCCTCTAGGGGGAAGTCTCATGGTTTTTATCGAGTTGCAGCGGGGACCTGGGGTATGTTCTCCATTTACGGCCGGGATGGCACTTCAAAACACGAGTTTATACAGTGACGTCAGGACTCCTGTCTAGTAACGAGGGATACCTCAGGAATCTCTTCGAGGGTTGGCAGGGCAAAAGGGACGCTTCTCGAGGTGAGGCAGGGCACCCAAGGACACTTTCCAGTAGCCACAGGGATTTTGGGATTCCTATCAGTATTCAAGAGGAGTCAGGCATCGTCACCCTTTGAAGCAATGAACTCCGCGTGCCTCTCGAGGTGTCAGCCGGATGTGAGGCATTCCGTCAAAATGAGGCAGGGACTTAGGGCTTTCTCTAAGGTCTCTACAGGGGATTCAGACATCCCTTCATGTTGTGAGATGAAAGACGAGCCTGTATTCAAGCCACTGCAAGGAAATCCGGCCTCCTTTCAAGTTAGGGCTTCTCGCTGTATATTCCCCTTGAGGCAGCAAACTCGGGCTCCCTCCCACATACCTATTGCTGAGAGAAGCCTCCTCCTGAGGTGCTTCTGGAAAGGTGGCATACGTCTTGAGCCTAAGCCAGGGAATCAGCTCTCATCTTGAGACGATTTGGGGTACACGGAACATTCCTCGAGTTGCTGTGTTGAAGTTGGTGTTGCTCTAGACTTGGGACAGTGTTCTCGGGGCATCTCTGGAGTTGCCTGAAGGAAGTCGAGCCACCGGTCGTGTTGAATGGGGAACGGGGAATGGCTCTGGAGTCAATGCAGGGGAATCGTGCCTCACCTCGAGTTGATTTGGGGCACATGGAGCTGCTTTGCGTTGCTGGGGTGACCTCAGGGTCCGTCTAGACTGGTGACAGTGTTCTTGGGGACTGTCTCGAGATCCATTAAGCAAGTCGAAGCTCCTGACTTGTTTGAATGGGATCACGGAATAGCTCTGCATGCACTGCAGGGGAATGGGGCCTCATCTCGCCTCTAGGGGGAAGTCTCATCGTTTTTTTCGAATTGCGGCGGGGACCTGGGGTATGTTCTCGACTTAAGGCGGGGACGGCCCTTCAAAACACGAGTTTCTTCAGTGGCGTCAGGACTCCTGTCTAGTAACGAGGGACACCTCAGGAATCTCTCCGAGGGTTGGCAGGGGAAAAGGGACGCTTCTCGAGGTGAGGCAGGGCACCCAAGGACCCTTTCCAGTAGCCACAGGGATTTTGGGATTCCTATCAGTATTCAAGAGGAGTCAGGCATCGTCACCTTTTGAAGCAATGAACTCCGCGTGTCTCTCGAGGTGTCAGCGGGATGTGAGGCATTCCGTCAAAATGAGGCAGGGACCTTGGGCTTTCTCTAAGGTCTCCACAGTGGATTCAGACATCCCTTCATGTTGTGAGATGAAAGACGAGCCTGTATTCAAGTCACTGCAAGGAAATCCGGCCTCCTTTCAAGTTAATGCTTCTCGCTGTATATTCCCCTTGAGGCAGCAAACTCGGGGTCCCTCCCACATACCTATTGCTGAGAGAAGCCTCCTCCTGAGGTGCTTCTGGAAAGTTGGCATACGTCTTGAGCCTAAGCCAGGGAATCGGCCCTCATCTCGAGACGATTTGGGGTACACAGAGCATTCCTCGAGTTGCTGTGCTGAAGTTGGTGTTCCTCTAGACTTGGGACAGTGTTCTCGGGGCATCTCTGGAGTTGCCTGAAGGAAGTCGAGCCACCGGTCGTGTTGAATGGGGAACGGGAAATGGCTCTGGAGTCAATGCAGCGGAATCGGGCCTCATCTCGAGTTGATTTGGGGCACATGGAGCTGCTTTGCGTTGCTGGGGTGACCTCAGGGTCTGTCTCGACTGGTGACAGTGTTCTTGGGGACTGTCTCGAGACCCATTGAGCAAGTCGAAACTCCTGACTTGTTTGAATGGGATCACGGAATAGCTCTGCATGCACTGCAGGGGAATGGGGCCTCATCTCGCCTCTAGGGGGAAGTCTCATGGTTTTTATCGAGTTGCGGCGGGGACCTGGGGTATGTTCTCGACTTACGGCGGGGATGGCCCTTCAAAACACGAGTTTCTTCAGTGGCGTCAGGACTCCTGTCTAGTAACGAGGGACACCTCAGGAATCTCTCCGAGGCTTCGAAGGGCAAAAGGGACGCTTCTCGAGGTGAGGCAGGGCACCCAAGGACCCTTTCCAGTAGCCACAGGGATTTTGGGATTCCTATCAGTATTCAAGAGGAGTCAGGAATCGTCACCTTTTGAACCATGAACTCCGCGTGCCTCTCGAGGTGTCAGCGGGATGTGAGGCATTCTGTCAAAATGAGGCAGGGACCTAGGGCTTTCTCTAAGTTATCCACAGGGGATTCAGACATCCCTTCATGTTGTGAGATGAAAGACGAGCCTGTATTCAAGCCACTGCAAGGAAATCCGGCCTCCTTTCAAGTTAGGGCTTCTCGCTGTATATTCCCCTTGAGGCAGCAAACTCGGTGTCCCTCCCACGTACCTATTGCTGAGAGAAGCCTCCTCCTGAGGTGCTTCTGGAAAGTTGGCATACGTCTTGAGCCTAAGCCAGGGAATCAGCTCTCATCTCGAGACGATTTGGGGTACACAGAGCATTCCTCGAGTTGCTGTGCTGAAGTTGGTGTTCCTCTAGACTTGGGACAGTGTTCTCGGGGCATCTCTGGAGTTGCCTGAAGGAAGTCGAGCCACCGGTCGTGTTGAATGGGGAACGGGGAATTACTCTGGTGTCAATGCAGGGGAATCGGGCCTCATCTCGAGTTGATTTGGGGCACATGGAGCTGCTTTGCGTTGCTGGGGTGACCTCAGGGTCCGTCTAGACTGGTGACAGTGTTCTTGGGGACTGTCTCGAGATCCATTAAGCAAGTCGAAGCTCCTGACTTGTTTGAATGGGATCACGGAATAGCTCTGCATGCACTGCAGGGGAATGGGGCCTCATCTCGCCTCTAGGGGGAAGTCTCATGGTTTTTCTCGCGTTGTAGCGGGGACCTGGGGTATGTTCTCGATTTACGGCCGGGATGGCACATCAAAACACGAGTTTCTACAGTGACGTCAGGACTCCTGTCTAGTAACGAGGGATACCTCAGGAATCACTTCGAGGGTTGGCAGGGCAAAAGGGACGCTTCTGGAGGTGAGGCAGGGCACCCAAGGACCCTTTCCAGTAGCCACAGGGATTTTGGGATTCCTATCAGTATTCAAGAGGAGTCAGGCATCGTCACCTTTTGAAGCAATGAACTCCGCGTGCTTCTCGAGGTGTCAGCGGGATGTGAGGAATTCCGTCAAAATGAGGCAGGGACCTAGGGCTTTCTCTAAGGTCTCTACAGGGGATTCAGACATCCCTTCATGTTGTGAGATGAAAGACGAGCCTGTATTCAAGCCACTGCAAGGAAATCCGGCCTCCTTTCAAGTTAGGGCTTCTCGCTGTATATTCCCCTTGAGGCAGCAAACTCGGGGTCCCTCCCACATACCTATTGCTGAGAGAAGCCTCCTCCTCAGGTGCTTCTGGAAAGTTGGCATACGTCTTGAGCCTAAGCCAGGGAATCAGCTCTCATCTCGAGACGATTTGGGGTACACGGAGCATTCCTCGAGTTGCTGTGCTGAAGTTGGTGTTCCTCTAGACTTGGGACAGTGTTCTCGGGGCATCTCTGGAGTTGCCTGAAGGAAGTCGAGCCACCGGTCGTGTTGAATGGGGAACGGGGAATGGCTCTGGAGTCAATGCAGTGGAATCGGGCCTCATCTCGAGTTGATGTTTGGCACATGGAGCTGCTTTGCGTTGCTGGGGTGACCTCAGGGTCCGTCTAGACTGGTGACAGTGTTCTTGGGGACTGTCTCGAGACCCATTAAGCAAGTCGAAACTCCTGACTTGTTTGAATGGGATCACGGAATAGCTCTGCATGCACTGCAGGGGAATGGGGCCTCATCTCGCCTCTAGGGGGAAGTCTCATGGTTTTTATCGAGTTGCGGCGGGGACCTGGGGTATGTTCTTGACTTACGGCGGGGATGGCCCTTCAAAACACGAGTTTCTTCAGTGACGTCAGGACTCCTGTCTAGTAACCAGGGACACCTCAGGAATCTCTTTGAGGCTTCGCAGGGCAAAAGGGACTCTTCTCGAGGTGAGGCAGGGCACCCAAGGACCCTTTCCAGTAGCCACAGGGATTTGGGGATTCCTATCAGTATTCAAGAGTAGTCAGGCATCGTCACCTTTTGAACCATGAACTCCGCGTGCCTCTCGAGGTGTCAGCGGGATGTGAGGCATTCCATCAAAATGAGGCAGGGACCTAGGGCTTTCTCTAAGGTCTCCACAGGGGATTCAGACATCCCTTCATGTTGTGAGATGAAAGACGAGGTTGTATTCAAGCCACTGCAAGGAAATCCGGCCTCCTTTCAAGTTAGGGCTTCTCGCTGTATATTCCCCTTGAGTCAGCAAACTGGGGGTCCCTCCCACATACCTATTGCTGAGAGAAGCCTCCTCCTGAGGTGCTTCTGGAAACTTGGCATACGTCTTGAGCCTAAGCCAGGGAATCAGCTCTCATCTCGAGACGATTTGGGGTACACAGACCATTCCTCGAGTTGCTGTGCTGAAGTTGGTGTTCCTCTAGACTTGGGACAGTGTTCTCGGGGCATCTCTGGAGTTGCCTGAAGGAAGTCGAGCCACCGGTCGTGCTGAATGGGGAACGGGGAATGACTCTGGTGTCAATGCAGGGGAATCGGGCCTCATCTCGAGTTGATTTGGGGCACATGGAGCTGCTTTGCGTTGCTGGGGTGACCTCAGGGTCCGTCTAGACTGGTGACAGTGTTCTTGGGGACTGTCTCGAGATCCATTAAGCAAGTCGAAGCTCCTGACTTGTTTGAATGGGATCACGGAATAGCTCTGCATGCACTGCAGGGGAATGGGGCCTCATCTCGCCTCTAGGGGGAAGTTTCATGGTTTTTCTCGAGTTGCGGCGGGGACCTGGGGTATGTTCTCGACTTACGGCGGGGATGGCCCTTCAAAACACGAGTTTCTTCAGTGACGTCAGGACTCCTGTCTACTAACGAGGGACACCTCAGGAATCTCTTTGAGGCTTCGCAGGGCAAAAGGGACGCTTCTCGAGGTGAGGCAGGGCACCCAAGGACCCTTTCCAGTAGCCACAGGGATTTTGGGATTCCTATCAGTATTCAAGAGGAGTCAGGCATCGTCACCTTTTGAACCATGAACTCCGCGTGCCTCTCGAGGTGTCAGCGGGATGTGAGGCATTCTGTCAAAATGAGGCAGGGACCTAGGGCTTTCTCTAAGGTCTCCACAGGGGATTCAGACATCCCTTCATGTTGTGAGATGAAAGACGAGGTTGTATTCAAGCCACTGCAAGGAAATCCGGCCTCCTTTCAAGTTAGGGCTTCTCGCTGTATATTCCCCTTGAGGCAGCAAACTCGGGGTCCCTCCCACATACCTATTGCTGAGAGAAGCCTCCTCCTGAGGTGCTTCTGGAAAGTTGGCATACGTCTAGAGCCTAAGCCAGGGAATCGGCTCTCATCTCGAGACGATTTGGGGTACACGGAGCATTCCTCGAGTTGCTGTGCTGAAGTTGGTGTTCCTCTAGACTTGGGACAGTGTTCTCGGGGCATCTCTGGAGTTGCCTGAAGGAAGTCGAGCCACCGGTCGTGTTGAATGGGGAACGGGAAATGGCTCTGGAGTCAATGCAGGGGAATCGGGCCTCATCTCGAGTTGATTTGGGGCACATGGAGCTGCTTTGCGTTGCTGGGGTGACCTCAGGGTCTGTCTCGACTGGTGACAGTGTTCTTGGGGACTGTCTCGAGACCCATTAAGCAAGTCGAAACTCCTGACTTGTTTGAATGGGATCACGGAATAGCTCTGCATGCACTGCAGGGGAATGGGGCCTCATCTCGCCTCTAGGGGGAAGTCTCATGGTTTTTATCGAGTTGCGGCGGGGACCTGGGGTATGTTCTCGACTTACGGCGGGGATGGCCCTTCAAAACACGAGTTTCTTCAGTGGCGTCAGGACTCCTGTCTAGTAACGAGGGACACCTCAGGAATCTCTCCGAGGCTTCGCAGGGCAAAAGGGACGCTTCTCGAGGTGAGGCAGGGCACCCAAGGACCCTTTCCAGTAGCCACAGGGATTTTGGGATTCCTATCAGTATTCAAGAGGAGACAGGAATCGTCACCTTTTGAACCATGAACTCCGCGTGCCTCTCGAGGTGTCAGCGGGATGTGAGGCATTCTGTCAAAATGAGGCAGGGACCTAGGGCTTTCTCTAAGTTCTCCACAGGGGATTCAGACATCCCTTCATGTTGTGAGATGAAAGACGAGCCTGTATTCAAGCCACTGCAAGGAAATCCGGCCTCCTTTCAAGTTAGGGCTTCTCGCTGTATATTCCCCTTGAGGCAGCAAACTCGGTGTCCCTCCCACGTACCTATTGCTGAGAGAAGCCTCCTCCTGAGGTGCTTCTGGAAAGTTGGCATACGTCTTGAGCCTAAGCCAGGGAATCAGCTCTCATCTCGAGACGATTTGGGGTACACAGAGCATTCCTCGAGTTGCTGTGCTAAAGTTGGTGTTCCTCTAGACTTGGGACAGTGTTCTCGGGGCATCTCTGGAGTTGCCTGAAGGAAGTCGAGCCAACGGTCGTGTTGAATGGGGAACGGGGAATTACTCTGGTGTCAATGCAGGGGAATCGGGCCTCATCTCGAGTTGATTTGGGGCACATGGAGCTGCTTTGCGTTGCTGGGGTGACCTCAGGGTCCGTCTAGACTGGTGACAGTGTTCTTGGGGACTGTCTCGAGATCCATTAAGCAAGTCGAAGCTCCTGACTTGTTTGAATGGGATCATGGAATAGCTCTGCATGCACTGCAGGGGAATGGGGCCTCATCTCGCCTCTAGGGGGAAGTCTCATGGTTTTTCTCGAGTTGTAGCGGGGACCTGGGGTATGTTCTCGATTTACGGCCGGGATGGCACATCAAAACACGAGTTTCTACAGTGACGTCAGGACTCCTGTCTAGTAACGAGGGATACCTCAGGAATCTCTTCGAGGGTTGGCAGGGCAAAAGGGACGCTTCTCGAGGTGAGGCAGGGCACCCAAGGACCCTTTCCTGTAGCCACAGGGATTTTGGGATTCCTATCAGTATTCAAGAGGAGTCAGGCATCGTCACCTTTTGAAGCAATGAACTCCGCGTGACTCTCGAGGTGTCAGCGGGATGTGAGGCATTCCGTCAAAAGGAGGCAGGGACCTAGGGCTTTCTCTAAGGTCTCTACAGGGGATTCAGACATCCCTTCATGTTGTGAGATGAAAGACGAGCCTGTATTCAAGCCACTGCAAGGAAATCCGGCCTCCTTTCAAGTTAGGGCTTCTCGCTGTATATTCCCCTTGAGGCAGCAAACTCGGGGTCCCTCCCACATACCTATTGCTGAGAGAAGCCTCCTCCTCAGGTGCTTCTGGAAAGTTGGCATACGTCTTGAGCCTAAGCCAGGGAATCAGCTCTCATCTCGAGACGATTTGGGGTACACGGAGCATTCCTCGAGTGGCTGTGCTGAAGTTGGTGTTCCTCTAGACTTGGGACAGTGTTCTCGGGGCATCTCTGGAGTTGCCTGAAGGAAGTCGAGCCACCGGTCGTGTTGAATGGGGAATGGGGAATGACTCTGGTGTCAATGCAGGGGAATCGGGCCTCATCTCGAGTTGATTTGGGGCACATGGAGCTGCTTTGCGTTGCTGGGGTGACCTCAGGGTCCGTCTAGACTGGAGACAGTGTTCTTGGGGACTGTCTCGAGATCCATTAAGCAAGTCGAAGCTCCTGACTTGTTTGAATGGGATCACGGAATAGCTCTGCATGCACTGCAGTGGAATGGGGCCTCATCTCGCCTCTAGGGGGAAGTCTCATGGTTTTTCTCGAGTTGCAGCGGGGACCTGGGGTATGTTCTCGATTTACGGCCGGGATGGCACTTCAAAACACGAGTTTCTACAGTGACGTCAGGACTCCTGTCTAGTAACGAGGGATACCTCAGGAATCTCTTCGAGGGTTGGCAGGGCAAAAGGGACGCTTCTCGAGGTGAGGCAGGGCACCCAAGAACCCTTTCCAGTAGCCACAGGGATTTTGGGATTCCTATCAGTATTCAAGAGGAGTCAGGCATCGTCACCTTTTGAAGCAATGAACTCCCCGTGCCTCTCGAGGTGTCAGCGGGATGTGAGGCATTCCGTCAAAATGAGGCAGGGACTTAGGGCTTTCTCTAAGGTCTCTACAGGGGATTCAGACCTCCCTTCATGTTGTGAGATGAAAGACGAGCCTGTATTCAAGCCACTGCAAGGAAATCCGGCCTCCTTTCAAGTTAGGGCTTCTCACTGTATATTCCCCTTGAGGCAGCAAACTCGGGCTCCCTCCCACATACCTATTGCTGAGAGAAGCCTCCTCCTGAGGTGCTTCTGGAAAGGTGGCATACGTCTTGAGCCTAAGCCAGGGAATCAGCTCTCATCTCGAGACGATTTGGGGTACACGGAGCATTCCTCGAGTTGCTGTGTTGAAGTTGGTGTTCCTCTAGACTTGGGACAGTGTTCTCGGGGCATCTCTGGAGTTGCCTTAAGGAAGTCGAGCCACCGGTCGTGTTGAATGGGGAACGGGGAATGGCTCTGGAGTCAATGCAGGGGAATCGTGCCTCACCTCGAGTTGATTTGGGGCACATGGAGCTGCTTTGCGTTGCTGGGGTGACCTCAGGGTCCGTCTAGACTGGTGACAGTGTTCTTGGGGACTGTCTCGAGATCCATTAAGCAAGTCGAAGCTCCTGACTTGTTTGAATGGGATCACGGAATAGCTCTGCATGCACTGCAGGGGAATGGGGCCTCATCTCGCCTCTAGAAGGAAGTCTCATGGTTTTTTTCGAGTTGCGGCGGGGACCTGGGGTATGTTCTCGACTTACGGCGGGGATGGCCCTTCAAAACACGAGTTTCTTCAGTGACGTCAGGACTCCTGTCTAGTAACGAGGGACACCTCAGGAATCTCTCCGAGGATTCGCAGGGCAAAAGGGACGCTTCTCGAGGTGAGGCAGGGCACCCAAGGACCCTTTCCAGTAGCCACAGGGATTTTGGGATTCCTATCAGTATTCAAGAGGAGTCAGGCATCGTCACCTTTTGAAGCAATGAACTCAGCGTGTCTCTCGAGGTGTAAGCGGGATGTGAGGCATTCCGTCAAAATGAGGCAGGGACCTTGGGCTTTCTCTAAGGTCTCCACAGTGGATTCAGACATCCCTTCATGTTGTGAGATGAAAGACGAGCCTGTATTCAAGTCACTGCAAGGAAATCCGGCCTCCTTTCAAGTTAGTGCTTCTCGCTGTATATTCCCCTTGAGGCAGCAAACTCGGGGTCCCTCCCACATACCTATTGCTGAGAGAAGCCTCCTCCTGAGGTGCTTCTGGAAAGTTGGCATACATTTTGAGCCTAAGCCAGGGAATCAGCTCTCATCTCGAGACGATTTGGGGTACACAGAGCATTCCTCGAGTTGCTGTGCTGAAGTTGGTGTTCCTCTAGACTTGGGACAGTGTTCTCGGGGCATCTCTGGAGTTGCCTGAAGGAAGTCGAGCCACCGGTCGTGTTGAATGGGGAACGGGGAATGGCTCTGGAGTCAATGCAGGGGAATCGGGCCTCATCTCGAGTTGATTTGGGGCACATGGAGCTGCTTTGCGTTGCTGGGGTGACCTCATGGTCTGTCTCGACTGGTGACAGTGTTCTTGGGGACTGTCTCGAGACCCATTAAGCAAGTCGAAACTCCTGACTTGTTTGAATGGGATCACGGAATAGCTCTGCATGCACTGCAGGGGAATGGGGCCTCATCTCGCCTCTAGGGGGAAGTCTCATGGTTTTTATCGAGTTGCGGCGGGGACCTGGCGTATGTTCTCGACTTACGGCGGGGATGGCCCTTCAAAACACGAGTTTCTTCAGTGGCGTCAGGACTCCTGTCTAGTAACGAGGGACACCTCAGGAATCTCTCCGAGGCTTCGCAGGGCAAAAGGGACGCTTCTCGAGGTGAGGCAGGTCACCCAAGGACCCTTTCCAGTAGCCACAGGGATTTTGGGATTCCTATCAGTATTCAAGAGGAGTCAGGCATTGTCACCTTTTGAAGCAGTGAACTTCGCGTGCCTCTCGAGGTGTCAGCGGGATGTGAGGCATTCCGTCAAAATGAGGCAGGGACCTAGGGCTTTCTCTAAGGTCTCCACAAGGGATTCAGATATCCCTTCATGTTGTGAGATGAAAGACGAGCCTGTATTCAAGCCACTGCAAGGAAATCCGGCCTCCTTTCAAGTTAGGGCTTCTCGCTGTATATTCCCCTTGAGGCAGCAAACTCAGGGTCCCTCCCACATACCTATTGCTGAGAGAAGCCTCCTCCTGAGGTGCTTCTGGAAAGTTGGCATATGTCTTGAGCCTAAGCCAGGGAATCAGCTCTCATCTCGAAACGGTTTGGGGTACACGGAGCATTCCTCGAGTTGCTGTGTTGAAGTTGGTCTTCCTCTAGACTTGGGACAGTGTTCTCGGGGCATCTCTGGAGTTGCCTGAAGGAAGTGGAGCCACCGGTCGTGTTGAATGGGGAACGGGAAATGGCTCTGGTGTCAATGCAGGGGAATCGGGCCTCATCTCGAGTTGATGTGAGGCACATGGAGCTGCTTTGCGTTGCTGGGGTGACCTCAGGGTCCGTCTAGACTGGTGACAGTGTTCTTGGGGACTGTCTCGAGATCCATTAGGCAACTCGAAGCTCCTGACTTGTTTGAATGGGATCACGGAATAGCTCTGCATGCACTGCAGGGGAATGGGGCCTCATCTCGCCTCTAGGGGGAAGTCTCATGGTTTTTCTCGAGTTGCGGCGGGGGCCTGCGGTATGTTCTCGACTTACGGCGGGGATGGACCTTCAAAACACGAGTTTCTTCAGTGACGTCAGGACTCCTGTCTAGCAACGAGGGACACCTCAGGAATCTCTTCGAGGCTTGGCAGGGCAAAAGGGATGCTTCTCGAGTTGAGGCAGGGCACCCAAGGACCCTTTCAGTAGCCACAAGGATTTTGGGATTCCTATCAGTATTCAAGAGGAGTCAGGCATCGTCACCTATTGAAGCAATGAACTCCGCGTGCCTCTCGATGTGTTAGCGGGATGTGAGGCTTCCGTCAAAATGAGGCAGGGAACTAGAGCTTTCGCTAAGGTCTCAACAGGAGATTCAGACATCCCTTCATGTTGTGAGATGAAAGACGAGACTGTATTAAAGCCACTGTAAGGAAATCCGGCCTCCTTTCAAGTTAGGGCTAGTCGCTGTATATTCCCCTTGAGGGAGCAAACTCGGGGTCCCTCCCACATACCTATTGCTGAGAGAAGCCTCCTACTGAATTGCTTCTGGAAAGTTGGCATACGTCTTGAGCCTAAGCCAGAGAATCAGCTCTCATCTCGAGACGATTTGGGGTACACGGAGCATACCTCGAGTTGCTGTGCTGAAGTTGGTGTTCCTCTAGACTTGGGACAGTGATCTCGGGGCATCTCTGGAGTTGCCTGAAGGAAGTCGAGCCACCGGTCGTGTTGAATGGGGAACGGGGAATGGCTCTGGTTTCAATGCAGGGGAATCGGGCCTCATCTCGATTTGATTTGGGGCACATGGAGCTGCTTTGCGTTGCTGGGGTGACCTCAGGGTCTGTCTCGACTGGTGACAGTGTTCTTGGGGACTGTCTCGAGATCCATTAAGCAAGTCGAAGCTCCTGACTTGTTTGAATGGGATCACGGAATAGCTCTGCATGCACTGCAGGGGAATGGGGCCTCATCTCGCCTCTAGGGGGAAGTCTCATGGTTTTTCTCGAGTTGCGGCGGGGACCTGGGGTATGTTCTCGACTTACTGCGGGGATGGCCCTTCAAAATACGAGTTTCTTCAGTGACGTCAGGACTCCTGGCTAGTAACGAGGGACACCTCAGGAATCTCTCCGAGGCTTCGCAGGGCAAAAGGGATGCTTCTCGAGGTGAGGCAGGGCACCCAAGTACCCTTTCCAGTAGCCACAGGGATTTTGGGATTCCTATCAGTATTCAAGAGGAGTCAGGCATCGTCACCTTTTGAACCATGAATTCCGCGTGCCTCTCGAGGTGTCAGCGGGATGTGAGGCATTCTGTCAAAATGAGGCAGGGACCTAGGGCTTTCTCTAAGGTCTCCACAGGGGATTCAGACATCCCTTCATGTGGAGAGATGATATACGAGCCTGTATTCAAGCCACTGCAAGGAAATCCGGCCTCCTTTCAAGTTAGGGCTTCTCGCTGTATATTCCCCTTGAGGCAGCAAACTCGGGGTCCCTCCCACATACCTATTGCTGAGAGAAGCCTCCTCCTGAGGTGCTTCTGGAAAGTTAGCATACGTCTTGAGCCTAAGCCAGGGAATCAGCTCTCATCTCGAGACGATTTGGGGTACTCGGAGCATTCCTCGATTTGCTGTGCTGAAGTTGGTGTTCCTCTAGACTTGGGACAGTGTTCTCGGGGCATCTCTGGAGTTGCCTGTAGGAAGTGGAGCAAGGGGTCGTGTTGAATGGGGAACGGGGAATGGCTCTGGAGTCAATGCAGGGGAATCAGGCCTTATCTCGAGTTGATTTGGGGCACATGGAGCTGCTTTGCGTTGCTGGGGTGACCTCAGGGTCCGTCTAGACTGGTGACAGTGTTCTTGGGGACTGTCTCGAGATCCATTAAGCAAGTCGAAGCTCCTGACTTGTTTGAATGGGATCACGGAATAGCTCTGCATGCACTGCAGGGGAATGGGGCTTCATCTCGCCTCTAGGGGGAAGTCTCATGGTTTTTCTCGAGTTGCGGCGGGGAACTGGGGTATGTTCTCGACTTACGGCGGGGATGGCCCTTCAAAACACGAGTTTCTTCAGTGACGTCAGGACTCCTGTCTAGTAACGAGGGACACCTCAGGAATCTCTCCGAGGCTTCGCAGGGCAAAAGGGACGCTTCTCGAGGTGAGGCAGGGCACCAAAGGACCCTTTCCATTAGCCACAGGGATTTTGGGATTCCTATCAGTATTCAAGAGGAGTCTGGCATCGTCACCTTTTGAAGCAATGAACTCCGCGTGCCTCTCGAGGTGTCAGCGGGATGTGAGGCATTCCATCAAAAGGAGGCAGGGACCTAGGGCTTTCTCTAAGGTCTCCAAAGGGGATTCAGACATCCCTTCATGTGGAGAGACGATATACGAGCCTGTATTCAAGCCACTGCAAGGAAATCCGGCCTCCTTTCAAGTTAGGGCTTCTCGCTGTATATTCCCCTTGAGGCAGCAAACTCGGGCTCCCTCCCACATACCTATTGCTGAGAGAAGCCTCCTCCTGAGGTGCTTCTGGAAAGTTGGCATACGTCTTGAGCCTAAGCCAGGGAATCAGCTCTCATCTCGAGACGATTTGGGGTACACGGAGCATTCCTCGAGTTGCTGTGCTGAAGTTGGTGTTCCTCTAGACTTGGGACAGTGTTCTCGGGGCATCTCTGGAGTTGCCTGAAGGAAGTCGAGCCACCGGTCGTGTTGAATGGGGAACGGGGAATGGCTCTGGAGTCAATGCAGGGGAATCGGGCCTCATCTCGAGTTGATTTGGGGCACATGGAGCTGCTTTGCGTTGCTGGGGTGACCTCAGGGTCTGTCTCGACTGGTGACAGTGTTCTTGGGGACTGTCTCGAGATCCATTAAGCAAGTCGAAGCTCCTGACTTGTTTGAATGGGATCACGGAATAGCTCTGCATGCACTGCAGGGGAATGGGGCCTCATCTCGCCTCTAGGGGGAAGTCTCATGGTTTTTCTCGAGTTGCGGCGGGGACCTGGGGTATGTTCTCGACTTACTGCGGGGATGGCCCTTCAAAATACGAGTTTCTTCAGTGACGTCAGGACTCCTGGCTAGTAACGAGGGACACCTCAGGAATCTCTCCGAGGCTTCGCAGGGCAAAAGGGATGCTTCTCGAGGTGAGGCAGGGCACCCAAGTACCCTTTCCAGTAGCCACAGGGATTTTGGGATTCCTATCAGTATTCAAGAGGAGTCAGGCATCGTCACCTTTTGAACCATGAATTCCGCGTGCCTCTCGAGGTGTCAGCGGGATGTGAGGCATTCTGTCAAAATGAGGCAGGGACCTAGGGCTTTCTCTAAGGTCTCCACAGGGGATTCAGACATCCCTTCATGTGGAGAGATGATATACGAGCCTGTATTCAAGCCACTGCAAGGAAATCCGGCCTCCTTTCAAGTTAGGGCTTCTCGCTGTATATTCCCCTTGAGGCAGCAAACTCGGGGTCCCTCCCACATACCTATTGCTGAGAGAAGCCTCCTCCTGAGGTGCTTCTGGAAAGTTAGCATACGTCTTGAGCCTAAGCCAGGGAATCAGCTCTCATCTCGAGACGATTTGGGGTACTCGGAGCATTCCTCGATTTGCTGTGCTGAAGTTGGTGTTCCTCTAGACTTGGGACAGTGTTCTCGGGGCATCTCTGGAGTTGCCTGTAGGAAGTGGAGCAAGGGGTCGTGTTGAATGGGGAACGGGGAATGGCTCTGGAGTCAATGCAGGGGAATCAGGCCTTATCTCGAGTTGATTTGGGGCACATGGAGCTGCTTTGCGTTGCTGGGGTGACCTCAGGGTCCGTCTAGACTGGTGACAGTGTTCTTGGGGACTGTCTCGAGATCCATTAAGCAAGTCGAAGCTCCTGACTTGTTTGAATGGGATCACGGAATAGCTCTGCATGCACTGCAGGGGAATGGGGCTTCATCTCGCCTCTAGGGGGAAGTCTCATGGTTTTTCTCGAGTTGCGGCGGGGAACTGGGGTATGTTCTCGACTTACGGCGGGGATGGCCCTTCAAAACACGAGTTTCTTCAGTGACGTCAGGACTCCTGTCTAGTAACGAGGGACACCTCAGGAATCTCTCCGAGGCTTCGCAGGGCAAAAGGGACGCTTCTCGAGGTGAGGCAGGGCACCCAAGGACCCTTTCCATTAGCCACAGGGATTTTGGGATTCCTATCAGTATTCAAGAGGAGTCTGGCATCGTCACCTTTTGAAGCAATGAACTCCGCGTGCCTCTCGAGGTGTCAGCGGGATGTGAGGCATTCCATCAAAAGGAGGCAGGGACCTAGGGCTTTCTCTAAGGTCTCCAAAGGGGATTCAGACATCCCTTCATGTGGAGAGACGATATACGAGCCTGTATTCAAGCCACTGCAAGGAAATCCGGCCTCCTTTCAAGTTAGGGCTTCTCGCTGTATATTCCCCTTGAGGCAGCAAACTCGGGCTCCCTCCCACATACCTATTGCTGAGAGAAGCCTCCTCCTGAGGTGCTTCTGGAAAGTTGGCATACGTCTTGAGCCTAAGCCAGGGAATCAGCTCTCATCTCGAGACGATTTGGGGTACACGGAGCATTCCTCGAGTTGCTGTGCTGAAGTTGGTGTTCCTCTAGACTTGGGACAGTGTTCTCGGGGCATCTCTGGAGTTGCCTGAAGGAAGTCGAGCCACCGGTCGTGTTGAATGGGGAACGGGGAATGGCTCTGGAGTCAATGCAGGGGAATCGGGCCTCATCTCGAGTTGATTTGGGGCACATGGAGCTGCTTTGCGTTGCTGGGGTGACCTCAGGGTCTGTCTCGACTGGTGACAGTGTTCTTGGGGACTGTCTCGAGATCCATTAAGCAAGTCGAAGTTCCTCACTTGTTTGAATGGGATCACGGAATAGCTCTGCATGCACTGCAGGGGAATGGGGCCTCATCTCCCCTCTAGGGGGAAGTCTCATGGTTTTTCCCGAGTTGCGGCGGGGACCTGGGGTATGTTCTCTACTTACGGCGGATATGGCACTTCAAAACACGAGTTTCTTCAGTGACGTCAGGACTCCTGTCTAGTAATGAGGGACACGTCAGGAATCTCTCCGAGACTTCGCAGGGCAAAAGGGACGCTTCTCGAAGTGAGGCAGGGCACCCAAGGACCCTTTCCAGTAGCCACAGGGATTTTGGGATTCCTATCAGTATTCAAGAGGAGTCAGGCATCGTCACCTTTTGAAGCAATGAACTCCGCGTGCCTCTCGAGGTGTCAGCGGGATGTGAGGCATTCCGTCAAAAGGAGGCAGGGACCTAGGGCTTTCTCTAAGGTCTCCACAGGGGATTCAGACATCCCTTCATGTTGTGAGATGAAAGACGAGCCTGTATTCAAGCCACTGCAAGAAAATCCGGCCTCCTTTCAAGTTAGGGCTTCTCGCTGTATATTCCCCTTGTGGCAACAAACTCGGGCTCGCTCCCACATACCTATTGATGAGAGAAGCCTCCTCCTGAGGTGCTTCTGGAAAGTTGGCATACGTCTTGAGCCTAAGCCAGGGAATCAGCTCTCATCTCGAGACGATTTGGGGTACACGGAGCATTCCTCGAGTTGCTGTGTTGAAGTTGGTGTTCCTCTAGACTTGGGACAGTGTTCTCGGGGCATCTCTGGAATTGCATGAAGGAAGTCGAGCCACCGGTCGTGTTGAATGGGGAACGGGGAATGGCTCTGGAGTCAATGCAGGGGAATCGGGCCTCATCTCGAGTTGATTTGGGGCACATGGAGCTGCTTTGCGTTGCTGGGGTGACCTCAGGGTCTGTCTCGACTGGTGACAGTGTTCTTGGGGACTGTCTCGAGATCCATTAAGCAAGTCGAAGCTCCTGACTTGTTTGAATGGGATCACGGAATAGCTCTGCATGCACTGCAGGGGAATGGGGCCTCATTTCGCCTCTAGGGGGAAGTCTCATGGTTTTCCCGAGTTGCGGCGGGGACCTGGGGTATGTTCTCGACTTACGGCGGGGATGGCACTTCAAAACACGAGTTTCTTCAGTGACGTCAGGACTCCTGTCTAGTAATGAGGGACACGTCAGGAATCTCTCCGAGACTTCGCAGGGCAAAAGGGACGCTTCTCGAGGTGAGGCAGGGCACCCAAGGACCCTTTCCAGTAGCCACAGGGATTTTGGGATTCCTATCAGTATTCAAGAGGAGTCAGGCATCGTCACCTTTTGAACCATGAACTCCGCGTGCCTCTCGAGGTGTCAGCGGGATGTGAGGCATTCTGTCAAAATGAGGCAGGGACCTAGGGCTTTCTCTAAGGTTTCCACAGGGGATTCAGACATCCCTTCATGTTGTGAGATGAAAGACGAGCCTGTATTCAAGCCACTGCAAGTAAATCCGGCCTCCTTTCAAGTTAGGGCTTCTCGCTGTATATTCCCCTTGAGGCAGCAAACTCGGGGTCCCTCCCACATACCTATTGCTGAGAGAAGCCTCCTCCTGAGGTGCTTCTGGAAAGTTGGCATACGTCTTGAGCCTAAGCCAGGGAATCAGCTCTCATCTCGAGACGATTTGGGGTACACGGAGCATTCCTCGAGTTGCTGTGCTGAAGTTGGTGTTCCTCTAGACTTGGGACAGTGTTCTCGGGGCATCTCTGTATTTGCCTGAAGGAAGTCGAATCACCGGTCGTGTTGAATGGGGAACGGGGAATGGCTCTGGAGTCAATACAGGGGAATTGGGCCTCATCTCGAGTTGATGTGGGGCACATGGAGCTGCTTTGCGTTGCTGGGGTGACCTCAGTGTCCGTCTAGACTGGTGACAGTGTTCTTGGGGACTGTCTCGAGATCCATTAAGCAAGTCGAAGCTCCTGACTTGTTTGAATGGGATCACGGAATAGCTCTGCATGCACTGCAGGGGAATGGGGCCTCATCTCGCCTCTAGGGGGAAGTCTCATGGTTTTTCTCGAGTTGCGGCGGGGACCTGGGGTATGTTCTCGACTTACGGCGGGGATGGCCCTTCAAAATACGAGTTTCTTCAGTGACGTCAGGACTCCTGTCTAGTAACGAGGGACACCTCAGGAATCTCTCCGAGGCTTCGCAGGGCAAAAGGGACGCTTCTCGAGGTGAGGCAGGGCACCCAAGTACCCTTTCCAGTAGCCACAGGGATTTTGGGATTCCTATCAGTATTCAAGAGGAGTCAGGCATCGTCACCTTTTGAAGCAATGAACTCCGCGTGCCTCTCGAGGTGTCAGCGGGATGTGAGGCATTCCGTCAAAATGAGGCAGGGACCTAGGGCTTTCTCTAAGGTCTCCACTGGGGATTCAGACATCCCTTCATGTTGTGAGATGAAAGACGAGCCTGTATTCAAGCCACTGCAAGGAAATCCGGCCTCCTTTCAAGTTAGGGCTTCTCGCTGTATATTCCCCTTGAGGCAGCAAACTCGGGCTCCCTCCCACATACCTATTGCTGAGAGAAGCCTCCTCCTGAGGTGTTTCTGGAAAGTTGGCATACGTCTTGAGCCTAAGCCAGGGAATCAGCTCTCATCTCGAGACGATTTGGGGTACATGGAGCATTCCTCGAGTTGCTGTGCTGAAGTTGATGTTCCTCTAGACTTGGGACAGTGTTCTCGGGGCATCTCTGGAATTGCATGAAGGAAGTCGAGCCACCGGTCGTGTTGAATGGGGAACGGGGAATGGCTCTGGAGTCAATGCAGGGGAATCGGGCCTCATCTCGAGTTGATTTGGGGCACATGGAGCTGCTTTGCGTTGCTGGGGTGACCTCAGGGTCTGTCTCGACTGGTGACAGTGTTCTTGGGGACTGTCTCGAGATCCATTAAGCAAGTCGAAGCTCCTGACTTGTTTGAATGGGATCACGGAATAGCTCTGCATGCACTGCAGGGGAATGGGGCCTCATCTCGCCTCTAGGGGGAAGTCTCATGGTTTTCCCGAGTTGCGGCGGGGACCTGGGGTATGTTCTCGACTTACGGCGGGGATGGCACTTCAAAACACGAGTTTCTTCAGTGACGTCAGGACTCCTGTCTAGTAATGAGGGACACGTCAGGAATCTCTCCGAGACTTCGCAGGGCAAAAGGGACGCTTCTCGAGGTGAGGCAGGGCACCCAAGGACGCTTTCCAGTAGCCACAGGGATTTTGGGATTCCTATCAGTATTCAAGAGGAGTCAGGCATCGTCACCTTTTGAACCATGAACTCCGCGTGCCTCTCGAGGTGTCAGCGGGATGTGAGGCATTCTGTCAAAATGAGGCAGGGACCTAGGGCTTTCTCTAAGGTTTCCACAGGGGATTCAGACATCCCTTCATGTTGTGAGATGAAAGACGAGCCTGTATTCAAGCCACTGCAAGTAAATCCGGCCTCCTTTCAAGTTAGGGCTTCTCGCTGTATATTCCCCTTGAGGCAGCAAACTCGGGGTCCCTCCCACATACCTATTGCTGAGAGAAGCCTCCTCCTGAGGTGCTTCTGGAAAGTTGGCATACGTCTTGAGCCTAAGCCAGGGAATCAGCTCTCATCTCGAGACGATTTGGGGTACACGGAGCATTCCTCGAGTTGCTGTGCTGAAGTTGGTGTTCCTCTAGACTTGGGACAGTGTTCTCGGGGCATCTCTGTATTTGCCTGAAGGAAGTCGAATCACCGGTCGTGTTGAATGGGGAACGGGGAATGGCTCTGGAGTCAATACAGGGGAATTGGGCCTCATCTCGAGTTGATGTGGGGCACATGGAGCTGCTTTGCGTTGCTGGGGTGACCTCAGTGTCCGTCTAGACTGGTGACAGTGTTCTTGGGGACTGTCTCGAGATCCATTAAGCAAGTCGAAGCTCCTGACTTGTTTGAATGGGATCACGGAATAGCTCTGCATGCACTGCAGGGGAATGGGGCCTCATCTCGCCTCTAGGGGGAAGTCTCATGGTTTTTCTCGAGTTGCGGCGGGGACCTGGGGTATGTTCTCGACTTACGGCGGGGATGGCCCTTCAAAATACGAGTTTCTTCAGTGACGTCAGGACTCCTGTCTAGTAACGAGGGACACCTCAGGAATCTCTCCGAGGCTTCGCAGGGCAAAAGGGACGCTTCTCGAGGTGAGGCAGGGCACCCAAGTACCCTTTCCAGTAGCCACAGGGATTTTGGGATTCCTATCAGTATTCAAGAGGAGTCAGGCATCGTCACCTTTTGAAGCAATGAACTCCGCGTGCCTCTCGAGGTGTCAGCGGGATGTGAGGCATTCCGTCAAAATGAGGCAGGGAACTAGGGCTTTCTCTAAGGTCTCCACTGGGGATTCAGACATCCCTTCATGTTGTGAGATGAAAGACGAGCCTGTATTCAAGCCACTGCAAGGAAATCCGGCCTCCTTTCAAGTTAGGGCTTCTCGCTGTATATTCCCCTTGAGGCAAAAACTCGGGCTCCCTCCCACATACCTATTGCTGAGAGAAGCCTCCTCCTGAGGTGCTTCTGGAAAGTTGGCATACGTCTTGAGCCTAAGCCAGGGAATCAGCTCTCATCTCGAGACGATTTGGGGTACTCGGAGCATTCCTCGATTTGCTGTGCTGAAGTTGGTGTTCCTCTAGACTTGGCACAGTGTTCTCGGGGCACCTCTGGAGTTGCCTGAAGGAAGTGGAGCTACGGGTCGTGTTGAATGGGGAACGGGGAATGGCTCTGGAGTCAATTCAGGGGAATCAGGCCTTATCTCGAGTTGATTTGGGGCACATGGAGCTGCTTTGCGTTGCTGGGGTGACCTCAGTGTCCGTCTAGACTGGTGACAGTGTTCTTGGGGACTGTCTAGAGATCCATTAAGCAAGTCGAAGCTCCTGACTTGTTTGAATGGGATCACGGAATAGCTCTGCATGCACTGCAGGGGAATGGGGCTTCATCTCGCCTATAGGGGGAAGTCTCATGGTTTTTCTCGAGTTGCGGCGGGGAACTGAGGTATGTTCTCGACTTACGGCGGGGATGGCCCTTCAAAACACGAGTTTCTTCAGTGACGTCAGGACTCCTGTCTAGTAACGAGGGACACCTCAGGAATCTCTCCGAGGCTTCGCAGGGCAAAAGGGACGCTTCTCGAGGTGAGGCAGGGCACCCAAGGACCCTTTCCATTAGCCACAGGGATTTTGGGATTCCTATCAGTATTCAAGAGGAGTCAGGCATCGTCACCTTTTGAAGCAATGAACTCCACGTGCCTCTCGAGGTGTCAGCGGGATGTGAGGCATTCCGTCAAAAGGAGGCAGGGACCTAGGGCTTTCTCTAAGGTCTCCACAGGGGATTCAGACATCCCTTCATGTGGAGAGATGATATACGAGCCTGTATTCAAGCCACTGCAAGGAAATCCGGCCTCCTTTCAAGTTAGGGCTTCTCGCTGTATATTCCCCTTGAGGCAGCAAACTCGGGCTCCCTCCCACATACCTATTGCTGAGAGAAGCCTCCTCCTGAGGTGCTTCTGGAAAGTTGGCATACGTCTTGAGCCTAAGCCAGGGAATCAGCTCTCATCTCGAGACGATTTGGGGTACACGGAGCATTCCTCGAGTTGCTGTGCTGAAGTTGGTGTTCCTCTAGACTTGGGACAGTGTTCTCGGGGCATCTCTGGAGTTGCCTGAAGGAAGTCGAGCCACCGGTCGTGTTGAATGGGGAACGGGGAATGGCTCTGGAGTCAATGCAGGGGAATCGGGCCTCATCTCGTGTTGATTTGGGGCACATGGAGCTGCTTTGCGTTGCTGGGGTGACCTCAGGGTCTGTCTCGACTGGTGACAGTGTTCTTGGGGACTGTGTCGAGATCCATTAAGCAAGTCGAAGCTCCTGACTTGTTTGAATGGGATCACCGAATAGCTCTGCATGCACTGCAGGGGAATGGGGCCTCATCTCCCCTCTAGGGGGAAGTCTCATGGTTTTTCCCGAGTTGCGGCGGGGACCTGGGGTATATTCTCGACTTACGGCGGGGATGGCACTTCAAAACACGAGTTTCTTCAGTGACGTCAGGACTCCTGTCTAGTAACGAGGGACACCTCAGGAATCTCTCCGAGGCTTCGCAGGGCAAAAGGGACGCTTCTCGAGGTGAGGCAGGGCACCCAAGGACCCTTTCCAGTAGCCACAGGGATTTTGGGATTCCTATCAGTATTCAAGAGGAGTCAGGAATCGTCACCTTTTGAACCATGAACTCCGCGTGCCTCTCGAGGTGTCAGCGTGATGTGAGGCATTCTGTCAAAATGAGGCAGGGACCTAGGGCTTTCTCTAAGTTCTCCACAGGGGATTCAGACATCCCTTCATGTTGTGAGATGAAAGACGAGCCTGTATTCAAGCCACTGCAAGGAAATCCGGCCTCCTTTCAAGTTAGGGCTTCTCGCTGTATATTCCCCTTGAGGCAGCAAACTCGGTGTCCCTCCCACGTACCTATTGCTGAGAGAAGCCTCCTCCTGAGGTGCTTCTGGAAAGTTGGCATACGTCTTGAGCCTAAGCCAGGGAATCAGCTCTCATCTCGAGACGATTTGGGGTACACAGAGCATTCCTCGAGTTGCTGTGCTGAAGTTGGTGTTCCTCTAGACTTGGGACAGTGTTCTCGGGGCATCTCTGGAGTTGCCTGAAGGAAGTCGAGCCACCGGTCGTGTTGAATGGGGAACGGGGAATGACTCTGGTTTCAATGCAGGGGAATCGGGCCTCATCTCGAGTTGATTTGGGGCACATGGAGCTGCTTTGCGTTGCTGGGGTGACCTCAGGGTCCGTCTAGACTGGTGATAGTGTTCTTGGGGACTGTCTCGAGATCCATTAAGCAAGTCGAAGCTCCTGACTTGTTTGAATGGGATCACGGAATAGCTCTGCATGCACTGCAGGGGAATGGGGCCTCATCTCGCCTCTAGGGGGAAGTCTCATGGTTTTTCTCGAGTTGCGGCAGGGACCTGGGGTATGTTCTCGACTTACGGCGGGGATGGCCCTTCAAAACACGAGTTTCTTCAGTGACGTCAGGACTCCTGTCTAGTAACGAGGGACACCTCAGGAAGCTCTTCGAGGCTTGGCAGGGCAACAGGTACGCTTCTCGAGGTGAGGCAGGGCACCCAAGGACCCTTTCCAGTAGCCACAGGGATTTTGGGATTCCTATCAGTATTCAAGAAGAGTCAGGCATCGTCACCTTTTGAAGCAATGAACTCCGCGTACCTCTCGAGGTGTCAGCGGGATGTGAGGCATTCCGTCAAAATGAGGCAGGGACCTAGGGCTTTCTCTAAGGTCTCCACAGTGGATTCAGACATCCCTTCATGTTGTGAGATGAAAGACGAGCCTCTATTCAAGTCAATGCAAGGAAATCCGGCCTCCTTTCAAGTTAGGGCTTCTCGCTGTATATTCCCCTTGAGGCAGCAAACTCGGTGTCCCTCCCACGTACCTATTGCTGAGAGAAGCCTCCTCCTGAGGTGCTTCTGGAAAGTTGGCATACGTCTTGAGCCTAAGCCAGGGAATCAGCTCTCATCTCGAGACGATTTGGGGTACACGGAGCATTCCTTGAGTTGCTGTGCTGAAGTTGGTGTTCCTCTAGACTTGGGACAGTGTTCTCGGGGCATCTCTGGAGTTGCCTGAAGGAAGTCGAGCCACCGGTCGTGTTGAATGGGGAACGGGGAATGACTCTGGTGTCAATGCAGGGGAATCGGGCCTCATCTCGAGTTGATTTGGGGCACATGGAGCTGCTTTGCGTTGCTGGGGTGACCTCACGGTCCGTCTAGACTGGTGACAGTGTTCTTGGGGACTGTCTCGAGATCCATTAAGCAAGTCGAAGCTCCTGACTTGTTTGAATGGGATCACGGAATAGCTCTGCATGCACTGCAGGGGAATGAGGCCTCATCTCGCCTCTAGGGGGAAGTCTCATGGTTTTACTCGAGTTGCAGCGGGGACCTGGGGTATGTTCTCGATTTACGGCCGGGATGGCACTTCAAAACACGAGTTTCTACAGTGACGTCAGGACTCCTGTCTAGTAACGAGGGATACCTCAGGAATCTCTTCGAGGGTTGGCAGGGCAAAAGGGACGCTTCTCGAGGTGAGGCAGGGCACCCAAGGACCCTTTCCAGTAGCCACAGGGATTTTGGGATTTCTATCAGTATTCAAGAGGAGTCAGGCATCGTCACCTTTTGAAGCAATGAACTCCGCGTGCCTCTCGAGGTGTCAGCGGGATGTGAGGCATTCCGTCAAAATGAGGCAGGGACCTAGGGCTTTCTCTAAGGGCTCTACAGGGGATTCAGACATCCCTTCATGTTGTGAGATGAAAGACGAGCCTGTATTCAAGCCACTGCAAGGAAATCCGGCCTCCTTTCAAGTTAGGGCTTCTCGCTGTATATTCCCCTTGAGGCAGCAAACTCGGGCTCCCTCCCACATACCTATTGCTGAGAGAAGCCTTCTCCTGAGGTGCTTCTGGAAAGGTGGCATACTTCTTGAGCCTAAGCCAGGGAATCGGCTCTCATCTCGAGACGATTTGGGGTACACGGAACATTCCTCGAGTTGCTGTGTTGAAGTTGGTGTTCCTCTAGACTTGGGACAGTGTTCTCGGGGCATCTCTGGAGTTGCCTGAAAGAAGTCCAGCCACCGGTCGTGTTGAATGGGGAACGGGGAATGGCTCTGGAGTCAATGCAGGGGAATTGGGCCTCACCTCGAGTTGATTTGGGGCACATGGAGCTGCTTTGCGTTGCTGGGGTGACCTCAGGGTCCGTCTAGACTGGTGACAGTGTTCTTGGGGACTGTCTCGAGATCCATTAAGCAAGTCGAAGCTCCTGACTTGTTTGAATGGGATCACGGAATAGCTCTGCATCCACTGCAGGGGAATGGGGCCTCATCTCGCCTCTAGGGGGAAGTCTCATGGTTTTTCTCGAGTTGCGGCGGGGACCTGGGGTATGTTCTCGACTTACGGCGGGGATGGCCCTTCAAAACACGAGTTTCTTCAGTGACGTCAGGACTCCTCTCTAGTAACGAGGGACACCTCAGGAATCTCTCCGAGGCTTCGCAGGGCAAAAAGGACGCTTCTCGAGGTGAGGCAGGGCACCCAAGGACCCTTTCCAGTAGCCACAGGGATTTTGGGATTCCTATCAGTGTTCAAGAGGAGTCAGGCATCGTCACCTTTTGAACCATGAACTCCGCATGCCTCTCGAGGTGTCAGCGGGATGTGAGGCATTCTGTCAAAATGAGGCAGGGACCTAGGGCTTTCTCTAAGGTCTCCACAGGGGATTCAGACATCCCTTCATGTTGTGAGATGAAAGACGAGCCTGTATTCAAGCCACTGCAAGGAAATCCGGCCTCCTTTCAAGTTAGGGCTTCTCGCTGTATATTCCCCTTGAGGCAGCAAACTCGGTGTCCCTCCCACGTACCTATTGCTGAGAGAAGCCTCCTCCTGAGGTGCTTCTGGAAAGTTGGCATACGTCTTGAGCCTAAGCCAGGGAATCAGCTCTCATCTCGAGACGATTTGGGGTACACAGAGCATTCCTCGAGTTGCTGTGCTGAAGTTGGTGTTCCTCTAGACTTGGGACAGTGTTCTCGGGGCATCTCTGGAGTTGCCTGAAGGAAGTCGAGCCACCGGTCGTGTTGAATGGGGAACGGGGAATGACTCTGGTGTCAATGCAGGGGAATCGGGCCTCATCTCGAGTTGATTTGGGGCACATGGAGCTGCTTTGCGTTGCTGGGGTGACCTCAGGGTCCGTCTAGACTGGTGACAGTGTTCTTGGGGACTGTCTCGAGATCCATTAAGCAAGTCGAAGCTCCTGACTTGTTTGAATGGGATCACGGAATAGCTCTGCATGCACTGCAGGGGAATGAGGCCTCATCTCGCCTCTAGGGGGAAGTCTCATGGTTTTTCTCGAGTTGCAGCGGGGACCTGGGGTATGTTCTCGATTTACGGCCGGGATGGCACTTCAAAACACGAGTTTCTACAGTGACGTCAGGACTCCTGTCTAGTAACGAGGGATACCTCAGGAATCTCTTCGAGGGTTGGCAGGGCAAAAGGGACGCTTCTCGAGGTGAGGCAGGGCACCCAAGGACCCTTTCCAGTAGCCACAGGGATTTTGGGATTTCTATCAGTATTCAAGAGGAGTCAGGCATCGTCACCTTTTGAAGCAATGAACTCCGCGTGCCTCTCGAGGTGTCAGCGGAATGTGAGGCATTCCGTCAAAATGAGGCAGGGACCTAGGGCTTTCTCTAAGGTCTCCACAGTGGATTCAGACATCCCTTCATGTTGTGAGATGAAAGACGAGCCTCTATTCAAGTCAATGCAAGGAAATCCGGCCTCCTTTCAAGTTAGGGCTTCTCGCTGTATATTCCCCTTGAGGCAGCAAACTCGGTGTCCCTCCCACGTACCTATTGCTGAGAGAAGCCTCCTCCTGAGGTGCTTCTGGAAAGTTGGCATACGTCTTGAGCCTAAGCCAGGGAATCAGCTCTCATCTCGAGACGATTTGGGGTACACGGAGCATTCCTTGAGTTGCTGTGCTGAAGTTGGTGTTCCTCTAGACTTGGGACAGTGTTCTCGGGGCATCTCTGGAGTTGCCTGAAGGAAGTCGAGCCACCGGTCGTGTTGAATGGGGAACGGGGAATGACTCTGGTGTCAATGCAGGGGAATCGGGCCTCATCTCGAGTTGATTTGGGGCACATGGAGCTGCTTTGCGTTGCTGGGGTGACCTCACGGTCCGTCTAGACTGGTGACAGTGTTCTTGGGGACTGTCTCGAGATCCATTAAGCAAGTCGAAGCTCCTGACTTGTTTGAATGGGATCACGGAATAGCTCTGCATGCACTGCAGGGGAATGAGGCCTCATCTCGCCTCTAGGGGGAAGTCTCATGGTTTTACTCGAGTTGCAGCGGGGACCTGGGGTATGTTCTCGATTTACGGCCGGGATGGCACTTCAAAACACGAGTTTCTACAGTGACGTCAGGACTCCTGTCTAGTAACGAGGGATACCTCAGGAATCTCTTCGAGGGTTGGCAGGGCAAAAGGGACGCTTCTCGAGGTGAGGCAGGGCACCCAAGGACCCTTTCCAGTAGCCACAGGGATTTTGGGATTTCTATCAGTATTCAAGAGGAGTCAGGCATCGTCACCTTTTGAAGCAATGAACTCCGCGTGCCTCTCGAGGTGTCAGCGGGATGTGAGGCATTCCGTCAAAATGAGGCAGGGACCTAGGGCTTTCTCTAAGGGCTCTACAGGGGATTCAGACATCCCTTCATGTTGTGAGATGAAAGACGAGCCTGTATTCAAGCCACTGCAAGGAAATCCGGCCTCCTTTCAAGTTAGGGCTTCTCGCTGTATATTCCCCTTGAGGCAGCAAACTCGGGCTCCCTCCCACATACCTATTGCTGAGAGAAGCCTTCTCCTGAGGTGCTTCTGGAAAGGTGGCATACTTCTTGAGCCTAAGCCAGGGAATCGGCTCTCATCTCGAGACGATTTGGGGTACACGGAACATTCCTCGAGTTGCTGTGTTGAAGTTGGTGTTCCTCTAGACTTGGGACAGTGTTCTCGGGGCATCTCTGGAGTTGCCTGAAAGAAGTCCAGCCACCGGTCGTGTTGAATGGGGAACGGGGAATGGCTCTGGAGTCAATGCAGGGGAATTGGGCCTCACCTCGAGTTGATTTGGGGCACATGGAGCTGCTTTGCGTTGCTGGGGTGACCTCAGGGTCCGTCTAGACTGGTGACAGTGTTCTTGGGGACTGTCTCGAGATCCATTAAGCAAGTCGAAGCTCCTGACTTGTTTGAATGGGATCACGGAATAGCTCTGCATCCACTGCAGGGGAATGGGGCCTCATCTCGCCTCTAGGGGGAAGTCTCATGGTTTTTCTCGAGTTGCGGCGGGGACCTGGGGTATGTTCTCGACTTACGGCGGGGATGGCCCTTCAAAACACGAGTTTCTTCAGTGACGTCAGGACTCCTCTCTAGTAACGAGGGACACCTCAGGAATCTCTCCGAGGCTTCGCAGGGCAAAAAGGACGCTTCTCGAGGTGAGGCAGGGCACCCAAGGACCCTTTCCAGTAGCCACAGGGATTTTGGGATTCCTATCAGTGTTCAAGAGGAGTCAGGCATCGTCACCTTTTGAACCATGAACTCCGCATGCCTCTCGAGGTGTCAGCGGGATGTGAGGCATTCTGTCAAAATGAGGCAGGGACCTAGGGCTTTCTCTAAGGTCTCCACAGGGGATTCAGACATCCCTTCATGTTGTGAGATGAAAGACGAGCCTGTATTCAAGCCACTGCAAGGAAATCCGGCCTCCTTTCAAGTTAGGGCTTCTCGCTGTATATTCCCCTTGAGGCAGCAAACTCGGTGTCCCTCCCACGTACCTATTGCTGAGAGAAGCCTCCTCCTGAGGTGCTTCTGGAAAGTTGGCATACGTCTTGAGCCTAAGCCAGGGAATCAGCTCTCATCTCGAGACGATTTGGGGTACACAGAGCATTCCTCGAGTTGCTGTGCTGAAGTTGGTGTTCCTCTAGACTTGGGACAGTGTTCTCGGGGCATCTCTGGAGTTGCCTGAAGGAAGTCGAGCCACCGGTCGTGTTGAATGGGGAACGGGGAATGACTCTGGTGTCAATGCAGGGGAATCGGGCCTCATCTCGAGTTGATTTGGGGCACATGGAGCTGCTTTGCGTTGCTGGGGTGACCTCAGGGTCCGTCTAGACTGGTGACAGTGTTCTTGGGGACTGTCTCGAGATCCATTAAGCAAGTCGAAGCTCCTGACTTGTTTGAATGGGATCACGGAATAGCTCTGCATGCACTGCAGGGGAATGAGGCCTCATCTCGCCTCTAGGGGGAAGTCTCATGGTTTTTCTCGAGTTGCAGCGGGGACCTGGGGTATGTTCTCGATTTACGGCCGGGATGGCACTTCAAAACACGAGTTTCTACAGTGACGTCAGGACTCCTGTCTAGTAACGAGGGATACCTCAGGAATCTCTTCGAGGGTTGGCAGGGCAAAAGGGACGCTTCTCGAGGTGAGGCAGGGCACCCAAGGACCCTTTCCAGTAGCCACAGGGATTTTGGGATTTCTATCAGTATTCAAGAGGAGTCAGGCATCGTCACCTTTTGAAGCAATGAACTCCGCGTGCCTCTCGAGGTGTCAGCGGAATGTGAGGCATTCCGTCAAAATGAGGCAGGGACCTAGGACTTTCTCTAATGTCTCCACAGTGGATTCAGACATCCCTTCATGTTGTGAGATGAAAGACGAGCCTGTATACAAGTCACTGCAAGGAAATCCGGCCTCCTTTCAAGTTAGTGCTTCTCGCTGTATATTCCCTTTGAGGCAGCAAACTCGGGGTCGCTCCCACATACCTATTGCTGAGAGAAGCCTCCTCCTCAGGTGCTTCTGGAAAGTTGGCATACGTCTTGAGCCTAAGCCAGGGAATCAGCTGTCATCTCGAGACGATTTGGGGTACACAGAGCATTCCTCCAGTTGCTGTGCTGAAGTTGGTGTTCCTCTAGACTTGGGACAGTGTTCTCGGGGCATCTCTGGAGTTGCCTTAAAGAAGTGGAGCCACCGGTCGTGTTGAATGGGGAACGGGGAATGGCTCTGGAGTCAATGCAGGGGAATCGGGCCTCATCTCGAGTTGATGTGGGGCACATGGAGCTGCTTTGCGTTGCTGGGGTGACCTCAGGGTCTGTCTCGACTGGTGACAGTGTTCTTGGGGACTGTCTCGAGATCCATTAAGCAAGTCGAAACTCCTGACTTGTTTGAATGGGATCACGGAATAGCTCTGCATGCACTGCAGGGGAATGGGGCCTCATCTCGCCTCTAGGGGGAAGTCTCATGGTTTTTATCGAGTTGCGGCGGGGACCTGGGGTATGTTCTCGACTTACGGCGGGGATGGCCCTTCAAAACACGAGTTTCTTCAGTGGCGTCAGGACTCCTGTCTAGTAATGAGGGACACCTCAGGAATCTCTCCGAGGCTTCGCAGGGCAAAAGGGACGCTTCTCGAGGTGAGGCAGGGCACCCAAGAACCCTTTCCAGTAGCCACAGGGATTTTGGGATTCATATCAGTATTCAAGAGGAGTCAGGCATCGTCACCTTTTGAACCATGAACTCCGCGTGCCTCTCGAGGTGTCAGCGGGATGTGAGGCATTCTGTCAAAATGAGGCAGGGACCTAGGGCTTTCTCTAAGGTCTCCACAGGGGATTCAGACATCCCTTCATGTTGTGAGATGAAAGACGAGCCTGTATTCAAGCCACTGCAAGGAAATCCGGCCTCCTTTCAAGTTAGGGCTTCTCGCTGTATATTCCCCTTGAGGCAGCAAACTCGGTGTCCCTCCCACGTACCTATTGCTGAGAGAAGCCTCCTCCTGAGGTGCTTCTGGAAAGTTGGCATACGTCTTGAGCCTAAGCCAGGGAATCAGCTCTCATCTCGAGACGATTTGGGGTACACAGAGCATTCCTCGAGTTGCTGTGCTGAAGTTGGTGTTCCTCTAGACTTGGGGCAGTATTCTCGGGGAATCTCTGGAGTTGCCTGAAGGAAGTCGAGCCACCGGTCGTGTTGAATGGGGAACGGGGAATGACTCTGGTGTCAATGCAGGGGAATCGGGCCTCATCTCGAGTTGATTTGGGGCACATGGAGCTGCTTTGCGTTGCTGGGGTGACCTCAGGGTCCGTCTAGACTGGTGACAGTGTTCTTGGGGACTGTCTCGAGATCCATTAAGCAAGTCGAAGCTCCTGACTTGTTTGAATGGGATCACGGAATAGCTCTGCATGCACTGCAGGGGAATGGGGCCTCGTCTCGCCTCTAGGGGGAAGTCTCATGGTTTTTCTCGAGTTGCGGCGGGGACCTGGGGTATGTTCTCGATTTACGGCCGGGATGGCCCTTCAAAACACGAGTTTCTTCAGTGACGTCAGGACTCCTGTCTAGTAACGAGGGACACCTCAGGATTCTCTCCGAGGCTTCGCAGGGCAAAAGGGACGCTTCTCGAGGTGAGGCAGGGCACCCAAGGACCCTTTCCAGTAGCCACAGGGATTTTGGGATTCCTATCAGTGTTCAAGAGGAGTCAGGCATCGTCACCTTTTGAACCATGAACTCCGCGTGCCTCTCGAGGTGTCAGCGGGATGTGAGGCATTCTGTCAAAATGAGGCAGGGACCTAGGGCTTTCTCTAAGGTCTCCACAGGGGATTCAGACATCCCTTCATGTTGTGAGATGAAAGACGAGCCTGTATTCAAGCCACTGCAAGGAAATCCGGCCTCCTTTCAAGTTAGGGCTTCTTGCTGTATATTCCCCTTGAGGCAGCAAACTCGGGCTCCCTCCCACGTACCTATTGCTGAGAGAAGCCTCCTCCTGAGGTGCTTCTGGAAAGTTGGCATACGTCTTGAGCCTAAGCCAGGGAATCAGCTCTCATGTCGAGACGATTTGGGGTACACGGAGCATTCCTCGAGTTGCTGTGCTGAAGTTGGTGTTCCTCTAGACTTGGGAGAGTGTTCTCGGGGCATCTCTGGAGTTGCCTGAAGGAAGTCGAGCCACCGGTCGTGTTGAATGGGGAACGGGGAATGGCTCTGGAGTCAATGCAGGGGAATCGGGCCTCATCTCGAGTTGATTTAGGGCACATGGAGCTGCTTTGCGTTGCTGGGGTGATCTCAGGGTCTGTCTTGACTGGTGACAGTGTTCTTGGGGACTGTCTAGAGATCCATTAAGCAAGTCGAAGCTCCTGACTTGTTTGAATGGGATCACGGAATAGCTCTGCATGCACTGCAGGGGAATGGGGCCTCATCTCGCCTCTAGGGGGAAGTCTCATGGTTTTTCCCGAGTTGCGGCGGGACCTGGGGTATGTTCTCGACTTACGGCGGGGATGGCACTTCAAAACACGAGTTTCTTCAGTGACGTCAGGACTCCTGTCTAGTAATGAGGGACACGTCTGGAATCTCTCCGAGACTTCGCAGGGCAAAAGGGACGCTTCTCGAGATGAGGCAGGGCACCCAAGGACCCTTTCCAGTAGCCACAGGGATTTTGGGATTCCTATCAGTATTCAAGAGGAGTCAGGCATCGTCACCTTTTGAACCATGAACTCCGCGTGCCTCTCGAGGTGTCAGCGGGATGTGAGGCATTCTGTCAAAATGAGGCAGGGACCTAGGGCTTTCTCTAATGTCTCCACAGGGGATTCAGACTTCACTTCATGTTGTGAGATGAAAGATGTGCCTGTATTCAAGCCACTGCAAGGAAATCCGGCCTCCTTTCAAGTTAGGGCTTCTCGCAGTATATTCCCCTTGAGGCAGCAAACTCGGGGTCCCTCCCACATACCTATTGCTGAGAGAAGCCTCCTCCTGAGGTGTTTCTGGAAAGTTGGCATACGTCTTGAGCGTAAGCCGGGGAATCAGCTGTCATCTCGAGACGATTTGGGGTACACGGAGCATTCCTCGAGTTGCTGTGCTTAAGTTGGTGTTCCTCTAGACTTGGGACAGTGTTCTCGGGGCATCTCTGGAGTTGCCTGAAGGAAGTCGAGCCACCGGTCGTGTTGAATGGGGAACGGGGAATGTCTCTGGAGTCAATGCAGGGAAATCGGGCCTCATCTCGAGTTGATTTGGGGCACATGGAGCTGCTTTGCGTTGCTGGGGTGACCTCAGGGTCCGTCTAGACTGGTGACAGTGTTCTTGGGGACTGTCTCGAGATCCATTAAGCAAGTCGAAGCTCCTGACTTGTTTGAATGGGATCACGGAATAGCTCTGCATGCACTGCAGGGGAATGGGGCCTCATCTCGCCTCTAGGGGGAAGTCTCATGGTTTTTCTCGAGTTGCGGCAGGGACCTGGGGTATGTTCTCGACTTACGGCGGGGATGGCCCTTCAAAACACGAGTTTCTTCAGTGACGTCAGGACTCCTGTCTAGTAACGAGGGACACCTCAGGAAGCTCTTCGAGGCTTGGCAGGGCAACAGGTACGCTTCTCGAGGTGAGGCAGGGCACCCAAGGACCCTTTCCAGTAGCCACAGGGATTTTGGGATTCCTATCAGTATTCAAGAAGAGTCAGGCATCGTCACCTTTTGAAGCAATGAACTCCGCGTACCTCTCGAGGTGTCAGCGGGATGTGAGGCATTCCATCAAAATGAGGCAGGGACCTAGGGCTTTCTCTAAGGTCTCCACAGTGGATTCAGACATCCCTTCATGTTGTGAGATGAAAGACGAGCCTGTATTCAAGTCAATGCAAGGAAATCCGGCCTCCTTTCAAGTTAGGGCTTCTCGCTGTATATTCCCCTTGAGGCAGCAAACTCGGTGTCCCTCCCACGTACCTATTGCTGAGAGAAGCCTCCTCCTGAGGTGCTTCTGGAAAGTTGGCATACGTCTTGAGCCTAAGCCAGGGAATCAGCTCTCATCTCGAGACGATTTGGGGTACACGGAGCATTCCTCGAGTTGCTGTGCTGAAGTTGGTGTTCCTCTAGACTTGGGACAGTGTTCTCGGGGCATCTCTGGAGTTGCCTGAAGGAAGTCGAGCCACCGGTCGTGTTGAATGGGGAACGGGGAATGACTCTGGTGTCAATGCAGGGGAATCGGGCCTCATCTCGAGTTGATTTGGGGCACATGGAGCTGCTTTGCGTTGCTGGGGTGACCTCAGGGTCCGTCTAGACTGGTGACATTGTTCTTGGGGACTGTCTCAGATCCATTAAGCAAGTCGAAGCTCCTGACTTGTTTGAATGGGATCACGGAATAGCTCTGCATGCACTGCAGGGGAAGGAGGCCTCATCTCGCCTCTAGGGGGAAGTCTCATGGTTTTACTCGAGTTGCAGCGGGGACCTGGGGTATGTTCTCGATTTACGGCCGGGATGGCACTTCAAAACACGAGTTTCTACAGTGACGTCAGGACTCCTGTCTAGTAACGAGGGATACCTCAGGAATCTCTTCGAGGGTTGGCAGGGCAAAAGGGACGCTTCTCGAGGTGAGGCAGGGCACCCAAGGACCCTTTCCAGTAGCCACAGGGATTTTGGGATTTCTATCAGTATTCAAGAGGAGTCAGGCATCGTCACCTTTTGAAGCAATGAACTCCGCGTGCCTCTCGAGGTGTCAGCGGGATGTGAGGCATTCCGTCAAAATGAGGCAGGGACCTAGGGCTTTCTCTAAGGGCTCTACAGGGGATTCAGACATCCCTTCATGTTGTGAGATGAAAGACGAGCCTGTATTCAAGCCACTGCAAGGAAATCCGGCCTCCTTTCAAGTTAGGGCTTCTCGCTGTATATTCCCCTTGAGGCAGCAAACTCGGGCTCCCTCCCACATACCTATTGCTGAGAGAAGCCTTCTCCTGAGGTGCTTCTGGAAAGGTGGCATACTTCTTGAGCCTAAGCCAGGGAATCGGCTCTCATCTTGAGACGATTTGGGGTACACGGAACATTCCTCGAGTTGCTGTGTTGAAGTTGGTGTTCCTCTAGACTTGGGACAGTGTTCTCGGGGCATCTCTGGAGTTGCCTGAAAGAAGTCCAGCCACCGGTCGTGTTGAATGGGGAACGGGGAATGGCTCTGGAGTCAATGCAGGGGAATTGGGCCTCACCTCGAGTTGAATTGGGGCACATGGAGCTGCTTTGCGTTGCTGGGGTGACCTCAGGGTCCGTCTAGACTGGTGACAGTGTTCTTGGGGACTGTCTCGAGATCCATTAAGCAAGTCGAAGCTCCTGACTTGTTTGAATGGGATCACGGAATAGCTCTGCATCCACTGCAGGGGAATGGGGCCTCATCTCGCCTCTAGGGGGAAGTCTCATGGTTTTTATCGAGTTGCGGCGGGGACCTGGGGTATGTTCTCGACTTACGGCGGGGATGGCCCTTCAAAACACGAGTTTCTTCAGTGACGTCAGGACTCCTCTCTAGTAACGAGGGACACCTCAGGAATCTCTCCGAGGCTTCGCAGGGCAAAAAGGACGCTTCTCGAGGTGAGTCAGGGCACCCAAGGACCCTTTCCAGTAGCCACAGGGATTTTGGGATTCCTATCAGTGTTCAAGAGGAGTCAGGCATCGTCACCTTTTGAACCATGAACTCCGCGTGCCTCTCGAGGTGTCAGCGGGATGTGAGGCATTCTGTCAAAATGAGGCAGGGACCTAGGGCTTTCTCTAAGGTCTCCACAGGGGATTCAGACATCCCTTCATGTTGTGAGATGAAAGACGAGCCTGTATTCAAGCCACTGCAAGGAAATCCGGCCTCCTTTCAAGTTAGGGCTTCTCGCTGTATATTCCCCTTGAGGCAGCAAACTCGGTGTCCCTCCCACGTACCTATTGCTGAGAGAAGCCTCCTCCTGAGGTGCTTCTGGAAAGTTGGCATACGTCTTGAGCCTAAGCCAGGGAATCAGCTCTCATCTCGAGACGATTTGGGGTACACAGAGCATTCCTCGAGTTGCTGTGCTGAAGTTGGTGTTCCTCTAGACTTGGGACAGTGTTCTCGGGGCATCTCTGGAGTTGCCTGAAGGAAGTCGATCCACCGGTCGTGTTGAATGGGGAACGGGGAATGACTCTGGTGTCAATGCAGGGGAATCGGGCCTCATCTCGAGTTGATTTGGGGCACATGGATCTGCTTTGCGTTGCTGGGGTGACCTCAGGGTCCGTCTAGACTGGTGACAGTGTTCTTGGGGACTGTCTCGAGATCCATTAAGCAAGTCGAAGCTCCTGACTTGTTTGAATGGGATCACGGAATAGCTCTGCATGCACTGCAGGGGAATGAGGCCTCATCTCGCCTCTAGGGGGAAGTCTCATGGTTTTTCTCGAGTTGCGGCGGGGACCTGGGGTATGTTCTCGATTTACGGCCGGGATGGCACTTCAAAACACGAGTTTCTACAGTGACGTCAGGACTCCTGTCTAGTAACGAGGGATACCTCAGGAATCTCTTCGAGGGTTGGCAGGGCAAAAGGGACGCTTCTCGAGGTGAGGCAGGGCACCCAAGGACCCTTTCCAGTAGCCACAGGGATTTTGGGATTTCTATCAGTATTCAAGAGGAGTCAGGCATCGTCACCTTTTGAAGCAATGAACTCCGCGTGCCTCTCGAGGTGTCAGCGGAATGTGAGGCATTCCGTCAAAATGAGGCAGGGACCTAGGGCTTTCTCTAATGTCTCCACAGTGGATTCAGACATCCCTTCATGTTGTGAGATGAAAGACGAGCCTGTATTCAAGTCACTGCAAGGAAATCCGGCCTCCTTTCAAGTTAGTGCTTCTCGCTGTATATTCCCCTTGAGGCAGCAAACTCGGGGTCGCTCCCACATACCTATTGCTGAGAGAAGCCTCCTCCTCAGGTGCTTCTGGAAAGTTGGCATACGTCTTGAGCCTAAGCCAGGGAATCAGCTGTCATCTCGAGACGATTTGGGGTACACAGAGCATTCCTCCAGTTGCTGTGCTGAAGTTGGTGTTCCTCTAGACTTGGGACAGTGTTCTCGGGGCATCTCTGGAGTTGCCTTAAAGAAGTGGAGCCACCGGTCGTGTTGAATGGGGAACGGGGAATGGCTCTGGAGTCAATGCAGGGGAATCGGGCCTCATCTCGAGTTGATGTGGGGCACATGGAGCTGCTTTGCGTTGCTGGGGTGACCTCAGGGTCTGTCTCGACTGGTGACAGTGTTCTTGGGGACTGTCTCGAGATCCATTAAGCAAGTCGAAACTCCTGACTTGTTTGAATGGGATCACGGAATAGCTCTGCATGCACTGCAGGGGAATAGGGCCTCATCTCGCCTCTAGGGGGAAGTCTCATGGTTTTTATCGAGTTGCGGCGGGGACCTGGGGTATGTTCTCGACTTACGGCGGGGATGGCCCTTCAAAACACGAGTTTCTTCAGTGGCGTCAGGACTCCTGTCTAGTAACGAGGGACACCTCAGGAATCTCTCCGAGGCTTCGCAGGGCAAAAGGGACGCTTCTCGAGGTGAGGCAGGGCACCCAAGGACCCTTTCCAGTAGCCACAGGGATTTTGGGATTCCTATCAGTATTCAAGAGGAGTCAGGCATCGTCACCTTTTGAAGCAATGAACTCCGCGTGCCTCTCGAGCTGTCAGCAGGATGTGAGGCATTCCGTCAAAATGAGGCAGGGACCTAGGGCTTTCTCTAAGGTCTCCACAGTGGAGTCAGACAACCCTTCATGTTGTGAGATGAAAGACGAGCCTGTATTCAAGTCACTGCAAGGAAATCCGGCCTCCTTTCAAGTTAGTGCTTCTCGCTGTATATTCCCCTTGAGGCAGCAAACTCGGGGTCCCTCCCACATACCTATTGCTGAGAGAAGCCTCCTCCTCAGGTGCTTCTGGAAAGTTGGCATACGTCTTGAGCCTAAGCCAGGGAATCAGCTCTCATCTCGAGACGATTTGGGGTACACAGAGCATTCCTCGAGTTGCTGTGCTGAAGTTGGTGTTCCTCTAGACTTGGGACAGTGTTCTTGGGGCATCTCTGGAGTTGCCTGAAGGAAGTCGATCCACCGGTCGTGTTGAATGGGGAACGGGGAATGGCTCTGGAGTCAATGCAGGGGAATCGGGCCTCATCTCGAGTTGATGTGGGGCACATGGAGCTGCTTTGCGTTGCTGGGGTGACCTCAGGGTCTGTCTCGACTGGTGACAGTGTTCTTGGGGACTGTCTCGAGATCCATTAAGCAAGTCGAAACTCCTGACTTGTTTGAATGGGATCACGGAATAGCTCTGCATGCACTGCAGGGGAATGGGGCCTCATCTCGCCTCTAGGGGGAAGTCTCATGGTTTTTATCGAGTTGCGGCGGGGACCTGGGGTATGTTCTCGACTTACGGCGGGGATGGCCCTTCAAAACACGAGTTTCTTCAGTGGCGTCAGGACTCCTGTCTAGTAATGAGGGACACCTCAGGAATCTCTCCGAGGCTTCGCAGGGCAAAAGGGACGCTTCTCGAGGTGAGGCAGGGCACCCAAGAACCCTTTCCAGTAGCCACAGGGATTTTGGGATTCATATCAGTATTCAAGAGGAGTCAGGCATCGTCACCTTTTGAACCATGAACTCCGCGTGCCTCTCGAGGTGTCAGCGGGATGTGAGGCATTCTGTCAAAATGAGGCAGGGACCTAGGGCTTTCTCTAAGGTCTCCACAGGGGATTCAGACATCCCTTCATGTTGTGAGATGAAAGACGAGCCTGTATTCAAGCCACTGCAAGGAAATCCGGCCTCCTTTCAAGTTAGGGCTTCTCGCTGTATATTCCCCTTGAGGCAGCAAACTCGGTGTCCCTCCCACGTACCTATTGCTGAGAGAAGCCTCCTCCTGAGGTGCTTCTGGAAAGTTGGCATACGTCTTGAGCCTAAGCCAGGGAATCAGCTCTCATCTCGAGACGATTTGGGGTACACAGAGCATTCCTCGAGTTGCTGTGCTGAAGTTGGTGTTCCTCTAGACTTGGGACAGTGTTCTCGGGGAATCTCTGGAGTTGCCTGAAGGAAGTCGAGCCACCGGTCGTGTTGAATGGGGAACGGGGAATGACTCTGGTGTCAATGCAGGGGAATCGGGCCTCATCTCGAGTTGATTTGGGGCACATGGAGCTGCTTTGCGTTGCAGGGGTTACCTCAGGGTCCGTCTAGACTGGTGACAGTGTTCTTGGGGACTGTCTCGAGATCCATTAAGCAAGTCGAAGCTCCTGACTTGTTTGAATGGGATCACGGAATAGCTCTGCATGCACTGCAGGGGAATGGGGCCTCGTCTCGCCTCTAGGGGGAAGTCTCATGGTTTTTCTCGAGTTGCGGCGGGGACCTGGGGTATGTTCTCGATTTACGGCCGGGATGGCCCTTCAAAACACGAGTTTCTTCAGTGACGTCAGGACTCCTGTCTAGTAACGAGGGACACCTCAGGATTCTCTCCGAGGCTTCGCAGGGCAAAAGGGACGCTTCTCGAGGTGAGGCAGGGCACCCAAGGACCCTTTCCAGTAGCCACAGGGATTTTGGGATTCCTATCAGTGTTCAAGAGGAGTCAGGCATCGTCACCTTTTGAACCATGAACTCCGCGTGCCTCTCGAGGTGTCAGCGGGATGTGAGGCATTCTGTCAAAATGAGGCAGGGACCTAGGGCTTTCTCTAAGGTCTCCACAGGGGATTCAGACATCCCTTCATGTTGTGAGATGAAAGACGAGCCTGTATTCAAGCCACTGCAAGGAAATCCGGCCTCCTTTCAAGTTAGGGCTTCTCGCTGTATATTCCCCTTGAGGCAGCAAATTCGGGCTCCCTCCCACATAACTATTGCTGAGAGAAACCTCCTCCTGAGGTGCTTCTGGAAAGTTGGCATACGTCTTGAGCCTAAGCCAGGGAATCAGCTCTCATCTCGAGACGATTTGGGGTACACGGAGCATTCCTCGAGTTGCTGTGCTGAAGTTGGTGTTCCTCTAGACTTGGGACAGTGTTCTCGAGGCATCTCTGGAGTTGCCTCAAGGAAGTCGAGCCACCGGTCGTGTTGAATGGGGAACGGGGAATGGCTCTGGAGTCAATGCAGGGGAATCGGGCCTCATCTCGAGTTGATTTAGGGCACATGGAGCTGCTTTGCGTTGCTGGGGTGACCTCAGGGTCTGTCTCGACTGGTGACAGTGTTCTTGGGGACTGTCTAGAGATCCATTAAGCAAGTCGAAGCTCCTGACTTGTTTGAATGGGATCACGGAATAGCTCTGCATGCACTGCAGGGGAATGGGGCCTCATCTCGCCTCTAGGGGGAAGTCTCATGGTTTTTCCCGAGTTGCGGCGGGACCTGGGGTATGTTCTCGACTTACGGCGGGGATGGCACTTCAAAACACGAGTTTCTTCAGTGACGTCAGGACTCCTGTCTAGTAATGAGGGACACGTCAGGAATCTCTCCGAGACTTCGCAGGGCAAAAGGGACGCTTCTCGAGATGAGGCAGGGCACCCAAGGACCCTTTCCAGTAGCCACAGGGATTTTGGGATTCCTATCAGTATTCAAGAGGAGTCAGGCATCGTCACCTTTTGAACCATGAACTCCGCGTGCCTCTCGAGGTGTCAGCGGGATGTGAGGCATTCTGTCAAAATGAGGCAGGGACCTAGGGCTTTCTCTAATGTCTCCACAGGGGATTCAGACTTCACTTCATGTTGTGAGATGAAAGATGTGCCTGTATTCAAGCCACTGCAAGGAAATCCGGCCTCCTTTCAAGTTAGGGCTTCTCGCAGTATATTCCCCTTGAGGCAGCAAACTCGGGGTCCCTCCCACATACCTATTGCTGAGAAAAGCCTCCTCCTCAGGTGCTTCTGGAAAGTTGGCATACGTCTTGAGCCTAAGCCAGGGAATCAGCTCTCATCTCGAGACGATTTGGGGTACACAGAGCATTCCTCGAGTTGCTGTGCTGAAGTTGGTGTTCCTCTAGACTTGGGACAGTGTTCTCGGGGCATCTCTGGAGTTGCCTGAAGGAAGTCGAGCCACCGGTCGTGTTGAATGGGGAACGGGGAATGACTCTGGTGTCAATGCAGGGGAATCGGGCCTCATCTCGAGTTGATTTGGGGCACATGGAGCTGCTTTGCGTTGCTGGGGTGACCTCAGGGTCCGTCTAGACTGGTGACAGTGTTCTTGGGGACTGTCTCGAGATCCATTAAGCAAGTCGAAGCTCCTGACTTGTTTGAATGGGATCACGGAATAGCTCTGCATGCACTGCAGGGGAATGGGGCCTCGTCTCACCTCTAGGGGGAAGTCTCATGGTTTTTCTCGAGTTGCGGCGGGGACCTGGGGTATGTTCTCGATTTACGGCCGGGATGGCCCTTCAAAACACGAGTTTCTTCAGTGACGTCAGGACTCCTGTCTAGTAACGAGGGACACCTCAGGATTCTCTCCGAGGCTTTGCAGGGCAAAAGGGACGCTTCTCGAGGTGAGGCAGGGCACCCAAGGACCCTTTCCAGTAGCCACAGGGATTTTGGGATTCCTATCAGTGTTCAAGAGGAGTCAGGCATCGTCACCTTTTGAACCATGAACTCCGCGTGCCTCTCGAGGTGTCAGCGGGATGTGAGGCATTCTGTCAAAATGAGGCAGGGACCTAGGGCTTTCTCTAAGGTCTCCACAGGGGATTCAGACATCCCTTCATGTTGTGAGATGAAAGACGAGCCTGTATTCAAGCCACTGCAAGGAAATCCGGCCTCCTTTCAAGTTAGGGCTTCTCGCTGTATATTCCCATTGAGGCAGCAAACTCGGGCTCCCTCCCACATAACTATTGCTGAGAGAAGCCTCCTCCTGAGGTGCTTCTGGAAAGTTGGCATACGTCTTGAGCCTAAGCCAGGGAATCAGCTCTCATCTCGAGACGATTTGGGGTACACGGAGCATTCCTCGAGTTGCTGTGCTGAAGTTGGTGTTCCTCTAGACTTGGGACAGTGTTCTCGGGGCATCTCTGGAGTTGCCTGAAGGAAGTCGAGCCACCGGTCGTGTTGAATGGGGAACGGGGAATGGCTCTGGAGTCAATGCAGGGGAATCGGGCCTCATCTCGAGTTGATTTGGGGCACATGGAGCTGCTTTGCGTTGCTGGGGTGACCTCAGGGTCTGTCTCGACTGGTGACAGTGTTCTTGGGGACTGTCTAGAGATCCATTAAGCAAGTCGAAGCTCCTGACTTGTTTGAATGGGATCACGGAATAGCTCTGCATGCACTGCAGGGGAATGGGGCCTCATCTCGCCTCTAGGGGGAAGTCTCATGGTTTTTCCCGAGTTGCGGCGGGACCTGGGGTATGTTCTCGACTTACGGCGGGGATGGCACTACAAAACAAGAGTTTCTTCAGTGACGTCAGGACTCCTGTCTAGTAATGAGGGACACGTCAGGAATCTCTCCGAGACTTCGCAGGGCAAATGGGACTCTTCTCGAGATGAGGCAGGGCACCCAAGGACCCTTTCCAGTAGCCACAGGGATTTTGGGATTCCTATCAGTATTCAAGAGGAGTCAGGCATCGTCACCTTTTGAACCATGAACTCCGCGTGCCTCTCGAGATGTCAGCGGGATGTGAGGCATTCTGTCAAAATGAGGCAGGGACCTAGGGCTTTCTCTAATGTCTCCACAGGGGATTCAGACTTCACTTCATGTTGTGAGATGAAAGACGTGCCTGTATTCAAGCCACTGCAAGGAAATCCGGCCTCCTTTCAAGTTAGGGCTTCTCGCTGTATATTCCCCTTGTGGCAGCAAACTCGGGGTCCCTCCCACATACCTATTGCTGAGAGAATCCTCCTCCTGAGGTGTTTCTGGAAAGTTGGCATACGTCTTGAGCGTAAGCCAGGGAATCAGCTCTCATCTTGAGACGATTTGGGGTACACGGAGCATTCCTGGAGTTGCTGTGCTTAAGTTGGTGTTCCTCTAGACTTGGGACAGTGTTCTCGGGGCATCTCTGGAGTTGCCTGAAGGAAGTCGAGCCACCGGTCGTGTTGAATGGGGAACGGGGAATGTCTCTGGAGTCAATGCAGGGAAATCGGGCCTCATCTCGAGTTGATTTGGGGCACATGGAGCTGCTTTGCGTTGCTGGGGTGACCTCAGGGTCCGTCTAGACTGGTGACAGTGTTCTTGGGTACTGTCTCGAGATCCATTAAGCAAGTCGAAGCTCCTGACTTGTTTGAATGGGATCACGGAATAGCTCTGCATGCACTGCAGGGGAATGGGGCCTCGTCTCGCCTCTAGGGGGAAGACTCATGGTTTTTCTCGAGTTGCGGCGGGGACCTGGGGTATGTTCTCGACTTACGGCGGGGATGGCCCTTCAAAACACGAGTTTCTTCAGTGACGTCAGGACTCCTGTCTAGTAACGAGGGACACCTCAGGATTCTCTCCGAGGCTTCGCAGGGCAAAAGGGACGCTTCTCGAGGTGAGGCAGGGCACCCAAGGACCCTTTCCAGTAGCCACAGGGATTTTGGGATTCCTATCAGTGTTCAAGAGGAGTCAGGCATCGTCACCTTTTGAACCATGAACTCCGCGTGCCTCTCGAGGTGTCAGCGGGATGTGAGGCATTCTGTCAAAATGAGGCAGGGACCTAGGGCTTTCTCTAAGGTCTCCACAGGGGATTCAGACATCCCTTCATGTTGTGAGATGAAAGACGAGCCTGTATTCAAGCCACTGCAAGGAAATCCGGCCTCCTTTCAAGTTAGGGCTTCTCGCTGTATATTCCCCTTGAGGCAGCAAACTCGGGCTCCCTCCCACGTACCTATTGCTGAGAGAAGCCTCCTCCTGAGGTGCTTCTGGAAAGTTGGCATACGTCTTGAGCCTAAGCCAGGGAATCAGCTCTCATGTCGAGACGATTTGGGGTACACGGAGCATTCCTCGAGTTGCTGTGCTGAAGTTGGTGTTCCTCTAGACTTGGGAGAGTGTTCTCGGGGCATCTCTGGAGTTGCCTGAAGGAAGTGGAGCCACCGGTCGTGTTGAATGGGGAACGGGGAATGGCTCTGGAGTCAATGCAGGGGAATCGGGCCTAATCTCGAGTTGACGTGGGGCACATGGAGCTGCTTTGCGTTGCTGGGGTGACCTCAGGGTCTGTCTCGACTGGTGACAGTGTTCTTGGGGACTGTCTCGAGATCCATTAAGCAAGTCGAAACTCCTGACTTGTTTGAATGGGATCACGGAATAGCTCTGCATGCACTGCAGGGGAATGGGGCCTCATCTCGCCTCTAGGGGGAAGTCTCATGGTTTTTATCGAGTTGCGGCGGGGACCTGGGGTATGTTCTCGACTTAGGGCGGGGATGGCCCTTCAAAACACGAGTTTCTTCAGTGGCGTCAGGACTCCTGTCTAGTAATGAGGGACACCTCAGGAATCTCTCCGAGGCTTCGCAGGGCAAAAGGGACGCTTCTCGAGGTGAGGCAGGGCACCCAAGAACCCTTTCCAGTAGCCACAGGGATTTTGGGATTCATATCAGTATTCAAGAGGAGTCAGGCATCGTCACCTTTTGAACCATGAACTCCGCGTGCCTCTCGAGGTGTCAGCGGGATGTGAGGCATTCTGTCAAAATGAGGCAGGGACCTGGGCTTTCTCTAAGGTCTCCACAGGGGATTCAGACATCCCTTCATGTTGTGAGATGAAAGACGAGCCTGTATTCAAGCCACTGCAAGGAAATCCGGCCTCCTTTCAAGTTAGGGCTTCTCGCTGTATATTCCCCTTGAGGCAGCAAACTCGGTGTCCCTCCCACGTACCTATTGCTGAGAGAAGCCTCCTCCTGAGGTGCTTCTGGAAAGTTGGCATACGTCTTGAGCCTAAGCCAGGGAATCAGCTCTAATCTCGAGACGATTTGGGGTACACAGAGCATTCCTCGAGTTGCTGTGCTGAAGTTGGTGTTCCTCTAGACTTGGGACAGTGTTCTCGGGGAATCTCTGGAGTTGCCTGAAGGAAGTCGAGCCACCGGTCGTGTTGAATGGGGAACGGGGAATGACTCTGGTGTCAATGCAGGGGAATCGGGCCTCATCTCGAGTTGATTTGGGGCACATGGAGCTGCTTTGCGTTGCAGGGGTGACCTCAGGGTCCGTCTAGACTGGTGACAGTGTTCTTGGGGACTGTCTCGAGATCCATTAAGCAAGTCGAAGCTCCTGACTTGTTTGAATGGGATCACGGAATAGCTCTGCATGCACTGCAGGGGAATGGGGCCTCGTCTCGCCTCTAGGGGGAAGTCTCATGGTTTTTCTCGAGTTGCGGCGGGGACCTGGGGTATGTTCTCGATTTACGGCCGGGATGGCCCTTCAAAACACGAGTTTCTTCAGTGACGTCAGGACTCCTGTCTAGTAACGAGGGACACCTCAGGATTCTCTCCGAGGCTTCGCAGGGCAAAAGGGACGCTTCTCGAGGTGAGGCAGGGCACCCAAGGACCCTTTCCAGTAGCCACAGGGATTTTGGGATTCCTATCAGTGTTCAAGAGGAGTCAGGCATCGTCACCTTTTGAACCATGAACTCCGCGTGCCTCTCGAGGTGTCAGCGGGATGTGAGGCATTCTGTCAAAATGAGGCAGGGACCTAGGGCTTTCTCTAAGGTCTCCACAGGGGATTCAGACATCCCTTCATGTTGTGAGATGAAAGACGAGCCTGTATTCAAGCCACTGCAAGGAAATCCGGCCTCCTTTCAAGTTAGGGCTTCTCGCTGTATATTCCCCTTGAGGCAGCAAACTCGGGCTCCCTCCCACATACCTATTGCTGAGAGAAGCCTCCTCCTGAGGTGCTTCTGGAAAGTTGGCATACGTCTTGAGCCTAAGCCAGGGAATCAGCTCTCATCTTGAGACGATTTGGGGTACACGGAGCATTCCTCGAGTTGCTGTGTTGAAGTTGGTGTTCCTCTAGACTTGGGACAGTGTTCTCGGGGCATCTCTGGAGTTGCCTGAAGGAAGTCGAGCCACCGGTCGTGTTGAATGGGGAACGGGGAATGGCTCTGGAGTCAATGCAGGGGAATCGGGCGTCATCTCGAGTTGATTTGGGGCACATGGAGCTGCTTTGTGTTGCTGGGGTGACCTCAGGGTCCGTTTAGACTGGTGACAGTGTTCTTGGGGACTGTCTCGAGATCCATTAAGCAAGTCGAAGCTCCTGACTTGTTTGAATGGGATCACGGAATAGCTCTGCATGCACTGCAGGGGAATGGAGCCTCATCTCGCCTCTAGGGGGAAGTCTCATGGTTTTTCTCGAGTTGCGACGGGGACCTGGGGTATGTTCTCGACTTACGGCGGGGATGGCACTTCAAAACACGAGTTTCTTCAGTGACGTCAGGACTCCTGTCTAGTATCGAGGGATACCTCAGGAATCTCTCCGAGGCTTCGCAGGGCAAAAGGGACGCTTCTCGAGGTGAGGCAGGGCACCCAAGGACCCTTTCCAGTAGCCACAGGGATTTTGGGATTCCTATCAGTATTCAAGAGGAGTCAGGCATCGTCACCTTTTGAACCATGAACGCCGCGTGCCTCTCGAGGTGTCAGCGGGATATCAGGCATTCTGTAAAAATGAGGCAGGGACCTAGGGCTTTCTCTAAGGTCTCCACAGGGGATTCAGAAATCACTTCATGTTGTGAGATGAAAGACGTGCCTGTATTCAAGCCACTGCAAGGAAATCCGGCCTCCTTTCAAGTTAGGGCTTCTCGCTGTATATTCCCCTTGAGGCAGCAAACTCGGGGTCCCTCCCACATACCTATTGCTGAGAGAAGCCTCCTCCTGAGGTGCTTCTGGAAAGTTGGCATACGTCTTGAGCCTAAGCCAGGGAATCAGCTCTCATCTTGAGACGATTTGGGGTACACGGAGCATTCCTCGAGTTGCTGTGTTGAAGTTGGTGTTCCTCTATACTTGGGACAGTGTTCTCGGGGCATCTCTGGAGTTGCCTGAAGGAAGTCGAGCCACCGGTCGTGTTGAATGGGGAACGGGGAATGGCTCTGGAGTCAATGCAGGGAAATCGGGCCTCATCTCGAGTTGATTTGGGGCACATGTAGCTGCTTTGCGTTGCTGGGGTGACCTCAGGGTCCGTCTAGACTGGTGACAGTGTTCTTGGGTACTGTCTCGAGATCCATTAAGCAAGTCGAAGCTCCTGACTTGTTTGAATGGGATCACGGAATAGCTCTGCATGCACTGCAGGGGAATGGGGCCTCGTCTCGCCTCTAGGGGGAAGTCTCATGGTTTTTCTCGAGTTGCGGCGGGGACCTGGGGTATGTTCTCGACTTACGGCGGGGATGGCCCTTCAAAACACGAGTTTCTTCAGTGACGTCAGGACTCCTGTCTAGTAACGAGGGACACCTCAGGAATCTCTCCGAGGCTTCGCAGGGCAAAAGGGACGCTTCTCGAGGTGAGGCAGGGCACCCAAGGACCCTTTCCAGTAGCCACAGGGATTTGGGGATTCCTATCAGTATTCAAGAGGAGTCAGGCATCGTCACCTTTTGAACCATGAACGCCGCGTGCCTCTCGAGGTGTCAGCGGTATATGAGGCATTCTGTCAAAATGAGGCAGGGACCTAGGGCTTTCTCTAATGTCTCCACAGGGGATTCAGACTTCACTTCATGTTGTGAGATGAAAGACGTGCCTGTATTCAAGCCACTGCAAGGAAATCCGGCCTCCTTTCAAGTTAGGGCTTCTCGCTGTATATTCCCCTTGAGGCAGCAAACTCGGGGTCCCTCCCACATACCTATTGCTGAGAGAAGCCTCCTCCTGAGGTGTTTCTGGAAAGTTGGCATACGTCTTGAGCGTAAGCCAGGAAATCAGCTCTCATCTTGAGACGATTTGGGGTACACGGAGCATTCCTCTAGTTGCTGTGCTTAAGTTGGTGTTCCTCTAGACTTGGGACAGTGTTCTCGGGGCATCTCTGGAGTTGCCTGAAAGAAGTCGAGCCACCGGTCGTGTTGAATGGGGAACGGGGAATGTCTCTGGAGTCAATGCAGGGAAATCGGGCCTCATCTCGAGTTGATTTGGGGCACATGGAGCTGCTTTGCGTTGCTGGGGTGACCTCAGGGTCCGTCTAGACTGGTGACAGTGTTCTTGGGTACTGTCTCGAGATCCATTAAGCAAGTCGAAGCTCCTGACTTGTTTGAATGGGATCACGGAATAGCTCTGCATGCACTGCAGGGGAATGGGGCCTCGTCTCGCCTCTAGGGGGAAGTCTCATGGTTTTTCTCGAGTTGCGACGGGGACCTGGGGTATGTTCTCGACTTACGGCGGGGATGGCCCTTCAAAACACGAGTTTCTTCAGTGACGTCAGGACTCCTGTCTAGTAACGAGGGACACCTCAGGATTCTCTCCGAGGCTTCGCAGGGCAAAAGGGACGCTTCTCGAGGTGAGGCAGGGCACCCAAGGACCCTTTCCAGTAGCCACAGGGATTTTGGGATTCCTATCAGTGTTCAAGAGGAGTCAGGCATCGTCACCTTTTGAACCATGAACTCCGCGTGCCTCTCGAGGTGTCAGCGGGATGTGAGGCATTCTGTCAAAATGAGGCAGGGACCTAGGGCTTTCTCTAAGGTCTCCACAGGGGATTCAGACATCCCTTCATGTTGTGAGATGAAAGACGAGCCTGTATTCAAGCCACTGCAAGGAAATCCGGCCTCCTTTCAAGTTAGGGCTTCTCGCTGTATATTCCCCTTGAGGCAGCAAACTCGGGCTCCCTCCCACATACCTATTGCTGAGAGAAGCCTCCTCGTGAGGTGCTTCTGGAAAGTTGGCATACGTCTTGAGCCTAAGCCAGGGAATCAGCTCTCATGTCGAGACGATTTGGGGTACACGGAGCATTCCTCGAGTTGCTGTGCTGAAGTTGGTGTTCCTCTATACTTGGGAGAGTGTTCTCGGGGCATCTCTGGAGTTGCCTGAAGGAAGTCGAGCCACCGGTCGTGTTGAATGGGGAACGGGGAATGGCTCTGGAGTCAATGCAGGGGAATCGGGCCTCATCTCGAGTTGATTTGGGGCACATGGAGCTGCTTTGCATTGCTGGGGTGACCTCAGGTCTGTCTCGACTGGTGACAGTGTTCTTGGGGACTGTCTAGAGATCCATTAAGCAAGTCGAAGCTCCTGACTTGTTTGAATGGGATCACGGAATAGCTCTGCATGCACTGCAGGGGAATGGGGCCTCATCTCGCCTCTAGGGGGAAGTCTCATGGTTTTTCATGAGTTGCGGAGGGACCTGGGGTATGTTCTCGACTTACAGCGGGGATGGCCCTTAAAAACACGAGTTTCTTCAGTGACGTCAGGACTCCTGTCTAGTAACGAGGGACACCTCAGGAATCTCCCCGAGGCTTCGCAGGGCAAAAGGGACGCTTCTCGAGGTGATGCAGGGCACCCAAGGACCCTTTCCAGTAGCCACAGGGATTTTGGGATTCCTATCAGTATTCAAGAGGAGTCAGGCATCGTCACCTTTTGAACCATGAACTCCGCATGCCTCTCGAGGGGTCAGCGGGATGTGAGACATTCTGTCAAAATGAGGCAGGGACCTGGGGCTTTCTCTAAGGTTTCCACAGGGGATTCAGACATCCCTTCATGTTGTGAGATGAAAGACGAGCCTGTATTCAAGCCACTGCAAGGAAATCCGGCCTCCTTTCAAGTTAGGGCTTCTCGCTGTATATTCCCCTTGAGGCAGCAAACTCGGGGTCCCTCCCACATACCTATTGATGAGAGAAGCCTCCTCCTGAGGTGCTTCTGGAAAGTTGGCATACGTCTTGAGCCTAAGCCAGGGAATCAGCTCTCATCTCGAGACGATTTGGGGTACTCAGAGCATTCCTCGATTTGCTGTACTGAAGTTGGTGTTCCTCTAGACTTGGGACAGTGTTCTCGGGGCATCTCTGGAGTTGCCTGAAGGAAGTGGAGCCACGGATCGTGTTGAATGGGGAACGGGGAATGGCTCTGGAGTCAACGCAGGGGAATCAGGCATCATCTCGAGTTGATTTGTGGCACATGGAGCTGCTTTGTGTTGCTGGGGTGACCTCAGGGTCCGTCTAGACTGGTGACAGTGTTCTTGGGGACTGTCTCGAGATCCATTAAGCAAGTCGAAGCTCCTGACTTGTTTGAATGGGATCACGGAATAGCTCTGCATGCACTGCAGGGGAATGGGGCCTCGTCTCGCCTCTAGGGGGAAGTCTCATGGTTTTTCTCGAGTTGCGGCGGGGACCTGGGGTATGTTCTCGACTTACGGCGGGGATGGCCCTTCAAAACACGAGTTTCTTCAGTGACGTCAGGACTCCTGTCTAGTAACGAGGGACACCTCAGGATTCTCTCCGAGGCTTCGCAGGGCAAAAGGGACGCTTCTCGAGGTGAGGCAGGGCACCCAAGGACCCTTTCCAGTAGCCACAGGGATTTTGGGATTCCTATCAGTGTTCAAGAGGAGTCAGGCATCGTCACCTTTTGAACCATGAACTCCGCGTGCCTCTCGAGGTGTCAGCGGGATGTGAGGCATTCTGTCAAAATGAGGCAGGGACCTAGGGCTTTCTCTAAGGTCTCCACAGGGGATTCAGACATCCCTTCATGTTGTGAGATGAAAGACGAGCCTGTATTCAAGCCACTGCAAGGAAATCCGGCCTCCTTTCAAGTTAGGGCTTCTCGCTGTATATTCCCCTTGAGGCAGCAAACTCGGGCTCCCTCCCACATACCTATTGCTGAGAGAAGCCTCCTCCTGAGGTGCTTCTGGAAAGTTGGCATACGTCTTGAGCCTAAGCCAGGGAATCAGCTCTCATCTCGAGACGATTTGGGGTACACGGAGCATTCCTCGAGTTGCTGTGCTGAAGTTGGTGTTCCTCTAGACTTGGGAGAGTGTTCTCGGGGCATCTCTGGAGTTGCCTGAAGGAAGTCGAGCCACCGGTCGTGTTGAATGGGGAACGGGGAATGGCTCTGGAGTCAATGCAGGGGAATCGGGCCTCATCTCGAGTTGATTTGGGGCACATGGAGCTGCTTTGCGTTGCTGGGGTGACCTCAGGGTCTGTCTCGACTGGTGACAGTGTTCTTGGGGACTGTCTAGAGATCCATTAAGCAAGTCGAAGCTCCTGACTTGTTTGAATGGGATCACGGAATAGCTCTGCATGCACTGCAGGGGAATGGGGCCTCATCTCGCCTCTAGGGGGAAGTCTCATGGTTTTTCATGAGTTGCGGCGGGACCTGGGGTATGTTCTCGACTTACAGCGGGGATGGCCCTTAAAAACACGAGTTTCTTCAGTGACGTCAGGACTCCTGTCTAGTAACGAGGGACACCTCAGGAATCTCCCCGAGGCTTCGCAGGGCAAAAGGGACGCTTCTCGAGGTGATGCAGGGCACCCAAGGACCCTTTCCAGTAGCCACAGGGATTTTGGGATTCCTATCAGTATTCAAGAGGAGTCAGGCATCGTCACCTTTTGAACCATGAACTCCGCATGCCTCTCGAGGGGTCAGCGGGATGTGAGACATTCTGTCAAAATGAGGCAGGGACCTGGGGCTTTCTCTAAGGTTTCCACAGGGGATTCAGACATCCCTTCATGTTGTGAGATGAAAGACGAGCCTGTATTCAAGCCACTGCAAGGAAATCCGGCCTCCTTTCAAGTTAGGGCTTCTCGCTGTATATTCCCCTTGAGGCAGCAAACTCGGGGTCCCTCCCACATACCTATTGCTGAGAGAAGCCTCCTCCTGAGGTGCTTCTGGAAAGTTGGCATACGTCTTGAGCCTAAGCCAGGGAATCAGCTCTCATCTCGAGACGATTTGGGGTACTCAGAGCATTCCTCGATTTGCTGTACTGAAGTTGGTGTTCCTCTAGACTTGGGACAGTGTTCTCGGGGCATCTCTGGAGTTGCCTGAAGGAAGTGGAGCCACGGATCGTGTTGAATGGGGAACGGGGAATGGCTCTGGAGTCAACGCAGGGGAATCAGGCATCATCTCGAGTTGATTTGGGGCACATGGAGCTGCTTTGCGTTGCTGGGGTGACCTCAGGGTCCGTCTAGACTGGTGACAGTGTTCTTGGGGACTGTCTCGAGATCCATTAAGCAAGTCGAAGCTCCTGACTTGTTTGAATGGGATCACGGAATAGCTCTGCATGCACTACAGGGGAATGGGGCCTCGTCTCGCCTCTAGGGGGAAGTCTCATGGTTTTTCTCGAGTTGCGGCGGGGACCTGGGGTATGTTCTCGACTTACGGCGGGGATGGCCCTTCAAAACACGAGTTTCTTCAGTGACGTCAGGACTCCTGTCTAGTAACGAGGGACACCTCAGGATTCTCTCCGAGGCTTCGCAGGGCAAAAGGGACGCTTCTCGAGGTGAGGCAGGGCACCCAAGGACCCTTTCCAGTAGCCACAGGGATTTTGGGATTCCTATCAGTGTTCAAGAGGAGTCAGGCATCGTCACCTTTTGAACCATGAACTCCGCGTGCCTCTCGAGGTGTCAGCGGGATGTGAGGCATTCTGTCAAAATGAGGCAGGGACCTAGGGCTTTCTCTAAGGTCTCCACAGGGGATTCAGACATCCCTTCATGTTGTGAGATGAAAGACGAGCCTGTATTCAAGCCACTGCAAGGAAATCCGGCCTCCTTTCAAGTTAGGGCTTCTCGCTGTATATTCCCCTTGAGGCAGCAAACTCGGGCTCCCTCCCACATACCTATTGCTGAGAGAAGCCTCCTCCTGAGGTGCTTCTGGAAAGTTGGCATACGTCTTGAGCCTAAGCCAGGGAATCAGCTCTCATCTCGAGACGATTTGGGGTACACGGAGCATTCCTCGAGTTGCTGTGCTGAAGTTGGTGTTCCTCTAGACTTGGGAGAGTGTTCTCGGGGCATCTCTGGAGTTGCCTGAAGGAAGTCGAGCCACCGGTCGTGTTGAATGGGGAACGGGGAATGGCTCTGGAGTCAATGCAGGGGAATCGGGCCTCATCTCGAGTTGATTTGGGGCACATGGAGCTGCTTTGCGTTGCTGGGGTGACCTCAGGGTCTGTCTCGACTGGTGACAGTGTTCTTGGGGACTGTCTAGAGACCATTAAGCAAGTCGAAGCTCCTGACTTGTTTGAATGGGATCACGGAATAGCTCTGCATGCACTGCAGGGGAATGGGGCCTCATCTCGCCTCTAGGGGGAAGTCTCATGGTTTTTCCCGAGTTGCGGAGGGACCTGGGGTATGTTCTCGACTTACGGCGGGGATGGCACTTCAAAACACGAGTTTCTTCAGTGACGTCAGCACTCCTGTCTAGTAATGAGGGACACGTCAGGAATCTCTCCGAGACTTCGCAGGGCAAAAGGGACGCTTCTCGAGATGAGGCAGGGCACCCAAGGACCCTTTCCAGTAGCCACAGGGATTTTGGGATTCCTATCAGTATTCAAGAGGAGTCAGGCATCGTCACCTTTTGAACCATGAACTCCGCGTGCCTCTCGAGGTGTCAGCGGGATGTGAGGCATTCTGTCAAAATGAGGCAGGGACCTAGGGCTTTCTCTAAGGATTCCACAGGGGATTCAGACATCCCTTCATGTTGTGAGATGAAAGACGAGCCTGTATTCAAGCCACTGCAAGGAAATCCGGCCTCCTTTCAAGTTAGGGCTTCTCGCTGTATATTCCCCTTGAGGCAGCAAACTCGGGGTCCCTCCCACATACCTATTGCTGAGAGAAGCCTCCTCCTGAGGTGCTTCTGGAAAGTTGGCATACGTCTTGAGCCTAAGCCAGGGAATCAGCTCTCATCTTGAGACGATTTGGGATACTCGGAGCATTCCTCGATTTGCTGTGCTGAAGTTGGTGTTCCTCTAGACTTGGGACAGTGTTTTTGGGGCATCTCTGGAGTTGCCTGAAGGAAGTGGAGCCACGGGTCGTGTTGAATGGGGAACGGGGAATGTCTCTGGAGTCAATGCAGGGAAATCTGGCCTCATCTCGAGTTGATTTGGGGCACATGGAGCTGCTTTGCTTTGCTGGGGTGACCTCAGGGTCCGTCTAGACTGGTGACAGTGTTCTTGGGTACTGTCTCGAGATCCATTAAGCAAGTCGAAGCTCCTGACTTGTTTGAATGGGATCACGGAATAGCTCTGCATGCACTGCAGGGGAATGGGGCCTCATCTCGCCTCTAGGGGGAAGTCTCATGGTTTTTCTCGAGTTGCGGCGGGGACCTGGGGTATGTTCTCGACTTACAGCGGGGATGGCCCTTAAAAACACGAGTTTCTTCAGTGACGTCAGGACTCCTGTCTAGTAACGAGGGACACCTCAGGAATCTCCCCGAGGCTTCGCAGGGCAAAAGGGACGCTTCTCGAGGTGATGCAGGGCACCCAAGGACCCTTTCCAGTAGCCACAGGGATTTTGGGATTCCTATCAGTATTCAAGAGGAGTCAGGCATCGTCACCTTTTGAAGCAATGAACTCCGCGTGTCTCTCGAGGTGTCAGCGGGATGTGAGGCATTCCGTCAAAATGAGGCAGGGACCTAGGGCTTTCTCTAAGGTCTCTACAGGGGATTCAGACATCCCTTCATGTTGTGAGATGAAAGACGAGCCTGTATTCAAGCCACTGCAAGGAAATCCGGCCTCCTTTCAAGTTAGGGCTTCTCGCTGTATATTCCCCTTGAGGCAGCAAACTCGGGGTCCCTCCCACATACCTATTGCTGAGAGAAGCCTCCTCCTGAGGTGCTTCTGGAAAGTTGGCATACGTCTTGAGCCTAAGCCAGGGAATCAGCTCTCATCTCGAGACGATTTGGGGTACTCAGAGCATTCCTCGATTTGCTGTACTGAAGTTGGTGTTCCTCTAGACTTGGGACAGTGTTCTCGGGGCATCTCTGGAGTTGCCTGAAGGAAGTGGAGCCACGGATCGTGTTGAATGGGGAACGGGGAATGGCTCTGGAGTCAACGCAGGGGAATCAGGCATCATCTCGAGTTGATTTGGGGCACATGGAGCTGCTTTGCGTTGCTGGGGTGACCTCAGGGTCCGTCTAGACTGGTGACAGTGTTCTTGGGGACTGTCTCGAGATCCATTAAGCAAGTCGAAGCTCCTGACTTGTTTGAATGGGATCACGGAATAGCTCTGCATGCACTGCAGGGGAATGGGGCCTCATCTCGCCCCTAGGGGGAAGTCTCATGGTTTTTCTCGAGTTGCGGCGGGGACCTGGGGTATGTTCTCGACTTACGGCGGGGATGGCCCTTCAAAACACGAGTTTCTTCAGTGACGTCAGGACTCCTGTCTAGTAACGAGGGACACCTCAGGAAACTCTCCGAGGCTTCGCAGGGCAAAAAGGACGCTTCTCGAGGTGAGGCAGGGCACCCAAGGACCTTTTCCAGTAGCCACAGGGATTTTGGGATTCCTATCAGTGTTCAAGAGGAGTCAGGCATCGTCACCTTTTGAACCATGAACTCCGTGTGCCTCTCGAGGTGTCAGCGGGATGTGAGGCATTCTGTCAAAATGAGGCAGGGACCTAGGGCTTTCTCTAAGGTCTCCACAGGGGATTCAGACATCCCTTCATGTTGTGAGATGAAAGACGAGCCTGTATTCAAGCCACTGCAAGGAAATCCGGCCTCCTTTCAAGTTAGGGCTTCTCGCTGTATATTCCCCTTGAGGCAGCAAACTCGGGGTCCCTCCCACATACCTATTGCTGAGAGAAGCCTCCTCCTGAGGTGCTTCTGGAAAGTTGGCATACGTCTTGAACCTAAGCCAGGGAATCAGCTCTCATCTCGAGACGATTTGGGGTACTCAGAGCATTCCTCGATTTGCTGTGCTGAAGTTGGTGTTCCTCTAGACTTGGGACAGTGTTCTCGGGGCATCTCTGGAGTTGCCTGAAGGAAGTGGAGCCACGGATCGTGTTGAATGGGGAACGGGGAATGGCTCTGGAGTCAACGCAGGGGAATCAGGCATCATCTCGAGTTGATTTGGGGCACATGGAGCTGCTTTGCGTTGCTGGGGTGACCTCAGGGTCCGTCTAGACTGGTGACAGTGTTCTTGGGGACTGTCTCGAGATCCATTAAGCAAGTCGAAGCTCCTGACTTGTTTGAATGGGATCACGGAATAGCTCTGCATGCACTGCAGGGGAATGGGGCCTCATCTCGCCTCTAGGGGGAAGTCTCATGGTTTTTCTCGAGTTGCGGCGGGGACCTGGGGTATGTTCTCGACTTACGGCGGGGATGGCCCTTCAAAACACGAGTTTCTTCAGTGACGTCAGGACTCCTGTCTAGTAACGAGGGACACCTCAGGAAACTCTCCGAGGCTTCGCAGGGCAAAAAGGACGCTTCTCGAGGTGAGGCAGGGCACCCAAGGACCTTTTCCAGTAGCCACAGGGATTTTGGGATTCCTATCAGTGTTCAAGAGGAGTCAGGCATCGTCACCTTTTGAACCATGAACTCCGTGTGCCTCTCGAGGTGTCAGCGGGATGTGAGGCATTCTGTCAAAATGAGGCAGGGACCTAGGGCTTTCTTTAAGGTCTCCACAGGGGATTCAGACATCCCTTCATGTTGTGAGATGAAAGACGAGCCTGTATTCAAGCCACTGCAAGGAAATCCGGCCTCCTTTCAAGTTAGGGCTTCTCGCTGTATATTCCCCTTGAGGCAGCAAACTCGGGGCCCCTCCCACATACCTATTGCTGAGAGAAGCCTCCTCCTGAGGTGCTTCTGGAAAGTTGGCATACGTCTTGAGCCTAAGCCAGGGAATCAGCTCTCATCTCGAGACAATTTGGGGTACTCGGAGCATTCCTCGATTTGCTGTGCTGAAGTTGGTGTTCCTCTAGACTTGGGACAGTGTTCTCGGGGCATCTCTGGAGTTGCCTGAAGGAAGTGGAGCTACGGGTCGTGTTGAATGGGGAACGGGGAATGGCTCTGGAGTCAATGCAGGGGAATCAGGCCTCATCTCGAGTTGATTTGGGGCACATGGAGCTGCTTTGCGTTGCTGGGGTGACCTCAGGGTCCGTCTAGACTGGTGACAGTGTTCTTGGGGACTGTCTCGAGATCCATTAAGCAAGTCGAAGCTCCTGACTTGTTTGAACGGGATCACGGAATAGCTCTGCATGCACTGCAGGGGAATGGGGCCTCATCTCGCCTCTATGGGGAAGTCTCATGGTTTTTCTCGAGTTGCGGCGGGGACCTGGGGTATGTTCTCGACTTACGGCGGGGATGGCCCTTCAAAACACGAGTTTCTTCAGTGACGTCAGGACTCCTGTCTAGTAACGAGGGACACCTCAGGAATCTCTTCGAGGCTTGGCAGGGCAAAAGGGACGCTACTCGAGGTGAGGCAGGGCACCCAAGGACCCTTTCCAGTAGCCACAGGGATTTTGGGATTCCTATCAGTATTCAAGAGGAGTCAGGCATCGTCACCTTTTGAACCATGAACTCCGCGTGCCTCTCGAGGTGTCAGCGGGATGTGAGGCATTCTGTCAAAATGAGGCAGGGACCTAGGGCTTTCTCTAAGGACTCCACAGGGGATTCAGACATCCCTTCATGTTGTGAGATGAAAGACGAGCCTGTATTCAAGCCACTGCAAGGAAATCCGGCCTCCTTTCAAGTTAGGGCTTCTCGCTGTATATTCCCCTTGTGGCAACAAACTCGGGCTCCCTCCCACATACCTATTGCTGAGAGAAGCCTCCTCCTGAGGTGCTTCTGGAAAGTTGGCATACGTCTTGAGCCTAAGCCAGGGAATCAGCTCTCATCTCGAGACGATTTGGGGTACACGGAGCATTCCTCGAGTTGCTGTGTTGAAGTTGGTGTTCCTCTAGACTTGAGACAGTGTTCTCGGGGCATCTCTGGAGTTGCCTGAAGGAAGTCGAGCCACCGGTCGTGTTGAATGGGGAACGGGGAATGGCTCTGGAGTCAATGCAGGGGAATCGGGCGTCATCTCGAGTTGATTTGGGGCACATGGAGCTGCTTTGTGTTGCTGGGGTGACCTCAGGGTCCGTCTAGACTGGTGACAGTGTTCTTGCTGACTGTCTCGAGATCCATTAAGCAAGTCGAAGATCCTGACTTGTTTGAATGGGATCACGGAATAGCTCTGCATGCACTGCAGGGGAATGGGGCCTCATCTCGCCTCTAGGGGGAAGTCTCATGGTTTTTCTCGAGTTGCGGCGGGGACCTGGGGTATGTTCTCGACTTACAGCGGGGATGGCCCTTAAAAACACGAGTTTCTTCAGTGACGTCAGGACTCCTGTCTAGTAACGAGGGACACCTCAGGAATCTCCCCGAGGCTTCGCAGGGCAAAAGGGACGCTTCTCGAGGTGATGCAGGGCACCCAAGGACCCTTTCCAGTAGCCACAGGGATTTTGGGATTCCTATCAGTATTCAAGAGGAGTCAGGCATCGTCACCTTTTGAACCATGAACTCCGCATGCCTCTCGAGGGGTCAGCGGGATGTGAGACATTCTGTCAAAATGAGGCAGGGACCTGGGGCTTTCTCTAAGGTTTCCACAGGGGATTCAGACATCCCTTCATGTTGTGAGATGAAAGACGAGCCTGTATTCAAGCCACTGCAAGGAAATCCGGCCTCCTTTCAAGTTAGGGCTTCTCGCTGTATATTCCCCTTGAGGCAGCAAACTCGGGGTCCCTCCCACATACCTATTGCTGAGAGAAGCCTCCTCCTGAGGTGCTTCTGGAAAGTTGGCATACGTCTTGAGCCTAAGCCAGGGAATCAGCTCTCATCTCGAGACGATTTGGGGTACTCAGAGCATTCCTCGATTTGCTGTACTGAAGTTGGTGTTCCTCTAGACTTGGGACAGTGTTCTCGGGGCATCTCTGGAGTTGCCTGAAGGAAGTGGAGCCACGGATCGTGTTGAATGGGGAACGGGGAATGGCTCTGGAGTCAACGCAGGGGAATCAGGCCTCATCTCGAGTTGATTTGGGGCACATGGAGCTGCTTTGCGTTGCTGGGGTGACCTCAGGGTCCGTCTAGACTGGTGACAGTGTTCTTGGGGACTGTCTCGAGATCCATTAAGCAAGTCGAAGCTCCTGACTTGTTTGAATGGGATCACGGAATAGCTCTGCATGCATTGCAGGGGAATGGGGCCTCATCTCGCCTCTAGGGGGAAGTCTCATGGTTTTTCTCGAGTTGCGGCGGGGACCTGGGGTATGTTCTCGACTTACGGCGGGGATGGCCCTTCAAAACACGAGTTTCTTCAGTGACGTCAGGACTCCTGTCTAGTAACGAGGGACACCTCAGGAAACTCTCCGAGGCTTCGCAGGGCAAAAAGGACGCTTCTCGAGGTGAGGCAGGGCACCCAAGGACCTTTTCCAGTAGCCACAGGGATTTTGGGATTCCTATCAGTGTTCAAGAGGAGTCAGGCATCGTCACCTTTTGAACCATGAACTCCGTGTGCCTCTCGAGGTGTCAGCGGGATGTGAGGCATTCTGTCAAAATGAGGCAGGGACCTAGGGCTTTCTCTAAGGTCTCCACAGGGGATTCAGACATCCCTTCATGTTGTGAGATGAAAGACGAGCCTGTATTCAAGCCACTGCAAGGAAATCCGGCCTCCTTTCAAGTTAGGGCTTCTCGCTGTATATTCCCCTTGAGGCAGCAAACTCGGGGTCCCTCCCACATACCTATTGCTGAGAGAAGCCTCCTCCTGAGGTGCTTCTGGAAAGTTGGCATACGTCTTGAGCCTAAGCCAGGGAATCAGCTCTCATCTCGAGACGATTTGGGGTACTCGGAGCATTCCTCGATTTGCTGTGCTGAAGTTGGTGTTCCTCTAGACTTGGGACAGTGTTCTCGGGGCATCTCTGGAGTTGCCTGAAGGAAGTGGAGCTACGGGTCGTGTTGAATGGGGAACGGGGAATGGCTCTGGAGTCAATGCAGGGGAATCAGGCCTCATCTCGAGTTGATTTGGGGCACATGGAGCTGCTTTGCGTTGCTGGGGTGACCTCAGGGTCCGTCTAGACTGGTGACAGTGTTCTTGGGGACTGTCTCGAGATCCATTAAGCAAGTCGAAGCTCCTGACTTGTTTGAACGGGATCACGGAATAGCTCTGCATGCACTGCAGGGGAATGGGGCCTCATCTCGCCTCTATGGGGAAGTCTCATGGTTTTTCTCGAGTTGCGGCGGGGACCTGGGGTATGTTCTCGACTTACGGCGGGGAATGCCCTTCAAAACACGAGTTTCTTCAGTGACGTCAGGACTCCTGTCTAGTAACGAGGGACACCTCAGGAATCTCTTCGAGGCTTGGCAGGGCAAAAGGGACGCTACTCGAGGTGAGGCAGGGCACCCAAGGACCCTTTCCAGTAGCCACAGGGATTTTGGGATTCCTATCAGTATTCAAGAAGAGTCAGGCATCGTCACCTTTTGAAGCAATGAACTCCGCGTGCCTCTCGAGGTGTCAGCGGGATGTGAGGCATTCCGTCAAAATGAGGCAGGGACCTAGGGCTTTCTCTAAGGTCTCTACAGGGGATTCAGACATCCCTTCATGTTGTGAGATGAAAGACGAGCCTGTATTCAAGCCACTGCAAGGAAATCCGGCCTCCTTTCAAGTTAGGGCTTCTCGCTGTATATTCCCCTTGAGGCAGCAAACTCGGGCTCCCTCCCACATACCTATTGCTGAGAGAAGCCTTCTCCTGAGGTGCTTCTGGAAAGGTGGCATACGTCTTGAGCCTAAGCCAGGGAATCGGCTCTCATCTCGAGACGATTTGGGGTACACGGAACATTCCTCGAGTTGCTGTGTTGAAGTTGGTGTTCCTCTAGACTTGGGACAGTGTTCTCTGGGCATCTCTGGAGTTGCCTGAAGGAAGTCCAGCCACCGGTCGTGTTGAATGTGGAACGGGGAATGGCTCTGGAGTCAATGCAGGGGAATAGGGCCTCACTTCGAGTTGATTTGGGGCACATGGAGCTGCTTTGCGTTGCTGGGGTGACCTCAGGGTCCGTCTAGACTGGTGACAGTGTTCTTGGGAACTGTCTCGAGATCCATTAAGCAAGTCGAAGCTCCTGACTTGTTTGAATGGGATCACGGAATAGCTCTGCATGCACTGCAGGGGAATGGGGCCTCATCTCGCCTCTAGGGGGAAGTCTCATGGTTTTTCTCGAGTTGCGGCGGGGACCTGGGGTATGTTCTCGACTTAGGGCGGGGATGGCCCTTCAAAACACGAGTTTCTTCAGTGACGTCAGGAGTCCTGTCTGGTAACGAGGGACACCTCAGGAATCTCTCCGAGGCTTCGCAGGGCAAAAAGGACGCTTCTCGAGGTGAGGCAGGGCACCCAAGGACCCTTTCCAGTAGCCACAGGGATTTTGGGATTCCTATCAGTGTTCAAGAGGAGTCAGGCATCGTCACCTTTTGAACCATGAACTCCGCGTGCCTCTCGAGGTGTCAGCGGGATGTGAGGCATTCTGTCAAAATGAGGCAGGGACCTAGGGCTTTCTCTAAGGTCTCCACAGGGGATTCAGACATCCCTTCATGTTGTGAGATGAAAGACGAGCCTGTATTCAAGCCACTGCAAGGAAATCCGGCCTCCTTTCAAGTTAGGGCTTCTCGCTGTATATTCCCCTTGTGGCAACAAACTCGGGCTCCCTCCCACATACCTATTGCTGAGAGAAGCCTCCTCCTGAGGTGCTTCTGGAAAGTTGGCATACGTCTTGAGCCTAAGCCAGGGAATCAGCTCTCATCTCGAGACGATTTGGGGTATACGGAGCATTCCTCTAGTTGCTGTGTTGAAGTTGGTGTTCCTCTAGACTTGGGACAGTGTTCTCGGGGCATCTCTGGAGTTGCCTGAAGGAAGTCGAGCCACCGGTCGTGTTGAATGGGGAACGGGGAATGGCTCTGGAGTCAATGCAGGGGAATCGGGCGTCATCTCGAGTTGATTTGGGGCACATGGAGCTGCTTTGTGTTGCTGGGGTGACCTCAGGGTCCGTTTAGACTGGTGACAGTGTTCTTGGGGACTGTCTCGAGATCCATTAAGCAAGTCGAAGCTCCTGACTTGTTTGAATGGGATCACGGAATAGCTCTGCATGCACTGCAGGGGAATGGAGCCTCATCTCGCCTCTAGGGGGAAGTCTCATGGTTTTTCTCGAGTTGCGACGGGGACCTGGGGTATGTTCTCGACTTACGGCGGGGATGGCACTTCAAAACACGAGTTTCTTCAGTGACGTCAGGACTCCTGTCTATTATCGAGGGATACCTCAGGAATCTCTCCGAGGCTTCGCAGGGCAAAAGGGACGCTTCTCGAGGTGAGGCATGGCACCCAAGGACACTTTCCATTAGCCACAGGGATTTGGGGATTCCTATCAGTATTCAAGAGGAGTCAGGCATCGTCACCTTTTGAACCATGAACGCCGCGTGCCTCTCGAGGTGTCAGCGGGATATCAGGCATTCTGTCAAAATGAGGCAGGGACCTAGGGCTTTCTCTAAGGTCTCCACAGGGGATTCAGAAATCACTTCATGTTGTGAGATGAAAGACGTGCCTGTATTCAAGCCACTGCAAGGAAATCCGGCCTCCTTTCAAGTTAGGGCTTCTCGCTGTATATTCCCCTTGAGGCAGCAAACTCGGGGTCCCTCCCACATACCTATTGCTGAGAGAAGCCTCCTCCTGAGGTGCTTCTGGAAAGTTGGCATACGTCTTGAGCGTAAGCCAGGGAATCAGCTCTCATCTTGAGACGATTTGGGGTACACAGAGCATTCCTCGAGTTGCTGTGTTGAAGTTGGTGTTCCTCTAGACTTGGGACAGTGTTGTCGGGGCATCTCTGGAGTTGCCTGAAGGAAGTCGAGCCACCGGTCGTGTTGAATGGGGAACGGGGAATGGCTCTGGAGTCAATGCATTGAAATCGGGCCTCATCTCGAGTTGATTTGGGGCACATGTAGCTGCTTTGCGTTGCTGGGGTGACCTCAGGGTCCGTCTAGACTGGTGACAGTGTTCTTGGGTACTGTCTCGAGATCTATTAAGCAAGTCGAAGCTCCTGACTTGTTTGAATGGGATCACGGAATAGCTCTGCATGCACTGCAGGGGAATGGGGCCTCGTCTCGCCTCTAGGGGGAAGTCTCATGGTTTTTCTCGAGTTGCGGCGGGGACCTGGGGTATGTTCTCGACTTACGGCGGGGATGGCCCTTCAAAACACGAGTTTCTTCAGTGACGTCAGGACTCCTGTCTAGTAACGAGGGACACCTCAGGATTCTCTCCGAGGCTTCGCAGGGCAAAAGGGACGCTTCTCGAGGTGAGGCAGGGCACCCAAGGACCCTTTCCAGTAGCCACAGGGATTTTGGGATTCCTATCAGTGTTCAAGAGGAGTCAGGCATCGTCACCTTTTGAACCATGAACTCCGCGTGCCTCTCGAGGTGTCAGCGGGATGTGAGGCATTCTGTCAAAATGAGGCAGGGACCTAGGGCTTTCTCTAAGGTCTCCACAGGGGATTCAGACATCCCTTCATGTTGTGAGATGAAAGACGAGCCTGTATTCAAGCCACTGCAAGGAAATCCGGCCTCCTTTCAAGTTAGGGCTTCTCGCTGTATATTCCCCTTGAGGCAGCAAACTCGGGCTCCCTCCCACATACCTATTGCTGAGAGAAGCCTCCTCCTGAGGTGCTTCTGGAAAGTTGGCATACGTCTTGAGCCTAAGCCAGGGAATCAGCTCTCATCTCGAGACGATTTGGGGTACACGGAGCATTCCTCGAGTTGCTGTGCTGAAGTTGGTGTTCCTCTAGACTTGGGAGAGTGTTCTCGGGGCATCTCTGGAGTTGCCTGAAGGAAGTCGAGCCACCGGTCGTGTTGAATGGGGAACGGGGAATGGCTCTGGAGTCAATGCAGGGGAATCGGGCCTCATCTCGAGTTGATTTGGGGCACATGGAGCTGCTTTGCGTTGCTGGGGTGACCTCAGCGTCTGTCTCGACTGGTGACAGTGTTCTTGGGGACTGTCTAGAGATCCATTAAGCAAGTCGAAGCTCCTGACTTGTTTGAATGGGATCACGGAATAGCTCTGCATGCACTGCAGGGGAATGGGGCCTCATCTCGCCTCTAGGGGGAAGTCTCATGGTTTTTCCCGAGTTGCGGCGGGACCTGGGGTATGTTCTCGACTTACGGCGGGGATGGCACTTCAAAACACGAGTTTCTTCAGTGACGTCAGGACTCCTGTCTAGTAATGAGGGACACGTCAGGAATCTCTCCGAGACTTCGCAGGGCAAAAGGGACGCTTCTCGAGATGAGGCAGGGCACCCAAGGACCCTTTCCAGTAGCCACAGGGATTTTGGGATTCCTATCAGTATTCAAGAGGAGTCAGGCATCGTCACCTTTTGAACCATGAACTCCGCGTGCCTCTCGAGGTGTCAGCGGGATGTGAGGCATTGTGTCAAAATGAGGCAGGGACCTAGGGCTTTCTCTAAGGTCTCCACAGGGGATTCAGACATCCCTTCATGTTGTGAGATGAAAGACGAGCCTGTATTCAAGCCACTGCAAGGAAATCCGGCCTCCTTTCAAGTTAGGGCTTCTCGCTGTATATTCCCCTTGAGGCAGCAAACTCGGGGTCCCTCCCACATACCTATTGCTGAGAGAAGCCTCCTCCTGAGGTGCTTCTGGAAAGTTGGCATACGTCTTGAGCCTAAGCCAGGGAATCAGCTCTCATCTTGAGACGATTTGGGGTACTCGGAGCATTCCTCGATTTGCTGTGCTGAAGTTGGTGTTCCTCTAGACTTGGGACAGTGTTTTCGGGGCATCTCTGGAGTTGCCTGAAGGAAGTGGAGCCACCGGTCGTGTTGAATGGGGAACGGGGAATGTCTCTGGAGTCAATGCAGGGAAATCTGGCCTCATCTCGAGTTGATTTGGGGCACATGGAGCTGCTTTGCTTTGCTGGGGTGACCTCAGGGTCCGTCTAGACTGGTGACAGTGTTCTTGGGTACTGTCTCGAGATCCATTAAGCAAGTCGAAGCTCCTGACTTGTTTGAATGGGATCACGGAATAGCTCTGCATGCACTGCAGGGGAATGGGGCCTCATCTCGCCTCTAGGGGGAAGTCTCATGGTTTTTCTCGAGTTGCGGCGGGGACCTGGGGTATGTTCTCGACTTACGGCGGGGATGTCAGTTCAAAACACGAGTTTCTGCAGTGACGTCAGGACTCCTGTCTAGTAACGAGGGACACCTCAGGAATCTCTCCGAGGCTTCGCAGGGCAAAAGGGACGCTTCTCGAGGTGAGGCAGGGCACCCAAGGACCCTTTCCAGTAGCCACAGGGATTTGGGGATTCCTATCAGTATTCAAGAGGAGTCAGGCATCGTCACCTTTTGAACCATGAACGCCGCGTGCCTCTCGAGGTGTCAGCGGTATATGAGGCATTCTGTCAAAATGAGGCAGGGACCTAGGGCTTTCTCTAATGTCTCCACAGGGGATTCAGACTTCACTTCATGTTGTGAGATGAAAGACGTGCCTGTATTCAAGCCACTGCAAGGAAATCCGGCCTCCTTTCAAGTTAGGGCTTCTCGCTGTATATTCCCCTTGAGGCAGCAAACTCGGGGTCCCTCCCACATACCTATTGCTGAGAGAAGCCTCCTCCTGAGGTGTTTCTGGAAAGTTGGCATACGTCTTGAGCGTAAGCCATTAAATCAGCTCTCATCTTGAGACGATTTGGGGTACACGGAGCATTCCTCTAGTTGCTGTGCTTAAGTTGGTGTTCCTCTAGACTTGGGACAGTGTTCTCGGGGCATCTCTGGAGTTGCCTGAAAGAAGTCGAGCCACCGGTCGTGTTGAATGGGGAACGGGGAATGTCTCTGGAGTCAATGCAGGGAAATCGGGCCTCATCTCGAGTTGATTTGGGGCACATGGAGCTGCTTTACGTTGCTGGGGTGACCTCAGGGTCCGTCTAGACTGGTGACAGTGTTCTTGGGTACTGTCTCGAGATCCATTAAGCAAGTCGAAGCTCCTGACTTGTTTGAATGGGATCACGGAATAGCTCTGCATGCACTGCAGGGGAATGGGGCCTCGTCTCGCCTCTAGGGGGAAGTCTCATGGTTTTTCTCGAGTTGCGACGGGGACCTGGGGTATGTTCTCGACTTACGGCGGGGATGGCCCTTCAAAACACGAGTTTCTTCAGTGACGTCAGGACTCCTGTCTAGTAACGAGGGACACCTCAGGATTCTCTCCGAGGCTTTGCAGGGCAAAAGGGACGCTTCTCGAGGTGAGGCAGGGCACCCACGGACCCTTTCCAGTAGCCACAGGTATTTTGGGATTACTATCAGTGTTCAAGAGGAGTCAGGCATCGTCACCTTTTGAACCATGAACTCCGCGTGCCTCTCGAGGTGTCAGCGGGATGTGAGGCATTCTGTCAAAATGAGGCAGGGACCTAGGGCTTTCTCTAAGGTCTCCACAGGGGATTCAGACATCCCTTCATGTTGTGAGATGAAAGACGAGCCTGTATTCAAGCCACTGCAAGGAAATCCGGCCTCCTTTCAAGTTAGGGCTTCTCGCTGTATATTCCCCTTGAGGCAGCAAACTCGGGCTCCCTCCCACATACCTATTGCTGAGAGAAGCCTCCTCCTGAGGTGCTTCTGGAAAGTTGGCATACGTCTTGAGCCTAAGCCAGGGAATCAGCTCTCATGTCGAGACGATTTGGGGTACACGGAGCATTCCTCGAGTTGCTGTGCTGAAGTTGGTGTTCCTCTATACTTGGGAGAGTGTTCTCGGGGCATCTCTGGAGTTGCCTGAAGGAAGTCGAGCCACCGGTCCTGTTGAATGGGGAACGGGGAATGGCTCTGGAGTCAATGCAGGGGAATCGGGCCTCACCTCGAGTTGATTTGGGGCACATGGAGCTGCTTTGCATTGCTGGGGTGACCTCAGGTCTGTCTCGACTGGTGACAGTGTTCTTGGGGACTGTCTAGAGATCCATTAAGCAAGTCGAAGCTCCTGACTTGTTTGAATGGGATCACGGAATAGCTCTGCATGCACTGCAGGGGAATGGGGCCTCATCTCGCCTCTAGGGGGAAGTCTCATGGTTTTTCTCGAGTTGCGGCGGGACCTGGGGTATGTTCTCGACTTACGGCGGGGATGGCACTTCAAAACACGAGTTTCTTCAGTGACGTCAGGACTCCTGTCTAGTAATGAGGGACACGTCAGGAATCTCTCCGAGACTTCGCAGGGCAAAAGGGACGCTTCTCGAGATGAGGCAGGGCACCCAAGGACCCTTTCCAGTAGCCACAGGGATTTTGGGATTCCTATCAGTATTCAAGAGGAGTCAGGCATCGTCACCTTTTGAACCATGAACTCCGCGTGCCTCTCGAGGTGTCAGCGGGATGTGAGGCATTCTGTCAAAATGAGGCAGGGACCTAGGGCTTTCTCTAAGGTTTCCACAGGGGATTCAGACATCCCTTCATGTTGTGAGATGAAAGACGAGCCTGTATTCAAGCCACTGCAAGGAAATCCGGCCTCCTTTCAAGTTAGGGCTTCTCGCTGTATATTCCCCTTGTGGCAACAAACTCGGGCTCCCTCCCACATACCTATTGCTGAGAGAAGCCTCCTCCTGAGGTGCTTCTGGAAAGTTGGCATACGTCTTGAGCCTAAGCCAGGGAATCAGCTCTCATCTCGAGACGATTTGGGGTACACGGAGCATTCCTCGAGTTGCTGTGTTGAAGTTGGTGTTCCTCTAGACTTGAGACAGTGTTCTCGGGGCATCTCTGGAGTTGCCTGAAGGAAGTCGAGCCACCGGTCGTGTTGAATGGGGAACGGGGAATGGCTCTGGAGTCAATGCAGGGGAATCGGGCGTCATCTCGAGTTGATTTGGGGCACATGGAGCTGCTTTGCGTTGCTGGGGTGACCTCAGGGTCCGTCTAGACTGGTGACAGTGTTCTTGCTGACTGTCTCGAGATCCATTAAGCAAGTCGAAGATCCTGACTTGTTTGAATGGGATCATGGAATAGCTCTGCATGCACTGCAGGGGAATGGGGCCTCATTTCGCCTCTAGGGGGAAGTCTCATGGTTTTTCTCGAGTTGCGGCGGGGACCTGGGGTATGTTCTCGACTTACAGCGGGGATGGCCCTTAAAAACACGAGTTTCTTCAGTGACGTCAGGACTCCTGTCTAGTAACGAGGGACACCTCAGGAATCTCCCCGAGGCTTCGCAGGGCAAAAGGGACGCTTCTCGAGGTGATGCAGGGCACCCAAGGACCCTTTCCAGTAGCCACAGGGATTTTGGGATTCCTATCAGTATTCAAGAGGAGTCAGGCATCGTCACCTTTTGAACCATGAACTCCGCATGCCTCTCGAGGGGTCAGCGGGATGTGAGACATTCTGTCAAAATGAGGCAGGGACCTGGGGCTTTCTCTAAGGTTTCCACAGGGGATTCAGACATCCCTTCATGTTGTGAGATGAAAGACGAGCCTGTATTCAAGCCACTGCAAGGAAATCCGGCCTCCTTTCAAGTTAGGGCTTCTCGCTGTATATTCCCCTTGAGGCAGCAAACTCGGGGTCCCTCCCACATACCTATTGCTGAGAGAAGCCTCCTCCTGAGGTGCTTCTGGAAAGTTGGCATACGTCTTGAGCCTAAGCCAGGGAATCAGCTCTCATCTCGAGACGATTTGGGGTACTCAGAGCATTCCTCGAGTTGCTGTACTGAAGTTGGTGTTCCTCTAGACTTGGGACAGTGTTCTCGGGGCATCTCTGGAGTTGCCTGAAGGAAGTGGAGCCACGGATCGTGTTGAATGGGGAACGGGGAATGGCTCTGGAGTCAACGCAGGGGAATCAGGCCTCATCTCGAGTTGATTTGGGGCACATGGAGCTGCTTTGCGTTGCTGGGGTGACCTCAGGGTCCGTCTAGACTGGTGACAGTGTTCTTGGGGACTGTCTCGAGATCCATTAAGCAAGTCGAAGCTCCTGACTTGTTTGAATGGGATCACGGAATAGCTCTGCATGCACTGCAGGGGAATGGGGCCTCATCTCGCCTCTAGGGGGAAGTCTCATGGTTTTTCTCGAGTTGCGGCGGGGACCTGGGGTATGTTCTCGACTTACGGCGGGGATGGCCCTTCAAAACACGAGTTTCTTCAGTGACGTCAGGACTCCTGTCTAGTAACGAGGGACACCTCAGGAAACTCTCCGAGGCTTCGCAGGGCAAAAAGGACGCTTCTCGAGGTGAGGCAGGGCACCCAAGGACCTTTTCCAGTAGCCACAGGGATTTTGGGATTCCTATCAGTGTTCAAGAGGAGTCAGGCATCGTCACCTTTTGAACCATGAACTCCGTGTACCTCTCGAGGTGTCAGCGGGATATGAGGCATTCTGTCAAAATGAGGCAGGGACCTAGGGCTTTCTCTAAGGTCTCCACAGGGGATTCAGACATCCCTTCATGTTGTGAGATGAAAGATGTGCCTGTATTCAAGCCACTGCAAGGAAATCCGGCCTCCTTTCAAGTTAGGGCTTCTCGCTGTATATTCCCCTTGAGGCAGCAAAATCGGTGTCCCTCCCACATACCTATTGCTGAGAGAAGCCTCCTCCTGAGGTGCTTCTGGAAAGTTGGCATACGTCTTGAGCCTAAGCCAGGGAATCAGCTCTCATCTTGAGACGATTTGGGGTACACGGAGCATTCCTCGAGTTGCTGTGTTGAAGTTGGTGTTCCTCTAGACTTGGGACAGTGTTCTCGGGGCATCTCTGGAGTTGCCTGAAGGAAGTAGAGCCACCGGTCGTGTTGAATGGGGAACGGGGAATGGCTCTGGAGTCAATGCAGGGGAATCGGGCGTCATCTCGAGTTGATTTGGGGCACATGGAGCTGCTTTGTGTTCCTGGGGTGACCTCTGGGTCCGTCTAGACTGGTGACAGTGTTCTTGGGGACTGTCTGGAGATCCATTAAGCAAGTCGAAGCTCCTGACTTGTTTGAATGGGATCACGGAATAGCTCTGCATGCACTGCAGGGGAATGGAGCCTCATCTCGCCTCTAGGGGGAAGTCTCATGGTTTTTCTCGAGTTGCGGCGGGGACCTGGGGTATGTTCTCGACTTACTGCGGGGATGGCACTTCAAAACACGAGTTTCTTCAGTGACGTCAGGACTCCTGTCTAGTAACGAGGGACACCTCAGGAATCTCTCCGAGGCTTCGCAGGGCAAAAGAAACGCTTCTCGAGGTGAGGCAGGGCACCCAAGGACCCTTTCCAGTAGCCACAGGGATTTGGGGATTCCTATCAGTATTCAAGAGGAGTCAGGCATCGTCACCTTTTGAACCATGAACGCCGCGTGCCTCTCGAGGTGTCAGCGCGATATGAGGCATTCTGTCAAAATGAGGCAGGGAACTAGGGCTTTCTCTAAGGTCTCCACAGGGGATTCAGACATCACTTCATGTTGTGAGATGAAAGATGTGCCTGTATTCAAGCCACTGCAAGGAAATCCGGCCTCCTTTCAAGTTAGGGCTTCTCGCTGTATATTCCCCTTGAGGCAGCAAACTCGGGGTCCCTCCCACATACCTATTGCTGAGAGAAGCCTCCTCCTGAGGTGCTTCTGGAAAGTTGGCATACGTCTTGAGCCTAAGCCAGGGAATCAGCTCTCATCTCGAGACGATTTGGGGTACACCGAGCATTCCTCGAGTTGCTGTGCTGAAGTTGGTTTTCCTCTAGACTTGGGACAGTGTTCTCGGGGCATCTCTGGAGTTGCCTGAAGGAAGTCGAGCCACCGGTCGTGTTGAATGGGGAACGGGGAATGGCTCTGGAGTCAATGCAGGGGAATCGGGCCTCATCTCGAGTTGATTTGGGGCACATGGAGCTGCTTTGCGTTGCTGGGGTGACCTCAGGGTCCGTCTAGACTGGTGACAGTGTTCTTGGGTACTGTCTCGAGATCCATTAAGCAAGTCGAAGCTCCTGACTTGTTTGAATGGGATCACGGAATAGCTCTGCATGCACTGCAGGGGAATGGGGCCTCTTCTTGCCTCTAGGGGGAAGTCTCATGGTTTTTCTCGAGTTGCGGCGGGGACCTGGGGTATGTTCTCGACTTACGGCGGGGATGGCCCTTCAAAACACGAGTTTCTTCAGTGACGTCAGGACTCCTGTCTAGTAACGAGGGACACCTCAGGATTCTCTCCGAGGCTTCGCAGGGCAAAAGGGATGCTTCTCGAGGTGAGGCAGGGCACCCAAGGACCCTTTCCAGTAGCCACAGGGATTTTGGGATTCCTATCAGTGTTCAAGAGGAGTCAGGCATCGTCACCTTTTGAAGCAGTGAACTCCGCTTGCCTCTCGAGGTGTCAGCGGGATGTGAGGCATTCTGTCAAAATGAGGCAGGGACCTAGGGCTTTCTCTAAGGTCTCCACAGGGGATTCAGACATCCCTTCATGTTGTGAGATGAAAGACGAGCCTGTATTCAAACCACTGCAAGGAAATCCAGCCTCCTTTCAAGTTCGGTCTTCTCGCTGTATATTCCCCTTGAGGCAGCAAACTCGGGGTCCCTCCCACATACCAATTGCTGAGAGAAGCCTCCTCCTGAGGTGCTTCTGGAAAGTTGGCATACGTCTTGAGCCTAAGCCAGGGAATCAGCTCTCATCTCGAGACGATTTGGGGTACACGGAGCATTCCTCGAGTTGCAGTGCTGAAGTTGGTGTTCCTCTAGACTTGGGACAGTGTTCTCGGGGCATCTCTGGAGTTGCCTGAAGGAAGTCGAGCCACCGGTCGTGTTGAATGGGGAACGGGGAATGGCTCTGGAGTCAATGCAGGGGAATCGGGCCTCATCTCGAGTTGATTTGGGGCACATGGAGCTGCTTTGCGTTGCTGGGGTGACCTCAGGGTCTGTCTCGACTGGTGACAGTGTTCTTGGGGACTGTCTCGAGATCCATTAAGCAAGTCGAAGCTCCTGACTTGTTTGAATGGGATCACTGAATAGCTCTGCATGCACTGCAGGGGAATGGGGCCTCATTTCGCCTCTAGGGGGAAGTCTCATGGTTTTTCCCGAGTTGCGGCGGGACCTGGGGTATGTTCTCGACTTACTGCGGGGATGGCACTTCAAAACACGAGTTTCTTCAGTGACGTCAGGACTCCTGTCTAGTAATGAGGGACACGTGAGGAATCTATCCGAGACTTCGCAGGGCAAAAGGGACGCTTCTCGAGGTGAGGCAGGGCACCTAAGGACACTTTCCAGTAGCCACAGGGATTTTGGGATTCCTATCAGTATTCAAGAGGAGTCAGGCATCATCACCTTTTGAACCATGAACTCCGCGTGCCTCTCGAGGTGTCAGCGGGATGTGAGGCATTCTTTCAAAATGAGGCAGGGACCTAGGGCTTTCTCTAAGGTTTCCACAGGGGATTCAGACATCCCTTCATGTTGTGAGATGAAAGACGAGCCTGTATTCAAGCCACTGCAAGGAAATCCGGCCTCCTTTCAAGTTAGGGCTTCTCGCTGTATATTGCCCTTGAGGCAGCAAACTCGGGGTCCCTCCCACATACCTATTGCTGAGAGAAGCCTCCTCCTGAGGTGCTTCTGGAAAGTTGGCATACGTCTTGAGCCTAAGCCAGGGAATCAGCTCTCATCTTGAGACGATTTGGCGTACTCGGAGCATTCCTCGATTTGCTGTGCTGAAGTTGGTGTTCCTCTAGACTTGGGACAGTGTTCTCGGGGCATCTCTGGAGTTGCCTGAAGTAAGTGGAGCCACGGATCGTGTTGAATGGGGACCGGGAATGGCTCTGGAGTCAATGCAGGGGAATCAGGCCTCATCTCGAGTTGATTTGGGGCACCTGGAGCTCCTTTGCTTTGCTGGGGTGACCTCAGGGTCCGTCTAGACTGGTGACAGTGTTCTTGGGGACTGTCTCGAGATCCATTAAGCAAGTCGAAGCTCCTGACTTGTTTGAATGGGATCACGGAATAGCTCTGCATGCACTGCAGGGGAATGGGGCCTCATCTCGCCTCTAGGGGGAAGTCTCATGGTTTTTCTCGAGTTGCGGCGGGGACCTGGGGTATGTTCTCGACTTACGGCAGGGATGGCCCTTCAAAACACGAGTTTCTTCAGTGACGTCAGGACTCCTGTCTAGTAACGAGGGACACCTCAGGAATCTCTCCGAGGCTTCGCAGGGTAAAAGGGACACTTCTCGAGGTGAGGCAGGGCACCCAAGGACCCTTTCCAGTAGCCACAGGGATTTTGGGATTCCTATCAGTGTTCAAGAGGAGTCAGGCATCGTCACCTTTTGAACCATGAACTCCGCGTGCCTCTCGAGGTGTCAGCGGGATGTGAGGCATTCTGTCAAAATGAGGCAGGGAACTAGGGCTTTCTCTAAGGTCTCCACAGGGGATTCAGACATCCCTTCATGTTGTCAGATGAAAGACGAGCCTGTATTCAAGCCACTGCAAGGAAATCCGGCCTCCTTTCAAGTTAGGGCTTCTCGCTGTATATTCCCCTTTTGGCAGTAAACTCGGGCTCCCTCCCACATACCTATTGCTGAGAGAAGCCTCCTCCTGAGGTGCTTCTGGAAAGTTGGCATACGTCTTGAGCCTAAGCCAGGGAATCAGCTCTCATCTCGAGACGATTTGGGGTACACGGAGCATTCCTCGAGTTGCTGTGTTGAAGTTGGTGTTCCTCTAGACTTGGGACAGTGTTCTCGGGGCATCTCTGGAGTTGCCTGAAAGAAGTCGAGCCACCGGTCGTGTTGAATGGGGAACGGGGAATGGCTCTGGAGTCAATGCAGGGAAATCGGGCCTCATCTCGAGTTGATTTGGGGCACATGGAGCTGCTTTGCGTTGCTGGGGTGACCTCAGGGTCCGTCTAGACTGGTGACAGTGTTCTTGGGTACTGTCTCGAGATCCATTAAGCAAGTCGAAGCTCCTGACTTGTTTGAATGGGATCACGGAATAGCTCTGCATGCACTGCAGGGGAATGGGGCCTCGTCTAGCCTCTAGGGGGAAGTCTCATGGTTTTTCTCGAGTTGCGGTGGGGACCTGGGGTATGTTCTAGACTTACGGCGGGGATGGCCCTTCAAACCACGAGTTTCTTCAGTGACGTCAGGACTCCTGTCTAGTAACGAGGGAAACCTCAGGAATCTCTTCGAGGGTTGGCAGGGCAAAAGGGACGCTTCTCGATATGAGGCAGGGCACCCAAGGACCCTTTCCAGTAGCCACAGGGATTTTGGGATTCCTATCAGTATTCAAGAGGAGTCAGGCATCGTCACCTTTTGAAGCAATGAACTCCGCGTGCCTCTCGAGGTGTCAGCGGGATGTGAGGCATTCCGTCAAAAGGAGGCAGGGACCTAGGGCTTTCTCTAAGGTCTCTACAGGGGATTCAGACATCCCTTCATGTTGTGAGATGAAAGACGAGCCTGTATTCAAGCCACTGCAAGGAAATCCGGCCTCCTTTCAAGTTAGGGCTTCTCGCTGTATATTCCCCTTGAGGCAGCAAACTCGGGCTCCCTCCCACATACCTATTGCTGAGAGAAGCCTCCTCCTGAGGTGCTTCTGGAAAGTTGGCATACGTCTTGAGCCTAAGCCAGGGAATCAGCTCTCATCTCGAGACGATTTGGGGTACACGGAGCATTCCTCGAGTTGCTGTGCTGAAGTTGGTTTTCCTCTAGACTTGGGACAGTGTTCTCGGGGCATCTCTGGAGTTGCCTGAAGGAAGTCGAGCCACCGGTCGTGTTGAATGGGGAACGGGGAATGGCTCTGGAGTCAATGCAGGGGAATCGGGCCTCATCTCGAGTTGATTTGGGGCACATGGAGCTGCTTTGCGTTGCTGGGGTGACCTCAGGGTCCGTGTAGACTGGTGACAGTGTTCTTGGGGACTGTCTCGAGATCCACTAAGCAAGTCGAAGCTCCTGACTTGTTTGAATGGGATCACGGAATAGCTCTGCATGCACTGCAGGGGAATGGAGCCTCATCTCGCCTCTAGGGGGAAGTCTCATGGTTTTTCTCGAGTTGCGGCGGGGACCTGGGGTATGTTCTCGACTTACTGCGGGGATGGCACTTCAAAACACGAGTTTCTTCAGTGACGTCAGGACTCCTGTCTAGTAACGAGGGACACCTCAGGAATCTCTCCGAGGCTTCGCAGGGCAAAAGAAACGCTTCTCGAGGTGAGGCAGGGCACCCAAGGACCCTTTCCAGTAGCCACAGGGATTTGGGGATTCCTATCAGTATTCAAGAGGAGTCAGGCATCGTCACCTTTTGAACCATGAACGCCGCGTGCCTCTCGAGGTGTCAGCGGGATATGAGGCATTCTGTCAAAATGAGGCAGGGACCTAGGGCTTTCTCTTAGGTCTCCACAGGGGATTCAGACATCACTTCATGTTGTGAGATGAAAGATGTGCCTGTATTCAAGCCACTGCAAGGAAATCCGGCCTCCTTTCAAGTTAGGGCTTCTCGCTGTATATTCCCCTTGAGGCAGCAAAATCGGTGTCCCTCCCACATACCTATTGCTGAGAGAAGCCTCCTCCTGAGGTGCTTCTGGAAAGTTGGCATACGTCTTGAGCCTAAGCCAGGGAATCAGCTCTCATCTTGAGACGATTTGGGGTACACGGAGCATTCCTCGAGTTGCTGTGTTGAAGTTGGTGTTCCTCTAGACTTGGGACAGTGTTCTCGGGGCATCTCTGGAGTTGCCTGAAGGAAGTAGAGCCACCGGTCGTGTTGAATGGGGAACGGGGAATGGCTCTGGAGTCAATGCAGGGGAATCGGGCGTCATCTCGAGTTGATTTGGGGCACATGGAGCTGCTTTGTGTTCCTGGGGTGACCTCTGGGTCCGTCTAGACTGGTGACAGTGTTCTTGGGGACTGTCTGGAGATCCATTAAGCAAGTCGAAGCTCCTGACTTGTTTGAATGGGATCACGGAATAGCTCTGCATGCACTGCAGGGGAATGGAGCCTCATCTCGCCTCTAGGGGGAAGTCTCATGGTTTTTCTCGAGTTGCGGCGGGGACCTGGGGTATGTTCTCGACTTACTGCGGGGATGGCACTTCAAAACACGAGTTTCTTCAGTGACGTCAGGACTCCTGTCTAGTAACGAGGGACACCTCAGGAATCTCTCCGAGGCTTCGCAGGGCAAAAGAAACGCTTCTCGAGGTGAGGCAGGGCACCCAAGGACCCTTTCCAGTAGCCACAGGGATTTGGGGATTCCTATCAGTATTCAAGAGGAGTCAGGCATCGTCACCTTTTGAACCATGAACGCCGCGTGCCTCTCGAGGTGTCAGCGCGATATGAGGCATTCTGTCAAAATGAGGCAGGGAACTAGGGCTTTCTCTAAGGTCTCCACAGGGGATTCAGACATCACTTCATGTTGTGAGATGAAAGATGTGCCTGTA